TGACCCTGACACCAGCCGGGTGGAGTCGTGGGAGAAGGCCACTGAGCTGACCCATCCGCTATGGCCCTCGAGCGTCTGGAGGCAGGGGCTCCATTTCTCTTGTATAGCCGGCTTTATTACGATCCAGTCTGGCTTTTCCCTCTTAAAGAGATTTCTTATTAGGCTGCAAGTTGGGCTGAATAGGAGTGCGGACACATATGCTTGAAGAGGGCTGTTCTCTATTGCCCACTTATGAGACATAATAAATCGACGTGCATCTCGCACTACCTTGAGCAGTGTGTCTCCATATATTCTTCCCTAGCTTGTGTTAGCATGCAATATACATAAATGTAAGCGCTAATCTTGGTTTACCTCTACTACAGCCTCAAGTCTCGTCATTGAAACTACTCCTTGCGGTACACTCTTGCAGAGGCTAAGCGCTTCTAGCCAGTAGAGAAACTTTTTCTTTATAAAGTTAGTAATAGCGCCTTCCTCTAGTAGATGGCCAGTGCGATTTACGGAAGGGCTAGGATTGCAGTCATGGAGGTGATCAACCCAGTAGATACACGAGTAGCGTGACGCTGCTAATGGGTCCAGATCTGGCCGTTTAACTTGCTTAGCAGGATACCCGAACGCATATAAGCCGTACATGTCTCTTTGTAGCGTCCTAGACATGATTTTAAGGGATTGCGAGACGACTGTATTGTGGACCTCCTCTGTTCCAGATGGGAAGATTTCGTTAGAGGCATTAGCAAATAGAAATTCCTTTGCAGATTGATGCACAAAATAGACAGTATCTCCTTGAATAGTAAGGAACGAGCCACATAGGCCAATAATCTCTCGTAACGACTCGATATCATCGGCCATATCCTCTAGCCCCTTAATAAGAGATGTGAGCTCTTTCAGTGTGATGGGTCGGTATACAGTCGCAATCAACGCTAGTATGTGCTTGCAGAGATCTGCATCGTCCGAGTTGCGTATATGCTCCAGCATTCGATTGTAAAGAGGGCTAAGCCCAGGTGGAAATGCCTTCAGCTTTGCGAACACCTTCCATCGTGGGACATCGCGAAGGTGTTGGCAGACTAAAGCCACCCATAGGAAGGTGTCATGCGCATTTAAGAACAGGTGAGCGAGTACAGCGTCTCGCGTTTTGTTGTCATACTTCTTTTCTTGCGCTAGCTGAGTAACCTGGTGCCGAACATATGACCGGACAGCCGTTGATACAGACTCTGCATTCAACTCAAGGCTTAGCCTAACCTTGTTTCCTGCTCTCTCAAGACGTCCCTCAATGTCGGGCCAGTTGCGGCTAGAGATAATCCACTTAACATGAGGATATACAATAGACTTTTGGATAATAAAGTCTAGTAGTCTTGGCAAGTCTATAACGCATTCATCAAGCGCATCAATAATTAGATATGTGCTTTTTTGGTTTAGGTCTTGCAGGATATCTGTGAAGATCTCGCACAAGGCAACCCAGGCATTCATATCCTCAAAGAGCGCTTTGCCTGCGTGATCGTGCTTCTTCCGTATATGCAAGACAAGCGATGGCTGTTGATCGACAAGCAAGTACAGTAGACCTCGCAGCACGGCTGTAGCGCTGTTAATACGCGAGTCCATGGCCTGGCAGAAGAAGTAGGATAGGAGAGCTGTCTTGCCCATTAACTTGTTCAGCTCGTCAATGATGCCGCAAAGAAGCATCGTCTTGCCCTTTCCAGGCTCGCCTTTGATCCACAGCAGTCGGCTCTGCTGGCCGTCACTCCATCGTCGGAAGTCGGAGTTTTCGAGGATCCAGCGGTACGAGTCCTTTAGTAGCCCGCCCTTTGTTTCTTCAATACGTCTCTTGTCATTGCGGGGGTCGGTGAGGCGTAAATTTTGAATGCATATTCGATCTTCTTTTAGCTGGGGACCACTCGAAACCCTATCAATCTCCTCACGAAGCCGTCTGAACGCGTTCTCCTCCCCTTCACCATAGTTAGGCAGCATATATATGCCAAAGATACCCAATAGCGAGTACGCCCTGTCTTCTTTGCGCGTAGTCCGGCGACCCTCCATCCATGACAGTCGCTCCTCAACATCAAAATTGCATAGAGGGGATCCTTGGAGGGCAGGGACACCGATGCTTGTTATCTGATAGATCTGTTGCTCCAGGCTTCTCTTATTACCTAGATATTTGCCTTCTTGGGAGAAGAACTCAACAGAGCGTGGGGCAAGAAGCTCTTGTAAAGTCCAGCCCCGGTTAAACCATCGGCTTACCCGAAAAGCTGGCTCCCAAGCAAACTCGGAGCACCCACTACTTGCCTTCCGCTTGGTTATCGAGACGTCCGACAGATAAACATAGCACTTGGCAGCATTCTGGTACCAGCGGAACATAGAGTTGATAGCGTCCTGAAGTTCGACGTGGTCTGATTTGTCGATGCAGCAAGTGTCCACCCAAAAGTGTTGTAAACCGTCGCGATCAGCCTGTTGTCCACAAAACCGGATCTTCTCGTAGCCAGCCTTGTTCTGTCCGGTGCCATCCATCAAATCTCGGAAAGTGACCTCCTGGCCCTCTATCCAGGTATGTGAAAGGATGGCATAGGGAGGGATTAGATCGTCGCCTAAGAAGTCCTGGGTAAGGCTGACACCGCCTGTGTCGCTGCGTAGCAGAAGACGCATTGCTCTATACGGGGTTTAACAGGCGCATGCGATAGGAATAGAATGTTGGAGGCTCAAAGGCTGCAGCCTGGTTGAAGACACAAGCACGGCAACTGGCTCGTCTGCTCAGAGTTAGTCCTAGCTATTGAGGATAGCCCGCACATAGGAAAATAGGAATGCACAGTCGTACCAAAGATCTGCGTCGAGATTAAGACACTCAAGAGTGAAGTGAAGTGAAGTGATTCTGAAGTGCCTTAGCGGTCTTAGTTTTGTGAGGATGAACACAATCTCAGCCTCCCGTAACAGTGAGGCTCATTGCACAGCCACGTCACAGCCTACAGAATGGCGCCGGAAGGCTGGCATGTAGCGATCCTTGACAGAAGGCGAATTTGCAAGCTACTAGACTGAAAATGTTTGTGTACTGTGCATCTTAATAAGTAGACGAACAGCTTGATCACGCCAGCAGGGAGGACGGCCAACCCGCTCCAGCCAGAGGGTTGTGCTGGAGGCGATGTTATCTTATCTCCTTCCTATCTCATCGTATTCCCTTTCAACGAGCCGAGACTAGTTAAAGCTTGGCTGCTGCTTAGTCTAGGAATTGGCGCCAGTGGGCTCAAGAAGCATAAGGACGTGGTGGCTTAAGCAGGTATTTTGTTTAGTCAGCAGAAGAGACAACAGCAGGTTTCGCAGCTTGAGGGCGACGTGAGTGGCGTGTCTCTATGTTACAAAAGCACCTATCGCTAGGCGTTGGACCGCATCTTAAAGTTGTACGATGGCTGTGTTGAGTGGTTGAGACGCTGAGACGCGTTGGCTAACTAAACAAGCGCTAAGCCCTTTAAGTCTTAACACTGCTCCTAATCCTAAGTTGGATTTAGTAATATTCTAAGGGCTTGCGCGACCCGCACAGCCACATTCCTCACAATAAAATACCGCGGGTGTATGAGGTAGGACGTGCGGGGTCACCTCCTATTAGCAAGGATTAGTGAATTAGTTCCGCTAGAGGTACTAATTGACATGGCGGCCCTGCGTGAAATTGCGTCCTGCAGCGCGCATAGGGCTGATAATAACATCCTACCACTAGAGGGAGGTTCTAGGGCTTAGACAAGGTTATTCCACAAAAATTTAGAGCAACAAGGACTTAAGGTTAGCGCTGTAGGGAGGAAGTCTGTTACGTTATAAAAGAAGGTGCTTCACAAATTAGGTGCAGAGGCGACAATGCAAACATAATTTTAGGGAAGAGTTAATAATAGGCATTTAGGATTAGCTATAGCAGATTATTTCTATAGAATTATAGCAATATTTGTTGTGCGCACGGGTTCTGCAGCTGCTAAAAGTTAAAGTACCCCTTGTTTGTCTCTCCACACAGTGTGTCTCGCTACGCAGTGAGGGACGTTAGATCTTAACGATTTTTATAAGGCTATGGTCGCCTGCTATTTCTCCACATACACAAGATGGAGTCAGCCTCAAGCTTATATCAAAGCGATGAAGTATCGCCTGCCTCATCGTGCACTTCTCACCCACCCCACAACACCAACACTATAACCAACCAATCCGCCTACCCTCTCACGTTCTCTCTTCGCCTCCTCCTGCCATGCTCTGAGATTCATAACTAAAATATCGTCCTTAACAATAACATCCCCATACAATCTCAAAAAGACGCTCATCCACGCTTCTATCAGTTCATAATCCCTCCTCTCCTTGAGTCTCGAAGTAAGCGCTTGTATAAATGTACATAACTCAGTGTATGGAGCCACAGTATCCATGGTGCGGATAGCGATGTCAGCGGCGGATGGAGGAAGCGAAGAGAGATGCGAGAGAAGAAGTGTGTAATCTGTTGTCTCGGACGCGTGGGCGAGGTGACGCGTGAACTGATTCATGGCTGTTGAAGCGGTGGACTTCGATGCGAGAGCGGAGACCGATACCCTTGAGGTGGACTCTTGGCTGGGGAGAGCGATGTCATTCGACGTTGTGGTGGAGGGTGGATTCTCGGAAAGGGAAGGGAGGAAGAAAGGGGCCTTTTCAGGAGGCTTTGGGACTTCTTTCGGTTTGTTTCGAGCCCGGATTATGTCAAGATGAACGAGTGTCTGCCATCGAGATTTTGGTACGAGACTGAGCGTCGTGATACCCTCTGCTAAATGGTCCACGATTGGAACACTAGTTTCATCCCGTTGCTCCTCTTCGGGCTCCTCCTGAGCGGCTGCTTCGATAAGGCCTTGACCGCCCTCACCAGAAGTAGTGGGTACAGTAATGGCAGTGATGGTAGCGATATCGTTCTCGGATATATGGCGCGTCGAGACGTGCGTGAAGAGTGTACGGTTTGTCCAGATATGCACTCCGACTTCGCCTTCTTGCGCAGTGGCAAGATACTCGCCCGTGTGGGAGAAGGCAATGGAAGTACACGGAGTCGGCAGTTTCATCGCATCGATGAGATGCCCTGTCGGTAGATCCCAAATTCGAATTATGGAATCTGAACAAGCGGAAATAATCCAACGCCCATCGTTAGAGAACGTATAGTCCACGATCTGGATCTTAGCATGAGAAGTCGCAGACCAAAGCTCTCGAATTAGCTTTTTAGTCTCAATATCCACGACTCTTACAGAGCCGTCGTCACAACTTAGTGCTATTAAATCGCTAGCACAGTGATATCTCAAGCCGACAATTCTCGTCATTGGATACCAGTTCATTTCGTAAAGGAGAAGGGTACTTGCAAAGTCCCAAAACTAACAGTGAATCAGTTACATTCTCCTCTGGGTAATGGAAATACTGACCTTCACCTTACCGTCCTCCCCGCAACTGACGACAGTGCGATTGAGACTATCGACCGCAATGCCAGTAATAGCGCCTGTATGCTTCCCCTCTCCTCTTCCGAACACTGTTTTTGCATCAGATTGTGCTGTTGGAACACCAACGTCTCGTTCGAGCCGTTGAAGCTTTAGCTTCTTAGCTTGTGCTGGCGTTAACCGAGCAGGGAACCTCTGTCTATGTTTGCCAGACTGAAGATTATACATGTCAAGAGAGCCGCCGGCGGATCCAATCAGGGCGAATGTGCCACAAGGGGATACTGCTACACTCTGCACGATGTTAGCAAAATGTTATATCGTTCTTAAAAGTGGATCTAACGAACCTTAACGTCTGTACCATCCCCGGTCTCGAATGCCCATCTTCCAGCCCGTTTGCGACCCCAAAACCAGGTCCGGGCAACTTTATCTCCTTCATGCCCAGTGATGATGCTTTCCCATCCAGTCATGTTTGCTTCCCGAGCTTTCTTATCCCCAGGTAGCTTTGCCGAATTAGTCCAAATTCCAGTCTTACCAGGAATAGTCCCCATGCCACCATCACGGTTGAGTGAGCATGCAATGCAAGTAATCGCCGACGCCCTAAGATCTTCCAACGTAGTATGAAGCTTGGCATCTGAGCCACTGCCATTGAGAAGACCCATCTTTTTGGCTTTTTTCTGAAGTGCTCCTTGACTGAGTTCGGTACTTTGTCCATCTCTCCGCAGGCTCCAACCCCAAAGACTTCGGTCCCTACTTGCGGAAAGTAGCCATTTACCCGCATCATCTGTACCATCGGAGTTTGGTGGGAGAAAGCGAAGTGTTGAAACAGGGGCCGCATGGCCACCACGAGCATGCAAAGGTCGCGGGACTGGTGAAAACGGAGTCTCGTCAACTATCCAGCTTTTCAGAGAGTTGTCGAGTCCGCTAGAGACGAGTACCGACTGCCCTGCAAGAAATTCGATTTTGCTGACACCTCCTCCAACTCCACCACTTGCGGATGGAGAGGGATTGTGAGCACCATGCAGGACTCCCATTTTGCGGCCCCCTTCGTTTAAATCCCAGAATGTCACATCGCCACTGCGCGTACTTGCAGTTGCCATTACACCATCTTTACGGCCGTCATCACCTGCTCCTAGCCCATCGGTCCTAAAAGAAATCGAGGTAACGGGAAATTTGGCCGAGTTGCCCATGTTCAGTCGCAAGACTTCCTTGTCTCTTCGAACATCATGGATGACAACGGGACCTGATTGGTAGGCGATTGCGAGGAGGGACAACGCTGGACTTGGCTGCAGCGCCGTTACTGGACCGAAGTTTGATGTTGGTGGGAGGAGCGTGTAGAGCAGCTTGGCGGTGCTCAGGTTCCATATCTCCACAGACCCGTCACCCCTGCCTAGGAATATCTTATTCAGGTACGTTGGCATTGTACAGATGCCTCCGGAGAGTGGAGCTGACGATGCGCCGTGAAGAGTAGTATAATGCTCCAAAGTGGTAGACTTCCAGATCTCGATCGAAGTGGAGCAGCATCCGACGATCCATTCACCAAACGCAACGATCTGTGTTATGTTCTCTCTCATCCTCCTAGGCAGTTCCAGTTCATCTACCTTTTTTCCGCGCTGAAACAACCACACACCACGTGCAGATTTCGAGCCCAGACCGCCCCATGCTGCAATTACGAATTGTTTCCATGCCAAAGTTGCCGTGATATTCTCTAGAGTCTGTGGTCTTGTAATGAAAACGATATTCAGGCCCTTCTTCAAATCGTACGTTTGGAGCGATCTGCCCACGGAGGTGGTGATTTGGAAAGTGGTCTTCCCGAGAGGAAGAGTGGTGAAGGGCACTTCTGTAGGAGAAACGAGGCCGACAGTCTAGAATATCGGGTTGGCTTAATAGAACTCAAAGATTCCATACCAAATCACTTACTCGGAAGGGCGCAAATATCTTCGATCGATGCACAAGCGGTGCAGTACGTTTCTGGCTGCTGGTGTCGAGCTTCTGTCGCTTCACTATCGGGCCATTGGGAGCAGCACCAAGCACCCTGGGGGCTGGAATCTCCATGATACCAGTAATTCGGCAGCCTCTGGCGAGATAAAGACGTAGTGCAGTCCGAGGTGCAATCGCAAAGTCGGAAGCTGCGGTGGGAAAAAAATTAGCGGCGATGAGATAAGATTAGATGCATCTCGCCGCATTGGCACCCCCGCGCTAGCAATCGGCGCAGGGACCAAGTGAATGCTAGGTTGGCCGCTGTCCTTGCAGACCGAAGATTCTTTTTGGTGACAGGTCTTTATCTTCGAAGCTATCTTCGGTACAATCGAAGATGCAGATGCTAATGGGCTATCTTGTGTCGAGAAATAATTATTCGTGTGACATTTCCAATTGTGGTTCTCCGATATGCTGGTCTCATTCTCTGATATCGCTTCGGTCCTGGGAGAAAGACCTTAGTGACGCATCAACTTCCAGGGGTCGCATAGGATATAAAAGAATGCAGCCTCAGATCTCGACTCCGTCGAATGCTTCACCCTGTAATTCCCTCTGAATTCTGGATGATTGCAGCAACTCACTCATTGTCTCTCCCATAATGGCGTCATTGTCCTGAATCTCGGAAATTCGCTTGCAGGAAAAAGCAATCCTGAACCCCCAAACCCTTCCGTCAGCGTGGGTGGCCTTTACATATGGAGGGACTCTCGCGCACCGTCAGTGCAGAATCCCAGACATCATGGACGAATGCGCACCTACTGGCGTCAGGGACAACGTCCCCAGCTTCGAGCCGAAAGGCGAGATCGTCCGAGGCAGAGACAAGCGGTTCCAACGCTGAGCGCGCCTCAGTGTCAATGCCTCCACCCTCGTCCAAATCGATAGCGAAACAGTTCCCATCGCGGCCGGCCTCGAAGGCCTCCGACAACAGCGTCTTCGAGCATGCAGGTCCTTCCAAGAGTGGGTGGGCCATCGACGAGTCCAACACGACACCCACCCTCGAGGGCGGACGCCATGCAAGTCTCGCGTCGACGCAGACGCTAATGTTGCCCGAAGCCTACCGTCCACCTAGGTCTGAGGGCGAGCCGGAGTCGAATCGCATGTCTTTCTCGTCGCTCTATTCATTGGGCTCTGCCATTTACAACACCACCCGCGGAATTAGCGGGCCGAGCTCAGTGACGGGATCAGAACCGGAAGGCGTGAGGGTGGAAGGTATGAGGATGGAAGGCCCGTCACAGGGGACCACGACTGCCACTTCCTCGCTCTCTATCACCACGTCTAGCCAGAATGGCAGCCTCGGCCCCAAGCTCTCGCCCACCCAATTGCTCTTTCCCAAAGACCAATCGACCCACGCTGGACTGCCCACCACCCCGCACAGTGGCCCTACCTACCTCTCTACCTCTCCCCAGCTCAGTCAACTGCCCACCTCCAGCCCAAACCACAGCGCTCGGCGCTCCCGAAGCCGCACAACCGCCCAGCGCCGCATCAGCGGAAGCACGGGGGCAAGCAGCAGTCCTGGGAGCAGAGACATGAAAGAGCCCAAGAAGCCATCACGTGGCATTATCGGGGTGTGTGCGCTCGAGTCCAAGGCGCGAAGTAAGCCTGCGCGCAACATCTTTGGAAAGCTCGTCGAAGAGTTCGAGGTCAAGATCTTTGGAGACAAGATCATCTTGGACGAAGACGTAGAGAATTGGCCCGTCTGTGACTTCCTGATTTCGTTCTTCTCCGATGGTTTCCCCTTAGACAAGGCCATCTCATATACTCGCCTGCGCAAACCCTTCTGTGTCAATGACCTGCCCATGCAGCAGGTGCTGTGGGACCGCCGTCTTTGTCTGCGCATCCTTGACAAGCTGAGTGTTCCGACTCCCAGACGAGTCGAGGTGAATCGCGACGGGGGCCCGAAACTGCAGTCTGCTGAGTTTGCTAAAGCTCTGTTTGACCGAACCGGAGTCAGTCTGCCTGGCCCCAGTGATGGCACCGGCGGCGGCTTTCCGCTGCCCAAGAAGGTCGAGCTCCTCGATGACGGTAACACAATCCGTGTTGATGGAGTGTCCCTCACGAAGCCTTTTGTTGAGAAGCCGGTGAGTGGAGAAGATCACAACATCAGTATATACTACCACAAGAAGGAAGGTGGCGGAGGCCGAAGGTTGTTCCGCAAAGTGAACAACAAGAGCTCGGAAAAGGATGACAAGCTAGATGTGCCAAGATCTATCACCGACCCCACAAGCAGCTTCATCTACGAGCAATTCCTGCACGTCGAGAATTCTGAAGATGTCAAGGCATACACCGTTGGTCCCAATTTCTGCCACGCAGAGACCAGAAAATCACCAGTCGTTGACGGTCTCGTCAAACGCAATCCGAGTGGCAAGGAAGTTCGATATGTCACTAAACTTAGCGAGAGCGAGGCTGCTATGGCTTCCAAGATCTCAGAAGGGTTCGGCCAACGAGTGTGCGGTTTCGATCTTCTTCGTTGCGGCGACCGAAGTTACGTCATCGATGTGAATGGGTGGAGCTTCGTCAAGGACAACGGGGATTACTACGACAAGGCAGCGAATATCTTGAAGGAAATGTTCATCAAGGAGATCCAGCGTAAGGAAAGAAAGAAAGTCCAATCCGCACCTGTTGACGCCCAAGAAGGACCAGATAAATCAACCGTCTCAAGAAAGAATACGACCAGCCATCGCCAAACACTAAAGGGTATTTTCAAATCTCCTAGTATGTCAAAACTAGCGGGACACCATCCCCATATCCCACATCTCCGTTCGGGGCATCATTCAGGTAACATACCATCGTCTCCAGATGCATCGCTAAGTACCACTCCCATCACAGCTTCACCTACCTTCGAGAAGCCATGTGCGCCAGCGATGTCGAATAGTCTCAGATCAGAATCAGATCTACTCCTTCCACTTACCGTTCGTGACAAGGAACTCGCTTTAGACATCCAGGGGTCTCATTCTGATGACCACATCAACGTACCCCCACCTGCCTCGAAGGCGCAGTGGAAGTTGAAAGGGGTGGTTTCCGTCATCCGGCACGCCGATCGTACACCGAAGCAAAAGTTCAAATACACATTCCACACGAAGCCTTTCGTGGATCTGCTGATGGGACATCAAGAAGAGGTTTTACTCATAGGCGAAGCTGCTTTACAGAGTGTGAGTGACGCAGTCAAGCTTGCCATGGAGGAAGGAGTTGAAGATCCCAAGAAGCTACGAGAGTTGAAGATATATCTTAACAAAAAAGGGGCATGGCCAGGAACCAAAGTGCAGATCAAGCCCATGTTTCGAAAGAGGAGAAAAGAGGAACTTCTCCCGGGTGACCCTCACATCGAAGCCTCACCGGAGAGGCTCAAAACTGGGTCTTCATTCGCCGAGCCTATCGAAACAAGTGGCGATTGGGCTCAAAAACGAAGTGACTCGATGTCCGGCGTTACATTGTCGCGTATATCTGCGGCGGAGAACAACCTCATTCTCGATAAGTTGCAACTGATTATCAAATGGGGAGGCGAGCCAACTCACTCTGCACGCTATCAGGCGCAGGATATGGGCGCGAACTTCAGGAATGACCTGCTGCTGATGAATAGAGATGTCCTTGATGATGTTACTATTTTCAGTAGCTCCGAGAGGCGCGTTACTACAAGTGCTCAGATCTTTGCCGCGTCATTCCTGGAAAAGGACCAATATCCGGCAGAGAACATTCAAGTCCGGAAGGATCTTCTGGACGATTCCAACGCTGCCAAGGATGAGATGGACAAGGTGAAGAAAAAGCTCAAGACTCTACTGCGCGAAGGCGATAAAGCTCCTCCTCAGTTCGCTTGGCCGAAGGATGTCCCGGAACCCTACATTGTGGTCAGGCAGGTAGTGGAGCTGATGAAATTTCACCAGAGACTCATGAATCACAACTTCAAGAAGATTGAGTCTGGGGCAGTGTCATCCCTCAGTGCAATTGCTAGTCCTGCTGGAGACGCCTCCTCTTCAGGACACATCAGTCACGCATTATCTAAAGCTACTACCGTAAACCAGATTCAATCTCGATGGTGTTGTAATGAGGGTCCGGAGCTTTTCAAAGAACGTTGGGAGAAGCTGTTTAAAGAATTTGGAGATGCTGACAAGGTTGACCCGAGTAAAATCTCTGAGTTATACGATACAATGAAGTTCGACGCTCTGCATAATCGCCAGTTCCTCGAATGGGTCTTCACTCCAGATGCAAGCTTCCTCGACGAAAACCCTACAGCCGAAGGATCCAGATCAAGGCAATCGTGGACGGATATACAAGGGAAACCACCACCAGTCCAAACAGAAATACATCCGAAGGCGGACCAAAAGGAGAATCAGGCTGTCGAAAAGCCACCAGAGCGTGCAAATATTGCGCACCGAATGGGTTTTAGACGCAAATCTGAGATCACTATGAAACCCGCACCATCACCTCTCTACCCGCACGAGTCGTACTTCAAGCTGTACACGGGCCTGAGCAATGCTGCATCGAAGGGACAAGTAGATGCTCGGCTCGTCAAGCTCCGCGAAATGTATCACCTCTGCAAAGTTCTTTTCGACTATATCGGTCCGCAAGAGTACGGTATCAAGTCTAGCGAAAAGCTTGAGATTGGCCTCTTAACATCTCTCCCTCTGTTGAAAGAGATTGTTGAGGACCTGGAAGAGCTACAAGCCTCCGACGCACCCAAATGTTTCTTCTACTTCACCAAAGAGTCACATATCTACACTCTCCTGAACTGCATCCTTGAAGGCGGCATTAAAACGAAGATCGAACGCAACGCTATCCCTGAACTCGACTACCTCTCTCAAATCGGATTCGAGTTGTACGAGTCAGAAAATTCTACGTCGGATGACGAGCCCAATTCCTTCAATTATAGCATTCGCATCACGTTATCGCCTGGTTGTCACGTTTTTGCACCACTTGATGTGTAAGTATTCCCATTCACTACTATTCCGTAGGCATCTCGCTTACACGCTCCCACTCGCAGACAACTAGACTCAAGACACATGATCGGCTTCTCCCCGCGCCGTAGCCTCACTGCCCACCACGACTGGAAAGAAGTGCTAGAAACTTTGCGCGCAAAATTTCACACGTATGTCAACGCTTTTTCCTTTCAATCCTTTCAGTTCTTCCAGTCGAGCCTTATTTCCTATGCGATTTTTCTAGGCTTTCCCTGACGCACAAACTAACTCGTTCCACCAGCGTTAAATTGCCCAAATCCTTCGTTGCTATTAATCTCTCTGAGAAGGTGCCAGATGCCTTTCAAGAGCGGGAGAAGAGCGAGAAAGGGGAGGAGAAAGAAGGTGAAGGGGTGAGGGATAAAGATGTCGCTGAGTATAGTTTGCTGTCACCGGATTTGGAAGGTTAGGTGGTCTGCATTACATACACGGATGAAAGGAAGGAATGGTGGGTGGCATTCTGCGAGGTTTTTCTCTATATTGGTTTAGAGGTTAGCATGGTGGACTTAGATCCTATATTAGAGATAGAACGGGTGGCTTTGAAGTGCTAGCCAGTTAAAAATCGGCGAAGTTTTGGTCTATAGACTTCAACTTGCACTCTTCTTAAATTAGATCATAAATTCGATATCGACTACGACGAAGACATCTTATACTCCACTCTTCTAGGGAGTTCTATTAACCTCTTGCACCCATCTGAATGTGCATAGAATTTCTGAAGCTACTATAGATTTTAGGGTGAGTTAGCATCCTAATATGTATCTTCTAAGTTTCAGCAAGGTAGGAAAGCCTATTCTATAATCGTTAGGGACGTACTAGGGACAAGGTTTGCTAACGTTGTACCCTAAGCAAAAGAATATCTATAACGCGATGAATGCTAAAGGATACGTGCTTTCCTGAAAGCGCAAACAATGTTCTTGTTTGTGACTCCGGGAGAGTAGGCGACAAGAGCGGATTACTAGATATGTGTTCATAATTTAGTGCGATCTTAGTAGAAATAAAAGGGATTAGCAGAATACGCGATAAATGTAGTTTTAGAATACCGGAATTAGAGAGAGGCGACAGGGGTAAGTAACGTATCCTTCAGCTTCCATCTCAACTCTAACAACGTGTCAGATGCTACAAGCGTTAATGAAGCTTTATGATATCAGAAGAATTAGCAAACAGGACCTCATCAGTATCCTTAGCTCCCACCCCTTCGCCATCCTCGCCTTCCTCTACAGCTTCAATCGCAGCATCGAAACCATCCCTTTCAAGGCTCTTCCAAGAACATGGCCGGCCCTAAATTCCCATCTCCCAATACCAACGGATAAATGGAAACTTATACTACACTAATCGCCTGTTCCCTAGGTGCGAGAAGCGGAGATCAGCTCCCAATTGCAGACTTGGACGGAATTCCACACCGATCTTACAGAGACAAATCTTCAGCGGTAGAAAATCAAGTTTAGAATGAGCAATCGGCTTGAGGGAGGCTGTATATGGCCATTTGGAATGCCTGGAGGCAGCTGCGAGTACCTCATTGTGATGGATTTCAAGTTCGATCCGCAGTATGACTTTCAGGCGAAGATTCCTGAACGAGAGGAAAGTTTAGACGGCGGACTCTATTTCAAAGCTTTGACGGAGGATACTGGCACTGAGGAAGAAACGAGAGCTGAATTCACAATAAGATTTAGATGCTCAAAATTCTTCGAGCACGTTAGAAGCAATCGAAATGTACATGAACGATGGATCTATAAGTAGCGGTGAATCTGGTCAAACCGAGGAAGAACCCACTGCCATCGTTGTCGAGGAATCGCGAGACAACAATGAGGCGACGCCAGCAACAAGGCATTCAAGTCAACCATTACCGACGCCACTGGAGACACCTCTACCGACACTAACTGATGAACTCACGGGAGAAAGACTTAAGGAGGCCAGGCGCACCTTGCTTTGAAATTATGGTGGCATTGCTAAGTTAGTGGGACTGATTCTTGTTCCGTAGAATGTCCTCCACTTCGACGCGAAATTGGGCATGCCACCAGTTCCCAATCATGGTGTTTAATAGAACGTAGTACTGTTCCTACTGTTACTGATAGTAACAATCTCTTAGCAGTTAGAACGAAAGTGAATTGCCTTCTGTTACTGTACAGTTAATGAGGCTATAGTTACTGCAGTAACTGCCTATACTATCCATTGTTAGTATAGAACAGTGAAGTAACTCCTTAAGTATGCTAAACTCCACGTAGCACTTGCAGCTTGTAGCTAGTTTAACACCTCACAAGCTTTTGTTGTCTTAAGAAGTTAAAAAGTGCCTCTAGGAGCTCTTAGAGCTCTATAATTAAGGCCTTATCCTTTAGTGTTTCTATTCTTACAAGTCTTCTAAGGACTCTCGCCTTAACAGCCTAAATTTTAACATTAAGTAGGACAATATCTGGACTTGCGACCTCTAGCTAAAACCTAGGGGCCTTAGATATTATGTAAAGAGTTTAATTGCAGCTATCGCCTTCCACAATCTCAGAGTTAAACAATCTCCGCGACTATATTGGCAAGATTGTGTCAAAATTAAGCCATCTAGAGCCTCTAGTAACACTAGTTACTGCAGTAACTGCACTAAATAGTAACTACTATTAATTAACTTAGCAGTACTTGTTACTGCCTATAAGGCTATTTTAATTCACTCTTTTTGTAAGAACAAAACCCTATTGCTGCTAGTAACGCCTTAAAAACACTACTGATAGTAACAGTTACGTTCTATTAAACACCATGTTCCTAATACCTAGGTTGAGCTTGAGTTTTGGGTTAGGATTCGCGCACGGCAGCCCGGTTGCGGTTACTTGAAGCCCTCCACTATGGAGGGCTAGAGCTGGAGAAAGAGAAGGAGAAACGGCAGGCTCTACCGCCAAAGTGAAGGATTTCCAACTATGCTCGACCGCCTAATTTTCTTCTTCGGCATTCGGGCGAAGATAGTGTCCCCCGATAGAGAGGGCAAAACATCCGCCCTCAACGGTGTTCTAGTTACAGAAGGCTTTGTAGCCCTACCAAGCCACTATCTACTAGCGCTTATACATTTCTACATCATATGGCTGTCCCAAAAGTTTCACACCAATAGAACACTCTTCCGCAGCACCACCAGCAGGCTTACGGGCTGACAGATGTTAAATAAAAGTAAAAGGCCGAAGTAGAATACCAGGCTGTAGAGTGGAGCGTAGAGACACTTTCACTTAAGGAAGGTTATAGCCCCTTTCTAAAGGTTTTTTATAATCTTAATTCTATAGCGTAGCTTGTATACTTACAAGGAGCAAGTACAGTTGAGCTGAATGTGGACCCGTCGTTGTCGTACTTTAGTAGACAGACTCAAAAAGTTACCTAAGCAGTGTTCAAGAGAATATTGGAGGCGGATTTACCAATTTAACACCCGGGTTGTAACGCAGGCCTTCGCCGAAAACTCGCCCTATTGCGCTTCGTAGTACATTCTCATACGTATTTCGAACCATGTAAGATCCTGCCCGGGACAGGGGTTGTGACCTAATCCAAGCGGATGTATTGCTATTGGGCCGTGGTTGGCGACGGCTTGAGGTCTCCTCGGTATTCAATGAGGAGGGTCGGTTCATTAGTCCTCCCACCAGTTTATGTCGAGCCAACTCGTCCGACTACAGACCACCAGAGTCGACGAGGGCTGATTACCATATGAACTCTGGTACGTCGCGTCGAAATCAGTCTAGCCCTGTCGATTGGGCAGCATGGTATTAGGCCCAAAGGCCACAACCTTCTAATTATTCCAAAACATACATCTGGATTTATCAAGATGCCGTAAGTATTAAATACCTGGTGAATGATGAAATCAAGCAACTTCCCATTCTAAACAAAAGCTAGTAGAGCCACGTCCAGCTGGCTGAATTGTAAATCAATCCAATGATGTTCCTAGGCTAATGGGAAGTTGTGTGCGGTTTCAAGGTGACCCCAAACGTCAATTCCACCAAGCGTAATTACAGTTGCCTTAGATATGACGCATCGACGATCTCGTGAAGGGAGAGCCCCAAAGAAATCAGTCAGGTGAGGCATGACTAGTTGTTTATATCGAAAGAATCTACTTCCAAATTAGCTTTGTAACTACGCATCAAGGGCGATTATAAAGCCAGACTGCCAGCAACAATGTAGTGCTTTCCAGGTTGAACCCGATTGTCTTTCCCAATCCTTGACTGATGCTCATCTTGCAGATAGAAAGTGCTTGTACATATAGAGACAGTCTTCGTTATTAAGCAGAGGTTGGCATTTGTAACGCCGGGAGTGAGAACTAGACTGCCAAGTGCAGCATTAGAGTCATTAGCGTCGTAGATATGGCTATCCCGTCGGAATAAACCATTGATTAAAGGCATAATAGATCTTGGCGGTATCCAGAGGGTTAAGGGTTTCAGACGGAGAGGAGACTTTTTCGGGGTGGATGACATGGTAGAGGCTTAGGGCGCAAAGGATGCATGAGGGTGACCGATGGCAGACGGTAGATGGAAGGTGCAGGCTTGCAATTAGCAAGAAGTTCGAAGACAAAAGAAAGTACTTTGTAGGTGCAGGAGAGAGAAGTTTGTTGGGGTTGTACATAGCGAGCTCATGGGCACTAACTAGATTTGGGGAGTCTATCCAAAAGTCCGAGTCTTGATGTTGACGTTTAACCAGCGTTATTGGAGCCTCAAAGAGACAAACAGAAATGCATCGCACTGAGAAACTGAGGATTTGCCGAGACGAACTAACGAGTCACGTACAAGTCTGTCTGGCCGATCTCCTGAGCATTGTACAAGATGATCCAGATAGGTGAGAAGTCGAACCGATGCAGGAAACATCACGAAGTATTACCCTTAGGCAGTCGTCAAGACACCCGAGAACCCTGAGTGCTGAAATGATGTGATCCAATCGAATTCAGTTGCCTTCAGATGGTGACGACTTCCTTGTGGACTAGAACCAGAGGAGTACGACGCACGAAGAGCTATGTTTGAGACGGCGAAATCGATTACGCAGTACCACCTCATCAAATACGAACGACATATGACACCTGTTGGTGATGAACACCCATCGGATGGTTCAACGCAGGCACCCACATTCGTTTCCAGTCGAAACGGGAGTCGCGAGAAATATAAAGCTGCCTAATCGGCTCCACACACAAACGTCTCCACTCGGGTTCTCGTAATTCCGCCGCCGGAACGAAAAGCAATAATTCAATTTCAAGTCGAGCGATCAAAATTTCGCTCGCCATTACAAGTACCCAAATACCCATGGCGATGGTGCATGTGATAAACGGTGGAACGGCACGGCGGAGGCTAAAATGTGCTTCTCTGCTTCTTTTGTGCTTCCGTGCAGGGTTGTTACCCCAGATGCTGCAAATCTCCCGGTAGTAACCTCATCTACATCACCGGCGTAGATGAAAAGATATGCGGGGAGATTGTGTACGACGGGAAGAGATTCGCAAGAGCCTGGGAAAATAGATGAAGGCTCTGGGGTGCAGATGGTTCGAGAAGCCTCACCAATGCTTTTTGGTCAGGCTATTGTGCATCGGGTTATCTATTAAAAATAAAATATTGGAAAGCGTGACTGAGAAAAAAAAGAGACATTGGACGAAGTACTAGTCGACGGCCTAATTGGGTGCTGATCTCATGACAGTGCTTTTGGTGCCACCAGCTGAGTGAGGGCTGTGTCTTGCTGCGTTACGGTGTGCTCCAGCGCTGAGGTGGAGGTCTGCGAAAGCGGGCCCGCCGCGCCTTTGTTTGAGATGGCTCAGCCCTGGCCGGCGGCGCTCTATCGATCTTTGGATAAGGGCCTCGAAACAAAGACGGCGCGGCCATTCTGAATTGTATGATGTAAAGGAGCACCCCTGAATTTTGCTGAAGGCGGTGCGATGGCACGAAGGATGGCAGAGAAGTCCGTTGTGAAACACAGAGTGGGCCGAGAATGGTAGTTGGGAAGGGAGGCCGACGGATTCGCGGGCGGGTTGCATTATTCACCCCTAAATTAAGAATAATATGTGCGCCACGCTACGCCGCATCAGGCAAGCGCCTTCGCCCCCCTGCAGCCGCTGCCTTGAACATAAATGCCACCTGTCCTCACCGCACTGCCCGAATATCATCCCCCAAACTCCCAGCATACCATCCCCCCATCCACATGCATCTCAAAGGCAGTCAAGCACCATGGGGGACGAACAATATCTCGGCCAGTCTTTCGCACACTCTTTGACACAAAGCATGCTCTCAGCACACCAATCTACTCCACCACCCACCATCAACCCAGCCTCGACCACGACAATCAAAATGGAGGACATTTCCATGTCCTTTCCCCACTCAGCACCTCTCGCACCACCCGCATCAAACCTATCGCAAACGCCTCCGCCCAGCTCGTCTGAGTCCAAACCAGTCAAGAAGCGGAAGTCGTGGGGCCAGGTGCTCCCCGAGCCCAAGACGAGCCTCCCCCCTCGGAAGCGCGCCAAGACCGAAGATGAGAAGGAGCAACGCCGCATCGAGCGAGTCAAGCGCAACCGCTTGGCTGCCCATAACTCTCGTGAGCGCAAGCGACAAGAAGTCGAGCTGCTCCTAGACGAGAAGAAGAGCCTCGAGCAGGAATTGGCCGTCGCCCGTGAAGCCATGAGGAAGATGGCGGCCGAGCTCCGATCCTTCAAGGAACTTCACCCCAATGATGACCCAACCCAAAGGTTCTCCAGCAGCACCCCGTCTGGCGAGGACTACGAGTCAGTCCTCCACTCCTCAGAAACCATCTGCCCCCGCCAGACATCCTTCCCCAGCCCAGTATCAATGGATTCCCTTGACTCCCCTTCCCGCGATGAGTCTTCCCAGCCTGATACGCCCGGATACACGGAGAGCGTTAGTACTGAGTTCGACCCGACACGATATCCTGCAGCGATATTGTGCGACCTGCTGTGTCAGTCGAACTCACGCCAGCGTTCCCTCTCCGCGACGTCAAGCCAACAACAACAGGCCTTCCAAATGACCCTAGCTTTTCTTGTACTTTTACAAGCGAGCCTACTGCCTTCGATGAGAAGCCTATGGACTTGCTTTTTGACTTCGAGTCATTCCCAGACTCTAGCCTGGCTACTCAACCAGACGTTTTCTCTTCAACCGTTTTCCAAGACTTTTCCTCATCAAATCCCTACGGCCTTTCTGACCAGTTTGGAGCAAAGAATTTCGACTTGCAGAATGACTCGAGCGCTCTCGTTAGCGACGACGTTCTCGTATTGGAAGTCTAGCTCCAAATGTGTCGCTCGGCCCGCAGGTACGATGGGTAGGGTCGGGCAGATAGGTATGGAGGGAAGCAGACGGTTACGATCACATCGGGTTAGATGGCGAACAAGGCGTCGGGGCATTCTTTTATGGCAACAACAGATCAAACGATCAATGGAGTGATCTGGGTTGGAAAATCATGACAAACCTTATAGCGGGAGTTCAATGGAGTCATAACGGGCAATGGACATCATCTCCATTTCATCTCATTCTCAAAGTGTTGGGCAGAAAGGCCTTGGAATATTTATTCCTATGGCAGTCAGGCAGATACATTCTACATACCATCGACTGGTGTGTCCTATGTAGCCATAATGCACCAAACATTGCTTCGTATCACTTATTGCTTCCACACGTATGATCCCGTGAAATCGTGAACTAGTCAACGCTCTTCACCTCGAGTTAATTTCTACACAAGGGGAGAGTTTGCACAGGAAGATGTTCGTTTCCATTTTCACTTGTGCCCACCTCCTGTGCGCTCTGACTTGTCAAAGTTCTCACTTCCTCACTCCTTTGTCAAACTCATCTTTCCTGGTTATCTCCCTGGCTATCTCATGAATTCCCCTCAGTAACCTCTTCTACAACCTTTGCTTGTTAGAATCATTTCCCGTCCGTCCCTGATCCGTGTGTCCGCCCACACCCACACTTCTTCCGCCGCTGGCATTCATTCCTTCAATAGCTAGAGCGAATAGATAATTAGTCGACTTACTTCTCATTCCTATGCGCGACTCAATTCCTCCAGTAGGAACAGAACGGAACCTCAACTTACTAAATCCTTTATCTAGCTCCAGCGGCAGGGCAACATTGTTGGCTCTCTCGAGTGTGGGCTATTCAGGCCAGAGACCAGCGTCAGTGAGCTTATCGCTGTTGTCTTGCCCTCGCCTTGTAACATAGGCGGGGCGGAAATCAACAAAACTTTGATGGAATAGGGTTCAGGACTGTGAAAAGGATGCCATGCCACAATGTAATTCTTCCACCCGCCCTCAGTTGCTCGCTCCATCCTATATCACCCAGACATCAAATCCCGTTCCTCTTACATCCGGATTCCTAGCTCTCATTTGTGAATCCTATCTGCGCCTCCACTCAAATCCTCCTCTGGCTAACCGCAGGAACAGGAAGTGGCGGGGTAGTTCAATATAGTTGAAAGAGGCGAGGCGAGGCTAGACTAGGCGGGCAAGGAGAATGGAAACTCCAAACCTAGACCAAAATCCGCTGAATTAGGAGTAGGAATATGGAGGAACAGGAGGAGATACAGGGAGAGGGAGGCGAGGTCAGTTGGCAAGGGCTGTGGCCTTAAAACTAAGGCTCACACTCGTGCGAGACAAACGAGAACATAGGTAGTGAGGATGAAAAGAAAGTTTTAATGCTGGGCGGAGCACGAACTGATATGGAAGGAACTTACATTGCCACCTTTACCGTGAACGAGATTTTCGCCCGTTTCAGTGGATCCGCGGTCTGAGGAGCCGTCACCATTTCGTGGCATGTTGGGTGGTGGTCTGGTCGGGTTGTTGGGCCTGAGTTGTTTTCTCAACGTTGAATGCGGCTCGATGGATATGTCAAAGCGGATGAATTGCTGTAGGGGATTTTGCGTAAGTCTTGATCCAAAATGATGCGTTTAAATACGTCTTCCGTTACATTTTCTATAACTATTTGAGGCTCGGTTGACGTCACTTTGATGCAATTCCTACTTACTTAGAGGAAGGACCATCACCCTGTTTACGACAACGAGTATTCATTGGGTACCACACATCTGCCATGGTAGGTAAGTATTCACAGTTTAGGGAGCCAAATTCGTGGAGAAGTTGCCTTTAACGATGAAGAGTTGGAGACTAACCGAACCGAACCGAACTCGCATTCCTCATTTCTATGTATTTTACCCGTTACCCACGAATTGACACCACAAATGCATTACTTGCCATAATTCTTAGGCTGACTTGGAGCAAATGCTGATGGTCGATGCTAGAGATCACCACCCATAGATACGCAAACTCACGAGGAGAACTGCTGTTTCATTCATCCATCCCCAGGCGCGACGAAGTGAGAAGCTTCGAGGACTCGAGAACGGCCGCTCAAGGAAGAGCCAAGGTAGAAATGTTGGCGGAGGTTTGGAGTCCCTCAACTAGCTCAGCCATGCAGAGTCCGGTTCCTGGAGCCTGAGAGATTCCCCATGCGCCGTGGCCAGCCGCGACGAAGACTCCACCGTCAGCACCTCCACGAGTCTTGAAACCGGCACCAAGTTTCTCATCAGGAACGCGAGAGACGATTGGACGGCCGCTGGATGTCACTGGGCGGAAGCACTACAAACAAAGTAAGTATGCATAACGTGATCCAATGAGAGTTCTGGAAAGCATACTAGAGCCTCCCTCATTACTTCCAGACCCTTACCATCTTCTGGATCGCCCATCATTGCCGTTGCACAGTCCTTCAATTGTTTGATAGCCTCAGGAATGATGTCAACTTCGGTGGCCACATCCGGTAAAGCAATCTGTGTGCTGTTGAGCCCAGCGATGTAGATCTCCCCTCCGATTCTTGAGAACAGCTCCGGAGAGAAACCAAGCGTGTCGGTAGCAAACACAGCGTGACACGTCTCTGCGGCATCCCCCTTGTAGAATGGGTTCTTAAGCAGGAGGGAGTGGCCAGCCAACGAGGCAATGGGAATACGGGTGGTTGCTTTTGGGAAGAGGGTAGCGAAGATCTTGGGCGACCAGGCGCCTGCCGTGATAATAATGCGGGTGCAGGGAACTGGCTGTGGTTAGGCCGCTGGTCATTTCACGCTTAACAACGTCCCTACCTTCAGTCTCGATGCCATCCTTACTAATACGAATGCCATTCAATTGGTTGTTCTCGTCTTTGGAGACCGAAATGGCTCGAGCAGGCTGATGAAGCTTGACGCCGCGCCTCACGCATTGGTCAAGGAGGAACTCGCAGAAGCGCAGCGGGTCGCTGTTGTCACGTCAGCCCCTGGTTCATCCTGGGAGGAGGGGGAAAAAGTACATTTGGGCGGTGCTATTGTCCCGACTGATAACCTCGAGGCTTCCGCCGTCTGTCTTCCTCAGCCAGAGAGGTCCAGCAGAGTCCATCGGTGGCCTGGAGCCCGCAGCCTGAGCGCGACTGGTGCCATTGCGCAGAAAGTCCTCCCCGCTCCCACCCACGGCGGCCTCGCTGTCCTGGCTCAATGAGGTGCCGGTGCTCAAGCTAAAGCCCCACGTCTTCCTGCCATTGTTCTGATCGGCAAGTTCCTTGTGAAGCCGGAAGGAAAGCGCACCGAGGGGCGCGACGGAAGGTGCAAACCCTGTGGCGCCATCAACGGACAGGCTCGGAGGTGGGGTATGGATGTCGCGAATGAAACGGGCAAATGGGGCACTTACAGTCTGCAGCAAGGAACCCGCCGGCCAGACCAGACGCGCAAAAGAAGAGCTTTGGCGACGTGTCGACCAGGTGGATGCTGCTAGGTGGCGTCTTGGATGACTGCGAGAGGTAGTACGCCGTCGACAGGCCCACGATGCCGGTCCCGAGAATGACCGTGTTGCTCATCTTGGGCGGGGCAGCGAGGGGATGAAGTTGGGATGCCGAATGGCGCAGACTGCTGTTGGATTGCGAGGGGGCTATAAGGGCTGGGTGAAGGCAATGCCGGCATAAGAGTGAGCTGCCATCGTATGAACTTGGTGATGGCGACTGAGAAATGTCATACGATTTCCGATTTTCAGGGCCGGTTTGGTGTCGCGTTTCTGGAAACCGCGAACGCCCAGCCGCCCAGGGCAGCGCATGACCACACCATCCTGATTACAGACGTGACACAGACCGCATTGGCTCTCTCCACCACGGAACAAACAAAAGATACTGCCTGTCTATTCTTCGCATGCGCTATCGATTGACCAAAACTCCCCCAACACACCACTCCCTCTGCTATCCAACAAAGCAGCCCCGCTAGACACAGAGTGTGACATCACCTGATTCATCCTCCTAGGCTCCTGTTCCTGATTCTAATGGACAATGCGACCTCTTCCTTTTCCTTCTCGGCGAAGTCTTCGCTGAAGGCTTCGGCCTCTTCCTCCGAGAGACTTCCGTGCAACTCGCCGGCCCTCTCTTCCCTCGTTTCTCCGTCGTGGAACATCGGGGAGCGTGCATAGGCACGGATGATATCCTGCAAGGTTTCTTTCTCATCAACGACAGAAATCTGGTCGATTGGGACACTTGGATGGTCCAGTTCTCTGTGCGCAAAATGCTCGGAGCTTGAGTTAATTGCACCCCATGCTTCCCTGGCCGAGGAGTTCTCCGAGGATATGATCTCTTGAGCGCTTTCAACTAAGCCATCGACAACATATGGTGGGGGGGAGAATTCATCGTGGGCAATTGGAGCTGCATCGTCTTCAGAATCGTAGCCGGTTCCATCATACAGGCCGGTGTTCCGACCCCAGGTGCTTCGACGGCGTTCCAATCCACATTGATCATCATCTGCGGAGCTCGTCCCGTCAAGCGCGAGATACGCCGAAGCGCAGCCATTGCTCGCCTCCAATGACTTCCTGGCCTCTGGGTCAAGGATAAAGGGTTCACCTTCGGGGTCTGGGAGCGGAGCAGTGTCAGGGCTGATGGGTTCCAGCTTGCCAGAGATTCCATCAGGGCCGGTGCCCTCAATGTGCTCTCCGTCCAGTAGCTGTAACATACTGACTGTGCCTGGGTCTACATTGATAGAAGTACCAGAGCTGTTTGTGGTAGCAGCGCTGTCAACAAGTTTGTTCTTTTGGCAGTCGCTGTTCACCATCGGCGGGAAGTAGCTCCCCCAATTTCCTCCTTTGACTGGAGTCGCAGCATCAGATGAAGAAACGATGTCAGGTTGGTGAATACCGTCAAGCGTAAGGTTCGTTCCGGGCATTGGAGTCGGGTTCGGATCAGCGAGTCCCTCCATCTGAATGCTCTGGTTTGAGAGCATACTAGCGGCACTTGAGCGGGAACCATTTAGGATAGATTCTTGAACTGATGCCTTCTGGAGTGGAGCAGGTGATACAGGAACCCCTCCGACTGAGAATAGATCTTGCCCAGGAGGTGTATTAAGAGGCTTTGGTGTAATCTGCTTTGAAGAGGTGTTTGGGACTGCGATGGGGGATGAATGATGAACCTCTATTCCGGAGGAGTTGGACACATTGCGTCCATGGTCAAACATGGGCTGGTCAGGCAGAGATACCTCAAAGTTGAGTGCGAGCGCTGGGCGCGGTTTGATCTGCGGAGCCTGGTTGTTCAGTCAGGGATACCTCCTTGAGAGCAATATGTGTTAGGTGTACCAGCGGTGTTTACCACTGGCCATTAGATAACAACGTTACTTGGGGCGGGACAGCACTGGAGGAGTTCTCACCTCATCCTGGACGGATTGCTCGTTTGGTGTATTGCTCTGGTTGCTCTTATTGCTATTGTTCGATCTCATTCTCCGAAGGGAACTAAAGAACCTGCTGCGCTTAGAAGGGCTATCTCTGCTGGGAGAAGAGCCGCCATCATGGCAAAGGCCGAACTCGTCGAGCCCTGGTGATGCAGCTGGAGAGGTTGTAGAACATAACTTTCCCGCTGCCTCCGTCCTGATGTGACGTTAGTTTGTCAATCCTGAAGTGCCTGAGCCGGACTCAACAACGAGCAGTCTTGAGAGATGCTAGAAGAATAGAGTCCGGAGAGGCTCTTCTTCGTGCGAATGGCGAGGCGTTTCAGACTCATGGCTGACTGTCGGTGCTGCCCGGGAGAGGCAGCGTTGTGATGTCAGTGTAAAGAAGGCCAAGGAGGTCTACAGAGTTGAAAAGGTAAATGTTGACAGACAGACACGTGCAGAAGTGGCGTCAACGTTCCTGACCCTGAAATAGATTGTTTTGACGGAAATTTGCAGTTATGGAAGGTGGCAGATTTTAAGAAATGGCATTCTTCGATATTAGAAGGAAGATATTGATAAACAGGAAACAGCGACTCCAGGGGAAGTGAGCCCGTCCGTCGCGGATGGCAGTGTACGTTGAGTGCTCGACAGAATATGTGATACAAAGACAGCAGTTCACTAAAGTACCTAGGTACGAAGTACAAAGCGGCCCTAGCAAGGGATACCCGGGCCTTGCGGAGGGATGAAGACGCCTGCTCTCTGCAAACCAAGAGCTTGAGTTTCCGGGACGGACTGATAGTAGATGTATGCATGGCAGTGACAACGCGGAATGGCTGAAGTTGCGAACTGAAGTCAGCAGTAGAATAGGAGTGGAAAGATGACTAATATGTTCACGTGACCTTGAAGTCCGTGCCACGTTCAAACACGTCCCGAAAGACGCGCTCCCAGCCTCAATCTCACTTCTTTCACCTCGATTTCAATCCACGCTCCAGTGCCGACGCATCTAAGGTCCTCTAGCTCAATCTCATCCACACAACCCTTTTCCCGCATCCAGCTCCTATGGCACGAGGCAGACCGTCACGAGCTGCTGCTCGTCGCAGCACGCCCGTGAGAAGCGCCGCCCTGCAACAAGACTCAGACGATGAAATGGTCGACGCTCCGGACTCGCGCGCGGAGACTCCACCACATGAAGAAGATGCTGAAACCCCCGTTCAAGAAAGTGATGGAGAAAAGGCTCCTTCCGAGCCTTCGTCACCCCCCGTTGTCCAACCCTTTCCCCGCAAAAAGCGCCTTGGTCGTCCACCCAAGAATCGTCCTCCCGATTGGAATGTTATTGAGCCCGACAATGCCTCTGAAGGTGGCACTCCTGTAAAGCGCAAGCGGGGACGGCCTGCAGGTGGAGGAGGTTTCCGAGGACGAGCTCGAGGCGGCCCATCGCATACGACCAGAGTACCGATTGACAAGGAGGGGAACATGATGGATGTTGTTAACGACGAGGTTGATTTGCCTGAGGATTCTGAAGGGGAACAGAAGGTGGACAAATTGGGAAATCTCAAAGGAGGCCGAGATTATCGTGTGCGCGTGTTCAAAATCACCGGAAGGGGCGACAGGCTGTACATGTTGTCCACAGAACCCGCTCGCTGTACGGGCTTCAGAGACAGTTATCTGTTCTTTACGAAGCACATGCAGCTCTACAAGATTATCATCGATGACTCCGAAAGGAGGGACTTGATCGATCGGGACATCATTCCACATTCCTACAAAGGCCGTGCGATTGGTGTTGTTACTGCTCGCTCTGTGTTTAGAGAGTTTGGTGCACGCATAATCATTGGAGGTAAACGCATCATCGACGACTACTATGTTACTGCCGCTAAGGAGAGGGGTGATATTGAGGGCGAAATCGTGGATCCAAATGATAAGCTGCCACCACTTGGGGAACCTTACAACAAGAACCAATACGTGGCCTGGCACGGTGCGAGCAGCGTCTACCACACTGGAGTCCCGAGTGTACCCACAGCAAATGGAAAGCCCGTGCCTGGAAAGAGAAAGGTGAACATTACGTCAGCGAACTGGCAATTCGAACATGGCCGTGCTGCAAGGTAAGTCTCCGCCCCTTGTGTTCATGGCTTTGCTTACTTTTTTTAGCCGCTTTAATTCCTCTCTTTCTGCTTTGCGAAAGGCCAACATGGCAGGAGTTTACGAACCACACACGAATTTGATGTGTTATCCAAAGATTACCCAGCCAACCCACGCACGGTGGGAAGAAATCCCGGACGACCCTGAGGTTCCCGAGATAGTCCGTCGAAATTATCTCCTTGTCGACACATACATTCAATCACCTCCGTTCACAGGCCTAGGCATCCCTGGACCAGATGGAGACTTCTGCGACGTTGGACCGAACGGCTTGCCCGATCTGGAAGAGGAAGATCTCAGGCAGATGACATCGGAGACTCGGGAGGCCTTCTTACAAGCACAACGAGAGGAATTGGAATGGAAGGAACAGTGGCGCTCAGAGAGTATAGACGGTTGTCGCGTGAAGCCCAAGATAGGATTCACAGGTGTACCGGTTTGAAGAATTATAAAAGATGTGGGAGGCTTGGGATGTAAGATATCCGTGTGTCAGGCCTGCCCTACCTGTAGGCATAATGAAATCTCGACGGTTGACCTCCATTGTAGTATGTCTGCGCTTTCCACCAATCCACATTGTACCTTAGGTATTGTTTGGCTTTTCGGACCCATTCTAGAGCCATAGCTTCCTTTGACTCGCGTCCTCATTCCCCTGTCTTCCTCGCGACCTTCTAGACGAAAACTGGAGCATGTGAGGAGATCGCCGACACCGCCGTTTTCTGAATGAAGCAAGCACCCCATGACTACACACAATAAAGCTTATTCACACTAGTCCAGCGTTAGCACATTGGTACCATGGAACTAAGAGCACTTGAAAGCATGTGGAAGAGCCCAGATCCGACGCTCAATCAGGCCATTACTCCACCACTCAAGGTCTGGTTAAAATATCATATCACTATCAGGTCGGTATATCGCTCACGCCGCGAGGCATCCTATCCTGTTCCTAGATTTCATTGAAAATGGTACTCGGAAAGTTTGCGAACGAGACGACACTGACGTGTACAGCGCTGTTGCTCGACGGATTGAATTTGGAGCGAAAGGTGGATGTATGTTTTACCGATGATTAGAACGAGAAATAGTGAAATAATGAGAAATCATAGATCTCCATTGTCGGTATTGTGGGCGCGGGTCGTTTAGTAACGGGACAAAATGCTGCTTCCTTTGCCTACTTCAGGATTGGATGTACCACCAGGTTCGATTGTTGATTATTACCGCAAGAAAACCATGCCAACAACTGGCGTAGTATGGAAAGCCAGCCCCGTGTCCCTAACAACCTCCCCATTCTCTCTCACTCACACTCTGCTACTTTCTCCTGCTCTCCTTTGCCTTCCTTAGTGTCACCCTCCTCTTCTCCATCCTATTCTTGTCATCATCTTCCTATTAGCTTCTGTAAGTGCTTATATGCCTACTTTCCCTCAAAGATGACATGATGTGGAGAGAGGAGACTAATTTAGAGTAATAGATCGTCGGAATCGAAATCTTCATACTTCTCTTCCGCCGCTCTATGTTTGAAGCCTAGCGCGACCTCTTCTCAAACCATACCCATCGTGTCCGCAAAGATCGCCCACCAACCCCAAAACTCGCATCCTTCGAAAACGCAGAACACCTAAGATACCTGCCACTAGACGCACGCACACGGCCACCGATCGTACTAGTTTTCACTGCAGACACTCTATCCATGTACGGCCACACTGATACCAGCTAACGCAGTTCTAGAATAGAGACATGTAGGAATTCTATAACTCCGACCCCGACTCGCCCGGCTGTAGAGCATATGAAGCTGGATACGGAACTCCTGCAAGCACATACATATCCGCTAATATCCGATTCTGCGTTTCCGGAGCCCTCCCGCACGTCTATCTCCTTCCAAGAGTTTCACGTCGCGTCGCCCCACGATACACCTTCGCCATTTCCCCGCCTGTTCTCTCGCGATTCTTACAAGCCCCAGGAAGCGAAGAAATCAAATCCTACTTCCAGGATCTCATATCCCGTGCAAGGGACGTTGCCTCATGTTAATGGGGCCTTTCTAGGTGGCACTAGAGGCTCGAGCGAGTTGTACCCTAGGGCGCTGTTTGAAAATATGGGACCTGAACTAGTACGAGGTTAGGTGAAGGAAGAGAAGGAGGGATGGAAAAGGAGGGGTAGTGGTGTCATAGACTTCAGGCTTGTTTAAGAAGGGTCTTTGAGAGGGGTTGAGATTGTATGTATATATGCGTTCTTTGTAGACCTTGATCGCCTATGTCTCTATTAGTCTTTCATACACCTTCTGCGAACTCGTATTCCCGTGTACACATATTCTTCGCTTTAGTACTATACTTTCCTACATAGCTAAAGCTTCCCGCTCAATCGTTAAGAGCTACTTATCTCTCTCTGCTAGACCTGAACGCTCTGATTGTGTGGGGTGAGAAAATGAGGATTGAGAATACTATGTATATGTGTGCCTTCGTTGCTTACTTCAATCTATGAGCTGTCTGCTCTCGGAGTGTTCTACTAAATTTATGTTTTTTATTGCTTTGCTGAATTGCACGGCCGTGAAGGGGATGTTACTGCGATTTTGGATATGTTATCTCTCTGCACACCTCTCGTCGATTTTAATCCTGCTTCTTTCGCTGCGGCGAACGAAAAAGTCGTGTGCGCGGATTGGAGATTCAATTGACGGATCAGGTATTTTCAGCGCCGGAGCTGCAGTATAACATCGGAGTTCTGTTTCGTGTCTGGCCGTGAATGAGGTGTGGTGTATTTTTATTTTGATTGGTCAGCATACTGACTTTATAAAATTTGCTCGTTCTCCATAAATCGTGCCGTCCGATGCGTAAATGGTCGCACATGGTTGTCTTAGTACCGACGGGAACAGGGCCTGTGTAGTCTTCTGAAGTCCTCTGTAATCTCCAGGGAATCATCGTCACTTTCGTCCTAGTCTTGCTCCACCATTGAGTCATGATATCCATGATCATAAAAGGAGGACGCTCCACCGTGCCTATATTGCCCACGTGGAGGAGGCTCACCCGAGGAGAATGCAGGGAACAATTTTTAAGACCTTTCAATATTCCTTCGCTCTTTTTCCTTATTTTCACGCCGGTCCCACGATGCAAGGCTCTGTTCATGTTCCTGCTCCCATGAGATCAGCCATTGGGTAAGGTGGTGAATGCCAGTTTCACCACTCATTTCGTCTTGATAAGCTCCCACGTTTTCTGGGGTTAAAGGTTGATTATGGCCAATGATGAATTCGTACTGCAGATAGCGAATCAGCCTTGCGCTTTCTGACAAGGGTGTGGCACGACGAGATCTTCTGATTCGAAGACTACGAAGTCAAGCACCGAAAAGTGATGAAAATGTAGGCCAGTATTATGAATAAGTGCTGAGGGCGTGGATGATAACCTTGTTTCTTTATTCTTTGACACCATGTGACTTGGCCAATCGTTGCGTTAGACATGAGTAATCATAGCCAATGAACACCTCCTTGGAGATTCTCCCAAGAACTCCAATATCTCGATGGATGAAAGGGCCATTGCCTAGTAGTTTTCCCATTTGTGAGTAAGGCGGATAGGGATTTGACTGTGGAAGGCTGAAATAAAGAATTTGGGATGTAGACTGGCGACAACAATATAGGCGGTATCACGAAAGTAGGGAAGCAGGGAAAATACCACTAAAGGCTCATTTGTATGAAAGATGAGCAATTGAAATAGTAGAATGATGATCATCTAAGACATGGTGAGGAAGTTAGACCTCCTGTACGGACTTCGGCAGATCGTTCTTCCGGCCTCAGCCTGTCAAAAGTTTCTCAAGCGCATTAGCTTGGTATCGGTATCAACATCCACCCAGTCTCCTAGATCAATTATCTCCCCGCTCATCCCAGGTCCGTAAACGTAAAGACGAGCGCTTCTACGCCTGTCTTCGAACCTTGGGTTCAGCTCCACGAATCCACCAACCGACTACCATGGCACCCAAAGCCGTCAAACCTCGTTCCTCACCGGCCGAACCCAGCTACGCCCGCAGCGTTGTACAAGGCCTGGCAAGTTCAGAGAACCGATCTGTCGTGACTGCCATTGGAATGTTTGCTGTAAGCGCTTTTCCCAACTCTGCATCCTCTGCCAATCCAGAATTCATTCGCCCAGATGTTGGAAGCGTTGAGTTATGGAAACCATTGAAGGGGAAATGGCATAAATGTGGACTGTGCTAATGTTACATTGATTTAGGTTGGCGTCGCATTTCTACATAGCAGCTGGAGCGAGATTCTACTTCCTGCGTAATCGAAACAGAGAAACATGTGCGAAAGTGGCGTACTACACTATGGGAGAAGATTACCGTTGTCTTTCATGTGGCGAAGGAAGGACACGGCGCCCGTATTGGAATATAGCTGCTTGTACGAGATGGGTGGGAACAAGTCATGCGTATATACACGGTGAAAGAGGCATGAGATTCGGCGTTCCGGAAGGCGGCTCCAGGACTGCACGGGATTCGGGGCTATTGCCACAGGACTGTAAAAATAAGTGTATATCAGCTACTCCAACTTTCCAAACTCAAATTTTAAAAGCGAAGCCAGGCCTTCAAAGGCTTATAGTGGGGCGCTGTCAACCCATCACGAGTTCCGCCTTCCTCTATCTATCAAGGCACACCCAGTTCGCATGAAACACTTCCATTACCAAGCCCTTCTTACAAAAGCTTATATCCCTCTTCTGCTATAACCTTCCCGGGCCAAGTCCGAAACCGGGTGTCAACCGGGTGTTCTGACCAACTCACGACTTCCTGAAACCAGACAATCCTGGAGCCCTCTAAGCCCCCCGTACTCAGCCTCCTGTACCTGTTTCCAAGATACACGTCACGCCAGCCATCGCCACTTTCTCAGACACGCAGAAACAACAAAACATCAGAAGTCCGTCGCATTTCGCCGAGCTCTACTCCGAAACATGGCTATCTACCGACATGCTCTTCGAGAATCCGACAATTTCTTTGCATTGCCTGGTAGGCTTGAATTGCCGTTAGAACATGCTGATGAATATCCCAGAGGCTCCAGAAATAGGATGAGTCTTGTGAGGAGATTGAGCTCGGGTTATTGTGAGAGAATTTTGTTGGCATTCGGAGAAAGCTCGGGATGGGAGTATCAAGCTGTAAAAGGAAAGAGATAGGAGAGAAGTGCTTGAATTCTAAAAATCCAGGATATATTCCATACCACATACCACATAATTACTACCAGAGCGTCCGTTACTACATCCAAGGGTAATACAAGATCTCTATGCAACCGCCTGCTCCCAGTCTACCGCGGACGTACTCAACAGTCCGGCTGTGTGGAAAAGAAAGAACGCCAGAGTGTACGTGATATGCAAGATCTGGAATAAAAAATGCTCGCTCAAGTATCAGGTGGACATTACAGGAAATTTCTTCAGCGTGGCAACCACAGGACGAGACTTAAACTATAAATATACTTCAAATAAGGATACTTCTGCAGCCAAAATGGTACGAGAACATCCGAAGCAAGATGAGAAGTAGAAAAGGGGGGGGAAGAAGAATATGGCGCTCGTGAGAGGTTCGTGCTGTGTTGGGTATCTCTAGTCTATACTTCCTTTATCCACACCTAAATTAAGCAATACAGATTAGCCCGAGTTCCATTCTCAATATTACTCAATGCTCCGTGACAGCAATAGTAGGGGTAAGAGGAGGTAGGATAGAGGGGTTAGGGAGTAGGTTAAGCCATACCTCCATTTTCGCCATATCCGCATTCTCCTTTCGGGCCATGCTCTTGGCCGTCTGGATAGCCATGTCTAGATCATCTTGATCCGCCATGGTAATCATATCACCATCATCGCTGATCTCGACCTTAAAGTTTTGGCGAATGCCGAACTTTTCGCGGATCTGAGTGACGAAGTCGCGCATCGTTTTGTTGGGTTCGATGAAAACGTAACGAGTATCTCCAGCGTGCACCTTGACCCGGATCTTCTGCATATTATCGCGGTCACTGCGTCGAGAGGTATTAGAACGCGCAGGAGATCGTCTTCGAGTCTTGGAGCGTGAGACCATCTCAAATTCAGCGTCATCGTCTTCAAGATCGTAATCATCTTCTTCCTCTTCATCAATGTACATGGGTCTTGAACTCTTTCCTTGACGGGATCGAGCGTAAGAGGGTCGATTAGAGCGAGATTGGTACATGTCGTAAACCTCATCGTAGTCGTCCATTTCTTCGTCGGATCCCATGCGTCGGCGTGGCATATCTCGTTCGCGACGGCTTCGGGTGGAGACTGATTCTTGGCGAGAAGGCCGGGGGCGTTCTGAAGCGGATCGCACAGTACCCATGCGAGGGCGATCGTTCTGGTCAAATGCGGCGCGACCCAAATTGAGTGGTTGAGGTTTGGGACCGCCTCCGCGAACGGACTGAGCACGTGACATCGTGTTCTTTCCTTCCGCCGATTTCCTATTATCGGTCTCTGGAGGTGGAGTGGGAGGAAACATGTTCCGAGTCATGGGCGGCTCAGATTGCTGGCGGACTCTGCTCTGGAGTTCAGGCTTGACCAGGTTCGTCGCGGCATAGGAAAGTTTATCTTCTGGACGATCGTCCTTGGCTGAAGTACCTATCTTCTTGATTTCTGCGCCGGCGAAACCAGTGAACGCATTAGCTCTATCCGAAGCAGCGACCAAGCGTGCCTTTCCAAGATAATCCTTCGTCTTCAAATTCTTCACCTTTGCTTCGTTGGGGCGATAGACAATGCCAACAGGGATCGAGAATACAGTGTAACCCTGGGTAAATGTCAGTACGGGAGGGTGTGCCGAGTTTAGTGGAGTACACACCTCTGCTTCCTCGCGGATGGCCTCATCGATAACATCGTGATCTGGGACTACTTTCTCCTTTGCGGCGAAGGACAAGTCCTGCATACCAGCGTCCTTCTGCTGTAGGTAGATGTAGCAAAGACCGCGATTGAAGAGCACTTCGCAGGAATATAATTTAAACTTTAGACCCAGTTGTTCATAGTCAATATTGTTGTTACCGCGGAGATAGAGAAGGGTATCATTAAAGTTCGCAAGCGCTTCCTCGAAGTCACCCATGAGGAAGTTGGATACACCTTGCTGGAAGTAGGCGACGGCGAGGTACTGGTCCAGACGCACAGCGCGCTGGTAGCAGTCGACCTGAGGAGCGATCAGCGATGCTCCGATTGAGATTCCAAGTCGTGCTTACCGCTTTCTCATGTTCACCGAGAGTTGCATGGATGACACCACAATTGAAGAGAATTTTCGAAGTGTCAGAAATGCCATCAAAAGATTTCAAGGCCTCGTCGAATTCGTTCGAATCGTAGTGGGCTAGGGCTGCCACCCAGGTTTCGATTTCCTGTTCTGCATTTAGCAATCGCTCACCGATCGAGCGAGGAAGGTACAGATCGATTGCACCTGCATACCTGTTTTAGGGACATGACGAAGGTTCTCTAGGAAGGGGCTACCCGGCAGTATGGTGTCGTCAAGCCTCGGAATGTTGCCCGTCTCCTACAGCTCCAATGCCAGTGGAGAGGCAAGTCTTTATGTCTGATGAGCAATCAGATAACACAAATAATTTCCTCCACCCCTCGTCTCTGGATTAGATTAGACAGAAGCCACCGGGGCTCCTGATAGTTGCGCGGCGAGGGTAGCCCAGGAAGTGCGTGCGTGTGCCGTCGCTTGTTGAGGGAGAATTGGCGAGCGTTGATATATACTAGCGACGTGAGGGTGTTGGTAGGCAGAAATGAGAGACAGTAAGGAGTGCGGCACTTAAGGACAGTTGCAAGATTTGGTGTGAGGGAGAGGAGGCATCGAGGACAGCGCACAGCAGAAGCGGAGGGATTTGGCAGGCGGTTGGAGGCTGGCAGTGGTGGGGAGACCAAATCTGATTCTCAGCGCGTTGCAGGACGGGGCTTGGCAGAACGCGCGCTTCGATGCGTGATTGGCCCATGCAACGTGCTTCTGGACATCCACGGCGCCAACTATTCCCTCTCGCAACCGCCGAGGCCCTCGAGACACTGTGATCCAACCCCATTCCAGCCATGACACCACTGCCATTCGATACTTCTTCATAAATAGCCATATCGAATGCTTTTCCACCAACTCTCAGGCCTCCTAAACTTACGGACAAATTCATCCGCAGAAGCGACTCAACCACCCCCCCCCCCCCCCCCCCCCCCCTCAGGTAATGTCGGCGTTTGAGGTCTGTTACATGGCAATCTCTGTGCTGAGACAGCCACGTGATGGTCGCTGTTGGCTCCAGTCACCACAGCCGCATCTCCCCGAAGGCATGAAAACGCATAATGGAAGACACTGCCATCAGTTCTGCTGCAGCCCGACTCATGCAACAGCCGTTTCGGCCTGAATTGAAATTGCTCGCCTGCCGGTCTGATAAGGCGATTAGGCACGCCGAGAAGAACTTCATTCTTGCTTGTTGCAAGCCTCATGTTGGCTGTGTTTCCATCTTTCACAGCATACCCCTATCAACTTGCTCCTTTCTCTCCTGCCATATGGTTTGACCAGAGCACGAGCAAACTGTTTTTTCGTTATCCCAAACACCAGCGCTCCTCGCAATGACCCCCACAATGGTGTCTGCATCATTCTTATCAAATTTCCCATCCTGATGTCTCGCTACCACAATGCTTCGGCCGATCATCTCCCAGATCTGAATCGGCTTGTCCAAGAAGACGGTACCGATGCCGCTCTTCCCAACTTCGACCGTCCCAAATACGGCTCGACATGGGGTACCATCTTGCATAGCCTTGTCAGCCTCCCATATACCGCCCGTAGACTCTGGACCTTCTGAAATGTCCCCGGTTTCTCGAACAGTAGCGTGGTAAGTTCCAGGAGATAGTCCCCTGAGAGTGAGGTCCACAATGGTTAGATTGGCGGCAACTTGGACCATGCGCACCAGTCCCCGCACCTTGTTCTCCACGTGAGGGGCATGCGACTCTAAGATGCATACGGCGGCGCCTGCGAATCATCTCATCAATATCATACGACGACCGCTGAGCTTGATAATCTTATTGCGACTCCTGAAAAGACTACTAGACAATGCTCACTTACTATCTGATTTTCCACTGCCACGTAGAATGGCATCCCGACCCGTTTCTTGAATTGCAGCTACTATCGCCGAGGGTGCTGCTGTGCCTTCAATGGACACAATTTGGTCCTGAAGCGACGCAATAACCTTGTTTATTCCTGCTCTCAAGTTAGAATCTGATAACGCTGACCTCACCAATTTCGTACCGCTGAGCTTGTAGAGAGCGACTGAGACATCTTGGATGCACGCATCGCAAGTCAGCGGCACCGCGAAGGTAGTCTCGAACGAAGGTATTGTCATTGTAGTAGCGTGAGATAGATTTTAATACAAAGAGTTGGTGTCAGATTATTGAAGTCCTCTAACTCCTTTAATGTCACTTACCTCGCTTTGAAATCACCGAAGCTCCGGGTCGTGATGACGGACCGAGGCGTCCACGTGACGTCTTGGCAGTGGTCTCGTGGAAATTATTCCACCGAGCATCTCAATGTCGCCCCCCGCCGACGTAAGCATCGAACCAGTATCGGAGACTATCTCGTTCCTTCTGCTCCAGCCTGAGAGGATTGAGGCGGTGAATACTGCCAGATTGAAGTCAACCCCGAGTCTGTTAGGCCGTTGGCCTCAATCAACATGTCTCAAACAATCGGCCAGGTGCATTTCTCCTGCCCAACTTAATTCACATTTTAGAGGCATTGAACAAGTAGCTCACGCACCACAGACCCGCCTCGCATATGCTCGCTCATGGCACCTTATCGACATCGGCTCCGACCCGCGCTCCCTCGGCCGCGTCGCATCCTCGATCGCACTCATCCTCATGGGTAAACATAAACCCATCTTTGATCCCTCGACCGACTGCGGAGACTATGTCGTAGCCATTGACTGTGCAAATCTCCACACAACTGGCAAAAAGCGCTTTCAGAAACTATACCGCACACACACGACACGACCCGGTAGTCTAAAAGAAATTAGCATGGATCGGCTGATGGCAAAATGGGGTGGAGGCGAGGTGCTGAGAAAGGCTGTAAGTGGGATGTTGCCGAAGAATAAGTTGCGGAAGGAGAGGTTGGCGCGGTTGAAGACTTTTGAGGGGAGGGCGCATCCGCATAAGGATAATATTTTGAAGGTGGGGTTGGGTGGAGGTGCGAGTATAATAGACAACCCGATAGTTAAGAAGAGGCTGAGGGAGGTAAAGGAGGTACAAGAGGTATCTCCTTCATGATATATTTGATGTTGAGCAAGGAAGTGGAGAGACCCTGTCAAGATATGTATTCATAGATGGCATGCGGAGTGGCTGACATGCTCGCATTCGAGTTAATGTAGCATATGTGAAACGTGCATTTCACACCATTCCCAAGCAAGGTCACTTGAGAAGCATGCAGGTTTAATGGGTTCTTTATGACAAACTTTGTTCGGCAGGCAAGGTCTATAAAATGAAGAACCTATACGATTGTGGGGGAGGCCCTCAGATAGCGAGGGTAAATGCTAGTTTTGCTACATAAGTTGTTGTATATAAGGTTATCTACAAGAAACACGAAACCAACAACAACTCGCTCTATGGTACAGATTCGTTGAAGTCGTTACGGGTATAGCACAATATTTAAGGATGGAACTGCAAAGCCACTATAGCCTCGCCTTTGGTTCCTTGCGGGTGACTGTGCATTGAATGAGACCATTGGGATTGGATTGCGGAGCATACACAGTGGCGTCCTTGCCAGTGTTCTTGAGGCCCTTGTGCCAGCTCAGATCTACAAATAGGGTTAATGTTTGTCATCCAAGATAGCCGATGTGACTTACCAATTTCGAAGTAATGCTTGTTGGGAAGTGAGTAATCAACAGCCTCGACCAATGGAATGGCAGCGAGAATTTGATCACACATCTTGTACATGGTGTTCTGTACACTGGCACTGGCATCCGTAGCAAAGGTCTTGAGCGTGATTTCCCTGGAAGATTGCCATGCCTGGTCGAACTTGGGAACGACAGACTTGACTTCCGCAAGATTCTTGAAGAGCTTCCATTTCCAGCCAGCTTCGACTTCTGTGCTGAGAATGCGATCCCATGTCTCGCCTAATTGGGTGTATTCATCACGGTGAAAGCCGTAAAAGGCCGATCCAGTGCTCTTCAGCACTAAGAGCTTTTCGATCTTCGAACGAATGGAAATTCCCTCACCCTCGCGTGTCACCGATTCAACAACACGGACCTCCTCGCCATCTCGGAGGAACGAATGTGGGTGTGGCTTTCCGTCCACTTCCATGCGAGTCCATCGGTGCTGGATAATCTTGACGTGTGCGGCGTGGATGTGGGAGTACGTCTCAATGAAATGGGTGCCAACAATCGCGGCAAAGAGCTCGGGAGGGGTAATGGGGTTCTGTTTGGCGAGGATGTAGCAGGTCTGCTTCTGTGTGTCGGTGGCAACGACGACCGAGTTATCTGCTTGGGTGTAGCTGCTATTAGGTTAGTGTTGACTCTTGAGGCCAGTTGAGGAAAGGACTCACGAGGTGTCGATGTCACCCTCAAGGAGAATGCAGACAGTCATCTCGACGACCGACTGAGTGCCAGTCTTCTCGTCTATCTCGCGCTTATACAGGCGGATGTTGTCCTTGCCATAGCGGGCATAGCTAAGTTGAGACATTTTGAAAGGGTATTGGGATTCAGAAGGCGATCAAAGATTTGGGGAAGTGAGTTAATTGCTGTTCAGTAGGTGGGGTTGGGGGGGTTGCTGAACGATCAGGGACTAGAAGTGAATTGATAGTGAAGCTGGTGATGAAAGATAAGTAAGGGCGACTTTGACAGTTGATATATAGTTCAAAGCGGGATCTTATCGGATCAACATCAAACGGAGGCGGCCGAGAAGCAGTAATTTTGCTTTTCTCGATTGGGTCGCCAACGAGACCTTGAGGAGGTAACGGGTTGCTGGGAGAATGCATTGAACGTTGAGGGAGCTGGCCATCGGCGCCCTCCGAACTTGAAGCTACTAGGTTTGCTGGCGCTGACAGTCTGTAATTGGCGGGAAATGATAGGCACGTGACCCTGGATGGAGCTCTCCCCTCTGCGGGGTCCAGCGACGACAACATTGAGATATAAAGTGCGGGTATTCGGGGCAAACTCCCCTCGATATCAGGCGAGGCTGGAACTGCTGAAACTCGCTGTGTCAGCTGCAGATGCCGGATGCAGGCGAGGCCATTGATGGATGGTCGTTCAACCTGCAGTGCTGAGCACGGACCCAATCCGAGTCGAGCGGCGCACTGAGCACAGCGGACCTCCACTTGCATGCTGACCATCAACATCGACATTCACTCACTGCCAGTATTCATTCCGCACGCTCACTACCGCTGCTGCGCGCCACCGCTGGTCGCCACCGCTGGTCGCTGCGCCCACCCTCCTTCGATCATCACTGCAACTCCTCCCAGCCACTGCACGTCGACAGACGTCTAGCATTCATCACTCCAGGCCCATGAGGAAAGAGGAGGCCGGCCACGGAGTGATACCGAAATGCGATGCGGTTGGCGGGCGTATGGTTAAGGCACTCTCATGACGCCACCCGCGCGCTCCGCAAACACTCAGGGCGATGCGCCATCTGCCGACGCAGTTTCCCTCCTCGCGCCTTCACGAGGTAGAGATGGCCGCTCACTATCCTCCGCCGCTGCCAGCGTCATGGCTAGCTCCAGGGGCCAGTCATCGTACGCGACAACGAATGCTGCACCTGGTAGCTTCAGTTCCCAGCTGAGGACCCTGCCGTCTCACGATGGGCGATTGCGGCCGGACTTTGATATGCATGCTATCATTGTGGGGGACGATAGCTTGACAACAGAGCAGAGACAGGCCGATCTGCAAGATCAGATAGACAAGGAAACCAAAATCAAGATCGGATCTGAGAACCTGCTGGAGGCGCTGAACGCTAAAAATGCGAAGCAGACTAAGGACCAGAGACTGCGAGTCGAGGCCGAACTCAATTCGTCAAATAGGAAGCTTGCACAACTCAAGTTAGGCCTGGAGGCTGAGATACAAAGAGCGAAGGAGGTCAAGTCGCCTCCAGCAGACCCACAGAGCAGGTTGTCGTATCTCTTCCGCAGAAATCTCTCGAGGTCTCCGTCGCGCCACGTTGTCCAGAAAAACGAGGAGGAAGAGGATTCGGAGAGCGAGTCACCCAGCGTAGTTCTTGTGGACATACTCGGTGCATTGGAGTCCAATGGAATGCAGCCTGAGTACTATGTCGAGAAGGCAAACTCCCTTGTGGACCTCTTCAAACGCCATCCTACGCTCAAATATGATCTAACTTGGCGCGTCTTCGGTACAAGGGTGCAGACTATGCTTCTGAGCGATAGTCGCGAGGTTGTGGCTGCTGGGTATCGCGTAATGCGATATGCCATCACGGACCGGAAATCCCTCCGGACGATTCGAGAATTACACACGGATTATCTCGTCATTCTATCGCTTGCAAAAGAAAGCAAGGCCAGTGTTGAGCGAGAGCAAGCCCTCAAATTTGTCAGAGCCTTTCTCGACGTCAAAGATGGAGTTGAAGAGATAGCCCGGTCAGTTGTTCGAATCATTGTAGCAGTGGCGGAGCATACAGACGACCGGCTCAAGAACATAGCTATTCTCACTCTGGCCGAGATACTCGTAAGAAAACCTCCACTACTAGTATCTGCGGGAGGCATGGGTACCCTTACCGACGCCCTTGGTGAAGGGAATTACCATGCAGCAGAAAGCATCGGGACTTCTTTTCTGTATTTGTTGGACACCCCACGACGACGGAAATTCCTGAGATCCGGACATGAATTGGAGGTCCCCTTTGCCATGTTCACCGATGCAGTGCCGACCCACGGCCACATGCATGAAGAGAGACTCAAAGCAAATGCGAAGGTTATAGCGACCCTAATCAGGAGTTGGCCAGGCCTCCTTGCCCTTTGTATGGACGACTTTCTGGCCATCCGATCGCTCCTGATGTCTTTATACATCCCTACTCCCCATCTGAGGAATGTCCTCCTCGAGTTATTGTTCGATATCCTGAGGATCAAGCCCCCATCGTGGTCTTCATCCTTCCTTGCTGGCAGGAGACTGACAACCTACGGGCGAGTCACCAATTTGAAAAACCAACCAAGCAAAGACGCTTCAAGCACAGAAGCGGAAGACAAGACTAATAGCTGGAACCTTTTGGAACACTATGTCGCTGTTGTGCTAGCTGTATTGTTGCATGCTGGTCTAGTCCCCGCTTTGCTGCACGCCGAGGAAGATCCATTAACCCTCGCGTTGAAGAGGAAGACCACTCTCCTCCTCGGAGAGGTGTTGAAGTTGGCAAATGAACTATTACCCCCTTCATGGAGCGCTTCTCTCCAAGTGCTTCCCCAGCTCCTGGAATCAGCCGCGAAATTTCAGACCGAAGACAGGTTCGTTGCAATTGGGACGATATATCAAGTAGACAGTGTCAACCGAACCCTGTACCGATCAGGCCCAACGTCCTTGTCTACAGGCAAAACAAACACCACGACCGACACCAACAGTTCAAGGTCCCAAACAGAACAATCGAAGGCTCAAGCAGCAATGCAGATGGATGAAGCCCAGTTTCGAACTCTTATGGTTGACACCCAAGTGCTCAACACCGTAAACTATACCAAGTGGAGATGGGACCTCATCCAAAACATCATCGACGGGCCCTTACTGAATGCTAAGCGTCTTGACGAAGCTATTAAAGCCACCAAATTTGTTCATCGCCTGCTTGGATTCTATCGGCCATTCAAGTACAGGTTCTCTGAAGTTAAGAACACCAAACCGAACCAGCGGTACGTTCGTGCTGGCTGTGCGTTGATGCACAGCTTAATGCAAAATCCAGAAGGTGTCCGCTATCTGAGCGACAACAAGTTTATTCGCCAGCTCGCTGAATGCCTGTCTCACTTCGACAGAATGAGCGGATTGACCTCTGAGTCACCCATTTTCCAGGTAGACCGGATGAATGAGACTCTCACTACCGGGTACTTTGCACTTCTCGGTGCTCTCACCAAAGATCCAAAGGGTATCCAAATTCTAGAGCGTTGGAAAGTCATCAACATGTTCTACCACATCATTGAGCTCAACGACCGTGATGATTTGATAAGGGCTTTACTAAGTAATATGGACTATTCCTTGGATGGCCATCTTCGTATTATCATTTCAAAAGCCATGACATCATGCTCAAAGGAGATCCGAATTTTCTCGACCCGACTGCTGCGAAGGTATGCCACAAAGCCGATGCAGAGCTCAGATGCTGGCTGTGCCGCAGAGTGGTCGATTAAGTTGCTTGTTACTCAACTGTATGATCCAGAAGTCGAAGTCTGCGAGGTCGCGATCAAGATCTTAGAGGAGGCATGCAATCAGAAGCAATCGCTGGAATACGTAGTGAAATGTCGCCCAGCTTTGGATCACCTTGGCGAAATTGGCGCTCCCCTCTTACTGCGCTTCCTGTCGACTTCTGTGGGTTATCACTACCTGGATGGGTTGGATTACATCACAAAAGAGATGGATGACTGGTTCTTAGGGAGGAACGATACTTATGTTGCGCTGATTGAGGCGTCAATGGCTCGCGCTCTTGCTGACATCCCCGAGAAGCCTCAACCACAATTGACCTACGACGACGCTCCCGAACATCCAGAGTACGGCATTGTACCGCCTCATTTCTACCGCGAACTCACCCGAACCAAGGAAGGATGCAAACTCCTGCAGCAAAAAGGCCACTTCGACGAATTCGTTGCAACTATCCGCGACTTTGGGATGGAAGACGATGATTTGGAGACAATCCTGAAGCTCAAGGGGTGTCTGTGGGCCGTTGGAAATGTTGGTTCCATGGAATTAGGTGCCCCGTTCCTCGAGAACTCGGATGTGGTCAGATGGATTGTCAAAATCGCTGAAATGTCGGAAGTGATGTCGCTCAGGGGTACAGCGTTTTTTGTTTTGGGCCTAATATCCCGGAGCCTCCATGGTCAAGAGATTCTGCTCGAGTATGGGTGGGATGGGGTTATGAATGAAATGGGCGAAGCACTCGGCTTCTGTCTGCCCTTGGACTTCAAGAAACTCTTTTCGGTCAGTTTCGTTCGTTCATGTCCTCCAATTGCGCTAACCGCTCGCAGATCAAACCATGGGTAGTCAAATCTGGTGATATGAGCAGGAGGCGCAAGAATGATGTTACCATCAGCATCACTGATCACAACCCAATGAACGCTCGAATTCTAAAGCTCGCGACTGATCTTGGTAACACTGTTTTGGCCAAGAAGGCAGCAAATGACCTCCAAGCGTCAGTACTCCGTTTTATCAGTAAAGTGAGGTTGCCGGCTAACGGATATGTAACAGCATCAAAGCAAAGAAAGCCACCGGATTCACAAAACCGGCAATGTTCCGCAAAGTCATGGATATACTCGAAGCGCACCACTTTCGCCTCCCAGCATGTCGATTCGTCCTCGATTTATTCGACAAACGGGTGCTACGGCAGATTATACTAGATGAAGAAGATGAGGATGACAGTGACAGCAGCGAGTCCGACTCTGAGACGGAGCGGGCGAACACGAATAGCGTACCGAGACCTTCGTGAAGAGGTCCACGATGGCTCGAAAAGTACTTCTAGGTTCTGGCGTTAGAGTGCGTGCTGAAGGGTGCGATGTATTATATGTCTGGGGTTATTACACTTTGTAGCGTTCCAAGGTTGGGTCTGCAGGAATGGATTTTGCATACAGGGTTCACTGAACCCGCAAAGGGACAAGGCCGGCGCTAGGCAGTTTATGGTATCGTTTAGCGAGACGATACGCGAAATGTCACTCGACTAAGACAGTTCTTGGTGATGCTGCAACCACGGTTCACTATTGCGTTGGAATCTATGAGTAGTCAAGGCGATCGAATTATAAACCGGATAAGGCTCCATTCTTGTGTTGGAGCGTCCAGCAATTCGGGCATAACTACGGCAGGGTCCGGAAATGTTGGGCAACGGAGCCTCATGCAGGCGTGCAACACTTGTGGTTGACACAGAAGGTCGTTCCCTGGCGTGGATCGAGCTCTAATTGGCGCAGCCCCCTTCCACGCGGCCACATCGATGACGCTTTGAACATCCACATTTTCTCAATTTTGCCGGATCTGGCAATGCGTTCTGGTGCATTCGCTGACATTTCTGGACGCGTTGGACATGGATTCTCATTAAGCACTCTCAGAGGCCGGGCTTGTATTCCGAACAGACATCTGGGCATGTCTGCGGGAGATGGCGGATCCTTGCTTGCCTCACTAGCACGCACCAAATCGAAACATTGACACCCGTTCTCCAGGCAAAGCTGGCCATATCTGGTTTAGCGGGAGTGGTTGATGCACTGCAGTGGTGTCGATGAAGCGCGTCCATGTGGCACAAGGATCGAAGGCGGAGGCGAGTGTCGTTGTCTTCAGTCGCCGGCGGACACCATCGCCGATCTCGTACGGTCGGCGTATCATGCATTCTTCTTCCTGCGGAAGCATGGCCACTCCGGAGCCTGCACTGATTTCGTCTTCGACTTTGCGACACTTATATTATCTGGCACTCTTCACCTCCCCTTCCACGTCTCAGCGAACGACAGACGATCCTGCTGTCACCCTCAGCACCTACACACATATACCCCACTAGTGCAGGCTGCTGCTCTCTCTTGCTAAGTCAAGCATCTGGCTGTTCCTGCTCGAACTACCCCCTCTGTTGCCCTCCTCTGCCCACAAAAACCGACGACAGTTGTCAACACCGATCCATCCAGGTCTCCACCTGCTGCCGTAGAAGCGACAACGACCCGCGCTTAACCTCGGTTTGGTTTCTGAAACGCTAGCTACTAGGTTGGACGTATTGCATCGATAGTACTTGAATGGAGGAGGGAGCCACAGAATAACATATAGAGCCTGTATGACCTTGTCAAAGGTCAAAGGGCGTTCTTTCACAGAGCGTGAAGGGCAATCCTTGATCCTGCCTACAGCACTGCCTTCCTTGATGGTGGGCAATAGGCCTCCTTCAGAGTACCTGGAGCCGGTTGCTCTAGCCCCTCACCTCGGTGCCAGGCCACTGGTCTTCCTCGTCCAATGCCCACACTGCTCGAAGCCGTTCAGCGCTCCAGTCACTCTTCCCTGCGGTAATACCATTTGCCGATCCTGCCTCCCCGACCCCCAACCCCGAGCCAACATATCGTATCCAAATACCCCGGATCGACAACTTGGCATTGCCTGCCCGTTTTCAACATGCAACGCCGAACACGCGACAGGAGAATGCAGCGTGGACGTAACATTAGCGAAGCTGATGGAGTGGATCAGGTCCAACGTGGAACAGGCACGGTTGGTCGAAAACACACCATTATGTGTTGAGATAATTCCGCCTTGGGACGAGAGCCTCCCGTTCGAGGAGAAAGAGAAAGCGCAGGGTAAGGGCCTCCAGAGAGTGCTACATGGCGGCAAGTTGGCTTCCACGTTTGCACTTGCCGAAGCGGGAGAGCTCCATTACAACGCCGATGTCATATATCACTCGGCGACGGGCGAAGAATTCGAAAACTTGGATACACAACTGTTCGAGACACTAGGGAAAGTGGCACACAAAGAGCTAGACTGCCAGGTCTGCTACAACATACTCCTCGATCCCACCACGACCGCATGTGGTCATACCTTCTGTCGTCGTTGCTTGGTACGGGTCATGGATCACAGCAACTTGTGCCCAGTATGTCGAGGAGGCCTCCATATCCCAACTTCTCTCCACAATCAGCCCAGTAATGCCCGCCTCTTATCCCTCCTAGATGGACTGTGCCCGGATTTGATTGCCGCACGTGCTTCAGCCGCTAGCGTGGAGGAACGGCCGGGCGTAGACGTGCTCAGCACCCCGCTGTTTGTCTGCACGTTATCCTTACCTACCATGCCGACCTTCCTCCATGTTTTCGAGCCTCGTTACCGTTTGATGATGCGCCGCTGCATGGAAGGGGATGGCAAGTTCGGAATGATCATGTATAACAAAGCCTCGTCACCCCAAGGTGACCTTGGAGCTACACAATTCATGGAATACGGCACCCTACTTGAGATCCTCAGTTTTGAGCCTCTCCCTGATGGTCGTAGTTTCGTGGAAACCCGAGGGGTTAGTCGATTTCGTGTCCGAGAACATGACATGTTGGATGGATACCATGTTGGCCGCGTCGAGCGTGTTGAAGATGTTTCTCTCGCTGAAGAAGAACGTCTAGAGGCCGAGGAGCGTACAAATGCTACGTACCTCCGTGATCTAAATCCGCAAGGCCCACTGGATCCCGAAACTGCGTTGAACATATTGTCAACACAGGACCTCCTTAGCAGATGCCTAAGATTTATCGAGCGCATGGAAGCTAGGAGCGCTCAGTGGCTGAGTAGGAGGATAGTCCAAGTATACGGCGGCCCTCCGAACGACCCTGCGTTGTTTCCCTATTGGTTTGCATGCGTATTACCCATAGCAGAAGAGGAGAAGTACCTATTGCTAAGTACAACCAGAGTGAGGGAAAGGCTGAAGATGGTGAATCGGTGGATTGTGAGGATCGAGGAGCAGAGATGGTAAGCGCTCTCTTTTTTTTTCATGAGGCATAACTCGGACGAATGAGGCTCTTGTCATCGGCCAATAGGATACAGATTCGTCATGAGCAGCCTTAACAAACTTAGGTTGCACCTATGTTTCCCATTCGGGGGTGTGTATCATCCCACGAACGAAAGCGGGTTCATCTTCCATAACTCTCTCACCCTGATTCCAAGCGGACATCACTGACACCGTTCTGTACAGGCCCTCTGGAAGCGCATGTCGTATCTTGTGACTCTCCATAACGGTGGCCGTTCTCAGTATTCTCATTGCCCTCATCACCCTCACCACGAATCCGCACTCTCTTGAACCGACCATCGCCATTTAGACTCCGCAGAACACACAACCGCCTTCCTATCCCCCACGCACATCACATTTTCGCTCAAATTGCAATGCATTTACGACCACTCCAACATCTGGGTCTCCGGCGTTTAGGGGTGCATCAAAGCTGTTCCGGGCTGCATAACTGATCTACCTTGTACCACTCCCATTTTTTATATGCAGCGACTACCCCCTTGCTTGAAACGCTATTAGGCGTCCATATTTTCCTTTCCTGTCTATTGTTGTATCAGAACCGGTTTTTAGGCCAGCATTGTTCGACGTAGTCCTAGAGTGCAGAGGTGTAAAAAGGAGGTGTGGTGAATAGAACATTTTCTATATGTTCTCGTGGGAGGCTCGCTGTTTCTTGGAATAGAGACATAGGTATGTGTTTGTGTAAGACGAATGAGATGAAGTGCAACAACTTCCAAAGACCCTTTTTTGGTTGTTCCCATTGCGTTGCCGTATACTGGGTTTATTTATCCGACCAACCTTGCTCACAGAATTGTATCAACAACAACGAATTCGGTCCCCCCTCTGACCTTCCAACGGCACAGATCATAGGTCCCAGCCCTCGTTATATCAGGCTGTTCTTTTTCTGTCATTTCTTCTGCATCGTTGAAAACAGACAATCGATCTACTACACCTTATCACCTACCAAATGGCATTGCGGAGGTAGTTCAAGATAAAACTATACATCTTACAGACACGCGACTTGATTGCTACAAGGGGTTTCAGCTGATCGAATCCACCCTACTGGTAATCCATAGTCGGTGTGGATATGCTGTATCACCATTAAAACCCGTCCCAATTCCCCTCAAGAATATCTCGGTCCTAATTCATGCAGTATAGCATCCGATGTGTTCATTTTCTCTTGGTTCTGCAAACCCCATTTCCTGTATAGATCTCACCGCCTCCATTAGGCTGTGGTGATATAAATGTATGCGAGGAACTCTGAGACGAAAGCGTCAGTTCCATTCAGTTTTCTCCGCTTGACAATACAATCACATCAACCACTAAAACTACCAATATTATAGCGATGGAAACTCCAATCGCGACTTGCTCTCCTCCTTTTTGAAAAAGTGCTGGAAGTAGGCCGAGGAGAAATCGAGATATATGTTGCATCAGGACCAATTGTTATGCTTGAGCCAGGCATCGGAACTGAAGTCATAGGATTCGAAGTCGCAGATGTAGTCAGGCTGCCGAAATCCCCCATTTACTCAACGTACCCTAATATCAGTCGCATCCGCTTGAACCCAGGACCAAGAGTCATGAGCGTATAGATAGTATGATTCCCAACTACTTGCAATGCCGTAGTCTCAATTGCCCGATATATCACGCGCGAACAGGAGAATGACTGCCAGAGTTCAATGATTTCCGTATCTATACAGGCGTTAATAAATCCTCAATCCTCACTCCATCCTTATGCACATAGTCCTAGAGAGCAGTATGCGGTAGCGTTAGAAGTGAAATTAAGTTGATATCATTGCTCAGGCCGAGGCTATGATATTTATGCCCTAATACAGCCGTGTCTGTGTATATGGAGCCGTAGATGGCCGAGTTCCAGTCTGGCGCTGCAGTGAAAGTAGGAGTCAATGGCTAGAGAGTATGATACATTTACTAGGATAAGATGGCAAACATGGAGTTTTTCAAGCTATTATGAAGGATACCATTCCGTATACACGTTGTTAAGCTAAGTTCTACACCTCCTTTATTCACAAAGACACGACTTAAGCTCTCGGTGTTTCATTCCAGTTATGCAGTCTAGCATACAATGGAGATCCTTTTTTCATTGGTGAGAAACTAGCTACATGTTGTAAAAACTCTGTAATTAACTTTTTATTGGACAGCCTTCATGCATAGACTAATGCCGTTTTGAAAGAAACAGTTAACATTTCAGTACTCATTCGGTGGTGGAATTATGCCACTCGCTGGCACGCGATGCTATCAGCTCTCGGAGACTTCAGGGGATTAAACGATCCCGTTAAGATCCCAATTATAGGCACCAGGATAAATAAATGGCCGGCGGAAAGACTGGGTTGCTGGAAGCAGCCCTAAGATCCCAGTGAAGCTCCGATAAGTGGACCAGAACGGAAAGCATCACACTACGTGAGAACTATTCCACTTGGGGTCAAAGTAAGAAAGGGATTATAATCACTTTTGATCTACTATTACAGGTACGACACTGGTCCGTGTCCACAGCGAAAGAACCCAGAATTTACGCCACGCTCAAGGTGCTTAACGTACGTTGGTACTAACGGGCAGGTTGAAGAGAAAGCGAAGTTATTCTTAAGCAATTCAGAGATATGTCCGAATTTGCAAAGACATGTTCACCGGAAACCTCTCGTCATAACCCAGACGACTCCGAGAAGACAAGGCCACCGGAGTATGTCCGAGAGAGGAAAGGGAAATCCTGTCCATTGCAAACTCCACCCATTTCCATACGGCTCGAAGAGGGTGAAGGATCTAAGTAGTATCAGGGAGAAAGGAATAAAAAATGGACCTGCGCTATGCAAAAGGTTGACCAGATATGCCGAAAGAGACTCAACCCCTAATTGAACGCCATCATGCCCATAACACCGGGTATCAAATTGTACATTGGGAGATTAAAGCTGCCTAAGCAGAGAGAACTCCGTTCGGAACTTTGGAGCTTGTGCCGTTCATAGTAGGCTCGCGAATGCTGGCCATAATGGAGTATTGCCCACCCGCGCCCGCCCAAATGTACTTGGCCGACTTAGAAGCCGTGTTGTCGATCAAAGTGGGAGTCTCGATGTCAGCCAGTGTTCCTTGACCAGTCTGAAAGTTGGCAGAGAAGCCCCAGGAATAAGCCTTGCCAGACTTCGTGATGGCAATCGAGTGCTCTGAACCGCATGCAACCATGACAACATCGCTGAGACTTGGTAGACGCGTCGGTTGAATCAAGATCTTGGGTTTGTTGTTTTGCTTTTTGACAATGCACTCATCATCAATTGCGGTAAGCTGGCTCAATGGAATACCAGTTTGTGAGCCGTCACACCTTCCCCATACGTAGCAATTCCCATTGGTAGAGAGGGCAACATTGTGGTGTGAGCCGCATGCAATTGACTGAATGTTAAGGCCCTCGAGAACTGCGATAATCCGAGGGGGAGAAACAGTTGCATTGTCGCTGCCAGCATTGTCGGGAAATCCCGTCTCGCCATAGTTGTTGGCGCCCCACGCCCAGATGTGGTTGTCGGTAGCGATGGCCATACCGTGGTAGTCACCGCAGGCAACTGTCTCCATCTTCTTGCTCGCACCCTTGAAGGACCTGTCAGACTTATCACCGAATCCTACATGAGTTGGGACAAGAGACTCGTGCATAGTTCGCTCGGTCAGGCGGCGGCCCAGTTGATTTTGTTGGCCGTTCCCCCAGGCCCAAACGTTGTGATCAGAGTCCAGGGCGATAACATGGTTAGTCCCACAGACGAGCTTCCGGATCTTCTTGAGACCTTCGAGGTAGATTGGGGTTCGGGCGGTATCCACATCCTTAGTGAAGCCTAAGACTCCCTCGTTCTTCTATATGGATGTTAGTATCCGAATCGTTTCGTGAGACACAGGGGTACTTACGCGGAACGTACCCCAGCCATAGACAGCGCCCTCGTCAGTCAGAGCAAAGGAGCAGCTGTCGCCCGCGGCAACGTCAACAAAGACGGTGTCCTCGGGGAAATGTTCCATAGAAATCGCGGTTGGAGTAGCTTCTTTCTCATTCAGACCAGAGTCTGAGTCCGAATCTGAGTCTGATCCCGAGTCCGAGCCATTCTCGTCAATTTCCTTCATCTTGACGTCCTCATTTGTGGTGTCGCGGCCAAGGGCGCCGTTATCGTTCACACCCCAGGTCAAGATATGGTTGTCGAGCGTTAGCGCGACAACGTGCATTCCACCAGCTGCAAGCCTGACAACATCCATCTTGCTCAGTGCTTCATTGAAGCGCGGTCGTTTGACATCGACTGCTTTCTTCGACGCGCCGAGACCCAGCTCGCCAGACCCTCCCTCGCCAAAAACATAGACATTCAACGGCTTGGTGTACTCGCGCTCATTGATGATGACTTTGCGACCTCCCCGTCGAACAGGGCCCTTAGGCTTCTCCTTTTCCTCCTCGTGGACTTTGGCGATCCTGGCCTTCTTGGGCTTACGTTCCAAGGCCGTCTCTTCGTCCTTCTTGCGCTTCGGCTGGGGCTCCGGCGCGTGGACGGCAGCTTTCCGCGCAACAGGCTTCTTAGCAGCAGCCGTGGTAGGTGCAGCTGGTGCAGCTGGTGCAGCTGGCTTCACGGCGGGCGCATCAGACTTCTTCGGGCGGCTGGCTAACGCGCCTGGATGAAATTAGTCCGTAAGAGAATGGAATATATGAACAGGGCGCGCTGCTTACCTGAAGCTTTCTTAAGAGCACGCGCAGGTCGAGTTTCAACAGGTTCAACCGGCTCTGGTTTGGCCGGTGCAGCACGAGCAGAACGACGCGGAGCCATTTTGCGATGCAATGGATGAGGTGGTTGGGGGGTGTTGTGTTTTAGCGATGAGGAAAAAGTTGACCAAGAACGCGGATTACGAGGTCGCCTCGGACACGCTAGGGGAAACCCGGCTAGCGTGAAAGTGGGCAGTCGACGCCGCAAGCGCTGAGTCAGCACAATCGTCCCAGATCCCCTTGGTGAAAGCAAGTACGAGAATATTCGCTTGAACACGAGAAATCTTTTTTCCTTAGGTGACTTCAAGGTAAAAAACAAGAAACGTGAGAGCTCTTAGATAGAAAGACAAGTCACACAAAGGGAGTTTTGGCTTGGAGGACGGCTCCAGGGCTACAGCCTAACTCGATTTGGCCTATCTGCTGACAAACAGCCTCTCCCAACTGTTACAAGTCAACAACAGGCGGCATCATAGGCGACAGCAACTGCGATGCAATGAATAGGCCACTATTAGCACTATGGACCCTTCTCGGGCATGCTGCATGTTCTCAGCCCTCGGCCCCAAATCCCATAGCTGCACCTTTACGCGAGCTGCCTTGGGCGCAGCTTAACTTCCTGCACACTACCGATGTCCATGGCTGGTGGGGCGGCCATCTTCAAGAGTAAATTTCTCGACTCTGGACATTAAATAGCGACGTGAAGTTTTCTAACCTACGCTAGGCCATCTTACTCCTCAGACTGGGGAGATTACATTTCATTTGCCAAACACCTTCACGACAGAGCCGATGCCGATGGATCAGACTTACTCTTGATCGACACTGGTGACCGGATTGAGGGAAATGGCATCTACGATGGATCTGACCCCAAAGGCAAATTTACGTACGGTATCGCCAAAGAACAACATATCGACTTAATATGCTCTGGCAACCACGAACTTTACAAGAAAACCTCATCTGAAGGCGAATTCTATCACACAGTTCCTAACTTTAAAGGGAGTTATATCGCCTCAAATCTGGACATCTACAATCCCGAAACTGGAAAGCTTGAGCCCCTTGCTTCACGTTTCAAGAAGTTCAAGACTAAGAACCAAGGCATTCGCATCCTTGCACTTGGGTTCATCTTTGACTTTACTGGAAATGCCAACAACACAGTCATCCACACAGTCGATGATACCGTGAAAAAGGACTGGTTTCAAGAGGCTATACGAGATAAGGATCTAGACTTGATCATTGTATTCGGCCACGTGGATATCCGCTCCCATGAATATTCTACTCTCTTCTCCACAATCCGGAAAGTTCAATGGGATATTCCCATCCAGTTCTTTGGAGGACATACTCACATCCGAGATTACAAGATTTACGATGACAAGTCTGTTGCCCTCGAGAGCGGACGTTACATGGAGACTCTAGGTTTCATGTCTATCAACGGACTTAGCACTGGAGGAACCGAAGAACGATCCCCAGAATCACGCAAGGGTAAACTCACGTTCTCTCGTCGGTACCTTGACAACAACCTGTTCTCCCTTCAGCATCACAGCGGCAAGGATGACGAGACTTTCCCGACAGATCACGGCTTGAGTGTGACTGCTCAGATTGGTCTGGCAAGGAGGGCGTTGGCACTTGGCAAACGCTATGGATGCGCCCCCTCTGACCTCTGGGTCAACCGGAGACCGTATCCCCACGAAGAGAGCATCTTCACCTGGCTTGAGGGGCTGGTTCTTCCTGACCAGATCCAACAATCAGCCCGCATTCAGAAGGGCAGCAAGGCCCTCGTCATTACCAATACTGGAAGTATGCGCTTTGACATCTTCAAAGGCCCATTCACCAAAGACACGACATACCTCGTTTCGCCTTTCACAAGCGGTCTCAGATACATCAAAGACGTTCCATACAAGACAGCAAGCCGCGTCCTAAGGCTCCTCAACAGTGAAGGGCCTATACTGGATATGATGACAGAAGAGAAGGTCTCCATGACGTCGCCTGAGCATCTCGCTGCGCAAGTACGCCCTGAAATGATTACCCCGAAAAACCACGAAGGGTTCGCGAATCACGGACCCCATGCACAAACACCAATGTCACCTAACGACCAGGGTCTCACACCAGGCTACACCACCAAGGACGACGCAGGCGAGGACGGAGACGATACACTGCATTCTCCTATCCCCTTCTATAACGTCCCGAACTGCATCCAATCTACCGTTGGCTTTGACTCCAAGGAAGACCCTGAGACCGTCGATCTAATGTACAATGAGTTCATTGAGAAGTGGATTATCCTTGCATTAGAGTATCTAGGTGAGACGTACGATGAATCAGACACTTTGTCAGCTCTGGATGGCAAGAGCTTTACTGAGATTATTACGGACTGGGTGAAAGATAACTGGGATGTCGAAGGCAAGACTTGTCCTTAAGAGTGGTTCGTGAACGGAGAGAATTTTGTTAGGATTCTTGTTTTCTGAAATTTAGATTGTGTTTATATAAATTTCCTGTAGTCGCAGATATGGCCATTGCGTTTTGGCGATCTAGATTATTCAATCTTTGTTGATCACTTTCAAATCAAGGTGAGAGCACGCTATGTAAAGACTCCTGCGAATATTATTGAAATGTGAGATATTTATCGAATGCAAAAGGTTAACGGGGAACTGTAAGTCTTTTAGAAATTAAGCTCTTTTGGAGAACCTTTTTTCCCCTACGTAGAATAAGACCTGGATGAGGTAGATGAAGCAAATTGGCAGAACAAGGACAAAGTGCCGGCAAGCCTTCCCGCTTCTCGCATGAAGCGAACAGGACCCAGAGCAGAGGATGCTGGAGTCACTTCCAGGATGCTTCATACTCTCGCCGCCCTTCATTCAGCAGCATGATGTCCTTGTAGATAATTTCTTGCTTCCAGGCCTCGGAAACCAGCAGGTCCATTTCTTTTCGCTGAAACTTTGACTCGACTAGCGCTTTCTACTTCTAGTTTCCGTGGCCCTTTTTTAACCTAATGACGCCTTCCGCATGCAGCACAAGCTCGGTATCCCTTGGTATCAATGCTCGACATCGCTCGCTATGATCGATTCCTCATAGCTCGCATTTGTTCTCGTTCGCTGGCGTTATATCTATAACGAACATGTCAGCCCGGATAATCTCTCCATCTGCGCGAGGACAAAGTGCGCTCTTCTCGCGCAAGGCTCTGAAGGAGCCAGGGTGTGGGCGCGTACTTGAGGAGTTTCTCGATAAGATCGACATGGGTCATGACCATACGGCGGCAGCAGTAGCGGCGCAGTTCGAGCTCGTCCATGGCGGCGCTGTCAAAGCACATCGATTGTTAGTGAACTTATCTTCGGGGAGGGTTCAAGGGTTTAGGTTGAGAGGGATACAAGTGGAATAGAGCCTACCCGTCTGTTGACCCGTCATCAACGAGTTTCAGATAGCGCTCCCAGAGATCGCCAATCAGCTAGAAGAGAGTCAGTGGGTTTGCACATGAGGGGTGGAAGGCGCGGGAGCAGGCGCACCTTGCCGCAAGAGAAGCAACGAACTGGGATGATCATGGCGAGCTGGAGAAGCGACTAGAGCGTAAGGCTAGGAAGTAATGTAAGGTCGGCGTGGGGAGTTGTTGGACGAAGATGAAGTTTGTCTGCTTCAAATAAATATCGTGAACATACCGCGGCGCCGGAAGAACATCGGTCTTGGCGCATGCAGGTTAAAAGCTCGGACCGGTCGTCGAAAATTATTCGAGATTTGTTGCGGACATGAACGGTGAAGCTCACACCTCCGTCTTCCAACCCTCAATTTTAGGGCCATAAATATTGTAACTAGCTGCCATGACTGACGGTTTGGACTCTCAGCTACTGAAACGAAAGCGAGCAGATGGGGAATTGGCGAAGAAAAAGAGAAAGAAGCAGAGAAAGAGCGAGGCGTCGATACGAAAAGACGATATCCAGGTGGAGGCAAGCTTTCCGACACCCGTAGCAGAGCCGGAGAAGAAGAGCGAGAAGGAGGCAATCCCAAAAGTTCAAACCAAGCGCGCTTCCGAACAATTGGTACCAACTCCAATTCCGCAGAAAAACGACGCCGAGCATTCAGAGAATGCAGTTCCTTCGCCTTCGACTGAACGTCGTAAACGGAAGAAGCACAAGGGCCGTAAATCCCCGGGAGGACACCCTGGAAACAATCCAGAAGGGGCTATCACGGGGGAAGAGTCACACAAGGATTCCGTAAATAGGCCTCAAGTCTTGGAGGAGCCTCGGCCGCCAATTCTGCAGCCAATCCAGAAACAAAGAGCAGAGGGACTGAATGACAGAAAGTTCATCAAGATTGAAGAGGAAAGCATTGCGAGTGCTTCGACACCATCACGCCCGAGTAACAAGATCAAGAAACAGAGAGGCAAATCACCGGCAACTTGGTCTGTCTCCGCTCCCATCGGTGGATGGTTCTTACCTCAAGACCCCTTGTTCTCACTTGATGAGAAATACCTGTTCCTCGCGGATACCAGATCTGTGCAGGTTTATTCTACTGAAACTTCTCTTCCTATACGCACTCTTGCAGTTGGCTACGGATACATATCAGCCTACGCTCTTTCGTCTACAAATCCCGAACACCTTTACGTCGCAAATTCATCTGGCCTGGTCACTCAATGGGACTGGACTAATGGAACGAAGACAGCACGCTGGGAAATCAAGACAAATATTCGACAGATGACAGTAGTGTCGCAGGCGCAATCGAACCAGGATCTCGTGTTCTGCCATGAAGTGGAAAATAGTCACAAAATCAACGTGCACGCTTTACGCACGCTTGACCAAGCTTCCCAAACGGAATTGAAACAGGTCTTGAAGTCGAAGTCAGCTATCAGCGGATTCCAGGTCTTATTAGAGGGAATGATCCTGATTGTTGCCTGCCAGAACTCGATCGCAATTGGCAAACGTGCGAAGCTTCACAGAACTGCCGTACAAGATTTTGAGTACACATGGCGAGAGTTCCGAACCACCAAACGGATAACGGCATTCAACGCGTATGTACGGATCCCGCAAGCTTCAGGAAAAAACAAAGATGCTTTACAAGATTCAAGAATCCATCTTAATCTTGCATTTGGGGATGAGAACGGCGTAATTTATCTTTTTGATGATATGCTGTCGTCGTTCGCCAGGTTCGAGAGATCCCAGAAGGATAGTGGAAAGACAACTATGGATCTTGATACACTCAGGCCAAAGCGTCTGCACTGGCACAGAGACGCCGTTAGGTCATTGAAGTGGTCGAAAGATGGTAGGTTCTCAGAAAGAGAGAGTCGTGCATTATGAGGCTGACTGTAATAGCTAACTATCTAATCTCTGGAGGAAAGGAGACAGTGCTAGTGATCTGGCAACTCTCCACCGGAAAACAACAGCACTTGCCTCACTTGACTGCGTCGATTGAGAACATCGTAGTCTCTCCATCGGGTGCTTCATACTCGGTGTTTCTGGCAAATAATTCCATCATCGTATTATCGACCTCCGAACTCGTGGCTAAAACGAACATTGTCGGAACCCAATCGCGAAGGATAGAGCTTGAGCAAATGCCCCGAGCATCAACATCCAACGACTTTCCCTTCGATATCTTCCATCAAGTCCCAATGGCCGTTCATACAAAGAACCCCAGTCAAGTCATGCTGTCGGTGCCATCATCTCAGCCTCGAAATGAGCATCTGCGAATTCCACCGCCCCAGCCATACCTGCAGACTTTCGATTTCGCCACCCAATTACACGTCTCGCGACAGGCTCTCACGCGAAACAATGCGACGGACCTCAACACCGGACCCGATAAGACAAAGATTCAAGAACCAAATGTCAAATTCATCCAAGTCAGCCATGACGGCAGGTGGTTGGCAACTGTCGACGAGTGGACACCACCACCAATAGATATGGGCTATCTTGAAGAAGGCATCCCAGAGTTCAATGAGGAAGAGCGGCTGTTTCGCCGCGAAACCTATCTTAAGTTCTGGAGTTGCGACGAGAAAAGCGCGCAATGGACTCTTGAGTCAAGAATCGATGCGCCTCACTCATTCGATACTCTCGGCACCAGTGCCCAAGTCTTCGATCTAATATCCGAACCGACTAAAGCTGGGTTCGCCACTGTAGGCGAAGACCGTTTCGTGCGCATTTGGAGGCCGAAGACGAGGCTACGAGACGGTATGACTGTGCGAGGAAACGACAAACGACATAAGGAGGGGCTTGTAACTTGGTCACTTGACTGGTCAATCGAGCTCTGCGGCAGATTTGACATATTAGACTCTAGTCCCAGTCCTCACTCCTTACTGAACCCTAGAAATTCTCGTTTGGCAGTGTCTGCAGATGGCTCTGTCCTCGCCGCTGGAGTTTCCTGGTCCTCAGATGCCAATACAGGAGTTATTCACATACTAGATGCTGAAAAGGGAACTGTACGACGTTCCATTACAGAATTAGACGTAACCGCACTCTCCTGCCTGGGGCTAGTTGGGCGATATCTGGTTGCTATCAGTGACTCGATCATGGTATGGGATCTCGTCGTCGATGAACTCGTCTTCTGCGTGCCCGTAGAGTTGCCTGGTATCGATCGCTCCCACCGACCTTGGCTTATTCGTTTGGCTACCAATGAGAACGACGGAACGTTTGCGGTTACATGCCCGCAATTTGAAAAAAATGAAACCTCTAAATCGCGCGGCACCCGATACTTTAAGAAAGCCACGACCAAGATTTTCGTTTTTGAGCCACAGAAACCCCAGGCAACTTGGTCTAGTACAGTACCAGACATCGTTCTCGCGCTCCAGTCTATGCAGGGTCGCAGAGGCTATGTTATCCTTGACTCTACAGCCTCAGTTCGACTTGTAAATCGGAAAGCGGTCGCGTTGCAGTTGATCACGCCTCCACCCGAGCCGACGCCCGAGCTTGTCAGAAGACGCAAGGACATAAAAGAAGATGAAGACGAAAATGAAGATGAAGACAGAGACGAAGAATCGAACGATTTCACCCAAGGCCAGGAGTTGCTTCCAGATACGGAAAACGACAAACCAGTGGTCACGCCGCAGCAACTACAGGAGATATTCGACCTTAGCTCTTCAAACACCCTACCGCCGGTCAAGGAACTATTCAATGCAGTTGTGGGGTTGTATGCAAGAAAGCCAAAGGCACAGTGAGGGTGGCATCAATCTGTAGCAGATAGATTTGGGCAGAAAACAATTTCCGATGTTCAAGTATATGTTGCACACATTCAAGAGCAATCCCAGAGATATAAATATGGTACGAGATGCAAAATCCTGTGGGAGCGCATGAGGATCCGTTTCAATCGGTGATTTGAGGCTTGAGCGTCAGGTGACGCAGCGTACTATCAGGTAGACTTGCCCTCTTGTGGCGAAGACGATATCTCTGAGTCCTGGGAAGTCCTGAATGCATAGACGCTTTCACAAATAGAAAGTTGCGTTCAGCCTAATTCAAAAGTTGCTAAGATCACCGCCAATCGTGCAGAAAATGTTCTAGCGTCGGGTGATGGCTCCGACACCTTCCTTCTCAGCTCCCCCATCAATTTTCAAGCAAACAACCTCACTCGCTCGCCAAAAGGCGCGCGCAATTTCACCTTCTACTATTATCTCTTCTTGGTTGCAGGTTAGAGCGCGGCAAGTCGGCGGTTCCTGCCTTCCAAAACATCGACGAGACCAGCCAGCAGTTTAGAAGCCACACTGGAAGAATTTTGTGTCTTGAGGTTTCAGGAAGAAGGCTTATCTCCATGCGCCACACTAGGCGGCGTTAATACATGTTTATTGGCAAATCACCTGCGCTTAGCTTGAACGACCTGCTCTCCTAAGCCTCTCCGGAGACCGGACTCGTGGAAGGTTAAACTCCTGAAACATAAGGACACCCACTGCTTACCCCAAATGGGCATGAGTGACGGCCACCCAGACCACTCAACGTCCCTCGTGGTATTCGCCTTCGGTCCATCCTTGAAACAAACCCTCGCGACGCAGATCCTAAGAGCTGCTTTAATCTGAGCAAGCAAATCCCCGCGTCCAATCGACTGCCTAAGCAGTGTCGTGTCCAACATGTTACGGCAATGACCGAGGCCGCGTGCTTTTGACAGACGAACCCATGGCAGAAGCACGACCTCCGTTGTCATGCGCCTACTTTGGGACCAAGGAAGAGCTATTGTTTATATATCTTCTGGTTCCTGCAAGATGCTGGTCCACTGTGCATTGCAGATTTTCATTCTTTTCTCCAGTATAATTTATATTCTTACGACCAGGGCAAGACCCTGCAGGAAGCTCATATTATAAACGTCGAAACTATGGGTTACGGTATTTTTTCCTTTCCTCTACCCTAAGATCTTAAGGTAACCTATTACTAATTATCGTTAGGCGGATCTTTGACCCTTTTAAATGGGTCACCTTTCGACTGGACGCTGAGCGGCCAACATGCATATCAGATGGATACCTGGAGCTGGCCGACGATAAGCGCAGGTACTAGAAGTCGGAAAGGAATCATTTGTGATGACATTGACATTACCCAGGCAAAGCGGCAAAAGTCCAGGTCACATTTGGAACGAAGGGACATACTGGTGATGACGCTGGTGAAGCATATTACAAGCTCGCTGGAACATCCAATACGTTCCAGGTCCAGGCTCGTAAACCATCGGGTTATAAATTAACGATTAACCTAGATGGGATGTCAACAAAGACCAGTCAGAAAGGATCCAACATCGATCTAGGCTTTAGACACGATGCTGCGGTGAACTTCATCGTATCACAGGATGAGGCTGGGCAGTTTTGGTCGAATACCGGAACTACGACAGACTGGATGCAGCAGGGGTTGGGCTCTCTCGGGAACAGAACACTCAAACAGATATGTATGCCTGGATCTCATGATGCTGGAATGAGCACCTACAAACCAGGGACAATTGGTGCAAACTTTGCGAATACACAAGCACAATATCTCGACCTTTATCAACAGCTCATGACAGGATCACGTTACTTCGACCTACGACCTGTCATCTCAAATGGGCAATGGGTGTCTGGACATTATTCTGAAGTCGAAGGAGTGTGGTTGGGTGGTAATGGTCAGTCGTTGTCGGATATGGTCAAACAAATCAATGAGTACGGCAAGCCCTTGAAATACGTCACAGGCTCTAAGCAGCTGACCTCTAGCAGTTTCACCTCTCAGTACAAGGAACTCATTATCATCAATCTAAGCCACACCCTTGACACGGACAATGACTACAAGAACCTCTCCCAGGATCAGTGGAACAAGCTGTTCGACACGCTCAAAGGCATCAACAATCGACATGCCGTCAGTAATCCAGGCAAGACAGACTTTACCAACACAGTCCTAAGAGAGTTCATACAAGACCGCGCCTCCGTCTTCATCTTCGCACAACTTCCAAATGGCATCTCCCTTGGTGATTATGCCAATCAAGGCTTCTTCATGCAGGACAACTTTCCTATATTTGACTCGTACTCAAACTCTAACAACGCTGGAACCATGGAAAAGGACCAGCTCCAGAAAGTCAAAGACAACCGGAATCTCGTAGCAGACGCCGGCCAACGTAAAGACAGATTTCACATACTCTCCTGGACCCTGACACAGCAGCCGGAAGACGTCCTAAACCCAGACAAAGCCATCATGAACCTCGGAGCATCCGTCTTTGATGACCTGATCAGCAATGCTTACAACTCCTTTACCCCACAATCCTTCCCGAACGTGCTTTTCGTCGACGCGCTAGGCATACGAGACAAGCCTGTCATTTTTCCGTTTGACAAACCGGTGTCTGTGGGAACGAATTTTGACATCGCTGCACTCGCCATCGCAGTCAACAACGGCATGGCGGGCCGTAATAGTTACATCACTGGAAGAACATGAGACGCTGGCCAAACTAGATTTGTTTTCCTCGTTTCGATCACCCTATATCTAATAATTGAATTAAAGACTTTCTCTTCAACGAAAAGTGTGTCGTATTCGGGAATGCATGATGCAAGACCAAGGTTTTTCCCTGAGTTGTTGATGCATCGCTGTCGCTGGACCCGACACGGTCCGGCTCAGCGAAGGGGAAGCGCGCGATGACCTTCTCACACTGCACTCTATAGGTGGTGACGAAGTCGCCTTTATTGATGGCGTGCGGATGCGATCAAGCGACTCGTCATCGCGCGAGTAATGCGGGATGCCAGCGATGACATGAATTAAGGCGAAAGTCTGACAAGGAGAAATTAAAATTGCAGTGCAGACATGTAAATAGCGAGATCGTCGGGTCCGCATTCGTGCCTAAATTTAGGCGCACGGCAGGGCTGGCTGATGACAGTGTTTCTCCAATCATTTTTTAGGGGTTCCGTCATGCCACCGCATGGTGATTGATGGAACGATTAAAGAGGGTCGCGAGAAATTACGGTCCCGCCGTGGTGCTTTGGGGACCTGGTTCGATGGTCGAGGGAATCCTGGGCTTCAGTGGAGGGGTTTAGCGGCGTTAAAGCTCAAGGTCGACCCAGCCAGCACACCTAGGATGGGATACGAAGTGCTAGGCCCTAGGCGGACAATGTGTTTATTGTTTTGGCATCGTTTGCAAAGATTCTCCACACTCCATCAGCATGTCTTGCAAGCAATTCATGACCTTCCCATCAGGGCCGCCACCAGCAGCACCAGTGGATGGGATTTGGGAGAGCGCGTGCGTAGCCAGCGTGGCGGCCCGGCGCAACGAAATGACCTCGTCTCGCAAAACGGAGGCTGGATTCCAGAGATCGGAAGAAAAGTTAACACACTGGGGCTTTTGTCCTCGGCTGAAGGTGCGAGATCCAGGGGTCGGACTCCTCAAGAAAACATCGAAAGATCTCAACGACATGGTGGCTTCGGAGAGATAGACGATCCGAGTGCCTCTCGACGCGGCTCGCATATCATTTCTTCATGTGAAGAAAGTCGCCGTTAACGAAGCGAGAGCAACTCCCCAACGCAATGCACGGCAGTTGATCGATAGTAACCGCCTCCTCCACAGATTGGCAAAAGCACCTCAAAAACCATGGCATTGTCAAGCGGAACGGACGGCATCTAGACCAACAGCTGGAGCAGAGCTAAACTTTCGAGGGGTCTTTCGGCGCTAGGAACCTTGAGGATTTCTCCTCACACTTGCCACGCTCCGTAGTCGCACACTCAAGCAGGCGCTAGTAACTCTGACCTGTCGCGAAGCCAAGTCGAGTTGCTCGAGCGCAACTTCATTGTACAACGCTGCCCGCAGATACGGCATTGAATATGCATCATGACGAGCGTCGAGAGTTTCGAGTGATGAAGGGAATTGCTCTTGGGCGGGTTGTTTCGACACCTCAACGCTGCCACTGGTAGGACTTATTCACCCTCCCTTCTTGTTTGTTGCAGATGTTGAAAGGACGTAGAACCCCCATCCCAATCATAGCTTTAGGCCGATAAAGCCACCCATTCCTGATGGCCGCCTCCCCTTTTCAGCGCAGGAGAAGGGTTTTGGGTGTGGAGGCGTGCGCAAGCCGGATGTTCCTGCATCTCCGCAACCCCGTGCGTGCCCGTCATCATCCAATGGCATCCTTGTCCTATCCCCAAGCGACGGCGACCACGTCGCCGGGATATCCAAAAGGGCAAAGCCCAAGCTCGTTCCCGGCATGAAAGCTGCTTTCTCCTAGGCCGCCCGTCTTGGACAGGGCTGAAATGCGCCGTCGTCGTGCTAACTTCTGGGCTGCAAAGCTTCGAGTCAATTTTGGAATTCGCTTCAAGGATTGCATGGCTGGTCTGTAGATCACGACGGGGTTTTTAAACCTCAGTCGACCCCTTGATATCTTTTCCTTCACCTTTCACCTCCATAAAACCTATTCTACCTGCCTCCTTGTGTGGCGTTGCATTCGCTTTTCATTACTTCTTAAAGGTCTTTCGGTGTGTTGGTATTCCAACACCCAGTCACTCGCTTCCTCCCCCCCCCCCCAAAATAGAGTAGTAATCATTCATAATAATACATAGCGGACGACTAGCTACCAAGACCCACTATGCACTTCTCAACAGCTCTCGCCGCCGCCGCCGCTGCGATTGTGCCTCTCGTAAATGCCCATGAAGGAGCTCCAATTCCCAGGATCGCGGGTCTTAATATCAAGGATTTAAAGGCTCGGGATATCTTCACGAACTTCAAGGTCCGACAGGCAGCCGATGTCGATCATCACGACGCGCCGAAGAAGCGCTCGAACCTGGAGGCCCGCCAGAATACAGATGGACAGTGTGGTGCTGGATTTGGATCGTGTGCGGCGGGCTACTGCTGCAGTGAAGGCGGATGTATGATTGAAGCCATGCCTCATGTGAAAGATGTTGCTAAGAAATAACAGGGTGTGGAAAAACCGCGGACTACTGCTACTCCCCAGGCTGTAACTATAAGTATGGTCCCGGATGCCCTGAAAATGTGACGCCAGCGGGCACCAACACCTCGACCGTTGCCCGCACCAAGGTTGGTTCCGTAGCGTACGGAGGAGCTGGTATCTATAACTGTGTTACCCCTGGAACTGTTGCCATTACATATGATGATGGCCCACTCCAGAACTACACATCACACATTCTGGACATTTTTAAGAGCTATAACGCAAGGGCTACGTTCTTCATCACTGGGAACAACATCAACAAGGGAGAGATCGACCTCGCTTCTACTGGTTTCCCTGCTGTTATCCAGCGCATGCACACCGATGGACACCAGATCGCCTCCCACACCTGGACCCATTTGGATCTAAGCGCCATCACTGCCGTGGATCGAAAGAATCAGATGTACAAGAATGAGATGGCTCTCCGCAACATTCTTGGCTTCTTCCCCACCTACATGCGCCCACCGTATTCGAGCTGCACGTCCGCCTCCGGCTGTGAGAGTGACTTGGCCAACCTGGGCTATCATGTGATCTATTTCGATGTTGACACAGACGACTACAACCAGGATTCGCCGAATCTGATCCAAAACGCCAAGAATTACTTCAAGGGTAATATCACCGCTGGAGGTGCGACGGCGAGCAATTCCGACTGGCTCTCCATCAGCCACGACATTCACGAGCAGACTGCCTATAATCTGACAGACTTCATGCTCTCGACCCTCACCGGCCTTGGCTACAAGGCTGTCACTGTCGGCGAGTGCCTGGGTGATCCATCCGCCAACTGGTACCGCAACTCGGCTGGCAGCACCGGATCAGTCTCGACATCAACTGTAAGCATTTCTTCCATTCACACGTTAGGCCCGTAGTAGACTAGTGTTTTGCGTGATTGTCTTTCGAATTTTCCTACCACTTTTAAACTGAACTTTGTCTGACTCCTTCAAGCCCGTCCAAACTAGCACCCAGGTCTCTTCAACCAGCTCTGCTCCATCCGCCACGGGTACCAAGAAGGTTTCAACTGATGCTACTTGCGGCGGAACAAACGGATTTACTTGCCAAGGGTCGACCTTTGGCAACTGCTGCTCTTCAGCCGGCTGGTGGTAAGCTCTCGCCAACTTTTCTTTATGCACTGCTTTTCAACTCGACAATACTCTGCCCGACACAAGTCTGATCTGATGCCAAGCGGCCAAACAACCGCGTATTGCGGTACTGGCTGTCAACCGAGTTTTGGAACATGCTCTAGTTCCAGCAGTATTAGCAGCGTGAAACCCTCAACCTCTTCCAAGCCCGTGTCCTCCATCAGGCCCTCATCGACCTCGACAAAACCATCTGCTTCTGCCACTCCCTCTGGCAAGACCGTTTCGACTGATGCTACGTGTGGTGGTACCAAGGGTTTTACCTGCCAGGGTTCTACCTTTGGTAACTGCTGCAGCGTCAACGGCTGGTGGCACGTTAACTTTTTAATTTTTTAGTTTGTTTGTATTTGAACAGAAACTAACATAATAAATAGTGGCTCCACCTCAGCTTACTGTTCCACGGGTTGTCAAAGCGCTTTTGGCACAGTGAGTTTTATTCTCCTTAGTACAGTGGATGGTGTCTAATAGATTACATAGTGCGGCACCAGCGGCACAACCTCCTCCCCAGCCCCGACCTCGACTGGAAAAGCTATTTCCACCGATGGAACCTGTGCTGGAACTACTGGCTTGTAAGAGCCCCTTCAATCTGCGTGACGACCGCACTCACTGACTGCAATTTAGCACGTGCCAGGGATCAACCTTCGGGAACTGCTGCTCCCAGTATGGATGGTGCGGGTCGACGACTGGACATGTTAGTGTAGCCCTGTCTTATTTCCATGAAGTGGTGCTAACTTATTTCACAGTGCGGAACTGGCTGCCAGACTGCCTTTGGCACCTGTACGTAAGCAACCTAGGAGTGGAAAGAGCTCGAGATGGCAGTGGACGGCGATATCGTCAAGTAAGTAGGAGGAGGGAACGGAGAGCGATCATTGAATGGTGTTTTGACGAAACATGGGGTGTTTAATAAACGCACGCGTACAGCGTGTTAGCATATTTCATGGAACATGAACAAGGTGTGTTTAATCTAGTGAACCTCTTGCTACAATCAGAGCACATACAAATAGGATACAAATACCTGTGATGAAATACCCCCGTTACGTTCTACTACATTTCACGAAGTGTCACAGCGTGGACATCCCTTGGAACGGTCTCAGCAGACTTACTAAGTACGGCTAGGCTTCCATAATCCCCTTCCAAGGGAATGCTGTATGATGCTCATTCAAACTCCCGTTACGAGCAAACGTTTTACCGCAACTACGCATTATCCCGACACCATGTTTTTTCTGCAGCGGTGTTTCATTGTATCCGTCGTAAATGTTTAGGTGCAATTGAGATCCAAGCATTTGATCTGGTCTACTTGTCCTCATGACATTCTGCGTACCTAGTTAGTCTAGGCTTATAAAGAATTCGCCACACCAGGGATGTACGCATTTGAAATCTCCCTGCTTCCAGTTGACGACGTTGTAGTGCAGTTTCATGTATGCTCAACTGTCAAGTTTCTTTCCGCAGCCCAGCCATCAAGCAACATCTGAAATTCCTTTTACAATGCAATTCAACATCGTGGGTCAACTTCGCATTACAGCCCTCAATTGAACAAACCCCTAGTCCTGGAGTGCGTGAAAAGGATGTTGTTGCCCCAGCCCCCTTGTCCACGCTTTATGGTCTCTCATGTACTTGCAGCAATCCAAACACCACATGTCCACTCCGGTAGCAGGGCTGTTGTAGTACCCACCACTAGGCTGGCATAAATCTGCAAGAGAGGTCGTTTGGCCCTATTTCACGGTGACAAAGATAGTACCGATAGCGTTGTGTAGCCAGAAGATCGAAGTATTCTTCTCGCATTCCCTTGAGAGAAGGTGCTAATGTGGTATGGTGTAGTGTAGAATGAGAAAGGGGGCTGAGCGCAAAGTTTCCTACGAATGAAGTCTGGATTCTACTTGAAACATACAAATCGCTGCCCATTGACCGAAATTCACCTAAAATAATTGGCGCCTACCTTCATACTCTATGAAGTCCTTTTATCTCTACCTCCGTCTATGGAGGTGGAGGGTCATTCTTCCATAAATACCACTTCTACCAAACTACCATAAGTCAGCAAATAGCAAACTGTAGAATGTAGGGATGGAGCTGGAAAGCAGCAATAGGATCCAAGAAGAGAAGAGACGTCCTTTGTGCTGGTGCTGGTGCTTACTAGATCTGACATTTGAACGTCGCTTACAACATTGAGGTTAACCTCAAGACCACGAAAGTAAATGAACTGGATGAAAATAAAAGCACAATAGAAAGCAAATAGAGGCTAAGAATATATGTTGAATGAAATTTAGGGATACACGTCGATCCTGTTGGGAGCAGCGCGAAAGGTTGGTGTCCCCAAGGCGGACAGGTTGGAAAGCGGATTATAAACTCCTATAGGGATCGAGTATTTCTATCAAAACGTACGTACACACATTTCCGCTCGACGCCCTTGGCTTTGAGCGCATGCGTCCATAACACAATTTGCTCGAACACCGTTCATAATACCAACTCCAATCGTCTAATGCAGATGGTATTAATGCTGCCTCCGTTCTTCATAACGTCAGTAATCCATCCTTTGCACCAGTCTCCCTTTGTTTCCAGATACTCATGAGGTACCCGAGGAGCCCAACTCCGTAGAACCAATTTTACTCGTCCAATTTTCGTCCCTCAGACTTCCTCGGCATCGATCTCCGTCTCCTCCACATCCTCAACCGTGATCCTGACTACATCATTCTTCCCCACGTGCTTGTTGCCCAAGCTGCAGTGTACTGCAGCGCGGACGTGAGTATGGCAATTTTTGGCTTCGCGACGCAGGAACGGGACCTGGAGCGCGCCCACAACAGCGATGAACGCTGAAGCCCACCATGCAAGTGGCGTGAAATGAATTTCGATCCCGAGACCATACAGCGCACCAGCAATGGGACTCGCGACTGTTCGACACGCAGCACCCGTGCTAGCGGCAAGGCCGTTGATTTTCCCGAGATGATTTGGCGATGGCGCGGACTCCTTGATCATGATCAAAAGTAGCGGGTACGCGAGGATGGAGAAGAAGTTCCGGATGGCGAGACAAGTGTAAATAGAAGGATAGAGCCAGGTTTGAGGGAGTAAGGTAAGGTATGGGATAATGAAGTAGGCAATGGGATGGCCAACGGTGACCAGGATCAACAGTTTCCACACGCCGAACCAGAACGCCATAAGCGGGAATACGGCACCTTGAATTACGAGGGCGATGATCCCATTGAATGACATTATGATTCCCACGTCTTGGATTGATAGACCAAGCCCGCCGGCAAACGCAGATGGGGGAACGGTAAGGGCTGAAATGTCGTTGACTCGCTTGTCTTGGAGGAAGATGGGAAGTAGGTGGTCGTAGGTCATCTGAAATCACATGAGCATGCACACTGAATTACTGCAGAACTCGGCATCCTCTTGAAATCCCCCCAAATTGCCGCAAGAGCTTAAAGGGATCAAATGCGGCCTGACTATAGTCTAACATATTGTGGAACAAATGCACTTGGTAAAGGGATTTTGACTTACAGAGTGGTAGGTAAAGATGCCCAGTGCAAGAACAAACATGGCTACAGATTTAGTGATGACCTTGTCGTTTGGAGACGAACTCTCCGCCCACTCGCCGCTCGACCTGACCCGCCAAATCTCGTCCTTCTGAACATTAGCCGCATCAAAAGTCCCGTAAGATTCTGTCGTCAGATTCGCTGCCGCATGCGCTGTAGCTCCTTGTGCAGGTAGAAGTGGCGTGTCGGCATTGGATGAGTTGAGGTCTTGTTGGGTGCTGCATGGTTGCATGTCCGGGTGAGTTTCATCGAGAAAGGCGTAGCCTGCAATGATCGCTATGACGAGTAGAGCAGCACAAATAACGTTTGGCAGCAAATAAGGAAATCGAGAAAAGAGGCTAGAGGGAGAGAAAAGGGAAGGAAAATTATCAGTAGGTTCGGCAAAACACCCCCCAATGGACGCTACAAAATTAGCAACATGTCGGAAACTAATTAGGGGGTAGGTGTAGCCTACGTCCGATAATTGTACCCACGCTCCATACGAACGGCATAATAGCATATGCTCGTGCTGAGACCCAGTTAACGAATAGACTTAGGTTATTCAGGAAAGAGCAGGACTCGGGCCGGGGTCAATCCACCTGCCCTCAAGCTGGTACAGGGGAGATTGCTAAGAGGATAGAGATTCGTATCCCCAACCCCGCCTATCATGTGCCGTTATACATGCTAGCATGCAGTACGAATCGATTTAACTTACGTTCGTGCTCGGGATTTGTGACCAATTCTCCAACCATTGTTTGTATAACGCCTATATTGCCATTCAGCACACCTCCAAGGATTCTGCCAAAGAGGGCGATCCAAAAGTTCGGTGCGAAGCCAACCACAAGGAGGGAGGTAACCGTGCCCATGCATCCCATGAGCAAGACTGGCTTACGACCTATCCTGTCGGAGAGACTACCCCAATACATGCCGGTGCATGCTTCGGAGAGGGAGAAAGCGCTGATGAGAATGCCAGCGTAAAATGCGGCGTTCGACTCGGTGGTAACATTGTAATGAATGACAAGCTTCCAGGCGTATGGAAAGATGGAAGTAAGAGCAATTGGCTCCGCAACTCGAACAAGTGCTGCAATACGCGTCAATGCATGAGTCGACTTAGCATTTCGGAGCCCTCTTTGGACTAGCTAATTAGGTGGCTAGATAAGAAGAGTTGAAATACTCACCGAGAAGAAAGAGCTGGGTGATCGGAAACTTGTTGAGATCTCGCGGGCTTCTTGTTTTGGTGAGAAACATAACCTTGAACCTGATTTAGACCTTACGGTTATGCCAACGCGCGACAATAGCTCGAGAGATGGATACTGTGTGGTGAGTTGAGCTTCCGTCTGCGCTTGACCTGAAAGACCCCAGTTATGGACAAGACTATCTGAAAGCAGTAGAAAGAAGGCGTGTGTAACTTGATAGAAGTCTGAGGAATGTGAGAGGAGGAGGGAGGGCACAAAGAGAAAGCGGCTAGGGAACGAGTTTTATCTACGTCGGAAATGTGGTCCTACCCCCAAGTCGATAGAAGTCTATCGGCTGAGAGCGGCCGTGCGCCTAGCCGGAATGCCACTTGCACGATCGTGGAGCTTCCCCCCACGAACCTGTTTGCAAGCACATCGCTAAAACGCTTCTCATCAACTGTGTTCCCGTATCGCACGCGGCAACTCTCCGGTTGCAAATGCTGCTTCGCTGTCCGTTGTCTAGCAGAAACGGACTGACAAAGGCTGGTCGAACCTGGCTGGTCGCATGCATCACATGCGTCGTCCCGTTAGGGTATCTAGTCAAACAGAGTTGATTGGCTCGCATCCCAACTGCCATGTGGGGTCGTCGTTAGCGTGCAAGAGCCTCCAGTCTTGCCTTGGTGCTCATTGCAATTTATCTTCAGCATGGAGCAGTCTCTTTTGACGTCACTGCTCATGTAAACGTTCCAAATTATAAAATTATCTCACACTAGTATCGGAGGAAGGGGGGAGAGGAAGTCCATGGAAACGCTTGAATAGAAGCGGTCAATCGGCTCGACGACGGGTCCAGCCTCGACATGCGTGACGTGCCGAGTTGTGACTAACGAATGAACGGTTCTGGCCAGTTATCAACTGCGAGCCCTACCCTGCAGCTAGAACACATTTTCACGCGAGCGCATCATATGACATTCTCCGCTCCCTATTGGTCAAACGGTAAGCACTGCATAGATGCTTATCCAGCACCTCCACCTTCTCTTGTCTCCCGCGCGTTGAGAGGAAGATCAAGGCAGGCTCAAACTAAGAGTGGTATTGAATGCTCAAAAGCCTCGAATGAAGTGTGACCTTTCGCAAAGTCGCATAATATAGGTCATCCTCACGTAAAATGACATACGGCAGCTGACGCCAAACGAAAGGGTTCGTCTATTATTGAAAAATATCAACTTGAAATGTCACCGAGGAGATGAAGCGCGGGCATCTTTTGAGGACGCTGCACATCTAGTGCTAGGATACATATCTCCACAAAACAAAACCGCTAGTCCTTCACCGTTCGGGGAAACAGAATATCTCTCATAGCTCGAGCCTCCGGACTGAACCTAGAATTCTGAAACAAGTAAAGTAGTTAGAGGGGAATCTTACTCACCCAGTACACCATGTTTTTCAATTAGGGTGAAGACGAACTCTGTCTACGTTCCCCTAGTCCTTGCCCTCGAAGATCGGTGAGTCTTCCCTGCCTCCAAGAATAAGGGCTTCTTACAGCCTCATGTGCGTAATAAAAAGGAGTTATGTACACTCCCTGCCTTTTCACTTTCCTCCAGCTACTGTGCCTCCGATTAACCCTCACCCGCAATTTCTTCCCCTTCTTCGTAAACTCACCCTTAATCTAATACCCACAGTCAAACAGGGTCTACAAGCAATCCACCTCTTTACCACTACTATTCCGCTTCTCAAGTCCTTCCAGATACACCTCCTCCAAGTCCTCGCACATAAGGATCCCCCGCATCTCGAAACTGCCAAATAGAACCAGAGATCCCGGGATCACATCCGCGTTCCTCGTCTCTTAATCTCTCGTCTTCGTCACCAATTTGCCCGCGTTAAACGTGAGACTGAGCTGGCGAAGTGTTAGGCACAGAATCACAAGCTCCACATGCAGATTATGTATGATTTCTGAACTTTCACGGCGAGAGGTGCGAAGCCGACCCCCGTTGTTAGGTATGAGGTGCTAGCAGTCCGGAAAATTGGATGTGTGGAATTTCGGGTAATTGGGTTTGTGGATGGTGGTCAAGATCTCGCTCTGTGTGAAGTTCTGCAGGATCCGTTGGAAGTCTCGATTGGCCGAGAACCCTTTCGCGATGAACTCCGCGGTGCCAACTAAGAATGAAGTGGCCGCAGGTCTCATCGCGCGGTTTGTGAGATCCAAGATTGCGTAGCCCAGATGAAGAGTCGTTACATTAGACAGTGGAAGGTTCAAGACGCCGCTCTCCTGTTCGGGCCGATGCAGATGGCCGAGAAACTAACAATGAAGTAGTGTCTGTATATTTCCTGACACGGTTCAAGAAGCAGGGGGGGAGAGTTGGTGAACGTACGGCCGTTGAGAAGACTGATTTAGGGACTGAGGGTTACTTAAAGCTCGTCGGACCCTATGTAAATGGCAGCCTCGGATATTGGAGCCTCGAACCGCTTGAGCCCACGCCATAGCAGACGCCATTCGACAACCTTCCGATATATTGGTTTGGATGGGTGAGATCAATTGTGGGTTGTCTCGTCGTAAGTGTTGTTCGGAGTCCTGAGGTCAGGCTATGAAGCAAGGAAGAAATATTGGGAGATAAAAGGTATGACTCCTTCCTGGCTTTGATAGAAAGGACTAAAATACCCTTCCGCTCCTCTAAATGTGATTGTTGTTAATTATCCTCTTCCACCGCCAGACACGTCCTTGATACCTTCCATCACACATGCAAGAAAGCAGTGTCACCTGTCAACGCACTATCACAACATATTTGCGCCCACCGTAGAGCACTGACAGAAATGCTTAAGCCTACCAAGCTGTTTACTGGGGTTAAGACGATCATGGAGCAGATGCAGATATCTGCCGTAAAACAGACCATTACAAATTCAATTGTGTCTTTTAGGAATTTAGTTAACTAGTATGCATTGTGAAGCTATTACGACGCAAGATTTCCGAATTAGTGGCACAAGACTGATTTTCAAATTCATGGCATGGAAAAATATAGCCGCTACCTGTAACTCCATCCGCTATCGTCATCGTCGTTACCAAAATCCTTTCATGTCACTATACATGAACAACCCAAATCCCAATCCCGAAGAGCAGGAAAGAAGTTAGCCGCTTTGCTCCACCGGCCCAGCTTCGCCGTCGTCTTCCAGTTCCTAAGTAGAAGCTGAGGGGGCAGCAGGCTCGGATTTAGCGCAGTTGGTGCAACCACACTTGCCAGGGGGGCAGGGACACTTCTCCGCCGTCGCGCCGCAATTGCACTTAGTCTTGTCCGTTCCAGGAATCTGCTCGACACCCGCCTCCTCAATGCTGGGCTTCTCGGTCGACGCTGAAGCAGCTGGTGACTGCTTGCTTGCCTTCAGATCTGCCAAATGGCGGGCCTCGTTGTGAACATCCATCACATTCTTGTTGCCAACCTCATAAAACTGCCTCAGTTTCTGACCAGTGGGCGTGCCAGCCGCCTTATCGAAATAGCTAGATAGGCCGCGCCATCCAGCAGTCACCTTTTCCGTTACACCCAACTTGGTGTCAACAGCTTGTGCTTTCTGGGTAGCATGGAAGCGGTCGTCAATAGTCTTGAGCGTGCTAGCAAACTTCGTGGTGATGCCGTGCTGTTGGTCGAGAGCCAGGCCTCGCTCGATGACCTTGTCGGAGATGACGTAGCCATGGGCGAGATACTCTGCGAAGATGCGGCTGCGGGGCTTCTGCTCTTGCTCGATGTCATGTGTGTCCTTCCCTTCCTCCTCTGTAGCAGCCTTATCTCCGGCAAGCTCGTCGATGGATTTGGCGGCACTAACGTGGACCGAATTGGGGCCGAGTTGCGTGTTGTCGAGGAGGAGGGCCGTCTTCGCGGCGGCCTGCTTTTCGAAGGTCACAGTAGCGGATTGAGTGTCGTCGTTGGTGGGCGTTACGGAGAGCGTCTGGATCTTTCCGCAGAAGCTGAAGAAGGACTTGATCTCATCCTGGCTCGTCTTCGTGGAGATGCCTTCGACGTGAACGGTAGTGGCCATGGTGAGGGGTGGTGTGGTGTGAGGGTGTTTCGGGAGAATGGATTGTATGGAAGAAAATATCTGAGTTATTCCGAGCGACTGGACTGTGAGGGGCGAAGTGCAAAGTGTAATGTGAGTGCAAGGGAGGAGAAGGTGATGGTGTTTATATGCGTCGTAGATTTAGAAAGTGCAGGGAGGGGCGAAGCCCGTTTGAGCTCACGCGGCAAATGACGTTGCTTGCGACGCCACTGTGGCTTATGTGAGTCGCGCCGCTGGCACATCTTCCCGCACAAGGAGTTTCACGGAGCTCACGCTTTCACATGCAAATTCTGAGGCTCAACCCGGTGCAATGCAGGCCCCACGTTCGAGGCTGGACATGGCTGCGTTACGCTGGAGAGCCCTTTCCTGTGATCGGAATTTAATTACTACAGGCTGAGAGGAATAATCCAAGAATGTGCTCCGAAAACCAAATATGCGTATGTACAGTACAATAGCTCTTCTATCCTACAACTTGGACTTCTCCTTCGGGCCGACAAGAGGGTCATACACATTCGAACCTAACGTATCTGACGGGACGGTAGCTGTATGCATGCTCAAGCCTCTCACGTCGACGAGCGTGGGATTCAAGTCTGAGATCTTTGAACAGCCGATAAGTCGCATGTTCATCTCCATCTCATCCTTGAGAAGCTGCATAGCGCGATCAACACCAGGCAGACCGTAGGCAGACATGGCGTATAGGAACGGTCGACCGATGCCAACTCCCTTTGCGCCTAGACAGAGTGCTTTGAGAATGTCTGTAGCGCGACGAACGCCCCCGTCGACATAGATTTCGATGCGATCCTGCCAGCCACGTTCGCGGAGCACGGGCATGACTTCTGACAAAACTTCGATTCCAGATCGTGCAAAATCCAGTTGGCGACCACCGTGGTTGCTTAAAACAACGCCTTGAACCCCGGACTCGATCGCGCGGATAACGTCCTCCACACATTGAACGCCCTTGAGAATGATGGGCATCTTGGTAATGCTCAAAAACCAGGGAATATCTTTCCAGCTTAGGCTGGGGTCGATGAAAGAAGAGATGGCACGAGCAGCACCCTGACTTCGATCCACATCATCGCCAGACGAGGATTGCACGCTTGACCCAACGTCGGAGAACTTTGAGCGCATGTCTTTTTCACGGCGGCCGAGCTGCGGCGCATCGACGGTGATGAACAGACCCTTGCAGCCGCGCTTCTCGGCATGCTGGACTATGCGTTTGGTGATGTCCCGGTTCTTGTTGACGTAGAGCTGTAGCCATTGGCATTGACCGTCTTCGGCAGCATCGCAGATCTCGTCGAAAGAGCAGGATGCTAGAGTTGGAATCATCTGGATAACATTATGCTTCTTTGCGCCCCTAGTTAAGATGACTTCTCCCTCAGGATTGCCGAGCTTTCCTAGTGCTGTCGCGGTTACATAAAAGGGCATGGAAACCTTCGTTCCGAGCATGGTCGTCGAGGTATCAATGTGTTCGACGTCTTGGAGTACTCTCGGACGGAACCATATCTTGTGGTAGGCATTGTGATTCTCTCGCATGGTCTACGGCATTCATTAGCAAGATGACTAGTAGTAGAGTAGGCATCGCAATCTCACAATCTCATCATCAGCACCACTCGAGTAATATGCCCATGCTGTCTTCTTCATGACATTCTTCGCAACGGCCTCGAAGTCCATTAGATTGTAGCATTGCTCCAGAATTGGCATTCGCTTGATCCTCTCCTGTCGCCCCTGCTCTTCTGGATCTTCTTCCTTCTCCTCTTTCTCCACCGTGCCCATGTCGACTTCCCCAAGATGTCTTGACCTGTCTAGGTACTTGTCTAGCGTATCGGGTGGGTGGATTGGCTCATACTCTTCCGTCGCATCTTTGCCAGCGTACTTGAGGATGATCTTAGGTCCCCCAGGATGTTCAGGCAAGAACTCGGTCACATCATAAGCCTTTCCGTGAATGATGACCCAACATGATTCCGGCGAGTTATGCTGGGCAATCTGCTCCCCCGTGAGCTTGATCTTCTGGCTATTGGTGTTATCGTGGTTCATTGTTGCGAAGGGGGTGAGAGGTGGTGTGAGGCCAATTGGGTGGCGTATGCACTCAGGGAGAGGTGGAAAGAATGGAGAGCAGCAACAATTCGATGAAAAGATTGGTTCTTTACGATGAATATGTGGTGTTGATCTTCCTATTTCAGGCCCTGAAGCTCATTGAATGCGGCAGTCCAAGGATGACGACGGCAGTACTTTTTGAGTTGGCTTTGCAGCCTCGGTCCATCTCTTCCCGCCGCAGCATCAGATGCCTACCACCGGCTGCAGCTGGGCGGTGTCGCGCATGGGGCGGACGGATCAAATCGAGCAAGCCGGATCGGCATTTGTAAATCGACTTTTCTCACAGGAAAGAATACCGAGTCTGAAGCCTCGAAATGCCCTCTCACGAAGCAGAAACGAGTCTTGCTTAGGCAAAACGCTGCCGCAGAACGCGAGCTGTGCTGCTACGTTCTGCACCAATAACGCAAAACAGTCTGCAAGCGCTAGGAAACATGCTACTTCCATTGAACAAATGCTGGGCAAACAGCAAAAACACCTGCATCACCCTTTATCAAACAATTTTCAGGCATTTCCACCTTCTCAGCCCGACCTAAGTCTAACATGGTTAAATATGGCCTTTTTTTCTAGAGGCGTCACATGGCTCCCCAGCCAAGCCCAAGCCCGCCGCTTGCGCCAGCCGCTCTCCCACAATGTCACTTGTTGACAGTGGATCAACATCTTATCCACAACGTCAAATCGTGAAACAGCTGTCACCACCGCGCGAGACACAAACGGGCACTTTCTCACCTCACGCCATGCAACTGGTACCCCGTCCTCCCACTCCATTTTCCTTCACCGCCCCCGTTAAGCCTTCGTAGGCTTCCCAGTGTCCCCGTCGACCCTGTTTCGCGAACAGCAGCCATTATTATTGCGTGCAGACATAACGATCGCTTCTGGATACCATCATGGCGAATAGCCTCGAGGCAAAGATTGTGGTTCTAGGGAGTCAAGGCGTTGGAAAGACATCATTAGTACATCGATACGTCAAAAACGCTTTTACTCCACCAACAACCACCTCAACAATAGGCGCATCGTTCCTGACTAAGAGAGTCATGGATATCGACACGTCCACTACTGTGCGCCTGCAAATATGGGACACTGCTGGGCAAGAGAGGTTCCGGTCTATCTCTAAGCTCTATTACAGAGGTATGAATACAAGAAGCCGCACATGCGACACCATCTCACACCTTCACGCCTCTGCTTCGCGCTTTGTGGCTACCCCCTTTACCGTAAACGCGACTCCCTGCATCTTTCCGATTTGAGTACCACGTCATCTTAAGACACTGCCCAATTCCGACTTTGGGCGTCCGTATCCATGGTCTAAGCGTCGGGCTAGCTCCAGGCGACCTAATGGACTTTTAGCTATTGTATGCTAACTGTGGTGATTGCAATAGGCGCGAATGCTGGGGTTCTTTGCTACGACATTACCGACCCCCAGTCCTTTGAGGAAATGGGTCGCTGGTTGCGCGAACTGAAGCAGAACCTCGGAGACGACATAATCCTTCACGTAGTCGGAACCAAATCAGACATCGTCGCCGAAGACCCCTCCAAACGCAAAGTGCCCTTTGAACGCTGTATCGCATACGTAGCGGAGCACCTCTACCCTACTCAGCCACAGAATTCAGCACCAACCTCTTCAAATGGCTGGGGGAGTGCGCCTGCGACCGGCAGTGGTGGACATAGTGGTGGCATGGCATCGCCTCAAAGCAACAGGTCGAGCGGATTCTGGGGACAAGACATTGGCTGGGACTGCTGTCACGAAATCAGCGCCAAGGACGGCGAAGGTGTCGACGAGGTATTCCGAGTCATAACCCGGAAGCTGGTAGAGCAACAACAGCGGAAATTGGAAGAAGAGTGGGCTCTAGCGGCCGGCACTCCTGGTACGAACGGCAACGGAAACATCAATGGCTACTTCGACTACCCGGGGGAGGGCACTGGAAGTTTCAGAGTCGGGATGGGTGATAAAAGAAGGAGTTGGCTAGGTTTCCCCACTACTCCCGCCGTAGGAGGTGAGCAGAGTGAGTGGGAAGGCGAGGTTGATAGGAGGCGGAAGAGCAAGGGCGGCAAATGTTGCTGAGGAGTGGAACGAAATGGGAGCCATGGTTTACTTTCCTTTTGCCGTCTGGATTGCCGACGGGCCCTCAGTCACACTCATCATCTGTACCACTATGACGAACCTCATGAATCAATCCGATCTGATTCGACGACGGCTTTCGACCTTTTTCGTTTAATACCTCCTTCCTTCTGAACCGGGGGCTCTCCACAAATGCCTGGCGAACCACCGATACTGCAGCACCTTACAATAGTCGTGCCGCGATCGAGTCCAAACTTCTTTCTTGGACATGAACAAAAAAAGGGCCACCACACAACCAATGGATGTCGTACGACACAAACCCTTGAATCCGTGTCACGTTATGGACGGGTATGGGAGACCCTTTTGGAATGTTGCGCGGACATGGTTGCATGAAGCTGACACAAGACGAGGTCGGTGGAAGATGTGCAAGTTGAAGGAAGGAAAGATTCGGATTTTGACTTTCTTTCCTATCATTTCTTTGTTCTGTTTTGGTTCATGGATGGCATAGCGGGGCGGGTATGTCTGTTTGTTTCTCTTTCTGTTTGTGGTGAATAGCATAGCGTTAGTGTAATGTACCTTTCGGGATGTGATGTAATACATTGTTTGACCCCTGTAAGTGAATCTAAACACGAGTACACAGCACATACAACAAACGAAATATGGGTATCATTGTCTAATATTCTACATGTACGACATCCAGGGGTATCTTCAAATGGTTTGACGGCGCCCGTCTGTACAGTCCTTAGCCATGAAGCTTGATCGCAATCTATACGCGTCTATTTCAGTCTGAGCATCAAAGATAGGTAGGGGATTCATGAAGCCATCTCGCCCATGTCTCACATTGCACTGTGCAGCTTCCCACTTCCTCTGTCAATAAAACTCCTGTCCACTTTCGAGTTCTCAATTCATTCCCTCTCGAACACCTTCTCCCCAAACTTCCAGACCTGATCGACCACCAACTTCTTATCCTGCCCAACACCCGTATCTTGCATATTCAGCACCACCAAATCCGCATCCGCACCCTCCTTGAGTGTCCCCTTCACATCCTGCAGCCCTAGCATCTTCGCCGGAGTCTCCGTAACCGCCTTCAATGCCTCTGGCACACTTGCACCGGTCCAATTTAGAAAATTTGTCACACATTCAATCAGCTTGATACTGCTCCCCGCAATCTTCCCATTTTCCTCAAGAGTCAACAGAGCCCCTTTCTTGATAATCCGAGACCCATTCGTCCAGTCATACGTCCCGTCTGGCATCCCAGCAAGCCTCATGGCATCGGTGACGAGGATCAAGCCCTCGGGATGGGCATTCCAGGCAATTTTGATGCTCGTAGGATGGAGGTGGATGCCGTCTGCGATGATGCCAAAATAGGGCTTTGTGCGGATAGAGGAGGAGGTTGTGCCGAGGAGACCGAAGATTCCTGGATTGCGGTGGTGTAGCGGCTTCATTGCATTGAAGAGATGTGTTATCATTGTTGCCCCGGACTTGATGCCTAGTTTGGCTTCTTCGTACGAGGCGTCTGAGTGCCCGATCGAGACAGTTATACCAAGCGAGGTGAGCGATTCGACGCAGGAGAGCGCTCCTGGGAGCTCGGGCGCGAGGGTGAGGAGTTTGATGGGGGACGGGGTTTGGAGATATGTAGCGCCGTAGCAGGTAGCGAGGTCAGTGAGGCCGTTTGGTGCAGTGCGGAGGACGGATACGTTGTGGATGCCGTTTTTGTTCGGATTAATAAAAGGACCTTCACAGTGTGCGCCTAGTGACTCTGAGCCGTACGTTGGGTCCCGGACAGAGCTAGGCGGGCCGAGGAAAGGCAGAGCCTACTCTGTGTTAGTATGTATGCTCGAACTGCAGGGGATCTTGTTTAGTACGGACTTGTTGATAGACCTCGGGACGCTGTGAAGTCAGCGTAGGCAAGTAAGATGTAACGCCTGTTCTGATGAGGTTTCGGTTGACACGGCGGACTCCTTTCCCGTAACTGACGGTGCCATCTTCTGGGATAACCGAGAAATCGAACCCGTAGGCTCCGTTGAGCTGCACATCTATGAGACCAGGTGCTAGGATGCGGCCGTCTAAGTCGATGATGCTGTCTGGCGCGGTACGGGCTCCATAGAGAATCTCTTGGCCATTAAGGATCTTCCCGCTTAGGGAGCTAATCCAGAGGTCTTCTTTGACAAGATTGTTCCCTTTCACGAGCAAGCAGTTGGTGAATTTGATAACGCCAGTACTGTGGCTATGGGGGTCGTGGCTGTTTATTGGGACGATAGATGGCATCTTGGGTAGTATCTCCGATGATAATAATAATAATAGAGAAAGAGGTTTGGAGTTAAGAGGGAAATGGAACAAAAGAAGAGCAGGTTTGTATGAGGATGAAATGGAAGGAACGATGGGTTGCGGTTGAGACAAGCTCAACAACCTTTGAAAACGACGAGAGACCTACAGTACATTTATCTCGACCATGCGCATGCTATCTTATTCTTCTGTGACGATCTCCCGTCATCACGAGCGGAATAAATTTCCTGCTAAGTCTCAAGGCAAGCCGCCTTTAAGCGTAAGCTACCTGTTCGCGGAAATGATTGGTTTAGTGAGTTTGTTGATGTGACGCAGCAACGAGCGTCCAGGGCCCTCAAGCGGCGAGGAGGAGAACTAGGTTAGTTGCAGTAGTATAGTAGCATTATTGTAGGTAGTATCGAGATGGTCTTCTTTGATAATGCCATAGCGGGGGTTGTCACCTGGGAGGGTGAGGTCTCGATAAAAAGTGGCCCCAGCGCTAGCGTCTCGGACAGGAATGAATGCTACCGTTGCAGACACCCTCTTCTCCATCTTTCATTGTTAACAAGCCGCCCCAAGTCACGTTCAAGCCTCCGTCCGCCCATCACAAACTCGGTTCGCGCCTCGAAGCCTGCGCGATAGGCCCCGTCACGATGGCGAACAAGCCCGAAAAGCTGGATCCCGTCTGGGATGATCTGGATAGGTAGGCTCTCCGTTTTTCTCCTATCCAAATAAAACGCCATGTGACAGACCCCCGGCTAACTGGCTCATGACGCAGGACTATGGTGGGTCTTTCGTTAAGCTGCCTGTCAATGTAGAGCCAGCTAACAACGTTCCGTAAAGGGACAACTGTTTATGATGGGCTTTGACGGCACAGCTGTCACGCCGCAGATTAGAACGCTCATCGAGAAACACCATCTCGGCTGTATTCTCTTGACTGCCAAGAATCTTAAATGTGAATTGCTATTGTTCTTAAACTTCTCGCGTCCATCGGCGTGTGCTTGGATGCTTACTGCTAACATTTTCTAGCCGCTGACGCGACAACGAAGCTTTGCTATGAGCTTCAGAAATGTGCCCACGATGCAGGCCATGCCGTCCCCCTGCTCATTGGCATCGACCAGGAAAATGGAGGAGTGAACAGTCTCTTCGATGAAATTTATATTCGCCAGTATCCAAGCAACATGGGCATTGCTGCTGCTGGCTCCACTGATCTTGCTTACGAGGTGGCGAAAGCCACCGCTCAAGAAATATCTGCCTGTGGCATCAACTGGATATTTGGCCCGTGCCTAGATGTGCTAACGAATGCTCGAAACCAGCCCTTGGGTGTTCGGACTGCTGGTGACGATCCTCAAGAAGTGTCAGCATATGGCGTTGCCTTCATGAAAGGCTACAAAGATGCCGGTGTCGTGACCCTCGGAAAACACTTTCCTTCTTACGGCAACCTGGAGTTCTTAGGATCGACACTGGATGTACCTATTATTACCGAATCTTTAGAGCAACTAAGCCTTAGCGCTCTGATCCCGTTCAGGAACGCCATCCGGCAAGGACTTGATTCCATGATGGTCGGAGGGTGCGCAATGTCTTCCGCTGGACTCAACGCCATGCATGCATGCCTTTCCGAACAGGTCGTGGATGGCCTTCTTCGATCGGACCTCAAATTTGACGGGGTAGTAGTCTCGGAATGCCTGGAGATGGACGCGCTAAGTCACAATATTGGTGTTGGTGGTGGCACAGTAATGGCTGTCAATGCCGGCTGCGATGTCGTACTACTTTGTCGCTCATTCTCGGTACAGCAAGAGGCTATCAAGGGCCTTAAGACTGGAATCGAGAATGCTATGATCTCAAAAGAGAGAATCTACAACTCACTCCGCCGTGTTCTAAACTTGAAATCTAAGTCCACATCTTGGGACAAAGCTCTTAATCCTCCTGGCATCAATTTTCTGGAAACCCTACAGCCGATCCATACCGCGCTCTCGACAAAGGCTTACAATGGGTCGATCACCGTGGTTCGAGACAAGAATCGACTCCTCCCTCTTTCCAACATTCTCGACAGCGAAGAAGAATTGCTCTTGTTAACCCCACTGGTAAAGCCGCTGGCCGCCTCAGCTGCATCTCGAGCACTCTCCGAAACTGCAGCTACGGCATCACCGGAACCAGCTGTGTGGGAACGGAGTGCCTCAGTCATGAGTGGAGAGCGGGTCTTCAGAGAACTAGGCCGATCCTTAGCCCGACAGCGAAGTGGACGTGTCCTTCACACATCTTACACTGCGAACGGCGTACGACCTGTGCACGAAAATCTCATCAATCGGGCAAGCGCAATCATTGTGCTTACGGCAGATGCCAACCGAAATCTCTACCAGCATGGTTTCACAAAGCACGTGTCCATGATCTGCAATATGCAGTACACCACTGGCGGCGAAAAGCGAGAAAAGCCACTGATTGTTGTCGCCGTCAGTTCACCGTACGACTTCGCAATGGATACTTCAATCGGGACATACATCTGTACCTATGACTTCACGGAAACCGCTCTCAACTCGCTCGTCAAAGTTCTCTATGGGGAACTGTCGCCAACCGGCACACTGCCAGGAACGATCAGTAAAAGCCAGAAATTGCACCACTCAAGACAGCATTGGCTAGTCGAGAACTTCAACGAGGAGCGAGACGCTAATGCGCTTGACAGCCTCATCACAGCGGTTATGGACGGGGCGCCACCCAACCAACGCTCAGAGTTATCGAGTGCGACGTCCAATTCCTTCATATTGCACCACCCCGAGGTCGAGGAATCACATTTCGTTGTACGTAACAGCAGCACACAGGCTTTGTACGGGTTCTGCTCAACCTACTTCTTCAAAACAACTGGAACTGGAGTTATTGGAGCACTTTTCGTAGATCCCGCGAGAAGAAAACTCTCAATTGGGCACTCTCTACACAACAGAGCTATTCGGACGCTTTTGCAAAAGGAAGGCATTAAGCGGTTCCAGTTGGGGTCACGGCTGCCGAGTATTTTTCTGGGGATCCCCACGGGGCACAACGCGGAGCGGAAGCGTCTGCGATCGTGGTTTGCCAATCTAGGCTGGAACGCTGCGCTATCTCGACCGGTGTGCAGTATGGTTGCCCGCAATTTGTCCACTTGGTCACCGCCAGAGGGTATGGCGAAGAGTCTGGCTGGAGCTGGAGCAGAGTTCGATCTGGTGTACGGCTGGGAATACTCGGCTCCAATTCTCGACCACATAAAAACGAGCAATCGCCAAGGGCTGGCAGAGGTCTATAAGCTCGCGCTCTCCGATCCTTCCGCCTGCGGTATCATCCGCGCAAAGCGGCCTGAGGACGGGGCACTGGTGGGCACAGTGGTGCTATACAACCAGCATTCACGATTATCGGAGTTTGTTCCTCCACTGAAGGATCTCAATGAGACTGCTGGAGGCATATCTTCGCCAGTAATTTCTCCTGCCGTGGGAGAATACTCGACTCTCTTGCAGGGGCTGATTCTTCTTGGGATGCGACAGATCAAGGCTCAAGGCAGCAACGCCTGCTTACTGGACTACGTGAGTGGCGACTTTCTCTATGACGATATGAGTAAGCTAACGTGGAGATAGATGGACGGCGATGGCAACTTTGACGGGTTTTCGGCAATGGGATTCGACGTGCTGCACAACTTTGAAGAGGTAAGCTGCGATGCGGCCACCTGGACCATGATCCCGCCATCATGAGAGAGCAAGAGAGTGTTTCAGGGGAAATCGATTTCGGGATGACTAAATTACGATTCAGGAGAGGAAAAGATCATTGGGTCTGGCTTGGAGTTTGGGATACCCAGGCGTTAGGGGGGGGTAGTTTCTGATGTAGTCCATTCATACAAGCCAGGGTGCTTGGCAAGGCTTGCCGAATGCCAGGAGGCTGGGGGAGCACGCAGGTACCGGATAGGTCGTGCCGAACAAAGAATACTTCCGCGAGATCTCGATGCTCCCGCAGCCCTTTGCGATTGTTTTTTTTCTCTCGGCAGGCGTGATGATGCCATGAAGCGACCGGCTGGCTTGTCGGGAGGCGGCTGACGACCGGCTAGAGTCGCCGAAAGGGGGGCGTGGAGTGATGGTGGAGCTTCCGATAGGGTGTGCTGATGCAGCCCCGGTCGTTCGGCTCGTCGGCCACACAGGGCGATCGAGCTCCTGCGCAACAGAGACTTTCTACCTCTGTTGAAGACTTGCACAGCAAACAGGATAGGGAATGGGAAACAGTAGGGCGGTCGAGACGAAGACAGCTGTCAAGCTCGCCGTGCCGCCAACCTGCCGCGACGGGGAATCGTGGAGGTCGAAATAGAGCTCACTTATTTTTAACCCGTCGCTGTACGGAGCCCCGCCCGAGCGTCCTCCACCGCCTCCCCCTTCCAAGGGTTGAAACGGCGCCCCGCCGATCAGCTCAACGGCGGCCACTCAGCCTGCCACTGCTTCGAGAAGCCTTCCAAGGCCTTCCAGAAGAGGCCCACTATCTTCACAAGATGTGCTCGCGGTTGGTGAAGGAGGGCGCACAAGATAGCAGAAACTGTGTGAGGGCATGCAGCCCCCCTTCTTCGGGCGCCCGACTGTCTTGCCGTTTAGCCAGGGCGCTGCCCCCACTGCAGGCCTTCCGTCGGACCCCTTCTAAAATCGAGGAAGACTTCCGCTGCCTTGGCAGGCTCTGCATGTGATCCCTTTCGGGGAATCGTCGTCGCACCCGTGCCCACACATGTCCTCGGCGACTGGGACACGCACAGAGACAGGACAAGCAGTATTGCTTCGTGCGCGAACTGTATTAGCCACTCTCATTTCCGGCCCCAGGTACAACCTTTGAGCCGCTGACTGCGCGGCCGCTGCTGCCGGTGCTGTTCTGTCTGCGATTCTGCGCTCCAGGCCGCCGCTCGCCAAACCCCATCCCAGCCGCTCACCCCAGCGAAGCGCATCCTTCCAGTTCTCCCCCATCTGTGCCAAATATCGCCAGACGGCGCCCGCTCTGCCATCCACCAACCGTCCGCACACGACCTGCTGTCCCTGGCGCTGCTTGCTTCCCATGAGCGCATGCGCTGCTCCGCAACCGATCTGCCTCTCGATCCCGCCCCGGCCATAGACGAGCAATGGAGGGCTTCGATACGATCACCATGTCCTACTTGGCAACCCCAATGTCACTTCAAAACGTAACCGCAGCGGACCAGCAGCTCTCGGTGCCGATGTTGCCGCTGGACTCTCTCGATCAACGCTCTAATTACGACGCGGAGACCTTCGCTGGGTAAGCAGACCTATCGGCCATGGCCCTCTTTCCTCTGCTGACACTATTCCGCAGTAGCGATGATGCCACATTCGGACAGCACGCCATACAACCTCCTCCACCGCTGAAACGCTTCTCGAGTGCCTACGAAGACCCTTTCTCTGATGTCCTGAGTGGATATGAACCTACGATCCATCCCGAGCACAATGGAGCCCCCGAGAGCCCCAGCATTGAGCGCGACAACAAGCTGCTCAGCTTCTCCCTACCCAATGTTCCGTACGCCATCCTCGACTTTGCGATGCGACGGGTGTCGATATCAATGTCGGCACAGCTTCACGGCATGTTTTTCCTTGCCGAGTCGCCCTGGGCGACGGCGGGCGATGTGGCGGCACCGCCAACCGAGTTGACATGCTACCGAAGAAACCTCTTTCAAATAACCGGGACCGTCACCTTGCCGAGAAGCCTTCAGTTCATCATGACCGAACAAGGCGACCAAATCCCCATACTCGCCCAGGAACTCACAATTTCTGCCACCGAGTCGCTAGAAGGAAACCCTGTGAAAATTATATCAGTCCCATGGAAGACGCCTGCAAGCAGCACGGCTGTCGCGGAAGACAAGACGGAGAAAGAGCCTCCGTCATACCCCCTAGATCTGTCCACCGGACAGGATATGGACTCGGAGTATGTGAGTTTTCCCATAAGCTGGAAGAGGCTTCAATTCCGCATAGCAACGGCAAACAATGGGCGAAGGAAGGAGCTACAACAACACTTTGTGGTGCGACTAAAAGTCGTGGTGACTCTAGCAACTGGAGCGAAAATTCCAGTTTGCGAGGTCCACTCCGGTGCGATTATTGTACGGGGACGGAGTCCCAGGAATTTCCAGTCTCGCAAGGATTTGCCCATCAGTGGCGGTGGGAGCACGGCTCGAAAGACTGCGCATATGCCACAACAGCCTACTCGAACATCAACCGGTGATACAAACCATACTAACCACAGCAATATGCAGAGCAACCACAGCGCCACGAGCAAACCAATGGATGTCCTCCAGCTGCCCTTCGATTTCAGTGCGAATGATCTACCGCTCTCTCCGGATTTCCTGGACTGGAAGATGCCTGGTGGCGCCATGACGGCAATCCCGCCTGACCCACCTTCGGCCCAGATGCCTCCGATGACCCCGTATGCACAGTCTACTCCAGAGATCTCGAGGAGCGCACCACCGCAACGATCTTCTATGGCTCCGGTTACACTGTCCTTAACAGACGACGACCCAAAGAAGTCAGAGTCGCCTTCAGAACATGCGAAGAAAAGAGCGACGCCAGCTAGGCCGCCATCATTCTCTCTCAATCTCATCAGCAGCCCTGACGAGAGTGCTGATCTTCTGTATGAATATTTCCCTCTTGGCCTCGATGATTGGATGCCTCCGGTCGATGCTGTTTACCGCCCGCATGTTGTCCACCACACAAACCTTCCACAGGATCCAAAGGCACTTGCCGTAAAGAACAAGTCTAAGCGGTACTTTTCCGACGCTTGGTGAAAATCTTTTTCTAGATACCCTATTTTCCTTTCATGGGCTGCTATAGCACAGCCTCACGGCCGCAAAATGAAGTTGAACCGATTGTAGTTGTCAGATCTGTTGGTCGTTGGTTGTTGCCATGAGGGCGAAAGAGGTGTACAATTTAGCCATACCCGGACAGTGAGGGGTTAGGACCAGGCCAGATCCGTGGTTGTATCGTTACCCGCTAAAGGACGCCGATGTAAGGAGTGGTTGTGTCTTGGTGTGTGGCCCGTTGCGTTTGTCTGAGGATCTAGTCCATGGTCTGAGTTGGAGATGCGACGTCTCTGAGGTATCGATGACAAGATGCAACGCCGTGGCTTGCAATGCACGCCAAAAACAAGCTGCAGTCCGAAATTGCTATCCTTAGGAAAGAAATAATTGACTGGGTTCGCAATTTTTGAGTACCGGTATTAGGCGTGGAAAAATACGCTCGAAAAGCGAGTGAAGGAAACCAGTTTAGAAAGAACGACCGGACGACGGATCTCGAGGCTCGGTAGATAATTGAGGACGCGCACGCACGCAGGTGCCAACGTCAGGCTCCCCTGGATCAAATGTCACCATGTCTTCTACAACGTCAATCTTTGGGACGGGTTTGAGGGTATTTACCGACTAAAGGCGTTCCTAGCAAGGGTAAGGGATAAGGAAATCTTTTTGGGAGCATACATGTCTCAGAAAATGAAATCTGAATGAATTATCGAATATGCATTTGATATCATTATACTCTCCTGGATTCCCAAGAAGAGCAGCAGCATTATATCCCAGTCTTATCTAGTCAGAATCAATCTTCTTATATCTCAAGTTTATATTAGATTTACGTCCCCTGCTTCGCTCCTTCGGTCCCAATATCTCACTCTGTCTGACACGCAACGCACTCCGGAAACCTTGCATTTTTCCTGCTCACTGCGACCTTCCATTCTCCTTTCTTGGTAGGAGAAAAAGGGCGAGGATGTAACGGGGGTTGGAGGATGTGTGGTTCAGTCGATGCCAGCGTCTCTTATTTAATAATAATTATGCACTTTAGCATTTTCTTCTAATGTCACGTTTCTTCAGCTCCCAACACCACGCCTCTACTACTCTAGTCTCGATTAGGGGTCGTGTTGAACTGCAGGAACCACATTTCGCCATTATTAGAAGCTTGAATGGGTGGACCACGGTGACCGGTTGGAAATAGCTGGATTTTGTGGACAAGAGGTGGCCACACGTGTCGGGTTGTGTTGGAGGGTATGGGCTTTGATGGGACGAGGGCGGATGGACCGCCGCGATGCAACGTAACGGTCAAACAGTTCAACTGCAGACTCCACTGAAACTCTCCACCCGAACCGAAAACCTCGTTTGCAAGTACTCGAGACAATCAGTGATAATCACGAAGCCACTATGCAATTATCTGACGCCGATTATCCGGATGGACAACTGGAGGTGCCCGTTGGTTCGTGAATCAATATCACATGGTTGATGTTTCCATATTCGATCAAATTCTCCCACCACCACAACAACTCCCTCGTGGATAGAAGCTAGACTTGCGAGCGACGGTTTTGCACGCTCGGTAGCGCAGCGGTTTTCCTTTTGGTGGCGATGAGGTAGTGTATCACTGCATGCTGCATCGCGAGACACTGCAGATACACACTCACACACATACACACACACAGGAATTAGGGACCAAGGATTATGTTGTTATATGCCTGCCCTGAACGAGAATATTGTCCGGTTGCTCGACCTTCAACGTTAACGTTTTATCTTTCACTGCATCCGCTTTACCTTGCATTATAGTCCGCTTGGAAAAGGCTGGCTGGCTGGGAGATGAGAACGAGAATGCACTCACGTCTTACTGGATTTCTTTCTTTCTATTTGCTACGAGCACTCTTCCTCCAATGCACGCCCGAAAGCCACATCCTCCACTCACGCGTCCAACTTGGTGTCCTCAACTACACCATACACACACCATCCCCCTCCCACGTATCATTGCCCCTCATGCCACCAGCTGCTAACTCATGAATCAAGCTTGTTGAGCAAGACTCGAAGCCGCAATCCACCGAAGCCTGCTCTCGTGTTTATCATACTACGTTCACTCTTCCCAAAACGACCCTGTATGCAACAATGCTGTACCTCCGACGACTGACCCGCTACTACCCATCTCCGGAGATCTTATCCCCCACAACGCCCGCCAGCCATGCCACTCTCTCTGAGTTCTGGTCACGCCAATAGCTCGTGCTTGCCCCCCTGTATGCAACAGCAACAATGCCATTGTGTCTAGAACTCTAACTGAATGCCTCTTTCTCTGTGTCAGTCCTCGTCTCCGTTTCCGTCTTACGTCGTCCCCGCAACCGACGCCATCCATCTTCACCGGTCCATCTCCAACTGCCCGCTGACAATACTCACCAAACTATCACCAACTCTGGTCTGACCTCCGCTATCCGTTACTCTTACCTCACGTGAGAGACCTCAGATGATCCCCATGGTCGCCGTACCTATTTCTACCGTAGCATTTCTGTGTGGACCTATTCTGAGTCTTAAGCCCTCGTTCGTACAGCTAGACTTGTGGAGCTGACCTGCACGCATCTCTATGCAATGCCACCTACCTGTCACTGGTGCTCTAGACTCTGCTACCCTCGGTGCTAAATTCGGCCCTTGGTCCTTACCCGGAAGAAGATTCCGCTCTGCTTTCGCTTCGCTTCGCCGCATGTACGATATACATGAAAGGCTTATGAGCCACTACACTGGTGACCTCTAGGTCTTGTGATGCGAAGATTCTACAGTGTGTCCACCTAGGTGCCTCCGGGAGAGTATCATGGAACTAAAACACCACTCACAGAAAGCAGACTCCAAACATCCCTTCGGGGGTGGAAGTTGAAAAACTTCGCCACGAATTGATTTTGATTAAATTATCGAGCCAAGTCAAAAAATGCTGAAACCCCATTTTCAGTCCAATCCACCCCGACGTCCTTCAATGAAGAAAGAAAGTGGGAGGTACACCAAAAACGCCGCCAGGGAAGTAGATATGTGATTCTTCCCATATAAATGCTTTGATCGTTTCTTTCTTGAAAATGAAAATATTCCTTCTTCCGTGTTTGATCCATGAGAGAGAAACGCCTCGTGAATACAGACAGAGATAGATAAAATGATGTCCTTCGTCTTTATCCGACCAGTCAGACCAAACTCCAGGAATGGAGATGAGATGATGATGAGATGGGCACCGGACGCCGAGAAATTCTATAATTGACACAGACAGAGAGATGAAACAACATATATGCAATAAAAACACCCACCCTTGGTTCAACCAGCACATCAACGTGACTCAAAGGGGTATAAAACAGCACAGTGCAACGAACTTTATCACTAACATTTCGATCCGGCTGATATTTCATGCTCACACTCATGCTCAAGCCTCAAGTGTTGAGACAGCAACCGCAGCCCCAAAGATCGCCGATTCTACTGCGACCTCGAGAGCGATTGACTTGGGCTCAGCCCCGCTCAACGTCGTCAACTCGTCTAGGTGGCTCTGACACAGTTCTCTGAAGAGCGGGTATTTCTCGATTACGGAGCCATTGCAGCCTATTGCCAGCCTTCCGGCAGACGCGGGCGTCAAGCCCTCGGACTTTATCCGTAGAGACCAAAGTGCGTGGATACCAGCCGCAAGATAGGCTGCCGCACGGTGAGAAACCAGTTGCGAGACCTGGCGGATGAATGAGATGTCGTTGTAGCTCGGCGGTTTCGAACATGGATGTCTAGACTGGAATATCGCAATCGCTTGGGTGAGGTTCTTAGATTCATCCATCTCCATGGCGGCGATAGTTCCAGTCTCAAAGGAATACGACTCGTCAAGTTTCTGTGGTAGCTCGCCGCTGAAAAGCCCTGCCGTTTTCACGGCCTCGACGAGGATTAGTCGCACGATTTCTCCGAGATACCGCCCGCTGATGAGGTGCTCGAAGGGCTGGAAATCAGGTCTGACGTGCGTTTCGTTGAGGTAGTCGTCCCATTTTGTTGTCGGGAATACGTTCTTGCCGAACATGCTCAGTTCCGTGTTCACGAGGACATGGGACGCTTCATTAAGCCATTTCTGTGGGTACCCGTGGAATTTCGAAGCTGCAAGGGCATTGGTAGGAAGATGTACGGCAATGTTGAAACCGGTTCCTAGAATAACGGCGAAGCGGGTCGAGGGGTCTTCGTAAGCACGAGATAGTAAGGTAGCGGATGAATCGTTGATAATGGAGTCCATATGTACTGGAAGATTCTAGATGTTAAAGTAAGTGTTGTGGTCAAGATGATCTTTGTTGATCGTGCTTACTCGTTTCCTGCATGGGGCCATGATCAGCTCGCTGAGATCCTGGCCCATGAGGCCTTCTGTTGCACGAAATCCCTTCCCCATATCAAGAAGATTTCCACTTCGAATTGAGGTTTGTCTGAAGATGAGATTAGTTGTTGTTGGCTGTCTGGCGTTGGTATAACGTACTCAACTGGGAAGGACCAAGCGAGGCCCATGGGGAACGATTTGGTGCCATTGATTTTCTTCACCTGCGGATCCATAACAGCAGACTCAATCTTTTCGGCCATCCAATCGAAGAAAGCATGGCCCCTCAATGACCGAACCGAATTGTCAATCTTGTAGCTCTTCATTGTTACGATGCGCATGCTCTTAGACCCCGGTTGTTGCTTCCCGCTCAATTCCACCACAGCAACACGGAACGTGGAACCGCCGACATCCAACGCCAGGTAGGTGCCTTGCTCAAGTCCGGTGGGGAGTTTGTGGTTGTAGGAAGGCAACATGCAGATGTTGCTCTCCTGTAGCTTTGGGGCGAACTGGTCCTGTAGCTTCCCGGACATTGCAAGGAGCTTTGCGGGCTCGAGCGGAGCCTCAAACAAGCGTTGAACCTCACCCAGAAGGTCGTCCATGGTTCGGTCGTAGGTTCGCACTGTACCCGCAGCATCTCCTCGCACCCGTTTTCGAGACGGTAGCGGGAACACGGACTGGATAAGCGAGGGTAGCATGACGATGCGCTCGAGAGCCGCCAGTAGGCTCTGCCAGAAGTCGAACATGGGTTTTATAAGTCGGCAGCGATAGTGGTCCACGACGGTGACGGAGGGAATTGATGTGTTGTCGCGGGCGCAGTCAGACTCCGGCGAGAGCGTCATGCGGCGGCCTTTTGAAGACGTTTCAGCAGCAGGGAGGCCTGGGAAAGGGAGGGCCAACGGGCAGTCTCGGGCTGGGGGCAGCAGATGATGTTTTTATTGATGGTGACAGCGGGGCTAAGATGCTTGCGCGGAGCTGTCGTTTGCAATCCAGTATATCAGACACGCCGTAACTAGAAGCCAGCAAGATCTCCGGCAGCTAGTGGATCGCAATGCACAAAAATTTCAGGCGGGCCGGTGGCATTTGACGACCGATGTCGCAAACGGCCCTTAAGCATGGTTGTACGGCTGGTAAGAATATAGGAGAAGGTTGTATCCGCTAATTCGAGCGTACCTAGGAAATCCTCCGGCAGGTGGTGCGCAATGCCCACCGCTGAGGCACGGCAGACAGACAGACAGGCAACGTAAGGGTGGCTGCGGGGGTCTGGTGGGAGAGAGGGATAGGGCGGCAGTGTGAAGCAGGGTAGAGGGTTCAAGGGAGCAATACTGGCCAGCAGTGGGCTGGCCAGCAGCAAGCCAGGCACGGCGCGGTGCTGGAACTACTGTTGGCCGTGCTAGGTACGCAGGGCGCGCGGTGATGATGGCAAAGTTGCTGGTGGGGTTCTTGGGGGTGTTTCGTGATGGCTATGCTACCGTTACCTTCGTTTCACCCGCTAGGCCGCTTCGAGACTCAGACGCTAGCCCAAACTAGCGCGATAGCAGTGAGCATCAGCTTGCATCGCCGGAATCCATGATTCAACCAGATTGACGTGTGAATGAGCTGGCGAATGACGGTGGCCAGCGATCGCCTCAACGCAGATTACCAGCTGCAACCGCAATCATAGCCGTCGCATTGTTGATATTGGAGCGCGGAGGTGCTTCATGCAGGATGCGGCATTCATGCTTAGGCCCGGGATGGCTCCAGGGCTGGCTGGAGGCGGAACGGGATCTACTCGTGGAGCATCAGCCCTTTGATGCACGTGCCATCTCCGCCAGCCCTTGGGAGTGCCAAGCATTGAGATCTACGATAGAGGGTGATGCCAATCTGGGCTTAATTCGCCGTTTACACTCCACTCACTACCTCGCCCCCGTCCTGAGTCGTCTGGAGCAGTCTCAACGCAACAGGATAACCATAATCTTGCAGAGGTCTTTTGGGCGCCTCGCCCATACCACGCCTTCTGCCTTCGTCCGGACACCCTGCATGCGGAGGAAGAAACGAAACACGGCTCGGACAATCCTGAGTGCTGACAACACCTCACGCACCCCGCGTGTACAACTTCAGTGTAACCGGCCAAGCTATCCATGCTCCTCCGTAGCGCGGACGAGATGCTTGATCTGTAGCGATTAGATCTGGCATGTCTCGGAAGCTAGTGTGGCTAGCATGCGCTGAAACATTGGAACTCGTGAGGAATTCAGTTTTTGGTGACGACGAGAACGAGCTGTCACCACGCTCTGCTAGTGGTCTGCCCAGGGAGCAGTTGCTCGCCCAGGCCGAGGTCTGCCGCTGCATGTTGCAGTTGCGCTGTGCAAATACGGGGCCGTTTCACTCGTCAGAGAATCATACCACACCAAAAACAAAGTCTGGACACCTTACTCGATCTGCCAGGCAATCAGGAATGTGAATCTATAATCAGGGCGGGAGCTTAGTAGCAGTTGCATTACTAACGTCTATTATCGTTCTCGACATTTAATAGCCGTCAGTTGATAGATACATGTTCCAGATTTAGAAGTCCGTCATTTCTAGCCTCAATCTAGAGCCTCTACATATAGACATTGCTCATGGTGTCGAGACGGCATGTCTTGAATGGCTCCCGGGGCTTGAAACCGCTGCTGTCAGTGTGGCACCTTCCGCCGTGCGACGTTCGAGATCATGGAATGCTGATGCAAATGGAGAATGTTGGCCCGTGTGGGTATCATCCCGCAAAGTGATTGGTAGTTTGTGTCAAACATCCAGGATGAACTGAGTATTTAAGCATTGTGGATGTGTGGTACGAATGCCGCAATACGCAAGGAACACCAGACCCCGGGCACTCCGGATCCATGTGCTTACGCTGGAAATTAAGAATGGGAACATGAACATGTCGGAGGCCGTTACTGTCTGGCGGACTCCATGAACTGCTGAATAGAAATTTACAGGAATAGTTCAGCCAAAAGATCGGCCGATAAGTATTAGAAACAACATGTACCGCTAAGCAGACAATCCAACAATCCACAAATCCACAGCATTCATTCAAACTCCTCCACTATGTCAAGGAAATTGTTGTCACGTGATACAGCCGCCGCTAACTCAGCTAGACCTTCTCGTTGAGGTGGCCGCCCGCAGCTTGGACGAGTACCTTGGGGGCGACCTCCTCGACCGTCTCGTCAGTGAAGGCAATATCCTTCTCCAAAGATACTGTGTCTTCAACCTTCCAGAGAATGACCGGAAGAGCAATGACGAGACTTCCGGCAAGCAGGGCCCAATTGGACGCAAACATGTTCATGTACGGGATGCCGATGTCGTCCAATCGCCAAGTAATCGCACCACCAGCGGACTGAATTCCCTTGTAAAACCCGGCGAAGTTGGCAAGTTTCCTTCCATTGTTGGTCAAAGAGCCCATGAACCTGTAGCCAGTTAGGAACCACTCGTAAAAGCTTGAACCGGACAGTCAGACGTACCAGTAGACGCAAGTTTGCCAAGCAGCATCCGAGAAACCATAGAACATATAGAGAACGAAGGGGCCACCAAAGCCCGGGTCAGACCAGTCTTTCTTTGGTCGAGTCTTGTCCAGCGCCATTGTACGGTTGTAGGTCGTCTGGAACTTGTAACCGCCACCCCAGATCACCATGATAAAGCAGAAGAGCGCAACCCATGCAGCCTTGGCACGAGTTGTTCGGCGGAAACCCTTAGAGTCAAGAGCAAATCCGAATACGTAAGCGCCAACAATCTGCATGATATAGTAAATTACGCCGTTCAGGGCTCGAGTGCGAACATTGAAGTAGCCAGCGTTGACCTCAGAGAAGTGGTAGGTATAGAACCAATTAGAGGCGAAGAACATTGGGAAAAGAGCAATAATGTAGGGGTCTGTTTGGATCGTCTCCCAGAGGCCCCAGATCTCGGATTTCCAAGATGGGTGCTTCATGACAATGATTTTAGAACCATCGTGTCGGATAACGTTCTTAGCGTCCACTAGGCACCACGAGAGCCCAGCTCCAATGAGCGTCAGAATCAGGAAGCCGATATAGGTGCCGTCATTGACAGTCCCGTCAGTAGTCGTATGAATGTTTTGTCCAAGGGGAATCTGAAGCTTACGGTTAGGAGATGTTCGCCGAAATAGAATGTTGGTTGTATAAGAATTGCGCGTGGCTTACCAGGCTGCCAATAACAGCGCCCAAATTGAAGATCATCCAGAACCACGAGATGTAGCGACCCTTTGAGGCCTCTGGGGGGTAGGACATCATAATAGCACCCTGGGCACACCACAAGATACCAGCGCACACGCCGAGAAGAGCACCGGCAAAAATAGAAAATCCCAAGTTCTTGGTATGGTTGTAGCTGAGATATGAGGCCACATAAATAGAGTAACCGCAGCCACCAAACGAAAGGGCTGTCCGGATTCCAAGCTTGTTTGTGAAGGTACCAGCGAAGAATCCAACCACGGCGAAAGTTGAATAAAGCGCGGTGTTGGCCTTGTTATTTGCGCTATGATCCATCTGGCCTCCACCACCCATGCCATTGAGGGCATTGAACATACCCGGGCACAAGAAGCAGACGAACGCAACAATTACCAGCTGCACTGGTGGCGAGGCATACCAAGGCAAGGTGAAACCCAAAATCCTAATGTGCTTGTACTTCCAGGAATTGGGAAGCTCGAAGGTGTCCGTCGGGTGATCCTGGAGCGAGTGGTCGGGAGTGTGGACCTCATGGGAGGGCTCACCCTTCTCTACGGGAGCGGCCATGGCGCAGAGGGTGAATTGAAGATGGTGGTCCTCAAAAAGTCGATCCTTACAGATGTGGTCGTCAGGCAGGACCACTGCAATGGATGGGGTGGGGAAGGCTGAGGATCGGGACGGAGCCTCGCAGTAATATAAATGATTTTAGACCGCCGCAGGCTGGCTCTTGCACTAACAGGAGAAATGAGCAGCGAAGCGCAGGGTCAGGCGGCCATTTTAAGCATCTGTCGGCCAGGGTCCAGCATTTACAGGTCTCTTCTTGGAGCTATCCTAGTCGGGCGATAACGCGGACTTGGATTGTACGTGCAGCACGCGACGCCCCGGGGTCTGGGTGATATGAGCCTTCAAGCCTCGAAATTGTTGCTCTCGAGTCCCGTTAGGGTCAGGTTTCGACGCCGCCAACAGCGGGTAGCCGGTCACAACACACGAGAAGCACCCGGCCTGCAGCAGCAGAGGACACCTTCGACTGGGAGGCCTGGCAGATGCAGCTTTTCCGGAGGCGTTTGCACTGGTTGGGTGGAGTGCTCGAGGCTGACGGCGGGGAAAACAGAGGCCTGAGCTGGGTACGTCGTGCCGGGAACTCGATCCTCCAGCCAACGAGCACCCGCAGACGTCTGCAAATCACGGAGGTGGAGATAAGCTCCAGGGACGCCGCATCCAGCCACGCCTGCAACGGTGTCGCTCGCCACCAAGCCGTGGATCTGGATGTAACCCCATCCATATCCTGAGCTCATGCAGACCTCATGCCTTGCTGTCGAACTGGTGGAGGGCATCGTGACTCCTCGAGCTCGTTTTTGCCCTCATGGGCAAATGTCTCCGAGCCAGCCTCCAAGCTAATTGCCGTCTCTCCAGCGCTTGCTTGTGATAACTCATGTCGCCGTAGCATAGCAGCGAGCCGTGGTGTGGCGGCCGCTCAGCATCGAAAGATAGCCGCGTTGTACGACCACGTTCACCTCACCGTCCATTGCAGTACATCGTGAGACCGATCGTGGAACCCCACCCTCTGCCGCGAGCAGCCGTATGGCGAGTTGGGAGTTGAGGTTGGAGTGCGGCCATTGCTTTGGGAAGGCGGCGCCGCTCCTATCCCGACAAGAGAGGACTCTGAATGGGCATGCGCTCACAACTCACACCCGTGAACCAGTAGAGGTGACGTGAAGGGTTTTGCGCTCACAAATATATTTCCACTCCCGCCTGGAACCCCGTCCTCATCCAATCCATCTGCTCACGAACAGTCCGGAACCACAGTAGACGATAACTTCGCCATGTAGGCATGCACATGTCCGTCGACAGCCAACACAGCGCGCTTACCTCGTGCAGGAGACTAATCATCAGAGACGATCCGCAGAGTGCTTCCAAGTACATCGCGGACTACATTATTGGTGTGTACGCACGTGTGCTACACGACCCAACATCAGCTAATAGTGAGACTGAAGAGCGCATCAACACATTCAACCCAACACCAGAGAAGCCCTTCGTTCTCGGCCTGCCCACTGGAAGCAGTCCTGTACTCGTATATCAGAATCTGGTCCAGCGGTACAAAGCCGGCGAAATATCCTTTCGCAATGTAGTTACCTTTAATATGGTACGATATGTTCAGCTGCAAGAATTATTCTCACCTTGTTTGGCGAGGTTCCACGGCAAAGAGGGTTGTGAGCGGATTGGCTAACAGCCAGTCACAGGACGAATACGTCGGCATCCCGCGCGAACACCCGGAGAGCTACCACAGTTTCATGTACAAGCACTTTTTTTCTCATGTCGACGTCGACCCTGCCAATATCAATATCCTGAACGGAAACGCCCCAGACCTTGAGGCTGAGTGTTACGAGTACGAGGAAAAGATCAAGAAAGCCGGCGGAATTGAGCTGTTTCTGGGCGGGATAGGACCCGACGGACACCTTGCCTTTAACGAGCCGGGATCCAGTCTCAAATCGCGGACCCGCGTCAAAACCCTTGCCTACGACACCATTATCGCTAACTCCAGGTTCTTTGGCAATGATCTGGACCAAGTGCCGAGGATGGCCTTGACGGTGGGCGTGCAAACGGTCTTAGACGTCAGTGGTTTCCCTTTCAGATCCAATTTCATGGCTAATAGGCTTAGGCCCGAGAAGTCGTCATCATCATCACTGGCGCCCATAAAGCCCTTGCACTTCAAAAGTGTATTGAGGGTGGTCTGAACCATATGTGGACCCTATCTAGCCTTCAATTGCACCCGCATCCTATGATCGTCGTCGACGAAGATGCTACCCTCGAACTGCAGGTCAAGACTGTCAAGGTGCGTCTGTTTGAGTCCCAAACTTGAACGACTGTGGCTAATTATCCTTTAGTACTTCAAGAGCATTGAGAGGGTGGCCAATGAGTTAGGATTCCGTCAAATGTTGCCTCAAAAACGCGACTCCCTCGTCGATGACCATCTCCTCTTTGCTCCGGTTCCTCAAGATAATGGCGTCAAACTAGACGTTCCGCAGCTCGACATATCGCGCTCCGCCAGCCCAGTATTGGAACCCATGAGCGCTCGTATTTCCGATGACCCGGCCAGGATGCTGAAAGCCATGGATTCAAACGAGGATCCGCAATTGCTCCCGATGCACACTCGTGTCTCCAACTAAGGATTTTGGGTACCGATGGATTGATCACGTTTCACCTGATAGACGGACATTCGTTTCAAGCGATTGGCCTTCGCTTCATATTGGATATGGTCAAATAACGGTGGAACCCTTTGATAGGGCCCAAATTGTCGGTAATGGACGATTGCTTGCTTTAGTAGCACTGATAATTGTTAGCATAGAAATGGTTGAGATCGTAATGGGCTCGGGTGTTTTTGATGACATGATGGGATGCATTTGCGATGACTAGAGGCATGAACATGAGATACCCGTGTGTGTATGTATTATACGTGTATACATTCTGTATTTTTACGAATTGTAGATGTATGTATATGTGTATGTATTTCTCTGCGTATGTATTTCTCTGCGTATGTATTTCTCTGCGTTTGTTGGAATTACTGAATATAGTAGAAATGGGCTTTTATGAATCGTTTTCTGGGGCAATTTGAGACATCAATGGCACTTTTCGACAGCAGACACGCCAAAGCACGCCACTATCTGAAAATCATCATGGGAATGGACTCGACAAGACGTTCAAAGTGGACATATACCGCTTGACTAAGCAAAAGGCGCCTCACACGTGCATTGTCGAACAACGTGCATGGGCCGAGGTTCAATTTCACGTCAAGCATCAGCCAGCCTCGTCTTATTGTGGTGTTCACATCCTCGCTGCGCAAGAATGGCCCACGGAATTAGCACTCACACAAAGTACTTCTGTCAAAATGTCGTCCTCTAGTAGTTCCTCCCAGCTACCGTCCTCTGGGGGCAAACCAATCGATCCTATCTTACGCAACGCGTTGCGCTACACGATAAGCCCGCGAGAGTACCAGCTCCTCCACCAATACCTCCTCTCTCGCGCCCCCGCGGTGCGCAAGCGGGCGCCTCCTCCTCGAAGATATAATGCTATCACGAAAGGATCCGATGATTATAATGCTGCTGCGATCCGAGCATCTCTCAGACTAGCTGTCGCGACCTTATCTGGTCTTAAGGCTTGGGAATTGATTACAACAAGGGTTCTAGCGCGAGGAGCGGACAAGAGGTAGTCGTTAACATCTGCCTTGCGTGCATCACTATGCTTATTAAATTCATACAGACCAACACGCCGAACAGCCGTCTGGAAGTCCCCCAATATTCGTCTGTCGTGCTCTCTCTCCCTCATCCTCCTCTTCCACCGCCTCCTTCGTCGGTTCTTCATCCGCCTTCGTGAGAGCCTCCTTACTAATGAAGCGAGATCTTTCCGGCGGCGCAACCCCCGAATTTCTAGGTCTCTGACGTCTAGCATAGCCCCTGCAATTGGCTCCAGTTTGGCTGGCTTCTTCCTTGCCGTGTACCCAGGCGATCAGCTGCGGATCACGATTGCTATCTATGTCTTCACGAGAGCGCTCGAGTTTTGCTACAATTATTTGGAAGAGCTAGGATACTTCCGGAACAGGCCATACTGGTTCGGATCTTGGCTGTTGATGCCAGTTGCTTGCGGGCAACTACTCCATGCGTTTGTGTTTGACAGGGATTGCTTCCCGGAAGCATATGGGAGGTTCATTCTAGGCAACTCCCCTGAATATGTCCAAAAGAGGCCGGCGAACTATCCAAAGAGCCTCTCATACCCTGGCACTTTTGACATTGTCGACAGCCTGGCTGAGATCTCCAAATTGCGATGGCCGCCATTCACATCTCCGATCATGTTTCCCGCAACTGAAACTCTTCCTAAGAGCCTCAGGAGGATAAGTCCAATCACGTCTTCCGCCCATCCCGCGATCAAATCGTTGTCCTGTGCGCTACTGCACCCGAACGACCCTTCGTGCATGAGGACCTATGTTTCCTATTGGATCCAGGCGTTCCCTAAGGTTGCCCGATTCTTCACCCTTGTATTTACTGTGGTAAGTGTTACGCGGTATAAAGCATTCCTCGACTCCCCTATCTCAGCCATCAACAAGCTAGCGAAGAGCATCCTTCGCATGAGTGTGTTCATCTCAGGAGCCATCGGGACTAGCTGGGGATCAATCTGCCTGTTCCAATACATATTCCCACGAACATTCCTTTCTACCCAGCGATGGTTCCTAGGCGGCTTCTTGGGCGGTATGTGGGCCTTTCTAGAGCGCAAGAGCGGACGCAGCAACTTCATGTACTCGGCCCGACTATCAATTGATTCGCTCTGGAAAGTCGGCATTAAGAGGGGGTGGTGGTGTGGGATTAAAAACGGCGATGTTCTGCTGTTTGTACTCAGTTTGGCAGCCGTTAATGTGCTCTACGAGATATCTCCGAAATCTGTCAACAGCGGCGTAGCCCGCAAGTGTTTAGGAGTCCTGCGAGGTGAAGGTTGGATAGATAGAGCAGTACTTGCTCGCGATAGGGAAGGAAAGCAAGTGCAAAAGTCCGAGGAATGAAAGGAATAGATTCTGTATTGACGCGTGTACGGCCTCGGTTGTAATGAGTAATGATGGGAATGTTAGTGTATTGGGAGGCATACCGCTTGTTTTGATAGCTAGGTTTGATATGGTATCCGTATGCCTTCAGTTCCGAATTCGAGTCCCCATGGTAAACATAGTGTGTCATATGTGTTCGAGTTTGCGAGGCTGATGATCATTTCGGAACTGCAAGAGGTTATAAAAGAGTTTCGATGGCCTTTCCAGCTTATCGGGCGTACAAAGGGAATGATTCAAGCAAACTGCGAATGCAAACTGCCGGGTATGTTCATACTCGCAAGCGCACGATACACACAGATTGGGTCATAAATCTATTTTTCTCTCCCCAAAGCTAACCAAGGTTTCCCTACTTGAGCTGAACCGGATTTCGGAAGAAGACCTTACTCCAAAGTAGAACCATCTAGATATGAAACCAAACATTCAGAAATGTCTCAGCCCATCAAGAACATGAAATCGTCGGATGCCCCCTGAAAGGCCTGCTGAGAAGTTTTGTAACATCACAGCTCGAAGTGGATTAGCTTTCGAATTATCATTATGGATTGATAGAGGGTTTTCGTTCCGCATGGTCGATGATAACTCCAAGTAAAAATGCAAGCTAGTTTCCGTTGGGTATCGTACAACATCCTCAGTCGTCGGAAAATCAAAGGTTAACTCTGTTTGATTCGAGTGTCGCTGCTCATCTAGACGCTCAATACCTCCTGCGTGGGCCCCTTGGTGCATTCCTCGGTGCGCCGAGGGTAGACTGCTCCTCTGGGAAGCCGTATGTACCGTCCTGCCAGCTGCCCCGTCGGTTGTTCCGTGCACCGCTAGCCATTTCCACATCCATGTCATCGTAGGATGACCTCACAACTGGAGTTACAGAAGGCCGAGTGGGGGCCGCACCGTTGTAAGTTTTGGGGGTATCCTTCATGTAGACATACAATTGCCTTCCATCGGCCTTCCGGGCAGTTAGATTGGAATTTTAGGGCAGAAAAGAGTAGGTCCTACCATCTTGTTGTTGAATGTGGCAATGACGTTTTCGGCGCCATCCTTAGAATCCATGATCATTTCAACCATGACGGTAGGCTTTGAGCTAATTAGCTTGCAGCGGCTGATTTCTCCTCCGATAGGAGCCATGACGGCCTCGATATCAGCCGCAGTGGTTCCGGGCGCAAAGTTGCTCGCGATCACAGTGTATGGTCCTCCAGCAGCCACGCCACGAATGCTAAACCCAGACCCAGAACCAGCCCGACTGGCAGGGGCGTTGGTATCGGCATTGTTCTGAAGGGTGGAGCGGAACTTGTTGAATGTGCGCGTATTTCGTTCGATCTGGGACGCGGAGGCAGTGCGATTCATCTTAGTCTTCGGAGGACCATCGGGGTTGTTGATATTGTGTAGGTCGTGCTTCCACTTTCCGTCAATGTTGGGTTTGGCGGATGCTGATCGCTGCTTAGTCACGCCCATGCGACTTGCTAGAGTAGGCTTCTGCGAGCCATTGCGCGAGGTTGCGATCGCTCCAGGACCAGATGAGGCATTCAGGTTGCGGCCTCGCCCGAACATCTCCTGGGCGAGCTCCTGCTTCTTCTTCTTTTCCCGGGCCTCTTTCACAAAGTCGGCAAACGAAGTGTTCGCGGCCATAGTAGCTGGAAGTAGCGACGAGGTCAGCAGTAGGGGAGATGGTGGTTGGAAGGATGAGTGTTGAGAAGGCGGAGCTGTTGTCGCTAGACGGAGCGCGTCTTAGACGAGTCCGTGCCAAGCCTTCACAAAAAAAATGGGGGCCGTGCACCGGGGAAACTTTGCGCCGACGAACGAGGTTTTCTTAGAATTTCCTGGAGGTTGTCTCCCTCTCTCGCCCTTCCCCCCAACAATGGTAAGTTGGAAACCCCCTCTCTTCCCTCCCACTTTCTCTGATGACAATCCGTGTCGCCCCTATCATACCTTCCATGGTGATTGACCACCCGAGCCAAACGGGAATTCCTGAGCTTTTTGCCCTTCCAAAGTTACCACACGCTCAATGTTGAGACAGCGCTGACTTCTCTAAAGACGTAGCTTTCAACAGCGGATTTGTTGTGGCCGACGGCGAGATTGTCGTGACACCCGTCTCATTGCAGAAGACTGTCTACACCACGTAAGAGGCGCACATGATGAACACTCACTCTAGGTCCCTTCTGAGCTCTTTCCTGCTGGTGTCCCCTCATGGGGTAAGTGTCACTCCTCTCCCATGACCTAGCACTTGCAATGATGAGCAAACCTATGTACTATCAAATACCGACACTTCGTGGGGATTAATCTAAGTTCGATTACCTGATTTCAACACAAACGTCCTCGCTGTCGACATCCCCATCAGCAAATGCTGACTATGCTCAAGGCGCCTGTCCTTTGCCATCGGAGCCGCAATGCCGATTTAAGGTAAGCAAAGCATCAACCTCTCTTCCATATTCCACACAGTGATGACAAAATTATATTCCATGCTAAGACTGAAGGGCATGCCCGAATGTCGAAAACATATAAGTCTTTTCATCTTTCGACTGATCTCTGCACCAATTCCTCATTCTCCTTTGTCGTTTTGTCCATGGAATCACTGGCTAACCATGTTCAAGGATGCATACTGTTCTCGCTCCTCCCTCACACTAACCGCACCCAACTCTTTATTCGATTACTCGATCCTTCCTTTATTCAACCGATACGCGTCTTTGCGTCGGAGTATTCATAGAGAAATGGTAGAGTATTCTGTTCAAAGATCAAAGTATAGGACGTCTTAAGCCTGGTTCAGATTAGCTTCATCTAGTCGTGGTGGTGGGTTTGCCCTGACGTATATTCGGGATGCCGACGTAAGTATGGCATATAAGCCACCCCATTTGTGCCAGTAGCACCAAACACTACGTAGCAATCAACTCAGCTATATAGCGACTATCGTTATCTGCGTCCATTCACGTAAAGTTGACCACTCTAAAGCCAACCTGTTGAAAACTTCTTAAAGTTTGGTGGAGAGTAGGCTTTCTTAAATTCGTACTGGTATCTAAATAATTAGGTTTTGCGCTAAATGTTATGCTCGGGTTATCAATTCATACTGTCCATGTGATGAAGCCATGAAAGCCAGCATGGCGATATTTCTTTAAGTGTGGACCCTATAAACTGCCTAGATTTGGAGCGGCAGCTACAAAGACTACAGTTTGCAACAATTATTAGACAGTACCTAAGTTGGATCTTTTTTTGCGTTAAGCTGCACAGACCAAGAAGACGGAAATTCTTTGAGTTTAGCCTTGAATATAATGTACGTAAATATATTTTCGTTGCTGAAAGGATTCGCATTGTCGTCGAAAATCATAGTGTCGTCACGTGTAGGACTACTCTAAATATACCTATATCTGGGGTGAGTAAGTCATGGATATGGTATAGATGGTGCTCTGGCTTCTTGCCCTGCAAGTTGATATTACGTTCCTAGACTAGGGTATATTCAATGTACTAAAAACCAAGCCAAGCATGATGTTGACGCATGCTCGCTCGCTAGCTCCTCCCATGAATCCGTCGAAGCAGCCCAATAGTCCTTCAAACTTCAACTACCCGTCATATCACCGTAGAATTCTCCTTAACTTCTTAATAACAAAACCACACTGCCTTACCCATCCTTATATTTGTCTCCAATTTCCCTCTGTTCCCCCTCCCTCAACACTACACCCTCTCCTACATCCTTCAGCAAGCCCTTCTCGCCCCCATACTCACTCGGAATACCCTTCCCCAGCTCCCCCACCAGATCCGTGCCGTAGCTCAAGACGGTGAACTTCTTGATGGTTTCCTTGGCAACGAAGAGTTTCATCGCCGCGAACAACCAGCCCATGACTACAGGCACGTTGACGAAGAACTTCCGCGAGAGGGTTTCTGGGTAGTATTTCTGGAAGGTTTCTATGGTTTTCTTGGAGGCGGCTTTGGCGTCTGGGGGATTTGTGAGTTAGAAAGATTGGGAGGTTGATGAGATGGGATGAAATAGTGGGATAACCTACTCGGATCCATGCGGATGAAGGAGACTTGGAGGTAGTCATGGACTTGAAAACCTTGGTAGGGATCCAGACCTTCACCGAAGTCGGGGATAGGCTTGTCCGCAGTTGGGAGGCCGAGTTTATGGACGGAGCGTTCCATGAGACCAACGCGCCAACGGAGGAAACTGTCACTGCATTAGCAAGAGCTGGATTACTTTCGTCCAACTCCTCGCCAAGTTGGAGTTGAAAAGGAAATATTGCTGGAATAGAAAGAATAAGAACAATCTAGGCAGAACTTACCCATCCAAATCCCCAAAAGTCTTCTTATTATCTTTAACAGAGCCATATATGTTGAAAGTCACTGTGTCCTTGCTATTAACACTCTCCGGAACACCATCGACATCCACAATGTACCCCAACCCCTCAAACCTTTCTTTTTCATAGCTCTCACTCATTGCCTTCACGGGATCAAACTCTTTCCGCCATTTTAGAGTCTCAAGAAGTTGCTCCTTAGCTTTCACTAAGTCGTTCGAATTCGCCCGTAGGAACTTTTGCAGGATGAGTTTGGTCTGGAACGGTGATGCCGGGGAGAGCGTGATGCCGTAGACTTCATTGTAGTCCGCAGTCTTGGTAAGCTCCTCTACGGACGCAAAGAACTGAGTCAAGGGATGATTAGCATCAGTTTCCGGCCATGCTGGCCCTGATGATGACGAAGACGTTGTGGTTCCAGTTGGAGCAGTCTGTTCTTCTGCTTTTGTCTCCTCGGGAGCTGATACTGGTTGTTCTGATTTCTCAACCGCTTTGGAACCTGCTGCACTTGGTTCCTCTATCGTCTTCTCTGCAATTGGGGGCTCCTCCTTCTGATGAGCGGTTTCGGCAGTTGCCATCGAAGCTTCCTGTTGTTTTGCTGCCTGCTTTTCTAGGAACTCGGCAGCATCCTCGCCGGCGGGTCCTGTTGCTATTGTTGGCATCCCAGTGGAGGGTTTTCCAGGTTCGGACGACATCTTGGGGGATCTACGGGGAATAGGAAAAAAAAGAGGGAAAAGAATAGAAGTGAAACTTGGCCCCGGTGTGGTTGAAGTAAAGTCGGTTTCGGGTTTGTTCTTATCAGATCATCCGATATCGCCGAGGGCGGTGAGGCGGCACGTGATGAGAAGACCTCGACGTCCATGGGCGTCAGGATTGCCGAGTGAATGTTTCTTGACTACTCTATGAATTTAGGGGTAATGTGCCAATGCTTGATATACACCGATCAAAATCTGCAAAAGGATACAATTATGGTATAATTCCAACGAACTTGCATCCTGACTCTCATTCCTTCCCTCCTCCCGCGAGAAATTGCACAGCCAGGAACAGCGCAATGGCCCACCAATATCTGTATCACGAATTAGTGCCAATCTCATCCTAGAGGATACGAGGGTTGCACATACTTCTGTAGAAAGCTCTTCTCCGGCTCCTTCTCTTCTAGTTTCCCCTCCGCATTCAAAACAACCGGCTTGTTCAGAATGGGTTTCGGCCCGCTCGCTCTCTTCACAACCTCTACTTCGACCTCCTCCCCCTTCGCCCTTGCACTCGTACCGAAGCCTACATGATATACCTCTCCTTTCTCATCTATATGGATCGTGAATTTCTTCTTGTATTCATCGCCGAAGCTGGCAGCTGAAGTAACGACGCCGCGCCAGTGACCGGATTTAGAATCTGATAGGCCTATTCGGAGGAGGTGTTCCGGGGAGTAGGATCCCGTCGGCGGCGTATAGGATGACAGAGTGCCCGTGGATGTGCTCGCGTCGTAGTCGATCTGCGCGACGGGGATGGGTGTAGGAAGAGGCGCGGAGGCGTAGTGGTCGGAGCTAGGTAGGGAGTGTACGTAGACTGTTACGGATGAGGCGACCGCGACAGGGAGTAGAAGGAGTTTGGAGAGAAGCATTGCGGATGTCCGTTTAGGTAGATGGGGCGATCAGTATTGAGGTTGTCGAGATGCTGCTGGGAAGCTTTCGTACACCTCGGGAAAACGTTGTTCCGGAATGAACTCTATCTTCAACTCAACGTTCTCACTAGAATACGCGAGTAGCACCTTTAGACACAGGTCAATTTGCGCAATACCCCTTCCCTTGGCTCGGCTCAAATATTGTCGATCAGAAGATCGTTTCTTACTTTTTGTGGGGACTTTCTTCAAATCACGGTCGCTCTCCGTCGGCTTCCCAGAAAAAGCGGAGCCGGAAAACTCACGATCTCCGCCTTTGTCCAAGGCGATGGGCGCGTCGAGGGGCAGTGGACCAGACCTTTTAACACTCCGAACTCGCCGCGTCCTAGCCGCCTATTGCTCGATTATCAAAGCAGCCATTGCCCCGCCCCCACTAGACTAGACATTTCTCTAATAGCTCACATGAGCTCATCGCACAGCAACAGAAGTCGTTTTTTTCTCAACATAATTTTCTGAGCTTTTCACAACCATTTTCGTGTCCCTCCTTCGCCTTGAGGAATTGAATCATCGTATTTGTTTGAGAGTGCACAATGGCTTCTTCAGTTCCTTTTCGTCAGTTGTCTACGGATCCTCGCAATGAGCTTCGTCCACATGTGGACCACTATATTGGCATTGACGTGGGGACTGGCAGTGCCAGAGCCTGCATTATGAATGATCAGGGTGATATTGTAGGACTGGCTTCTGAAAACATTGGACTGTGGCAGCCACAGACCGGTTACTATGTATACAACCCTTCTAAAGCTACTTTCAACTATAGAAAGAATGTACCAGTTGAGCGGGACTGAAAAAAGCTAGGAACAATCTACAACCGACATCTGGCGCTGCATCTGCTCGTCAGTGCGCCGAGCAATGGACCAACACAATATCGACCACAACACTATCCGTGGGATCGGCTTCGATGCTACTTGCTCTCTGGCTGTCTTCTCTCAAGACACAGACGAGCCAGTCTGCGTCACGGGTCCTAACTTCGACAATAAAGATGGCAATGACCGAAATGTCGTGCTATGGCTTGACCATCGCCCTATCGAAGAAACGCAGAAAATCAATGCGACCAAGCACAACCTGCTCCGATACGTTGGAGGGAAGATGTCCATTGAGATGGAAATCCCCAAAGTGTTGTGGCTGAAGAACAATATGCCGAAGGAGCTCTTCGATCGGTGCAAATTCTATGATTTAACTGATGCTCTCACGCATATTGCAACAGGAAGCGAAACCCGGAGCTTCTGCAGTGTAGTTTGTAAGCAAGGATTCGTTCCTGTTGGTGTGGATGGTAGTGTGAAGGGATGGCAAGAGGACTTTCTCACGGAAATCGGACTGAAGGATCTCTGTGAGGATAATTTCAAGCGGATGGGTGGTGTTGACAAAGTGGTGACGTCCACCTGATTATTGAATAGAATGCTCCCACTGACTTCTCGACAGAACGGCCGTTATCTGACTGCTGGTGAGCTTGTCGGTACTCTGGGCGAGAAAGCAGCAGCGGATATGGGTCTCTCCCCTGGTATCGCTGTCGGCAGTGGTGTGATCGATGCATACGCTGGGTGGATAGGTACAGTTGGCGCAAAAGTTCAGCTTGATGAAGAGACTCTAAACACCGACGTCGCGAAGAATGATGTCTCGCAAGCTTTTACGCGTCTCGCAGCCGTCGCCGGAACCTCTACTTGCCACCTTGCTATGTCACGCGAACCCGTCTTTGTAAACGGTGTCTGGGGTCCATACCGCGATGTGCTTCTCCCTGAATACTGGATGGCCGAGGGAGGACAAAGCGCGACTGGTGAGCTTCTCAAGCATGTTATTGAAACCCACCCGGCTTTCCATGAAGCCTCCTCCGTCGCTGAAACCTACAACACCAACATCTACGACTACCTTAACGAGCATCTTCGTGAGATGGTAGACAATGAGAAGGCACCCCACATCTCTTGGCTTGGACGCCACTTCTTCTTCTATGGTGATCTCTTCGGAAACAGGTCTCCAGTTGCAGACCCTAACATGAAAGGCTCTGTCATCGGTCTCAGTTCGGACAAGAGCTTAGATGGCCTTGCGCTATACTACTACGCCACAATGGAGTTCATCGCCCTGCAAACCCATCAGATTATCTCCTCGATGAATAAGTCTGGGCATGTTATCTCCTCAATCTTCATGTCTGGCTCACAATGCCAGAATGACATCCTGATGCAGCTCATCGCTGCAGCATGTGACATGCCTGTCTTGATTCCACGGTACGTTCACGCCGCTGTGGTGCATGGTGCAGCTATGCTAGGAGCGAAGGCTGCCAGTACAGACAAAGATGGAAATAGTGAGCCACTCTGGAATATTATGGATCGATTCAGTAAGGCGGGTAAGATGGTCAAGCCTAGCGCGGATGAGAATTTGAAGAAGCTGCTGGCAACAAAATATAAGGTCTTCTTAGAGCAGTGCGAGAGCCAGCAGAGGTATAGGAAGGATGTGGATCAAGCCGTTGAGGGGTGGTCAAAAGCGAAGTAGACAACGAGTGATACAGACGGAAGGGGTTGCTTCGCGGTGTTATATATAGTGTCATTAGTCACCACCCTTGAGAAGTTCCGAGAAGAACGTAAGGAAGAGTTGCCTTTAATTGCCCGTCAGTAATCCTTAGTAGCCCTTCAGCCCACTTGGTAGGCCTGTATGGCCCTTCTGCTTAAGAACGGAGGTTAGAAGACTTGCGATTAAAAACCTCTTAGTACTTCGAGTTCCTCACAGTTATCCCCACTAGAATGCCTTCTTTAATCTTACCAACCAACACCCCTCTCTCTATCCCTGGCAAAGGTTGAATAACTGATGACTAATATGACGAAAACAGCTAGCCGAAATGAATATCTACTGCCGACAGTCCCACTTCCTTCAAACGTATACTCTGGCGTGTACACTCCACAAATATGGCAGATTCTCAAGGAAAAGTAATCATATTGACGGGAGCTTCAAGAGGTGAGTGGATGTTCCACAACTATCTTCTGGATACATTTACTCCATCACTTCGTTCTTGATTTGGGCGCTCCTGCTGTTAAATCGCCGTTCTATTGATAATCAATACGTGCTTTCAATCTCAAAATCACATCGATTCTTTATTCTAGCCTACATATTTTAAAGTGTCGTATAATTTATTTCTAATTTTCTCTAGGTATCGGCCTCGCAATATCCCACTATCTCCTCACCCATCACCACAAACTCGTCGTCCTCGCCCGGACGCACTCCGCGCTAGACCAACTACACTACCAGTATCCAGAACAAGTCGAGGTTCTTGCAGGGGATCTCTCCGACTTCTCTTTTGGGGCCAAGGCCGTTGAAGTAGCGATTTCAAGATGGGGCAAGTTAGACGCCGTGATTGTGAATCATGGCGTCCTGGATCCGGTGAAGAAGGTTGCGAATACGGATGTTGAGGAGTGGAGAAAGGCTTTTGATATCAATGTATTTAGTGGGATTAGTCTTGTATGTTGGTTGACTCACTGTGCGACCCGTTTTCCCACTTCCTTAAACAGAGCTCTGCATCGACCGGAAATCATTTCGGTACTAATCACGTGTCTGCACATAGATCCAGACTGCCCTTCCCTATATCCGAACCTCTAAAGGTCGCATCATCCTGACCTCCTCCGGTGCGGCTATAAATGCGTACACAGGTTGGGGGGCCTACGGGGCCGGCAAAGCTGTATTCAATCATCTCGCCCTTACCCTCGCTATCGAAGAACCGGATGTCACGACAATTTCCGTACGACCAGGCGTCGTCGACACCGAAATGCAACGCGAGATCCGCGAGAAACACAACATAGCAATGGATGCAAAGGATGCAGAAAAGTTTAGAAGTTTGAAGGAGGGTGGGAGTTTGTTGCGGCCAGAGCAGCCGGGCCATGTTATTGCGAAGCTTGCTGTTGAGGATGGGGTTGGGAAGGAGTTAAGTGGGAAGTTTCTCAACTGGAATGATGATGTGCTAAAAGCGTTTCAAGAGAAATAAGAAGGAATTTGAGGCAGCGCGTAGGGAAAGCTATCATGAATACCTAGTTAGAGGGGTGCTAACCCGATGACCCCCCAGAGGTTCTTATTTGCACATCCGAGTCTGTGGCACTGTTATGTCCGCATACCGGAATTAGTACCCTCTTCTTCTTCTTCTTCTTCTTCTTCTTCTTCTTCTTCTACTACTACTACTTCCCCCCCCAAGCCCTCAGCTAATATGTGATTTCGCACACCTCTTCCCTCAGGCCGTCTCTCCAAACAAATTCCTTGGTAATTTTTGCGATGGCTATTTGAGCCAATTATAACAAGGTAATCTTACAATGCAGAAGCCCGATAGCAGAAACATGGTGCTTTTAGTCCCCCTTCCAGGAATCCAGACATCATGGCGATTCTCGTGGCATTTAAGACTTTAGGTTTAGCTATTCAATTTTTATTCCACACGCACCATAATAGACCAGATTGACAAGTTTATAACCAAGCCATGAAATATCAACATGGTACATTTTTGTCTCTAGAGCATATTTCGGAGGCCAATGCTGTTTTAGGGCGAGTAGAGGGAGCCATACAAACATAACCTATATTTTTGAGTGCAAGGTCCGGTGACGTCACCTTTTAGTTTACATGCCAATGCCCAAAAAATCAAAAGGTCTATTTTTAGATGCTAGGAAAGTATGAATGCATTGGTAGCATGGTTTCAAAATCTACCATTACCAGCATAGTTAGAATTCTTGTTGGTTTTCAATCCTCCAAGCCGTGTTCAGTGGGCATTGCGATCTTTAGTCCAGATGCTCACACCCATGAATCCCAAACTCTTCAAAGTTGTCTCCTAGATGTTTCACGTAGCAAACGTAACCCTTCCCTCTAATACATATGCAAACACAGAACAAATATCAGCCTTCACTGCGCAAAAGCATTGCCCTATATAATAAATCCAATTTTCTACAAGAAAAGGACCCGGTGACATCTATCGCACCCCTTGATGCCACCTCCTCAATCCATCATATACAAATACTATCCGTCCTCACAACTCCGAGCGCGATATACACCCTGTCCCATCCCGTCCTATGAAATCCAAATGCCCTAGAACCCCCAACCACCGCAAACAAGCGCGAAATGCGAGGCCAAAACATGTGTATCCCAAGCGCCAAACGATGCACTAAAATTCCCAAGTAATTCCTGTTCAGAACAAAATGAGTGATCAATCCAGATCCGAAAAAAAGCCTCTTCAAAATAGTCATAAGAACATCAATACCTCTCTCACATCATTCGTGGCCCATTCAAGCAAAGACAATTCAGATTAAGCTACCTCCGCAGCTCAGGCAAATCCTCATCACGACCACCACCACTGCTGGAGCTGGGTCCCGGTTCTGACGTAGCAGGCTGCACGAAGCTACTTGAGGCTTCAGCGTATGGAGCTGGATCATCCTGGTCACTCCGCCGCGTCCTGACACTGAAGACGTCATGCAAGCGAGTGCTTATTCTTCTGCTGCGGCGGACGGCCGTGACGTCGTCTGTGCTGCCGTTCATGCTACCAGAAGCGTCTTCTCTACTTTGATTGCGGCGCTGTTCGCGAAGCCGTCTGAGCGCGGAGATGCGTTCTTCAGCTGAGGCGTTGGGACGGGAGCGTAGGGACAATATGTCGCGGAGGGCTGAGCGACGGCGGTTGGATGCTTCGGCTTCGGGCTGAAGAGGTGGGGCTAGTAGCTCGGGGTCGTTATCATCGTCGGTGGTGGACGTGCGGGATGTTGTTGGCCGAAGATCGACACGGCTGACCACTAAGTTAGACACCAATTCTGTTGGGTGGGGTTGGTGGTTGGCTTACCATAATGGGCATGTGCCGGACACGTTCAACAACCACGGATCAACGCATTCCGGATGGAACTTGTGATTGCATGGCAGTACGCGAATATCCTGTCCCTTCTCGAAATCATCCGTGCAAATCGAGCAACCAAGCCCTTCGTCAGCGGAGCCATTTTCCTGCGACGACGGCGATGCTGCTCCTGCGGCTAAGGGCTGAGCAGGAGCGATTCCTTCCTGCTGCTCATCCCCGACGTCCCGACTTGCCTCCGTTTGTTCTGGTGCTTTGGGGGTCTCAGATCCGTCTTGGTTATTCTGACCCCCACCTTCTGTATTCGCGTTGTTCGCATTCCGAGGTTCCGATGTCGACCCCATTTCAACATCCGTCGGCTTCGGAGGCTCACGTTCACCAAACTTGACGATGGGGATTGTGTCTAAGATAGCTCTTCCTAGACCCCGTGCGCGGCTCTGCCGCGGCCTCCCTAGGACGTCCCGAGGACCATATCGATCCGGGTGGCGATGGGCTCTTACGGCACCGGTAATGATGATGACAAGGAAGAGAGCGGTGATGATGCCGGTAATGCTGTAGAGAATAATCATTGCAACGGCAGTTGAAGGCGACGGTCCCAGAGGATTTTGATTATTCGGGTCATTGGAACCGCGATTGCCATGACCGGACTGATTATTTCCATCGGAACCCCCTCCAAAGCGCTCGATATTGACGATGAATTTAATCGAGACGGGCCCCTGAAGATCAGCCAGAATCTTCTTGGAGTTATCCTTGTTTGTTGAAGAGAATATTGGATAGTCCTGCAGCTGTTCGGTGAGGCCGGTATAGTTACAAAAGTCGGAGGTTGTGCTATAGAAGATGGCAGCCGAGATGTTTTTCTGCCAAGCTGCCTCGAAAAGTTTAAGGCCATCGATATTCCCGGGATATACGCTAGAGTCGCAGCTTATGTAGCTAATATCTTCTGAGGTGATGTTACCTACGCTTGACTCGTTGGTGTTGTAAAGGTTTCCGTGAATCGGGGCTCCCTAGGTTCATGTTAGCTTGAGCAGTGGTTGAGCCGGCGCCAAAACGAGAGTGACAGACGTTTTCGACTATCGCTTTGCGCGTCAAAGATACCAGCTCTGTTAAATTTTGCCCATTGACTGCCTGCAACGAGATACTTCCGCTGTAAGTTGAGATGCGCGTAGTCTGGTTCGAGGGCGCGACATTGCCCGCCATGGCTGTCAAGGAAAAGAGGGCGCAGGCCAGCTCCCATGGCAGCCGGCGAAACACCATGTTGTCGACAAACAGGCAGTCCCGGCGCCGAACGGGGAACTTAAAAGTCGCAGTCGGGAGTCGCAATCGTCATGCGAGGTCACTCACTTCCTTATCGATGGCAGGCGCTTGGCGGCGGGCTCCATGGACGCTGCAGGCAAATGTGGGGGAGAAATCAAGAGTACACGACGCAGAAGTACTTGCCCAGCGAGCATCTATCGCAGCATTATCATGGTGCAGGAAAGAGAGGCGGAGCAGCCGTTGAAGGAGAGGAGAGGACGAGGTTCACAGTCAGCCCAGCTTCGAGGCCCGGCTCTGTCGGAGGGGGTAGCAAGATCGTCGGCGTTGCGCGGAGCGATGATGCATGCAAGGGTGAATGACCATTTCTTTCCACCACGCGAACCTGGTTTTGCCTCATCTGAAACCCGGCGCGTCTGTCATCTTATGCACTGCCTCATCAATGTGCGCCTTTTGTTGTTCTGCTGATTATCTATCGACTGCCATCCTCATCTCCCTCACACTCTGAGCCCCAAGCCAACACCTGTCCCGTACTCGCGTGCCCGCCAGTGGCTTTTCAATTTGGAATTCATCTGTCCTCGGCCCACCACTCTACGCAACACGAGCACACTGGAGGAATCCTCGAGCTGAATTCCCCACACGGAGCCCGGCACTCGACATCTCAAACACCCTCTCGGATCTTGGGACCGCCGAGGCCAGAGCACATCCCTCGTGTGGCTGGTAACGCCCTTTGTTTGAAAGGGGATTGTCCACGCACTCCGCACCACCAATATACGTCACGCTCTCACCGCTAGGTATCAGAAAACTCACACTTGACCTAGTTCATATAAACTTTGACATTTTGAGATTGCAATTGCAATTGCCCGATCTGATTGCTGAATAGCACAACTTGAAATCCCCGCTGCATTCATTGCATGTGCGGTACAGTGAAAAACAAAGTAAACATTAAGTGATGAAGAATCAAAGGAATTAAGGGACCGAATTGAAGAACCAAAACCCAAAAAAAAAACAAAAGGACCAAAAAAAGACCGAACTCCAGCGCTATGCGCAGCCAGATGCCCCATTCCTCCATGTGATGCAGAGCCAAAACCCATCTACTAGAAACACAGTGGCAAGTTTGCCAGTAATATAAACAATGTAGGGATCTTTCTGTCATGCAGTCGACCAGCCTGGCTGCTTAATAGGCTTGGCCATTTTTGCTGCGCCCTATCGTTTTAAAGGACATGGATTCGAATTGTTGCTCGACTAGACCCCCAATGACCAATGTATCAAACGGGTTCGCGCCCACCCTTTCGAAGTCGTTGAAGCTAGAGAGGTAGAATCCGACAATGACGACCAAGTACGAGAGGATGAGGATAGATCCTTTAAAGTAGTTGCTCTTTCCTTCGCCGTACATGTATGAAAGGAGGAAGACGCAGAGGATCACAGTGATCATGTCCCATTGGGGGAAGATCAGAGCTGCGGTTTGTGAGCATGTGCTCTTAATAATGCGGGAGGTAGGGGTTACCCACTGAAAGTGTGATCGATCACCTTAGCCGGGTCGATGTAGCGACCATGGATAGCGCTATAAAACACTAGCGCCGGAATCTGAAGGAGACAAACCTGCAAAGCGTATGCTGAACCAATCTCCATAGAGAGAGCAATGTTTCCATTCATCGCAAAAGAAATAGCATTCTATATAGAAGTTGTTATCAGCTATCAATTTTGAGGAATATTTTGGCCTAGATGCTCAACTTACGAGGAACTCAGTGGTGTTCGGAACGAGGGCAAACAAAGTGATTCCCAAAAATTTCTCGTCAATATCCGAGCCTTTTAGGACACCATCTACAGTGTTGACCAATATTTCTGCGATGATGGCATAGGCAACAGTCGCGGTAAGAAGAATAACAGCACTCTTGGTCCGGCTCCAATTGGGTGCGTCGTGTCCGCCTGCGGTATGGCCTGGCATCGGCTCTTCCGGCTCTTCAGGGTAAGCCGCGTTCTTATTCGCAGTCGGTCGCTCGGAATGCCCTTTCGCTGGGATATGTGCTAGCTGGGCGGCCTTACGCGGCGCCTTTGTTGCATCACGGGTGGCTATGGCGGTCGTTGTAGCTGCTATCTCGGTAATCTGTCGAACCAGAGACTCATTTGCTTCGTCAGATAAGCCTTCGAGGTGGAAGCCCGAGGATGTGTGTACGTCATCGGGGTCCTTCGGTGGTACGACATGATGAGGGCTCTGTCCACCCGCCTTCCCACTTGGTGGTGGTCTATGATCAAGAGTTTCTCCGTTTGGCCCGAGCCCAACTTGCTTGTAAGTCTGGCCTACAATCCGTTTATATAGTTGACTATCCCTTATATCTGCTCGAGTGACGGACTGGGTAGTTGCCTGCCTTGTGAGCGTATTGGGGAAGTCGAGATGCCCACTATTGCTGAGATAACTAGCTCCCATATCGTTTTGCTTCTTTTCGTCAATCTCACTGCTCCAAATCACTGCAGCATGCGTTCTTAGTGTAAACAGCAATCCGATGACGTAGGACAAGAAGAGAAGGACAGCTGCAAACCAGATGTATGGCCGAACGGCTTTGATGTAGAAAGGATCGGTGATTGTTGGGGTCTGAGAGTAGTAGCACCGTCTGCAGTCCCGTTCCTCGGGGAGGGCATGATGGGAAATGCATTGGTGGCAAGTCAACTCGTGCTACAGTTCTGTCAGCTGCAGGTAGAGCCTTGAAGGTGTAGGGAACTTACCCTTCCATAAATTTGATAGAACAAGGTTGGCCCAAACGCGCCAATAACAGCGAATAGTAGCATGGTTGATGTGACGCCAGCTGACTTGACATTGAAGCGCTGGGTCTTCCTCTTGAGGGCTCCAAAGCACATTGAGAGGCCGGGGAGAAAGAGAATACCGGCAAAAATACTTCCGATAATGCTGCCCTCCACGAGCTGTGCTTTACCTTCGTTCAATGCTACACAGTACAGGAAAACCTCAACTACAGTAGAGAAGAACGCGTTGATAGTGGCACCGACGCCCATAGATGATTGGGCGGAAATGGAAGCAACGGCTTGTCCGATAAAGTACGCAAGGGGAATGATTGAAAATAGTGCGAGGATGAACAAAAAGAATTGATCCGTCAACCAGATTTCTAGGCCGAACGCAACATCCAGAACCCAGTAGTCCAGAATGACGAATGCGACGAGAACCAGGAGATTAATGAGAAATATGTTTGTGCCGTCAATTGTGTACTTCCAGTACTTGCCCCCCACCGCACGGTACGTGCAGAGCAAGATTGAGGAGGATTCGCCAGGTCTTCGAACAGTACCGCTGTCGGAGTGGAATGACAGGGCCAAGGGATGCCTCCGGAGATGATCGAAGAGGAGCAGAGTGACCTTGCCCATGGGGATAGTGAAGACGAAAAACCAGCAGAGCAATGAGACTAAGAACAAGGCTGGCGTGAAAATTCCGTAGAAGAAGAGGTAAAAGACCACTCTCCCAATGTTCCATTTCCCTCGGCCAAACAACCTCCTCTTGGTTCTGGAGGTGTCTGGGTGGGACTGACTCCCACGTCCTTCCCTCCCGAGTAGGCTTGTTGTCTCATTGGCAGAGTCAGTGCTATTCCTGCGCCGTCCAACTAGAGAACCGGCGGTGGTGGCGGGGCCGAAAAAGAGCCTCCCTTCCTCAATGTCCCCGCTCTGCCACTGCTCGTATTCGCTGATGCTCCGGCCCTCGCCCTCGTCCTCGTCTGCATATGCTTCGTCTTGCATCAGCTTCACATATTTGCCGAAAGGGTAGAATAGATAGCCGGCGAGGTGGAACAAGAGGACCGAGTAGTCCATACAGCTGTCAGTAAATCCGAGAAGGGCGCAAATGAGACCTCCGGCAGCCGCAATGAGAGCCAGCCACCATCCGAAGACCAGTGTCCAGGCTAGGTTGAAGAGCTTGATCCAATTGTTGACAAAAAGACCAGGGGTTGAGTGTATGTCTCCTTCCGCATTGCGCTGCACGGATCTGTCTTTCTTGTACAATGCGGGCTTCCATATCCTTATACCGAACGGATGGGTGACGTTGATGGCCTCCTGGCGATCCTTTAGAGTGAAGCTCTCGGCATCACTGAGATCTCCCTCATCATCGACGGGTGTTCCATTGCCGTCTTCGTCTGCTCGCAAGGTGCCCTCCTCCCCAGACGAGCTTGGTTGTCCGTCCACATCTGGAGGCGCGCCCGCGCCCTCTTGCTCGGCTGCATCGTCCTCCTGGGAGTCGACGGTTGGGAGGGCTGGAGCTTGCGCTACGGTGCGGCGTCGTAGTGTCGAAGGTTTCCTGCGCAACGTATGGGCAGGAGCGTGTCGCAGTGGCTGCTGCTGTGAGGGGACAGGGACGGGCTCGATCTCGTCCTCCGCGTCATCGACGGAGAACTCCTGTCCCTTATGGGGAATGTGAGAGGATGTGGTTCGCCGACCCATTGGCGGTTTCTTCGGCCTCGGGGCGTGTCGCTCGGGAGAGGTGATGGTTTGTTGTGGACGGCCGCTGGAGGAGGAAGTTATGGACCCTGTGACGGCTGTTAGAGCGGTTGCTTATTTCGCGATAGAGCCGTTAGCTAGGCGAGCCTTACCGTAGCCTGCAGTCTGGGTCTGTATGGCTTGCAGTCTTCTACGCGCCAGTTCCGCGCCCGTCGCGGTTGCTTGCTGGCTTGCAGCGGTGGAGTTGGAGGCGGACGTCTCCGAGCTCCTCCTCGTGGTGTCAGGAGAGGTATTTGCACCTCCAGCCGTGGACGAGGGATCGCCTTCAGCCATGACGACTGCCGGGTCGCAAAGCTGTGCGAATGAATCGATGGATGCGGGCTTGGCTGGCGCACCAAGAGCGGCTTACCTTGGTGTTTGTTGACAGACGTCAGGTCTCTACCGTCAGGCGTCTGCGGCGTAGACAGGGCGGGGACAGGGAATTCATATCACGCAGAATCGCACGGAGTGTCTCCGGAGGCGGTGAAAGGCCCTAACGGTGCAACTGTACAGATGACACAGTCTGGGGGATCATGAGCACGCCGTAGCTCTCTCCGGGGTTGTTCCGATCAGTCTTAAACCCGTGCCAGATAAGACAGGCAGATCACACGCATTCACGTCACAGCAATTTGCAAAGCCCATGATTTGAGACCCGTACAGTGCACCAGAGTTCTATCTGGGTTGTACGTTAAGGGTCCTGGGAGATATATTCACGGCCACCGTCAGTGTTTTGCTGTGGGGGAAGCCCCAAGCAAGGAACAACCCTTGGAACGGGCTTTGGAGCAACCCTTGCAAATAAACCCTGCTTCAAGCGATCTTGGTATAGCTTAGTCAGCTCAGCGGCTGCGAGGTTTATCCGCTCCGAGAAGCTCCCTGTGAAACGCAGCATTGCCGTACCTGACCGCCTACGACAACACCAATCCCCTCTCCTCGCCCACTTCTTCGTCGCAACACGGTCTCGTGCCATCATCGGCACTTTTACACTCTATCCCGCAGTCTCTAAACAGATACCTGGGAGCTGAACGCTCTGCAAACACTGCCCGTTCCTGTTTCGTCGCCCGCGCCGCCACAACCATGGCGCTCGATACCTTTTTCCACAACAAGATCGAGAGTATGAAGCTCGAGATTATACAAGGGCAAGCGGTTCTCCGGAGACTGGAGGCTCAGCGGAATGACTACAACTCGCGGGTGCGGTTACTGCGAGAGGAGCTCGGTCTTCTACAGCAGCCCGGGTCCTATGTCGGCGAGGTCGTGAAGGTCATGGGCACGAAGAAAGTGCTTGTCAAGGTACATCCAGAGGGCAAATATGGTGAGCGGACCATCTCGTACCTGCTTAGATGTGCCGCTGACTCGTCATTCAGTCGTTGACATCTCCGACAATGTGGACATCAGCAAACTCACTGTCGGCAAGCGCGTCACCCTCCTCAGCGACTCATACAAGCTCGAAAAAATGCTGCCATCATCTGTCGATCCCCTCGTCTCGCTAATGATGGTAGAGAAAGTTCCCGACAGCACTTACGACATGATTGGTGGCCTGGATCAACAAATCAAAGAGATCAAGGAGGTCATCGAGCTTGGTCTGCAGCATCCCGAACTCTTCGAATCCCTCGGTATCGCGCAACCAAAAGGTGTCTTGCTCTACGGCCCGCCAGGGACAGGAAAGACACTACTCGCTCGTGCTGTAGCCCATCACGCCGACTGTAAATTCATTCGAGTCTCCGGAAGCGAGTTGGTACAGAAGTACATTGGTGAGGGCAGCCGCATGGTTCGAGAACTGTTCGTCATGGCCCGAGAACACGCTCCAAGTATCATCTTCATGGACGAGATCGACAGCATTGGGTCGAGTCGAGTCGAAGGAAGCTCCGGCGGTGACTCGGAGGTGCAGAGAACTATGTTGGAGCTGCTGAACCAGCTGGATGGCTTTGAGCCGACGAAGAACATCAAGATCATCATGGCCACCAACCGCCTGGATATCCTAGATCCTGCGCTGCTTCGACCTGGCCGCATTGACCGAAAGATCGAGTTTCCCCCTCCAACCGTCGAGGCACGGGCGGACATTCTGCGTATTCACTCGAGGAGTATGAATTTGACCCGTGGAATCAACCTCACCAAGATTGCGGAGAAGATGAATGGCTGCTCTGGCGCTGAATTAAAGGGTGTCTGTACCGAGGCAGGCATGTATGCTTTGAGAGAGAGGAGAGTGCATGTCACACAGGAGGACTTCGATCTTGCGACCGCGAAGGTACTCAACAAGCACGATGACAAGGCGACAAGTTTGAGCAAGCTGTGGAAGTAAGGGACAGCTTCTTGGATTCAAGGTTTCAGTGCTGCGCTTCTGCCGGCTTTGGATGGTCGAATGCTGCAGCACACTCATGTACTATCAAGCATAGCGGATATAGACATCATTGGGCAGTCCGATTCTAATCTGATCCAAATCTGATAACTTAATACTTGCGCTTTTGGACGCATTATGCACGTGATTTATCTTAGTGCACAATTAGCTCTGCCGATCTCACTGATCTCGCTCCAATCCAACATCAACACATGCAAATCGGATATCCTGGAATACCTTGTCTATATCTATGTAGAAATGCATTCAGTTTCGGTAGTCTCGAGTCGCCGCTTTAATAAACTCTGCTCGTTTAATATGCAGAGTAGAGCCTTACCTCGCTGGAGTGACATTCTAGCTTCGGGGCCTGCAGCTCCCCTCAGCACCTCATTGAAACCCAGATATAGCACAGCGCCTACTTAAAGTGATAGCATGCTCACCCTCCTTCCTGCTATCGCCTTCCCTACTTCTCCTTTACCCTCATCCAACTGCTCGCCTCCTACTTCAATGCCGTGCCCCTATCTTGGTGCTGCTGCCACTCATCCTCCTAATTCTTTTAAGGTTGTCCTGTGCAGTCTTGAGTATCCCTTACATCTCGAAATACAGCGTCGGGTCTGGATTCTTCCGTCTCCTGCCATCGGAAAACATCCTCCTCCGTAATCTGGTGATGTAAGGAATGATTGGCTTGTAATAAAGGGTGAAGTTTGCCTCTAAAGTTTTGAGAAAATCGCTCTCAGCACCTAAGTTACTATTCCCTGCTTAATTTTGGCAAGTTCTTCTGCGCCAACAGAGTTCCACTTGTTGAAGCGCTTGACGACTCTTTCTTTATAATAAATATCCAAAAGAGGACCCAGAAGAATGACTCAAGATTGTGCATGAATGAATGCTTCTTATCGTCTAGAAGCACCCCGATCGCCATAAACGCTGGTGTGTCAATTTTCCACGTGCTCCCGAAAACTTCTCGCGCTGCTCCTTGATCGCGAGGTCAAGTCGATCAAGAACGCGCGCCAGGAGGGATTGTTTTTGTCTTCGTTAACTATACGATTGTTCGGTAAGGTATCATATTGTAGTATGCTAGCTCGCCTGTGTAACGACTTGTACCCTTCAATGAAGTCTTCCAATGCAGCAAGGAGACTAGTTTGCGAGTTTGCCTTGTAGATGGGTTTCCCGTAGTCGCTGACAATGACGCGGCGATAAACTTAGTTCGCAAGTGCAGGCTTCGCCGAGGAGCTCGAGCAAGTACGAAGACCCACTCCAAGAAGAGGGACTAATCGTTCGGGATTGTTCAGCATCAGCGTTGACTGTTGTTATGAGTTTTGATAAATCATCAAGGTGGTTCCTGCCGTCATGGCTTGAAGGTAGATGACGTGCCAGTTGGAGAAAGACTATGGCAGCGTTGCTCAATCTCACAACTTCCGTACAAACTTTCAAGAGACCAACTCACTACGCGGCTTATATTGTTGACCGACATCCAGATGAAACCGGTGTTCAGAATGTTGGAAGCAGCTAGATTGATGATTTGTCCCATGGTCAGTACTGTGGTTTATATGTCAGCATCCTAATCTGATGTAAAAGATCCCGATTTTCCAGCCCTTATCTTAGTACAAAAAAGACCTAGAGTATCTTGACGCTGCATAACACGCGAAGATTCAACGCGCAGACAGCGCCTTGTGGTTTACAAAACTATCGATACTTCTGGAAATCAAAAAGGCACAGATAGGACTCTACCAGGAAGGGGCCATGCTGGAAAGCATATCCTCTACATACAACTCGTCCCGGTAGCCAGGGAAAACCTGGTCAACAACATCTGCAATCCATCGAGCGGTATGTCGTACCGTAAAATGCATCTTTGAATATTCCCAGTACTCTGGGAACCAACCCGCACACTCCCAATCGACTATGCCGGATATCTTTCCATTCCGATCAACAAGTATATTCCTTAGATTAAGGTCCGCATGCGTGAAAACAATATCGTGTCTCGCGCTATGTGGTCTCGAAATCTGTTTCCAGGCGTCTTCGTTGAGAGGGAGGTCATGTGTCAAGCATTTGTTGAAAGCGGTCTCATCTTGAAACCTCAGCTCTTTGCGTTGAGAATCACCAATACGCCAATCCAAGATGCCACCACCTAGAGCGTTACATATTTGAAATCCCGAGCCCGTCTTGTTGGGAATGTGTCGTAGTTCAGCGATGTATCCCTTGAGATCTTGTACGACTGCGTCTACTTGTTCGTCGGTCATGGTGGCGAGCATTAGCCCAATGCCTTTCCCTGAAAGACCCGTCATAAGGAGAAAGGAAGAATCAGAGTACTGAATAGCATCAATTCCTCTTGGCGCAGGGACTTGCGTGTGCTTTTCCACAAGCCGAAGCGACTCGAATTCTGCTTGGTGCTTCGATGCCCAATGACTACTTCCCACCCGCAAGTAGAGATTGAAAGGGAGTCGATGAATCCGTTCTGAACCAGTGTATCCGTAGAGCCTAGTTGCAATCGATGCCAGGCGCTTGTATGCAAACGCTCGAAAGAATACCGGAGTATGAATCCAGAGGCTTTGAAAGATTTGGGTTACAGTTTGAATGTACCATTGGATCCAGCTTTTCTTCGACGGCACCTCCGCAGAAGACCTAGCCATGGTTGGTGTTTTTAAGTTGTGTGGCGAGTGGTGGGTAGGCTTCATATGTTCCAATACTTCTAGCCATGCCAAAGCATCTGCGAATCGGTGATGTACTTCGAAAAGCTGGGCGTTTGGGAGAGACGCGAGACCGACAGCTTTGTTTTCCAGTGTTATGAAACGAAAGTGTTCGACTTGGTTAACAGGAATGAAATCATTCACTTTCATGAAATACTGGGCCTACCTAAGTTAGGAAAATACTTGGAATTACTAAATGGAGCCTTACTGAGTCCTTCGTAGGTTCTAGCGGACGGCTTTCAAAAGAGAGCCTCCCGTTTGCAAAATGCTCATACATCCGCGGAGATAATAGCATCAATTGATCAGAGAGATCGGGTCTGGAAGAGGCGATGTTTCGATCTTCAAGTGAGCCCAGGTTTTGCAGTTGTAACTCCCCAATGTAGGCTGCGAGTATATTGTAAAGCCTTCCCTTTGAAGAAGTCAGCGGAGCAAAAGGTGAACATAATTGAAGACGTACATTTTGAGCCATATCTCCATCATGAAACAGTAAAGGAGACAAGACATAGACAAACAGAGGATACTCATTGTTGTCTTTTCCAAGTTGAACTTTCGAGATACAACATTGGCCACCATCTCTTCGCCATATCTGTCGCCTTAGCGATTCCTCCAAATCTTTGGAAGCAACAGGGCGTACTATTGGCAAACATTAGCAATATTCAAATGAGTCAATAGTGGCGAACCTTTTCTGAGAAGACTAGCCCAGTCAACTAAAAATTCTGAGACGGTAGCCTTCTTCTGTCCAGAGATCTCATCGAGAAAAAATCGAGACGCAAATTCCCGGTCAACGGCGTGTTGGATGAAGGCACTGAGAAGTGTCCGCTGGGGGTGTGCAAGCGTCTCGGCGATCACGGAAAGGGCTTTGTACTCAGCAGACGCTTTGTCTTCTGGGAAGAGCCGAGAAGCGGATCCTGCGATATGATGAGGGGAACCCATGGCATCAGTCGTGATCGAGAACAGGTTAAAGCGAAAGAAACCAAGAAGACTGATGGATCATAAAGAGTTAGTGAGCTGTATTCTACCTAGCCTTCTGAAACGCTCCGTGTCGTTGTTCGAGCGCTAGAATCGTGTCTCACTCTTCGTAGTCTTATGCAAAACTAATAGGTGACCTTGTGAAGGAAATCTGCCTGTCGATAGCGCGATTCCTCTGGAGTTCTTGCCTGGGAGTCATCAGTACTTGTTGATGGTTTTCGGCATCGATTGGGCGCTAGCCCATGTTTTTCGCAACACTGGTAGCGTGGCCGCTACTCGGGAATCTGACGTGCGAAGAGACATATACGCATTGCACGAAGTCTGAAAACATTGGATGGAGATACTTCATGATCATCATGGCCGGCGTGGCCATAATTATGTTTTTCCTACGCTTTGTGTGTTTTACGATTTTCGAGAGTCCGAAGTATTTGATAGGGAAGGGGAGGGATGCGGATGCGGTGAAGATTGTGCATGAAGTGGCGAAGAGAAATGGGAAGACGTCAGGTTTGACGTTGGGGACTTAGAGGTTTGTGAGCAGTTGGCTGGGGGTGAACTGGCGGTGCCAATACGGCAGTCTCAGGCTCGGGCAGCGCTGGAAAGGAATCTAGAGAAGGTAGATTTGACGCATATTAAAGCGCTGTTTGCGACCAAGAAACTTGCATTCAGTACTTCCCTTATTACGGTCATCTGGGCATTCATTGGGTACGTTCCCCTCCCCTTCCCCTGGAATATTCCTCCCCCGAACATGCACATCTACTAACTTTGCTCCAGCCTCGGCTTTCCCCTCTACAACGCCTTCCTCCCCTTCATCCAAGCCACACGTGGCGCAGACTTCGGTGACGGCAGCACCTACCTCACCTATCGCAACTCCTTCATCATCGCTGTGCTCGGGGTGCCCGGATGTCTCCTCGGCGGCCTCCTCGTCGAACCCTCATTCATCGGCCGCAAAGGCACGATCTCGGTCTCCATAGTCCTAACTGGCGTCTTCCTCTTCTATAGCACTACCGCGGTCACCTCTTCCGCGCTCTTCGGCTGGAACTGCGCTTATAATTTCATGTCTAAAATCATGTACGCCGTGCTGTATGCGTATACGCCCGAGATTTTTCTGACGAAGGATAGGGGAACAGGGAATGCGATTACGGCGAGTGTGAATCGTGTGTTTGGCATTATAGCGCCGATTATTGCCATGTTTGGGAATTTGGAGACGGCGGCCTCGGTGTATGTCAGTGGCGCGTTGTTTGTGGCGGCGGGGCTGTTGGTGTTGGCGCTGCCGTTTGAGAGTCGTGGGAAGGCGAGTATGTAGACCGGGTTTGGGGCTTGGGAGTGGGTGATGGACGAAGGGTGAGGAGGAAGAAGAAGTATAATTGAATATACCCCCTTGGGACTTGACTTCGGTTAGACGGCCTAGAGTGAAGATAATTGCAAGAGCACGACCGCAAAGAGAAGACGTCCTGGTAAATATGAGCGTCCTGGTAAAAATAAGGAAAGCACTGATACTTGCCCTGCCATCCATTTATAGCTATACTCTCCTCTCCCCCTCGTTCTATGACCCAATTGCAGTGTTGAGAGAGATGTTTGTGAAGCGATATGCAAGGTCGAGAAGCAGACGCCGATGGACTGCGCGCACTCGATCTATGTATATTAGTATTAGTTTCCTTAAATAACTAGATTAGCCTGTTGCTTGGGCTCCCTCCCTCTCTCTCTCTCTCTCTCTCTCTCTCTCACACACACACACACACACACAACAGAACGTGGATCTCTCATCCCACTATGTCACAGCAACCACAAAGTCCAGCACAATACAACTTCCCAGACAGTCAAGACTGACACTCACATCGCTCTTTCGAAGCAGAAGTGCAAGCATGCATGTACAAGATGCCATTAACAAGAAGCAGACACTGCCAGACAGAAACGGACCTTAAGATATAGGAAGATACTCAAACCCCATCCCGTCTCGATAACTCCAAGGAAAAGAGGAAGGAATTTAAGAAGAAGAAAAAGAGTCTAAGAAAATAACCCGGGGATTCTTGAGACCAAGCGCTCAAGAAAAGATCAATGTGTGATATCGTAGCCCTGCTCCGCACCTTGTTGCTGCTGTACTGCTGTTTCTGCTGACTCAACGAACCACTGACCACTCCAATCTAACCAAGCCATTACAAACGAAGAAGGGCTTTGCCTTTCTTCGACTGATGCCCTGCACCACTGCAAAACTCTCGATATTGTTTATCGCATTTCGCACTCTTCCCACCCTTCTCCACCAGCCCGCAACTCCCACATCCGCTCTAACAGCACTTTCCACCCATCCCACCTGCTCCTCCACTCGACTCCCCTACATTAACCCCGGTATTCGCCGGACCCTCATTTCTCGCGCTATCAATCAACCTCTTCTTGATATCAGCCGCGAGGCTATAAAACGCCTTATCAACATTGATGTTGCTCTTGGCCGAGACTTCTAGGAAGGGGATCCCGAGTTCATCGGCAAGGGCCTGGCCACGTTCCGTCGAGACTGCGCGCTTCTCTTCCCAGTCGCATTTGTTGCCGATTAGGATCTTGTTGACGCCTTCGGTGGCGTGTTGTTCGACGTTGGAGAACCATGTGCGGATATCTGGGAATGAGTTGTCAGCACTGGGAGTAGAGTCTGAAACGGGCTTGAGGCTTAAATCTATGCGCATTATGGGGAGAATGCGCATGCATCTGCCTCAGTGATTGTGGAATGGTGGTGTGGACGCACTATTAAAGCTCCTCTCATCCGTAACATCATACACAAGCAAGATGCCCATAGCGCCCCGATAGTATGCCGTCGTGATAGTTCGGAAGCGTTCTTGGCCCGCGGTATCCCATATCTGCAGCTTGACACGCTTACCATCGAGCTCGATGGTCCGGATCTTGAAGTCGATGCCGATTGTCGTGATAAAAGACGGTGTGAACGAGTCTTCACTAAAGCGAAGTAGACAGCATGACTTGCCGACGCCCGAGTCGCCGATTAGCAGAAGTTTGATCTTGGAGGTCGTGCGTTAGTGATGGTGCATGAAGGGGGGGGGGGTGGCGGTTTGCGGTTTAAAGATGCGAGGAGTCCTTACAAGAAAATCGTAGTTCCTCGTCCCGGCCATTATGTCGTTGAGGCTCTATGCAAGGCTCGCAGTGATGCGTATCGTTGGGAGGAAGCGGCGTAGCACCCGCCTTCGACGGCTTTGGTGCTGGATCGGGAGCTTTCTTTGCGGAAGGCGGGAGGCGGAAGCAGATAAAGTGTCAGACTTGGACGGCGGGGAGATAGAAAGGTGGCGTCGATGCGAGTGCAGGCAGCAAGGCGACCTTGTATATGTGTCGCGGAGGGGAATGATAGTCGCGGGCAGGGTGTACAGAGTTGTCGGGCTTTCACAAGGCAGCTGTGGATGTGGTACGGCCCAGGTACAGCAGGTCGACGTTGAGGTAAACTGCGCCAAGCAAATCTGTCCAGGGAAGCAAGCGAACGAGGTCACCGCCGCCGCATTTGCCCAGATCTCCGTTGCCACTTCATGCTTCATCGTTATACCGACTGACTCCCACACAATGTCGCTGGGCATGCTACTAATTTAGTTTCATGATATATGCGTCTGCAGTCTTGTGGCGATGGATCCATTCACCACCCAAGACAGCCCTATTTATTTACTCGCTGGCTCGCTCGTTCCCTGCAAATGCCCCACACCATCACGTGAACCACTTTGAGTACGCCCATCGAATGCGATCTACGACTTTTTGCTGTCGCTCCAGTCCCGACCGTACATCTACAAGCTCATCGATTTCTCGCAAGAAGTCGTGAAATATCCTTCGAGGAAGAACCCCACTTGCTGCCTGTCGCAGGAGATGAACTTCGCATAGTAAAAGACCATGGTCTCTGTATGATATCTCTCCAAACTCCGTTGGTGTGGCTGCTACTAGAATGCGATCGATGTTTCTAAAGGGCGGTTAGTGTGGCCGATGACCCGCTAGAAGGGAAGGGTGCTTGTAGTACCTCAATATCAGCAGAAGCTGCCCTTGTCTTGCCCACTTCTGCACGCTAGTTCGGTTGCTGAAAAGACCGCCGAGCCATCTGTAGACACCGATGCTGACAAGAACCCCAGGAGTCAAGCCAATGAATCTGTACGAGTTAACCTTGTGCTTGGGCGGAAGAGAAATGACATACCCAAAGAGAAGTTCTTGACTCTTCAGAATAGAGTCAATGCCACTCATGGCAACCTCAACATCTACCTTCGTCTTTTGGATTTGGATCAAGAGAGCGCTAATGAGATTTCCTCGGATGGCACCCATTACAGGTCTCTCAAGATCCTTTTCGTATACCCTCAAAACCGGCGTGAGATCACCTTCTCTTACTTTGGCTCGGATATCAGCGATCTGGCTTTCATTGAGTGAGGGCCCATCTGGATTTGCGACTGCAAAGTCAACGACCATACGTTCAAGACTCGCGCGATCTCCCTCAAGGCTGCGCTTGCTAAGAATCGCGACCTCGCTGCCTTCATCGTGACGGATAGTGCCGATGACTTTCTTCGAGGGCTCCACAACCCAATTCGTCCAGAAGTCGATTACTGTGGTGCCAAACCCCCGTATCCACGAGAGAATCTCCTCCTTTCGGTGAGCCACGATGCGGAGGATCGTGGTTGAGGATATGAGGAGGATAGACGCAGGTAGCCAGTAGCGGATGAGAGGCGACGGCCGGCCGTTCTCCTTGACAACCGAATTGAAACTCGAGGAGTAACTGGACAACCCGACCGTAAGTAGATTTTGAAGGCGTTGTGATACATCAGCAGGTCTCAGGGATGTTGCGGTCCGTTCTCCCGAAGGCTCATGCAGTTCGTAATATTGGTCATCTTGTGTAAAAGCGGCCACAGCATCATCGAACTTGTCGACGGACAGATCAACGTCTCTCACGTTCTGGACAACAGCATCCATGAGAGCAATGCTCTTCGCAACAGTAGTCTTCCATCGATGGCGATTGTCTTGTGTCCCAAACGTGCCTGGAGTTTGAAGCCCTTCTTCGTGGAAACTAAATGGTCAGTAACCGTAAACCATGTGTAGACAGTGTTTTGGGCTACCTTTCATTGCTAAGGCCTTCGCCCAAAAGTATGCCTAACGCATTCGCATTGATCAGCCGTATCCGCTTCAATGCTGCGCGCTTTCGTCTCCCTTCATTCCGGACCAGCGCAAGAGGCGACACAACCCGACGCTGGATTTCCATTATCGATCGTTCCCGTGCGGCATCTCTAACAATCCCATAGAATTGCCTCCAGCCGTCTGCTAAGCCAACTCCTCTGGACCGTACGTCATGGTAGATTTCCTGCCACCATTTCCACAGCCGTATCGGAGAAGTTTGCATGGAGTATAGCCCAGCATACCGATATGTACTAAGAATATCGTCCCAATACCAGATATCGTCCTCCAACGGAATCGTCTGCTCCAGGATGATATTCAGGACCTCGCCGTAAGCTTGTGTGGCAGCCTTACTCAGCAACAACCACTCCAATTCATGTTCATACGACGTCTGCACATGCTGAAAGCCATCTGGATCCTCCTGCTCAAAGAACTGGGAACAGGTGGCGCAGTTATTCGAGATTTGTGCCTGGTCGAGGATCGCGTTGATCCTATTTGCGGAGACGAGGGAGGACTTCGAAGACGACGTGGTCGACAGATTCTTAATCAGCGCCTGCAATTGCGTGATTCGCGCCGCCTTTTCTGGGTCATGTGCCTCCTCGGCGGTTATGGAGAAGCTCTCGCCTGGCCGTGTAGTTGACAACTGTAGCCGATCTAGCTGGCTGTCAATCCGGCGCACCTGGCTAGAAAACAGCTTTTATTAGCACTACCTCGGACAGAGTTAATTTAGGAATGGATATTGACTCACTCAACCACAAAAGACATGGTGTTGCCGCCGTATTGACGCCTGCTAAACACAGCGCATCGACCCGGGCATGGGTGAAGTGAAAGTCGATCAACAACCAGACTGGGATGCCAGAAAAGTTGCGCGGCTCGCCGGATGACGTCGGCGCACAGATCTATTAACAGCCAATCAGATGATCTGGCTGTTCAACACCAAAGCAAGTCCCGACTGCAAGCGAGCGCTCATCATCAGGCTGCATTGAATGTAGAGTGTGTTGTAACACGGAAAGGGTAATTTAGGGCAGAGACAAGTATCCTATTAACCTTCTCTCCTGTCTTGTAAAGAGTTCTAACAATTTACATACAGTGTTGCGTGATACTTTGCAATTAACAATGGGAATAAAGTATGCAAGAAAGCATTGATTTCTTTCTACAACTATTCAGAGGAGATACATGTGTTATGCGCATCATCTGTCCATCGGTCCATTACCACATGCGCGATCAATGAGAGTTGCACTCTCATTGAAGCCGTTCATTTCCAGCGCCTGAAAATGCCTTTGAAATAAAAATTAATAAGGAAATTTTGCCTTTGTCGCACTCCAGACCATCCATCGCTAAAGACAAGGACTGATATTTACTACCCACACACAGAAAGAGAAAGAGCTGCGAACGGGAGAGTATATCGTAGATACACATTACAGTGGGAGAGATTTACAAAGCGAAGAGAGCGAGCACGACGGCCAAGAGGCCAGACGTGTATTTGATGCTGACTGACGAGGCAGCGCCAGTGAACTTAGCGGGCTCGGTGGTGGTTGCAGTCGCATTGCCACCTGGGACGATCACAGTGCCGAGGCTGCTTTGGAGAGGGTAAGCACCGGTGGTGACGGCGGGGATCGGAGCTGGAGTGCCGGGAACGAGGTTCACGGGCGCGGATTGAGTAACACCGGGTTGGCCTGGGCTGTTGGTTGTGAAGACTACCTGGGGAACGGTGACAGCGGTGGAGATGGTAGAGACAGTGCTTGAACCGGAGATTTCACTACCAGCAGAGGAACATGGGACTGTCACGGTCGTCTGGTAAATGATTGTGGTGACTGGGCCAGCTGGTTGGACACCCGTAGGCGCCGCAGTGGTCATTGGTGGAGCAGAACCAGATGGAACTACCTGCGAATACTCAGGAGTGGAGGGGTTGGTTGGGCCAAGAGGAACAGTGGATGGGCAGTTGGTGATGAGACCTGGGTTCTGGGGCACATATGACGCGCAAATACCGACAAGGTAAGAAAGAGCTTGTTGGATCTCAGCATCAGTCGACCAAGCCTTCACGCACTCGATTACGTTAGATGTAAAGTCGGCATTCTTGCAGTAGCAGTTCACGTCTGTGTTGTCCTTGCACTCCGAGTTGATCTCCAGCCAGGTGTTCATGCACTGTGGAAGAACCGATGGAGGGTTGTAAGGAGTGGAAGGACCAGTTGGCTGAGGAGAACTGGTAGTAGATTCTGGCGGGGTTGGGGGGCCAGTTGGAGTCACGGGACAGACGGTGGTGCCAACGGCGATGACTGAAGTTACGTAAACAGTTGAGGCTTGGTTTGCAGGGCAGTTGGTGACAGTATCAGCACAGCTCGTAATGGTACTGGTGACTGTGCTATAAATGATGCTGGTGGTGAGCTCTACGGTCGATGACGAGCTTTCTTGCGGTAAGGCACTTGATGAAGGAATCTCAACTGGCGAAGAGTAGACACCAGTTGACTCGACAGCAGTTGAGTAGACCAGGGTTGATTCAGGAGCTGGGGGAGTCGTCGACTCGGGGATAGGAATAGAGCTGTTGATATAAGGAGCAGAGCTTTCAGGAACGGGCGCTGAGCTTTCTGGGGTCGGAAGTGAGGTATATGGAATTGTGCTCTCAGGTGGTTGAGTTGAGCTTTCGGGAATAGGGACTGAGGAGCTCTCAACAATCGGGACTGAAGAACTTTGGCCAATCGGGACGGACGAGCTTTCCTCAGTAGGTTGCGATGGAGTGGGTGTAGGAGTTGAGATGATAATGGTGGACGACTTGCCGCCATATCCCGGGTTGCAGTCGAAACCAATGTGATGAAGTCCAATCTCGCATTCTCCCTTCTGCTCGTTATGATTGCCAAGGTAAACTTCAACTGACTGAGCACCTCCACACTGGGTATTCTTTACTGTTGTGCCCTCCTTCTTGCAAGGAGTGACATGTTTGCAGACACCACCGTCAGGCATTTTGTAATGCCACTCGAGATCGCAGTCGAACTCGACAGAGACTTGCATCTCAGTGATGGAGAATCCATCCTTCCTCTTGCTGCAGTCGAAGGCAGCTGGCTTCTCCTTGGTGCAAGAGTTTTTGACGCATCTGAGGGTAGGTCAGCAAAGATCTAGGCTCCAGTCTGAATATCCTTACTTAGACCCAAATGTTCTTTTGGTGAGAGAATCTCTCTTGCCGAAGCTGTTTGCACAAGTCCAGCCTCCTCCAAAGTTGAAATCACCATAGCCCGAGAAGCCACCGGTAGGGAGGTCACCCCAATTGAAACCCTCTTTCTGCTTGTCGCTACATTCATTGTTGTTGTACTGTGGCGTCTTGAAGTGATTGGCCTTAATATCCCAGGTTGCGGCAACCTGTTGGGCAGCCAGCCCAGAAATAAGAAGAGCGAGAGAAGTCTTCATGTTGCAGTAGATGCGCGATCAATGAATGGTAAATAGTAACGAATGTCGAAGCGCAGCTTAACGATAGTATGAACAGAATGATGAAAGCAATCAAGAAGAGCAAAGATAACGAATGACTTTGACTCTTGCAAAGCTTATAAGAGAAGGAGAAGGAAGCACTGAGCTGGTGAGCGAGCATGTGGAACAGGTCGGCGTAGCCATAGATATAGCTGGGCGACAAGCTCTTGAAACATCCCCCAAGAAACAGTCGGAACCCACGAGTCGGTAATTGGGACAGAAGTGCTCAGCCACGGACAATGGATGGGGTCCGTTGTCGCGCGCCATGTGGTTTCATCGTTAGGCCACATTCCAGTGGCCTCTCCGTAGGCAGCCGGAGGAGCATGTGGTTGTGAGGTGAGATCCAAAAAGCCATGGAGTGGAGCAGACAGGCCAGCGCCCCGAGCGGTTTCAAACGCGCTAAAACCAGAGCGCTGACCATGCCTCTTATGCAGGTACAGCGCCAATGGGTGGCGTCGAACCGCCCCTTTTCTTGCTCAGGATAAGCGTTGACCGCCTATCGGACCCAGAGAGCAAAGGGTCGAGCCTCAGTTAGATCGATCGGCAGCTCTTCGACTGGTTAAGCTCTCAAGCACACATCAAGCGGCAAAAAGCCACTCTTTTACACGAGCTTAGTGTCGAGACACATCTGAGGTCTTAACGCTGATGGCTGAAATGTGGTTGAGTTTCTGATGCCAGTGCAAATGCAGATGTTTCAGTCAAGCTCGTTGCGAGGCTCCGGTTGAGCTACCGAGTCTCCTCTTTTGTGCTCCGCTGTCAGAACATGCCCAGGTGGGAACTGGACTGCCTTTTTGGGTAGACAACCCTGGGATCCTCCCGCACCCACTCCCGTTTGAACCCAAAGCTTCCCGACCTGTCAAGAGCACAAGCACCTAAAATAGCTGCAAGGGTGGTGTTTCATCCATTCTCACCGTTCCACTAGCGGCATGCGGAAGACTAACTAAGCGCCTCGCCGGTGCAAGAAAACCCTCCAAACTCTAAGACGTAGTCGCAACTCCTTTCCCCTTTCAAGACTGCGGTGGGCCGAGACGGTCCTACAAGTACAATGCAGGTTCGAAAGCCGATCACAAACGGATTGTCTTAACATCAAGACAGAACTATTCCAGCCTGCACCGCGCCGCAAGGAATCGTGGTGTTCCGATTTCCGTCTTACTCGTTAACAGAACACGAACGGAGAACCGAATTTCTGCAGCCACGTTCCTTCTCCCGAATCATGTTCGGTTTGTGATGAGGTGAGGCAGGTAGAAGTCCGCTCGCACAGCATGCACGTGTTCTTTGGGTGGCCAAAGATGGACACCAGGGTTCCTTCTTCGGACGTGTGCCACAAGGACATGGCTCGCGAACTGCAGGCTCATCAAACAAGGCTTGCATGCTACCCCCAATCTACAACTGACGTCCGCTAAATAGAGGAGGTGGCTGTGTCAAAAAGCAGACCCCTAGGCTTGTTGGGGATCTATCCGGGGCTAGAAGGAACTCCGTGGGTAAACGTTGCAGCTGCAACGGACTGCGCAGTTGTGAAGACCATTCCTGCCGGAGTCGAAGCAGGCCAAAGGACGAAAAGCACATCTCGGATATCCGCACATTGACCTTTGATCGGCTTGACAGACCAGTAAAGTAAACAGACATATTTCCTCACGTTCTCTTACAGCGTGCTATCGTACAACGTAGAACTTAACCAGAGTGGAGTCAAATTGTTAAACCTCTTATTGGAATAAAGACGAGAGTTAGTAGAGTGCGCATTTCTGTCCTAAAATACCCTGTCGTGTTCCATGTTAGCTGAAAAAAGATGCAGAAGTTCACTTTGCTTCTCTGAGAACTTGTTCGGCGAATAACTCTCGTTGCGACAACCATGGAGGTCAACCATGACACCTCTCCGTTTCAGAACTTACCTAAATCTAGGTCACCAGGGATACAGGATTAGCAAGAATTGCTGCTCGTCAAGGAACTGTAGATTTCAGCATGCACTGAGTGGGGCTAAAGAAGATCAGAAGGACCGCATAGAGGGATCAATGTCATGCGCGCTCTTCATTGGTATAAGTCTGTTTGACAAGGTTGAGAAACCAACTACTTGTTGGGGTGAACAGGCTCATGACGTAACCCTGAATATCTTGGAAATCTCGCGGCGAGAGGTTGGTCGACGCCTCCTAGATTTTAGTAGCCCATTGTATTGCTAAGGTTGCTTTCAAGGTTTCTAGGGGATTGGACAGCCAATTGCCACATGCCACGGAGCCTAGCCAAGATAGATTTGATCTATCAACACTCTTGCTGGAATTTTCAGGGATGCAAAGGGATGCCAAACTCTGTCGCAGATCAGATCAGTTTTAAGTTCCGTCGCGAGTGATAATAAGGAGCATAGGGTTCTCGCTCGGGTTTTGGTGATCCGGATGAAGCACTTCGTTTGTGGCTTCATAGATGGGCATCGATGTCGGCTCAAGAGGCGTGAGCCAGTATGTCGGTCAGAACGGGTGTTAGTAATTCGACAGGAGTATGAGTTATTGAGGGGTGAAGAGTGATAGAAAGATGAAATCGGCCATTGGGCTCCTAAGAAAACGTGCCAAGCAGCCAAGGCGCTAAATATACCTAAACCCTATGGTTTTCTCAGCCTCTTCTGTGGCCTTTCTCACAACGTCCTTCACCGACGCGACATTCATCACCTATCTCAAGCAACTGTTAGCTAGGACTTTCGCCTGGCTTTACTCAGCGATACTCAATCATTCCTACATCACCATCTATGGGCTCCCCCTCTGGCACAGCAACCACCGACACCCCTCGCGCCTCCCTTCTAGCCGTCAGCGCAGTTCCAAACATCGTTTTGGCTTTCGGCCTCTCTAAGACTGACGCGAGCTTCGCGTCGCTGGTTTGGTGTGTAGCAGTGGGAGGTCCGCCTTGACTGGGCGGACGGTAAACTTCAAGTTTTACAAGAAGAGGCTGGACGTGCGTCATTTCCCGAACCCCTCGGGTATGCTAGTGCTGACGAAGTAACAGTAGTATTAAATCGACTTCACGATATTCGACGGGCAAATCACGTTTTGCAAATCTTCTAGAAATTCAGAGCTATGGCGCTCTTCACTTTCGACCAAGACGATGCCCATCTTGTGGGAGGGCAAACAAAGCAAGGCCTCCACTACGCAACAGCCAGGGCGGAAATGATCACAGACGGAGCCAAAGGGATGGATATTGATGCGCCAAAGGACCCAAAACCGGTGTTGGGAACTCCGCCCATCAATATTGCCTCCCCGCTTCCTAAGCGTCTTTTACAGTCCCCCCCACATATGAAGCAACAGTCCGTTACTAATAAACTAGACTTCGATATAGTGAGGAACAAAGCACAGAAAAAGAAGAAAAAGAAACGGGCAATGAAGCCCGGCGCACCTGCCACAAACACCATCCGAGGGTTTCAGACGCCTGTAACGTCTTGTGGAGAAGAGTCCGATTTCTCAGTCGCCACAACCCCACGTCTCGGACCTACCCTTTCTGGATTTCCAAGTGTCACAAGCAGCCCAGCATTGAGACCATCGTCAGCAGCCGGAGGAATAAGCGCGCTTAAGCAGCAGCTCGAAGCACTTAATCTCGGTCCCAGACTCGTTTCCCCCGGCAAAGGGTCCTTGGTTGGTCCGCTTAGGTCAGGTATCTCTAGCAATGCCAGTATCTCCGGACTTGATAGTGACAGCGACCGAACCGAAATGGAGAGCTACGAAGTCAACCTAGAAAATGACTTTGTTAGCCCAGACGTTGCGTCAAAATCGACTTTGACTCCAGATGGGATCGATCGGAGAAACTCGAGCATGCGAAAGATGACTGCGGAAGATTTTGACCCCCTGACATGTCTCGGAAAAGGTAGCTACGGAACTGTTTTGCTGGTCAGACAACATGCAACTGGCCGTCTCTTTGCGCAAAAACAGTTTCGTAAGGCATCCCTCACAGTGCACAAGAAGCTCATTGAACAGACCAAGACCGAGCGCGCGATTCTTGAGAGTGTCAATCGCCACCCGTTCGTTGTGAAGCTGTACTACGCATTTCAAGACCATGAGAAGCTTTACCTCATACTCGAGTATGCTCAAGGCGGTGAACTTTTTCACCATCTTGCTAGCGAGCGAATGTTCCCTGAAGACACGGTAGCCTTTTACATGGCGGAGATGGTACTCGCGCTTGATCACTTGCACCGCACCGTCGGTGTCATTTACAGAGACTTGAAGCCTGAAAACTGCCTCTTGGACTCAGAAGGTCATCTGCTCCTCACCGACTTTGGGCTCAGCAAAGTCGCCGTGGACGACGACACTACATCCCACTCGTTCCTTGGTACGGTCGAGTACATGGCGCCTGAAGTCATTCTGGGAGCCGAGTACGGCATGGCTGTGGACTGGTGGTCCTTCGGTGCGCTTGGCTTTGATCTCCTGACCGGCTCACCCCCATTTACCGGAAACAACCATGCCAAGACTCAAGAGAAGATCGTCAAGCAGAAGCTCGTCCTCCCCTACTACCTTGGTCCTGACGCCAAAGATCTACTTACGCGTTTGCTTCGCAAAGAGCCTAAGAAACGACTAGGCGCCAACATGCCCAAGGATCTTCAGACTATCAAATCCCATCGCTTCTTCAGAAAGATCAACTGGAAAAAGCTAGAGGCAAGAGAACTTGAGCCGCCAATTCAACCACTTATCACGGATCCAGAGCTTGCGGAGAACTTCGCGACTGAGTTTACAGACTTAGCTTTGAGCCCCGTGGCTACGAAGAAAGGCTTCGACGAGTTTATATTGGCTGAACAGGATCCCTTTGGAGGCTTTAGCTTTGTTGCTAGCCAAAGTCTGCTCGAGGGTGGTGAGTGGGATTGCTGATGATAGAAGATGACAGTTGGCTGTTGGGTACAACCTAGCCAATAAATGGAGTAGTTTCTTGTTCATACTTTATCGCCTGGAGTGTTGCATTTTCCGTTTTTGTTATTCTCTATTGTTTAGTTTTTGGTGTCATGATGCATCCTAGTAGAAAGACTAGCTACGAACCGGAAACTACTGATTATCATACATTCGTAGCTTCTAGTTCTCAGCTTAGGACTCCATAAAATCATACGTAAAGGGGTTTTATATGATTTGTGCCAAGGTAGTGTGCAAGACTATGTCATGATCTACTGCTCGGTCTAGTCCCCCGCGATGACACTTTGATGAAACCAGAGGTTTGAAAACGAGGTCCAAATTTACGTGCTAATTCTAAGATGTTGTGCTTGCTGTGTTCTTATGAAAGTGGCTTGGTTTAGTTTGCCGCGTTTGGTCCCATGGGATTCTTGGGATTCTTGGGATTCTTGGGTATTTGCTTGCTTTTAGTCCTGCATTCTGCGAACAGAAGGATCAAAGACAATGCTACAGACTTGCAGTCCTCTCTTTGATTCATTGTATGCATTGAGTGGGTAGCTTGAAGCCCTGTTCGAAAGTGTGATTGGCTTGGTGATTAAGCGAATAGGTTTCCCGAACCGCTGGCGCGGGGAATGTTCTAGTTGCGATAGCGCATACTTGGTTCAGGCATGGGGTAATGGTCAGTGACGGCGGGTGATGGCGGGTGATGGCGGTTGAGAGCGCGGTGAATCAAGTGCGGTTGGTTCTAGGCTGATAGTCCGCATCTGGTGTGTGTAGTAGTGCGCACTAGGCGAAGATTCGTAGGATAGGTTAGTGATCGATGCCGGTGGTTGACTTGGTGCTAGTCGTGGCTGGGTGGTTCTGGTAAAAGGAAGTATTGGAAGAGGGCGGTTGGCCGCACAGACCCAGGTAGTATTGCGCAGTTTATCAAGACTCGTCGATTCTGATATAGGGCATGGTTCGGAGAGGTTGAATGACCCGACGGTAGGTAGTGTGTACTTGATGGGGTGTTGATGACCCAGGGGTGGAGCAGTGCTGGAAGAGATGATAGAACTTGTTGAGACGCGACGTTTATTCTAAGCAGGGCGTGTAGGGGGCCCAGAGCGCGAATAGGATGGGTCCTATTGCGTGAGAAGCGACCAGAAGCCAACTTTCGCGACTTACTAAACTTGAGAGCACAAGGGGGCTACACAACACAGGATGCAGCTCCATGGGGATGAAGGCGGCGCAGCAGGGCTAGGAAAAGCTCGTTGATGCTTTGCAAATATCGAGAATGGATCGAAAGAGCTCGGGAATGGACATAACTCAACCAAAGAGCCTACCAGCATGGAGTGTGAAGGCGAAAGGTGTTACCTGGCGAGGGATTCTTGGGAAGTTTCCTCATATCCATGGACTACTCAATGTGGTATAGCGGCCGACCGAACAGGGAACGTTGCAGCAGGTATGCGGGCTGCGGTTGAATCAACTCCCTACCGACCTACCCTCATGAATTTTGAGCACTACTCTGTCTTTCCATCAGCTTGCGCATGCTGTTCGATATTCTCAATGATTGATAATGATGACGATACTTCGAATCCTGACTTTCCTAAGCTCTAGTCGAAACGTGGACGTGGATGCGAGAGTTTGATGGGGTTGTGTGGGCAGTCGCTCGGGCGGCTATGTGCGTAGTAGATGCGCTGGCTAGACGTAAGGTGCGTGGAGGGGCCTCCAGGACTCATCGAGAGGGAAGCGCAAGAGAATATGAGTATTGTTGGCGCAACTCCCTTTCACCCTTACAGGGTTTTCACACCGGTACGCGCTCATTGTCTCCCTGTTCCTTTCACGCATAGCGATGGGTGTCCCAGGTATTCTCCTCGAGATGATAGGCGTATGCCTAAGGTGCAAGGCCACAGGTGCCTGGGAGCTTAGAGCTTGTAGGACAATAACGGCATTGTGTAAAGGCTCTCGTTATATTCTCAAGAAAACGATTGACTGCGCGATGTGTCGAGTGTGAGCAGGGCTAGCAGAGTGTGATTGGAGAAAGGTCAAGCGGAACGAGGGGGAGCAATAGTGGTAAAGGCTGCCTATCATAGGAGTTCCGATTTACAAGTAGCCGCACCGCGGTTAGCTTCGAGAGTTGCAATAGATATGAAGAGCTGGAAGCATTGGGAGGTTATCGAGGAGCCTACAAAGGGTGGAGATATAGGAACCCTGATACTCGTTCCACTAAGGCGTGTACCACTGCCTTCTCGGTGGAGCAGTCCAGCCTATCAAGGCAAGGATATTTGAGACTCGCATACATGGTCACATCAGTACAGGACTTGGCCAGCTTGCGCTTTGTCCATATGCCGGGGATAGTGCAATGGTATAAATGGCCATATCACTCTATTATCCACGCTGTAGTAGCATCACGAAACCCATCTGATCGAGACGCAACTGCGGCGGAGAAGGTCACGGGAGGTATTCCGACAGCAAAATGTTTGACACAGGCTGACTTCCAGCATAGGATCACCTCATGAGACACGGCCAAAATTGGTGAGCAACGAAAAGTGAGAAGAGAAAATGGACGTAAAAAGAAATTTTGATTATTAGGAGAGAGGTCAACTAAGGGAAGTCTGCCAAAAAAAAAAAAAATTTGTGGCAAGGAAGAAAGGGGAACTTTTCTCATGATACCTCGTCGTCACGTGGGCCATCTCATCAGGTGCTCTTGCCACGACAACTATGGTACGAGAGTGGCAACGGTTCCGTCTTCCCGAGGCCACAGTAGCCCATAACGAGTGTCATCTTTTCAGATTCTCTTCTCACGTTCAATGCGACAGCGCACAGCTGGAGCTGTTGCGCAGCCCCAATCGACCACAAGCTCTCGCAATTCACAGTGTCAGTGACCAACATCATTTTGCCCCAAATTTTCCTGCTCATTTGATGTTTAGTCAACGCTCCATGGAATCCGGCTGGTCCGGTTGGAAATAGATGGCATGGCTCCCAGCCACGATCGTCCTTATTCAAACCTCCACAAAACAGTCGCCTTCTCTTACTTCCTCTTCGTCATCTTCTAGTTCCCGGGCCTCTTCGCTGCAAGTATGCAGGAGTTTGTTGAGCTTCTTTCGGTCATCATGATGAGGGTTATCATCGATCAGCTGGAGAGCCTCCTTCCCTTTCTCGAGTGCCGCAAGTATATCGGAAGAAGTCCTCGTCCGCCTGTAACGCACGTATAACGCACCAGCGAGCCGAGAGAGAATCTGAGGGAGACATGCCGCATTACCAGTTCTGGCGGAAGCCTCTGCCTTTTCCAAGGTCTCAATTGTGTCCTCAATCCACTTTATCTCCTCCAAGGATTCGTATCGGGCATTCAATGCAATAGCTCGATTCACTAGCCTAGTGGGAAGCTTCGGGTCATCCTGGGCTGTCCTGTCTACTGCACTCTTCGAAAGCTTCAACGATTCTTCCAAGTCCTCCGGTACCTTGTCCCTCTCGTATTTGGACAAGTACATAGTGGAGAGATCGTTTTGTATCGTTGCAGTGTTTGTGCCCGCAGTAGTCAACGCCTCCCTAGCTTTTCTGATCGCATCCTCAATATCCTCCACGGACCCTTCTTCCTCATATCTGGTGCAGAGGCAATTTGCTTGGTTCATCAGGATGATCGATCGCAAAGATGATCCTTCTGTAAGGGCTTCCAAAGCTTCTTCATAGATGTCAATGGCATCGTCAAGATCCTTCTTCTCTCCGAACCTTTCGAAACGAACTGAGAGCCGACTTCCCTGGATTGCGCACCATTGCGCCGCCTTAGAGTAGCCTGGGGGGTTATTTTGCGTGGCCTGTTTGCCAAGAACCCCGGCTGTACCGCTTAGAGATTTGGCGGCGTCACGGTCGCTGCTGTTGCGAGTTAACCCATACTTCGAGTAGTAAAGGTCGGCGAGGCGGTCGTGATGCACAGCTTGGAACGCTGGGTGTTGGTCCTCCTGTGAAGCGGCTAAGTTAAGTGCGATTTCCGATTGTCTGATTGCAGCTTCTATTCCTTCCAGAGTCGTCGGATTCTCATGAGCTTCTAGTTTATGCGTCAAGACATGTCTGGCAAAGAACCAAATGACACAGGAGCCGAGACGTGGGTGACGAGCGCCACTTACGGTTACGCGATGAAGATATCTGGTGAGGAACTGAAGCCATATCTCCCGTTTGAGGACTTCTCTTCGTGAACCAAATGTTGCTATGTTCAATAGCTAAAGCTAATCTTGAGTTCACGAAGCTTTGCACCCGTTGAATACTCGGTATGAGTGGCGGCTTCATGGGCGCAGATTGGGCTTCCTCGGATTGTCTTGGCACGGTCGGACAGAAGCCTGCTACGTACCAGACATGCGGACCGGCGAGGAATAAGGAATGGGCAGCCACATGACCTGAGGGTCAGGTCAGTTCAGCCATGCATCACAATCTCCATGGGGTCTCCTAAATTCCCGCACTATGAGGGCGCTAAAAGATCGGGTGGACCGTTTCTTTATCGAGAAGTATCGGATTCTCGAATTTAAGCCTGAAAGAGGCCGAGAGAGGCCTCTATCCCACTGTACTTGGTACTTTTTGATGCGAGTCTGAACAGGTGGTCGAGTCCTTGATCGCTGAGGTGGCCTAACAAATCGGTGGCGCCACTTCTCCCGGATCATTAATCGGCCTTCGGAAGCGATCAAGACCACATCCATGGTCATCGGCTTGACCGTCATGCTGTGAGCTACTGACTCAATGATTACCCCACAATCTTTCCTCGTAGTCAGGATGCTAATCCCTAAGCGCAGAAGTAAAACGAAGACATCTATCAATACGCCCTGTATATGACGGTCCCCATACCTTTAACCCTAGACAAAGTGCATATTTTACTCGAGCTTCTCACAAAGCGTGCATGACGGAGGGGATATTTACACAATTCGTTTCGACTCAAATTGGATGCTAACATTTCAGTGCAGAATTCAACCCAAGGAAAGTTTCAACGGACTTACCAGGAGGTTTGTAGACATAGAAGTCACCCTTCTAGAGTTGAAAAGCGCGGAAGAAACTGTTTTAGGGTTCAATTTCATTGGTCTACAGACCAAGCAAGCGCCAGCACGGACAGATTGAGCGGAGGCACAGCGTGGTTTCACTTTCATTCTGCCTGTGCTTTCTTTATTCTCACCAAGGAACAATTCTTTGACAGATGGTTCGAAAGTTAGCCAAATTCCACGAAAATTTACGATGCTCTCGGCAAACGAACGATACGCGGACGTGCACCTTCGTCCCATGCAATATTTATTACCGGCCCTAGTCCTTGGTGGGTTCCCACACGGAAAGGCAGCAAGTATAATCTAGGTTTTGACGGTCAAGGATTGTCCTTCGAAATGTCTTAGTGGATCACGATCCTCTCCCTATCAGCCAGCTGCTGTCAGGAGAGCTTAGCGGATCTGAGAACTTAAAAGTGGGGTACCCTTCAATTACCAGATCACGGAAGAGACGCAACATGCTTCGTTACCTGCTCAGGAGATCAGAGAGGATATCAAGGCTCTCCCCCCGCTCTTCTTTGTCAGCCGCAGATTAGACATTGACCTCGCAAATAGGCTCCCACCTTCAATCGATTGCTCGTGTCTGCGGGAGGTTCATCATCTTGATGCAAGAACACCTGAAGATGACCCGAGCCGAGTTTGTTCTCTGCATTATGCCATACGAGACTACTGTATCGGGTTCGCATGTCAGTTTGAAGGGCCCTTTAGCAAAGCAGGCCGGTGACAAGTGCAGCTGCTGTGGTGACCAATACGATGTCTACTGCCATCTGTCTACCGAAGCAAGCTTGCCTGCGTGAGGATTAGTGAGTGTTTCCAACGAATACTAAGTCTCTGTCTACTCTGTAATGATAACCCTGCTTGAATATGCGAGGGTCGTTGTCAAGCTGAGGGCCACTTAGCGAGCAATCGCGCCTCTTTGAAGGGTGTCCCACTTTTAAACTGGTATAAAATCACGATATGCTAGAGATCTCACTGCGCATGAACATCAGGTCATTTTTCTCATGCCGGCTCTAGAGGTTCGGCTTCCTGTCTCTTGATAACATGCAGTCGAATGTCGGGTTGACCGGTCATCGCCGACTTCTCATTGCACTATACTTGAGTGAGATAGCGCTGCTGGATTGGCAGTCCCTTCTTCCACCACGCGATATTCATCCACCATCAAAGTGCCGGGAAAGGCCACTGGACCGGCTAGAGGGAAACTGTTCCATCCTGCACCTCATCGCTGGGGTAGTATATTGGGATCTAGCGCAAGGATGGAACGAGGGGGTGTGGATCGCGAAACCGATAGGCTCACCCAACGGTGCGAAGGTTGCTCGAAGTGACAGTTTTCCCCGAGTTTAGCGTTGATTCGATACCTCGAGGCAAGTGATAGCCCTCTCCGTCCGAGCGTTGAGACGTTCTCTCAAATTTACGGAGAGGAGCCGTACGACATATCACTCCACGTCAAGGGGATGGTCCAATCCTATGCTGCTGTCTAGATCTAGACTCGAGGGAAGGATGTGAGAGCATCAGGGCTCCAATACAAAGAAGACTAACCTTCGGCGGCTCCCGTTATCCATATCCGAGTATCGAAGAAATTAGGGCAGCCAATATCCTCCGCGAGCTTTCGTGCCGGAGTCGAGACATGAGTGAGGGGCCGCTGTTCTAGGCGCAAGTTCGAGAGGATCACAAGAGCCCGGGTCAGGTGAGGTCTTCACTTCACCCGCCCCGCCAACCGACCTGGTCTAGATCTCATCTCTCGTCCAGCGAAGGCATGTTCGGAAAACTCCTCAGACCGCCTAAGGTTGTGCTGTGCAAGTTTCGTGCCCTGAGCGGTTTAAAACTCCAGGTACACATTCATCAACTTAAGCTTCCAGCTAGACCTATTGAAGCTAAGTTCTGGCTAAGTCTATCCCTGTGGACCCTGTAAATTCCGATGCCTTCCATTTAGATTTCTCACGCATTTCCGGCTGCAACAAACCATCTGAATTCCCTGATGTTCATTCGTTATCGCCTGATCAGATAATGCATCATCAGTTCATCACCCTGTTACCTCACGTTACAAAACGGCGGTCTTGTGACGCTCCAGCCCGTGCTCTGAACTTTATCGTTCCACTTCACTCTCCAAAGCCCTGCTCATGGTCTGATCTCTTTGCTTGATCCGCCGGAAGAGAGCATTTGGGATCCTGCTAGGAAAGATCCACAAGATCGTTCCTGATTTCTAACATTCGCCTGTCTTTCAGCTGGCCCGTCCTTTGCCCAGGTTCTATGCTATCGTACCATTATTGCAGACGTGAGAGAACTCCAGTTTTGTGTTCTCAGATTTCAAGCTTCCCAACATGAGCAAAAGTCGAAAACGTTACTTGATGCAAGTCTATCACCCTCGCATTCCTTCAACCCCGTGGACAGAGCAGCTGATTGTTGTCACTAAAAATATTTGGGATTCACTTTCAAATTAGGTTTCCCCTTGTCCACATACCGATCCTGGAGTAGAATCAGACCACCAAATTTACGCACGTCCATTTCGGATTTTAGTTTCAACGAGCTACCTCAAATCTTTTAGCCCCAATGAGTTATCGACTTCCATTTTGTGCTCTTTTGCATCGGACAACGGTTCGGCGGAAGCGGTACAAATCAGCTGAGGCATTAAACCCTTCTAATCGATCACAACGAAGTTATTCTCAACGCTGAGCGCGGCTGGCCGACCCAGTGAAGCCCCCGTCAACGTTAGAGACCATAGCATGGGAATCTGTGTTGGAGCATGGCAATTGGGAATCCTATGCGTCCTCTTAATGGGAATGGTCAATTCCCATGAGCTGAGTCCAGAATCCCCGCTACTTGCCACTTTTCGACCGACAGCATGTCTAACAGCTCGCCTTGCGCCAAAGGGTGGGACTTAACCCACATCCACCTCGTTATTGGGCACCAAAGGAGCAGATCGTCCGAACCTAACCCCACAGACGGCCTTTCTCGATGCCATGCAGTGCATACCGGCAGATCTAAGAACCAGTGGCACTGGGCCTTCGCTAAAGATGCCCCGGAAGAACAGGAAACTGTGGCACAGGGCACACTGCGTTGGCTTTGTCTGGTCATGGGCTGAGGCAGGGGTCCAAGTGGCGTAACCAAGGTTTTAATTACATACAATACTTGGTATTTTACGAACGCTTCCTGCGTAGCAAGTTCCTGCTGCACAACGATCTCTCATACTCTCAAAAAGCTCTTGAAGCTGAGCTTCTGTAATTGAATCCCAGGCTACTCGTACTGCCACTTGTAAATGATCGTAGGAGAGCTGCACATCTCTATAGTGCTTATGGATGCAATCCTTCATCAAATTCCAAATTATCACAATTGGATTGAGATCTGCTGAGGAGGGAGGCTAGAAGATAGTCTCAACACCTCGTTCTTTCAACTCTAGTAGCGCAGGCACTACTGGGTGGCCTGGGGTTCTATTTGCCCTGAGCTGAATACCAGGCTTAAAGGGAAACCAGCCATGGATGATCTGAACTATCTAGTCCCAGTACGATTGCTTGTTAATAAAGCCCCTTCTCTCTACTAGAAAAGCTACACCAGAATATATATAGCCACATCATTTCTTAGTCTTTTCTAATTCGCAAGGATCAAGCAGGTCCTCTCCAGGGCGCTGTGTAACCCCTAGCATTCGATGCCTGCTCCCTGTTATATACCTCTCATTGGCCTACAGGATTAATGACTATTATTCCATTCTTTAATCAAGGTGATTATACGTCCACTTCAGGCGCTTTCGTCGACTCGAGGGCGAGAGAGGCGGCCTAGCTAGGCCTACACAGCGTGGGTGGCCTCGCTGGCATACAGCGCTTCGAATCGCGTATTAGTTACATTGAAACTCGGAGAAAGGCTTATTAGCTAACTGAGTGTAGCTCAGTAGTCTACCAGTTCGAGCGCTACAGATGAAGACCTCAATCTGATTAATCTGAGCGTCAGTAAAGATTGAAGGGCGATCAGGGAGCTTCTTTGGTGTGATGCGTTCACGAGCAGCTGTGTACTGAACTTGTCTCTCTATATAGTTGAGGAAGCTAGCGATATATTTGTGCGAATTGTTCGCAAGGCGTAGGGCCTGTACTTGTAAGCGTTTGTCGCGGGTGAGGTGGTTGCTATGCGGCGGTGAGGGCTTCATTGTGTGAAGAAGGATAGGTAAACAAAAGATGAAAGGCGGTAGTTACATGTTTTCCTAAATTTTGGTGGCGTTGCAAGACCCCGCAGCTCATTGACAACCTAGAAAACCGATGCCCTGTACGCAGTGATTTCTTGCATATTGGAATTGAATTGTATAAATGAAGGCGGTGAATTATGAGGCAAAAGCATCGATTTCCTAAATGTAATGCCTACGCCTCGTTTCGAGACAGCCTTTAGCTTTAGGCTTCTCCACAGCAAATGGCAATTGGCACTTATCCTCCTTCTACTCTTGGACTTCTCACGCCATGTTTCTCTTCCTGGAAGGCCTCTATCTCAGCCCTCTCGTCCCCTCCCTCGAAATTTGAATGCCAGGATCCCTGGGCAAGCTAAGGCCCTTATGCAAGGTACCCTGCCACATTACCATTATTTATCCAAGCCCTGGCAGATCCGCCCCCCCACTCTTGCGTGAGTACCAAGAATCGAGACCTCTCAAGAACAGCCGGTTAGACAAGAGCGGGGTTCCCTGGGCTGGAAAAACAAGAGGGGTCCCTGTGATGGCTGGATTTACGATGATTACGAGCTGTATCATAGATCGTTTGATTTGCCTTGTTTGAATTAGTAATTGTATATAAAACAAGACCTAATTGGTGTTCCAAAATCATGAAATGGCTTGCATGGCCACCACCTAAATGAATAACTGCCTCACAACGCTATCGCATGCTCGTAGTTATACTTTTGAATCCCCCTAAGTTCAGTCCCTCCCACCCCTCTTCAATATACCCAATTAACTCATATTTGTCTTCAAGGATCTCCTCTGAGCTCATGGATTCTTAATAGGGTTCAAATCATGTGAGTTCGCTGGAGACGATAGGAGCTGTAGTAGTTAGCTGATTGAAGATGAGCTACTCCCGCAGCCCCCGCTGTATGTGGTGAGGCTCCATCCTTCATCAATATTGTATTGCCAATCTCTACTAGGAAGAACTCGTGCTCTATTTTAAACTAATTGATCATGGGGATAATATGTCGAATGTAAGTCTTTGAGCTGAAATTTCCTGTTTTCAAAAGCAACTTTACCGCTCTTAGGGTAATCTAGGTAAGAGGGTGTTAGTACCTCACCCCTACGTACTTAATTTTAGTCAGTTGGCAGAACAAGATGCGTTATATTAGAGATGTCGCTCGCCGTACTGAGAGGGAGTGTCTTCACCATAACACGACTCGTCTTTCCTATTTGATACCTTTCCCGTCTTTGGCTGAGCTGCGAGCTTTGGGATCTAATGCTTCCCTTAGCAACTTGACTAGCCCTCAGGACGTAGAATATAAATTGTGAGAAGACTTGAAAGTAAAGAGACCTTGTAGGCTAGTGTGAAGAAAAGCATGTGAAACTATGTAGATTCTATGGTCTTTTTGTTAGAGTATAAAATTTCAGAAATTATTTGAGAAGACACAAAACAGCGTATAGGGGCTTCGAGGGGCTCCTTACAAAATTTCTTGAAGTTTACGCAAGGACTGGAAATCATGCGTTTGGTTGATATGCTAGAGGTACACTCCAATTATTTTCAGTTTGGAATATGTTTTGGGGAGATTTCGGCATGGAATCTCAATAGCTTGAAAACTTTCCATAATCGCCTATTCTATGTTGCATCTTAGCTTGTCTGTAAATATGACGGAATGTAACAAGGATGATTTAAGATAGAAATCTGCATTCTCCTAGTGTCCCTCTAAAAAGTCCAACATTTTAACTCTTCCCTGGTTATAGTTTAGGGTAACATAGTACCACTTTTGCCCCTAAATGCCAATCCTTACGCCAGACTTATATACCCACACTTTACCTATCCACAGTCACAAGCCACCCATCTCCCAGCATCGTCCCTCTTCCGTCCATGCCGCCCCAAACAACCACACTTGCGCCATCGACCTCAGTTCCCCTCGCCACCGCGAAAGCGCCTCTAACCCCCAACCCCTGCTTCGGTTCCCCAGGAACCTCCTTCTCTTCCTCGCCCATAGAATCGAGAAACTTGTACTGAACCTCCGCCCACCTAGCCTCATTCGTGTCTTTCCGCATACCCGCCTTCGTCGCATCCTTCACGCTCGCCGCGGTCGCGCGCTCAGATGGAATCTGGAACGCCCAGATATCGGAGATAAAAGCTTTAGCCTTGAATTCACCGGTGGGCTGCCCCTCGCCTTCGCCACCGACAGCGAGGAGATAGTGCCGCCCCTGGCCCGTCGTCACACCCACTAGCCCCGCGCCCGACCGCGCTTGGGGCGCCTCGCCATCCGCGTGGGAGATTTCTTCCCATCCCCATCCGCTAGTGAGAGGCGTGGTGCCACTTTCAGCATGTTTCCACACAGGGCTGACGTCCACCAATTCCATGCCACCGGATGCGAACGTTTCGACGCCTTTCCCGCCAAATAGGTACAACCGGTTGCCCATGAGTTCCATGCTCGCACCTTCCCGCGGCTGGCCCAGTGGTGTGGGAATATTAGACCATGTGCGTGATCGGACGTCGAAGGCAAGAGCGTCATTGAGGAGTTCGTTGGAAGAAATGTTGCGACCGCCAACGATGAATATAGTACCCCAAGTATCCTCATCCGCGGGCTCCGGTACGACCTTTGCAGGGTCTGCGGGCTGTTGCGGCGCGCGCTCCTTGTACACCTTCTCTTTTGGCCCGGGGAGTTCGGCGCTTGCAGCTGCATGGCCGGTGCGGTGGGATGGGTACAGGGAATCTGTGGCTGGGTCCAGGCAGCTCCAGGAATTGGAGACCGTGCTATAGACCCACATTCTTCCGTTTTCGGGCTCTATGCCTGAGCCTCCGAAGACACATATGCTGTCCCCTATTACTACGGCTGTATGGCCCTTCCGTGGCGCTGGGACATGGCCATCTGCAGTGGTAGGCCGTGCGGGGATTGTGGTATAATCGGCCTCGAGGACGCCGCTAGAGGGCAGGATGACAATGTGCATAGCATTATCTGCCAGTTTTCCCGGCTCGCTCTCGCCACCGAATATGTATGCACGGCCTTTAACGACAGACAGCGTGTGATGGCATCGTGATACCGGGACCGAGGTGACGTGCGTGAGATTTGCTTTGAGCGGGAGTGTCGGGTGGGCGATGCCTTTTGCGAAGGCGACGGCGCCTTCTAGGAGGGATTCCGCCGTGTAAAGAGCGCCTGTTATGGCTGGCTCCATTGCTAAATCGGGAGGAGATGGAGGTATTGAGAATGTATTTGTGAGTACTTGGGGTCTGGTCTTATGAGGGCAGTAACAGAAGAGAAGAGGACAAGAGCAGGAACAGAAATTGAGAATATTAGCTTGAAGGTAGATGACTAGAATTAAGAGGAGTTGAAGAGAAGAGATTATGTAGAGCCAGTGCGTTGTTTTCTGCGGAGCGAGAAGTTGAAAGAGTTATGACGCAAGAAGTAGCAGACCCCTGTTCGCACGTGAAGCTTGGCAGCCTCAAGGAAACCTCGAAGAAGGTCGTAGTGGGGAATGCTTTCACATAGCATAGAACTAGATGCAGGCGACAAATGTAGTAGAGAGTTGAAATGAAACCCGGTGCTTCCCTCGACAGCAATTACGCCTCTAGAGATGCTCTTATATACCGTGTCAGGCCGTTTAATGTTTCATGATAACGATCATGCTCCTCCTCCAACGCCTAATATGCAGAAAAATGATCCACGCACCTTGTAAGCAAGAAGATACATCACGTAATATAATTACACTATGCCTAAAATGGATGTATGTGTAGGAGAGATTATGGTCAGACATTCGGAGATAGTTGGTCGGATTTGACACATCGTTCCACCTAAAATGCCTTGTAAGCTATTGTCGAAATCACGAGGCCACTAACCTTACGCTTTCAATCGAAGCCTGCAAGAAACTTCGAGCTTCAAGTCCAGCCCAAACCTTCAGAATTGAGAAATCACCGCCACGTATCATCGACGAACCGCTCTGAGCACCAAGTTGTCGTAATATGGGGAGGGCGCTACAAAATTAGTTTCTGCCTGCACACATTCTCACACCAAACTTACCCTGAAAATAGGTCCAGGTTTGGATCTAAACTTCTGCCGATACCTTCGAGCAATAGAATGCTAAGAACGACATTGACAAAGTCGCCTTCTAGACGGACATGGTGCGTTCGGACCATGGACAAGACTTCGTTCAGGATATCGCCGATTTTGATATTGCCGAGCGCAAATGTTCGACTCTTGACGCTAAGGACGAGGTGCTGCATGCGTAGGGCAAATACTTCTTTATCAATGACTGCATCTGGCTGTCTACATCGTTCAACCATGAGGTGCCCGGCTTTGTATCCGTCAAACTCTGCCACGGCCTTGAATAGATCCATGAAGTTTGCTCTGTTCGTAGCATTAAGTTCGGTTACAAGTCCGGTATCGATGAATATAATTTGTGGCCGGTATCCCTCATCATCGATATGTTGAAGCTGGGTTGCCCATTCTTTCGGCTTCTTCTTGAAGGGGCGGAGTCTCTGGAGGACTTCTTCGGTGACGTCTGGTGATTCTCGAGGTCCAGTCGTCTTATCTTCTCTTCTGCTGAACATGGACACGTCCAACTTCTCGGGCTTATAGAAACGGACCATAATGTTTCCTGGATGGAGATCGGCATGAATGAAGTTATCGATGAGAAGCATAGTTAAGAATGCATTAAGACCTTCATTGGCAATATCTTCCTGGAATATCCCTCCGCCATTCTGTAGGAAGTCTTCCATCGGAATTCCCTGCGCAAACTCCTCAATCAAGACTTCTCGCGTTGTGTACTCGGTGTATGGGTATGGAAACCAAGCTGTAGTACGATTTTTGAAGTTCTGTCGGAATATCGTGAGGTTCGCAGCCTCGATCCGCAGGTCTAGTTGTAATCGCATCATTTCACCAAACTGCTTGACTTCGTCCGGAAATGATAGCCATTCCATGGTCGGAATTGCATTGATGATGGCAGCAAAGAAGGCCATAATGCGCAAGTCTCTCCGCACCATTCTCTCAACTTTTGGATGGAGAACCTTGACAGCAACATGGCTTGACGGGACTCTTTGTGGTATGCTCTTCAGCGTCATATCAACGTTCTTCCTTATTCTCTGTCGCAGGTTCGGCGTTTCTAGCTCACGACCTAGGTCGTCTGGAGCGGCAAGATCGCGTTTTAGCTTTGCCTTGTAGACCTGTGCTATTGCGCCTACACCAAGGGGTTTCTCATCGAATTCCTCAAATATCTCTTCGAACGAGCGTTCATTGAAAGACTTCTCCACTATCATCTTCGTCGTCTCGAGCGAATGTGCCGGCGCGTGGGAATGGAGCGTTGACATGGTTATGCAGAGTTCTGTTGGGAATATATCCGATCGCGATGCGGCCCATTGACCAAGCTAAAGACCACAGTCAGACGTCAACCAAGCCTCCAATCGATGTCGCATACCTTAATAAAAGCCGCGCCAGCCCGCTCCATGGATCTCACAAGAAATACATACCACCACAATGTCCCAGTCCTCTCATTATCCTTCTCTGATTGCCTGTTCCCAAGCCAGATCACCGGAACTGTAGCCAGGACTGGTACAAAGATAACGACGAGGTGCAAGAACCGCAATCCCGTACATATCGGCTCGACAATATACAATTCAAAAAAGAAGTATATTCCCCGTCGCACTTTCTTGGAATGCTGTATAGCCTTTGGCACCCGCTGATTCAGCTCTTTCCGGGATGCCTCCAACATGGCCGCCTCATGCGTTTTTGCGCCATCCTCCGTCTCATTCTGGCTGATTGCTACGAATGCGAGTGAAGTAAGAGCAGCTCCAGTAACCGCCCCAGACCATAATGTCACCCTACCAGGGAATTGTGGTGCTGCAAAGTGCCGCCTGATGAACGAGGCACGTCCAGGTGCGAAGGGTCGCGTAGAAAATGGGCGAAGGGAGGGAGCGAAATGACGTAGCCCTTGACGAAGACATTGGCGGCAGAGGAGGAAGGCCGGCCTCATAGTATAGGAAATGGGTTTGGATCAACGCGTGAAGGGTCCATGAGGAGCGGATGTTGATGTCGAGTTTGGCTGGGTTATCACAAGGAAACCGCGGCTGCCCAACGTCATGATAAATGCACGGGCCACAGACAATTTGGATGGAGGGTTAGCTGCACTCAAGCATTCACCTTTGACGCTTTCCATGGCTTCTTCTTCCTTCTAGGGTTACGGCAGTTTTTCCATTCTTCGGCTTTAAACCTCTGGCTCTGATCCGGGGTTGATTCTAAACGAGTCTAATGCTCTCAAACCCACGAAGCACAATTGGCATTTGAACCCCTGAGATAACCCACACCTGATCACCGACGCTAACACTTTGAGGCCCCAGCCCAACATGGCCGTCATTGGTTTTAAGGACTCGAGAATCTAAATTGGCGCCTATAGCTATACGGAACTAGTGGGCTTGTGCTTCGATTTCGTCTTGCTTCTGTCGGACTCCAACTCCACTGTCTCGCAGCTATCTATTGTCTCGCGAACTTGCGCCGGACTAGGGAAAAGTCCTCTCGGATTTGCGCTCCATAGCTCTGCCATCGCCTTTTTCGTCTCGTCGTAGATTTTGCGTCGATGCTCCTCGTTGACTTCATATCTTATAGTCAGTCTTCTCGAGGCGTAAGAAAAGTCCTTGAGCCGTATATTACTCAAAGCGTCCCAATCGAGCCTTCTTGCCTCTGCATTGCTGATTGCAGTGAAGTCATCCATTTGTCGGAAACTGCCCAATACTGCGGCATCCATGGCGTTGGCTTCCGGGGAGACTTGGTAAAGAGATTCCAAGTTTATGATAAGCCAGTTTTGGAAGGGGGACTTCAGAGTTGAAATAAGTGGTGAGCCTGAGGCGTTGCAAGTAAGGACTCGGAGAAATTGCTCGTCTGGTTGCATCTGTGAGTCGGGTGGGTTAGTGTAGGGTGATTGAATCATCTGTAGAACAGAGGTCCAGTCTTTGGTGATTTGAATGGTGTCGAATGGGGTCGCAGTTCCTGCTACGTTTGCGACCCTTCTTGCAAATACAGCTAGTGTAGAGCTGTTATCCAGTATCTCATAACCGAGACAACCTCACCCTCCAGCTTCCCATTTTTGGTCAACAGAGGAGCTGCGGTCGAGCTTCTGAGGGTGGGGTGGGACCGAGAAATCCGGGACCCACGATAGCAAAGTACCCAGTCTTCTCTCCGAGGCATCCTCAATCATGGTCAAGATGCCCAAGGACTGTTTGGAGAGGATTTATATGCGAGCAAACTCCCGGCTGACATCCTCCATTGACTTGCTGTAGTCCACTGGCGGAGGGTTGAACTCCACACCTAACCGTTTCGCGCACTCTTTCGCCAAGCCAATCATAGCATAGAACTTGTCTCGTGGATAGTAGCCTGGAGGCCTCGGCCCATCATTAGAATTTCAGAGGGCTCTGATGGATCGGTACTTTTAGAGACGCGACGGCGGATCTGCCAGTGTGTTAAGATGACAATTGGCAGGACATGATGCATCGTGCTCTGTAAACCTTGCCCTGGTGTATCTGGTGTAGGCAGGAAGCTGGACGCGTGAGTCTTTCGCAGCACCCACACGCTGGTCGACCTCAAGTATGATGATGTCCGAATAAGGTCAGTCCATGGTACTTGATGCTTTCCCCAAAGCATGAGTACTTCTTTCGCAAAAACGAGCTCTTGAACGATCCATACCCGTTGGAAATATGGACTGGAGAAAAATGAACTCAAGCTGATCCATTCGGATGTTGTGAATGCGCGAACAGCTTCTACAGCATCGTAGGATGTGTCCTCGTATGTTGCCTGTGGGATTTGCGATATCCTCTTCATCAAGTGTAAGGCTTCCCGAGTGTGTGAGTCCTCAGGCCCGACCCATACAGCGACACTTTGGGCGGCTTTAGAAATTTCGTCCATGGAGGCTACTTGTACGCCTTTCTCGGCATTGCCTTCTTGGTTGATGCATACTGTATCGACCCCAGCGAGAGAGACGATCAAGTCCTCCTCGGCAAACCCTCGGCTTCACGACCGTCCAAGTGCACGGACAGGTCGCTGACGTCACTTCGTCGCTTCCCAAAGTTTTTTCTCAATCCTCTCTCCTCCGCCATGGGAACAAACTAAACTGCCACCATGGCATCTACAGGTGGACCTGAAGCAGAATTTCATGACCCGTGCCGCAGAGAACTACTCGAAGCCCTGAAAGATGTCATACCTGTCGATACCATACCACCAACAGCCTGGGCATGCCTCTGGCTAAGCGACATTGATAGGCTAGCGAACCTTGTCGCTCAGACTCGAATTTGGCCCCCTTTCATCGTGGGTTTTGTTGAAAGCATCGAATCTTCTGCAAGACTGGTTCCAACATGTATGTTGCTCAACCTTATGTTGGTCAATTGCTAATATTATTTAGGGACTCAACGAAAACGACAAGCTTCTGCCACTTCTACTCCACTCCGACCTTCCACTCCACAGCGACCTACAACTCCCCTGCGGCCGCCTCCGTCGCAGCAGTCATCTTCAGCACAGGATAGTCCTGGACGAAAGCGAGATAGCAGTGGGCAGCTGCTGATTACTCGCTCTAAAGCACAGCGAGACCTGGTTAGTCTATCCTAAGTCTTATCTTGATTAATCAAGTTTCTTACTAATACTATCTAGTGCCATCAGAGGGACCAAAGGAAATGTATCCTTACAAAGTCCGGCGAGCCAAATGAAGTCGCGCATATCTACCCATTCTCCATGCGATACGAGAATACCACTATCAAACGTCAAGGGCTCTCCTTTTGGGACACCCTACGGACATTTTGGTCTAAAGAGCGTGTGGATGCCTGGTACAACGCGATATTCCCTCTTGGTACGGAAGTCTGTCAGAACCTCCTGTGTCTTTGCCCGAATGCACATGCATATTGGGAAAGGGCATATTTTGCCCTCAAACCAATCAGAATTTCAGACGACAAGAAGCATCTAGATGTGCAGTTTTTCTGGCTATCGTTAAACCCCTACGTTACTGGAGTCGATGTCTTACAAGTTCCTTCATTGCCAAATTCAGATCGAGGACCAAACTTAGCCAGGCTATTTAACCATGAGACCTGCGAGAAGATTAGTTCTGGATGCGAAATTTCTCTAGAAACTGATGACCCAGTATCACGGCCGCTGCCTGACTTTAGGCTGCTAGAGATGCAATGGTTCCTACACCGTATGACAGCAATGAGCGGAGCTGCTGAACCCCAGGACAACTTTTATGATGATGATGATGATGGCGATGACGACATTGCAGGGGCCCTGCAGTATCGGCGGGATATGTACGCGGGGGATGACATGGATATGGAGGAAGGGCCGGCTATGTACTTGGAGACTTCGCCAGAGCATTTGTGGGAGGAATGCTTCCCTGCACAGCCCCCAGGAATTCAAACATTCGGGCATATGATCACACTCCGTGGTGGAGGAGGATACCGCGAAGGAGAAGATCGCGAAGGGGAAGACCACGAAGGAGAAAACCACGAAGGAGAAGAGCACAAAGAATTCTAATAAGGCTTGATAGCATTAGCATGGCTACATGTCACAAAATTACTATTTTAATAGCAGAGAGAGTAAATTATCCCGGCCCAGCACGCTAAATGTGCAGAATCAAACACCTCAGAAAACAGAGGTCCTGACCTCAAGTTTCTGTGGCGTTTGATTCGAGATCGATCAGGATATGTGCATAACTGGTCGATCCAGATCCTCCACTTTCTTTGCTGCTTTGAGAGAAGACGATCCCCAGCGCGTCATGTAAATTTTTGCTGATTAAGACCTTGTGTCCATTGCAAATGACTTCGTATTGGCGAGTGGGCTGAGTAATGTTGCTATGGTGCTGGTAGAGTGCTGAACGTGGATCACCCTCGGCGTATGATAAGGCTAAGAAGTCTGGCTTTGTGTTAAGGTCCGCTATTTGAAGATTGAGCCTCAGGCGGCTGATGTCATCAACCCCGTCGTTTTCGAGGAGCCGTATGTTAGATCCTGTCCAAGGTTCTGATACAGTTCGGTTGCAGGCACAGAGTTAACTAAAAACAGCTCTTTCAGCATAGCCTCCTCTAGCATCTCTTCCGTTATCATAGCTTGCTTGCTGGCTCCTGTATTAGGCACGCCGTTTGGGAAGCGTCTTCTCGCGTCCTCAAATATCTTTTCAGTCAGCTCACGCAACTGCCCCGGGAACTCAGCTAGCATGGATCCCCCATATTCGGGGCTATCCGCCAACCTGGTTTCTAGCCCAATGGTAAGCTCTTGGAATACGGATCGGAATTTGTCAATTTTTTTTCTGTGTCCGTCTCCTGAATTGCTGTCACCATTCGGTCAAATACGTTCCCATTCACCATTTCCGAGGTCTTCTGTATAGCACCATAAGAGTTGGCGGTCGATTGGATGGGGTGTTGCATAGATGCTAACGACTCTTGCATACTTTGCAGCGATTCTCGATTCTGAGGTAGAATTCCGTCGGTCGCTGCTGAATCAGCTGATTAGATTGAAGACTACAGTTGCTGCAATGCAGGTAACATTGTGGATTGAGCGTTGATCTGATTTTCCAATACCGCTTGGGGGTTTTCCTAGGAAGCACACATGGTGTCGAGGAATTTTCCACAGATAATCACTTCAGATTCTCCCGGATAACGTTGAAGCATAGGCTCGATATCTGCGTTGTTCTTCCTGGCTATTCCATAGGCGAGTGCTATGTCGTCGGGCCCATGAATTTCTAGGTTATAGCCCGTTCTTTGTGCTCGACGCTCGAGCTTTTCCATCATTTCGGCCTGTTGTTTCATATTTTCGACTGATCCAAGGCTCGAAATACCCGCCCAAAGCGGTCAAGGAACTGTCGGGCGTTGGTCGCAGGATCATTTCCCCGGGAGAGCAAAGACTCTAGATAATTCATAGCTCGGCCAACTTCGCGAGCAAGATCGATGTCTTCGAGCCCATGTCTCCTTGGGTCATATTCTGCCCTCTGTGCTCGTTGCTCCAGCCTCGTGATGAGGTCCAAGGTCAGAAGGCTCCCGACACTGCCTCCGAACGAACTCGTAGACAGTGTGGCGCCCATGATCCTGCAATCTGTCACCAGCGGGGTTTAGACTAGAGTATGCTTTCATCATTACCTGGAAGCAACGAAGCTCTGTGAATTCCTGTTCTCATTCTCAGGCTACCATCCGAAGCCGAGACAGGGGCTGTCATGATTGGTGTATGAATACGGGTGAGTCTTATCGATAAGCCCACAACGCACGGGACAGGACATGGCGCCAGCCAGCTTCGCGATCCGTATGACGGCGTCTTTTTTTGCTCGCGCAACGTGTTAAGCTTGCTCCAAAAGCAATTACTTAGACTACACTAACCCCCACCAGGCAATTACTCGCTGTTGCAGCGAAGATTCTCTCCTATCCTTTGAGACATCTCCTCCCCATCTACTCTTCTTTCACGGATATTTATTCTCCCTCGAACCACCATTACAGCTCCTCTGCTGGATTCCTGCTGGGCCTACGCCAGCTCCACGACCGATGAGTGCTCCAACCGTTACGAAAGCGGAAACATCGTACCCTATATTTGCGGCCACTTTCGCCCACAGCCATCCCGGCTGTTTGGTGGTCGCAGGAGGCGGGGGAGCGTATGTTTCCTTGTGCAAACCAAATATCCGCGCGTCCTAACATTGACTTGCAGGGGACGAAGCGGAGTTGGCAACAAGATTACCGCCTTTGATGTTTCCTCACGAGCACCAAATGTTGACAGCTTTGCCGAGATCGACCTAAGTAGGGACGAAGACTCAGTTACTTGTCTCGCGAACCTCGCAACAAAGGACGGTCTCATTCTCTATGCTGGAATAAACTCGTCGGAGGCAGATCGGCTAAAGGGCAAGAACGAACATTTCCGCGCATTTGAGGTCGCCTTCCCAAAGAATAGAAGAACAAACAGTGCTAGTTCAGAGAAGAAACCACAGGGCAAAGTTTCGTTCCTTAGCAAGACAAGCTTGTTCAAGAGCTTGTCTACAGTGAGTGCGAAGAAGGATGGATACCAGCGTATAGTGCGTCTATCGCCAGCGAAGAGGAGCGCCTCGGGGAACAAGCGCATCGGCGCCATTGCTTCCAGCCTTGCGGGGGATGAGAACGAGATTGTGGTATTTAACGCAACTTCAAATCTGCCTCGGGACCCAGGCGATGTGATTCACCGCGTTGCATTGAGCAAAGGCCAGGAAGCCAACGATCTCGATATTCTAGAGCCAGAGGACGGACAATTCAAGATCGCCTACTGTACGGATAACGATGTGTATGTTCAGGAGATCAACTACGATTTTGGAAAAAAGAAACCACTTGGAATGCTGCACTCGCCGGAAAAGAAGTACACCGTCCCCTTTCCAGATGTCTTTGAGAAGAAAGGCCGATCTAAGATTCGGTGTCTCCGCTGGCTTTCTCCTTCGCACTTGCTCCTCCTTGCGAATCTACCAAACAGGACCGGGGTCGAGCTTCACATTCTACGAATCTACGGCGACACTATGGGGAGTATCACTCTCCGAAAGCGTTTATCTAGACACGTGAAGGCTGCAGTAGATATGGATGTTGCGTGTCTTGACCCTGACGGCGCTGGAGCTTATCAGATCGTAATGGCTGTAGCGGGAATTGATATAAGCATTAGCCTTCTCACCATGGAGTATTATGGCACCAGCAAGAACAGTGTCAGCAGTTTCCATTCCTACGCAACCTATCGAGATGTACACCCTCTTCAGATGACGAAGCTGATCTTCTCCCCGTTCTTCTCCCCTTGGACGGCTCCCCAGGCACCCCCTTCAAAGAAACCAGGACCTCAGTACCTTCGTTTGGCTTCAATATCTCTTGGGAATACCATATCTGTCGAGTCATTCACTCTCCAGCCTGTGTCTAGCAAGCCTCGCTCGCGGTACCTCCTTAGTTCTGCCTCCTCACGAAGACTCTATCAAGGTGCCATGTATTTCTCAATCGCGTTCGTCATTGTTGCCATAGCGATTTTAGTGCAATCGCTATTTGACCCTGAAGGAACTATGACCAAGGGACTCGTGTCTGAGGACATTCGCAGGGCAGTTGGGGGACTGAAACCCCCAGGTCTAGTGATGGAGGAAGCCCACTTAGCAAGGGCAGTATCAGAAGGCATGAAGACTCCTGCGGCACAGGCTCCTCAGCGCCTACGCGATCTCTTGCATTTTCATCACCAAGAAAACCACGCAAATACCGAGAAGAAAGCGGTCGTCATCCGCCACGACCCCAACGCAGACTCCTCACTGAGTACAGAAGTTCACACCGACACCAACGAGGCAGCCAAGAAGCACACAGAAGCGAAGAAATGGGAGGAGCTGTCGCACGCTGAGCGAAGTAGGTGGAAAGAAAAGCTGATCAAGGCTGGTATGTGGGCAGTGGACGAGGGGGAGACAGTGCTCAAAGGCATCTTCTTTAGTGAAGCCGCAGGCATAGTGGGGGCAATGGCGCAGGGTATCATCAACGGGTGAAGCGGTCACTAGATATGTCTTAGGGTTGCATGAGGTGTCTTTGATGGTGTATGATTATTGGAGAGCAACAAAACCGTTTCCTTACTTCAATTTGTGGTGAAGCATGTGGCGGCTTAAGTCGGTTATTTTGGTGATCGTGGTTTTACCTTTTCCATGGCCAGTTGCATTACCTCTAGCTTGAGATTAATATCGTCCACGGATTCTTGATGGATATCAAATTCGGTGAACAACCACCGCTTTGGCGCTTGTCTTAATTGGGCAAGCGGTGAGCTTCCATGATTTCAAGAACTAGTCCGTGCGTTCCTCGTGATGTCGCAGCACAGAGAACCCCGTGAGGAGTCTACGTAGGTGGGAACTTTAATTCCCCCCAGAGAGTCCCTCGCATCGTTCCGACACTTCGCCCTCTTCCTTTCTATGGAAGCCTCCAATCTCCTCCCTTTTTCTGCCGCGTGCTTCAGGTGAAGCCGACAATATGGCACAGCCAGCTCCCTTTGCGTCCATCCTGGACCGACTCTTCACAGAGCTCCGGTCGAAGTGAGAAAGCTGCTCCTAACGATTATCGCAGAGTTGGTGGCTGATATGCGGCAGGAATGATGACATGCGACTGAAGGCCGCCCATAATATACGCCAGACAGTGGAGTCGGCTCACCGAGGTTAGGATGACAACAACTTCTCCACCCCTCCAGACTTTGTTGAACTCACGCATTGTAGAGCTTCCTCCGAATACATTCGGTCAGGTCTACAACGACGTCAATCAACGCATCTCTCTTCTCATTGTCTCCGGGAATGATTCCAACGAACGCATTGGCGGGATTCATGCCCTTAACGCACTCATCGATTTTAAAGGCGACGATGCCGGCCAGAAGACTACGCGATTCGCCAGCTACCTTCGAGCTGTCATGCGCGGGACAGATACAGCGTCGATGGTGGTGGCGGCGAGGGCACTCGGACGATTGGCAAAGCCCGGAGGAACACTGACGGCGGAGCTGGTCGAAGCCGAAGTCAAAGGAGCCCTCGAATGGCTGCAGCTTGAGCGGTCGGAGAATCGCCGCTTTGCAGCTGTCTTGATCCTCCGGGAGCTGGCCAAGAATTCTCCTACACTAATGTACCAATGGATAGCGCAAATATTTGAGGTCATCTGGGTGGCACTCCGAGACCCCAAGGTCCTTATTCGGGAATCAGCGGCGGAAGCCATCAGTGCTTGCTTCGAGATCATCTCCCCGAGAGATTCACAGATGCGACAACAATGGTTCGGGAGGGTGTACGATGAGATCTTGAAAGGCTTCACAATCAATACGAATGAGGCCATCCATGGATCACTTCTCACCATGAAGGAACTACTTGACAAGAGCGCCATGTTTATGAACGAGCAGAAGTATAGAGAAACTGTTGAAACTGTTCTGAAGTACAGGGACCATCGCGACGCTCTCGTACGGAGAGAGGTTGTCCTAATAATTCCGATTCTCGCCAGCTATTCACCCACCGACTTCGCTACCAAGTACCTCCATCAATGCATGCTCCACCTTCAGGGCCTTATTCGGAAGGATAGAGATCGGGACAAAGCTTTTGTTGCGATCGGCCAAATTGCAAATGCAGTCGGGGTTGCCATTGGTCCTTACCTCGATGGAATTCTTGGATTCATTCAGGAGGGCCTCGCTGCTAAAGCGTGAGTTAGAATATCCTAAATATTGGAAGACACCTCTAACTTAGGACGTAGACGAAACAAGGCGGCGATCAACGACGCCCCGATATTCTCATGCCTCAGCATGATTGCAGCCGCAGTCGGCCAGACACTAAGTAAAAATGTTGAGCGGTTGCTGGACCCTATCTTCTCATGTGGACTGAGTGATTCCTTATTCCAAGCGCTAGTGGATATGGCCCACTATGTTCCACCTTGCCGACCGATCATCCAGGAGAAACTTTTGGACCTTCTCAGCCAGATCCTGGCGGGTCGACATTTCTTGCCTTTGGGTAACCCACACCAAGGATCCTCCCCACCTCACATATGGACTCGTGATCATAAAGATCCCCAGCAAATAACACAGAAGGAAGCCGAAATTGCCCTCGCTCTCCACACACTTGGGAGCTTCGACTTCACTGGCCATGTTCTCAATGAGTTTGTCCGCGATGTAGCGATCCGCTACGTTGAGGCAGACAATGCTGAGATTCGAAAACGCGCTGCGTTGACTTGTTGCCAGCTCTTTGTCAAGGATCCTATCGTACATCAGACAAGTACACATGCCACCAAGGTCGTGGGTGACATTATTGAGAAACTGCTCACAGTTGGTGTTGGTGACGTCGATCCTGAGATCCGGTGGGAAGTTCTAATGGCCCTCGATGCTCGATTCGATCGCCACCTGGGGAAAGCTGATAATGTTCGAACTCTGTTTCTCGCTCTAAATGATGAGGTATTCGTTATACGAGAGGCAGCCATGTCTATCATTGGCCGGCTTACTACCGTCAACCCGGCCTATGTCTTCCCTTCGCTGCGCAAGGTTCTTTTGCAGCTATTAACGGAAGTAAATTATGCAAACAGTCCGCGAAGTAAAGAGGAAAGCGCCAAGCTGATAAGCAATCTTGTGGGTTCCGCAGATGCTCTTATCAAACCACTCGTAGATCCCATTGTTGCGGTTCTCCTCCCGAAAGCCAAGGATTCAAATCCAGAGGTTGCTTCTACAACATTAAAAGCCATCGGAGACCTAGCTACTGTTGGTGGCGAGGGCATGGTCAAGTACATTCCGGAACTCATGCCCATCATTCTCGAATTTATGCAGGACCTGAGCTCTGACTCGAAACGCTTCTCGGCCCTGCGGGCTCTAGGACAGCTTGCGACCAACGCAGGCTATGTCATTCAACCATACCGGGACTACCCAGAACTCATGAATATTCTCATGAACATTGTCAAGACGGAATCAGAGGGCGATCTCCGCCGTGAGACCGTCAAGCTGATGGGCACCCTTGGGGCTCTGGATCCGGACGAGTACCAGAAGATAATGGAACAGTCTCCGGATAAACACCTCGTCGCTGAGTCGCAAGCAGTTACTGATGTCTCTTTAATCATGCAAGGTGTTACTCCTTCTAATGAAGAATACTATCCAACGATCGTCATTAGCACGCTCATGGGATTGCTCAAGGATACGTCTCTAGTACAGTTTCATTCCGCAGTCGTAGATGCTGTTATGAACATCTACGCCACAATGGGCCTAAAGTGTGTGCCGTTCTTGAACCAGGTAGTTCCTGGATTCTTGATGGTCATTCGAGGTGCCCCTCTTGGACGTGTCGAAGGATACTTCAATCAACTCAGTCAACTTGTACGAATCGTTCGCCAACACATTCGGCCTTACCTACAGAGCATATTGGCGACAATTCAAGAATACTGGAGCGCCAACCCTCAATTACAATCGACGATTTTGTCTCTCATCGAGGCAATTGCTCGATCTTTAGAAGGCGAGTTTAAAGTCTATCTTGCGGATGTTCTTCCTCTCATGCTTGGTGTGTTGGACCAAGATCAAACCGGCAAGCGTCTTCCTTCAGAAAGGGTGTTGCACGCATTCCTTATTTTTGGGTCTAGTGCAGAGGAGTATATGCATCTGATCATTCCAGTAATGGTCAAAATGTTCGACAAGTCTGGTCAACCTGTTCAAATCCGGAGACAAGCAATTGAGACTCTGGGACGACTGTCAAAGCAGGTCAACATATCTGAGTTCGCAGCACGGATTATTCATCCACTTTGCAGAGTGCTCGCAGGCCAAGAGCAATCTCTCAAACAGACGGCGCTTGAAACTCTATGCGCACTAGTTTTTCAGCTCGGTCCGGATTACATTCACTTTGTTCCAACGGTCAACAAGATCTTAGTTACGAATAAGGTTCCTCATTCCAACTACGCCCTTATTGTTTCTAAACTTCAGAAAGGCGAGCCTTTACCCCAGGATCTCAGCCCTGATGAGCGTTACGGAGAGGATGATGAGGATCTCAACCCAGCTGAAATTCTCACCAAGAAGTTGGCCGTGAACCAACAGCACTTGAAGCAAGCTTGGGAAGCTTCGTCAAAGACCACTCGAGAGGACTGGATTGAGTGGATGAGGCGCTTCAGCGTTGAGTTGCTTAGAGAGTCTCCGCAACAGGCTCTCCGTGCGTGTACTCCCTTGGCCAGTATTTACAACCCGATCGCGAGAAGTCTCTTCAATTCCGCCTTTGTTTCCTGTTGGACCGAGTTATATGATCAATACCAAGAGGAGCTCGTGCGATCTATCGAGACTGCACTTACGTCTCCAAATATTCCCCCTGAGATCCTCCAAATCCTGTTAAACTTGGCAGAGTTCATGGAGCACGATGACAAAGCCCTCCCAATCGATGTACGGATACTTGGAATGTACGCCGGGAAGTGTCATGCGTTCGCAAAAGCTTTGCACTACAAGGAGCTTGAATTCAATGCCGAGCAGAATGCTAGCGCAGTTGAAGCATTGATTAGTATCAACAACCAGCTTCAGCAGACGGATGCTGCATTTGGTATCTTGCGTAAGGCACAAGGTTACCAAGATGTTGAGCTGAAGGAAACTTGGTTCGAAAAGCTTCAAAAGTGGGAAGAGGCATTGCAATCCTATCAGCGAAGGGAGCGGGATGAACCAGAGTCCTTTGAAATCACTATGGGCAAGATGCGGTGTCTCCACGCTTTGGGTGAATGGGATCTCTTGGCTACTCTCTCTAGGGAGAAGTGGGCCACTGCAAGTCAGGAATATCGCAAGGCAATCGCACCACTTGCTGCAACAGCCTCCTGGGGATTGGGCAAATTTGCAGACATGGATGCCTATCTCAGCGTCATGAAAGAGCAGTCACCCGATAGAGCTTTCTTCGCTTCCATTCTCAACATCCACAACAACCAGTTTGAGATCGCTACAGAGGAGATCACCAAAGCTCGCAAAGGTCTTGACACAGAACTAAGTTCACTCCTGGGAGAGTCATACCAGCGCGCTTACCTACCTATGATCCGCGTACAGATGTTGGCGGAGTTGGAAGAAATCATTCAATATAAACAGAACGATGGTAACCTCGAGAAGCAAGCGAGTATGCGGAATACCTGGATGAAGCGTCTCAAGGGCCTGCAACCAAACCCTGAGGTCTGGCAACGAATGATGAAAGTCCGTAAACTTGTCATTACGCCACACGAAAGCATGGATATGTGGATCAAGTACACAAACCTCTGTCGAAAGAATGAACGTCATGGGCTGGCAGAGAAGGCGCTACAAAAATTGCTGGACATTGATACCGGTAATGTCTTCACCTACGCCCGGGCACACGCCCATGAGATTCCGTACCCGGTGTCTTACGCGGTCTTCAAGTTCATGTGGGCTACACCAAACCACCAGCAAGAGGCACTAGAATCACTAAAGGACTTCACCTCACGACTATCCGATGATCTAACAATCAGAGCACGGGCTGCTGCCAATCTTATGCTTTCACCGAATGGGATGAACGGGATGACAAATGGACATGTCATTAATCCATTGAACCCATTTGCTGCTACCAATGGTATCAATGGTGTCAATGGGATGAACGGCTCTAGCTTGCTCAATAGCTCAGGCTCCGCCAACTCCCCGAGCGATTTACCTGACTGTCAGCGCCTCCTCGCAAAATGCTACTTAAAGCAGGGAGACTGGCAATCACAATTGCATGGGGGCGAATGGGACCACGACCAAGTCCACGAAATCCTCTCCGCATATGCTGCAGCAACCCGATACAACCAGAATTGGTACAAAGCATGGCATTCCTGGGCCTTGGCCAATTTCGAAGTCGTCAATTCGATTACGTCTCAGGCTGATCGCGAAACCACTGAAATTCCGTCGAACGTTGTTCATGACCATGTGGTCCCTGCTATTCATGGATTCTTCAAGTCTATTGCTTTGTCATCATCGAGCTCACTTCAAGACACTCTCCGACTCCTGACCCTGTGGTTTAGCCACGGCGGACTGCCTGAAGTTAATCGTACTGTCACTGAAGGCACTAAATCTGTACCCATTGATACTTGGTTGGAGGTTATTCCCCAATTACTTGCACGCATCAACCAGCCGAACCCTACTGTTAGGCAGTCGATTCACCAGCTCCTTATCGAAGTTGGCAAGGCGCACCCTCAAGCTTTGGTCTTCCCTTTGACAGTCTCCATGAAATCTGACGTCTCTCGAAGATCAAGGTCTGCCAAAGAGCTAATGGAGGCAATGCGAGAACACTCGCCGCGACTAGTGGAGCAAGCCGATTTAGTGAGCAATGAGTTGATCCGTATTGCGGTCTTATGGCATGAGCAGTGGCATGAGGGCCTTGAAGAAGCATCCCGTCTCTACTTTGGCGATCGCAATATCGACGGCATGTTTACAACGCTAGCACCGTTGCATGCAATGCTCGACAAAGGACCAGAGACCCTGAGGGAGATATCGTTCATTCAGTCGTTCGGCCGAGAGCTGCAGGAAGCCCGCGATTGGTGCAATACATTCCGTACATCTGGTGAAATGGGTGATCTCAACCAGGCTTGGGATCTCTACTACCAGGTGTTCCGCAAGATTGCTCGCCAACTGCCATCTCTCATGACTCTTGAGCTTCAGTATGTCTCTCCTAAGTTGAAAGAAGCGTCCGACCTCGAACTTGCTGTTCCTGGAACATATCACGTCGGCAAGCCAGTCATTCGCATCATGTCCTTCGATCCAGTGTCCACTGTCATCCAATCCAAGCAACGCCCAAGAAAATTAGAGATGCGCGGTAGCGATGGCAAGACACACACGCATATTTTGAAAGGTCACGAAGATATTCGCCAGGATGAACGCGTCATGCAATTGTTCGGTCTCTGCAACACCCTTCTCATGAATGACACCGAATGTCGCAAGCGACACCTCAATATCCAGCGTTACGCTGCCGTACCTTTGTCGACACAGTCTGGCCTTCTTAGCTTTGTGCCGAACAGCGACACTCTTCATGTTCTCATCCGAGAATACCGCGACAGCCGCAAGATTCTGCTCAACATTGAGCACCGCATCATGTTGCAGATGGCACCTGACTACGATTGCCTTACCCTAATGCAAAAGGTAGAAGTGTTCGGATATGCGCTTGATAACACCACGGGACAAGACCTCTACCGAGTTTTATGGCTGAAGAGCAAGAGCTCCGAAGCTTGGCTCGATAGGCGCACAAACTATACTCGATCTCTCGCAGTCATGTCTATGGTCGGCTACATTCTCGGTTTGGGAGATCGTCACCCTTCCAACCTAATGCTGGACAGGGTCACTGGCAAGATCGTACACATCGACTTTGGCGACTGCTTCGAAGTTGCCATGCATCGGGAGAAATATCCGGAACGCGTTCCTTTCAGATTGACCAGGATGTTGACGTATGCTATGGAAGTCAGCAACATTGAGGGCAGTTACAGGACGACTTGTGAACATGTGATGAGAGTCTTGCGGACGAATAAGGAGTCCGTTATGGCCGTCCTCGAAGCTGTAAGTTCTAAATCAAAATTATCACGAATGAGAAGCTGAGGTAATCTCTAGTTTATCCATGATCCCCTCTTAACCTGGAGACTTGGCAACCGCGAATCCCCACCAGAACCATCGTTCCCATCTGAACGCCGTCAATCCATCATCGGCGACGCAGAGCGAGATATGAGTTCTCTCGTCCGTGGCCGGCACCGGTCAAGCATTGCGCCCGCCAACGAAGCTGAAGCAAAAGAAGTCCAGAACGCTCGTGCTTTGCAAGTCCTGTCGCGTGTCAAGGAGAAGCTGACAGGTCGCGATTTCAAAGCGAATGAAGAGTTGAATGTATTTGCACAAGTAGATAGGTTGATTAAAGAGGCGACGAATTTGGAGAATCTGTGTCAGCATTATATCGGCTGGTGCAGTTTCTGGTAATCAGGTTCGGATAATGGAAACATAGGGCTGCCTAGCATTGTCATCCTTTTTTGATTTCTTGCAGGAATTACGGTTACCATGGAGGGCGCTAAGTTTTAATTTGATGCCCAGGGAACCTGGAACGGGTATGCGGGTCGCTTTTTCTTTGTCGTTCAAATGTGTTCCGAGATGGATATGCATGCGCTTTTTCAGCGGCATTTGGCGGCGCATGGCAAGGTAATTGGGAATGGGTTTGGGTTTTCGGAAGTGCTGCTCATCGAACCAGATGCTCATATAGCAATAAGACCCTAATCTATACAACAAGATAGTTGTCTGGTGTGATGTCAGTTTTTCTCGCACTCATGACTAAGCCTCTGTCAACCGGAATAGTTACCCGAGCCTGATCCACTAACTCGGAACACTGGTCGGGATGGCGCGCTGATGATTCCTAATGATCCAGCCAAGCTTGTTCTCGCCGTTGCACGCCGAGATGATCTGTGATCATCGAAAATATTGCGAGTGCATGGAATCCTTGTTCTGACCTTTCTTTAGTCTTTATCTGCTTGTTTTCCGCTGTGTTTAAAGAAAACCTTGTGCTCGCTAGCCTTTTTCCGTGCTTGGGGAAGTGTGAAGGTTTGAAAATTTGGGGCAGACAGCCTTCGACGTCATTGGCACACACTAAGAGTTCTTCCACTACATTTTTCATTAACACGTGTTTTTTCTGTTCTGGATTTATTCCCAGCTGATCGGAGGCTCCTATCGATACCTAGATTCATTTGTAACTTCCAACCCCACTCGAGATATATCCATTGTGGCTATTCACAACTTCCTCGACCTCCTCCCCCTTCCCTCCGCTTCTCATATTTTCCCTCTTCCTCCATCCATGAACGAAGGACGTGAAGAGAGCAGGGAAGCCTCGGGTGTAGACAGAAAAACACTGTCTCGAGCGTCCACCGAATCAGATGCCAGTGCTCGGGAGCGACTGAATTGGCGGAATCACCCACAGATCTTGACACCGAATCCGGAACGGTGTAATCCGTTTGAAGATGTTGGTGAAGTGATTACGAAGTTACAGAGGGGCGGAGTGAATGGTGCAGGGAGGGCTGCGGATGAAGAGGTAATAGAGAAAGAGGAGTTGGGGGAGGGAGAGGGAGATAGGGGAGTTGTGGGAATTGGGGGGGAGAAGGAAGGGGAGGGGAAGGGGAAATTAACGTGGAGGGAAAGGATTAGGCATTTTACTTGGACTTGGTTTACTATGACTATGGCCACAGGTGGGATTGCTAATGTATTGTACACTGGTACGTTGGATACAGTCCCAATGCTCTCAACTCCATTTCTAACTTGGCCATATAGTGCCCTTCCGCTTTCACGGAATCTATGCTCTCGGCTGCATATTCTTCATTTTGAACATCACCCTCTTCCTCTTCAATGTGTCCATGATCAGCCTGCGCTTCTACTTCTATCCTAGGACTTTCAAGGCTTCTTTCCTACACCCAACCGAGTCACTCTTCATACCCGCTGCAGTGATCAGTTTCGGCACCATCTTGATCAACATCTCGCAGTACGGGGTCGATACCACTGGGTATTGGTTAGAGAAAACGATGGCGATTATGTACTGGGTGGACTGCGGACTAGCAATTTGCTTTTCGATTGGGATTTACCTAATCATGTGGTCCACGCAGACCTTCACTATTTCACAGATGACACCAGTTTGGATCTTTCCTGCCTACCCTCTTCTTATCATCGGCCCTCACGCCGGAAACCTCGCGCCAAAAATTGGCGACCCGATCCGCGCCCTCAACATCATTATCTCGGGCTACGTCATCCAGGGTATTGGCTTCCTCGTCTCCCTCATGATATACTCTGCCTTCCTCTACCGCCTAATGACGCAAAAACTCCCCAAAGAATCCCTCCGGCCCGGAATGTTCATCTCGGTCGGTCCCTCGGGCTTCACAATCGCAGGGGTTGTTAACATGGGACAAACCCTACCAAAAGTCGTCCCACCGGACTTCATGGGCCCTGGCATGGGTGAATTTGCAGGCCGTGTGAGCATGGTATGTGCGAATTGGATGGGTCTCTGGCTATGGGGTCTCGCATTCTGGTTCTTCTTCGTGTCAGTTGGCGCACACTGGTCTTGCGCGACACGGGGGAAGATGGACTTCGCAATGACGTGGTATTCATTTGTTTTCCCGAATACGGCGCTCACGACTGCCACTTTTGCTATTGCAAAGGCCTTAGGGATGAATCGCCCGATTCAGTATGTTGGGTGTGCGATGACGATTGCGTTGGTGTTGACGTGGTTTTTGGTGTTTGGGATGATGATTAGAGCAGTTTGGCTTGGGCAGATTCTTTGGCCGCAGAAGCAAGAGGATAGGACGGAGGGAGGGTGGGAGCAGCCGAGTATTGATGAGCAGAGGAGGAGGCGGTGGGCAGTGGGTGTGGAAGGGGATGAAGGGGGGGGGTTGGGGAGGGTATGGAGTTTGACCGCGAGCTTTAGTCGGAGTGGAAGGGTGGGTGAGAGGGGTGTTACGGATGCGAATGGGGCGGGAGAGAGGAGGAGGGGGTGGAGTTTAAGGAGGAGCATTAGTAGGCGGCGGCGAGTAGTAGCGGCGTAGTATTGTGCATTTTGGTGTTTTTTAGGAGTGAGGTATCTCGCGCTCCTTTTCAATTAGATCAACTTTTTGATGCATGTTCCTTCGTATTCAGGTTGTGAAGAGACCCTGGGAGGCTCTGCTGTTTTAAGGTTAGCCCCAGTCTCCATCGTAGTTCATTCCTCCACCTATTTCCAATATCTTCCATCCTTCAAGCTCCTACAACATCTCGATTCAACATGGTACGCATCCAGCCCTGAAGAGGTCTAGTCATCAAACCATATCCCCCTTCAACTGACAATCCAATTCTATATCCTATCTAAACTAGTCTTACAATCAAGAACCACTATTCTGATATACCATAGTGCCTTTTTTCTCCTTGTCCTCATGTTCAGCATCAGCTCATATGAGATTTCGTTCAACCAAGCGTGTCTTAAGCCGCTTTCACTGGCTGAGCCAGTGTCAGGGCAGAAGCCTCACACGGCAGCCGAAACCCCTTTCTGGAATACCTGGGCCTTACCATATGTCGCCCGCATTTGATTGATACATTTCGGTTTCTTCTTTTCAGCACAGGAAGAGAGATCGGTCCTAATAACGACCCTAAATCTCGAATAAACCCCACTATTATAGTGGATTGTCTGACCTGGCTCGGGATACAAGCCTCCTAACTCCTATAGCTCAGACCTCCATAGGTTCTAGGCATTTCTTCTGGTTTATTTGTCGCGGGACGTGGAGCCCAACAACAACAGAGGGGGTATTTTGAGGCCATTTCTTTCTTAATTTAAAGCAGAGACGTTAAAATTCTATGTCAGATAGAAAGAGAGTCACTCGATCTTCTTGATATCTTATTCAGTTGGTGTGGTTTAGCATGTCAGCAACGGGAAAGCTCGGGGCTGGGGAAGGGTTGGCTCAACCTGGTATCGCAATTTGGCGTGGATGTTGGAGAATATATTGAGGCTGAGCTCAACGCACATCCTGGCGGCATTTTACTGAAGTGTATTGATAATGATCCCGATCGGAGGATGATAGTGGAGGCGACTGAGGAAACTGACTAGAAACTTAGATGGGAATTCGTACATGATGAATGCGTTTCCTCTAGACTTGAAGTTGTCTTGTATTTCTAAAATATGGCTAAGGATTACTGGCCAAACGAGGATTGGCTATACACACAATCTACTCTAGAATGGTTTCCGAACTATGGTCCAAACCGGGAAGAGGAAGACAGCGGCGCCCAAGCAGCCAGGCCCGCCCGCCTCACCGCCACCAAAGACCGCAAAGTGTAAGAACGAACAGATCAGAAAAGGCTTTGCGAGAAGGAGGTTTTGCCTAGAGCTTGGATGGATTGATACAGTCTGGAATGCTATCATCTAGCCCAAATATTCCAATCTTCTTACCCTAGCCTAGTAACCTAGCAAGCACCCAAAACTGTGATTCCTATTTTATGACACAACCTAAGCTCTACTGAACACTTGTACTATTTCCTACAATACACGCTTGCACAGTTACATGTGTCGCATGTGAAACTAGTTCACGTGAACCTGCGCAGGGTGAATGTGGGTCATTCACCCTTTTCCTGCTTAGGACTAGCGCTCCTTTAGCTACTATATATTACCTCTGAGCTCTCTCGAGCTCTAGAGACCTTAAACTTCAGCTCAATCTACTTAGGCCATCTCTCACTACTTAATTGACTACTCTATGCCTTCCACCATCAATCAGCTCTAACCTTGCGATAAGATGCATAGTCACATCTGCTAGCACTGGTCTTGCAATGTTATCCTCTCCTAGCAGCACCCTCTGACAAAACAGCAGGAAACTTAGTTCTATCTCCCTCTACTTAAAGTTAGCAGGAATCTTAACACATTCTTTCCTTCCTATTTTCGCAGAATAGCAGATTGAACAGAACTGCAGTCACGGGCATAGAAGTCTGGAAATTAAGCATTACAAGGTTCCCTATCCTTCTCTTCCAAAGTAACAAGAACCTTAATCTAGCTTCTCCTGCAAGCTAGCAAGTTGTTGAATAAATTTCTTTCTTGCTATTCTCACCCTATGATGTGTCTTAAATGATCACGGTACCGCGGCATCACAGAATTCTGGTTGCGGGAATAAAATCTAAAACTTTAGTATCTCAAACAGCGCTATCTGCAAGATTAAAGAGCTCCTCATAGCGAGCCATTGTCACTGCATGCACAAATAAAATAATATAGACTGGTTTTATTGGTTGCCCTGAAGAAACAGCAACTAACCAGTTACCTGGTTAAAGTACAAACCCCATTATCCTTGTTCCCTAACCTTAAAATCCAGCACCTCTGAAAAGATCCACCATTTCGTATTCCACCATCCGTCTCTCGAAAAGTGACAGCACAAAGACAGGGGAAGGCGGGTAGGCAAACTGGCAAGTTGGGAAAATGTGATGTAAAACCACGTACCTTGAAGTGAGATACAGCGTGCTGTTTACGCATAGCCGTATTTCGTGCTTCTAGAAATTGGGCGGGTATCATCCTCGCTTCGCACTATGTCAGATTGGCTGTGCCCAATGTTAGAGTGGCTGCGAAGCGTGTTCGAATCACTGTGCAGTGAACGAAGCTCGTATGCTGAATGTCCGTCGATAGTGTGTCCAAGGCCATTGTTCTCGGGAATGTTAGTGTGAGACTCGTCGACTTCAGCGGTTGGAAGGCTCTGCTCCTGGCCGAGTCTCGGGTTCTTAAGAACGTAGGTAAATCCAACCAGCGGGACACAGATGATGAGGCCCACGATGCAGAGAATTCGTTGCATATTCTTGTATGCTACGACCATGCCCTGGCGGGCCGGATGTGACATGTTATGGTCATGGATGAAACTCAAGGGTGAAGCGTAAGCAGACTGGGCGTCTACTTCACTCTCGATATGTCCTTGGAGAGCGTTGTACAAGACGTTCGTCCATATTGTACCAGAGATGCAATTACCAAGCGCACCGCCGATCCGGTACATGGCGAGGTATAGACCAGTAATGATGGCCAAGTGATTATGGTTCGTCGCAGCTTGGATCGACGCCAATGTTGGATACGGAAATAAACCTCCCGCGACTCCAAGAAGGAGTTGCGCGCCGATGACGCCATTCACAGTCCTGTTCTCATTGCCACCGCGGTATACGATTAGAAGGATGAAGGCGCCGAAGTAGAGGAAGGTCCCAGCCATGACGAAGGGTTTGAGATGGCGAACTTTGTAGACCGCGAGACCAACAAAGGGCCCAGTGATGACCGAAGCGAAGCTGTAGAGATTTGCAATGCGGGTGGCGGACAAATCTGTTTGGTCAAAGCTAACGCGCAATACTGTGTAGAGGAAATCGGCCTGACAATTGAACGCCATGTTGAACGTTACGGCGATGCCGAGCGCTCCCCAAACAGAGCTGTCCCTCAAAAGCTGTATAACGCAGTAAGCTTGTGTTAATGTACTGTTGGGTTTAACTTCCCTTGAATGGAATCATCGGATGCGGGGCAACTCGTTCCCAGAAAACGAATGTTGGAATGAACAACACGCCGAGGACAAGAGGGAGGACTGTAGCCGTGCTGGCCCATTTTTTAGAGTCGCCTTCAGCAAGGGTGAGAGGGGTAAGCGTAAGCGTCAAAGCGGCCACCAGAAAGACCATTCCTGCAACATCCAGTTGCCAGAAGAGCGCAAAGCTAAGGTTACGATAACGGAGTAGCTGGAATGGGGAAGGGTGGTCCACCAGATTAGCTCGTTTCTTTGCGCGGTGTTGGGCGACGAATAGAGCTAGAACGAGTGGCAATGCACAAACTGCGACTGTTAGTGATCATGACTATAAACAGACATTGTAGTGAATACCGGGGTAGACGATGGCCCACATGCCGATTCCCCATCGCCAGGTCGTAACGTCCAAGACCGCCATGGCAACATTTCCGCTCAGAAACGCATTGAGCTAGGCGGGTTAGTATGTTGTAGAGCGATTAGTTGGATAAGGCTTACTAGGAACGGTAGAGCAGGGACGTAGGCGAAGAAAACACGTGATCGAAGTGAAGTAACGTCTGCAACGATGACTTCAACGAGCAGTACGATGGCAATGTATCCCAGCTTTCATCATTAGTCACTGTCCTGAACAGTGTGGAGAGGGTCACCGAGGCTTACGTTGTACAGGATTGCGCCGATGCCGTACACTTGGACACAGTGTGCCGTACCCTGAATGATCGTACCGAGGACATAGAGAACAACTGAAACTAGGACGAGCTCAAGGCGACCAATGATGTCAGAGACTTTTGCACACGCAGGCTAGACTTTATGAGCAGGTTGGCAGAAGAAGATTAGCGGGAAACGCACCTGAGCGGCAGCACCAACGACGGCTACAACCGTGTTGATGGCAGCCAAATAAGAGTGTTCACCAAAGGCGGCGGTCGCTTCCGGCTACCGCTTTGTCAGCTTATTCTTGCTATGCTAGATATGAGGGCACAAACCTGATAAGTGATGACGCGGAGAGATCCATCCAAGGAGTAGGCGAATGCGAGGATGAAAACTCCAATGAAGAGAAAGACGCGATCCAGGTTGGTGATCTCTGACGAGATCATCTCGATGCGCCTGACTCCAGGGCTTGTCTCGCCAATAAGAAGAACGCGGTGGCCCGCAGCTTCTAATTCGCGAGTACTTGGAGTGTCCTTCCTGCTATTCTTGCTGTAGCCGGAAAGTGTGGTCGCCATTGGGAGGTGATAAGCTATCCGTCTGCGTAGCCCTTTGAGGCGCTTGCTAGGAGAAACGAAGTTGTAGAAGGTAGAGGGCGGAGGGTGAAGGAAGAGGTTGGAGGAGGGGAGGAGGGCCGAGGTGAAGTCAAATGTATCGCAAATGGAAGTCGCCACTGAGCACTAGCGCTCTTTTTGTGTTTACCTGGGGACTCACTCTTTCACCGGCGCCTCCATGCGGGGCTCATGAAACGAGCTGGTCTGGCAAGGCGTTGCTAGGACGAAGCTGTTAAGCGGTGAAGAGAGTGGCTGTGACCGCCTGGAATGACCTAGAAACTACGTGTGTTGAGAGATTGTGAATTGAAAGACGTTGAAGACAACCCGTGTCGTCATGTCACACCTTTGCATATTTAAATAGATGCAGTACAGACGTGCCTGCGAGAGTTTTACTGGGCCTGGCTCCGTAATGGATATGCCTGTACTGCTGTACTGGGACGAACATGATGGAACACCTCTACACGCACATGCTGAGAAGAGGAAAACGAAGAGAAGGGCAGGGAGCAACAATAGAATTCGCTAAGATGGAGAAGTAGAGGGTTGAAATAAGACTATCGTCCAGTGATCCACGACACTGGCAGCTCATTAAGACTTGAAAGAAAGCTCTCATTTAGCCCTCGTCACTCATGTGGGTTGTATAAGCTCTAGGTCACGTATTCTCACGAGGTATTAAAAGTACCCACGCAGAATTGATACGTGATGATAGATATTATCTCCGCTTGATGGCGTGTAACTATGTGTGAAGTGATGCCATTTAGCGCCTCGGCGCTAGTCGTGTCTCATGAAGCACGTGATATTCCCAGAGCCGAGGCATTCCCGGCCTCCAGCATTTCGGCGCCAGCTACAACCATAGGGCGGCCTGCGCAACAACCCCAGGCTTCGCGGGCACAACAACTTTGCGCTCCTATTTATGATCCTCAGAGTGAGGACTCGGTAGTAAACATGGTCCGCGAGGACCTCATTGTGTCGGCTGTAAGTGCAGATATTGCCTTCATTAATCAAGGTACTGATTCGGTCCAGGTCTCTTGTATGTCGGGCAGGTTCACGTCTAAGCTAACTCTAGAATCTGACCGAATTCGTAGTCCTCCAAGATCCTTCGGTTGCGAGTGCGCCCCTTGAGAAGCGCATTGCCTTTCTTCAGTCGAAGAACCTCACACAAGAGGAGATCGACCTCTCATTAGCACGCGCCGCCGAGGATCCTAGCCACTCTTCCTCCCAAACACCACAGGCTTCAACACCGTCCAGCTATGCATACCGACAGCCTCCACCGCCTCCAGCGTATGGGGCCTATCCGCCAGGATATTGGCAGCAACCGCCACCCCCAGAGTAATGAAGGCGCGATATCTCGAGAAGAAAACCGGAAACTGACAGCCACAGGCCACCAAAGCGCGACTGGCGTGACTATTTCATTATGGCAACAGTCATGGGAGGTGTAAGCTACGGGTTGTATTTCACCGCAAAGCGCTACATCCTTCCCCTGATATCCCCACCCACACCACCTCAGCTTGAACAGGACAAAGCATCCATCGATGAATCATTCAAGCGCGCATTCGATCTGCTCGACCAATTAAATACCGACACTACCGCACTGAAAGCATCTGAGGAGGCAAGAACAAGCAGACTCGACGTAGCGCTTGGAGAAATGGAAAGTGTTTTGGCAGGCTTGAAGGAGTCATCCAAGCGGCAAGGAGAGGATAACAGGCGGATTGAGGATGATGTGCGGGGGCTAAGAGATCTGATTCCTAAAGCACTAGATGCACAGAAGGAGATAACCGATACCCGACTGAAAGAGCTGTCCACCGAGCTGAAGAGCCTGAAGACGCTCGTTGGTAACAGAATGGGTGCCGGCACAGCGCGCCCTCCCACGACGACCCAAAGCTACTACGGAATGGGACAGACTTCGAATTCGACACCAAACGTCAGTAGTCCGTCAGCACCAACGGCTTCGACACCTGCTCCTTTACCTCAGCCCACGCCAGCTGCAACCCCAGGCGAGCAACCGAATGGAGCAAGCGCAGCCGATGGCCAAGGGAGTAGCAACGCAGCTACATCTTCGACCCCAGCGCCAGAGAGGCCACAGACTTCTACACCATATAGCCGGATGACCAATGGACGGGCTGCGATTCCAGCCTGGCAGATGGCCGCAGCAAAGAAGAATGAGGAAGCAAAGAAGGATACGAGTGAGAGCGGAACTGTGGCCGACGCCAGTCCTAGTTCATAATGTAGCGTGTTCTGTATCTGTGCTACGCATTTCATATGTTTTGGTGTCATCTTGAACTTTTCTTGGATGTATTATATTGGATCAAGCGCTAGTATAGTCGGCATATTACCGGGGGCTAGGGAAATACGGAAACCCCGCTGGGATATTAGATACAATCGAGCTCAAAATCCCAATTCACAGTATCACGGCCTACTAATGTAGTTACGTAGATATATGCCCTCCCAGTCGGGACCTGTCAGCCCGGATTGTTTGCGGCAACAATTCCCCTAGTCTAGTGACTTCGCGAATTCATCCGGGATCCACACCCCACACTAACAACACAGATTTTATTCTCCTCTTCTCCGTATCCTCATACATTTTTCGTTTCGTTTTGCTTTAGAAGTCCCAACAGTAACCGATTGGCAGATTACACTTTAGCGCGTTTTACAGTGCAGCTCTTGATTCTGGGATCTGCTACCCTTATCTACCCTTATCTAACTTAGCCTATATATTACTACAAAATAACTTATCACCATTACAATCTGTTTGTTGATTTCACTCTGCCATTAGATTTGATAAGTGGTCTATCATTGACAATGTCTACAAATCCCAATCCCCTTTCCATTTATCAACCCAAGCACTCGGCCAGCCCCTTGCAATTCCCTTGCCAATCTCAACACCGAACCCTTCCCCACAGATATGGCCGAATTTAAGATCTGCACATGCACCTTCGTCAACTACCACGCCGTCTGTCAACACACGAATGTCGTTGGACATTAGGCTTACGAGACAGTTTGAGCATAAGGGTGACTTCGATCATTGGTGCCTTGGTTTGAATTTGAGGCCTGCTACTCGTGTTCCAAGACGTCAAAAAGGTGCGACGGCATATAGACGTAAACAACCATTTGAAAAGGCACTGGTGTGGGAGCTATCAAGGGGGGTTCAAAATATTTTAGAATGAGAATAATTTGAAAACTGTGCATTGCTTTCTAATGTTTCCTGTCGTGTGAGATTTGAGGCTGGGAGTAAGCATTTTGGTTCGATCAAGGTTCACTTAGGAAACAGCATCTGTACTATAACAGCCATAGGCTTAGCAATAACCTGCTCCCTCTGGAGACACAACTTCACTACCATAACTGACATCACCCATCATCTCGAACCCGGCTCCAGTCTCAACGGCTGCTTGCTCAACAACGATTCCATCTACAATGAGCTCCGAAAACGCGACCCTCGCAACTCATCACCAAGAAACTTTTGAAATATCCTCCCTCATCTACCTCGGCCACAACCACTCAGCGCTGCTGGAATGGAAGTAGCCATGAGTTCTATCTCTGCCACAGGGAAGAAAGAAAATTCAATGCTTCATAAAATAGCTAAGATAACGAGACACTATGAGCGTAATATTTGTATATGCAAAATTGTCACAATTCCTAAGAACCTTCCGATCCATAAAGCCTTCGAAGTTGCCCAAGAACCTCAATACAAGCATCTAATAGCTCAAGAGTTCCCAGGCTCAAGGAACTTGAGGGTTAAGGGTTTCTTCGATCTTTTGGAAAGTTATCCGAAACAAAGACTCTCGACCGAGTTGATTACATGGCCCACAATCCAAGATGCTCGAAGTCCTCACCAGTTCGACACTGCAAACCATCGTAACATCAACCTGCGCATATGTTTCTTTACATAGCATCAAAGCACCTTACTGCGCTTCCCCCCAAACAACCTCCGAGCATCGTTATAGATTTACTGTGCCAATTATACGTAATCCTATAAAAATACCCCAACTTAACTTTCCATTACACCATCGCCTCCGCTGAACCTAGCTCTAGAAATTTTTCCTCAACCTAACCTGCTTGATACAGCCCCAAAGCCACAACATGCGGATTTATCATACTCAAATTAAAGGGCGTCAAAAGCAAGTCCGCGTCCGTCAACGCCACGAACATTGTCCCATTAACCGCAGGATCTCCTTCATACACCGCACTGGCTGGCTGATACGTGAAGCCTGCATTAACGCCCGTCACTATCAACGGTGTGTACGTAAGGTTGAGTTGCGAGACCCAAGCCACGAACTGCGGACTACCCGCCGAGGTAGATGTAACGTAGGAATTGTTCGGGCCCACATACTGACCCGGGGCGTCCCAAGTTAGGTTTACTTGCTTGCCGGGGAAGGAGAGAGGTTCAGAACGGTTACGTGTGATGCCTGGTCCACAGTTGTAGCCCGTGACGTTTAGGTTGAGGCAGGATTCGTCGCTTGGGATGAGGCTGTCGCTAGGATCCGCGGTGCGGTTTCCAGAAACTTCATACGGCTTCGTATCGTTTGGCGAAAGCCGGTTTGGGTTCGGCTGGTTCACTATGTGCAGCACGGGGAAATTCTGCCATGCGAGTCTCGTCTGGCTTTCTGGGCATGAGCTAATATACGGTGCGAGATACGTCCAAGCCCAAGACTGCGGAATACCGGTCTCAAACCACACGGGCTGGGGGTGGAGGCCGAGCATTTGGCGGAAAGACATTTGCTGGCGAGCTTCTGTGGCGATGGATTGTGACAGCATTTGTCCGACCTCACGGGCGTCGAGGTGGTTAATGAAACCCCAGACTCCGGATTCCCCCCAGCGGGTTAGCTTTTGGTTGAAATCGATGAACTCGCGGACAGTCCGGTAGGGGTAATTGTACGTGCATTGGACGGGCGCTGCTTCGCCAAGCATGTTGCTAAGGAGAGTTGCGTGGCCGGTTTCTTGGATGGCCATGAACGCAATGTAGGTGCGATCCTCGGCGGTAAGGCCTTCGGCAAGGAAGTCCTCATCTGAGAAAATAGCGAGACCATTGTTGAAGAGATCGAGTTCAATCCATTCTTGGTACAGGCCAAGTGCAATAGATTCGAAATCAAAGTCACTGTTAACCATGTATCGAGGCTCAGTGCCATTGGTACCAAGACCACCTAGTGTGTATAAGCATCGAGAGATGAATTGGTAAAGGGGAATTAGACATACCAGCAGGCGTGTACGGAGCTGGCGCAGGATTAAGCAGAGTCCCATTAACGTTGTAATAGGTTGCAGTTGGGTTGGGAGGTAATGGTGCTATTGACTGTGCTAAAGTGGCGTTTGCCATTACTGCGCCAGAAGTCGTCGGAGTGCCTGAGAAGGGCCCGTGGCTGGTTACGCCAGTGACATCACTACTCTTTCGAGGAGGAGCGGATGCTACCGAAATCTCGATTGCCTCCTTAAAGTCAGTTTGGAGACGCTGAATACATCAGTGATACTTACAGAAACTTGAGAATCGGGACCGAAGACTGTTGCTACAGGACCTGTGGGTAGCTGGTTTGAAAGACCGGAAGCATCCGCGTTCGTGTACCCAGGTACCTGTGGTGTTGGGGCTGCCGCAGCCAGGGCAGAAAACAAAGTCGAAGAGTAGAAAGTTCTGGTCAGCATCTTGACGAAGTGTCCGACTACCAGTTATTGAGGGCAATCCATTTTACTTGGGAGAACTGGGCTGTTATATGTCGCAGGCATATATAACTAACAATATCAGGTTGACGATAGCCCAGATATTGCTAACCGCATCAAGTTGACGGTGATCATAAGCAAACCGTCTCAACAAATTGACATTGAAAATTTGTCTGCCAAAGCTATTGCCATGACTTCATGACATGCTGAAGGCGGGAGGATATGCAGCCCAGCCTCAAAAAGTGAGCAAGCATCACAATCGAAGGAAATAGCTCGGAGCTAGAGGAAACAGCGCGAATTAAATTGACCGGTAGAGCTTGATGAGCGAATGAAATCTAAATCAAAAAGAGCTTTCAAGTCCCGGGGTCCTGGAAAGGTGTGAGGACGCGTAGTTGTGGGTGTGGGTTTTTGTGAGAGTCTACATTAGAATGTAGTAGGTGACGATGCGATGACATGGTGGATCTCGGGAAGATTGAGACACTAGCGCCTCCGGAAAATTTGAGATCCATGTCTCCCCCATGCAAGGCTAGGAACCGTCGGGGTTGGCAATCGGGAGTCTGGAGCTTTTTTGTACCTGATTGCGTTACATGCTGAGAGATTCGGCTTCTTCTCGATGTCATGAAGTGTGAGGAGATGGTAAGACAAACGGAAACAAATACACCCCCGGGTCCGGACCTAGGAACTTCTGTCCTGAGCGAAAACTAACTCCTTTTAAGATAAGCCTAGCCACCATTAAGAATGCTTGGTCGCTTGCTATCTGGACATTCTGCGATGATGTGTGAGAGTGCTTGTAAGCTCGAGTGCTCAACGATGAGTTACCCAATCAACCATGGGCTTTGGCGTCCCACAATACTATACAAATCATATAGCTCCTCTAACCCCAGTCCACAATACATCACCCCGCTCATAAATCATGCCCGCTCCAGGCTTACAGCGCTGCTTCAAGAGTTCCAAGTCCTGAAGATGGGGCTGAGATCCACAGTAATTGACGTAATCAACTACATGACCGAAGCAACGGTGATGATGCTATGTCATGTGGTTTGAAAGGCTGAAGTTTTTTTATTACTTACGTCTTTTTAGAGGGGTTTTGGTTCTACAGCAGCAGTATGGCATGCATTCGCGTTGCAGTCTTGCCACAGGACTTGTGCAATGTCTTTCTCTGTATCCACCAATAAAAGGATATTTATTGTCAGCAGCGAATCACTCATGAGGTAGGTATTCGCGTGGGCTGGTGGATGGAGGAAGGGGGAAACCCAAATTACATAAACGTTCAATTGCACAAGAGGGAGTTGTCAGCTGGTCTGAAGAGCACGTCTGGGAAGCATCGGGGAGATTTTGCCAGATTCTGTTAGATTTTATCGTCTCTAGTCCTCCCTATAATCACTGCGTGATTTTAGCTCGAGACATTGGCCCCCAGTTCTCTCTCGGCGCGAGTTGATATCGAACATACTTTCCCCTGTCGTGGTCTTTGCCGAGTTCATCGTTGAACACGACTTTATACTTAGCACTGAGGTATGATGGTGAAGCATCACTGGATCCCTCTATTATTCTGGATACGCTGGAGTCGTTACTCTCTGCGTTGCCAATTGCCTTATTCGATTCGCTTGTAGAGCTCTCAACAACCTCCACGGCAGCATTCCTTGTGAAATCTTCTTCCTTCTCTTTCTCAAGCCCCATCTGATAGGCGCTGGATTTAGATATGATGTTGTAACCAGGAATCTCCTTCTTTAATGGTTTCTTGAGAGGAGCTCTTTGGCGGGCCCATTCCAGCATGATGTGCCAGATATCTGTCCAAGAAGCATCTGTCCGGATGGATCCAGGCTTACAGTGACTCATAGCGACCCTGAACCCAGCTGAACGCAGAGCCCCACGCATTGCAGCGAGTGGCGGGGCTTGGCAATGTATGACCTTAGCAACCGAACTCGGAATGAAGAAGAACGGATGATGGTCAATCTCAGCAGGATCCGCTTTTGGAATGAATGGGTGTAATTGGCGAGGGGCATCTGGCATCTGAGTTTTTACGTCCCGAACGCCGAATGTGATTTCCTCAAGTGCGATACGAAGCATACCCTCCATACGGTCTTTCGTTGCGTAGGTTTCCCGGTCAACATCTTGAAGCCCTGCTAGCATTCTCTCGACGAATGCTGAATTATGTAATGGACCGCCGTACATGGGACCAGAGAGCTACAGGGTTGTTAGCAGCATAAGAACAAGGAGACGCATGAAGACGTACATGGGTCTTGATGCCACAATGCTCGCAGAGTTGATTTGCAGACGGCCCTTGCGCAAATCCATGCTTATACGATGGTTTTCCATCCTTAGTCGTGTTGGGTTTGTTACGAGCAAGGAACTGAGTCGACCAAGATCCGCATCCACTTTGACAGTGATATACAAGCATAGTCTTGCCAGCTAGAAGCTTGACGTCGTTGGGAGATTTCCGTATACGAACAAAGACTCGAATGTAGTAATCGATTGAAAGAGAGAGGAGGGGCTCAATAGCCATTCCATATCGAGCGGCCGAGGAAGCGATTGCATGCAGAATCAATCGAAGTCCCCCTTCATGGCATGGCTCTCCTTTCAACGGCAAACCACCGTATTGGGAGTATGTCTTTTCCAGGTAGCCATGCGATGCAAATATTGCTGAATCTGTGCAAGTCACGCAGAGCAATCCTTCATCGTTTATTGCTTGGATGGAAGCATCAATGAATGGAGCTGCCGTGCCGTAGGGATCAAGGTCGATGACATCATAGCCATGCTTCTCTACAAAGCTATACATGTGAGCAATAGCATTCCCTGCGTTTACAGTGATCCTATCTTCGAGCTTGTTATGCTTCACGTTGAGCTTGATAGAGTCAGTAGCCCGGCTAGACAAGTCATTAGCCGTGATAGAAGTTGCGAAAGGGATCTCATTCGCGTAACGCAGCGCTCTAAGACCGGTGGCGGAAAGTGCATCAAGAATCTTGAACGGAGGTTTGTACGAGTCGGTTCCATTCGTGGTGTTCTTGGACTGATCGGACGCTCCTGCTGTATGTAGGGGTGCATCACCGACACTAGGATTCTCTGCAGGGGCCTCCAGAACGATATCCACCTCCTCAGGGTCTCTATTGCCTGCAATATCTGCCATTGTATTAACTTCGCCGGTCTCCTCAACCCTCCTCTTCTTCGAGGGTGATTCCGCCCGCTCAGATACATCAAGATGTCCATCGCCAACCGCGCCCTGACAAATGTTCTTCTTTTTCTCCTCCCGTTTTTTTCTTTTCTTCATTTTCATTGTAGACTGTTCGTGCTTCTGTCGTTTCCGCTCGACGAAATCCTGCCCAAATGTTTTGATCGCGAGGACACTCAGGTCTCGATTGAACTGTTGTATTGGATTGTAGAAAACTTGCTGTCTCGCAGTATCTTCCTTGGACATTTTCGGGTCAGTCGAGGTTGGTATGCCGTGGGGTACGAGGATGTGAGCAAGGCCTTCCTTGATGGTGGTGTATTCTTTTCCTCCATGGCTAATGGTCTGGCCAGCTTTCGGAGGTGCCTCGATTGTGTTCATTGAATGCAAAGGCGCTCTAGCTGCTGCTGCGACTTGTACGAGCGCCATCCCAGGTGAGCTTCGGATTGATCGTGAGAGTTCGCTACAGAAATCCCAAGCACTTCGCGTCGGGAGTTGGCGGGCTCGTGGCGCACATAGGAGGCGGAGGAGAAGGGAAAGACCTGCCAGGGTTTCCGGAGACAGAAGGGTATCCGGTGCAGGCCTCAATGGTAGATATTGTGATCGAAGGGACAACGCTACTCCAAGTTGGTGAAAGCCAATGGAGCGTGAAGCTCGATGAAATTATTTTTGGCCGCGAATTAAGCTTAAACTTAGCGTCTTGGCGGCCATATTCACTGCAGCCACACAGCCCCTCCTTCCTGTCAAAGACGCTGATACCAGCACTGTTACTTATCACGCTATAAGACAACAGTCTGTTGCTGCTTTGCCTTATCTCTTCCAGTCATTACACTGGGCTGGCAAATAATTAGGCTATCTTCTCGTATTCGATCCTTCAGGGATGGGAGGTCAGCAGTTGCCTAGATCTAGCTCCCAAACGGGACCGGTTTGAACCTCATCCCGACCGTCCCAGCCCCTTATCCATCTTCTCTCTCAAACAAAAGGCGAAATTCCGCCATCCCTTTCGTTCTTGTGTCCTCTACTGCTTTCCACGACCCAATCTCGCAATCTTTGACTGTCATTCGACTCTCAGCCCCACCATGGGAAGAACCGCTGTGCCCGCTCCTGCTGCGAGCTATCGGGACGATCCGGACGCTGTATCAATGCATACAACACCCGAAGACTACACTTATGACGACGCGCCCGAAATCTCAGGTCTGCCTCCTTCATATGCCGACAGCGAGAGCAGCCCCGCTGCTCCTATCCTCAGACACATCCCGCCTCCTTCCAACCGAAGGAATCACAACAATGTTCTGGTCATGTCCGGTGGCAAAGTTCAAGTATGCGAGACACAGACGTTGATGGATGCTCGCTATGATACCGACCCCGAGTATCTGGAAGAAGGCATACGCTCTTTCTCGCAGCAGGCTCCGATTCCGTTTGTGTATATAATGGGAACGCACAAAGAGACTACCCGGCGAGGGGATAAAAAAGAGACGAAGGAGGTCACAGATTTCAGGATTGTCATGAGCATGCAATCATATCTGAGGAATAATTTTGACGAGCGTGACACAAGTTCGATGAGCCTCCAAACCGTAGAGAACGGAGAAAAGGTACATCGAGGCACCTTCATGAAGAAGAGGGCTCCCGGTTTCAAGCGTGACCTCGAAATTGGTATTCCTAAGCCTGAGCTCAAGGAGTGGTGTCATCGATACTGCGCGTCACCTTCCATGCTGAGGATCTTCCGTCTTCGTCGCGAAATCACGGGATTCGATGAGACCTTTTTGAAAAGCCGTCTTGAAGGCTTGATTCGTAGCACAAACTATCGTGGACATATCAAAATATCCTTTCCGATCGAAGACAAGAACGTCGACATATACACCACTAACCGCATCAACGAATGGAGGTTGAAAAAGTGGATCTGCTGGATCTTCTATCTCACATTCCTTTGGATCTTCACATGGCCATACCTCTTCTTCGCCACTAAACGCTACGCCATCGTCAAAGCTGAATGGCCTTTCTCAAAGACCGATGAATACGGCAACAAGAAATACACGACGATAAGCGAGGAGCAATGGTTTGAGAAATGGCATGTTGGTATTAGGCGATTGGCACTGGACCGATTCGACGGTGAAACCTCTGAGCAACAGCTTGCAGGTGTTATTGCACGTCCTGAAGACCCTCCAATGCCCGGAAACATCCGCACTGGACATACAGGTGTCGATAACGCTGTTGGCCTCCTCACGCAAGGCTTTCAGGTAGCCAGCGCTATCTCTCGCGGCGACAATCTGTCGCGAGGTCTCCAGGGTGGGTGGGGATACGACAACTGAACCACGATGTTTGGAGTCTGTAATTCCAATGTGTGAATATTTCCGTTTAAGGGTCTGGTTTCTCATGTGCTCCTTTTGGTCCATTGCTTGTCTCATACCACACCTTTCATAGCCGAGCTTTCTTACCTTTAGTTGTTTGTTTGCTTATAATGTCCTTACGAAATTGATCTTAAAGTACTGTGGGAGTTTTGAGGAGACCAGGAGTACTAGAAACACTATCTCAGAAACCACTCCTTGGATGAGTCTCAAGAATCGCATCTAATTGATGGCAAAGGATTTCAGTCTAGTTAATCCGTATTGAAATGCAATATATGCATCCATCCCTCATTATTGATATCACATCTCGGAATAGCGTACGATTCAATCTCGCAAATACGAGCATTCAATCCTTCACTCAGCATTACGGATTCTCTATATCTTTCAAAAAAAAAAAAAAAAAGCCTAATTAGTGAACTGGTGAATTAGTCTTCTGGAAATGGTCTAGCGTATTGTGGGGCAAAGTGTATTTTTAGAGAACGTGGATCTCCATTGGATCGGGTGGCGCAGCGAAGCTTTGGCATGTCACCTCACCTGCTCAGCACCATCGCAACAGCATCATGCCGGCCGGCCTGGTTGAGGAGGGGTTTGAAGGCTTAGCAGGCAGACAGACAGAGACTAGGCCAGGACGGGTGAGAATTAACTCGACTTTCCGATTCTAATCGTCCATGGTTATGACATTGCTAGCCTCAACCCAGTCGATCACCCAGAACGCTGCACAGTAGATGATGGAAGAAGTTTCATGTGTGAGCTCAAGCAGAGGCACCTCTTTCCCCAAGCACTGCTCGCCTTTACTCTCGCTCTTACTGGCTCCTGTTTTCGATCCCGCTAAACGAAAATGCGTGCATATGACACCTGATGCTGATCGCCTCCCAAGTCGGAACCGGAAACAAATGGATTCAATGAATGCACGCACCTTGTCACGTCGTATGCTTTGAAGTAGCATCGCATCGGGGCGCGAAGTTCGGGATCCTTTGTCTGGGTTGGATGGTGCTGGTGTAAGCTCGATAGTGGATCGTGATATCTGAGCCACTGTTAGGCACGCTGCTATAAACGTCACAGACTACAATGCATATAAATCTCTCCATCCTCGCTTCTAATCCCCATCATCAAGCAACATCTTCCCATCTAGCAATCAAGATTCAATCATCTACTAAAGCACACACTCGCTTCTCAAACTACTAGCAGTCACTACTCCCTCAATCAACTACCAAAATGAAGACCTTCGCCTTCGCTTCCTTTCTCTCCCTCCTCACCCTGAACTCCGCTGCTCCAACCCAAGTCGAATCTCGCACCCCCGGCAATGTCCTAATCTGTACTGGTGAAGACTATACAGGGACATGTGAGACTATATCCGCTCCCTTCTACACCTGCCAGAAGCTGGAGGCCCCCTACTTCAAGAACGTAGGAAGTTTCAGGCCTGATGCTGGAGCCTATTGCAGGATCACTTAGTAAGCTACTCGCACATCTCATGAACTTCCTATCCCCCCTATGAGCTCTTGAAGATAGGGACCAGAACGAAGTGACTAGCGGCTAACGGAGGAACAGCACTGCCGATTCATGTACGACCCATGGCGATGCATTCATCTGGCCCGATAGTGGTGCGCCGAATCTCCACCACTGGGATGATGTGGCCACAGGGCAGAATATTGATGCAGGGAGCATGATGACGAGCTTCTTGTGCCAAGAGTGCAGTGGTTGTACTGTTAAAGAGTAGAGACGGAAACAACTTTGGGAATTTGTAATTAAATAACGGAACGGTAAGGATTGCTTTGCACTGTGTGTGCGGAGTCACTCCTTTTGCAATAATGGATTTAACATTAATGTAATATATTAAGAATGAGAATATGTATCATTGAAGTAACAGGAAGTATAGATGGACGACCTAGATTTTCGTGCGGCCGTTCCGAACCATAGTTCGCACGCCCAACAAACCAAAAACGGGAAAAGATTCATGAAGGCCACCGACAAACCTCTTCCTAACTCCATAGCCCTTATAGTCCCGTGCCTAGATTTCAAGCGAAAGAACTCCATTCTAGCCATGTCCTCGATAGTCTTCGCGACAACATCGTGTGCATTCCCAAACTCCCATTAGGCTACATTGCTAAATTTCCACACTGCAGAACTTCTGTCAGCCCTTTTCTGAACCCCATTATGTCTAAGGACACACGACCCCTGCGCCAAAAACACCACATCACATCTCAATGCAAAGGTTGGCTGCAGCCCACAACTAGCGGGCATATCATCAATCTCCTCCTCCATCTCATCTTCCCCTCTCCGTCCTCCTCAGTTCCTACAATCATACTCATCTTCCCCACCACCACATCTACCTGCCTCTAGGGCTGTCTCCCTTCCATTTATATCCTCGCGTTTTCCTTAAATACCTCCGTCTTCTTCTCCGCAACCTCCATCCAAATCTACCACCACCTGCATCAGCGCAATAATCCTATCTGTTGGCTAAATCATAGCGTCTGGGCCGAGAGCCTCAATGTTGCAGTCCGATGTTACTATCTTGACACTCCCTGTAGCTTAGGGTTTGTGGATGAGGGATTTGAGTTGCGAGGATGTGGGAGGAGGGGCCAGAGGGGTTGGAGAAGGTGGGGATAGGTGTGGAGGGCAGGCTTTCTAGTGCTTGTTTTTAGAGTCTTGAGTTGTCTATGGTTTGTTAGGTGCCATATTGTTGAACTTGTAGTTGGGTAGAATGCAAGAGATATTGAGAGCGTCCATAATAGAAGTTGTCAATAGAGTAGAGTGGAGTATATGTGGAACCATGTGAGTAGGAAGGCGAGGATCTAACAGCCATTCATACGACAGACAGGATTTGACACAATGAAGCAGGTAGGCAGGATAACCGCGAAAGGGTTCTGCACCATTTCCTTCTCAACCATAAGAGATCACCCAATCCGAAGTCGATGGAAGTCCTAGTAATTTCTTCTAGTAGGAAGTAAGGAGTCAGGGACCAGCGCAGATTATCATGATAGATAGTGAAAGATATGGGATATTTCATGTGATAGAAGAAAATTGTTTCATAAAATTTGGTGAGACTTAAGACCATAAGCCCTTATGTCACTCTTATACACATCCAAAAGCAAAATAAATTGCAACCTTTCATCCATCCTCTGAATAGCCTTCTGGATCTCCACTTTCCCTTCTATCCCCGAATCGAGGACGCACACCCACCACCCACCTTGTTCGGACATATCATGTTTCGGGCATTTTTTCTAACTCCTGTTTATACTCCAAAGAGTCGTATGTGAATACTATTTCCCGACACCGATCCAAATCCAAGCTCTGCCTAGTACTAGGTTGTTCTCCAGTCGCTTAAGCCCAGTGTCAATTCATTTGATTTAGTTTTCCAATGTGCCTAGCTAGCTTGACTTCTTGAAGATCACTACATCAACCCGCGACACCCATTGCTGAAGTCCATAGAAAATCAATCGCTCTCCAGGAACTCGAAGGTATTGAATTTCCAGGGTTCGTTTCGCAGCTCTGAGGGAACATCGTCGTTACCCCAGCCATGTAATGCTCCTGCTGGCAGGATTTGCTTCAAGGATTGAAGCTGACCTCGGCGCACTTGACTGGCGTGGTCCCCGCTATTGATGCCTCTTCCTTCGCTGCGTCGGCTGCGACCATTGGATTTCTGGCTGGGTGCAATTTCGTAGGTGCCGAGAATTGCTTTCTCCGGGGTCAATCTTCCGAAATCCTTAGTAGAGCCGGATTTACGTTGTCCCTGGCTGAAGGTTGGTCGTCCATTGTTCCGGTTCATCGTGATAGTATTTGAGGTAACACAGGATCATTGCAGTTACCCCAGAGTGTTAGCATTTGCCCCGCCCCCCCAAGACATTAAATATACTCACTTATCCCAGAGAACAGTGCTGCCCTAACTTCGGCGCTGTCGCACCAATGTCAAAGCTGATGTGTATGTGAGGAAGACCGGAGGTGATGGCTTGGGTAGAGGCGGGTAGTTGAGCAAAGTTCCCTAAGCTATTCGGCTAGACGTGGGAAGGGGCGAAAACAGTTTCGCATGTGTAGAGATCGTAGATGCGAAAGACTGATATCGATCTTGTTAATATAGCGAGTGGTAGGCAACAGCTGTGGAGGCTTGATGTGATCCCAATTACATACCTACACCTAACTCTGAAAAATCGCTACCACTACAGTTAGTATAATGCCGTTATTTAATATAGTAGGAACGAAGGAAACTTACATGTTACTAACGGAGTCATTCTATTTTGGTGGTAGGTGAGTTCTGAGAGAGCGGAACCTGACCGTCAAAGATATTCCCCAATACAATTCGAACGTCATCAGTATTCATCACGTTTAGGTAGTGAATCTGTAGAGAATTGATCTTACCCAGAACTAGGAGAAGATCCTTAGATCTCCCCGTAATTAGGCTTCAGATACGGCAACATCTATTAACGCGCCTCTATAGTCCAGGGAGTAATTCCGGCCGTAGACTACATTAACTCAGGAGAGGCCTTCATTAATCAGTAGTTGAATCTCCCAAATAATAAAGGCTGCATTTAACTAATCAAGCTTTTGCCTTTCTAAAAGTCGATACCCTGCTCTTGGAGGACACCGATGAGGATCTGAAGTGCAGAAAGGAGATTGTCGAATATAGTGCAGCGCCACACCATTTAATCATCTATTCACATAGTACTAGGATAAGTATACTGGATCTACTTGAAAATATAATTTCAAAGTTTCCCCTATACCTAATCACGTTTTCAGCAGCTTCTACTACTCTAAAGTTCCCTTAGAACCAGCCAGAAGTGAAACCTTTCTGCAGCACTGTTGCTTTTCCGCAGCCTTGAAAAAATGATATCGCCAATCTTGTTGAACATCAGGGAGACCGACCCTCCCGAGTTGCTAGAAATTGCTGTGTTGAATCTCCCCAATCCTTCCGAAGACTGTCGCTTTCGCGATCGAATTGACAGTTTCACAGTCTTCCGAACCATCCCTTTATATTTTCTGGAGGTAAAGAGCTCGTCGTGATAACCGAACAACGTAGACAGTTTTGAACTATTCTCAGTGTGGGTTGTACGAACGGGCGCGCAGTCGTTAAGACCAACCAGGGATGCGTCATGCTTCCGAACGCGATTCATACAATTTCGGGTACTCGGTTTCCTGAGACGTTTTTGCTGTTCTACAAGATTTTTACTCCGAAAAGTTAATATTCTCCAGATTCATGGACTTGAAATTTCCCTACATACCTGTTATAGGCCGTGAGAAGCAATGTATGGACAGAGGTTTGTTTGTCAATTACGTTCTGAAGATCAGTCATTCCATTGCTCTTGAACACACACGGAGCTTTGGCTGCCGTTGCTAGTGTTCCGTTAGGTGTCATTTACAATTCTGTTAGCTCGCAGTACATCTTGGACGCGAGGACCTCACAACAATCGAACATTACAAATCTATAACTAGCTGATGGTATGTTTTATTGGTCCCACTTTCCATCCATTTTTTGATCTTTTCTAATGGAGCTCTTAGAGCTGCCCACTAAATGATAAGACTGAGGAGTGAAATATTCGCATCTTTTAATGGGATCTGAGGCTGCGAATGATGCTGATTGATATAGGGTCATCAATTGTGAGGCTTGGAGGTGATTGTCGCGGAGTTATGAGGCAGGCTCAAGCTAGGAAGGCTGCGGGTAAAGCCGCGAATGGCGCCAAGTGCCTGATCCATTCAAAAGAAGCGAAAGCAATTACTGGGATGGAAGGGGTCCTCCTCTGTTCTTTGTGGTTTTGGTAGCTTTAAGTGTAGTCAATAGAGAGAGGAAGTGTGGGGATAGTATTGAAGGGTGAGAGTGCGTAGGCATCTAAGGAAGGCTGGGGTGGAAGGCAGATTCGTGATTGCCATGTCCCGTAAGGCTGAACAAGTTAGGTGACTTGCATGACGGCGCCTTGAACGTTACGCTAACTCTAAAGTACTGCATCATATCACCTAACTTGGAACATAAGAGGGGAAACTCGGGACAGGAATTGCATCTTGTTGATGTCCTCCCTTTTCCCAGCAAGAGGTTTTACTTGCAGCTCTGGCCAGCCATGTTCCCTTACATGTGATCACATGCTGTATTTGGCGGGAGTAGTCGCGCTCTTCTTGTGATTTATTGGCTGCTAGCAATCGGCTGAACACCCAACCCAGGAACCACAATTCCGAGGTGGAAGCACTCACTCTCCACCACGACCATTACCGAGCTTAACAGCTCCCAGTCTGTCCGGACGCGTACAAAGACCTTGTGTCTCGTAGATCCCATAGATCCGGCGACGATGACCTCCATAAAGGCCGCCTCACCCCGCGCCTCCCGCGTTCAGCGACGCCATTGTCCCCGTCTCTGGCCCTCATTCTTCGCCGAAAACTTCATCACGTTTCCCCGGTTGCTCGAGCCAGTCAAAACGGACAAATGGAGCGGTCAGCGGGAGCCTCGTTAGCCCCATCGCTCGCCCATCATCCCCATCTCCAGTTCCACCTCAGTCCGCATTCTCGCGTGCGCCTCTCGAGTATCCATCGACGCAAGCGGGCGAGGCTGCAGCCAAGGCCCAGGAGCGCATCCATGTCGCCTCACAGCACACGCGCGGGCCCCGAAACGGGTGGAACCGGCAGATATCCTGCGGAAGGCCACTTGAAAGAGCCAGAGAGCAGGCCAAGGCGACCAACGGCGGTGTCGCAGTCGGATATCCATGAGACGATTCTACATCCCGGCACAGTCCGGATTAACGTCCAGGGCGCGTTTATTGTGGACGACGAGCTGGTAACGCCCCAGAGTGATGACTACGAACATGACCCGAGGGACATTCGGCTTCCGAACCACACGGCTGTGGTGAGCCACATTGCTGTTGATGTAAGTGGTGCATGCCATCCTTGTGGGGTCGAGGTGGGCACGCGACTGCCCCTCAACACCCTCGACGGGAGCTTCAACACACGCTAATCGGTCAATTGACGCACAGATCGGAGGCTCCCTCGCCAAATTGGTATACTTCTCCCGCGAATCCAATGCGATCTCTATCGGCGGCCGCCTCAATTTCCTCAAGTTCGAGACAGACAAGATAGACACATGCATTGAGTTTATGCGCAAGCTGCAGGCCGACCACCAGCAGCTCAATGGCTCGAAGCCGGAAGAGTTGTGTGTCATGGCGACGGGGGGTGGCGCGTTTAAGTACTATGACCGCATTAGGGAGGCGCTGGGTGTGGAGGTGATACGGGAGGACGAGATGGAGTGTCTCATCATTGGTGAGCCGCACCTTCCTTCTCTAGAATGTAGTCATCTGACCAGAGTGATGTTCAGGCCTCGATTTCTTCATCACTGAGATCCCCATGGAAGTCTTTACCTACAGTGAAGCAGAACCAATGTCCTTCATCCCCTTCCCCCCGCAACCCCCGTCAATATATCCCTATCTCCTCGTAAACATCGGCTCGGGTGTGAGCATGATTAAAGTCTCCGGCCCACGGCGGTACGAACGTATTGGCGGGACCTCGCTCGGGGGTGGCACACTCTGGGGTTTACTCTCCCTCCTCACCGGTGCCCGTAACTTCGATGACATGCTGAAACTCGCCGAAAAGGGAGATAACTCCACTGTGGACTTGCTAGTCGGTGACATCTATGGCACCGATTACAACAAGATCGGACTCAAGAGCACACACATTGCCTCCTCATTCGGGAAAGTCTACAAACTGAAGCGAGCAGCGGAACAGGAAGCCGAAGACGGCTGTAACAGTGATTACAAGCACCATGCCGCTGAAGAGCACATCGAGGGCTCCTCTGAGATACCCCATGAGTCGGCAAAGCAGTTCCGACCCGAGGATATTTCGAGGTCGCTGCTTTATGCAGTATCGAACAACATCGGCCAGATTGCATATTTACATGCAGAGAAGCATAATCTAGCGCATATTTACTTTGGTGGATCTTTCATCGGCGGTCACTCCCAGACGATGAACACACTGTCTTACGCCATTCGGTTTTGGTCCAAGGGTACGAAGCAAGCATATTTCCTCAGGCATGAGGGATATCTAGGGGCGGTTGGCGCGTTCTTAAAGAGGCAGCCCAGGAATTGGGGAAGAAGAAATAGTTTTGACACAACCTAGGATTTAAAAATGGAATTGGAGACCTTGGCTTGCGCGTAGACAACACTTGCACTTGTATACCAGAATTTTGGCAATTCCTAGGGGAAATAGAGGTGGGTTGTCAGCTTTTTGTTGCTCTATTCTCAAAGTGATATCAAGGTCTGTATAAGGACAGCAATTTGGAAAATTTGCTCGCTACCTCCTAGGGTGTTTATGATCATGAACCTCAAGCGTAATGTTTTTTATCTAGTCCCAACATTGCAAATCTTCCGTCTGCCATCATAGTTATCGTCACTCGTGAGACTAACCGCTGTGTCCGGGTCCTAATTATTCCATAACTAGTGCGAGCGGTTTCCGCGATAGAAAGGACGGATGTGGCAGAGATCTTCACTTTTTTTAGGCGGGGAGTGAAGGCATGGCAATAAAATTGAATTCGTTCGCTACCACAGTGACTTCGCCATCTTTCCTTCAACTGCACTCACTAATAGAGGTATTTTAATCCACAACCCAAGTATCTGTACCTCATTAATCCATCATGCATGCTGTCTCAGTGTCTTTACACTGGCTTTGTCGCTTACACTACTCTTTCGACTTCGATTTGGACGCCACTCTCGCTCTCATCCCCAACACAATTGGATCTGAAACTAAACCCCTTCTAAAACATATCCGCAGACTTCAACAACCCAAACTCTTCCAAACCTCGCACTCCCGTACAGCAACTTCGAGTATGGGAGACCCCTGTGACGCCAATGATAGCCACTAGCTCCAAAGCGGCCATTTTTCTCAAGCTGGTGGCATATCCGCATTCAGAATCGATGACGATGTCTCAATCCGCAGAAAGGCACAGATGTAGATATCAGCAACGGAGCTATGATTCCCAACATCGGCACCCTTCTGATCTATGAAGGGCACTCGAGCAGCGTTCCAAGCACAGAAACCAGGCTAGCACAGATAAAAGACACCCGGTTTCAGGACGGGAGGGATCTTACAATGATCGGAGTTTCCCATTCATGCACTTCACGGCACATCCATAGCGCTGACACACCCGACCTCAATTGCAGCTCGACTCAACCATCCATCGTCGATCTCCATCTTCCCAAATGGCCGCCCCCTCTCTATCCCTCCCTTTCTGCCACTAACCTATCCCAGCCCGCACTACATATCTCTTACTTAACAACTTCCATCCACCCTTAATATTTAGCTAACTCCTTTCCTGAATCCCCGACATTGACGCCGTCATTTTGAGCAAGAAAACCGGGCCGATGGCGCTGGTAGAAGGGATCCAAGGAATTGGTGGGGATTACGGTGTCGAGAGATGAGTTATATAAGGCGCTGAGTAGGAAGTGGGAGAGGGAGACTGTGCGGGATAGGCTGAAGAAGCTGGGAGGGTTAAGAGGGAGGGCTGTGAGAGGGGTTGAGGAAGAGGAGGTGGGGATAGGATTTGGAGATTGACAGAGACTCGGAGAATGCCTTGTGCGAGTGTGGTTTGCCTATGGGTTTGCATTTGGGGGTAGATAATGATGGGAGCTGGTAGCATTACAGAAGAGGTTATGTAGCTAGGAAGCCTTGACACCAGGCAGTTAATACTGACATAGGTCTAACCTGTTTCTCGTGCTTTTCGCTCGCCATTTCCCCATGAAAATACCAGTAAGGCTGCTCCCTATTCTCCGTTCCCAGCGCTTATGTGTGCCAGATTGCGCCACAAAAAGTGTAAAATTCCTACGCTCCTTCACCATGATCATCACTCTGACCTTTACCCACCTTTGCACCACCATTCTTAAATTGCTCCCCAGCGTCGACCTCGTCGCCAACTCTAATCTCCCTTTACCAAAACATTGTAAAACAGAAATCTCTCGACAGGAGAAGAGCAGTCGGTTGCACCCTGAGGTTTCGCAATGGACCCCCAACCCTCTTTTTATTTATTTTTATTTTTATTCCTCCGGTATAAAGACAATTCTGAGCGCCAAACTCGAACAAGCGCCTCTATTAATTGGTGATTCAGAGTGGTTACCCACGGGAAGTAGTGAAGGTTGTACATTCTTTCTTTTTCTAGCTCGCTAAGTTCGTGCTCATTAAGTAGGCTGTCTCATCATCTCAACGCGAAAGCTCATCTCATAACAAGTGAATACGCACGTGCGATTCATCTACCGCCAACAGTATTCACATGTCTGTAAAGGATAGCAACAAGTAGAGTGGAAAGATCATTGGCAAACCTTCGTTGTCTAACGTAAGAAGATATACAATGCAAGAGGACTACGCACTCTCAGCATTACGCTAGCTTGTCTCAAGGTGACGTTCCAAAGACGGTGTTGCTCTTAAGACGGTCGTGTCCTCGGAAGGTTTACGTTCTTAAGATAGTAATGCTGTGCACGGAAAGAGATACATGCTTCTAGAGCACTTCTACCTCCGCAGAGGTAGTTATAGACAATGGAATCAAATACCTAACTAACTCATAGGGGTATCAAAATCTTAAGAACAATAGGCCCGCCCCCCTGACGCCTATTAGCCGCGCCGAAGGCAGAAACAGTTCCAAGACTACAGGCATCCGCTAGGCCAAGAACATTTCCTCAAAAAACTACCACTTAAACCCTTCGTCTAACAGCTTCTCTCCTACCTTAGAGGAAGGAAGTATCACACTCTGAAATCCAGGTTTCAGGCCCACTCCAGACCTAATCCAAATTAGCAACGCTCTAGCAATGGAGGACTCAATAGAACTTACTTGATCATGGTGATTGCCATGTTTCTAACCTTGTCCTTGAGATTGACCTGGGTACGACCATCAAGGAGTTTATATCCTGCATCCGATTTGTCAAATGTCAGAATATCAGAATATTTCTGCGGGAATATTTTCATGTATTCCAGAAGGGCCTCTTCTGCATCCGCAGACCAGGGAGTGCGGCTTCTACGTGGCTCTTGACGCGTGTTGTTCAAAGCAATCGCAGCAGTGTTAATTCTAGCGGCCTTTTTAAAGTCGGCATAGCTAGAAGTCGGGATCTCTTCCATCATCTCTGGAGCGTCCTCTTCTGAGAAGCTTTCTTCTTGTTGTTCGGGAACATAGTCCCCGTCGGTGATTCCAGCTGGAGGTTGATGGCTTGGGGGCATTGAAGAAGCGGGATTGAAGCGGGCTTTCTTTACAGGCGCTTTTTGTCGCCTCTCCTTGGCTTGGGACTCGCGCTGGTTGGTCTCAAAGGCGTCTTCGTCCTCGTCAGAGGAAAGGTTTATGATTGGTCGACGTCGTTTTCCGTGTGTCTTCTGGGGTTGCTTTCCTGTACTTGAAGAAGCAGTGGGTATCTGAGTCTCATCAAAACCATCCCCAAACTCGACCTGACGAGCGCTGGGCTGTCGTGCAATGAATCCGCCTCGATTCTCCTTATCTATTTTCCGGGCTTCTTTGAACTTGCTCACGATATCGGCCGTGGAACGAGGAGGGGCTGATGCCGACGGATTCTCTTCTGCTACCTCAGGATCTTCCTGGTCATCCATTGGGGCAGGCTGCCACTCATCTTGCCCATCTTCATGGCTTTGCGCTGCTTCTTGCACTTGCTCCGTTGGCTGTTGCGCCTGTTGGGAAGATTCTGCTTGTGACTGTGCGGCAATTCCTTTCTCTCTTGCCAACAGTTTGTCCATTACTTGGCTGTCCAGTTGTGCATTCGGATCGAACTTGCGATTGCTACGCCTACGTTCCCGACCAAAAGAAGTCCGCTTTTTGCGTGGCGAAATATTGGATGCCCATGTGGCGCGGATATCAGGATGCTGAACCTCCGCTTTGATTCCTTCTGCGATGCCATCAATACCACCCTTCTTTTTTATCGATGCGTCGAGTTCTCTGTTTCGCAGGCGCACCCAGTGAAGAACTTGAAGGATGCATGCTTCCCAGGAGAAGGATGCAAATAGGTTGTCAAAGTCCACGGTTTCGCCTCGTTCTAGAGATTGGGTATCCTTTGTAAAGTATTCCCTAATTGCATTCACGCGGATGGCGACTTTTTTGCTCAGTTGGTTGTCAAGGCGGGTTTCTTTACCACCTAGGCCCGGTACATCCCATCCACGGACAATCCCTCGACTGCCTTCTGGCGAAGGGTGAAAAAATACCTCATCGAGCGAAACATCTGGATCGAAGGAATCATCATTCGTTGAGCGGTAAAGCACAAGGATGGCAAGTTGCGTCCGTAGCTCCAAAGCCACTTCAAATGTCTCCATGAGCATTGCACTCTCCCCAGCATAGGCGTTGCAAGGCTTGCCATTTGGCACAAGCGAGAAGAGGAACAGAGATGGGAAAGTATTGTCAAACATTCGAAGCGCGTTCCAGGTTGACTCTTTGTTTCGATCAGATGTGATGATCGTTTTCGTGAACTCGACGAGATTGGCTTTGTGCAGCACGGGATTGAGGCCAGACTCTAGAGACGTGAGATCTCGCTCGGGACCAAGCAATGCCCTATGGACGGCACGAGGTCGGATATAGTCTTGGTGCTCTGACTTGAAGAAAGACAGGTCATGGCTAAAATCGCAATTGAGGTCTCTAAATACAATAGTGTAATCGGAGTCGGGCTTTTGGATTTCGATATAGTGCTCTCTATCTTCATCGATGCGGCCATTGTCTGGGACCAGATGTTCCAGCATCTCGTTTGCAGACTCGTAGAGCCTTCGTGGACGGCGCAAGATAGCCTTAACGTCCAGATCTTCAGCCTCGACCATGGAAAAGGAGGAGATAGCTGTGGTGCCTGACATCTCAGAGACAGCCCCAGGGGAGCGGTGGAGAGCTGCATCTACTTTTACAGAGCGGGGGGGGGTCTCCCGATTGTCTTCAATGACGAGTTGGGTGTCGACCTCTTCCACAGGAGCAAGATCTAAGAACAATAAGTGGTAAGCTTGGAAGCGACGCGCATTGGGACAAAACTAAGCACTCACCTCCGACAGGCTGTTGGTGAGCTTTCCTCTTTGACTGCCGAGAGGGCCGTTTCTCATTTTCACTTTGGCTTGCTATGCTGTCCTGACGTTTGGTCCGACGAGTGGGTCTACCCGTGAGCCCCGCATTCTCAACATCGCGACTTACGCTTCGAGCTCCCCTCGTGCGCGACACCCGACCGGCTTGCGGTGTTGCAGCAGCCGAGGGTGGTTGCGGTGTGGGTGTCATGCGCCGGCTCGATGACCGCACACTCCTGCGCTCGGCCATTGCTGTAAGCTGGCAAAGTGAATGCGCGCAGAATTGGATGCACTTGCGATAATGGTGGATGGGTATAGAGGTGTAGAGTGAGTGAATGTTTAGGAGGTGGCATGTTTGTGTTTGTTTTGGTCCAAATTACGACGCACTGACAAGGAACTGGGTCACGTGTTCACAGTTGTGAAATCAGCTAGGCCAGCAGTGGTAAGGCCAAGGTTGAGGCCGGCAGGGCGCCGTCTGGGGTGTGCGTCCGACCTGTTTGAACTGGAGACAGAAATCGCACGCGCGCTGGCCAATTCTGCATCTTGCACCCCCTTTGCCCCCCCCCCCCTTCCCCCCCCCAGGTTTGTGTCTTGCCCTCTCGCGTTTCCTCTGCGTCTCTAAATATATTGGGGAGAACGCCTACCCCTGCGCGCATCCCCGTACCGGTCCACGGGTCTCCTAATCACTCACTCGCCTCACCCACCAGCTCGAGTCCTCGAAACCCCCGAACTCGCGATATTTCCAACTTAGAACGACGTTTGCGCAATTTCGTCCGCTTGCACACCGGCCACGCCCTTTGTCACTCCTTGGAAACCGCTCCCCTATCTGTTCTCAGGCTCTGCTGCTCTGTTCCGTTGGCTTGGTCCGACTTGGTGTGTGGAGAATTGCCTGATACCCCTGTTCACAATTCTGTCGTCACCACAATGAGGCTTCGTGCCCAACGAGCACCGGCGCTGCTTCTCCTCCTCCCCACACTACATGCCCTTGCAACTACCATATTGACGGCGTCCGAGGAGAAGCAAGTCGCTCGAGCCGCCGTCCTCCCCGAATATCCCGCCCTCAGCGCACTTCCGTCCCCGTCCCCGTCACCAGCGTCGAAAGCTACCAAAGATGCGCCAGTTGATGGACTCGATGGAAAGCCCCATGAGGGGCCATACGTAGAAGGCAAGCCTACAGTGCCCAAGAAACTGCCCGTGGGCGTGGAAGAGATTCGGCCCGGAGCGACCCGCATCAGCTCAACACAACAACTGACAAAGGAGGAATGGAAGGCTTTGGGCGGAGAGGGGGACGGTGTGATGGATGATCCAAACAGAGCGTCCCCAAAAGGAAACACTGGGACTGAAGGCGGGGTCTCTGCAAAGGACAAGGATAGAATCGAGCAGGAGACCAAGACCGGAGGGAAGGTCGAGAAAATTCCAGACCCACCCAAGGAGGCGCCTCCATTGCCTCACGGGGAACAGGAACGACTCAAGGAGAAGGAACCAACTGAGACAGCATCTAAAAAGCTCGGTGCGCAGGGGTTGGAGGTATGCCACCCAGCCGTCTCGAGAAAAGGCGCCCAATTGACTCGAATTGCAGAAGCCGACGGATCTTCCCGATACACCTCACGACATCCCCCACCCAGTCCCCCCCTCCGTTCCCAAAGATGACCCTCTAGGCACCACCCCTCCAAACAAGATTTCCGATTCCGACGACCTTTCCGACGACGACAATGACGACCAAAACGGTGTCATTCAGCCATTCCATTCCTTCATCCTCTCCCTGACAATGATCATATTCTCTGAAATTGGCGACAAAACTTTCCTTGTCGCTGCTCTCATGGCCATGCGCCACTCCCGTCTTGTCGTGTTTACCGCTGCATTCTCGGCACTCATCACCATGACGGTTCTTTCTGCGGTGCTTGGTCACGCCGTACCCACCCTGCTTCCCAAGCGCTTCACCAGCTTCGCCGCTGCCGGTCTATTCCTTGTGTTTGGCGTCAAGCTCATGCGTGAGGGGCTAGCTATGAGTCCCGATGAAGGTGTTGGAGAGGAGATGAAGGAGGTGGAGATGGAGCTCGAGGAGAAGGAGCACCTTGCCCGACGCAACAGTCGCAGGAAATCTTCCATATCGCCCTATGTTCTCGAATCTGGTCGTGCCAGACGGTCAAGGTCGAACTCCAGACTACCTGCACCTGCTCGGAGCCCTTCTTCTTCACCATCACGCTCTCCCTCTCCTCATGGCTCCACCCTTTCGACTATTGTGATTGGGCTCAACAATTTGTTCTCTCTACTGCTTAGCCCTGCTTGGGTACAAACCTTCATTATGACTTTCCTTGGGGAGTGGGGTGATCGCAGCCAGATTGCCACGATAGCCATGGCTGCAGGAGCAGACTATTGGTGGGTAACTGGCGGTGCTATCTTTGGCCACGGCATGTGTACTGCGGTAGCAGTTCTGGGAGGCCGTGCAATTGCTGGAAAAGTCAGCATGCGCATCGGTATGTTCAATCCGGCAAAAGCATCGAGAGCAGCTGCTAACCGGTCAAACAGTTACCTTGGGAGGCGCAATTGCATTCCTGGCGTTTGGCGTGATATATCTCCTAGAGGCTATATACTCAGGATAACGAAACATAACACGGCGCATCTGGATCACACAACTTCACGTGCTGTATTCTTTTGTAATTCGCGGACGGCTTGCACGCACTGCACTTCAATCTTTCCACTATGTAATAGTAATTGTATCCCGACGGCATGGAACGGAACGGCTGGAAAATGGGTCACATGGAGTTCCTGGGATTGCATTGAGATCGGATCAGCGATTTTGTTTCTTGTGGCATATCGGAATAGTTCTATTTGCTGACAGGAAATGAGTGACCTGTTGTGTGACGTGAGCACGGGTATGGTGGTGGAAGGTACCTTGCATCCAAGAGTTGTCTACCTACAATAATGTATTGGCAGGAATATTCCTGGAGAAACGTCCACGTGACTCGGATTCGGTTGGCCCCGCTGAGACACTTCCAGACACTTTGAGAGTCCTCTTCACACGGGCAAGCGACCCTCCGAAAGACCTCTTCGGCGACTAGAACCTCGTAGACTGCGCAGTCTTTGCCTCTCACCTCTTCCATTGCTGCTCTCCTTTCGCAAGAAATGCGCCCGCTCTCGGCATCTCGTGTCTGGGGTCTTGGATGCTCACTCAGCTTGTCGTCTCACGATGACACGTCAACAATGCGGACCACAGGGTCACGGATGCGAGCTGGGCCTTTTCCTCATACAAAAATATTTGCGCACCTAGACCAGAATAAACTGTGGTAACCCCTCGCCGACCATTCTCTTGTCTGGCACGTCTCTTGTTCCATGGGAGCCTTTGAGAACAGCGTTATTCTCAGCCAAGGACCTCTGAACATCTCTCGCCTGTTATCCCCCTAACCGTCAGCAGATTTTTCTTCTGCAATTGCGCTTTCCTCAGTGGAGAATAAACTGGTGTGCACGCGCCTTCTTTTTCATCGATTCCATTGTGGCTTGCTGTCGCACCGAATCATGTGGAAGGTTTTACACATGACAACTTAGAATCTAGACCCTCTCTGTCGATTCAGCTCTAGAAATCGCCTAGTTAGATCTGCAGGTCCGAATCGCCGTTCAAGCTTAATCTTTTAAATAGCAAAGACTGGCCCTGGTTACCTGTCAGCCATCAACCACGGGTGGTGTGGCTTGCCAACAACGGATGACAAGGGATAAGGCTCAAGACAACGCCAATCAGCAAAGGCGCCGTGCCCAGCCACAACTCCTCCAGAATTCTCTCGTCGCCTCGTACTGTAGAGCTGGCCTTACTGCCTACGAAGAAGCGGAAGTTTTGCCAAGTTCGCTGAGAGCTGAGTGGGGCTCTGGATCAACGCCTACGATGGATACGGGGAAACTCTGCAGGCCAGAACAAATGGCTGCTGACCAGAGAAAGATAACCATAGCTTGTATAAGACGGGAGTGCCGTCATAACCTGTGGAGTGTTCCTGTTGAAATTTCAGTTTCCCGAGTTCTCTCTATACCCTAATCCAGTGGTTGTATCTCTACAAAGGCGGATATGAAGATTTCAATTCTCACTCTCGGCTTCGGCCTCCTAACCTTCATCGACTCTACGCTTGCCTATCCAGGCATAAGAAACACGATACGCGAGATCGAAAAGAGGGTTGCACAAACGCCTCCCGATGGCAATAACGATGGGTCTACTCCCCCTGTCCTGATAGGCGATCTGAAGAATGGCATCAGAACTCCGGTGGGCCAGACAATTGCCAATATCCTCCTCAAGACAGAATCTGGCCAAAGCAGCGAGGCAGGTTACACGCCACCTATAATCGGGTCAAAGAAGTGCAAACAAGACACATGCTGTGTGTGGTGGTACGTCTCACAGGCCCTCACAATAATTTTCAAAGGGCCATCGGGTCGATGCAACAAGAATGCACGAGCTGCGGTACGCCTTGGCTTCCACGATGCCGGTACGTGGTCTCAACCGCTGGCGGACTCTGGCTCGGATTTTGGAGGGGCAGATGGCAGTATTGCTCTTTCCTCGGATGAAATTAATCGAGGAGAGAACAATGGCCTACAGGATATCATTGGGAAGATGAAGATAATAAAGGCTACTTTCGGCGTCGGCATGGGCGATCTCATTCAATTTGCAGGTATTCACGCTACCGTTAGTCAGTACTTCTACGATCTGCTCGTCCCTGGATGCCATAACTAAAACCCTTGTAGCTTGCCCTCTTGGACCACGCATCAGATTCTTTGCTGGACGCAAAGACAGCAGCAAATCAGCGCCAAACAACCTGCTTCCTGGCGTGAACGACAGCGCAGATAAGCTCATCCAACTCTTCCAGGACAAGACAATCGCACCCCATGATCTTGTCGCTCTCCTTGGCGCGCATACAACTAGCCAACAATTCTTCGTGGACCCGAAGCGGAAAGGCGAGCCCCAAGACGGCACTCCTGGAATCTGGGATACTCTGTTCTACAACCAAACCATGGGCACTGGCCCTCTACCTAAGAAAGTTTTCCGCTTCGCAAGTGACATCGTCATTTCTCAGGATTCACGCACTAAGAGCGAGTGGGTTCAGTTTGCTGGCCCTGGAGGCCAGTCGCATTGGAACGACGACTATGCTCATTCCTACATCCGCCTTTCCATGCTCGGCGTGAACAATATGAATAGTATGACGGAATGTACGAAAGTCTTGCCTGCCGCGCAATCGACTTTCAAGGGCGCAGGTGAACTTCTTGTTGAGGAGTGAGCAACGCCAGAGTTCCTTAGTTGTTTGATTTGCTTCGGAAATAGTTAGATGTTGGCAAAACGGAGGAATGGCGTTAGTGGATACTGAACTCATGATAACATGATGGCTACTACGAAGGTAGCGAAAGTACTTTCTTGTACCCTATTAATTTCTAGTCTATTAATAAAATAATGTTTTAACAATCTCAATGAGTAGTGAAACTGGACAGTGAAAGTGAACTGATTTGCACTGGGCTTCGATGATGGACGTTAATTAGTTCGCAACCCCGGCCCGACCTCGGCATTAGCATCCCCGCTGGGGAGAGTTCACGTTCACCGCGAGGGCTCAACCAAGCTGATTGTCGAACAACCTCACAATACCAATCCCTGGTATTGTGCCGCCACTCCCGTCCCCATGTTAAATTCTGCGTGTCCGCTTGCTTGAGCTTCTTCGCATAAAAATACAAGGGCTGCTACTTCCTCGGCACACCACAGCCCGGCTTTCCTCAGTATCCAACCACTACGACTCCAGACAAAATGCACCTTACCGGAGATACTTCCTCAAGCCAGCGACCTTCGGGACGCGAGCCGCCACGACCCCCGCCTCCTGCTGTCGTCGAAGCCGAACAGCAGTGGATCTTTACTGAAGAGGAGCTCCTCCAGGCTCCGTCAATCGTAGATGGCATGTCCCCGGATGAAGAGAGGACGCTCCGAAAGAAAGGAGTCAACTTCATTTTGCAGGTCGGAATGATGCTAAAGCTGCCGCAAACCACCCTGAGCACGGCTTCTGTGTTCTTCAACAGGTATCTGATGCGAAAGAGCCTCAAGCCATCGGCGGGCTACAAGCCACTTCACCACTATGTAAGTCTAGATAAAATCTTCACTTTGGGGCCTTTCCTGACACTCTAAAGCAAATTGCCGCGACTGCCCTCTTCCTTGCGACCAAAGTCGAAGAAAACTGTCGAAAAATGAAAGAGCTGGTCATCGCCTGCGTCCGCGTTGCTCTCAAAGATCCGAACAAACTCGTTGATGAGCAGACGAAAGATTTCTGGAAATGGAGAGACACAATCTTGTACAGCGAAGACGTCCTACTCGAGACGATATGCTTCGACCTCTCAATCGAACCACCATACAAAACTATGTACGAGATGCTCAAGTATTATGGCATCGAGCACAACAAGCGCCTTAGAAACGCATCTTGGGCCTTCCTCAGCGACTCCTGCCTTACCGAACTCTGTCTCCTGTTCACTTCGCGAACAATAGCCGCCGCATCGCTCTTTGCTGGCGCGCGCATGGCTGAGGTCGACATTCCGGGCGAGAATGGAAAACCATGGTGGGAAGTCCAGCATGTCAAACTGCGAGACATCCGTAGAGCTTGCAACATGATGGCAGACATATACGAGGCGACGGCACCGAAGGATGGAGAGAGGAGCATATACGTAGGTCTCCATACCCCAGAGGATGCGGATCCGACTGGGGCTTAACTCTGTTTCTAGGCTCCTGAGCAGGTGACGGTGAATGGAAATGAGGACCCGAGTGAAGAGGGGGAAGTTGAGGAGTAGACACAAGTTGGGGTTGTCCTTGGGGATTATCTGGCGTACTGTGATGCATTTTCATGGCTGGCTGGCTGGGCTCTGGGGATCTCAGCATGGCGTTTTGGTTCTGGAAACACGATACCATGGATAACAGGGTTGTGTGAGCGCGCATTTTGGCAGTCCTGGCAGCCCATTTTTATACTTTGCTTTCAGTAAGAAATTGATTATGATTTTCTTTTGAGAGCCAGGGGGTTCCGCATATCTCCTTGAAGGTCTCCTGTAGTCCGACTCGCACGAATAGGTGAGGCTTGGGGGTGTTCTTGCTCAATTTAGGCTTGCTTGAATTTCCCCGTTGCGCCTCGTTCCTTCTTCTAATAAAGGTAAAAATCGGGCCTAGGTACCGATCTAGGCAGGAGCATGCCGCAATATAGATAGGTTAACTTGGAGTCTTAGGAAGGAAGATTAACCCCCAAGAAACCCCAAAATAATTCAAGACCTGCAATTATGCCTCAATTGGAGCTTGTGGGGCAAATCCCGGAAACATCTTACTCGAAGTGTTACATCCCAGAGTTTGACGACATTGCACCTAAGATAATGGACATGATGGATTTAGCGGCATCATGCCAAATCACTATTGATACTTACAGGACGAATATGCACATATTCACTGGAGCTATAGTATGGGTATTCCCAGTATTACTTACTTCCATAGTACAAGAATGAGCCTTGGCAGTTTGAATAGTTTGAAATACATTTTGTTCATCATCTTGACAGAATAGAGGGCATGGGAAAGATATGGATCTTGACGCCGTCTATGCGCTGCTGTACGAGGTTGTGCCCTAATGCGGAGGTTGCGGACTTGGGGAGGTCGAGACAGATGCAGGGATGCAAACTCCAAGTACCTGATTAAGCTCTCTCTCTGATAACCTAGTGGCAGCCGGGCATGTGTCTGGCGTATTCCAGGATTGAAATACGAGTTCACTTTGTGAGACGACATTGGCTTGATCCTTGAACACAATAAAGTCATCGGAAGAATGATTGCTGGGGTTCTGCTTTGTGATTGCCACACTCTGGAGCGGGTATTGATAGAATAGGTCAACCTTAAGTGAATGGTTGGAGACATGTCACAAAGAAGTGGGCTCGACATCTCTCGGGTTGCCCAAGTGCTTAGTTTCACCAACTGAGGTACGGAGGACGCGCAAGGGTGGCCAGCCAGTCTACAACCTGCCATGGTTCAGCATCGCAGCCCTTTACACTAGTCCCATAACCCTACTCTTATATTCTACCTCCTTGTTCTCCCTCCCTATAGCATAGGCCTAACATCTATCATCCCATCCCCACTCCCACTCCTCCCAACCCTCCTCTCCAGCCTCTCCCGCCCTTCCCTCATCATTATACTAACCTCCCCATCCGTCAACTCAATCAACCTCTCGACGTTAACCTCCCTCATCACCAAACTCTTCACTGTTACAAGACACGCACTTGCCCTCACATCCAGTGGCTTCTCAACCACAATTTTACAAAATGCGCCTAACTCCAAGAAATGCAACCGAGAAGCCTCGAGACTCTCGAGCATCATCGCAAAACAATGCGGCATGGCTTCGAACTCGCGCCAAACGATTTTGCCGCCTTGGAAGGAGATGCGGCGGGCTAGGACCGCGTCTTCGTCGCGCAGCATTTCTTGCCCGAGGGAGAAGAATATGGGGGGGGAGGACGTCCAGTCCTTTGCCGCGAGGGGTGAGACGAGCGGATGGCAAAGTGCAGAGCCTTCGCAATATAGATCTGCGCGGGGAGGGTCGACGGGCCATGCAGAACAGGGCGGGTAGTTCATGTGGTAGGTTTGGCTCGGGGGTGGGAGGTAGTCGTATTTCCGGAGGGATTCGATAGACGGGAGGGACCGGGTTACGTCGAGCCATGGGGAGGTTAGGGCTAGGGCTGCTGGGATCGGGATCTCGACATCTTTGCCGTTGAATTTCACGGTTTTGGAGGGGTTCGTTCGGTGGATCTGTAGGATCGTTTGGAGCAGTGCGGTTGCCAGCAAGCCGCCTGCAGAGTCGCCACCAATAATAATCTCCGATGCTGGTATGGGGTTGTGCGGTGTGCCTGGTGGTGGATACAGCAACGACAGATATGCCGTCAGTGCATCCAGCAGCGCAGCTGGAAACGGATTCTGCGGTGACAAGCGATACCGCACCGAGAATACGCGTCCTCCGGTCGCTTTCGCAATTTTGCTCGTCACAGGTCGATATGTCGCTGGATCCAGAAGATACATAGCACCACCGTGAAAGTACAATAGCGTGACCCGAGACTGCACTTCTTTCATCAAATTCTCATACTTCTCTTTTTCCGACAGTCCTGCAGGTTCAGGCTCATTTTCAGAAACTCCGCCTCTATACCCATTCCACTCCGCCTCCAATGGCACGGCATCAGGCGGGGTATACATATCCTTTCCACATCCACCCTCATTCTCACCCCCCATATCCTCAATCGCTTTAAATAATATCTGGCGTAAATCATCCTCACCAGGAACCTCGCACTTGACCTTACTCACCCAGACTCTCCCTTTCACACCTGGATCTTTTGTCGTGAGCCATTGTTGTTTTGTGATGCTCTGTTGTTTTGCGGTTGGGCCAAGCATCTGTCGGACGATTTCTATTGTGAGTTCTGTTCGGAGATCCCATTTTGTGGCATTTTCAGATAGGGAGAGTGTGTGCAGGAGAGCAATTTTGCATATGAAGGGGAGTTTGGGGAGGAGGAGTTTGAACATGGTCAAAGGAGAAGATTCCATAGTGGCAAGAGAGTATGTCAAGGGATTGGTGAGATAGGTCTTGTTTGGCAATTGAGTAGGATGGCGTAGGAGGTGTTGAGGGGATGTTAGGGTAGAGGGATGAGGAGGATGCTGGGATTAGGCAGAGAAGGAACTGGATAGAGGGAAGTGCAGTGTAGTGTAACAGATAAAGTGTTGATGCGACATTGTTAGTGTGATGACAGACGAGCCGAGGTATGTAGCGGATGCAAACATCGACGGAATCTGTTATATGCATTAATCGGTGGATCCTTGGCGCGTCATCGGCAAATTCCCTCCGCCCCCCCAAATTTTGCAGTAACCACTAAATATGCCTATAACGCGCTTAGTATTAACATAATCTGTCACTATTACTACTATGTAAGTTAAGGCTGTAAACTTACTAGTATATAGCCTATACTAACTTTTTTTTAGTGTTATAGCTACTCTTAGTTAACCTTAATAGCTTAAACTAGTGCCTAAGCTACAGAGGGCGTCCTAGGGGTAGCTACGCGTATAAGAACTAGTACTTTTTGTTAGCTAACAGCTAAGCAAGCTAGTGCTAGTAAGGCAACAGCGCGTTAGCGTAAGTTAGTTAGCTAGCGTAGGCCTGTAGCAGTTGTGGTTACTTACAGGAGTCCTCCAGCCCAAAAGCAGTCTCGCGCAGCCCCCAGGTCAGCTATACGGCCTGCTGCTACTCCATCGATTGAGCTAGTATCTATCCCATCGTCGCCGCTCCCATCATCTCCCCCGATAGTTGATCCTACTCCGCCTGCTCCGCCTGCTCCGCTAGTCGCTCCACCTGCCCAATCAGTTCTCCAGTCATCCCCGCCACTAGATGAACCTAAATATAAGATTAATATAGCGTACAACCTGCGTGTAAACAAGGTAAGTGTAGTAGATAATTTAGAGTTAGTTAATTACACTTTCTTTCTTATACTAACTATAAAGAATAAAGTAGATGCTATAATTATTAACCCTATATTAAGTATTAACAGTAGGGACTATAAGGTGTTAAGTTGCGCTGTTAGCTATTAAGTAGACTAATTAAAAAGTACCTAGTAGATGTTAATAATTAACAACTTTAGCTTTATAACTAAGCAGCGCCTGTTAGAGTAAGCAGACTAATACATATGTTAGTTTAGAGGGATTAAGCGCCTTAAAATAAAAGTAGAAGTAAGACTTAAAGTATCTGCCTTATAGAAGGTCTTTCTGCGCAATAAATTAGTTAATAAGCTATTATTTAATATTCTAGAAACACTTACAGATCTAAGGCGTACGCAGCAGCTGCTTAAGGAGGCTAAAAAGATAGAACAACAGGAGGCTATATTTACAGCTGCGGACTATGTCAGCTTAATTTACAGCTGCTAGGTCTGTATTAAGGCGCTCTGTAATAACTATAGCTACTAGTGCTAGGTTAATCTGCTTACTTATAAGCACTTTAAGATCTGCCCTACTAACACTAAGACTTAAGCAAAGCGTATTCTTAAGAGCATAAATAGTGTAAGTATTAAATATCTACTAACCTAGCTTGTTAACTACTAGAGGTAGAATATAAGTAATAAACTGCGCGTAAACCTTTATAATTAGAGGGGCAAAGGCAAGAGGCCTAGGTTATTATTAGACTTTAGTAAAAAAAAACTATAAAAGCTAAGAAAGCAAATAGAACTTTAGTGTGTAAAAAACTAAATGTAGAGAATAAAGAAGAACAAGATAAAGTGTAAGAAGCAAAGAGAGTAGCGTAAGTTTAACTATAAGTTATGCTGTAGCTAGCTATTAAGCTAGCTATTTACTACTAGAGGTAGTTAGCTATACTCTTTACTCTATAGCTAGTTTCCTAGTGTTTTCCCTCTGCATGTCCTGTTCTTGCCAGGCCTACCACCTACTGCTCCTTTAGCTGCTCTGCTAGCTGCTCTGCAAGCCCCTCTACAGCAGAGTACACTAACTACTTAACAAACTGTTAATATACTAGTCCTCTTATTAAGCCCTGTAACTAGTAGTAGACGTAATAATACATAGAAAACTATAAAGAAGTTTTTTAAGTAGTTAATTACTTAGTAACTAGAAGAAGACTAAGATAACTATAGTAGGGCAGTAAAAGTAGTAATTAAGTAAAAATAGATAATTAGAGATCTTTACTAGATGTTAAAGCTAAGTAGAGAGCTCTACTTTATTGCAGTAGGTATGTTTAAGTTAAAGGATAAAATAGTTTAGCATTTAGTTAATAATATACATAAGTTTAAACTAGTTTGTTATACTACAGTTAGTCTAGCAGCGTTGTGTAGTATAAGAGAGAAGTAGGGTAGCATTAATTATAGTTTATAGTATACACTAATAGTATTTTAATCTTAAAAATTAAATAGTTTACAGAGCTTCTGCCTTACACACTCTAACACTTTTTACTTAATATATAATCTACTAGCTGTGTACTTAAAGTGTTTTACAGTAAACCTATTGCATCTACTCTCCTATAGCGCTGCCTTTAAGAACTTTTTAAAGCTGTTAGAACTAAATTAAGCTTTTATATATATATAATTTTTATAAATCTACGCCTTTAAAACTAAAAAAGTAAGCTTAATTAGGTTATAGTTAGGCAAGTATAGCAGCAGGTACTGCATAATATACCTAGCGCACTCTAGGACCTGCTAAACCTTATTATTTGTATAAATTAAGATGTTATTAAGGACTATTACTATTAGTTTAAGGCTGTATGTTACTTAGAAAGTAGGAATTAGTTGCAGCTCTATCTATTGTATAAAGTCCTTTTAGTTAAAGTAGCCCTTCTTAATCCTAGTACATAGCAGGTATCCTCTTATTATATAGGCAGGCAGGATTGCCTAGGTAGCGCCTTGCTTTATATCCTAGGTATACTAAGACTTGTGGCCTACTAGGCTGTACGCGTAGTGCCTCTACTTAGTCTTCTTGTTAAATATTAACTTATTTAGAAACACTAAATCTTTAGCTGCAAACTGCCTTATTTTAACATAATATGCCTAGTGTAAATCTTTGTTGTAATTAATTAAGAAGGGCTGTAATGTGTAACAGTTTTAATTTATCTAATTAAGGTATTGTAAGACTATAGACTAGTTTACAAACACGCCTCTCTCTACCTTAAGCTAGCGTACAATCTTGTCTTAGTACATCTACCTACTCTGCATAAGCTTATTAAAAAGAGCTTGCCTATCTGCCTTACTAATTTTTATAGGCTGCCCTAGCACGCCTTAAACTAGGCGTTAAACGCAGCTGTAATCTTATAGATTTAATAGTACGTTGTCTATAGCTTGCCTACTGCAGCCCTTACGCTCTGCAATTGCTTAAGGATGCTACCTAAGTAGCATAAATTAATATATATTAAGGCGTGTATAATATAAGAGACTATAATTTAAAAATTAGGGACTAGGTAGTTAACAAGGTAGTTAACAAGGTAGGCAAGCAGAGACTCTATAGGCGCGATACATGTGGGAACTAACTAACTACTACACTAAAGAATTGTTACTATACACCTTTTGCATAGGACTGTATAGCTTCACGTATATACTTACTATATAAGCAGGTATTGTTAGTTACTAATGCTTTATTAGTAAATTTAGTAGTTACTACAAAATTTAGGGGGGCGGAGGGAATTTGCCAATGACGCGCCAAGGATCCACCAATTAATGCATATAACAGATTCTTAGCGCTCTGCGAGATCTGCTCTCCTCCCCTTCTAATTTTTGATGACAACGACGCCATTTAAATCTATAAGAGTCCTATAATTTTACCTCTTCTATATGTAGAATCTCTCATTTCCCTTTTTCAATTAATATTGCGTAGTTGCTAAGATATACAAGGGCTGTTATTCTACTCTTCTATAATTTAAGAGGGCTCGCTTAATAGTCTTAGGATAGTTACATAAAATGCACAGATTCTTAGCGTTTCGCAAATTTTACAAATCTGCTCTTAGCAGCAGCGTCTCTTTCTAATATGGAATATGGATATTAATATTATATAGATAAGAGCTTATAGAGCTAGGGGTGTTATCTTTATTAAGAAATATATTTGCGTTGCTGAGATATAAAAGAAAATGTGTTGGGGGAAATGCAATTTTTGCGTACGCTAAATGTTTTGGGCTAAGGGTAATACGTGTTGATTGGTTGATTTTGACATCACTCGGAATCTAAGTTGGGATAATGCTTTGTGTTCTGTAGAGCAGATATGTGGGATGTAGGTAGGTTGCATGCTGAAGAACTGTGTTTCAGGTGTGTTCTTGTCCTACTTGTTTTCTTACGGAAGATCCAGCCTTGTTTTGTAATCTAAGAATATGGCGAGGATCTAGATGTTTGCATTGTGTTCTGTACAGAGAGCACGTATAGCCTTGGTTTATTTTATAGTAGAATATGTGTTTCTAAATCTCCTGTTTTCCTGAAGTAAACATTTCGCCCTCCCTTTTTCTAAGAATGTAGCAAGGGTCTAGGTGTTGACAAGGCATTTTATAGAGTATGCACGCTAAGCCTTGATTTGTTTTGTCTTAAAGTACTCTGTATCAAACATATATTTTTCTCTCTTCTTTTCGTGCAGTAGGTAGAATATATCTGCGGACAGTAACATCCCAGCAAGGATCTCAACAACTTACATATATCTTCTATAAAGAGAGCTAGCGCAGAACTGACGCACTGTAAACTACTAAAGCACTTTCTAGCTCTATATGCCGTGTTCCCATTTCTCTACAGCAGGCATAATACATCTCCAGGCACCAAGGACACAGCAAGGATCACAACATTACGTATTCATTCTATACGGAACCAAGTGCAGCTTAACTCTTTGCGAATTATTAAGGCCTATACTAGGTACATGCATTGTGAATCTGTTTCTTAACAGGAAGTTTCATCCCCCTGCCTCAATCCTCCTCGTCCACATCCATCCTGCCTCCCGCTCCCATTCACCCCTCACTTCACCCCCTCAATCTCCATACTCCTTTCCCTCCCCCTGTCTAAGTTCTCCATCTCTTGGTCCTTCACCCGGGACCAATCCACCATCACCCGATCTCCCCCTCTCACAAACATTGGCACGTCTTCTCGGAATCCACTCCCCAGAAGATACCGCTCCGTCGTGTTGCTCTCTGTTGTCGTCAAGCCGTCACAGTCTCCGCCATGGATGGCGCACTTGATGACGGGGGCAGTAGGGGCGGTCAAGTGATCGACCCAGAAAGGCTCATCAGACCCTGAATTGGGGTTTTAGTCGATTGGATGTTGAAAAGTGAAGGAATTTGCCTACTAGGGATGAAAGGGAAGGCTCTTAGATCTACATCTGGGTGTACGTCGGCTATGAGCTTCGTTAGGCGGCTGGAAGAATTGATATTGCGCAAGTTAACACGAGTGAGAGCTGGAGAGCTGTTCGTAGACACGAATGGCGAAGTATGGTGAGAGGCCGGCGCAGACGCAGCGTGGAGGTTTGCGTGGGCGTAGTCGTGAGGGACGAAGAGACGCGGGCTGGTAGCGGTGCGAGCGATGAGCTCTTGCGGGGCTGGTGAGGAGTTAGGAAATGAAAAGCGAAGGTGACGATGGGACACCCACCTCGACGTGTGTCAATGCTGGAGGGGCGGGTGGTGATCTGCGGGATCAGAGTGTTGGCAAAGCGGACAGTATGGTCGTGGGAAGCTGAGATGAGGTAAGCACAGATTCAAAACTGGGAGGGTGGAGTTTAAGTATTTACTTGGGACCCTGGAAGAAGAAGCGAGAACAGAACCCGAAGCAAGAGCGGCTTGAGCAGCATGTCGAATAGTCGGCCTCATCTCGACATCCTCCTCAGTGATGATGTATTGACTGAAGTTTCCGGTCTCCTCGTTGATCTTTGACTTCCAAAGAGCAGCGACCTCATTCTCAGAACGGAGGCGCGGGCTATGGGGGTCATACGATGGGGCGGCAGTCGCAGTAACTCCCGCCACATTGATCCTGCCATTGGTGAACTGCTGGGGCTCAATTGGGTTTCCAGTTGGTCCATAGATGTAATGGCCACGGTAATAGTACGCGAGGGCGGTGGTGATGGCGAAGTCGCCGCGGAAGCCGGAAATGAAGCAGCGCGTATTTATAGTGTCCATTATGGCAAGTTGAAGAGGTGGTGTAAAGAAGTGGAGAAGGAGGAAATAAGACGAGGCTGTTTGCAAGTAAACACATTCTTTTAGCATCAGTAAGAAGGGAAGTACCTACTGGTACTTCACGGGGTGCCTCTGTCTCTGCCCGCCTCTGAGCAGGAGGAATGGGCAGATTGAGGGAGCGAGTGCGTGGTAAGGACTGACCCAGACTTTTGCGAGTAGGAGAGTGAAGACAAAGGCAGAAGCTGGCAAGCTACTGGTAAGGGAGTTGGCCTAGGAAGATGGCGTGAAGGCAAGAAGGCTATGTAGCTGTAGGCGGCGAGTTGGAGGTGTTGAGGTTGAGGCGGAAAGAAAAGTAATTCTGGGGGAGGAGGCGGGACTTTATGGGCCGCCGCCAGGTCGACATATTAATGGTTTTCATTGACACTGCAACCAATAGTGTTGCCCTGGTGACTTACAGGCAGCAGGGGTGCTTACGGATTGCGCCGTGTCCGTTAGTCCTCTCCAAATTGCTGTGATACCCTATTAGCCTTCTCGTTACCTCTTGTTGGTGGCATATAGCCTGTGGTTGATAGCAAAATAAGTGATGGGTGTATACTGAATTCTCAATAACTAGGGGTCCTAAGATTGTGTTTTCCATGTAAGGTATAGAGAACATCCGGTATTATTTACTAAAAAATCAACCTGGGATCAAGATTTAATTTACTATCAACTGTAATTTAAAAGTAACCAAAGGGAAATCAGTAGTAGCTTAATCAAACATCAGGACATATTGGGGAGGACTAACAGACCAAAGACAATCCGTAACTCCGACACTACCCGCCAGGCAACAAGAACAAATAACAGCATCATCTCATTGTTTGAAAACTTGCTTAGAAGTTCGTCATTTGAAGCAGCGTAAGAATGACATTATAACCTGCAGTGTTGGAAAGCGACAAAGGAGACAAAGAATTTGGCGTATATCGGGGTTGGTAAGGGATAGGAACTATTAGGAAAGGCATTCATCCTACTATGGGTTCTTTGGATTGCCCAGGCAGATGAGCATAATTCCACACTGTATAGGCGGTGCTTATATGAATATGGATATGACAAAGTTGAATACATATAAGAATCACATGAAAGAAAGATGTAGGCAAGATATGATACGCCGGCTTATATGATTATAGGTGGAAGCTAATCTCACAAAATGTCCCGATACCATAGTTCCCAAACTGTCGAATTATTTTGCACGTACCACGTCTGACATGGCTGATCTCGTGAAGTCCTTACTTGCGAATGGAAGAAGTTCCATCCCCAGGGCCGGGAAGACTTCCCTCATCCCAGGCTCAGCATAGGTGCCAGCCTGTTTGGTGGCTCCGCGGGTGCAAGAGTCCATGATGTTACTCTGGTCGATGGCTTCCTTATCATCACTGGCTATGGTTCAATTAGTCTGATGAGTCTATTGCACACAAGCAGGCATCGTACCTAATTGTTCGTTGGAGTCAGCAACGTCAGGGTCGATGGGATCCTCTACGGGAGCTTCATCTTTCTGGACGGGGATCTGGGATTGGCCTGTGCGGCTGACATAGCTGTTATCTATGGGGTCGCTGGTAGTGCCGTCACTGGGGATTTCGTTCTTCTGCTCGTACTGATCTTTGAAGGAGAGGTTCGACATGATATATATGATTGATGGATGTGCTTGAAGCAAACTTATTTATGGTATTAAATTTCCGGGTAAATGAAGCAGAAGAGGGCAGTCTGAATATTGCGAAAGTAGCAATGCTACTTCCTTTACATATATTCCCCCGAGACCGTCGGAGTACGTCATGCTTTGGAGGGGGACCAATAATGCCTCAGATATGCTAGGGATGTTCTCATGAGAGTTGGATACTGCGATAGCGTCGTGCTAGATCATAATGTCCATTGGAAAGCACAACTATGACAGCATACCCCGGAGGGTCGCGGAACGAGCTAGCACCATAGCAAGTCGGACGATATCTGTGGGGTGGCCAAGCCAAGATGCTAACGGCAGATAGGCACAAAGTAAACTAGTCAGATTCAGATCGGGTTCATAAGGGATGGCTTGTTTAGGAGAACATGTGTTCCATCTATTTCATCGCGGACGACAGAACGGCATCATGATCCGGCTGAAGCTCTCGAAGGTGTTACGATAGCTCGAAACTGTTGCCAAATATCAATTTATCATCGATTATAGCAATAAAGAATAGATAATGGGAGAACTTGTGCCAGTATGAAGGTGGGTCGAAACGCTAGGAACCCTCAAACCAGCGCTATTCAACGCAAACGCCACCTCTTTGATCGCCATGCCACGACTAAGCGTTTCCCAACTTCGAGTCTTCGCGTGAGCTACAACAGCTGCTTAGTCGCTGTCGGATCCGAACCGAGGCGCTTTACTAAGGAATAGCAGACGTCAGGACTTCGATGGTATGGTCTAGCGACAGGCACCGCGCGCGTATCTCGTCAGGACATATGGATCTGACTAACATCGGGAGTCTAGGAGCTTGGACCGAATTTGGGCCGTTTCCAATTGTTGCTGACCGCGACATTTGAGTCAGGTTGATGGGTGGAGGTGGCTGTTGGGTTGGTGTGGACGCTTTGACCTAATGCATGAAAAACGCTCAAGCTTGGATTTGAGAACTATTGGCACTAATTATAATATTTCCTCATTTGTCACTATGATGTTGGTTGGCAGGATAGGACTATTCCGCACAGTGTGTACACCGAAACGCTGATGGATTATCCTGCTACATTACGAATTCGGACAATTTACATGAAATGGTAGCGCTCATGGGTATCTATATTACAAAGAAGTTTTGGAAGGCTCAGAAAAAATAATCGGATATCGGCTAACATCCCTAAGCCTTTGGAAGAACGCGTTTTCCCTCCTCGTTACCCTCACACATACCGAGATAACAAGGGACATGTGGAAGATGTGTCTATGATGTGTGCAGAAATATACTAGGGAGGAAGGCGGATTGAGTAGGCGTCCTGGAAGGCAATGGGATGCTACCAAATTACTCGTCCTCAGCCGCAGCCTTCTTCTTTCGGCCCCTTCAAACGTTAGCATTTGTGTACTGAAAGCTTAAAAAGACATACCTCTTCTGGGGAGCTGGCTTGCCATCATCAGCAGCAGCAGCAGCAACCTTCTTCCTGCCCCGCTTGGGCTTTGGAGCCTCGATGTTCTCTTCGGCCTCATCGTCCTCATCGATAACTTCCTTCTTGGTGGCAGCCTTCCTTCCCCTCATCGTCTTCGGTTTGGATTCAGCCTCCTCAATAGTGTGGTCTTCTTCTTCTTCTTCTTCCTCCTCCTCCTTCTTGGCGGCCGCCTTCTTGGCCCTGGTTTTCTTCGGTTTCGGCTCGGCGACCTCTTCATCGTCTCCTTCGTCCTTGGCGACGACTTTCTTGCCTTTACCCTTGGCCTTCTTTGGAGTGGGCTCCTCACCATCAAGCTCGGAAGCTTTGCGTCCACGCTTCTTGGGAGCTGGCTTCTCATCCGGATTTCCATCAACCTAGACTCTGTTAAGGGAATTCTAATAGTGAGCTCACGTGCTCATACCTCCTCGTCATCTCCTTTCTTCTTCTTCTTCGCCTTGGTTGCCTTGACGCGGAATCCCTTCATGCCCGGTCGGTTCACCTCAACGTCCTGTAGAGATTTTAGACGACAGATCGTAAACACTGCAATTCACAAGACTTACCCCTCGCCAATCTTCATCAGCAACATGCCCGACTTCAAGGGCTTCCTTGACTTTGGCCTGCGAAGCGGCGTCAAGCTCATCATAGCCATCGACCATGTCAGTATCGCCACCTGATTCGTCCCTGAGGTTCTCAACTTGAAGCGGGGTAACACATCCCCTTGGCAAGTCAATGTAGTCCCGATTAGGAAAGAGCGATGAAGAGTATCATACCAATGCTTCCAGCCCCAGCTCTGGTGCTCGTCAATGGTGACCAGCGTGCCGAATCGCAACTCTCCTTTGGTGATCTTGATACCTTCCTTCTTGCACTCTGTGTTCTTGCAGCCGGCGCGACCCTGCTTGGCGAGCTCTGTAACAAATGTGAACCGATATTCGGGAGTATGATAAGAAATAAAACAAAGTAACAGAATGAGTGGGGTGTATCTTACCAACACGGTACGGCATAGCTGCGTTGTAGATTCAGCCTTATTGTTGTTGTTTGTTTGCGCCGCGACGGTGGAGTGACAGCTGTCTTCGTGGTAAAGACGCGTGACAGACGCTTATAAGATGAGTGAAGCAAACAGTTCTGGGCCTGACTTGCGCCACGCTTTGAGACAAGGAGAGGCAATGTAGTGCACTCCAGAAGGAACTCGGCGATGCCGTGTGCGGAGGTAGAGGAGAGTCGAAGGGAATGGTAAGTAGGGGAAGGTGTCACGCAGCCTTGCGCTCGGGCCTTTGTCGCAGTCGCGTCGGTCAAACACGAACGTCATGGATGATAAAAAAGTTGAGGCTGCCAGAGCAACACTCCGAATGACCCTGCCTTCCACCCCGCAATTCAATGTGCGCTGCGAATAATTGCATTCGCAGTGCTCTCGCTCAGGCATTTCGTCCGCCATCTCATAGATCCCCCATTGCTTTCTCCGTCTCAGAATTCCTCGTTCCGTCTCTTTCCCCTCCAGCGAACAGAGGCTTCTCATCGACGAAACACTCACAGACAGAACCTCCCCCCTCTCCGCATACCCGTTTTCAGTCTTCGACCCACTCCAAGTCTCCAATCTATCCCGCAAGTCCATCTAAAAAACCCCTCCCATTTCGCATCCCTCTCCCGGATCTCGATTCTCGCCAGCGCATACAGTCATGGCTATCGGCTATCGATCCTTTCCTTCCATCCCATCTGCGGCAACGACCCTCAACAGAAGACGCTACTGCGCTTTCGGCGACGGCTCTGGACTTTTCGAGCCTTCTCAATGTCGCCCAGGACTCGTCGCAAGATATCCTCCGTCACGTTGGATTGATTGAGGGCCGGTGGGATACTGTAATATGGCTTGTCAAGAAACTCGTCGAAGGATTCTCAAAGACCCAGGAGCCACATGCACACCTCGAACTATTGGCACATGTGCCATGGCCTCAATCCCAATCCTCCCCTCTCTCCCTCGCGCAAATGACCCAATCCCCAATCATGATAGAGCGGGTCTGGCCCTCTAGAAAATTGGCTCACAGTCTGGATGAGCTAACATCTGCTCCGGAGTCTATTGAACTTGTGCACAACATCATAAACCGGGCATTTGGCCAGGTGTGGCGAAGCTTAGGGGGGATGATTCTGGAAGCTACTAAATCGAACGAGCAGGAGAAAACATCGGTCATGTCTCACGTACTGGAAATCATCGCATATCTGCATCACAGTGGACTCATCCCTGAGTCCATCTACAAGTATCGGCCGCACCAGGACAACTACGCCCTTCAGCAGCCTCCGACGCTGCATCTCTTATCATCTCAAATCCTTACAGCTCTTTCGGACGCGAGCTGGAGGGCGCATGAAGCGTCTGTGCAAATCGCCAAAGAGAGAATGAATGCGTCTTATTTTCTCGGCCACGAGATCCCGGGTTCACGGTACAAACTCCACGTCACCGAACTAGCTCCTGAGTTATGGCTTGAGTTAGTCCTGTGGTCATGTCTCCACGGAGGATGGATTCTAGATGGAACGGCAATACTTGAACAGATGCTACCACGCGAAGAAGGGTCTGAATGGAATCTCATCAGTTGGCGAGAACTTCTCCAATCAAAAGACGAGGAACCTTCCTCACCTCTACGAGGTTGGCAACTCTTTGGGACGCCTATCAAATCGAACGAAGAAGACCGTAAGCTTACACAGCGCACAATCAGCAGTGAAATTGTAACGGCGTTCGTAGATGGACTGGTCAATACTATGCGTGTTGGTGTTGGCACTCGAGGCACAGATCCAGAGGGTATTGTGGAACATATCAAGAACCTGAAACAGTTACTGGACCTTCATGGCCTAAGCTTAGGGTCGGCATCGTGGGACTCGGTCATGGTTCGCTTGCTAGAGTCTGGAGGTATCGCACCAGAGAAACGGCCGGAACTCTTGTTGAGCATTATAGATCTGGCGTCTGGATTTGGCACGGAAGTTGGATCCGTCAATGCTTCTTCCGCGAACGTTGGGAATTTCCATGAGCCACCCTACTTTTTTGATGCTTCTGCGTTATCAATCGGTTTTCTCCATCGGTCCATGCGATCTTTCGTTGATAATGGTGATGTTGCAGGGGTCATAACAAGTCTCCAGCGATTGCAAGATTACACAGACAACAACAGGCAAAGGTCAATGCGGCAGTTCTTCGACAATTTAAAGAATACACCACTCCTCCAGGACCAGCCTTTTACAAGCAGATTTATTCCAATTGAGTTTCCGGGCTTCGAATGTCAGGTCCCCGTCCCCCTACTAGCGAAAACCTTAGATCTTATTACCGAATCGAGGCTGCTTTATCTTGGACGATCGCTCATTTTCTCGGAAGACTTAGACGGACCGCTGATTGATCATTCAATGTACTACAACTGGGTTATGGCTGCTTCAATCATACGATTCGGTTCGGTGGCGCGAGAGGAGAAGCTTGTTCTCAAGATTGTGGAAATCACAGGCTCTTCAGGCAACGGGCAACAAGCGAGACTTCTACACCCCGAAATTCTGAATGCCCTGCTTAATGCTCAAGTGCAGCTTCACCGCTGGGAATCAGTGCAGGGGATCCAAGACTATGTCTTAAAGAATCCCGGCTACTGGCCACGTCCCCAAGTTCTTGCCAACTTCGCTGCCGCCCTCCTCCGCCTGTCAAGCGACATGAACGAGTACACTAGAAGGCAGAAGTTCAAAGCACGCACTGCGTTCACTGATTTCCTCTTTTCTTGGGAAGCATTGATTTTAACGAGCTTGAGGAATGAGCTCAACTGCATTCTTGGTGTCTTGTCCTCTGTTCACCAGGATTTAAAAGATTATTGCACCCAATTCCTTGCATTTTCTGTCCGACAGAAAGTTCAGTTATCTGCAAATGACTTCAATCTAGTTCTCGGAGGAGTGCTTGACGGGTTCGGCAGTAGTAAAGGCAGAGAAACTGTGGAAATGTGGTGCTACCGACCCCCCAAAACGTTTGAACCGTATCGGGCTCCGGGAGGGCTGCCTTCTATGCCTCGATTTCGAATCAGCAAAGGCGAGGAATATGAGAGTCGTCCAGAAGACATCACAATCACTCAGCCGTCGGGAGCTCAGCTGATTCTACAGGGACGAGTGCGCCCCAATCGACAAACGATCTGGGCGATTCTTCGGAAGGTCCAGCAGGAAGAAGATGTGCGAAGGGCAAGCAAAGCTGATTTGACTACTGAGACACGCAAGGAGGTCCGAGATACGTTGAAATGGGCGGCGAGATTTCTCTACTATCTTGGCTTCGACTACGAAGACATCATTAGGGATCTGGGCAGTCTTGCTGAGCTTGCCGAGCTTGAGGCTCCGCCGGCAGTACGAATTATTGGGCTCGATGGGGATCCGAGAATCCTCAAAGTGAGAGGGGATGAGGAGATCGGTGTCTAACCTACCTCCTCTATTACATAATTGCAAACCTTGGATACGGACAGCAAGAAATTTTTTGGCTTCAATTCCCCTCAACTCGTGCAGATACTCCACATTTCGTCGATTTTAACCGAATGCGCCGCCAGGTGTTACTGCCCCAGACTAGTATCACAGTGGTACTAACTCAGAAGAAGCAGCAATATACTGATCTCTACACAGTCGTGGCATCCCCCTCTAAATGTTTCTCCCTCCTCGTAGGCTTTTCGCACCTGTTCTGTTTGCTACTAACCACAAGTCTGACCAATAGGAAGATCCGTTCTGAGGAAGGCGAAACTTGTCTTACCCAATCAGGACGACCCACCTTTTTGACCCGTCGAAGATCTCGAACGCGTCCGGATGGAAACTCAACCAGACACCAATGCATTTGCTTTTCGAAATACCAACGCCCTCGCATGTGAGCATATGTAGCTAGGAAGGTTGAACTGGTGTAATGGTTTGCTTCCTAGTAGATGCGCCTATGGAGGTTCTCGGCACTCGAACCACAGATTCCCTGCTTGATTTCCCCAACAACCTCTAACGAACTGCGCACTTCATATTAGATATACTGCAGGCCATCTCTCAAGTCTGGGCTCATGGCGCACACGTTTCCTCTGCGACGGCCCGCTGCAAAACCGTACCCTTTCCAGAGCGGCTGCATCTTGACCGCACACCGCCTTTTTAAACGATGAAACTGGCGCCAGGCCGTATCGATAAGAGGGTCTGTCGACGTAACCCACAGGGTCTTGTGGGGATGATCCACGATGTCTGCGCTCCTTCAAGGGAAATGGGCAGATAACGGCACATGTTTATTGCCGAAGAAAAGCACGACATATTAGATATCACGGATGCAGAGAAGGGAATCTGGCATCACAGCAGTGAGCAATTTATGACTGCCGTTTTGCATGCAAGGATGACAGCGACTGAGGCAGTGGTGTTTTAGCAGGCGCCAATTGGGTTTTGCCGTGAGGATCTCTGATGCCCTTTTTAGCCCTGTTACCTCCAGGCTATCAGTGCAATCCTCGCCGCGGGTGCAAAGTTTGGTTTGGTGGGGAGTCCAGGTTCCGCAGTTTTACCTACCTGAAAAATTTACCCCTCAGGTTTCAAGCACGCGACAGTGAAGAGACAAGTTGGACGATGCTCGGACGAGCGAGCATTCTGTGGTGTTACCACGGAGGTGCTGGGATTCATATTGAGCGTGGGCATTGACAGAGCACAGAGCGGACTGTCGTTGGTGGTTGGCCGTGGTCTGACTCCCAGCGCCCTTCACCGACTGTGACGCTGATGCAAGTCCAAGGAGACTAGCATCCGAAACGGCAAGGCGCGCCAAGATTTCCCAAAATCATATTCTCCTCCTCGTCCTTCCTCCCGCTTCCTCTCCCCATCCCACCCAAAGACAACGAAGTCACCATACAGAATCAAAAAGAGCCCATTTTAACAGCATTCACCCCCTACCTTCGTCGAGACAATGCCGCAGGCTATCGCTGAGCTCTAAACCTCCCACTGGGAGGCCCACATTTTCCCTGTGGGCTCTCCCAGCCGGCCTAGCTCACGAGAATTTCAACCTCAACGACGATACAATCTCTCGATTGCGAGTAGCACACCTGCCCGCTATCGACATACGAATTGATCCATCGTCTGGCCTGCCCTGCCAAGCAATCCCGCATTGTCAGTTCACCCGGCTCAACCTATCGAACATCGACGACTTTCACAGGCTCGACATAGTTTAGAGCCTCACCAAAGTACACCACATATATTCCCACAGAACGCTGTTTTTGCCCTCCCTCTTCCGAATCTTCTGACCTGTCCTCCCGTATCCTCACCCTTCATATCTCCCTCGCTCCTTCCTCATTTCTACAACCCAGACAAACGACTCTGCTTGATATATCACAAGAGAACAGGCGCCACAATGGCTAACCTGGCACATTCACGATTGGTGGTGGCCGACCTGGGCGGAAAACGTCTCCAAGACCACAAGCTCGTGTATGAGAGTCCCGCTGGTATCCGTAACAGCGACCAGCGCTCTCCATCTCCAGAGGATGCTCGGCAGAAGAGCACGAATCACACTGGCGGCCGAGGCAGTGGACAGTCCACGAGTGAAGAGACTACGAACGAAGATGACGATGAGGACAGTAGTGCTAATCAAGAAGACGATCAAGAAGATGATGATGACCCAGAGGTGCTAGCCCCGTCTCACGGTATTGGCTTGGGTAAAGGAAAGCGCCCGGCCATCCGTATCGATCACGCTGGTAGAGATGAGTCTCCTGAAGGTGCTGAAGAGACTGCATCCCGTGTGGCGGGGCACAAGGCCAGCAAACATCTGGTGAACCAAGTCCTCATGCATAACAAGAAACGCACGCTCAGCAGTGTCTCAAACACTTCTGTTTTGTTTGGAGAGGATGATGACCTTACTGCTGAGCAACATGCATTCCCGAGAAGCAAGATTCCGCGGAAGCTCAACAACTGCAGCGACACGAAAGACTTTGTAATGTACAAGAAGAATACTGACCCTACTGGCACGAATGGTTTGGATAATGCTATTGAGAGCTCTGACGATGAAGGACAGCAAGAGCAGACAATCAATGTCGATGACGAAGACTACAGTGGCGTCAATCTTATCAGTGATGAGTCTGATATGGAGAACTTGGAGGAGCAAGAAGAAACTTTTATCATCAACGAGGAGAAGCAACATGCGACTGATCTATTCGGCGGCCCTCGTCGAGCCGACTTTGACAGTTTTGGAGGTGGTGATTTCCTTGAGTGCGCCGCTGTCTTCCAAACCCATGAGTACCCAGACATCGGGTTTGGACAATTCTTCAATACCGAACCCCTTCCTACATCATCTATACCCGGCCCAGCAAGAAAGTACTCGGATAGCTCCACCAAACGTGTCCGTTTCGAGGATGAAGTCGACGAATCGGACAGTTCTAGCTCCTCGTCAGAACTCGACAGCAGCCTCTGGCCAGATCTTTTCATGGAGCAAAACAAGCTTCCTCCTAGCCTATATAAGTTGATTGAGAATGATCACGAAAGTGACATGGGAGAATTCCCATCCAGCGGATCAGATCACTCATACTGGGATGTAGGTCAAGACGAGGGCCGCAGTCTACCGCTACATGACCCTAAAGAGTTCGACGACGATTCGTCTGAACCTGGGTCTAGTGGTTACGAAAGTATGCGTCGCCTATCAGCTGTTTCATTGTGATTGCTAACGTCATTTATCAGCCGACATGGGTGACACTACTGACGAGGACACTGATTTCATCCCTGACTGTCATCAACTCACTCCCGGCAAAAAGTCGGTTCTACATCGTCCGTCCTCTGCACCAGGCTCAAAGGCTGCTAGCCCAAAGCCATTTGAGAGGTCGGCCAAACCCGGCCCGGCCGGACGAGCTATTCCTCCTCTTCGTGGCATCTTCATTCATGATGAAAGTAGCCAAGCCATAGCGGTGACGAATCGAGCTACCAAGAAAGTCACTTTCTACCGTCCGCGCGCCTCGATCTCTCTCCACCAACCTAATTTTGGAACGACTTTCGGTGTATATGATAGCACGTCTAGCACTGCAAACAACAGCCCTCGCACTTCTCTACAGCAATTCAATGCTGATGACAGTGACTTGAGCAACGAGATGTTCAGTACCGCTTTCCAGGGTTCCACAGATATCATGCTTACAGGAATATTTGGAGGAGACCCTGCCGATGGCTTCGGCAGCAGCTTCTCCGGTACTTTTGGACCACCCCAGGCATTCTACCCCTTCGTGAGCATCGGGCAGAACGGCAATATCACCACCGATGATCTTGATGAATACTATGACGATGACGAGGATGATGAGGACGACATTGATATTGCCGACTTCATGAATTTCGGAGATGATGGAGACGCGACGGATGCGGATGCAGATGGAGAGGAGGAACCACGTATTCCTGGGACCCCAGCAACTTCGATGATTGCTCTCAACGGATCCACTCCAGCCCAGCCTACACCGCTCACAGAGACGCCGCTGAATCGCAAACGAAATGCGTCCGATGCCATGCTCGAGCATTTTGATCGTGGCGTGGTTACTGCGTTCCGAAATAACCAAAATCGGTATCGCGATATTTCCTGCCTCCCCCACGATCCCGACCTCCGAGCGTCTGAATCCCGCCCACTCCGGTCTGGGAGATCGGCAGAAACCCTTATTTCACCTCTTCGTAAAAGAAGTTCGTTGTCAAGGAGGAGTAGGAACTTGGGCTTCGCTGGAATTACGAAAGCCACAGGAAAACTGCAGTCCACTGTTATGGAACCACGCCGTGGGCCTCGCCTCGGCACGTTCTCCTAGACAGAATACCACCTCGCTATCGCCCATAGTAGCTAATAACCGACCCTTCTAATTACCAGTATTGACGTCAGGGAGGAGAATTTCCTTGAATCTCTCGTCAAGGTATTCGAAATGACGCAACGATACCCACGGCTTTATACCATTCGAAATGTTCGCAGCAGCCCTGTTGTTACTACATGCTTGATTACGTGCTTGCATATCTACGAACAAATTTTTACTCCTACATCATTCGTTCAGGCCCTTCACCCAACGATACGGCCCAAGTCTAAGCAAGAAATCTCCTTGTTCCTGTTCAGTTCTGATCCTGCATTGAATTCAGAGTACATGTCATTAACCCTTTATTCCATTGTGTTGTTCACCACCCCTTTCTTCAACGGTGTTTTTACCTCCACCATCGTCGACTTTTCTTCCTTATTGGGATTCAAAGGTTCCGGGATGATACCAAGTGCTTTCGTGGAAACGGCGATGCGACGACTTGACTCTGGGGGCTAGGAGTTTGGTTTCATGGCTGGGAAAGCTGTGAAGTTTGACAAGGGGTGGCAGGATATCCTTTGTCAGGTCGTTGATACGGCGCTAGATTTCTCATGATGATGGTGTGTGTAGGAGTACTAGTTTTGATGGTTGTGCATGTTATATACGAATAAAAGTCTCCTTGTGTTCAATGGCAGTTTGTGCTAGTCCAGGTTTGTGAGGTAGCTGCTATGGGCTCGTCAAAACCAACTCCGACTACGGTTCGTGCTTTAGAAATGAGTTCCCAGGTGCTAGAAGTGCGGCTAGCTGCTCATGTCAGGCCACCGTTCTGTGCCACTGCACCTTGTAACTGTCATCCCCCCCACACTGAAATGCGATGGGATGCTTGGCAAGGTGTTGAGTGTGGGTGGCTCAAGCTCCTGTCAAAGGTCCGAAACACCGACGTCACTCACCAATCCTAATCCCATGTGAAAATCAACAACTAGCAAACATGTCGACGCGCATTCCCTTAGGTAACAGCACCCATGAAGAGGATCGTAGGATGGATGACCCAGAAGACGACTACAATGGATCTCATTCAATTCTTACTTGGGCTAAAGTAAAACCAACCCTTCATTCTCTCCACCACCCTTCCTTTTCCCACTCCCTGCATGAGACTGTGCTCTGCTAACAGATAATCAGGACACCATCCTCACCCCCTTCTACATCCTAACCTCGCCTGCCCTTCTCCGCACCTATCTCCGCACCCTCCTCCTCCTCCTAACCTCCACGTTCCTCTTCGCCCTCGCCGTAATAGCGTACAGCTCCTTCTACCTCTCCTACATTCCTGTCCGCGGCGTCGATGTCCCGGTTTATTTGCAATTTCCAACATCGGCTGCAGCTATGCATCTGACGTTTCCCTATGGTGTCGCAAAATTGGAGGGGCTGGTTTCGAGGCAGAAATATGATGTGATGGTCGAAATGGGTTTACCGAGGAGTGAAGCGAATTTGAGGGCTGGGAATTGGATGGTGGGTCTGGAGATACGTGGACCGGGGGCCGGGCCGGGGGCGGAGACGGGGGCAGGAACGCTAGGGGGTGGTTTTGTGGGGAAGATGGAGAGGGCGCTGGGGTGGGCGGAAGATTGGGATGCGGAGGATTTTCCTTCCATGGCTAAGGCTGAGAGGGAGAAGCCCCCTCAGACAGGAGGCAATACGCAGGACAAGCACAAAATAGGTGTAGAAGCAGGCGCCCTACTAGCACGATCGCGCAGACCCGCAATCCTAACCTACCGCTCCCCTCTCACCGAATTCACCTACCGCGCCATCCGCCTCCCGTTCTACATCCTCAACTTCAAGCACGAAGCCGAAACCATCAGGGTTCGTATCATGGAGGGCGTGGAGTTCGGCAAAGGCTGGCAAAATGTACCCTCGACTCTCCGTCTCGAACTCCGAAGTACAATTCCGTTAGAGGTGTATAAAGTTAGTGTGAAGTTTGTAGCGAGACTGGAGGGCCTAAGGTGGGTTATGTATGAGTATCGATTCCCCAGTTTTGTGGTTTTTACAGTGTTGTTTTGGGGAGTGGAGATGTGCGTTGTGTTAGTTACTTGGGGGTTTTTTTCGCTGGTACTTTCGGGAGCTGGGGCTGGGGGAGAGGAGATGCAAGAAGCACAAGGTCGTGGTAAAGTTAAAAGGGAAGAAGGCCTCGCAACTCCGAAAACAGACCCAGACCCAGCATCTTCCGCCCCTTCAACCCCGCTATCCGACACCTCGCGTACCTTTCCAACACTTTCGTCCCACAGACGCCTCCACTATTCGTCCTCGGAAGCCCAGGCCCAAGTCCGTGAATCCGCAAACATCAAACCCGAGCCCACGAACCGGATCCCCAAGCTCGAAGACATACCCCTCAAAACTGAGGCCGAAGCGGATGACGAGGATGATGAGGACGAAGACACAAACTTCATACTCGAGGAGCCAATGCCGAATACAATTGCAGGTATGCTGACGGATTCGGGAATCGGGACGAGTTTGGAGAGTGGACACGAGGGAAAGGGTGCGTGGCCGAGACGGAGGGTGTGAGGTGGTTATAAGATGTGTCAATTTAGGAGTTATATGATGCGAGGATATGCTGGAATCGCGCTGTAGATACTGATGATGATGTTGGCGTTGGCGTTGGGCTGTGTCATTCGAGATACCACTTCTGCTTTAGGGAAATTGATTTTCAGATTCCAATATGCATGGAAGGGAATTCCGTTAATAGTTGAAAGCAAATACCGCAATAGTTCAAGATGGGTGAAAGTTAATAATAGTGAGACATTCAAGAGCAATAACAGAACTCTAAAAGTGGGCATTCTCCAGTTCTGTAATCATTCACCATTAGACTCCTAAGTCGTTAGCGCTCTTTCCCGCTGTTGATCCAGCATTACGTCATCCTATGAAGCAGCTTCACTTCTGTCGGAATCGAAGAGACTAGGACGTAATGCATTGACAATTTCCTCATAAACTTCACGATCATCACGATCACGATTCTTGGCAGGGCTTCCAACAAGGCGTAGTACTGTACGATTGGGCGATTTTGAGGCCTGTACGGGTGAGATTTTGTGTACGTTCGTACGATAGGGAGGAGGAGAGGTAGGTGTACGTATCGTAACTGTTACGGCTCACGTGATCTGTACGAGTAGTACGATTCGATTAAAGTACGCCGTACTCCAGTCAAAACAGCTAAGACTATAGGTCCCTAGAGACGCAAGATTAAGGTCTAATTAACTATAAAATAACTAGTTCTCCCTAGTAACAAGAGCAGATAGGACTAGATGAGGCCTGTAAGGCAGCAAGAGGCGTGGTGTGAGGGGGCGTGGTGTGAGGGGTATTGATCAGGAAACACAAGTCACAGAGAGGGAATGCAGGATAGGGGGTAGCGAGAGTAAACCTTAGGGTTGGAGGCAGAGGTACGGAGGCCTAGGAGCCTATATACCCCGTGCCAATCCTAGGGTACTGAGGGGTTGGATAGCTGTAACATAACTGTGTATACAAACTTCCCAAAAGGGTAATACAATCCGTACTACGTACCGTACCTAGGGCATCATTAAACGTACGGTACGGCTCACGAACTCGGTACGTTCGTACTGAACACGTGACCGTTACGGTTCACTTTGTACGGACCGTAGTACGGCCCGTTGGAAGCCCTGATTCTTGGTCGAAGCCTTGCAGAGGGTAAAATGGTTGAATTCTTGTTTCGCCATGCTAACCGGTGTCAGCGTTATTTTGAATCTTTTGTTTTCAACGTGTAAGCCTTGAATCTCTTGGGTTCGCCTCCTAGAGGCTCCCCTGAACCCATACGCTTCGAGCCTCTGCATTGAGTGGCTCTGGCACAAGCCTTGTGCGGTCCACAGTGGGTCATCCAGAATGTTGATTGCATCGTCCCCCAAACTATCCTAAGTGTGTATCCCAGCAACGAGCCTCTTCGTGTTTACATCGTCTGGATAGACTTTACCGGAAGGATCGCTTCTCCGTGAGCTTTTCCAGACATTGCTCCCGGAATAACCAATTACTATATATCATCACGCACTCTGCCCATACGAACTGAGAATTATGAGTTACTGTCACGATAATCCTCTTCGACTCGCTGAATTACCGAAGGAAGTGCCGCGGGGAGATAATCTTTCCAAGAGACTTAAAATGTTCGAGCCAACACACCCTCAAATCTACGAGTGTTTACTCTGGAACATCTCCCTCTAGTATAAATTCTTCCCTCATTTCCAGAGATGCTGATATCCATTTTCTCAGGGTCTTTATCCCGATAGGATTTTGAAACAAGGGAACTGGAGCATGGATCAGTGAAGCATCCCACAGTGATGACCTGCCCCCCGAAATTCGTCCTAATCTCCATTTGTCGTAGATCTTGGTCGTATATAATCGCCCTCCTACAGGTGATTTGGTCCTCCATAGTGCCTCTCCAGGTAACTCCACCACACGTGTGCAGTAGAAGACGGAATAGCTCAGAGATATGAATGATGATGGGAAAGTGTCCGCGGTAGTATTAAGAGGTGAGAGGGTTGAGTTATTAATTAGTTAATAAAATGTAATGCTGATCCAGGGTTCTCGTAGTCGCGCGGTTTGCGATGCGCATGAGCTGGGAGCTTCTTCGCCGCACCATGAAGGACAGCGAGCGGAGGTATAAAAGATTTGAGTCTTGCTGGTTTACGATTCTCTCTTCATCAAATCACTTTACTCTCGCCTTTCCATTGATAAAAAGTACCAAGTAAATCCATCCTCATTCAAAACTGAAGTACTTTCATGGCAGTGCTAACTATTTCCGAGCACCGTTGCAGATACCAATTACTTCTGTTTATGGATTAATGCCCTCCGCCAAAGTAATCTCTCTTTCTGAGCTCAAGAGATGGGTCACGTCTTCTGTCTCACGCATGAAGACGGTTGTTGGAGGTAACGGCATCGCAGGGTTCAGAGCTGCACCAACTCGGTCCGGGAACAACGATCAAAAGATTAGCAGCCAATTAGACTATGGGAAGAAGTTCGTGAAGGATGGAAAGACCTATCAGCGGCTGAATTGGCAGCTCAACAAAGATGCGGAGAACTCAACACTGAAGAAACTCGCCCAGCAAGATAGTCATTATGTTTGGTCCACTGCTGATGTTGAAGTCGTCGAGAACCCATCAGATGACCAAGCGAAGACTGCAACAGAGGACGTCTTTAATCAGTTGGAACGCAACATAACCCAGAAATGATAGGTGCCGCAAAGAACACTGGCTGTTTTGTATTGTCACCTTTTGGCTCATGTTTCATCCTTACCTTCAAGTGCGCCAAGTGTTCCTGGGGCTGTTGGCCATTGCCAGACCCAATACACCGCGTATGTAGAGTTTATTGATACATCAGAAGCTATAGCAACATCCGTTTCACACCATTGCTCGTAGACTGATCCAGGTTGACCCTCAACAGGGTCAAGAAATTCTTGCTGCCGTGTAAGAGAGATGTTTCCGGCGTTGACATTCTCCGCGAAACATTCTCTCCCAGGAGACTTCTCTCCGCGAAGAGACTCTCCACGAAGCTTCCCTCTCCTTGGAGAATCTCTCCACAAAGCTCTCCTCTCCATGGAGCTCTGCTCTCCTTGAAGGATCTCTCCCTAGCGCTCCTCGCTCCTCGGCGATCTGATTGGGGCCCAATTCCAGACCCTCTTCATGCTGCTCAGGGATGAAATCAGGCACAACCAGAGGGGCTCAGGCTTGAATCAAGCACGATCAAGCCGGCTCACGGTGGCTCAGGGCGAGCTCATGAGTGCTCAGCCACAGCTCGAGTTGCTTACTAACAGCTCACGTTACACCCCGGCGTAACTCACGTCTCAAAACAGAAATGGACACTGTGTGAGGGCATTTTGTCCCCATATATCTCTCGCTATTGCTGTGGTCGAAGAACCCAGGGGGTTAATGTGGTGAGTGGACGGTTACGAAGAGGAACAAGATTGGGTCGGTGAAGTTGATAGCAGTGTAGCGTGCACAGACCACCTTGTACGCATAGCCACGTGATAAATAATTCTTTCAGTGAGACGTTTGTGCCGATTCACCTTCTATCGTTTCAATTGCAACAAACAGACGAGGCTGTATGCTAATTAATGCTCTTACAGAATGCGTACCAAACCTTAGAAAGAAGGATATCACAAAATGTGGATAGCCTGAGGAAGAAATCGACGAAACTTCAATACCTTAAGCAAAGCCAGGCAGCATGCCCCATATACATCCCAAACCCAAACCTTTCATCCTATCTATCCCTCGGCTTATATGCCTGCATTGACATCTTCACATTACCATCTCTCGCACGTCCTTCTTCGCATGAATCCAAACACATGCATCGCATAGCACGCGTCCCGCTCCCGTGTTTATTCTTGTCTTCCGCTCTCCAGTACCAATTTTCCCGTCTCGACTGTCCGATTCCCAAAACCCTTAAGCATGTGACGGCATAATTCCGTCCCCATTCCCACCCTTCTCACTTCAGGAGAATCTTAGGTGAAATGCTTGGGTGGAGATCTTAAGCAGACTAGGGTGGACATGGTGCGACTTTAGATGTAGCTAAAAGGCATCGATGTCCAGCTCTAACATCTCAGACCACTTTTCGTTTTCTAAAGATAAATGGACAAGCTTTCTGGCAGAAGCTTATTCTGCGTAGATTGTAAGAACGTTGAATTTGGAATTGAAGATCAAGTGGGTAAGAGATTTAAGGTAGCGTTCGGTGGGCCTACACTAGCGTTTGATCGGGTTACTATTTCGAGATGCTTGGAGGAGTACATGGTTCGACACAAAGGATTTTTTGTCGGAGGACTCTTATCATGGATTGGAGACTATTTGATTGTGCTGTTGAAGTGACGTCGACGATGCTTGGTGATGTGGCCTCTGAACTCAGGGTGAGAATTTGTCATTTATTGTTCGAGATTGCATCTTGTGCCGATGAGGCGACGAACCTCTGAATCGTTGAACCGCTGAATCGCGCGAATGCTATTGTTTTCTACGCACGTTTTGGTAAGCGCCCCCGAGTGACTGCCTTGGGTCTACTTCCAGAACAGAGGTACTGATGACGACGCGTCGTTGGGTGGCTGATCCTGAGGCTCTGTAGGTTTGAGACAAGCAGCCGGGACATGCACGCACAGACCTCATCAAAAGACCACCAGCCTTAGTTTTTACCATCACAGGTTTGCAAACCACCGCGCAAAGAATTTGTGAAGCATAACAACGTTTATTTCGCCAAAAACAGTGGCCCTCCATTCCTCATGCATTCTTGCTTTTGGAGTTAGAATTTACGTCTCCCATCCGGGGAAAGCACCAAATAATCTCCAAACCCAATTTCCAACCCCCGAATAGAAGATATTTACCTAAACGAATGTGATTTTTGCAGTATCTCCTGCTCTAATTCCCAAGTCCTCATCATACAAGAATAACCCCTTTCGTGAGACGTACTATGTGGTGCAATTAAGCGCCCACAGCATCACGCATCGCCTCAGTTTCCCACACCTGGACGGAGCGGCGTACTTTCTGTCCCCTTTTCTCATCACGGCGAGCTTTGTTTAGGCCGATGTTGAGGTTGGAGAGGTCAATACCCCCTGCAGCATTGTCTCCAAGTATCGAGTCAACGATGCCCTGGATATCAAGGCCTCCTGCAGCGTTATTGTTCTTTGCGGCCTTGCCCTTCTTAGCACCGGCCTTCTTGCCGCCATTTGCCGCTGTCGTATTGGCTGTGATTTATAGGTTAGCTAGTTTAGATTGAGAAGAGAGATAGAATTGCGTACCGGCTGCGGCTGCGGCGGGATCAGCGACAACGGTGCCGTTAGCTGCTGCTGCTTGCTGAGCTTTGATCCATTGGTTAGCTGAGTTAGTCTATGTAGACTTATGGAATTACTTACCTGCTGCGGCAGCAGCAGCGGCGGCGGCGGCTTTGGCTTTCTTGCCCTTCTTCTTGCCTTCAATTTAGGTGAGCACAGCAAAATCAAACAGGACTGAATTTGACCTACCTTTCTGGGCAGTGGCGGCGGCGGCAGCGGCTGGATCAGTGGCATTCGCGGCAGCGGCAGCAACAGCAGCAGGATCCGTCGCGTTTACAGCACCAGCTTGAGCAGCTTGAGCAGCCTGAGCAGCTTGAGCAGCCTGAGCTTCTTGAGCGGCCTGAGCTTCCTGAGCAGCAGCAGCAGCGGCAGCGGCCTTTGCCTTCTTGCCCTTCTTCTTGCCTACAATATGAGTTAACCTCGAAGAGAAGGAAAAAGGGGCGAAACCAAATTTACCTTTCTGAGCAGTGGCGGCGGCGGCAGCAGCGGCAGGATCAGTAGCATTCGCGGCAGCAGCAGCAGCAACAGCAGCAGGATCGGTCGCGTTTAGGGCTGCAGCTTGAGCAGCTTGGGCTTCAGCAGCTTGAGCAGCTTGGGCCTCAGCAGCAGCAGCAGCTTGGGCTTGAGCTTGGGCTGCAGCAGCATTGGCTTTTGTCGAGTTAGTTATATCTTCACGAAACGGTCATTCGAACATACCGTTCTTGCCTTTCCCATTTGCTTTCGCAGCCGCAGCCGCAGCCTTTCCTTTGGCTGCCGCCCCTCCGGCCGCAGCACCTCCAGCAGCTTTTCCCTTCGCTCCTCCAGCAGCTCCAGCAGCAGCTCCAGCAGCCTTGCCCTTCGCTCCTCCAGCTGCACCAGCTGCGGCACCTCCAGCTGCCTTACCCTTTGCTCCGGCGGCTCCTCCAGCTCCTCCAGCTCCTCCAACTCCTCCAGCTCCTCCACCATTACCCTTGCCACCGGCTTGCCGGGCATGTAGGAGGGAATCACGGAACTGGAGAGCCTTCTTCTGGAAGTCTTCAATGAAACTCTCTTCCCGGCGACCAAAGTTGGTTGAAGGAATGGCAATACCCTCGGTCTCGCTAGTGACGACGGCTTGCTTGAAGTTAGAATAGAGCACGGGCTTTTGAGTTGTATACTCACGTCCAGGTTTTACAAAAGGTGCTGGAGCACCAGCGACTAGCGCTGCAGAAATGAATGTGAGCAGGGGATAGACGGTCTTCATGTTGAACAAATAGTTGGATGTTTGGATGATAGGAAGGAGTGTATGAGAGGAGCAAATCAAATGTTAGGGAAAGTAATAATGAGCTCAGCTCTCAGAAAGAAAGTACAGCAAAAGCTAGTGTCCAGCACCGAAAATTCGTTTAAGGACGGGAACTGGGCCTGGGGATGGAGCGTGGATTCTACATTCGCTGGTTGCTCGGTGGGATATATACCTGGCCAAGTGATGACGGGGGGAATTTTTAGAACGGAGTCCAGGCTCAACAGGAGAAAGCCTCTTGACTGCGGTTGTTTTGGCCGATCCCGCGTACATCTTACACTGCATGTTGGACGATGCCTTGGAGCAACCAGGCTGCGAAGAGATAGAACTCCGAAGGGATCCACAACTCTCGAACAGGGGCAGGAAGCTTCGCGTCGCTTAAGCAATCTACAACCAGAAAGACAAGGCCACGCAAGGCCTACATTTGGCCTGGGGCGCTGGTAAACGAACAAATCAAACGCATGAAGGCGAGAGAAAACATGAAGTGATGCAGGAGGAGGCGAAAGGGCCAATGCCAGGAAGAGATTCAAAACTTTAGTCCCAACGTTCTTCGTCAGAGACGATGTAGCAGACAGACCGGGGGGCATGGGAACTAAAAGAAGCTTATTCAAACGCATAAGTTTGATTGTGACTGAGGCGCACAGGCACCCAGGGTGATGAAGCTTGGCCTGTTTCAGCACGCTCGATGCTGGAAGTGTTGCAGCCTCAAATCCTGAGGAATGACAATTTTCCCCAGGATTCGACGCCGATACGAGCGACGTCGTTTACGAGGATATCGTGACCTCCCGACTCCGCGTGGTTTCATTTGAAGCCCGATTTCGCGGGAAGCGAGAAGCCGAAAAGGGACCTTGAGACAGGTGAGGAAAAATTCGCGGCCATGGACTGAAGATCGCCCGTTACGTTCACTCTAGCGGAAGCGACGAATGGAGGGTCCTATTTTCTCCATAAAACGCATAAAGATGCAAAAAAGGAGAAAATTGCTTTTCATTGCGCCAGAGGGTTGAGAAATTGAGGGGTCGGGAAGCCTCGGTTAGATGGCGAAACGATTTTCCGAAGCCGCTGCTTCAATGTCAGGAGCGTCAAGACAATGAGGTGATGATGGTGCGTTCAATGAAAATTCAATCTGGCCTCATTTACTATTTAATGAAAGCGGGTAGGTAGCAATAGAGGTTCATTAAGTATCCTCATTCCCGTCGAAGCTGAAAGCTCTGAGATATGTCTCGTCCAATGACAACTCTGGCATTTACTTTCCGCTTAGCCTCGGGCTGCGGGCAAAACATCGTCATCGAGACTTTCCGTCTCTTATGACCGAGCTCGCCCAGATGCACGTTTTTCCATACTCCACCGCACAATGGCCTCCAGGATCCTGCCAGCATCGATAGCCCGACGGACGCTTCAGTCTGCTCCTCAATCGATCCGTGCCGCCTCGCGAACAATTCCCTACGTTGCACCGAGAACGAAAAATTTGTGGGACTCGTATCGGCCCGCGCTGCGCATTGCCGGTCAAAGAAGAGCTCTCTCCAACACAGCTCAGACGAGATTCGCAAACGCTGATGGTACTTTTGATCCACGACATCACGAACGCGAGAGCGACGAGGTCGATGTTTGCATTGTCGGTGGAGGCCCTGCAGGTTTGGCTTCAGCCATCCGCTTGAAGCAGCTGGCGAATGAGGCTGGGAACGACGACTTCAGGGTGTTGCTGCTTGAGAAGGCCGGAGAATTGGGTGACCATATTGTATCTGGCAATGTGATCGAACCTGGTGCTCTCAACGAGCTCCTTCCAGATTGGCTCTCCGAGGACAACCCAAACCGGTTCGAGCATGTCACCCCTGCCAAAGAGGATAGAATGCGGCTCCTTACAAAGACGAGCTCCATTCCAATCCCCAAGCCCCCGCAAATGAACAACCACGGTAACTACATAATAAGTCTCAACCAACTAGTCAAGTGGCTTGGGGAGCGAGCAGAAGAAGCCGGCGTAGAAATATACCCAGGATTCGCCGCCTCGGAAGTATTGTACAACCATGAGGGTGTCGTGAAAGGCGTCGCCACCAATGATCTTGGAATTTCCAGAGAGGGTAAGCCGAAAGACACTTTTGAGCGAGGAATGGAGTTCCACGCCCGTGTCACCCTTCTCGGAGAGGGCTGTCACGGTAGCTTGACGAAACAGGTGGTTAAGAAGTACGATCTCAGGAGGGACAGCCAACATCAGACATACGGTCTCGGCATCAAAGAGGTCTGGGAGATACAGCCTGAGAAATTCCAATCTGGTCTTATTGTTCATTCTATGGGCTACCCCCTTCCTTCCAATACATATGGGGGTGGCTGGATGTATCACTTTGGCGACAACATGGTCAGTATCGGCCTTGTTGTTGGCCTAGATTATCCGAACCCTTGGCTTGCACCTTATGGCGAATTCCAGAAAATGAAGCACCATCCTATGTACAAGGATGTGTTAGAAGGAGGCAAGTGCATTGCATACGCTGCCAGAACACTCAATGAAGGTGGATTTCAATCCATCCCCAAGTGCGCTTTCCCTGGTGGTGCTCTGATTGGAGACACGGCAGGCTTTCTCAACGTGCCCAAAATCAAAGGAACGCACACCGCTATGAGATCAGGCATGTTAGCTGCCGAGGCCACGTGGGATGCCTTGCAGGCCAACGCTGATACTGGGACCATTTTTCTTTATGATTACGAAGATAAACTGCGATCGTCTTCGATCTGGTCGGAGCTCAAGCAAGTCCGGAACATGCGCCCATCGTTCCATACACCTCTCGGAATGTATGGCGGCATCATCTATTCTGGACTGGAGGCATATGTCCTGCGGGGGAAAAGTCCTTGGACCTTCAAACATGGCAGGCCTGATTATGCAGCAACTAAGCCCGCCGACCAGTGCAAGAAGATCGAATATCCCAAGCCAGATGGCAAGATCAGTTTTGACATCCTGACGAGTGTTAGCCGGAGCGGCACTAATCACGAGGAGGATCAGCCTGTCCATCTTCAGGTCAAGGATTGGGACAAGCATGCCCAGGTAGAATGGCCAAAATACAAGGGGGTGGAGAGCCGCTTCTGTCCTGCTGGCGTGTACGAGTATGTCGAGGATGACAGCAAAGAACTGGGCGTGAGGTTCCAGATTAATGCCCAAAAGTAAGTAACATCCATATCGGAACTGACTGCTACTGCAGACTAACACGCATCTAGCTGTGTCCACTGCAAGACTTGTGATATCAAGGTCCCTAACCAGGACATCAATTGGACAACCCCTCAGGGCGGCGAAGGACCCAAGTATGTGTTAACCTAACCTTTTGGAGACGGAGCCATGGGAATCAACCGGCAAGCGCACTTGCGTTGGGAGTCCTTTCTTTGAGAGCCTGACTTGTGGAATTATTGAGAAAACTGTAACATAGCCCCGGACGAGATGTCTGAATAGAGGTTTCCAGCCATGATTAGGAACTGGCCAGACAAAATGCAATGCCAATAACAATGCCACCTCAGCACATTGCGGAAGAACTCTTGATGCCCAAGGGTGATAGGGCACTGCAAGGGGTGGATTGGCTGCGAATAGTAGGACGCGGGGACAAGTCACCGCTACCTTCAAGGACCAGGAGGCTTCTTCGGTGCCTTTCTGCCAGCGCAGCTTCATTTTGCCAGGATGGTGAGCAGGGCGTCACGGCGTTGCCTTTTTGCAGCTTCACTCTCCGCGCCTTTCCGCTTGCGGTGCCCTAGTTCGCTTATGTAATGTACTTCTTGGCACTAGGTCGCAAAATGAGGCGGCAGCATTTGAACCTCGCCCTCCCACACTTCCCCTCCGCTCACCCATCACACCACGCCGTCGCGGCATCGCCAACAATTCTTAGCTTTTTGGGCGGATCTCAGTACCGGCGATATCGCTTGTAGCAATTAGCCAGTACCATCTGCTCCCCTTGACCGAGGCTCACGATCCTCGCCGTTCACTATTCACCACTACACCACGCCCCCGTCAACAACACGTCCAGTCGTGCCGGAAACTGCGCGGCTGCCATACTCTCTCGGCCCCAACTTTAATCTTCTCGTTGGCCTTTACCATCGCGCGCCTTGATCGACCGCGGATCCACCGCCGATAGTAGCGCAGCCTTGCCCATCGCTCCTGGTATATTCCCCCACCGTACTTTGGCTCGGCTCCATCCCTCCATCCCCCTTTGTTTAAGGCACTCGCATTATCGTAACGAAACTCACTCCCGAGCTTCAGACTAGGTTTTCTCAGGACAGCTTCGACTCGCCAAGATGACCGAAGTTTCTTCTACCCGCCTCTATCTTGGCAACCTCCCACGTAACGCGACTAAAGCCGACGTGGAGGCGCATTTCCAGACCCATGGCACTGGCGAAATCACCGAGATCAAGCTCATGAACGGCTTCGGCTTCATCGAGTACAAGGATGCCATGGATGCTCGCGATGTCGTTCCTGCTTTCCGTACGGCCTAACACGTCCCCTCCTCCACACGATTTCCATGGTTGACCTCAGATTATAGATGGCTCCGACTTCATGGGCGAGCGACTCATTGTTCAGTTCGCTCGCGGTTCCCGCCGCAATGAGAACTTCACTCCTCACGAACGTGCGGCGCCTCGGCCTCGTCGCACCCCATTCCGGATGCGTATCTCTGGCCTTCCAGTGGAAACCAGTTGGCAGGTTAGAACCCCCAATCCTTGGATTACTTCTGTTTCTGGATAGGCGAAACCCCAGTTTCCCACGTCCTGGACTTTGTGGATTTTGTTCTCCTTACCGCGTTCTGGACATTGGACACAGCTTACTTTCCCCTTCTGTAGGACCTTAAAGACTTTGCCCGACAGTCTGGCCTTGACGTTGTCTATTCTGAAGTTGGTCGCGAGCGCGATGGGACTGGGTAGGTAGAGACTATTCTTATGAGGAGGCTAACACTTACCCGCTCTCAGATTCGTTGAATATGAAACTGAAGCCGACCTGAAGACTGCGGTTGAGAAGCTAGACACGCGTGAATTCAAGGGAAGCGAAGTCCGCTGCGTCCAGGATGTCAGTCAGCCACCACCCCCTCCGCCATTCAAACCGAGAGCCCCGTATAGCGGGCAGACTCAGGAAGACAGGGGTAGAGACAGGTACCGCTCCCGTTCCCCGGCAGGACGTCGTGGCTACCCACCAGCTCCATATGATGATTACTATGACCGCCGTGCTCCACCCCGCGGGTATAGCCCTCGTGGTGGTGGTGGTCGCGACGAGTACCGACGCCGGACACCGCCGCGCGACTTTTACGAATCTCGCGACCGTTATGGACGTGCCTCTCCTCGCGGTCGCGGCCCAGTTGATGAGTATGGTCCACCCCGAGGCCGATATGGCGAAGACCCGTACGATGCCCGTGGCCCTCCACCGCGTCGCGGCTACGATGCAGACCCTTACGTGAATGGACATAGTCGCCCGTACGATGCCCGAGCCCCATCCCCGCGCCGCCCGCGAAGCCCGGCTGCCCGTCCAGGCTACGAGGCTGAGTATCCGCCCCGCCGCTACTGGTAAATCGCTCCTACCCCTTTTGCACCATTTTGGTGCGCAGACAACTGCTCATTACTCTAGATCCCAACGACGCGGCGCCCCACACTCCTTCCAACAATAATCAGCAGAACTGCTTTGGTAAGGCCGGGGTTCCGTTGTGGTGGGTTTCAGAGGATTACTCCCCTCGTATCAGTTTTCCATTCCAATCTTCTGCGGATCACTTGTGGCAGATTACCCCTCAGATCGTTGTTCACGATACATGGTTGGATCTGTTAGAGCATCTTTTCCGTCCTCTCATCAGCCTACACCTTTTGCGGTCGTACCTTTGGTTGATCATACCTTTGAGCACCTGAGGCGGGAATGGGTGCTATGTCAGTGTATTTCTCTCGTGTATACGAGCAACACGATGGGCTGGTGTCTGCCTTGCGATAACAAAAGCGTTTCTGCTTGTTTCACGGCTTTCTCTCTACCTGATTCTACATGTACAATAGTTAGTTGGGAGTAGTGTGATGCTCAGCCTTTGCGATGGTCGTTTGTTGACCAGCGGGAAAATGAAATTCACTCTTTTGCATTTGGATTTTTCTTCTGAAACTATTAGGATATCGCCATGTCGGCTTGAGATGAGGCACAAGGTTAATCGTAACGTGAAGCTCAAGAAGCTGTTGAGGCAGACAGGGCGCTGTCGGTAATGCGGAATGATGAAGTTCGCCGTTTGCCGTCTCGTTTTTTTCGGATTCAGAACGACATGGCTTGGCGAGTATAGCTCAACTTAACCTGATCAAATGACTTCAAAACACCTTCGCTAATGCACAATAAGACAGATGAGGGTAGGTTAAGTATATGAAGGTGAGCTCAACCCCACCTCTTGTTCGCTCCTTCACCTCCACGCCACCTTCCACGCCACCTCCCACGTCCACCTCCCAAGTCCGCCGAAATGTCAACACTCGATTCCATCCTCGAAAGCAGTACAACCGACTCCAAAAATAGCATCCCATCTATTGTGTGTCTCGCTGTAGATAGCCATGGCACCGAGATCTACACCAAAGTCTCAGGAAATTGCAGCCTCTCAGAGTCCGCGCCTCCCGTCACAACGGACTCGATTTTTAAGCTGGCGAGCTGTACGAAAATAATCACAACAATCTGCGCCCTCCGCCTCGTCGCCCGCGGCACCTTCGCCCTCGACGACCCCAACATCATCCAGACGCACCTACCGGAACTTTGGGCCCTTGAAATCGTTTCGCTAGACGAAAAGCAACAGCTTAATTACAAACCCCGCAAGAATGCCATCACACTCCGCCACCTTCTCACGCACTCCTCGGGTGTGGGTTACGACATTATCGACCCCCGTCTCCAGGCCTGGCGAAAAGAGCGTGGTGAACAGCCGATGGCTATCCAAGGCCCATTGCCCGATGCCGTAGCTACTCCACTTCTATTTGAGCCAGGAGAGGGGTGGGCGTATGGTGGTGGTTTAGATTGGGTTGCTTTGCTAATCGAGCGCGTGGCTGGGAGGAAGTTTAGTGACGTGTTGAAAGAGGACGTGTTCGAGATCGTGGGCTGTAATGCTGGGATTGGATTCGGGCAAGCGCATATGGCCGAAGTTGGGACTGTTGTTGAAACCGCTACTCGAGGTAAAAACCGGCTTGAGGTGTTTAATGTTGGCGAGATAAAGAGTGAAATGGGTGGCGGAAGTCTACTAGCCTCGCCGGCGAACTTCCTCCGCATTGTGAAAGATCTGGCGTCTGCCACGCCTAAACTACTCGATAATCCCGAACTCGACGTCCTATTTGCGCCACAATTCTCGCCAGGTTCTCAGTCGCTGGAGGCTTTTCATGCAAGCGCCCCCGTCTTCACATCCATGATTGGCGCACTCACATCAACGCTCCCCGTCACTGCTCTCAATCATGGACTCGGTGGCCTCCTAGTAACAGAGAACAGCGAAAATTTGGGTAAAACGAAAGGAACGATGGCGTGGGGCGGAGCATTCAATTGCTTCTGGTTCGCAAACCGCGACACTGGGGTTGCGGCGCTGTATTTCAGTTCAATGTGGCCACCGGGGGATGCGAAGAGCAGTGAGTTGATGAGCGGGTTTGTGAAGGAAGTGTGGGATAAGCTGTCTTGATGGGCCGTAGTCTAGTTAGCGTGGTTAGGAAATGAATCCTATTGATTATCTCTAGTCTCCATTAAAAGAAACCTAAATTAAACTCCCACGGCCTACTCTTTTCTGCGTGGGGCCCGTCAACTGGGGAGCGACTGGCACTTCGCTGGTCGATGGCAGAGGAGCAAAGGCCGTTGGTGTAGGGGCCTCGCTGGACGGCGCAGGAGGATCCGGTGGAGATTCCGGCGCGGTAATAGAAGTACCATTGGTCAAGTCGATAATAGTGCTCTTCGACAACACCGTCCGCTTTTTGAAGGTTTTCATGAAATCTTGTCCATAACTCTTTTATCCAACGCTTATTGATAGTTATATGGTCAGTGGAGCTGTCTCTTTAGTCAAGGGCTGTAGACTGCATTTCCTAACAGCGTCGGTTGAAAGTTGTTTGGTAGTGGTTGTTCAAGATTTTCGTTCATCCAAGCTTTCCACATACCACAAAATAAGGTGAGAATCCAAGTCTACAGTCCCTACAAAACTGGAACAACCCTTCAACCACGGCCTTAGGAGGCCTAGCTTTCAACCCAAGAGAACCAGCGACTGAGAGTCGCACCCGTTCTTGTGTAGCTAGGGGCAGGATCTTCCCTTGAAGGAATACTTCCGCATCTTCACCTGGCGTGGTAGTCGTAGTTGTCTCTTGGGCTGGTGAAGAGTGGTTCATGGTATCCTCAAGTTCTCTTCCTGGCTGACCCTTGTGGAGCCGTTAGGCTAGCCTCTTTGTCTTTGGGACGTTGTACTTCGTCTAGAAGCATCCACTCATTTTTCAAGCGTAGATGCTTAGCCAATCCATCGAAATTAATGAGGGACATGGGAAACTCTCAGAATATCAATATATGCGTATATTTGAAATAAAACAAGAATATTAGTGCATTAAAATAAATCCAGAAGGCTTCCCAAGACTTTACGCTCGATGGACAGGATGAGAGAGATAGTAATAGCTGTTGCTGGGTTTAGATCAGAGGAATGGAGGATGCCGCCTACTGTACCTTTTCGATGATAATGCTGAGCATAGCAGTAGATATAATAAGACAGACTAACTAAATCAGACAGATGGAAGACAGAATGGTATAAGAATGATAACATATGCAAAACCAAGCAAGCAAGCAAGTGAGCAAGCAGGTAAGGATAGACAAGTACACGCCGCGCTACCTAACCTACAAAAGTGATAGTAAAAGGACTTATCCATTCCCAATCCATCCATGGATCCAATCCAATGGGAACTTATTTCAACGCCAATACACCGTCCGTGCACGCAATCTACAAAACCTTAATGTAACAAATGATCACTCGCCCGATTCAATATATCCGCCGTCTTCTGCAACTGCTTTTTTGCCAGCTCGAAATCCCCTACCTCGACCGCATCTCTCACGAACGGGAAGATGGCGGCATCGTAGCCTGAGCCTGAGGCATCTGGGCCGAAGACCACGTGTTTGTATTGGTCGCGGCCGGGGATCTAATTTTCACACATCAAATTAGCATGATATGCCCTGCCAATCTCGAAATCAGAGGGCGAGATGGGACTTACACCATGGGGTTCCTTATCATCCTTCCCCTGTGGTAGATCCAGGAGATGTGTTTCAAAACTCGCCATGCGGGCATTATGCGCCAACCGCTGGACAGTCAAGCCCTGGGGTTCAAACCCGCCCGTCCCGTAGACCTGTCCATACCAATAATCCTCCCAAGAGTGGAATTCCTTCGCGCGATCCTTGAACGTGCTGACTGCCCTGGTCAGCGGGTCGAACATCTCGATGTCGAAATTCGAGCCTTTCTTCTCAGTCCACTCGACGAGTTCTAGGGTCTGTGAGCCAAGTACTTCTGCGTAGTCGTCCAAATTAAAGGGAACAATGGGCTCTTGGGCGAGTTCCAGAATGAGGAGGACCCAGATTTGGGCGAGGAGGTTGTGGTATGTAAAGCCAGGATCGACGTATTTGGCCACCCAGTCAAAGGTCTCGTAGCAGCTATGATACATATCGCCGTGTTCAGGACCAGAGAAGCCGAAATCGATGGAAGAGCAGCCGGCCAGGTCTTGGAAGGCGACGTAGTCGGAGCCTGCGCCCAGACCACCAATCTTGCCGTTCCCGTTGTTCCAGAGTTCTTTCAGGGTCTTGTTGCGGTGAGGGTCGGAGATGCGGTCGAGGATCCGGATCCAGGCATGTTGGAAGATGGGGGAACCATTAGCCCACAGATTTTCGCCGGTCACACCTACATCAACGTTTATGTAGGCCAGGGCGTTGGCGCGGAGGGAGTCGATGTTAGCTTCAACATGTTCAGTGGAGCCGATCATGTTGTATTCTTCGGCATCCCATGATGCGAACTCGATCGTCCGCAGCGGACGCCAGCCTTGGACTCGTAGCTCACCAAGGACTCGGGCCACTTCGAGCATGACAGCTGTTCCGGAGCCCGGGTCTGCGGCGCCGAAGCACCACGAGTCGCGGTGGTTACCGATGATAATCTTCTTGGCTTTGTCTTCCAGGCCTTCGAATGAACCAAATATATTCTGTATCATCTGTTTCTCCTCCTCATCTTGGAAGTTTTGGAGGTTGACTTTGGGAGAGGTATCAGGGTGGCCGGAATACCAGCCGTCAATATCTGGGACTCCGCCAACCCATTCTTCCGGAAGTTCTTCACCCTTGCCTTTGAGAGATTGGAGGAGTTTCTGTGCATCCCGCCATGACAAAGGAAGACTTGGAATCGTGACAAGTCCCGGGTTCTTATCCTTAGGCATGCGCTTTTCGTCTTTTGTGGAAGCTCGACCAGGCGTGAGCACATCGCCGACAATCCAGCTGGTAAGTGCCACGGAGCCTCGTTGAACAGCGTCCTCAGGCCTCCAACGTCCCTTCGGCCAAACGTCTCCTTTCTTGAAACCGTCCTCGGCCGGGTCGGAATAGATGAGCAAGCCAGCCACCCCAGCATTTTGCGCGGCTTTAACTTTCATCGCCCTATCAGACTGAGAACCATAATACCGTACAAGGGCAACGGCTCCTTGGACGTCTACGCCGCTATCCCATAGCCTCTTGAAGTCTTGCTTGGATCCGTAATTGGCATAGATAAGGGGTCCGGTTACATTTCCTGATGCCGAGAGTCCGTGAAAAGCAGCGGTTTGGGGCCGGGGGGGATCATATGCCGGTTCTTCCTCTAATTTAGCTTCCCAAGCCAGCTCCGGAGGATCCACAATCGCGACGCGTCGACCATTTTCCTTTGGATAGTTCAGGTAGACCCAGTATCTGTAAGTATCAGCTCATGTTACAGGGTCCGCCGCCTCCACTTCGTCGCTGTGCCACCTACTCGTCATGTGCCAATTTATCCACATGGCTCTCCTTCAACTTCTCCTGAATCCACTGTCCGAGATAAAAGCTTCCTTCGCTCCCCGCGACGTGATCGTAGCTTGTGATGTATTTCAGGTTATCTTGTATCCTCCACGTCTCAATCTTGCTCTGCGCAAACTGCCGCACCCACTCCGGGTTAAACGGCTGTCCGAACCCAGACCCCACGGGCATAATCTCGCTCACAACCAACATATACACCAGACCTATAATCACTATGAGTCCAGCCAGCCGCGCGATCACGGCCCATCCAGGCCTGTATTCCTCCGGTATCGACGGGAGTTTTGATCTAAACCACGCCCAGGCGGATGACGGCCAGGATAGTCCATGCAACTGGAAACTGGACAGCGTATTTGTGATCATATAAAACCTCTTCGAAAACCGACCTCTGGCTCTATTCCTGCGTGCGCGCCCATCATCCGCAGACTCGGGATCCAGAATATCCATTTCCTCCATCTCCGCCCTCAGCTCCGCATCCTCGTCGTCTGGCACGGGACTCCCGAGCCCGCTGCTCTCCTCGCTCGTGCGCGCCGATTGCACGGAAGGCGGGTGGTAGTAGCCATTGCGTCGCCGCGAGCTCGTTTGAGAGGAGAGGTTGTGGCCCAGCAGGCCCTGCCGCTCGGCATCGTCGCTAATCTCTTGGGGGCCGAGGCGGGACGGAGGATGTGAGGAGGTGGCTTCTTCGTACGACGGGATTGGGACAGCTTCATGGGCATCGTAGAGGTGCTTTTCGTCAACCATGGGTGCTCCTGTCTGGCGGATTCCCGGTCCGGGATTGGGCGGTCGCGATCTCGAGGCCGCGGATAAGGGGGGGGTATGTAGCTGGGCTTGCGACGTGAGACTAGAGGCTACGAAAGAAGCTGCTACCGTATGCCCATATACATAGTGAAGTAAGGTTGAGGTAAAAGAGTGGCTATGATGCTTGATTGAAAACCGGGAGCAGGAGGGAAGGAGGGGATATGTTTGGCGTTGTTGCAGCTGATGGCCTGAATGTCTGGAGTGATGGGGTCGGACTGCACGGGGCGGAATTTGGAATCACCGAGCCGAGAGCTTCGATGCAGTACAAGTCGCCAGTCTTTCATTCTCGAAACGCTCCAATTCTGATACGAATGTGATAGGACACTTGTTCGTTTCTTATTGCTGAGCAGGTTCATGCGACGCCGTTTTGCGGTGCGAATTGGAAGTTATTTTAAGTATATACAGCTGCTGAAACACAGAGCTTCATCCTCGGCCTTAGCTTCAAAACTGCTTGCCCTCCACCTTGATCTATCTACATGTTCCGTCCTCCTGTCACCGAAATCGTCTGTCCATTGACATAGCTGAACAACGGGCTAGCCACAGCCAACACTGCACTCGCCGCCTCGGTCGCCGTACCAGGTCTCCTCAGCGGGATATCCACGTGCTCTGCACCAGGCCCGGATGCCTTTTGTGCCTGCGGTATGCCTAGCGCAACCTTCTCGCCATCTGGCGTCGTTACGAATGCCCCCGCCTCCTTCGCCGCCGTCAATCGCGTCATAATGTGGCCGAACGCCACCGTATTGGCTCGCACGCCGAACTGAGGACCCCATCTGGTCGCCATTAGCATCATAGCCTGCCATGGGTTCTTGGTGTAGGGTACTCACTCCTTCGCAATGGTTTTTGTGATACCAGTGACACCAGCTTTAGCCAACGAGTAGTTGATCTGGCCGGCATTGCCATGAAGACCGGAAGTAGAGGAGATGCTGATGATATTTCTGGGTTCGCCATCCTTAACCCTAAAGTATGGAGCTGCAGCGCGGACAATCTTGAAAGGAGCGGTAGCATGGAGGTCAACAATGGTATGCCATTGCTTGTCGGTCATCTTCAATTCATCCAGGTCAGCAAGCACTCCCTCCAACATCATAAACCCTCTCTTTAAAGCGGTCGACGTCGCAGGGACTGAGTCAAACATACCTTATGAATAACGCCATCCCAAGTGTAACCCGCATTATTGACAATAATATGAATCTTCCCATTCCCAAACTCTGCCGCCTTCTTCACCAATTCCTTCACATACTCATCATTCAACACATCCCCTACAACCGCAATCGCACTGCCTCCAGACTCATTGATCTTATCCGCGACGTCTTGCGCTTTTTCTGTTAAACTCCAGCGTTAGCAATCTAAGCTCTCAAACCCCTCAAATCCCTCAAACCCACAAGTCCTCTCCTTGAGAATTAACCTGAAGCTTCTTCTAGAGAGAGAAACGGAGTTAGAAGAACTGAAATTGAGCTTGACATACTCGCATCCACATCTGCAACCACAACCTTCGCGCCTTCATTCGCAAACAACCTTGCCGTCTCTGCCCCAATGCCCTGTCCCGATCCTGTGATTATCGCAACTTGCCCCGCCAACATACCCTTTGGGTAGTTGAGGTGGCCTGCGATTTGATCCACACGCTTCGACATCTTAAAATCTCGCTTCAAAAAAATTAGATAGATCAACACAACAACTCGAGGTTCAAGAATGGATATGAGACAAATTGAAGATTTGGAGGGGTTGTGGAATTAGAAGTTGATATTATTTCTTTGGACGGGTGAGATGCGGAGGCGGGTACATTTAGCCCGCCCGGACCATGCCAGCTTAGAACCGAACCGAGGTTCGTGATGGATGTTGGCCCGAAGAAGGTTATGCTTCATAGGGTTAGTGCGGAATGGCTGACTCGAACATAGCGGGTTGGTGGGAACAATGTGTCTTGCTTGACACAGCCTTTTCTGTAATTCGTTTGAATGAGGTTTGTTTTGTCTACTGATGCGCTATACTAGCTTGGGCGTATACTAGATGTGAAGAGGTTCGGTTCCTTGAATCTTCCGGAGTTGCTGTATGCCCTCCTAATGCCGGAATAATTTTTCAACTATGCTCTCTATTCATACGAAGATGTAAAATGGTCTTCGTGTATACTCAACGGCAGCAGTAGCTGTTCTTAATGGCATTTGAGCTGCAAAGTCGGATGTGTCTAGTAACCTTTCGAAAGTAGCCGTCGTCTCTTCCTCCTTGCTCTCACAATGAGGCCAGGGGTTTCGCAGACAAATCCCCTCTATCTCTCTCGTTAGCCTCCTACCAGTCCAACGAATCACCTAAGCTCAAATTTAGATTCTGCATCTCGTCCAGAATCACTCCTCCATCACCGCCATCATTCCTTCCCTCCACCTCTCCATCCCTCCTCTTTATCTTCCGCTCCACCTCCACCTCATCCTTCAACAAGCCCAACCACACTCAACCCTTCTCCTCAACGCTCTTCCTCAACTTCCCTAACTTCCCTACCCCTATCTTCTTCTTCTTCTTCTTCTTCCTTAATTTCTACGTCGTTCGGCTCCATGATATTCGCAGTCAGCGTTTCTAGTGCGGCTGATTCTGCGGGGATTCAATGGGGAATAATATTCTAGCGACGGTACGTATGGTGGAGATATGCAGACAGAATTGGAAGGAGGTGTGGCTATCACCCTAGAGGAGCACTTTTTTATATCGCCAACGGCGGTAGAGATGAAGGTGACGTTACTGCAGTAAGTAGGTGCTTGCATTCATAGCTGCTTGTTTAAGTTTGGTTAGAGAATTGCAAGTATGGCACAGCAAAAACCGCAAAACACACTAGATCATGCTACACAAAGTGCGGCGGCAATGCTAGAGAGAACAATAGAGAATCGGTAAAGACGGGAATACAAAAGCACCTTCTGTCAGTAGCTTTACTAGCATCTCTCCACGTCTCTAAAAACACCTCGAGGTTACTGTCTTAAGAAAGAGGCACATTAACATTAGGTCTGCACTCTATAATAGAGCACTTGAAAGTCTACTCTTCCTGCTATATCTAATGCAGAAGGAGAGAGAGAGAGATAGAAACTAAAATTAAGACAATATACTTCTCCTTTCAACAATACTAATATCTTTTCAAGGGTCCAAGAACACTATTGCGTCTCTGTCAGTATGCACTATAAACCTTTCACCGCAAATCAGGCTTTAGATGAGTCAGTTTGTAGAACCGCGAAATTGTCGCCCATAGCCTAACGCCTGCGCAGAGAAAATGCCCGGCAGAGTGATCAGTTTCCTTAGGTCTAGTATAAAGCTACTATACGAAATTCCTAATAGATCCCCAAAATACTCTTTCCCTACCATCCCCTCATCTTTACCTTAACCAAAGGTATACGACCTGGTAGACGGACACATCGCGTTAAGAAACGCGGCTGGCGTGGAGGTGCGGCGAAATCTAGAGGAGCGAGAGCTTCTGTTTGAGGGGCGGCTGGGAGAGAGCGCGGCCTGGTCTAGAGTACTGGCGTTGTTAGACTGGGCCGAACGCCTAGATTGTGACGGTAGGGTAGTCCGGAAACCCAGTGTAAGCCAGCTCTCATTCTCGGTAACGTCTTCAGTGGCAAAAGCTGCGTGTTGCAGATTCTGCGCGGGACGGTAAGCCAGGGTGAACCGACACGAAGACGACATAGTGAGGAGCACAGAGGAGACAGGGCAATTCAAGTTCAGGTGGTGAGTTTGAAGTCTTGACGCTGTGAGAAAGTTAGTGCAGATGAAGGAAAGGTTTTGAGGGGGCGGTGATATTTAGACCTAGAGGCCGCCACTACCGGGGCCTCCACATGGCTGTTATCGTAGAAATAGTAGCGCGGCATGGAGTTATGGTGTACAATATAGAGGTAGCAGAGGGAGGTGAAGGAGTTGGAGACCTTCTAGAAGAGTTTTTGAAATAGCTAGAGTAGAGCATGGGATTGTTGCGTATGGGTAGGAAACCCACAAGATTACAAACATTGTCAAAACCTTTGTAGGGAATTACTTCGAATAAAACCCTAATAGGAGGCAATGCAAGGAAGAAAGCAGCAATACTAAAATGAATTATTCTGGTAGTGTATCGTTAGCATTACTAGAGTACTCTGCCTAATTTAGAAGAGCATCATGGGCCCCACTACGTTCTTGTTATGAGCAGAAAGGATTGCGGGAACTGTGTAATATTACACTATACATATATCACGAAAGCTATCTTATTGTCCTACACTACAGTGCTCAGAATAGGGAAGTAAATGCGGTTGCATATGCTCAGCACCCTACCAGCCCCATCGAACCCCTTTCCAATTGGATAGGAACATCACGGCATCTTGCTAGATTTTGATCTCAATAAATAGGATACCCTTTTATATCCAAAAGCCCTACAATGACAGTGCAGCACCACTAGTCCACTCCCAGCCCAAACAATATCTACAAAGAAAGAAAAGCATCGTGCCCTCTAGCCATCCCCTCACACTCATACCCCTCACAGCCCCCAATCCCTCCTCCATTCTGTCCTACCCTGTCTTTTCTCCACCTCCCTCATCCGCAAATTCCCACTACCCTCCCTAACAACACTCCACTCGGCAACCGTCGCACCAGGCGCTTCCTTCGATCCATTATTCTGATTCCCCTGGACCAACAAATGCGCAAATTTGCCGCTCCAGACTGGGGCGTCCAACACAATATTCGTCTGATTGCCTATATACGGTTCGATAACAAACGCATGTTCCGGAATATATGGTTGTGAGAGTGCGACTTTCTGGGACCACGTCACATTCACCACTTCACTGGGATCCGCCATAAGGTCGGAGATGTGGAAGCTCAGGCCTGAGGAATTTGAGAAAAAGACTGAGAATGCGTTCGGAGGTGTGGTACCCCAGTCTAACCGGACTTCTTTGATGGGGTAGTAAGGTGGTCCGACGTCGACGGAGAGGATGGCGGTCTCGGCTTGAGAGGCAGGTTGCCATTTTGTAGATGTCGCGCCGTCGATAGCGGCAAGTGGGAATTGGCCTGGGATGTATTGGGAGCTGGATGTGACGCGCTGTTTACATTGGAGGATGTTGCCAGCGACTGTGTCGGTCTGACCAATTAACCGGTTCTCGACAACTAGAGGCTTTTCGCCTAAGGAGAATTTCCCCGGTCGTGTACCTAAGGTGACCGGGATCGGTTGCGTGGAAAAGGTCTTGTTTGCGGTTGGTAGAGTGAATTCTTCTGCGGGAAGACGCTCGAGGGTAGTGTGCGTGGTGTTAGACGTTACATTTATACCATGGCCTTGCCAATAGATGTTTCGATAATTGAGGTACGGAATTTGCGGAGGAAGAGAGGGATCGATATCGAGTCTATCAATGAAGAGACGGAGACCCAAGTATCCAAACACAGCAACACGATTTGCGCCTCCCATGCCAGTGAGGAAGGGAAACGCAGGATGTGTTCCTCCATTAACCTCGTACGTATCGAAGATCTGTTCAGAAAATTGGAACCAAGGCTCTCGAGCATATGGCTGGCTACCGTATAGGTCGTACGAGTAACTTGAGCAGCCAGAAGGTGAAATCTCATTGGCGACAATGCTGAACACACCATAGGTCATACCTGGACCGTTGGTGGACTGCTTAGCAGCGTAATAGTCGAGATCTCCTAAACTATACGGGCTCTCATAGTCCAAAAGATCGTCAATGAGGATGACATCTGCCTGCTTCACTGAGATAGAACCATTCATCGTGCTGTATTCAAGGATAATTTGCGCTTCCTCGTTGACGGGGAGACGTATCTTCTCTGCCTTCTCTGCCCAGGACTCGTTCACCGGTTCTCCAAACCATCGGTTGAGCGCATTAGCCCGATTGAGATGATTTTGGATGAGGGCGGTTGTGAAGCCAGCGTTGTCTACATTGTTGGCATATTCGTCGGGATCGGTGGCATTAGTGAGGACATAGAATCCAGAGCTTTCGTTGAACGTTAAAAGTTCGCTGAAGAAGTGCGCTATGGAGTTGTGAATAGGAAGCAGCTTCTCCTTGAAATACGCTCCATCTCCGGACACCGCGTACTGGTTGTAAAACGAGAGGCCGATGTCTCCGTTGATGTGGTACTCGTAGTCGAAACATGGCCCAGTGCCTGTGCAGTTGCCAAATCGGCCGCTGGTCCAAGGGTATACAGCCCCACCAGCACTAAACTTGCCAGTCCGATTTTGCGAAGAAGCAAAAGCCCCATTTACATTCTCTTGGGCCTGTGTATATTTCTCAACCCGGTATTTTACGATTTGATTCGTGGCGTTTGGGTGGGAGACTTGCAAGCCAGGCGCCATCCAGACTTCAGCATCCCAAAAAATGAGTCCGGCATAGCAATCAGATCCTAAACCGCAAACAGGAATGCTGTAAATATCGAGACGAGCATTATTCCCAGCTGCCGCGACGGCGTTGGGTCCGATAGTGTTTTGGAGGATGTAGAAGGGGTTGGTTACTGCAGTGATTTGCTTCTCCAAAATATTCGCAATATTGGGAAGGGAACCGTTTGGAAGATAGTAGCTGTCGACTGAATTCTGCGGCAGAATGGTGTTCCATTCCTGGATGTGTGTGTGTAGGAGCTTCACAAAGCCATTCGACGCCCCTGTACTTGAAGCATTGCTGGCGACACCCTTTGGATCCACGAACGCATCGGATGAAGCTATTCCAATGTATTTCTCCACCTCAGCAGTCTGGCCAGCAACTAGACTGAGCCTGACGGACTGTGCGATTGAAGATTGATTGCGTCCAAAACGCCCGTCGGGAACGTGAGCCCGAGTCTCCAAATCGACACACTCGTTCCCCTTGAGTGTAGAGTAGATATAGCCTGTGACATTGCTAATGCCACTAGGCCTCACCGCCGACCAAATAGTTGGAGTATCCGTCTCGTATCCCTTATCAGCGAACTCGCTCCTGACGGCACAATCTCCCTCCAGCACATCATAAACCGTGACTTCCATATCCCGGCTCGTTGTAAGCTTGAGCTGGACCACAGCCTGGTTGACGTAGAGCTTGTGGAGAAATACGCTGTATTCAATCCTGATATCGCCCTCGCCTCCGGGTTTCCATGTGTAGCTCCAGCTGAGAACCGCAGCACCGACATCGAGGGTCGACGAGAAACCTTCTAGTTCGTCGGGATTGACTGAAGCATTTAGAATCGCGCCATTCGCCTCCACCACCAGTCCCGCCCAGTGTGGAATGCCAGCGATTGTGCTTTCACCGCCGAACTGGTATAGCCAGGGATAGTTGGATCCGTTTGTCCGGGGCTGTTCGTTGTAGAACCCGGCAATCGTCGCAAAGGTTTGTCGTCGGTTGAAGAGCGGCCAGCCATTGATTCCATCGTCATTTACCGGAGTGTCGACTTCGAAAAAGGGGCCAGTGGCCGCAAGATTGATTCCCAAATAACCATTCGATAGGGACAATCGATTTTGGTAGTGTCCTTGAAACAATTTCTGCGTAGTGAGGTGCCAATTGTCATCATCCCAAGAAACGCCTTGAAATCGAGTTTCGTAACTAATAGCCAATACACCAGTGACCCAAAGGAATAAAGAGTATATCCATATTTTACGCTCCATGTTTAGTGACGGTTTTAGGGATAGGGTGTCCAGAGGGCTAGCTAGGGGGTTGGTTGGCCGGAGAACCTCAGTTTTGAGGTGTAGATACGAGCGTACCTTGTCGTTGCCTGATCTTTGTAGAATTTGAAAGAACGCCCTAAGCATGCAATCGTCAACGGCTACACTAAAAGGAAAGAGCATAATGCTGGCACAACTAGCATAATGCTGGAACAACTAGCATAATCTCCCGACCAGTAAACATGAGCAGGGAGGTCCTAAATAGCCATGCACATACATACCTTCTTAGAGATTCCAAGAAACGACCTTGGTCATGTACAAACCATCCACGTCTCGTCAGCCAGGCCTCTTCGACACTCTCAAATTAAGCCAGAAGTTCTCAGCAGAAAGCAAGACAAAGACAGATGAACATGCAGATCTACCAACTTCCTCTATACATCGCGACGAACCAGGAACCTTATGTATGTAGAAGCCCAGGACCACGCTCCACAAATCAGGATCCATCATCCAACTGTCGATCCCCAAGGCCGGGAACCCGTCATCTGTCTTTACCCCGCTAGTCAACTGGTTTGTCAATCATTCTGCTCGCATTCCCTGCTTCCGCACCCCGGTACTTGTGTAGCTGTAGGTCCTTTGTTTTGCTGCTATTATCTCTCCACGGTGATGTTCTGCAGTGACATCAATGGCACGCCTAGCGGCGAAGTTTTTCGAAAGTTGCTTGTTTGAACGGGCGTTTGAGCCTCCCCCGCAAAATGGCGTTGGTTGGCGTTTCCAAGGCTCCTTCCTGATTGGTAAGGTGCATGCGCGCCGCCTACGGACGCCAAGCCGGCATCGGTGACCTCATTTCTCTGCTCCGTGACTTGGCTCAAAATGTGGCCGACCAATTGACCTCCCTGGTACGGGACCGTCCATCGAATGGCACCACCTGTCGTATCACGTATCACCACGGAACCCGAGTTTACATGCAGGTCTTCATTCAAAATACGAGACATTGGTGTTACCCCAACGTGCATGCTTACAGTACTCTCCATTAATTCCCGCACTTTGCTTGCATCCTACTGTTTCCCTCATCGTGTTGAATCTCGTGAGAAAAATGGAAATCTATGCTAATATCATCCGCCTATATAGATCGGTTATGTCCAGAAAACCCCTCCCATGTGCTTGCTTGCTTGTTGAATTAAATCCGACCTACTCTCACCTAGAAACTCCCTCGCTGGCTGGCTTGCTGTTGAAAAGAAATGCCAAACGCCTAATGCTGCCGTTGCCACTTTTGGGCTGCTCAAGTTGCTTTGCCCACCCACGTAGAGAATAAATTATGTGGAGGTGGGAGCAGCTTCACCTGTCAAGTCCTCAAGACTCTCGACAGGTGCACAAGTACAGAAGAGATTCGTATCGCCGTAAGCTGGACAAAGATTAGTTTGCCATCTATGGGCAGCAGCATGCACGCAATGAGCGAGCTCAAGAGAGGAATGAGTACTAACCATCATCTAATCTTGTGACCGAGGGCCAGAACTTCTTCTCCTTGAGATACGGCAACGGATACGCCGCCTTCTCTCGACTATACGGACGATCCCACCCCCCAACTATCAAATCCTTTTGTGAATGCGGCGCCATCTTCAACACGTTTCCTTCCTTCGGTTGCTCACCCTTCTCCACCGCCTCGATCTCTTTCCGGATTGATATCAGCGCATCACAGAAACGATCGAGCTCCTCCTTACTCTCCGACTCAGTAGGTTCAATCATAAGCGTGTTGGCGACAGGCCATGACATCGTGGGGGCATGAAATCCGTAGTCCTGGAGGCGCTTGGCAACGTCAATAGCTTCGATGCCAGCCGTCTCTTTGAATCTTCGGACATCGAGAATGAATTCGTGGGCGCAGCGGCCATTTTCATTAGTGTAGAGTATGGGGTAGTGCGGTCGGAGGCGGGAGAGGATATAGTTGGCGTTTAGGAGGCCGACTTTGGTGGCTTGTGTTAGTCCGACTGAGCCCATCATCTTGATATATGCCCAGCTGATAGGCAGCAGGCTTGCGCTTCCCCACGGAGCCCCGCTGATAGGGGGAATTGCGTTTTGACCTCCCACGTTAGCATACAGGTGACCTGGTAAGAAAGGGGCAAGATGCTCTTTCACTCCAATGGGTCCGACACCAGGCCCGCCTCCTCCGTGTGGTATGCAGAATGTTTTATGCAGGTTGAGGTGACATACATCGGCTCCAATCTCCCCTGGAGAGCAAAGCCCAATCTGTGCGTTCATGTTCGCTCCATCCATGTACACTTGGCCTCCGTGTTGGTGGATGAGCTCGCACACTTCCTTAATCTTAGGCTCGAATATGCCAAAGGTACTGGGGTAGGTGATCATGATGGCACTGAGCTCTTCACTGTGTCTTTTGCACTTGGCTTTCAGGTCCTCAATGTCTAAGTTTCCGGTAGCCGTGTCGCATTTGATGGGAACAACCCGCATTCCAGCCATAGCTGCACTTGCCGGATTGGTTCCGTGGGCTGAAACCGGTATCAAGCAGATATCTCGCTTCTTCTCTGACTGCTGTTCCTGGTACTTTCGAATTACTCGTAATCCAGCGAACTCGCCTTGGGCGCCAGAGTTAGGTTGCACTGAGACTGAGTGGAAGCCAGTTATGCTTGCTAAATCTTCCTCTAATTGTTGTATAAGCATCGTGTACCCTTTGGCTTTGCTAGCCGGCGTAAATGGGTGCATTTCCGACACTGCAGCCAAGGACAGTGGCGCCATCTCCGTTGTGGCGTTCAATTTCATTGTGCAAGATCCTAGCGGTATCATCGAATGAACGAGTGAGAGGTCTTTGGATTGCAGATGGTGAATGTATCGTAAGAGTTCAGTTTCGGAATGGTGGGAATTAAAGACCGGATGGGTGAGAAACGGGCTCGATCTTCTAAACGGAACAGGGGGAGGTTTTAGTTCCACTAGCAGTTGATCCAAAATTTTAGAGCTTCCCTTCCACCCAAAGGCTTCTAGGAGAAGGCGTGCTTCACGGGTGGTCGTAGTTTCGTCAACTGTAATGCCGATATGATTTTGGTCGAATTGTCGTACTTGTATTGAATATGTTTCCATTCTTTGAAGCAATTCCACCGTCTTGTCGCTGGTGTTGACCACAATCGTATCGAAATTGACAGGTGCATTGTCTAGTCGCCCCCGTTGGCCAGTTCGATATCCCAATTGAATAATAGCGTCTTGAATGTGCCTAGCCTTGGCAATGACGCTTCTTGCAATATTTGTGAGGCCATTTGGACCGTGATAAATGGCATAGAATGCACTCATGTTTGCCAGTAAAGCCTGGGCTGTACAAATGTTGCTCGTCGCCTTCTCGCGGCGAATATGTTGCTCTCGAGTCTGTAGTGCGAGCCTTGCTGCGGGATCTCCAAGTCGATCTTTGGAGAGACCAATCAGCCGCCCGGGAATCTTCCGCTTGTATTGTTCGGTACACGCAAAGAAGGCAGCGTGCGGCCCACCGTAACCCATAGGCACGCCAAAGCGTTGGGAACTCCCAAAAGCGACATCGGCGCCAAACTCACCAGGCGGAGTTAGAACGGTCAGAGCTAGAAGATCTGTAGCTACACTCAAACTCGCACCGTGCTTATGCACTTTCTCGGATAAGCCACGGAAGTCTTCCACTCCTCCTTCGGTGTCAGGATATTGGACTAAGACGCCAACCAGATCGTCACCAAGTTCCTCAACTCTTTTGCAACCATCCGCCAAAACGTCATCGACTTCAATCGTGATACCAAATCCTTCGGCGCGCGAGTGGAGAACAGCAATTGTATGGGGGTGGCACATGTTAGACACAAGATATGTCTTGTTTGTGCGCTTCTGTCGAGAAAGAGGCAATGCACCGAGGGAGAGTGTCATAGCTTCGGCCGCAGCGGTGGGCTCGTCGAGAACTGAGGCATTTGCGATTGGGAGTGACGTTAGGTCGGATACCATGGTCTGAAAGTTGAGCAGGGACTCCAGTCTGCCTTGGCTTATTTCTGGCTGGTATGGCGTATAGCTCGTGTACCATGCTGGATTCTCCAGCACATTTCTCTGAATTACGGCAGGGACGTGTGTGCCATAGTACCCGCAACCCATAAAATTTATATTCTTGTGGTTGTTTTCCATCATTCTACCGACGGCGAAGTTAAGCTTGCTTTCAGGCACACCATGCTCTGAGAAATGAGGCGGGAAACTGCGGACCGTGGACTGGATTTTAAGCGGCTTGGACGAGAGAATGTTCGGTGGAATGACCTGTTTCACAAAATCATCTAGAGTCTTGACTGGAGGGTCAAGCACTTTGAGCATTTGCTCTACTGAAGCCGCAGACGGGCCAATATGACGGCGCGGGAAAGTGTCAAGGGGTTCGTACGCCTTAATAGGCTCGTTTGGGTTCGGCTCGACTTCCAGGACATCATTTGCGGAGGTGGAGTAAAATGCTCGCCTTGAGAACAGTGGGAGGAGACCACGTGAGACAGGAAAGTTCTGGAGCCGTCTCAGTTGGTGTGAACGAGGCAATTGGCTAAGCTGAGTAGAACGAATGGCCCGTCCGGCAGAGCTGGCCGCTCTGAGCCATGTGCTCTGCATTTTTTGACGCTCTTATATGTCAATGGGGCACACAGAGCAGCCCTGACGGGCCGAGTATCGTCTTTTTGGCGGCCAGTATCGCTGTGAGCAGCAGTGGGGTGAGTGATGTGGACAGGAATTTATTCGATAATGGCTTATGTCGGCAATTGCCACTTGCGGAATTCAAGAGGAATTGCGAGCTTGTCGGTATCAAGGATGTGGATGAGGGCCAACTAGAATGTAAAACAAACAATTGGAAAAGAGGTAGCTTGGGGGAACTGAGGTTTTTGGAGGTGGTGTGCGCAAAGACACGAGTCACAGTGAAGAACTGGGGAGGTTTCCCTCTCGCCGCCATTCGCGAACCGTGAATTTCCGAACTTTTGTAGCTCGGCGCGTTGATAAGCTCGGAGCACGGGCCATACGGCGAGTTGGAGCGTTTGATGATGAAATGGATTAGCTCCGCCCGCCCGCCAATCATGCCCCGCCACCAACAGCCACATTCACCATCGTCGTTCCACATTATGTAACGGGTCCTGAACGCCCAGCAACGGCTTCAATTCAGAATCTATATGCTCGCCCGTCGCGGCGCCATGGTGCGCCTGAGGTTCTTCTCCTTCTCTGTTTCTTCCGTAACTGGGAGCACTCCTTGCTCCCTCAGCTGACCAAGAAACTCCCGGCCGTACTCATAGCCGACCTGGTAGATTTCCTCGAACTTTGCAAAGTCAAGCGTGCCGTAGGGGTCAATGGGCGGACGCATATATCTGCATCCGGGCGTGTTCTTGGCCCGCTCAAGAGCATCGTAGCTGGACACATATGCGAGCCGCGACTGAATTTCAGAGAGCGTTGGTGGGTTGGTATAGGATGAAAAGGGGTTCCAACGATTGAGGATCGCCCAGAAACCCGAAAGGGAGTCGCCGAATGACTGCGGTGTGGTGTCGTCAAGGCTCCCTACGTCGACTGCGAAGATTACGTCTGCACCCAGGCTTTTCATGTGGGCGACCGTGAGATTGTCAATGTATCCTCCGTCTAAGAGCATGCTCCCATTGTCGCAGAGAGGTGGAAGCAGACCAGCAAGAGACATGGACGCTCGCACGTACCTCCAAACGTAGCCGCTAGTGTGGATTTCTGACCGGCTTCTGCTGATGTTAGTTGTGTTACAGTAAAATTCGAGCCAAAAGTCCTCCATCTGCGAATTCCCGAATGTCTTGAAGATGCCTCGATTGAATTCGTGGCCAGTGGTATATGATGCGCTACAAAAGTTAGCTTTGTGTATTAGAAACAAGATTGATAAACTTACGAGGGATATGTGAGGTCAAGAGCAAATCTCCACATGCTTCCCATGCGACCAGCGAACTTCTTAGCCCTTCCGTACATTGGCACGACATCTGCATCCCAGGCATAGAGTGCGCCAATAAACGCTCCAATAGACGTCCCGCCCACTATATCAATAGGAATTCCCGCTTCCTCGAGGGCACGGATGATGCCAATCTGTGAAATGCCTCGAGCGCCTCCTCCTCCGAGAACAAGTCCTACCGACTTGCCACAAAGACGCCTCGCCAGTCGGTGAAAGTCTCCTTTGAATGGCGTTTCTGCAGAGTAGAGGGGTGTTTGTCGGACCTTCCTTGAGGTATATTTTTGGATCTCAGCTTGCAACACCTGTACTCGTTGCTTGAGGGCGCTCCCAAAACGACGTCCAGCCGGATGGACAGGTTCGGGGGTCGTGCGGAAAGACATCTGAATGTGGTGGTGGCTACCATTTACCCAAGGGCGATTCCGCAACCATTGTCGAGTTAGGCCAGGCTGGCAGAATCTTTCCGAGTGCAGAATGACAAGCTCTTTACGGGCTGTGGTTTTGGTGGTCAGAAGGAACCGCTCATACTCTCCAATGTTAGGTGAGCCTTCTGCTAGCCCCACTAAAAGAATGCAGTCGGCTTGACTAATGCAAGTCTGTGTCCACGGTGACTTGACTGTCGTATCAGCAACGTAGAGTACTAAGCCATATTTCTCCTCTAGGTCGGCTAGATACTGTGATAATTTAAGCTTTCCCATACGATTGAATGCGTGCCGCCCCAGATGGTTTAGAATAGCGGCTTGGTTCAGAGACACCACACTGTTGGGCGTTCCGATCTGATTCAATGCATTCATCAGCCGACCCGCGAATTCTACTACTGGAATCCCAGCCGTAACCGGAAGAATAGCGACAGTGCGAAGGTTCACCGTAGAAGACACATTGCTGCGGGTTGCTTTTGAGCTTCGTTCCTTAGTTTGTTTGTGGAGGGGATCGTCAGTCAATGCTCTCATGCGGGAAGCAATAATCTTCGATATCTTAATAGTAATACCAGGATGCTCTAATGCGAGACTGTTGAAGAGCGTCTTTGGAAATTTGGCAAGTTCCGTATCTCGGATGGCATGGAGAGAACCAGGACGAGCGGATTCAGTAAGGACTTCGAGTTCGCCAACGCTGTCCCCTTGACCATATTCACCGATGACTTTCATCCCATTATTTTCACCATCTCGAATCGCACGTAAACGACCATTAAGGACAATGTATATCGCATCGCTCTCATCTCCCTGGTTGTAAATGATTTGTCCAGCGTTCACTTGGACCCACTCTAAAGCGAAGTCGATGTGCAAAATGAGGCGGGGGAGGAGTGTCGTCAGCCGCTTTGCCATCGTCAGAAGCACGACCGGATATCGATCAACTATCCTTTCGATGGAGGCCCTGGGCAAGAATCCAACGTAGACGTCGGTCTTTGCAGTAACATCAATGAAAGATCTGTAGGAGGAAACGGTACCCAAATATCCAGCAAGACCGCCAGGCTTTGTTAGGAATAGACTCTTCCTGGACCTTTTCTTTTTCCCGCCATCCGCAGCACGTCCCATCGAAGAGTTTGTCATTGTCCGCTTCAGTGGGCCACCGAAGAGCTCCGACTCAGCCATACCAGGTGTAGCTGGGAGAGTGCCAAGTACATTCGGCGCTTGTTGGTCTTCCTCCACAGGCACACTAACATCGAGGAATCCATCGATAACGTAATAAAGCCCGGGATTCCTCTCCCCTTGCTCGACGAGGACGGCGCCCTTAGGGAAGAAAACAATCTCGACGTCGTTGACTATCTCTTCAAGAATGTTATGATGGCCGCTCACACTGAGATTTGAGAGACCAGATGCTGAGACTATTGACTCAGTATCTCCATCACGCGACGCTTCATATGGATCGATAAAGCCAAAGGCATTAGTAAATATCGCCTTTTGGCGTTTTGCGTCAAAAGAGACCAGGCGTGGAGATTGCTCAACCGACACTGGCTTCGTAACGGGGTTCTCCATGTTCGTCAACCCAATCGCCTTGAACATGCAGTCAAGTACGGACTCTCGAAAGATGGTCGCTTCATCTACAGATTCTTGGCGATGGAGAGCTGCTGGACGCCCTAGTGGAGAAGCAAAGGGATTTGGAGAACCAGAATCGAGAAGAGTCCGGGAGTCGCGACGGTTCTCTTGTTGATAAGGCTGGGAGAAGCTGTATCGTCCTTGCCGGCTGCCTGCTCGAGATATATGGGTATTTATCAACAAGTCCCCTGCACTGACCCGCTCATTGTGGTCGGTACGTTCACTGTGGGTACGTTCTGGAGAGGCCATCCGAACCAGCGTCTCGGTACTCGCATCCATGGAAGTACCACGTGCGGCTGCGAGCCGAGCATGTGCGGCTGCCCCTTTCCGAAGGGAGGCACTAGATCTCCGGCGGCGTCCTGCCCCTGGATTATGTAACGCAATACCCTTCATACCTTCTTCAGGCCCAATGCGCTCTCTTTCCTTGGTGAATTTTTCCTTCAGCCTCTCCAAGGCCGAGTCACGCAGGAAGCCAGGTAAGTCATACGTTGTGTACTTGTTCATCAATTTTTCCGTACGGAGAACCTCACTCGTAAGGCCAAGGTAAGCATGGCCAGTCGCAAGAGTGACTCGTTGTAGTCGGGTTAGAATAACCTGAACAATGTGGGCTGTAGCTTTTGGGTACACACGAGTCAAGCGACGGAAGGCAGTGGCTGGAATGATAGCGATAGTTGTATCGACGGTAGCTCTTGCAACAATATCTGGATGAGCAGATTTGGGCTTCCTTGATCTGGACCGGGGCTTTCGCGGCTGTGGCGGTTTGGGACTATCTGTAACGCCATTGATGTCCAACGTTAGGGGCGGTACACTCGGGAGTCGGCCTCCAGCAGTAGGGCTAGCCAGGTTGGAAGCCCGTCGGTCTCGCAAGCCATTTGGGGGCGGGGTTTGGGGTGTTTGCGTTGGACTTGCTGGGGTCGAGTCTTCCAAACCATAGTTGCCTGTTCGCACCACAGTTTGTTTTGACGATCTCCTATGACCTTGGTGGGTGCTAGATGCTCTTGAAGTGTCTTCTTCATCTTCATGGCGGAGTTTAACATCCTCCGTAAATAGCGAGAGAATTGAGAATAGCGAAGACATCGGGGCTCCATTCTTCACCTCGGTGAGCAGCTGGTAGCCCTGGCTATGACCGTGACGCCCACCGTCGTCCCCAGAGGAACTCCTTGAATTGCCTTCGTCATCTGAATCAGGACCGTCTCGGTTCGACTTGACGAAAATTTGGACCATTCCGTCCACAACCAAGCAGAAGCCCTTCTCTTCCTCCAGCAGCAGCGTCTCTCCGGCAATCAACTTCCGCGTTTGCATGGTCCGTGTAAGCTCGTGGAAGACCGGACGTTCCAGATATCCAAACACCTTAATGGCGCTCAAGAACTCGTCCAGATAATTGGAAAGCCCGCGCTTAGAGTCCCCTTCTTGCGTGTCGGGAAAGACCTCGACCTGGGGCTCATCGCGCGGGGGATCGGGGGGCAAGCGGGTGTACATAGTCATGAAGCGGTATCTCACGAGGTAGCTGGTTGTGGAGACGAACAGGATGATAATTAACATTCTACAGCCGTCAGAATGAGTGCTGCAAGCCGCAGCTATAGCTCTTACAAGGTGGTGAAGTTCATAGTGAACGTCAGGCTCATGGAAAAGAGGGTGAAGAGCCATGTGGGCAGCGTGATGGTGGTAAAAGTTATGGCCCAGTAAAGAAGCCCAGGAATAACACGCAAAATGGCGAGCATGACGCGAGCGAGAAGCCAGAAGGTGGACGGGGAGGATAGCTCAGCGGCGTTCAAAGCCGAAACTGGGCCTTCTACAGCACCAGATGACCTCGCTATTGCAACGGAGGTGGTGCCGGCCAATGGAGCAACCACGTTGAGGGTTGCCATGGCGCAAGAGAGGCGGATGTTGATGAAAGCAACGTGCTCACGCGCAGCTCAAGGCGGACCCTCCTCCAGATAGCCCAAGGTGTGCGAAGAGAGAAAGAGGGAGCCGACTCGCATGGTGTGAGTGTTGTGTGTTGCGGCGCGGGTGACATAATTAACCCATGAAGCTTCTGAAAACTGGCTTGTGACGGCAGGGGCAGACACCAACAAAGGGCAGGCATGAAAGCTTGGCAAACCTCTCCAGGAAGCTGCGTGCCTCGCCCTTCACTCCAGAGCTTCCCCAACGCGCCTCCGCTCGCTGCACCCATTGGCCCACCATGCCGCCGTTCAAAGATGAACAGATAATCGTATGCTCCACGTGACCCCCTCGTTCACTCCGCCGCGCCCGCTAACAACCTCCCCCCCCCTCGCAGATCATCGCGCCAGGCTCAGAGACGACGGTCGCGCAGCTCGGCCTGCCCGAGTCTTTCACACCTGCCCGCATACGCGTGCGGTCGCGCATGTTCCCAGCCGAGAAGGAGGGAGAATGGGAGCCCTACAAAGTGCGCCGGCGCTCAGACAAGCCCGAGATGTCCGCGCCGGCCCATGATGCCCAAGGAGCTGTCCTGAACCCCGCAAACCGCGATGACGACGACATTGTGTACGAGGAGGATCGTGTGTCAGAGGAAGGCGCGGTCTGGCCTATCCAGCAGGGCAGGATCGTCAACTGGCCGTGTTTCTTCGCCCTCGTCACCCACGTCTACAATACCATGAATCCCCCCTTCCACACCCCCATTCTCCTCATAGCACAACCTGCCTGGGCACCACGGGAGCATGAGAGGCTGACCCAGTTCTTCTTCGAGAAATTCAAGACGCCTGCATTCGGTCTCATGGACTCGGCGCTGGCTACAAGTTGGGCGTATGGCGTCCATACCTCCACAGTCGTCGATGTTGGAAGAGACAAGGTGGACGTCACGGCCGTTAGCGAGTTTATACCACATATACAAGGCAGAGTCATTGCATTGCCCGAGTGTGGTGGCGAGGCCCTTACAAACGGCCTTCTTGCAAAGCTCAAATCTAGAGGGCTGACGCGGGATATGTGCGAGCAGCTCAAGAAGAGCCCAATTTGCGAACTGTTGCCCCCGGGGACGCCACTGCCGGGAACTGGAGAATCTAATGGCCTAGACAGGATCACAAACCCCGCCGCGGCCGCGTCTACCGGAGCGCCTGGGTCCGGGCCTGCAGCCGCTTCCGCCATAGGGAACGTCCCTCGAGGCCCAGGAGCGGACACCGAAGTTGGGGACGACGGCAATGGAGACGAGAGTGAGGGGGTCCTTGACGTAGCCAGCATCGTCGCAGGAGGCAAGATGAGCGAGTATCTGGCCCGGAAAGAGAAAGAGAAAGAGGAGAAGGCGGCAGCCAAAAAAAAGGGTCTTGAAGCTGCAGTACAACCAGCTCGACCTATCAGGCTCCCAAATGCAAAACGAGAAAAAGCAACCTTCATGTATGAAGACCACTTTCTGCTGGACACTTTGAAGAACATGAATCTGGGAAGCAAGGGTATGGCAGAAGCACAGGCTGCACTGGACGAGGGCCCCCAAAAGAAGGGCCAGGACGATGTAGACGGGGAACCAAGATCTGCAATTGATGCTAGTGGTTCTGCAGACATGGCTTCGTCGTCTTCCCGTACCGGCCCTATTCGTCGAGAGATCGAAGTCGGAGTAGAGCGATTCCAAGCAGACAGCGGTGGAATTCTAGAAAAGATTGCAGACGCGATACATCGGACTATCTCTTCCGTAGATGAGGTCAACAAGCGAAGCGAGCTTTGGGACTCCTTGATCATCTGCGGCAACGGATCAAGGTTGCGAGGTCAGTTGAGGAAACAGGTCCATCCGTAATAGTTAGCTAACACCAAAACAGGCTTCAAAGAGGCGCTCATGGTAACACTCCAAACTAAATATCTAATATCCCCCTCGTCCGCCACCATCTTCACTTCCGAAATCCCTTCTAATATCTCTACTCCTGCTGGCACCGGAGCCAACACCCCACAACCACAGCTCGGGCCTCATGGCGGTCCCAGCCAAGTCAATCCTCTCCTTCTCGCTGCTACCACAGCACAAAACCCACACCTCATGCCACCGGGTTCTAACCCCCTAGGTATGCCAGGCATGTCCAGCCACAATCAACACTCGTCGCACGGCCAAACACCCACAAGTATCAAATTTGTCAAACCGCCGGAATATTTCCCGGAGTGGAAAGATGTTGGGTTTGATGAAAGCGCATTTCTGGGTGCTCAAGTCGCAGCAAAAGTCATATTTGTCGTGGATCAAGGCCAGAGTAAGGGATATATGACCAGGCCTGATTATAATGATCAGGGGCCTATGGGCATACATGATTACAGTCTATAATCTTCACATGCTGTATACCTTGTTCGGAGTTCCGGTCATGGTGTGGCGGCGCTTTTAAGGAAAGAGGAAAGGAAGCCCTTGGGAGGCTGGCTATTGATCATGGACTAGTTTCGCTAGTATGAAAAGTAGTGTGAATAGACCAGTGCTATCTTTCAACTCTGTAATCGGACCTAGAATATTGTTACATACGCACAGCACCAGCCGTATTTGCCATGTATCCCTTTGTCACAGCAAGCACGTTCTAACCTCAAATTGTAGAACAATGAACCTGCACCCAACCTCTTTACTCACAAATAACAAACTCTAACCCCAATCCCACTTCCCATGCATAATTCGAATCTGGTACCAACCCATCGGCTCACGGAGGCCGGCGCAAACCGCCTGCACCACCTACCCAACCTTGACATGCGTTAGCCTCTTCCGTATGAATCGCCAAGGCCTCATCGCTTTTAAACCGCCTCAAGCCACAAACCTGACCCCTCCATCACCAACGGGTTTTGTAGATAAAGAGCTGCAAGGCCCCACACAGACGATATCAAGCAGTCTTTTTCGAATATCAGGAATAGAAAGACGTTGGGGGTTTGAATCTTGGCGTTTTGTTTAATTTTAAGTCTTACACGCATAATCCTGTGTTTCCGATCCTTAGGCTATCGATCCGGGTTCTCGGATTGTCTGACCTGCACGCTTGGGAGCTCGGTTGGGTATGGCTGCCTCGGTGCCCATAGGTAAAACGATCTATTGCGGGACTTTTGCTCATTGCAGGTCGCTCTCGGAACTCGATATCTGTGCCAAGGGTGCTATTGGCGTTGATGAGGCTGGCGTTATCGCTTTTATTGAGCGAGAAGTAGAAGAGATTGAGGATGTAATAAAGAAGTACGATGGTTGGAACGATGCAGAGGTTTTGCAAAGTGGGGAGAGCGGGTTTTTCTTCCCTGGGTTCATCGGTATGTTAATTTTCATTCTATGAGCTTGGAATTCATATGGCCTCCCAGTTTAGTCCCTCTTCTGTCCCACCCCCTACTACTCCCAATAGATTTCAATTCCTCCTAGCGTGGTCATGAATCCGTGCTGAAAAAATTGGTCCAGATACCCACACACATGCCTCTCAACACCCCAATACCGGACTCTTTGGCAAAACGACTCTCCTATCCTGGCTAGAAACATACACTTTCCCCATGGAATCTTCACTCTCCTCGCTGTCCAAAGCCGCTACTGTCTACTCAAACTTCGTCTCCCGTACCCTTTCCCACGGAACCACGACATGTGCATACTACGCCACCATCCATGTCCCCACAACCAATCTACTCGCCGACATCTGCCTGAAAAGAGGACAAAGAGCACTCGTAGGCCGGGTTTGTATGAACATGATGAGTCCGGAGTACTACCGAGACGCAAGTGTCAGTGACGCTGTTAAAGATTCAAAAGCGTCTATCGACTACATCCGGTCCATAGATCCATCTGGAGATATCGTGAAGCCGATAATAACACCTCGCTTCGCACCATCCTGTACAGCAGAATGCCTCGCCGGCCTAGGGCAGCTAGCGAAAGAAACAGGCACATCTATTCAAACCCACATATCCGAAAATAAGCCCGAGGTCCAGCTAGTCAGGGAGTTATTTCCCGAATCAAAGAGTTACACAGATGTCTACGACACAGCTGGCCTGCTAACCCCCAAGACCATACTCGCACACGCCGTCCATCTCTCCGCCGAAGAAGTCCAAACGCTCAAGCAAAGCGGGACAAAGATCTCCCACTGCCCTGCCTCCAACACCGCCTTAACATCCGGATGTGCACCAGTACGACAGCTGCTCGATGTGGGCCTGACAGTCGGACTCGGCACTGACGTTTCCGGTGGCTTCTCTCCCTCCATCCTTGAGGAATGCCGTCAGGCGATCTGGGTCTCGCGCTTCGTCGCCATGAACACTGCAGACGATGCAAAGCTCTCCACGGAAGAGGTGCTATACCTCGCCACCCGCGGTGGCGCACAGGTCGTTGGACTAGATGGGAAAGTCGGAGGGTTTGATGTTGGCATGGAGTGGGATGCGCAGCACATTTGCCTTGGGGCCGTGAAGGAGGGAGGGGAGCAGGAAGGCAGGTTTGCGGGGAATGTGGATTTGTTTGGGTTTGAGACGGCCGAAGATAGGGTGAATAAATGGGTTTACAGTGGGGATGACAGGAATACCAAGAGCGTTTGGGTGAGGGGGCGGTTGGTGCATCGGAGGTAGATGGAGGAAGGGCATGGGAAATTTTGGATGTGTTAGCGTTTGGGTCGTTTAGAGGAATGCAATTCATTGATGTCTACTAGCAGAGAGAAGAACTTCGAAGTTTGACTACCAATAGATTTGTTTTTACCATTTAGCTAAGAAGGCCGCACAGGATTGTCAGAGTAAACCGATCTCCGCTGAGGTCAAGCCAGTCACTACCCTCAAGTCAACAAAAAACTGAGGGAAATGTGCAGAAAGAGTTAGGAAGAGGTTATCCAGACATGGCCATCTAGAACATATCTGTTTGTAGAATTAAGCTGGTAGGTTACAATAGATTGGACGCGATTCCTAGTAACTCAACCATCAGAGTCCTCTATCCAGAATACCATCAGTTTCTGCATCACCCTTTCTAGTCCTAGCACTACTTCCCTTCTGGTATGTTCTGCCGAATGTAACGCGTTCATTATTATATAGGATTCGGGTTTTGCGCCCACCTTTCACTTCCAGGTCGTAAACCATGTTAGCACCTACCTTACTCTTTAGTCAGGCATATTACTAAATTATAGTATATAGCAAAGTTGTAGGATTTACAGGAGGCTTCCCAATGGGGTTTAAGGGCTTGATAGATTTACGATAGTAGAGAGAGGCTGAGTTTTAAGAGCCTCATTAAGTGATGTATCTTTCCATCCAGGGGCTTCCTTAGCATCCTATCTTCCGAGCCTCAAAGCTCTGTTAAACATCAACGGATTTGAATGATTCCGGTACTGTTAGAACTTCCTTAGTGAGCTCTACAAAATTACTCTACACGATATTTTGTAGCGGCAATGGCTGGCTTAGTATTCCTTGGTGGACAGCCTGGGAGTTGGCGAGTGCTAGACCTGAAAAGGTAAGCTTAAAAGGTAAGAAAAGGCTAATATTTATTCTACTACCTAATCATACGTACCGCTAATTACTAAGAGCTTTTAATAGTATGAGAGTACGGCCGTGGTAGGTGCGGTGTAGCGTTTAAAACCCTGCCCTAGATCGGTTTGCTTAGGTAGCCGAGCATCAATGCATTATCATATCTCCATGACCTCTGCTTCCTTTGCTCTTAACATCTTCCACAGCCATGGGTGTGTGCACCACCAGATATGGCTTTTCCTCCAAAAGCGTAGAAATCAAGCACTGCAGGACGGATACAGCCTCGTCACCAGACGGCCAACTCACAGACTCGTTTGCCGTGAAAGCGCCAGCAGGACAATTTGCGCTGAGCAACTCTAAATTCTATCTCGTAGTCCCTCTTTAGCTCTACCACTTTTCTCTCACCCATGGTCGTCGAAGTGTTCTATTGCCATGGATACACTATTGATGTCCATCGCAAATAGAATACAAGACGCAGCTAGATCCAACTCGTACGATTGACGGCAGACACCAGCTCCGTTATTCATCCTCAGCCTAGCCATACCTGCTTTACCAGAAATCCATTTTCGGCGAACACAATCCGAGATGGATTCTTTAGCTGCTCTTCTGCTTGCTTGCAATGTTGCTCAATTGATACAATTCAGTTGTCAAGCAGTTAATGTTTACAAACAAATCTTCAATAACAGTTCGCTAGCCGTGAATACTAGCAAGCATTGCAAGCGCTTACAAGCGTTCTCTGACAAATTCAAAGCTTCGGTCGTTGCCGCCTCCAGCGGAAATCCGTGATCTTTCTTGTTAAGCAGTAATCCGGTGGCCCCTGGCACAAGCAAACAATCTCACCCGCCTCGAGCTTCTCTTTCTGGCGAATACACTCCTTACGATCTCCAACAATCTCAATACAACATTGTTCAAATATCAATCATACGCGCAGGAATCGAGGCTAAAGTTGATACTTAGGGGGTTAACATATCAATTTGGGGGTCGAAGAATGATAGGCCAGCTGCGTGAGTGGTTGGAAAGCTTCTAAAGCAATATGTAAGCATCTATTCTCGTTGAAATTTAGGTAGCTTTAATAACTTCTCAGGTTTTTAATTAGCTTAAACGGTTTTCAGAGAGCAGGTCAGTGAACTTGATAGGAAGCACCCCACAATACTTGATCAGAGGGCTCAGGATTTTTGCTTCTCAGTTGGCGGCTAGCACTACCAGTCTAGGTAACTTTGTGTAAAAAAAATAATTTTAAAGCCATGCAATCTTCCATAGCCACCGAATCAAGCACGACAAGTCATCTCTTCGATTCAGGCCTCGAGGGGACGTGGAATGACGGCCACTACGGAAGCTGAAATTGGGGGCCATGTCGACGTTCGGTTTGCAAATTTCCAAAAAGACCAATTCTACGAACTCGAATATGAGAAAATTTAGAGATTACTCGCTAGTTTTGAGTTTTCTGAGAAGAATTCCCTGCACAATACCATTGTTCTTCCCAATAAGCTATGTTTAAGTGAATACATAACGCAAAGTTGCAGGGTATGGACGTTAAAGTAGCTTATCAGGACTGAAGACAACACAGTGATACCTTTTCGGAATATATCAGGTTCGGAAAATCTTTACTCTAGATCAGTGACATGCCATGACCCGGAATGGGCTGATTAAGTACGACGATTGAGATATGGTTTTTGAACGAGGAAATGACCTTCAAGTCAAGCTCAGCGAGCTATACAACAGCATGTGGAAACTACTAACCGAGGATACATAATATGATCATGCTAAGCAGCTTTCGTACTTTATGCAGCTTTTCTTTGGCCTCCTTCTGACCACCCCCTATCTGTTGGGAACTTAAAGCACATCGACACCAGCTTTGCGCCAGTCATCAGAGAAAAGCTAATACCGTGGTATTAGCTGGATCTAGATTATCATGGAGATCGTGAATCGCTTGCCTCGAAGGTGGTCGCGCTTGAGGACTCCGATCCCTGTTGATGGTGATAAATTTGAGGAATCACAAAATGAAGCCGCTCAAATGTTATTATAGTAACACCAGCTCCCAAATGTGTCTGTGGCAGACTCTAGAGTGGATAAAAGAGCACCCTTACCTAGGTTCGAAAATTACCATCTTGGAACAGCGCGACGTCATTTTTAGAGGACCTCGATTTCCACATCGTACGCCAAATAGGGACTCTTCTGACTCTGCGTACGATCAAACGTATTCAACGTCAATGGAAATAGTACCAAAAGATCCAAATGAGCAGGATAGCGTGTAAGAATCTGTTCGTCATTGCCGAGGAGGGCGTAGTAAATAGGAGTGTCTTTACCAATGATGAAGAATAATTAGACGTTTCGATTGTGCTCTCAACTTATCTCATTTTCTACGCATCCTCACAATCCTTTGGTTGGTGCTATGGGGGGCCCGTCATTCGCAGGATAAATAACGAGGATCAACGGAAAGAAGTATGATATTGCAAAGGAGTATTGTAATTAAGAGAACATGGGCTTATGAAGCGATAGCTTGGACTTGAAGTGAAGCCTACAGGCACCTGCATTAAAACTCTAGATATGTAATCCCTTCATAACTTTGTAACTATTAGAGATATAGAATGCATACATTACTACTCTAAAGCTATTAATCCTAGAGGGGGTTCAGAAGGCGTATGTTAATGATAAGGAACTAGCCCGATCTAGTTTAGCGTGATCTTGACCGTGAAACCTCCCTCTATGGGACCTGGTTATTCCGTCACCCGCAACTTCTCTGACTTCAGTTGCAACGCACAAATTATCGCGTGCAGGCGTCCGTGACTTCCGCATACCACAGTCAATCCCTTATTTTCATCTTCTCTTGCTCTCATGCTTTCGCTCTTCAATCACCTCCTGTAATCTCACAACTCAACGTCTCCTACAAACCGACTTAATACCTGACTTTCTTTTACATTCATTCTATCGTCTAACCTTCTAGTATTCCTATCTTCTCATTCACCATGCCCAATTTCGGTCCCACCCGTCATGCAGGCAGCAACTCTAGCGGTGCCACCAGGAAAAGCGTCGGTTTGGTCCACGCATGTCGCCTCTAATTTCTTTCCTCTCCATACTTACGGCCAGCAGGGTGCTGGAGAGGCTATTCGAGGTAACCTCAACGCGGCCGTCGACAATGCCGCCAACGATCGACACGGAGCCGCGAAGAACTCAGAAACCGCAAGCCGTGGTATCGATGAAATGGAACACGGTCACTCTCACGGTCCGGGGGCTGACGTGACGCCCGTTGATATGGACCAAGAGCTCCAGCGTCGAGCAGCACAGGGCAAGTATAGATTGCATACTGGTGCCAGAAGCTCCAATTATGGGACTCACCAGAGCAATTTTGGTCGTAAGCCCGGCGCAGGTACGAAAGCTTCAATGCCCTCCAAGTGAATCGGGCCAACTATAGGCGTAGATAACCGTGGGACGCAAACTAGCTCAACGACCTCTAGCCCGCAAGACAGTAATGTCAGCAACAAGCTTGACCCCCGATATAGCTCGGATCTTGGTACGTGTAGATAGGTGATCCGCAGACACCACAACACGATATGCCCATTCCCTCTTCTAATATGTCCACCCCCTTTGAAGATTACCCTCATGGCTTCCCCTACTGACAGCCCAGACCATCCCGGCGCCCAAATCGGCGGATCCGGAAAGATCAATTCCGGACCACAGAGCACTGAAGTGGGCAGCAAGCTCGATCAGCGATACGACCCTGATCTCGATCGTCGGATGAGTTCGTCGAATTGCGGTCCTCGTAGTCGCAGCATTGGAAATAAGGTGGACCCCCGAGTTGACTTAGGTCTCGACCATAAGGGTGCTAGTCAACTTGCGTCTGGGTCGACCAATAACGAACCTGAATCTATTAACATGGGAAACGAACTCGATCCTCGAGTTACTTCTGATTTAGGTAAACGTTTATGCTGAATAGATATCCCCACTGCACTCCCCTAGCCTCTCATCAAATCTCCCCCAAGCCTCCTCAACTCCACTAACACCCCGCAAGACTCCCATCCCAAACGCCGCTTCTCCTTCGACTCTCTCCCCCCGACCCTAAACCGATCCGAAACCATACCCCTCCCCTCCGCTAACTCCGCCAACCCCACCAACTCCGACGTCAGCCGCAGCTCGCCTCCACTCGAGAAATCCCCTCGCAGGCAAAGCGATAACGATGCCTTCAACTGCAAATCCGGGAAAGCGCCGCGGGAAAGCCAGGTGCGACATGACAGCCATACCGGCACTCAGAGCTACAGCTCCGGAGTTCAGCCACCAACCTCACCCCAAATCCAGAAACAGGGCCAAAAACAAGGCGAGAAACAGGGCCAGAAACAGGGCGAGAAACAAGACCAGAAACGAGGCGAGAAACAGGGCGAGAAACGGGGGCAGAGTGGGGGAAAGGATAGGGAATTAGGGGAGAAACATCCCCAACATTCGTCTAAGATTCTGAATATTTTCGATCCTAGGGTGGCGAGTATGTCGCCGCCGTTGGGATCGGGAGAGCCGCGGTCGGAGGGGTCTAAACATAAGTCGGGGTTTTTAAAGTTATTAGATCCGAAGTCAGATCAGCTGGCGAAGGGTAAGGGGGTGGGGAGTGGAGAGAAGAGGGGGGGGTGAGGTAGGGCAATTGGGGTGTTTGGGGTGGGGTGGAATGGTTGTAACCGTTGCTGGGGCAGGGAGTATGCAAAATAGTCCTCGAGGTTCATTAGGCCGATTAAAGATGAATTAGCACGCTAAAACGTGTAATCAAAACAGCTGCTGGGAAGGATAGTACATATAATTTTAAACAAAGACCTCATTCATGATGCCATAATCTTGCACATGCATAAAGAGGGAAAGAGGATACGGACACATTAAGCTTTGCAGTTCCAGCCAGTGAGAGAAGAGCAAGAAACTCTATATTTCATGTTACACAGAACAATCAAGCCCATTTCCCATTCAGCTAATTTCATTTTAAAGCAGAACGCGGATATTCACTCGGTGCTGCACACATCACCATCTCCCTGAGAGCCAATCTTCCCATCCACCTATCTATCTGTCTATCTATACTTTACAATTGTCCAGCAGTGTAGAAGTCGTCCAGTGCAATCTTGACACGTGCGCTCATGGTTTTCTCGCCTTTGAGCTTGAAGTTAGTTTCATGGCATATGATATTATGTAAGAAAAGGGGGGGTTGCTGACCTTCACGGACCCATACACGGGGGTCGTAGTATTTCTTGTTTGGCTTGTCATCGCCGTCGGGGTTGCCGACTTGCGACGCCAAGTAGTCCTTCTTGTTGAGGACGTAGTCACGGATGCCGGTAAGGTACGCCCATTGGAGATCAGTCTGTGTCATGTCAGATGTTTCTCACGATTGGAGTAGGGAATTCATACATCGAGGTTAACCTTAACAACACCGTATGAGATAGCCTCCCGGAAGTCCTCGACAGAGCTTCCGGATCCGCCGTGAAAGACAAGGAAGACAGGCTTGTCCTCCTTGGCTCCAGCCTTCTCCTTGACGTATGCCTGGTGCTTCTGCAAAAGAACGGGCTGGAGCTTGACGTTTCCGGGCTTGTAGACACCATGGACGTTTCCGAAACCGGCGGCAATGGAGAAATAAGGGCTGATGGGCGACAGGGTCTTGTAGATCTCGTAGATGTCTTCGGGCTGCGTGTACAGCGAGTTGTTGTCCACGTCCTCGTTATTCACGCCGTCCTCCTCGCCGCCCGTGATGCCAATCTCCATCTCCAGCCATTGCTTCATCGGCGCCGCGCGCTTTAGGTATTTCGCCGTTGTTTGGATGTTGTAGTCGACCGGGTCTTCCGACAAGTCGATCATGTGGGATGAGAAAAGCGGCTCGCCATGCTCCTTGAAGTAGGCCTCGTCGGCGTCGAGCATGCCATCGAGCCATGGCAGAAGCTTCTTTGCGCAGTGGTCGGTGTGCAGGACAACCGGGATGCCGTACGCGGGAGCGACGGAGCGGATGTAGTGGGCAGCAGCGACGGCTCCTGCAATGGAGGCTGTTTGGTCCTTGTTGTCCACGCCCTTTCCGGCGAAGTAGGCGGCACCGCCTGTGTTTTAAGTTAGCCTCATCTTGATACTAGATCTCGGTCCTCGGGAGATGTGCATGCCTTGGCTGGCCTGCAGGATGATGGGAGATTGCTTATCTCTCGCTGCCTCTAGAGCTGCGACGACCGTGGAGCTGGACGTCACGTTGATGGCCGGAATGGCGAAGCCCTTCTCCTGGGCATAGTTGAAGAGCTTCAGAACATCGTCGCCGACGATAACTGGGGTGCATTAGCACAGACAACGAAAAGCAGGCAGAACAGGCGAGAAACGTACCACCAGTCTTGCGGGAGAGGACGTCTTTGGCACCCATGGTTGCAATTGAATCTGGGAGGCGAAGGTGTTAATTGAGTGAAGGCGAGAGCGCGTCGTATAAATGTGTTCGTGGGTGCGTCAATGGGCTACAGTGGTGTAGTGAGGGAGAGTGTGAGCTAATTGTTGTTGAGCGTGTGCGTTGAGGAAAGAGTTCAGGTGGGGTTTCCCAAGCCACCCCACCATGGCGCCGCTATGGGGAAACATATCTCGGCCAAAAAGAAAGCACAGCAAAATCTGCTTGTCATCTTACCTCGATTCTGTCCGGTACAAATCTAACGATGCGTATTGGCCAATTCAACCCCAATCTTACTTTGCTTTACAGGATGACGTGGGGAGCGCCATTTATATGGGTTCGCTCGTCACGCCTCTTCACGGCCGCGCTCTGAAGTCATCCGAAGAGGAGCTCGGCACAGCAGGTCACAGGCGGTCTTTGGTCATATGTCTCTGTCCGAGTCTCCCCGTAGGCATGCTGTCTAGACCTTGAATTGCCGAGTGCTTCAAGCTTCTCTCCAGCGTGCCTCAGAAGATGGCCAATCACATGCATGCAGGCTGCCTGGCTGAGGCTGTCGTGCTCCGAAGAGCCGCTTCAGGCTTCGTTTCCATTTTTCCGTGTCGACCCCGAGTCGGCATATGCTCCTGTTGTACAAGTATCTATTCAGTGTGCGGACACAGGTCCGTGATCTGACCTCCACATCCATGTCGGTGTCCTTAGAACCCGAGTTCATCTGTCGGTGTCTGCTCACTCCTTCGCTCGAATGCGGACAGTCCTCGTTATTGGCGCAGCAGCTCCTTGGGCCTGGATCTCCACCTTGAATGAGCCCAGCTGCTTCACGCGAGTCGAATCTCCTTCTGTATGGCCCTCGACGAATCGAATATCGCTCTCTGAGAGCAGAACACGTGCTGCCTCGTCGTTGTGGGCCAGTGCCAACTTAATTGTCGCCGCAACGTCTGCTGTAGACACGGAACCGTAGATTCCAGTTGATTCAACCTGCGACTTCTTCGCCATTGCGGCAGCTGTGAGGACATCGGCTGCATCGGACGCTCCATGTCGGGGCTGTGCTGTTTCTACCTTCTCATGCGGAATGGGCTGGCGCGTGAAGTCGATTGTAGCAGGAACGAATGTCGTGAGAAGCTGCATAGAGCGCTCAGGCTAGTCGTCGGTTAGTACGAGGAGCTTTTCACTATTGCACAATGAGGGCCCTACAGTAAGCATATCAATCTCAATGGGCCGCACGTATGGTGCCCGCTGCTGCATGACCTCTTCCTCCCCCCCCTCCTCCTCCTCGATAAATGTTCGCCGCACACCAAACTCGACGTCCCGTGCCATTGTGACCCCCTCGGCCTTCAATTGCTTCAACTGAGGCGGGGTGACATAGTCGGCAATGCGGAAAGGGAACCATTGGTTTCTCATCATTGCAGGGGCAATTGGAATATAGGAGCCTACAGAGCATGAGCAGATGTCAACACCACTTTTGCTTGAGCTTCGCAAGCTTCTCACCTGCACGCCCAAACCGCGGCACATCTCTGCGCAGCTTGACGACAATGTTGCGCTCTGCCTCCCTCGCCGCCTTGGATTTGCTGCGCACCTGCTGCACTGCTCTTCGCATGCAGGACGCACACTGCGGCAGCAACGTAGGCCTCGCTAGTGACGCCATCGAGGTGTTGTTGTTGGAGTCGTGTTGCGCAGTGTACAAATATAAATCTCACCCTGTCCGTCCGGAGCGGAACTGGCGACGCTGGCAAAACTGGCGAAGCTTGCGAATGGGCCGCTGACCCGCTCCGTATCAACCGGCTTTGCTTTTACTAGCCCCCTCTGCGGGCTCACGAAACAACGATAGCCGCGATGACTACGTTTCGCCGACACCATTGCGATCCGGGCAAGTGTCAGACGATGGCTATCTGCGCAGAGTCGCTGCTTGTAACCTCTCACACCTCTTTTGTGCTTGCCATACCCCCCCGCAACCTGCCACAGCATCCGTCTACAACCACCCCGCCGTAAGCCCCGGTACCGGATCTTGCGGGAGACGGGAGAGTGGAGGGAACACAGAGGCACCGCTATGCCAGAAAAGCCCCTCACGATAGCCACCTATGCTGCCGGAGCCTCTCTCGCTGCTATTACCCTCGTCTACGTCTTCGGCCCAACCTTCTTCCTGGACAATGAGGCCTCCAACTCCCACAAGAAAGGCGTCGTCGGCCTCAGCAACGCCGCCAACGACTGCTTCATCAATTCGATACTCCAGGCGTTGGCAGGGCTGCCTGATTTGCGCATATACCTGATACGGGAGACCCACCGCCGGAAGCTTGACGGGCCGGAGGTGTACCATGTTGACCGCGAAAGAGTGGGTGCGGAGAAGCGGCCGGTGAAGCCATGGAAGCTGGAGGGATTGCAGAAGGGCATGGTCACGTATGCGCTCAAAGAAGTCTTGGACAAGCTGAACGAACGCCCAATCTATAAGAAGACTATTTCTCCGCAGCCATTCATTCGGGCTCTTGAGCGCGCTTTCGGCACCCGGATCAGCCGGCAGCAGCAGGATGCGCAAGAATTCTTACAAATTGTGACTGAGCGGCTGTGTGACGAGTACCACGCAGGGAGCAGGGCCAGGCGGCATGCACAGAAACTCGGGATCACAATCACAAAGGGGGACACGGAGTCAGAAAAGCTGGAAATTGCGGAGCAGTTTGGCGTAATCCCTGCCGACATTCCAACAGAAGATGTCGAAAAGGAAAAAGAGTGGGACACACTAGAGGACGAAATTCCGGCGGATGAGGAAGGCTTTCCCTTCGAGGGCAAAATTGAATCCCAGATCGAATGTCTGACTTGCGGTTTCAAACCCAAACCGGCCGTATCGACCTTTGTCACTCTGACATTGAACGTGCCCCAGAAGTCTTCCACATCATTAAACACATGCTTCGATGGGATGATGAAAGTCGAACACATAGATGACTTCAAATGCGAGTACTGCCGTTTGGAACTCGCGCTTCGAAGTAAGTTAAAAGAGCTGAGCCGCGCTTCGGCCCCAGAGACAAAAGAGCGAGTAGATTCAGACATCAAAAAGATTCGAGCCGCCCTTGACCAAGACCCTGAGAAACCCCCAGAAGACGTCGAGCTCCCTGATTCGAGCGCAGCACCACGCCGTCGAATTGCCCGTCACATGTACATCTCTTCTTTTCCAAAAGTCCTTGCTATTCACCTATCACGTTCCATGTTTGCCATGGGAAGTGTTTCCACAAAGAACCTGGCCAAGGTGTCTTTCCCCGAGTCTCTTCCGTTGGGTGGTCTACTCAAGCGGAAGAACTACCGGCTTCTTGGAATAATTACTCACAAAGGAAGCCACAATAGCGGTCACTACGAGTCTTTTCGTCGCCAGGTACAGCCTATTCCTTATTCTACTCCCCACTCCTTTGGCGCAGGAGGTGTATACAGCGTTCAAGGGAGTCCAAATCCGTCCGCGGTTCAGAGTCCCAGAATCTCCACAGTAAACCTTGTCAATCCAAGTGGGCGAGTATCACCTGTACCCTCAACACCCGCCGTCGATTCTCCATCTGCCCGATCTCTCTCTTCTCAATCATCTTTGGCCTCGCGTGGCCCCGCTCCAACTTCCGCACCTCGCGACGACGATACTCTGCAGCCGCCCTCATCGTCGCCGTCCTCATCAAGACCGAAAAGCATAAGGTCTCTCAAGGAGAAGGCTACTGCATCCGTCACTGATCTTACCCAGCTAAAACGAAAGCCGAAGCGCACTACCAATCGGTGGTGGCGAATAAGTGACGATAAGATCAAAGAAAGTAAGACTAGTGAAGTCTTGAACATGCAAAAGGAGGTATACTTGCTATTCTACGAGTTAGACAAGCGAAACGATGAGGACGCATAGAGAGATCTATGTTTTTACATCTTTGAGACGGCGTTGGACGCATGGCAAAAAGGGATATTGAGGGTGGGTTTCTTGGATCATTGGAAGCATCTAGTTAGATCTTAGATACTCGTTTGCTCTCGAGACACGTTACCTGTATTCTATACCTTTGTGTAGACATTGGAATTCTTAGAGGTGGATTATTTCATCGTAATCGTCATTGGCCAATCACCTCAACCTCAGGCACCAAACCCCCACTTGACAACCTCCACCTCCAATCCCCCTTCACCCTCTAACCAATTGTCAGGTTGCGCCTGCGATGCAACCCACAGTCGTACTCTGATGCTACTTCACAGTCACAGTTCCCCGCGTTTTCACTAACTAGTGTTGTGGAGAAAGGCAATTCAGGTGTTGAGATAGCTGTTTCCCTTCAGCCTTCCAGGCACCTTCCGACTACTAAAGCATCCCACCTCACCTCACTTCTCCACCCCCAGGAACTCCTGATCTCACGAGCGGGGCCATCCGACACCACATTCCCTTAGAAACACGAATACATCACCTAATTATTCAGAATAGAACTGGCCTCGTGCTCAATTGCCCATCATGCGCAACTTATTTAAACGCAAGTCTGTCGCTCCCACCTCTGATGATGCACCCGCATCTGATGGAAGAGCTACCGAGAAGTCGACGACGAATAGTGAAGAAAATATGTTTTTGAAAGCTCCAGGAAGACAGGAATTCAAGGATCCGCCTCATATCCTTATCATCGGCGCTGGCTCTCGTGGTTCAGCTTACGCCAGAGCCGCGCAAACGTCTACGAATGCTGTCATCGCTGCAATTGCTGAACCAATCGAGTACAAGCGAGCCCAGTTCGGCAAGAAATTCATCTGGGGCTCCGAAGGACCCAAGCCTGAACAGCAATTCCCCGATTGGAAGCAATGGGTGAAGTTTGAGGAAACTAGACGGCAGAGAGAAAGGGCTGGTGAGAAGGTAGAGAAGGGTGTTGATGCGGTGTTTGTCTGTGTGCTGGACGAGATGCATGAGGAGGTTGTTTGTGGTATTGCGCCATTGGGTCTCCATATCTGTGTCGAAAAGCCACTTTCGACTTCCCTGCAGAGCTGTATGAATATCTACAGTTCACTAAAGGGCGAGGAACAGAAGAGGAAGACGCTCACCAATGGGCATATCAACGGAGAGGTTAATGGGAAGACGAAAGCGAAAGAGACCGTGTTCGGCATTTGCCATGTTCTTAGGTACAGTCCGCACAACATGATGCTTAGGCAGCTGGTGCTGGAGAAAGAGGTCATTGGAGATGTCTTGAGCATTGAACATGTGGAGCCTGTGGGATGGTGGCATTTTTCTCATAGTTATGTGAGGTATGTTTCTCACGTTCGTTTGTACCACGAGCCTGTTAGGATGAAGCTAATTTCGCATCAGAGGCAATTGGAGAAAAGAATCAACCACCGCCCCCTCCCTCCTAACCAAGTCTTGTCACGACATCGACTTCATCATGTGGATGTTATGTTCCCCACCCCCAAACAGTGGTACGCAACCGCACTTACCCTCCTACCTTACCTCAACTGGCTCCAGGAAGTTCTTCCGAAAGGAAAGGAAGCCAAAAGGTGCGGGCGATGCCACGAACTGTCTATCGTGCCCATATGAGCAAGACTGTGATTACAGCGCGAAGAAAATCTACCTTGAGAAGCAGCTGAAGTTTGGTAACACTGGATGGCCTGTTAAAATTGTCAATCCTGAGATTGAAGAATGCTACAAGAGCTTCGGTATCGAAGCAGCAAGCGAAAAGCTGCTAGGGAGCCTGAGGGAAGACTACTCACCAAAGACGCCTGTCAAGGAAGTTGAGAGCCGTCCTTGGTTTGGCCGGTGTGTTTTCGAATCAGACAACGACGTCTGCGACGACCAATGTGTGACGATTACTTGGGATGACGATCCCATCAGCAACGAAGACGATGGCAGGCCAATCTTAAAAGGACGAGGCGCAAAGACTGCTCAGTTCCACATGGTAGCGTTTACAGACAAGATTTGTGAGCGTCGAGGACGGATATACGGCACAAAGGGGGAGATTGAGTACGACAGCGCTAGTATCAAAGTGCACGACTTCTCCACAGGGTACACGAAAGTTCACCACCCCCATATCGCAGGAGGTGGACACGGAGGTGGAGACGAAGGGTTGGCGAGGCAGTTCATTATGGCGGTAGAAGCTGTCGATAATCAGGGGATGTCGGCGGCAGAGGCTCAGCGGAAATTCCTCGGGTGTGACCTGGACGAGGCATTCCGGAGTCACGCAATGGTCTTTGCTGCTGACGAGGCCCGAAAGGAGAGAAAGGTAGTAGACTGGAAGCAATGGTGGCAGGATCAGGTGGAACAGCAATTCCACCAGCGGTAAAAACAGACCAGCGAGGTATCCAGGGTGGTCTCCGGACATGACGAAGCTGGGCGCGTACGGCAAAAGCATGACCATCATCATTTCGGTTTCTGAGGTCTAGAGGCGAGCTCAGGCGACGATGAAGCGATGAAGTGTTCGAGGTGCTGTCTGCTTTGGGGCAATTAGCGGAAATTCAGATTTCCGGTTTGAGACTGGTTCTTCCGGTCTGGGGTTATTTTGGGGAGATGTTGTGTTACTAATTAAACCTAATAGCTCTTGTTTGAGATGGCCGGCGCTTAAATAACCCCTGTTTGGGAGTGACACATGGCAGCATGAGGCTCTACGGACATTATTTTAGCCTTGTAACAGTCTCATCGCCAGCCCTACCCTCCATGAGAGCGTTTCCCCGTGCAACGTTTGGTCGATGTCGGCGCTTGGGTGGTAGATGGCCAGCAGCCAATGGGCAGGCTAGCCTCACAGTGAATCGGCAAAGAATCTGACCGCGGAGCGCAAACTGACGTTCGGACGGTTCCGGGGTTAGCGGGCGCTGTAGTCAAGCGTTGCGTTGCGCATGACGAGCTGGAGCTGTCGAACAGCGAGAGCGTGGAAGTGGGCGATGCCTGAGACCCCGAACAGCAACGAGCGCAACGCGAACTCAACGCGACATCACACTGAGCGATTTCTCGACCGTGTTATAGTCGTGAACAGAGAGGCTGGAGAGAATGAGTCACTGCTGTCTCCATGCACGGCGATATCAAGAAACGAAACAGCAAGCATTCGTGGGCCAATCGTGTGTCTTTCCCGGCAATGACTCTTGACGGCTGCAGAAACAAGCCTCTTGGTGCTGTTCACTCCCCTGTTGCCCCACGTCCGCGGGAGTCCGTTCATCGCCAGCGCAGGCGCTAAAGATCAACACCACACCCATCCATTCGCCCCTTCGCGCTGCAATCTTCAAACTGCCGCCCTCGTCTCTACAATCATCGTTCAATGTCCCACGACAGCGCTACAATACGGCGCCACGGCTCCCGGTTTCATCTTAGCCAGCCGCCCCGCATGCAGCGCCTCGCCGTTCTGCTCCGGTTCTGTATAGCGACTCTACTGCAACCTCACTGCCCGCAGCCACTCATAGTCAATCCTTCCATCCCGCCAAACCGGATCTGTTCCGCGCCGCTTCAGAAATAGAAAAGTAGGCTTGTAAACTACAGCAGTTATGCTTCTCTCCCATGTACTCGCCCACATGTCCGCTAAGTTTCAGGCGTCTTCTAGCAGCAGATCTGTTGTGATACTGCCGCCAGACCGCTCGATAACCCCGGGCCTCGTTTTTGGGCCTCGATGAATCTTGTTTCAGAGTGTTTTAGCGCTAGAGTGCGATCGTGGTGCGCGTCGCGATCCAGTGGATCTGATGCCTTCAATCTGAGGAGGATAAGTAAGGTAGCTTTGCCGCACAACCAACGTCCGCTCCAGCATTCATTTACATTGCACTGCCTTACGAGCCCCGACGAGTTCCCTTTGTTCCATTTGCATTGCCACTAACAACCCCGGGGCTGGCCTCTACTCTAATCACTATTCATAATTTGCCTTTCGCTCCTGTCCAGTCCTTTTGCGTAAGTCAATTCGCTGTCGTCATTCGTTCCTATGAACTACATCCTCACGCTTTTTTTTTAGTCTGGTAGCAATTCTCAATTCACAATGTTCCACCGTCAAACAACGCCGCCGTCCGCCACCTTCAATTACATTCCGGGCAGTGTCGGTTCCTCGACCGACGGAGCTTTCTACTCGCACGACTCCTCGCCTGACTCCGTCAACACCTCATCTACCACTCCACCAAGGTCCCCCATCAGACAACATGGACCACTTCTTCTTCCCAAGGTCCGAACTCAAGACCAGATCCCCGAACCTACTGGTGGTCCAGTTAGACATCGCAGGACGACGTCTAGCTCTAGCAACGGTTATGCCTCGGCCTACGGCCCTTACTCCCGTCCTAACTCCATGATCCGTCGAGGATCAAGTCCCTACAGTCACAGCGCCCTCACATCTCCTATCTCTCAATCTTCGTATGATATGGGGCTCACCTCGACTCTGAACTCTCCCATCTCATTCTCTTCCAATGAACCTCGTCGCGCATCCGTTGCTCACTCTCGTTCTCACTCTGCGAATGGCCTTCGTGGCCATTCTCGCTCTGGCTCTGCTGGTAGCATCGATGAGTCGGTTATTAGCCGTTTCGGCTTCCCTACCTACCGTCAGCTTCCCAACTATGTCACGGCTTCAAGCACTGCCCAGCCCAGCTTGAACGTCGTCACCACCTCTCTCTCCAATGCCCTTCCCACCACCTACCCTCAGGTACAGGATATTTCTCAGTACACCACGACTACTGCTCAGGACTTCAGCATTCCCGAGTTTGAGCCAGCACCAGCTGTTCAGTATCCCATCGCATCGGAGCTCAGCTTCGATGTCTTTGAGAATGCCTCTACTTCTTCTCTTCTTGAATACCTTACCTGCCCCAACCCTTCCCCAGCCCTCGTTCGCCGTGTCACAAGCGTGGGTCGTGGTATGCACAGCCACTTCTGGTGGGACATCCGCAACATCCGCCAATGGGCCGACTTCAACATGTCTAGCGTCACCTCTATCCCGGGTGTGCTTCCCCTGCTCGAAGTCCCTGTTCCTACCTCCTGGCTTCCCGAAATCGGCCGCCCCAATCTCCAGCCGGAGAATGAGGCTGCGCTGCACGACATCTGCAACAACTACTACGCCACCAAAGTCAATGCCGCCCTCAAGATAGCCCAAGGCAGCACGCACATGATGATGCGGGCTTGCAAGCCCATTCCCGGGATACGGCAACAACCTGAATTCGTCTCGAACTACCAATCTGACTACGAAAAGACCATCTACGGTGACAGCCGGGGACGCGTCGTCGGACTCGTCAAAGTGTACGACCAATGGAACACGGGAATGCGCGGCGAGAGCCCCCCCAAACAAGTCCTATACCTTCAGGGCCTTGCTCATCTCCACCGCGTGATGCGCGAACACGGCTGCCGCTACGGCTTCATCATGACGGAAATTGAGTTGCTCTGCGTACGCTGCGGCGGCCCCTCGGACGCCGCAACAGTGGACCCCACTACCGTCAACGCGCAAACCGGTATCCCCATCTACGGCTACCTTGAGGTTTCCGCCCCCATCCGTCTCTCGACGCACGGCATGCACCCCGAGACCGGCGCTATCCAAATGACCGCTGGAATCGCTCTCTGGTATCTCCATATGCTCGCTAAAGAGAGCCCGTTCGAGGGAATGGGTACCTGGCGCATGGAGGTCGGAGGTCCGGCGGCGTTGACGAGGCAGAATTACCTCGAGAAAGATAGCTGGATTCCGAAGCCGAATCTAAGTGAGAAGCGTGAGGCGAAGAGGGTCCGGGGATGGGTTTTCCCCGATGAGCCTTTGAGTAAGAGGGAGTGTGGTCGTGGGAAGAGGGCTAAGAGTCAGGGTTGAGTTAATCGGACTGCGTGACTATCGACCTGTTCATTCAGTCATGATTCATGATAGAGAGAGAGAATACGGATGCATACCTCGGTCTGTATAAGCATATTGGAATCGGGGGTACATCGCTTGTAATATTCGAGGTTATTGCCTCGCTGGCCAAAAGGGCATTGGATGGGTTTGAGCTTTTGTACGGCCGCCGGTACGGCCTCATAGCGTTTCCAATTTCCTTACGTCTTCTCTCTCTTATCTCCTTTCTTCTAGTTATCTTCAAACATTGTTGGCGTTTGAGCGGTAATCGTCATTTCTAGGTGTCTTTTGTCTTTGCGCACGCACAGCATTGCTAGGTGTTTTGGTCTATTCCGACCTATAGTACTGAATAGAAAGGTATTCCTTCAATTCTGCTCCTCAGTCTCACAAGACATTAGTACACGATATATTACATGACTAGAATTTATAGGTTAAAAGCACTTATTAGAATCAGAGAGAATGCTAAAAGGCTGCAAATCTATGTCCTGAATTCCAAGGGTACCGCTCTAGAGTCACGTGATGTCAGAACGCCAGTGCGTTCTTTCTTCACCATCACCCATTCTCTCCCAAAAAATGTAACTCCGCGCACAAACCCCCTTCCAATATCCCTCTCATCCAAATTCGATTCCATCGCCATGTCGTCCTCACGAATCCCAAAGCCGCCCCTCGAAGTCGGTAGCGGCATCAGGATCCAATATCACCAGCACTACAAACCCCGCTCCTTCCCCAAAATTCAGTGCCACTATGCTAGTTCTTCGTAAACCGGGGGGCTCTAAGATGAGCTGCCCAACCAACCTTGGGCATGGCGTTCCATCGTACTATATGAATCACATAGCTCCTTGGACCCTCAGTCCACAACACACCACCTCTTTTATAACTCATGCCCCCTGCAAGGCTTCATTCTTCCCTATACCGCTCCGCGATCCCCGAATTCATGAACCTCTGGCAAGCATAGCTGCCAGACTGCATACCCACCATCTTCCCACTACACTGTTAGGCACCGAGTCCTCGGGGATGAGAGGTCATTTGGGAGACATTGTACTTGTGGGCGTTGATGAGCTGGAGAGTCTGGAAATGGAAGAAAGCAAGGGGCGAGGTTTGGAGTCCAAGTTAGCAAGACTCTAGTCTACCCAATTATTGTTTTTGTGGAAGGGGTGATATCTTTAGCGACGTCCGCACTACTCTCCGCAGGTTCCCCAACCTTGACAGCGATAGGTATACCTCTGAGTTCATAACTCTCCCTCTCCCTCCCAATATCTCCTCTTCACACTAACTGCGCTTATCAAATGAACATGTTTACTGTACGCTAGCCACGCGTCTTGCATTCGGAATCCCAAGGAGCATTACGAGAAAACAGTGGAGATCATCTACGAGAGCTATATGTTTTCGTAGGAGTTGAGGGGTGGGGGGTCTAGAATGTGGTTGCTAGTAGTGAATTAGGGGACGTTTGGACGTCTGAAGGCGAAGGTCTTAGTAGTGAGGTTTCCGTTTGAGAAACAAAGAAGAGAGTGCGGGTGTGTGAGCCAAGGTTTAATGGAGATTGGAAGAAGGGCAGGGCGGGAGAGCTGGGGTTTTAAGTGAATGGTATATATGAGGTGAAGTTTGGGAGATAGGGTGGTGTTACTGCTTAACTTTGCTACGACTGACGTAACTGGGGAGTCGGCTGCTTTGTGAATGAGAATCAGGCAGTGAGTGACACAGTCTCGGGATGGGCTATGGCAACACCTTAACCTAGTGGAATACAAACACCATGGGGTGCTCGCTAATCCCCTTGCTCTCCTGTTACGCCCTCTAAAGCATGAGGTAGATAAAAAGCCTTCAAACACTTTCGGCCTTCAGCACATCTTTCACTCGACTCCATAACCACAGTGCTCTCTCTCTCCAGCCTTGTCACAGGAATTAGCCAAGTAAACACAAGACCGCTGCCACACCATCTCAACTCCACTTCAACTGCTTGTACCTTCATCTCCCGCCGCTTGCGACGGATGCCTCGCTCGGAGCCACGCAAACGCGCTTCAGAGGCAAACAAACACCCGCAGCAGCAAGTATGTCTCCGCCGCTATTCCCGCCGTTGGAGAAAAATCGCCACCATCCTCCCCGAAATTTTTCTCGACCTTTCCCTGCGCAATCCCTGACAAATTCGCCGCATCAGATGTCACCGACCAAGATCGCGCCGTGGAAAGAGGCTCTCGGAGGCCAGTATCCCGTCGCGTACTTTTTCTACGGAGCAGTAGCAGAGCCAAAAGCATTGAAGCGGGTGTTGGGGTTAGGTGAAGAGCCAAGAGTTCGGAAAGCGAAGATCTTAGGGTATGAGAAGGTGAAGAGCAGGGGTGGTTGGTCGGTGCTGGGGAGGGAAGATGATAAAGGCGAGGTGAGTGGTGTGGTGTATATGGTCTCCTCGGACATAGAAGAGAGGAGCCTCCAGGGATTTGTAGGAGTTGCATATCGGGTTGCTAGTGTGGAAATTGAAATATTATCACATGGTCTGAGGAGAGGAAGGAAGGTTGAGGGAAAGACGTTTGTCTACACTGGTGACACGGACATGGACACAGATATCCTCACCTCCGACCTCAGGGGTCCTGACGCTAGTTGTGATGGGGATGGAGGTTCGGACACGTTGGATAATCTGCTAAGGAAGCTTTGGCCTCTGCCACCCGAGCCTTCGATACCACCGCCATCGGATTCGTCGGAGTCCTCGAACTACCGCTATTCAAGACGATTTACATCCCAGAATTTTAGTGTACCCCTATGCATCAGGCCCTGGAATCATGACGTACTAACGGCGCAGGGTGTCAGTTATCCTACTCCCACCCACGACCCTAAACTCCCAGAGCGCTCGCCTTCACTAAGACTCTCGACCATCATTCCACGGCCGCCGACATATCATGGTCCTTCAATTTTGGATACTGAAGTAATGCTTATAGATAGAAAGAGGATGTCGGGCCTTCAAGACGATGGGCAAGGCATTGAGTTACGGAAGTTGGGGGAAAGTGTCCACTTATGTGAAAAGATGGAGAATGCGAGAGTGGGATTGGATTTGAGGAGAAAGAACCATATGAGCAAGACTAGAAGTGCTGTTCTCGAAGGTGAAAAGGCGAAAAGAGAGATGACAGGGAATAGCGATGGCGAGGAAAGGCTCGAGGAGATAAAACTAACTGATGGTTGTAAGGTTGACTTGTTGGAGAGGCTGAATCAACCACTACCTCCACTCCCAGAACAGTCTGGAGTATTACACCCAGCCATTATTAAGAAAGTTAGGGTCGCAGATGTGGATGAGCGAGAGAGGTGGTGGAAGGATGGGATAGGGGTTGCTGTGAGTAGGTATGACGCCGATGAGGAGAAATGAGTAAGGTACACCCGGTTAGCTATGGTGAGGTGGGGCTGGGGCGAATCAGATCTCCTCTCGTCCATATCCTCAATATTCCCTTTCCCTTCATCCACTTCATGTACGCTGAAGCAAAAAGAGAGATTCTATCAACTTCATACTTATCTTTGACAAAGCTCACAATATGCCAAGTCGCCACAAACCTCTATGCGTTGTGATCGGCTTCAGGGGGGGTTTTTTTTTTCACAACCTAACGTCCTCGAGCGAAAGGCAGGAGCAGAATTAAGCAGCATATAGCAAAAGCAAGCAAGGATAGGCGGCTTCCCAAATTAGTCAACAGGGCTGACCTTGAAGCTATATGCGTAACAGTAGTATGTTAGTGGCCTTTTTAAGACCTACGAGGGACAGACAAAATGAAGGAAGAGTAATGTTCACCACTCTTATCTCGCGGTTAATGCAAAAGCAAAATAATTGGATGACGAACTCTCATTGTTCATGAATTCCGATGGAGAACCCAAATAGCCATATTCCACCAAAGTCCCTTCCTCCAATCGAAGCCGCAATGCTCGGAATTATACACCGTGTAGGTTTCTGTCCGTGCACCATGAAAATCTGACTCTTGGGTAGCTAAGAAACACTGCAGATATCCTAGAGCGGCTCTAAAAAGCTTGATCTTGTGCTAACTTTTACTTCAGGACGCGGCAATGCTTCTAGGTGCGCTGTCGACCCCTCCGCTAGCAATTGCCTATTCGCAATCAGCATGAGTTTAGAGTCAATTTGCTTAGTTAGCCGAATTGACTCACTACTAAACTTTCCGCGTCCTGAGAATTGGCCTTTGGTAGGGGATTTGCCCGATGCCTTCTTCTGATTCTTCTTACGCTGAATTTCCTGCAGATCGTTTACGAAGTCGAATTGACCTTGAACGCCAGGGGCATCTCCATGTGAGTGCAAAACGTACCTCCGGTGATATCATCACCGTAACGGTCATCTACCGCGGTGAGGAATGCATCCCTCGGGTCTTCGACTTCCTGAGAGGATGGGCCTCGTTGATTTGGACCTGATTATAAGTTAGTTCAGCTCTTCATGTTAAACTAAGAGGCAAGGACTTACCTCCTAGATTAAGCCTTCCTTTGTAGCTTGGCGACTTTGGTGATCGCGAATCTTGGCTCTTGTCCTCTGTACAAAAGCATTAACTTAACAGACCAAATCAAGAAGCATTTACAGTTACTTACTCTTCGGCGTCTCATGCCGATGGCTGATGTCCGCATCTACCGCATTCGTCCGATTGTCGACGGGTTCTAGCTGTCGACCAAACGCATGCTCTATATTAAGTGATGAACCTACATTAGTCTTTTCGGTGACTTGGTTTCCGAAACGTGCGTCAAAGATTCAGAAGTCCATCGGGAAGTATTGACCAGCTTCCTCGACATTCTCGACAACCCACTAGCTCAAATGATCAACTCATACTTCATTTCCTAATCGGGGTCCCGTTGAATTCCTCGAGGAAGGAGTGATGCTGCCATCGTGCGGCCGGAGCGGACAAGGGTCGGTCGATGGCCGCGGCGACCTAATGGAGGGACGGCTTTAAGGGGGGATCTGTCGTAGAGTAGAGTAGAAGTGTCGAGCTGAACGTTCTCCCTCAGGAAATCCCTATTCCCCCAAGCATTCAAGGAACTCCTTGCAATCACCCTGCCAGACCTCTAGGAATCAGGCGGTTCGATCATTCGACCCATCGCGCAATCAGGTTTACATGGCGTGCTAACCGGATTCGGTACTCACGTTGGATGAATCACAGGGCTAGAGTCGAGGAAACCGCTCGCAAACTGATTTATCGGGCCATAGGGACGAAAAATGGTGTCAGAAAGAGATTGATTTGGGGGTGTCACTCGAGATGTATCGGATTTGTGGAATGGAGACTGTGAATACATAGAGGAGGTGAAGTTCAGAGGACTCTGAGCGTGGGTGTGAAGTGTGATCCCATATTCACGAGGCTCTAGAAGTTTTGAGAGAGTTGTTGGCGCTGATGCGATGGATATGGAGGTAGCTGTTGCCTTATGCGTACTTTCTATTTGTTCCCTTTTCCCGAAACTGAGGTGCCCAATGGCTGAGAGCGACACAGTATGCAATTGTTCGTCTACCTAGACCCTGAACCCCTATTCTACAGGGTATCGAATAAGAAGAACCCTAGAATACCTTCCTCAGCCCCTGTAACGCCAAATATGCATTGCTCGTTGTTACTGCTCGTTGTTACACAGGCCGAGCCCCTGTTCTGAATCCTATAAACCCATCATAAATTTAGAAGAAAGGCGGAACAAACCGCACACCTGGCGATATTTTACTTTTGTGACAGAATACAAGCAACAGAACCGCCAGTAAAGCTGATATCCTACCCCTGATTCTCACTTCTCTTCAGTTGTACCCTGCTCCGAGCTTCCGGTCCTACTTTCCACATTATTCGAACCATTCTCCTTTGCTTTCTCTTTATTAGCCATCAAATTTGGAAACATTGATTTGACAGTTACAGTCTCTGGATCATGCACATCACTTGCGTCGTGAATCTCCTGAACTTCAGACTCATCTAGCTCGCTTAACTCAGATTCGTCGTCGGCGCTGTCGTGCACGGAAGCTGGGACACTGCTTTCCGCGTTAACAACACTGCCAGCAGCGGTGACAGTTCCGCTGTTAGGAACTTGTAATTGTTCATTCGCTTGGGTTGGCGTAGACTCGGCTGCAGGCTTCTCTGATGAGATGCGCGTAGGAATAATTAGTTGAGGTGGACCTCCCAATGAAGGCGAGCGGATAGGGATTGCTGCTGGAATGGAGATAGGGACTACTGGTTTGGCAACAGCGGCTTCAGCTTTCCGTTGGATTTCGCGGCGCCCGACTGCTTTTGCTCTTGAGCGGGCGGCTGTCTCGGGCTGCGGAGGCCGATGTTGATCTGGTTGGAATATGTTCAATGGCATGTTTGGATTAGAATGCGCATCTCCAGCACCATCCACTTGAACATGGATCATTGATGAGACTGTAGGCGTTCCTGAAGGTGGTTGTCCCAATGGCATTGCTGCGCTTTGTTGCAGTTGCAGAACCTGCTGTGGCTGAACAGGTTCAGGCACAAGGGTTGGTCCAATTGTCGCATAAAGAAGGGCATAGGTGTCGCCGATAAGGTCGTCGATTAGAAGAGCCTTCATAAGGCCGTTATTGAGACGCTTGAGCTCGATGATATCTCGTAGAACTTCAAGAGTTGGGTGTTGAGAGGTCGGATCTTGGCACCACGCTTCCACTCGCGCAGCTTGCGCCTGGAAATCGTCGTTGTTCATTATCTTGAAAACCGCGTCTTCATGTCCATCTGGGATCTTCCCTACTCTGCGCAAAAGCTTTAAGTACGAGAGACACAATTCTTGCCACAGTTTGGAGTGCTCGAAGAACTCATGCGGCTTCTTTCGTACACGCTTAGCTAAGGCCTCTAGGTTCGTCCTATCACTAGTCTGGACTAAGAGTTGGACGAAAAAGCGTGTGTAACGGGATGTGTAGACGAAATGCCTACCCGGGCGCTCATGTTCTGGTTTCCAGACCTGTACTGCCATGGTCTTGGTGAACATTTGCTGTGTCAACTCGTGCTTCGCAGCGAGCGCGACCATTGTATCATTCGAGTCGTCGTATATGACATGAGCAGCACGAGCAGTCATTCGGTGGTGCCATCCGGATTTATCTGCGGCTCGGAGAGCTTTGAGTACAGCGAGAATATACCTTTCCCAATCATCAGGATTCTCAGGGCCAACGATGTTTTGCGAATAAGATGTGTTCCCTAATATCTCTTCTCCCTTCTCGTGATCGATAGCTTTGCGTTGAAAAAGTTTATGAACGATTGAGACGAGCTTATAGTGGGGTTCCATAATGGGTTCGCGACGTTCTTTCTTTCCAGGAAGATTCTCGAGAGCGCCAATAAAAGCATCAATTACCTCCTCCCACGAGGGTCCCTTAGGCGGTGGATTCTTCCCTTGCGCTACCGCGTCCGCGGCGGCATTCTCACTATCACAGTACATCTTCCAAAGACACTTACCAAGCATGAAATAGTTCCTGGGTATATTAATATCAACAAACTAGAGAAGGTTTGAAAGCGATAACTTACCACCATTTGTCAGGGTTGCCGTGGATGGCACGCTTGAACAACGCGCTGGCGAATTTCCAAGCTGTATAGTACTGCAACGGTTGGAATGGGACATATTGATACACCTGCATCGTTGTGACCCCACTATAGTACTTCTGTTCGCTCTCCCGGAGATTGAATGCGCTCATACTAAATGGTTCTCGCGACGAAGCATATATTCTGTTTCCAAAATGCGTGTACATCTCGGACACTTTCGCGATGGTCTGAGGAGCAACATCCGCATCTCGAACGGCGCAGGCTACAGCCATTGAATAGCAGTGGATTGCAGCTCTCTGGAAATGAATGAGCTCTAGGCTGCCGCTATTGAGTTTCTCTGCGGTCCAAGAGACAGCTTCCTCAATTTGGGCGTCATTTGCCTGGGCCAAACGGTACCATGACTCCCATCGATCTATTGAGTACTCCAGATCTTGCATGAAAAATGCTTGTGCGATGTGAATATCTTCGGTAGGACCGGGGACTAGTCTCTTTTGCGATCGGAATTTGTTCAAAGCGATGTTCCCCATGAGAAAGAACCATCCTTTAGATTGTGGAATGGCTGCATTAGAGGCGATGTATTTTGTGGAGAGAGAACCAACACCCTTCAAACAATTGAAGAGTGAGATTGGGGTTATCGGTGATTTAACGTAGTTCATAAGCATCTTTCGGTTTAGAGTAATGTCCCTGCTCTCCTTCGTTCGACCAAGCGCGCCGTGTACCTTGTCAATCGTAACTTTAAGCTCAGTCTTCGGGAGGTCTTTTATGCTCAATTTCCGCGCCTGAGACTGAATGAACGGTAAAAGCTGTGACGCAGTCTTTTTGTCTAGAATCTCAGGAACGGAGCTGAATTCATGGCATTCTAGGGTGTTGATGAATGTTTTCAATCCGTAAAGATCGTACAGCACTTGCGCAACTTCCGTGTCACGAGTATTGCCATCCATTACATCGTCTAGCCGGAGCATCTCATCTTTCACCAATCTAAGGAATAAGCGGCCAGCTAGGTGGCAAAAGCCTCGCACACCTGTCGCGTAGTGAACATGGCGCAAGAACTCAAATTGATCTTCAGAGGGAGTCGGGAAAGCATCGGGAGATTGCGCGATACCCTCTTTCAGAAGGTGATACTGAAGAATCCAGACCCTAAGTTGCATATCATGAAGCCTCGTGGTCATGGTGACGAACGTGTTGTTGGGGCATCCCTCGAATCTCGGTGCAGTAGCTTGCCCCACGCGCAGCAAATCCTCGAAGATATTTTCTGCGTTCATAATCCGGAGCAACTCACAAAGGGCCGTCATAGAGCTTTGCATGTGCTCATATGAGAGGCAGTCGAATGCAGTCTTCTCGTCCCTGATTATTTGCAGAATCTTGACGAGAATTTCGTCAATGATACGCAGTCTGCTCATTACCCTGACGTGACGCTCTGGTGGCTGGCATTCCCTGTAGCTAGAAGACTTGAACTCCCCGACTAGAGTTTCGATACTCCGCAGATAACAAGACATAACCTTAGGCGGGTACTCGATGCTTTCATAGGCTTCTCTCAAACGTTGCCAAAGCGATAGCCTCAGGGAAACGGAGGCTGTATCAAGGAATTTCCTCATTTCCTGGAATGGTGTTGGCCGCGGAAACTGGGGTTCGGAAGGATGATCTGATGTATTCCCAACAGTAGAGGAGGAGGCTTGAGAACCCACCTGGTCTTCGTCGTTACTAGACGTGTCTGGTTGAAAAGTTTGCTGTATCTCCTGTATGGGTTCTAGGATTGGCTCCAAGCTTTCGATGACTGCGACAGGGTCCTTGTCATCTTGATCAAACACTCTTAAGAAAAAATCTTTCATACTAATCCGAGCAAGTTCGCGGTCGATGGCGGCGATGGACAGTTCGGGCATGACTGCATTATTTTGGACCTCGATCACTGGCCCGTCGCGCGACTGAAAGATTGCTTTGAGCTCCTCCATGGAGAAGATCACATATTCCGGCTGAACCTCCTCAGTAACACTTAGACGGAAGACGGAAGCCCAAATGTGACGGAGAGCTAGTTGATCAAGGCCGATGTCAGGATCGCAGTCCGATCGAAGCTGAAGCGCGTCTCGCGCTAGGGCTAACCATCTCCCTAGACGGTCATTCTGAACTGTCTGTGTGGCGGAGTCCACTCCACTATGAGGATGTTTAATTAGGGAATATATGTCTAGGTGAAGTTCAAACAGTGTTTCGACCATTTCGAGTTGAGACGCATCCTGTTCTGAAAATCGGTATTTGCCGGATTGAACCTGAACCTTCAATATCCTCGAATTGAGATCAGATATCCGGTCGGAGAGTCGCCCGTATATGAAATCATCAAAGTTAACAATGATTTGCACCAGGTGCCTTTTGAGGTCTTCAGCCCACTGATATTGCATATAGCTAGATCTGCTGCCTTGACCTGAAGGATCAGGTGAAGGAAGTGAACCAGGTAGGAGCAAGGCCTCAAGCCAGGCTAATGCGACTTCTTGGGCTGACAGCCATTCCACGTTGATTTTGTGCGCAAATGGCGCCAGCCTCTCGTTTCCTAGAATAGGTTTAACACAAGCTTGTGAGGTACTTGTCTTGGCATAGCCTAGGAAGGCATTCAACCCAGCTTCTCTCGACATCCCGCCAAGGTCGACAGTCTCGTTGCTGAGAAAAACCGCGGCTATCTTCGAACCACCGCCCTGTATCGATGCGTACATGTCACATGCAGCCCTGTCAATGTCACTAGTGGCTGCGATCCCTGGTTCGCCAGCGATAACAAAGTCTCTCAGTTCTTTGGGAGAACCGAGGCCTTCGACACCAAGTCTAACAAAAATATCGTTAACGACCTCGAAGAGATACTGGTCCGCGAGAAGTAGTGGGGAAAGCTGATCTTCGATTTGTTTTGCTAGATCTGGGCCGGCAGAGTCAGGTCCAGTGCTCCCATCGGTAACCGTCTCGCGGGCTCGAAGACGTTTACTGCGGGCGCGTCCTCCCTCTGCTGTTTCGGGAAGACCAGCAGAGTCAGTCGAACGTTTTCGAGATTGCGTGGGTGCAGATTCTTGAGGTGTCACTGATCCTGCATCCTCAGTTTTCACCGTTAAATCCTTGTCCTGATCCTCCATGGAGACATCTTGACCCTCCTTTGCGGACGTTGCAGCATTCTCCACTGTGGCAGAAGCGTTTTCAGGAACCTGCACAGGATGAGTCACTTCAGATGCGAGAACGACTACTTCCTCCTCAGGAGGAGTATCGTTCGGTTTATCCTCTCCGTCAACATTGGCATCTGGAGGTATGTTGATATTCAAGCTTGAGCCGGGAGATGGTTCAATGAAGCCACCTTGCTCGGCCATGAAGTGGTGCAAAATCGCCTCTCCAACAGCAGCCCAGTCCCACTTGCTCGGGTTTAGGAAGATGCGCTCGGGTGTTCCACGAAGTCTCTCTGAGGGGCCTGCCTTTGCGACTTCGCAGGGTAAGGGTGCGAATGGGTAGGGGTTCAGCCGCTTCTTCAGGGTTTCTGAAAGCTTTTTGCGCTTCATGGACGACAGAGGTGCTTGCATAAGCGAGACATTATCCTCCAGCTTTTCCACTAGTTCCCTCAATTGCTGTCCTGCAAAACCCTCTTCAAGGCCAGGGAGACGGAGGATGCTGCCGAGTAGTTCATCGTCCCCATCCAAGACGGCTTCTAAGCAGAACCTTGTGATACGCCGGCTGCCTAGGAGGGCCGCTACCGAAGCTGTACGTATCCACAGATCTAGATCTGTATCTTCCTTGTCCAGGGCTTCTGCGAAGTATGTCAGGGCAAGGATCACGTGGTTCGATTCGAGGAGCTGCAGCACTGCACCATGTTCCCTAAGCCAGTGCTGCATCGTCTCCAACATGAACTGGCCATGGTTCTTGTACGAAAGGTGCAATATTTGGGGTAGGGTATTTGGCGCGCTCTCGTTGCCGCCGACGAGTTGGACCGGTCCTGATTCGAACTCGTCCTGCAGGATATTGTCGAACTCCAAGTTTTCCCCAAACAGCTCATGACGCTTGTATTCCGACAGAGACTCGGTGTATTTAAATATTTCGGAGTTGAAAAGGGCTTTATAAGCGTCGGCAGCTTTGTCGAAAGATGGTGGGCCCTCGGAATGGTACTTGAGGGCCGTCTGGTAGAGCTTCAGGGCGTCCTCGATCTGGATTTCTTTGGTATTATCGACTTCATCCTCGGACTCGTTGTCCGATTCAACATTAAGCGCCTTGAAGGCCGACTGCTCATCAAGTCAGTACTGTCTTTCGATGGGGGAGGTCTCTAAACGTACCATGTTCGAGGTGGCTCGTTATGCACGCGTCGAAGGAGGCGGATGGGAGGGGAGAGAGGGGCGAGAAGGGAGGACATTCAGTGGACAAAAGCCTGTGGATAGGCCGCCATTCCGAGGCTGTGGCGGCTTTCACGGGTGTCGCGTCGTGGTTGTCGCGTCGCGGGGAGCAGTGAAAGAGCAGTTGGGCAGTGGTGCTTGATCTCAACGGCAGGTCTTGGCAGGCTTCTCCGAAACGACCGCAAGCCAATTTGCTGCTTCCAGCTGTCGGTGAAGCATCAACCCTGACATTCACCCCCCCCGCGACATCTGAACACCCGCACGTCCACTTGCATGCGCAGACCCGCCTGACAATTTACCCTCTACTGTGGATTCACACGCCGCGCCCCGGCACCAGCTAAGCAATGGTGACCGCTCCCGCCGTTCCTGAGTAGGCCTCCATTCGTTTTTCTGAGCTCCGTCACACATCTGCATTCACGCTGTCTTCGCTCGACGCCCAGTGCGCTATCACTCTTCCTTCCTGCATGATATGCGCTCTTATCAATTGTTCTGTATTCGGCTTGCCCGTCGCATATCCTCTGCCCCACAGCGTTGTATGCTAATCAGGCTTCTCCCACAGGATTTACGAAGATGAGCTCCACTCCGCCATTGAGGCTCGTGCCGAGTCTCTGCAAACACTGCGCGAATTGGGCCCGCCAGACCTTGTTCATCTCATCAAACAGCCCATCAAGTCCACGACAAAACAGGTCCGATCCCCCAGCCCTCAAGCTCGAATTGACCGGGATACTAAAACGGACACAGGTTGGCGTCTACCATCATGTTACTGGAATAGACGCTTCGTCCTCTGCGAGCTTAGCCGCCTACATAAACACCCTGACTTATTCTCCCCATGACAAGCAGCACAAAGTGGTGTCTGGATTATACTGGTATGCTGAGGCCGATTCTGTGGCGCGAGTGCGGTTCTGACGAGTCAGTTGTTACAACGCCTTCTCACGGCTGGACATGCGCGTCCAGGTCTACATCCCAGGAACGGTGGAAAGCTACTGCATCGACGAACGTGGAGATAAGCGAGTAGCCACTGATGAGCTGTGGCTGGAGACATATCTATGCAGTGTGCTGCGAGCGTACTCTTACGCCGACGATGGATCGGGCGACACCATCAAGAAGATTGTTGGGGTCCGAAGATTCAACCCGATTACCAGCACTGAGAGCGAGCATAAGTTCCTCGATGCAGCTGAGCGCCTCTTTTTTAATGGTAACCAGCGCTTGAGCCGTTGAAGGAAATGATACGCTAACGCCCTCCTTAGGTTGGCAATTAGGATCTGATCCTGAGATCCAGGTGCCGAACCTAGTCTCGAATCACCTGACTACAGGCCTGCTAGACTACATTCACACTACAGGCAGATATGCTTCAGGAATTAATCTCTTTGAGAAGCTACGGACGCGCGATCCTGAGATCTCGTCTCTGCTAGCACAAGTGTACATTGCAGCCGACGAAGAAGTAAAAGCAGTGCAACTGCTGCATGAGGCGATCCAAGAATTACCCATGGATTACTCATTACTTGACTGCCAGGCCGACTTCTGTAACAAGAAGGGCCGCAGCGACCTCGCCCTTGAGATTGCCAAGCGGAGTGTCGTTTCTGCTCCCAGCGAATTCGGAACATGGGCAAGGCTTGCAGAAATCTACGTTAGCCTCGAGCAATGGGACCTTGCATTACTGACGCTGAACTCATGCCCGATGTTCACATACCAGGACAAGGACGCACCACGGATGCCTGAACCACAGAGAGTGTTCCTTCCTATCATGCCGGAAGCTATTTGCGATGAGATAGAAGACAGTAATGTTGATGACGTCGAGCTTGTGCATCCGACTCTGCGGAAGCTCCACGCTGCGGGATTCAAAGGCACATTTTTGAAGGCGTACATCCTCCTAACTAAGATAACAAAGAAGATCGGATGGGATCAATTGCTCCGAATACGCAGTCAGGTGTTCGTTATGGAAGAGGAGTATAGACACGAGAAGCAGACAATATCACACCAACCGCAATCTCGAAATGCCAGCACGACAGCCCTGCGATCGCCAAGCCCAAAGACCAACGGACACGGCGATGTGGAAGAAGTGTCGGAATCCAGTGATACTCTGAATGGAGAGCCTACCGTACCCGAAGCAGAAGACAGACATTCGATCGAGAAACCGGGCCACACTGTTGCGTCCGAGGTCGTCAAGGCTGGCAGCGATGAACCAGTCCACCAACCCAACTACACCCATTTCCAAAACAAGCGGCTTTGTGAACGCTGGCTTGACAACCTGTTCATGGTACTCTACGAGGATCTACGCGTCTACACTATTTGGCGGACAGAGATGGTGCAGTATCGACAACAGCAGCTTTTTTACAAGAAATCACCAGAAGAGTGGGAGATCCTTGGTGAGCTCGCAGAACGATTGCATCATCTAGAGGAAGCCATAGAAGCGTACGAGAACTGCTTGCGGATGAAGTTTAGCCCAAAGGCCATGAGAGGTGTTCTGAAGCTAAGCGAATCGCGCCATAATGTTAGAGAAGTGTGTGGTGCGTTGATCCGGCTGGTCACGTGGCAGTATAGGTGGTACTCTGAGGTATATTGCTTGAGATCCATGCATGATGCTTGCAAGTTACGAACGCTAATGGGTGTGCTAGTTCTCGCCATCGCTCCTCTACACCATCCGAAAACTCATCGAAGAAGAGGGCGCGGTCAAGATCAGGAGTATCATCCAAGGAACAAGTCTACCGCAACATGTCCTGGATCTGACACATCAGTACGCCGCGTTATGTGCTGCTTTCAGGAGCAGCGGTAGCGATGGCTAGTCGAAGGGTCGTAGCATGTTGCTTTGCATTTTGTCCCACGGATGAGAATCGGGAGGGTTAAGTTAGCTGTTATGCCTGTGAATGTTAACTTTGGTGGAACGGACACGGTGGATGTCATTCGACTGGCGAGATCATGACCGCGCTCAGTGGGAAACTTTGAAACGTATTTTTGTAATGCCTGCAAGCGATGGAGTGAGGTTCATTCGTGTACAGACTACAATGATAACGGATGTTGCACCTTTTCCAACATCACGACATTGCCCAAAGTACATCACTAGAGATGCTGCATACATCCATTGTGTCTTGCACCCGATATATTTCGTTTTTATCGTCACAATTCACCGAGTCCATTCAGGCTGCGCGCCAAATCCAGCGGAGCACCATGTCACAGACCGTCGAAAGGAGAAGACCCAGACCATGTAAAAGCCCGCGATAAACACCACCATTCCATCCATGCCGTCCCCACTCCACCATCCCCCGTCCATCGCCTCGCTTAACGGTAGGACTTTTGGTACCTCGCACGCGCACCGGGACCGCCGAATTTCTTGGGCTCGCACCGCCTGTTGTCGGCCACGAGGAGGGTTCGGTCGTACTGGACAAGGGCTTGCTTGAGCTGGTTCTTGGAGTGCTCGTCAACGTATTTCTGGTAGTAAGCGATGATGGATTTGGCGATGGCTTGGCGGATGGCATAGATCTGCGATGTGTGACCACCGCCAGAGACGCGAACTCGGATGTCGACGTCGGCTAGAATTTACCAAGTTAGTGCTGAGGAGTCCAATAGAGATGAGGCGATGAAAGGTGTGGTTGAGGTGGATTGTAGGCCGCGCATACCGAACTTGTCAACGCCAAGAATCAGGACGGGCTCATAGACTTTGAAGCGCAGGATCTCAGGCTGGACCAGCGAGATGGGCTTTCCGTTAACTTTGATGAGTCCTTTACCGGCCTGAAATATATCTACTCAGTATATTGCTCTCTCGCGCACTCGATAATGGGATTGAAGGTAGTACCTTGCAGTGGGCGACGGCTGTGATTGAATTTCGTTAGCCAACAGGCACTGGGTGCGGGCTCTGGACAGACTTGGGGGAGCGTACCAGTCGCGGTCTTCTTCTTTCCGAAGCATTGCACGCTTTGAGTAGCCATACTGGGCGGCCGTTCTCTAGATTCGTGCGGTGGAGGAGGTGGGCGTGAATCGGGCGTGTCGTCAATTGTTCGAATGTCGTTGATGCTCACCTGGGCAAAATTCAGAGTGGGCTTAGCGAATATGGTCCGTGCATGTGCTTGGCGAGCTTGGCGGAGACAGCCATTATCGCGAGAAACCTTGTAGTCCAGCCTGGAGTCCAATCTGGAGTCCAACCTTGAACGTCTTAACGCTGGATAACTGCCTCTTTACTTCCTCTTCCACAATACACAGAAAGAAGGCCACAATTATGCTCTCTTCAATAAGGAGAATATTAGCTAGGCTGCCATCTCGTCCCTACCTACGTATTCAGCTCGCTCTTTCGTCGTAACATAGTAGGTGTAACCCCGCACACTCTCTTCCTTCTCTAAAGGTCCGTTGTGCCTCTCTGTAGTTCCTGCCGTATTTCGAGGCTAAGGTTCCCAGAGTTTGTTGGGGTTTCTAAACCCTTTCTCCTCGTCTTCTTCTTCATTCAACCCTCAACCTCGCCTTTCGTTGCATCTGATACCCAACTCATTCTTCTTCATAACGCCCATACACTTTTACATTCGCTCTCAAAATGCACTATTTTCTATATGCCTTTGGAAGCAACGGCGAAAGCCAGCTCGGACTCGGTTTCACTTCAGATGGAGAACATGCGCCAACGCTTGTACCCGCCCCTCCGCCACGCGACAATATGTCTATTCGCAAAATCTGTGGCGGTGGCAACCACACTCTAGTTCTGGCCGACAACGATAAAGTCTACGTCGCTGGGTTGAATACAGATGGGCAACTGGGGCACATGTTGACCCAAAGGCCCTCTAATCGCCATGCAGCCCATGACGAAAGGCTGATTAAATTTGACAAACGTTACCGCGATATCTCATTCTGCGCTGCGACAGAGACCACGTCAGCATACATCCTCAATGGGTGCTCTAAGCAGAACAAATCCCCTACGCCAATTCTGTATACCGAAGGCCGCGGGCGGTTGGGCGAGCTCGGTCGTGGCGAGATGGACAAAACCAAGGATCAGTTCACCATCAACGTCTTCGACAAGGATACTCTGTCTACGCCATTAGCTCAATTCGAGAACTTGGGCATAGTTAATACACATATTAACACTCACCCGGAAGGCTTCAAATTCCCCCGACAAGTCGTTGACTTCGCCGGAGGAACGTGGCACTATGCGGCTGTCCTCGACAATGGAGATGTTTGGGGCTGGGGAAAGAACCGCAATGGACAACTAGGCCCATCTCAGTCAGAGACTTTGATATACCCAACCAACCTATTAGGAATCCCCTTCGAGGCCGACCGAGTTGTTTGCGGTAAAGAGTTCACCTACATTGTCGGCAGAAAAAACGAAGGCTTCCATTGCATTCTTGGAAGTAATAAGTTTCGAGAGAACATGCCCGACTGCGTTCCACACTGGAAAGATATCGGCGCCACTTGGAACGCCGTTTTCGTCCTCTTCGAAGACGGCAGCCTTATCGCATTTGGGACAGAGAGACAATGGAACCTGATTCCACCAAATCTCCCCTCGATCGATCAAATCGCCATAGGAAATAGCCACGTCCTTGCCCTCACGGCCGCAGGCAAACTGATATCATGGGGTTGGGGTTCCCACGGTAATTGCGGGTACTTAGATCCCATCAAATTCCCCGAAGGCATCGTCTCAGGCACTTTTCACGAGATCCAATCCTCCCCACCAGGAGACATTCGAAAGATCTGGGCCGGAGCTTCAACAAGCTTCGTTCTGACTTCTTGCGAGTCTCCTAGTGTTGGTGAGCTGTATCCTGAATCTGATAATGATGCTAAACAAGATATAGAGAAGGATGTGGCAGAGAGCCAGACGATGGATGTTTAACCTATTCCATCCACTGATCAACCCACAGGCACAGGGCTTTCAGCAGCTTGGTCACTCTTTAGAGCCAAACGATGCGGAACAGAATCCCGAACAATCGATGGCCGAGCATTAAGACGAAGATAAGGAAGTGGGGATATTTTGGTAAGCTGGCGTACGGACACTGGCATTCGGTCGCTTGATAGCAAGGACATAATTGCTGTCTGGAATTCAACATACGAAATATTACTAGTTGATTATAGGGTTGGCGCTCGGAGTTATATTGGTAACTGGCTTGGGTATAGATTGTATTGGTACTGTCGCATTAATAGAGCATCGCCCAACCGTGTTTTGGCTGTCTAGCCTTGCCACCCTTTCTTACGGGGAACATGCTGTCGCAACCACAAAACTTTACCATAGCAAAATGGCGTCTTGATCGCTTTGCCCTGACCAAGTAGAGAGAGTTAATCTAATTTCAACACCCGTTCTACAGAGCACACTGCCTCACGTCTTCGTCTACCATAACCCCTTGATCTGAGATACTCGCTGTGTTGGCGCCACAGCCTCATTATTATCCTCCGTTTCTGTCCGTGACAGGCTCCCACTGTCTCGAAATGTAGGGAAGATGGCAGCCTCGTGATCAGCACTCGCGTCCCACCCAAGGGTCTCTTCTTCATTATTATAATCAACCGGATCCCAACTCCTATCTTCCTCCTCTCTCCCTACGAACAAACTCTCTGGATCCGGATCCCCTTGCTTCGGCGACTTCGCTCTCCTTGACCCTGGATTGCGCCGCCGCGCTGTTCGACGTGATGCTGGCTCAGCCGGTGGGGGCATTTCAGGCCTTTTGCCCCGGTTCTCTGTTCTCTCAGACGTGGTGGATTGAGCTCGGGAGTCGGATCTACTGGATATCTGGGGCGCTGGAGTTGGCGTTAAACCGGCATAGTCACCTGATGTCATGAGAGTGAATTCGCATAAGAAACCGTCGCATCCGTAGTTAAACTGTAGAGGGCGAGTCGGCTGGGAATAGTATGCTTTTAGGTTTGTCTTGAGCGTGTCCGCGTGGATGACAATGGCCTTGAAATCCTTGACGCTGATAATGATGTGGAGGCCGGGTTGGACGTTAAAGTCCTCGAAGTCAGACGTGTTGACTGCAACAGCAGTAACAAGCGGATGCTTGAGGATCTCTTTCCCATTCGAGATTTTTTCGGTGTAACTTTTGAACACGGCGCGTCCGTCTTCGCCAGCGAAGATATCCAGCATCTCGGTCTTAGTACCGAAGTACTCGATGTACTCTTTCATTGCACTTGAATGCATACTCCACCTGTTCTTGGCAACGTTTTTGTCAAACAGCGCGTGCATCACCTCAACAGCTTCGTAGGTAAGTTTGTACGTCTTGATGACCCCTTGGTTGCACACCATCTTAACGATGAATCGGCATTCGGCTTGATCTGGCCTATCCTGGACGCTAACCTCACAGCGATCGATGGCTCCATCTCTACCCAGTGGATCGTAAAGTCGGCCTTTGAAGACAGATAGGAGTGCTTTCGTATACATGCTACACGTGAATCGACCATCAGGACCTCCGTGGCTAGGTATGCATTCATAGCTAATAAAGAATTGTTTTCCATCAAGAGTCAAGGCGGCATAGGCGGACTTGGAGGAATTAAGAGCGGTGAATGTGAACTAAGAAGAAATGAATAAAATGCCTGATGGAAAGAAGATAATATTGCCTACTCTGTCGCGACGCGCTTCGATGGCAACCGCGTCGCTGAATTTTCCGAGACAAACGAGAAGATCGTGCACCTTGGCCGCTGCCTCAGGTGTAAGCGTGAAATTGAGGACGACCATTCTTTTTCATAATCTAAAGCATCAGCTATCATGTAGTTGACCAGGGTTCGCTCAATTCATGTCTCGTTGGGGTTTGGTGGATCGTTGATTGTTGCGAACGTGCATTCGCGTTTTCCGGAAAGCTGAGGGACGCTTGTGGACAAAAACAGACGTCACCACCTGCTTTGACCTTCATCTCACCGACTTAACATGCAACATCAGCTATTAGATATGACTCCCACACTTCCGGATGATATTCTGCATCTCCTATGCGAGGAGCTCGCACACCAGGAAAATTTCGACACGCTGTTCAGCTGTGCGTGCTCGAGCAAGGGCCTCGCAACTCCCGCTTTGACCAACTTGTATCGGTACGTGACCCTCAGCATGAGAATGCTGTAGAACCATTGAATAACCGGACGTGTAGCTCTCATCATTTGGCTCCGGTGCGGGGTGGAGGTGAAGATGAAGCGGTTCCTCTTCCCACTAAGCAGCTGATGGTTCAGAAATGGTCAATCCTGTGGCGGTCCCTCATCGCATCTAGCCTCGATACCACCTTATTTCCGTATTGCCGCTATATCAAAGTCCTGGATTTTAGAGATCTCGAGTATCTTCTTGAAGATGATCAGTTCAAGGGAAAACTTCCCAAGCATTTCTTTTCTGGCTCTTTAGCGAGATTCCACATGACTATGGGAACGCCACTTCGTTCTTCTAAGAGGAAATCTGTTCGTCTTAATGTCGTGGCAATCATCGATGCTATTGGTGAAGGCACGTGTTGGCTCTAAAAGCTCCTTCGCTACACTACCTGCTTCCTATCCACTAACCTGTTCTAGTTGTTACACAACATACCCCAATGCTTGAAACCGTCGCTGGGAAGCGTGAGTGACCCCTGGGAAGTACCATGGGACCCCAGCTAATGTGATATGCAGTCCTCTCACACTCCTTAGTTCGGTGGGTTCCTCGATTGCCTCGCCTACAGACATTGGAACTCTACAACGGTAGTCCACTGGAAGACGAACAGGTGCACGCCTCCATATATAAACATTGCCCACTATTCAATTCCCTTAGCATTTATACTTGGTATGTCTATTCACATTTCGTTTCTTGAAGGGATTTGCTAAACCATTTAGGGCTGCTGAGGAACGCGATCACAAGTTCTCCAAATTTATCGGAACTGTTCGCCCACAGTCTTTGAGAATAATCGAGACTATTCGAGATATTGGGGCTGGAGCTGAGACATTTCTCGCTCTGAACACTCACTGCGAGTCACTCAAGGACTTACGACTCTGCGTCTCGACCGACACGCTACCTCACCTTTCACTTTTACGAGGATGCACCGCGCTAGAAGCTCTGCGTATCGAGGACCAACAGGGAACGACCAACCTTGAAAAAACCCAAAATGACGTCTTCCTAGAGATGATTGAGTGGTTGAGGAGATGTGAGAACCTCCGCCGGCTTAGCTTCACTAAGGTAAGAAACCTCCGGTGCACACCTAGGACATGTTGGATACTAGCAAAGTCCTTCTGTGAGACCACTTGAATGGCCTTGAATGTTAGTTCGACTGACAATGTGTGTATCGACTCAAATTTGATAGTACCGAATATCCTTACAACTCTCTGACAGAGCTCATGCTAATGTACTTCCACTTTCGTAGCTCCAATCTGCTTCTTCCATCGCTACGCCAATCCTACTAGAGCACAAGATTAAGTTGCGCAAACTAGAAATCGACTCCTATTTTCCGAAAGACAGCCAGCTGTTTCACCAGGCCCTCATCAATCAGCGTTCTTCGCTGAGGTTTCTATCTCTTGACGGCGACACTGAAGGAATGTTCCGGGATGATGTCGACATTCTAGTTGGTGCTCTAAAGCAGTTGACAGGCCTGAGGGTACTAAAACTGCTTTTTGGCCAAGAGATATTCTCAGATGAGCACCTTATCACCATTATCAGCAGCCTTGCACTACTCGAAGATCTCTATGTTACGGGTATGGAGATCAGAGATGGAGTCTTAGAAAGTGTCGGCAATCTCGCAAACCTGAGAAGCGTGGCTTTCTCTGGTATCTCCAAATTCACGACTGGTGGCCTTCTTGAGTTTGTGTCGCATCTTGGGCCAGGGAACCAAGGCATTCGGGTCATGGTCGATATGGCTGATCCAGATACGATGCTATCTGAAGGGGAGGTTACGGTTGTGCGAGAGAGTCTATGGGAGAAAGTCAGTGGGACTCTGGAGTATACGCCGTGGAGAGGTAGGACATGGATTACCCTCAATACATGCACCGACTTACCCTTTATAGAGCCGAATGTGTCAGAATTTGAGGGAGAATCTGACTGATTCCCTCAATGTCAATTTGGCTGTCACTTTGGTTGTGGTACAGAGGACTATCGAGAAGATGTAGATTTCTGTCTTTGAATCAGACATCGCGGCGGCACTCCGTTGTAAACGTTGACGTACAATAACAACCGCTTTGCTTCTTTCCATCGGTAGCACATTGAATATTCGATGACGTGGGGGTCCTCGCTTGTTCGGCTGCGGGGCATCAAGGACTTTTAGTTGGAAGCTCCGGAACAACAATATCAATTGGAAAAGTGTTTCATGTCTTCAAAACGAATACTCGTGATTGCTGGCTCGGATAGCTCTGGTGGAGCGTATGATACCTCCCTTGAAGTTGTAAACTGACTACTAATTATGAATGACCAGCGGCCTCGAAGCGGATCAGAAGGTTATTGCCGCTCATGGCTGTTATGCAATGACCGCTACTACCGCTCTTACAGCTCAGAACACGCTGGGTGTGTATGGCATTCATCACACACCTCCCGCGTTTCTTCGGAAGCAAATTGATGCATGTATCGAGGATATAGGGATCGATGTTGTCAAGACAGGTGTCAAGCCCTCCAGTTTTTGCTGGACTCTCCTCGCTGATCATATTTAGGAATGCTGGCGTCTGCAACCACAATTCAGGTTGTTGCCGATGCATTTCGTCAATTCAATGTTGCTGTGTCTGTAATCGACCCGGTATCTTAGCCTCGCAATGCCAACTTCTCACGGCACTAACGGTATAGGTCATGGTATCAACAAGTGGCTCACAGCTATTACCTGAAGAGGCTGTGGAGACTCTAATCAAGCAACTACTTCCATTAACGACCATCCTCACCCCAAATTTGCCGGAAGCCAAGTTACTTCTAAAAACAGCTGGAGTATGTTTCAAAGAGCCAGAGGATGTTGACGACATTGTAAATATTGCCAAAGCGCTTCAGGGACTGGGGCCGAAATATGTCCTTCTGAAGGGAGGTCATTTACCATTGACGAAAGGACGACTTGTCTCTAAAGGTAAAGCTGATCGACATGTTGTTCTCAACGTCCTGTTTGGGAACGGGGATTTGACCTTGATGGAGACTGCGTATTTGGAGTCGAGGAATACGCATGGGACAGGTTGTTCACTGGCTTGTGAGTCTCACATTCCCATCTGCAGGGTGAGATGCTCATTCCCTTCAGCTGCCATTGCTTGCAATCTCGCTTCCGGCATGTCTGTCACCAGGGCTGTCACAAGAGCCAATAAATATGTCGAAGCGGGTATCAAAGCTAGCAGAGATATTGGGGGAGGCAGCGGTCCGATCAACCATTTCCACTCGACTTATACCTTGCCATTCCCACCGTAAGTTCGTCCTCTCCGACCTCGAAATAGAGTGTCTAATGTCCCCGAGGGGCGGTTTCATCGACTACCTCTTAGAGCGAGAAGATGTACAAGGGCCATGGAAAGAGTACACCGAGCACGATTTCGTACAGTGTATGGCTAACGGTACTTTGTCGGAGGAGCTTTTCAAGCAATATCTGATTCAGGACTTCCTGTTTCTAGTCAGCGGCTTCGAACGAATATGTTCGATAGATAGGCTAACAAAGATATAGATCCACTTCGCTCGCGCAAACGCGCTAGCCTCATACAAGTCAAAGTCTATGGTCGACATTGGCCGGGTAAGCGGTGCTTGAGCTGATCCTTGGCCCTGCTGATGCTTCATCCAGTCTGCCCAGCAAGTGCTTCACCTTCAGGAGGAGATCAAACTCCACATCGAATTTTGCAAAGACTACGGCCTCTCGGTAGAGGATATAGAAAGTCAGGAGGAGAGCCAAGGTATGGCGAAGCCTAGACTTACTTGCCTCTTTAACTAACACTGACACAGCGTGTACGGCATATACAAGGTAGTCCCTTCATCACACATAAAGATACGATTGTTGATGGATGCGCCAGATACGTCCTCGACATTGGGCAGTCTGAAGACTGGCTAGCATTGCAGATCGCGCTCTTGCCCTGCCTGATCGGCTACGGCATCATCGCGCGACGCCTCTTCGACGACCCAAGTACAGTGCGAGAAGGAAGCAGATACTGGAAATGGGTCGAAACATATGTCGCCGAAGGTTATGTGGAAGCAATGAAGAACGGGTCAGGTAGGACGCGAGATCCGAGTCGCGTCTTGCCTAAACTAATGGTAGGCATAGATTTAATCGAGAAGCATGCGAAAAAACAGTCCGTTTCAAGGATTGACGATCTGGCACGGATATTTATTCATGCTACTAAGGTGAGCGATGACCCACCAAGTGTGTTATCATGACGTGCTAACTTTCGATGACTAGATGGAGACGGGTTTCTGGGATATGGGAGCAAAAGGAGCACTGGAGTGTAGGTGAGGGATGTGTAGGTGGGGGATGGGTAGTTGGGTAACACGTAGTAAACTTTCACTGCTCATACTTGCGCGGCAGTGACTAGCAGTATTTCAGACAGACTCCGGCTTCAATGTTGGTGCTCCACGTGACAGCTGATAAATAATCACTCGCCGCCAGACCGGGCTAGCGCGGCTTCGCTAGGGCGAAAATTATCTGAGACTTTACCTCGCCCGGCGCGACTGCACTTTTCTGCCTCCACCTCCTTCTTTTACCATCCACGGCCAACACATCGCCATCTCCCACCTTTTGTGTGTTTTCGCTCCCATCTAAATAGCGACACGAACTTCATTTTCCGCGTCCCCTATATCTCGCTCTCTCAGCCCGCGATCTCGAGACGCTCCTTCCACCTCATAGTTTCACCGGTCCCTACCGCGACTTCATACACCATGTCTTACGGCGGCGGCGGTTACGGCTCTCGTCACAGTGGAAGCAACGGATATTCCAACGGGTACGATAGCAGAAGCGGTGGATACGGTGCCTACGACAACTACTACTCCAGCCATATTCCGTACGGGTATGCTAGTATCCCCACGATGGGCCTCGGTGGCGTAGCTTTTGCACCCCATTCATCATGCAATCTCCTTCTCATCAAATTCCGCGTGCAGAGCGAGTGCGGCGACTTGGCTAGATGCCATCCGTCGAGCGGGAAGTCACATTCTCTCTGCAACAGCGTAGAATCCCCTTATCTGTTATTCCTCACCTCACAACTTGTGCTGACTTTTCCATAGATCTGGCGGTGGCAGTAACGGAAATGTAAACGGCTATTCTGGCGGCGGCGGCGGCGGCGGCGGATATAGCAACGGCTATTCGGGAGGCGGCGGAGGCTTCGGTGGCGGCGGTGACAGGATGTCCAACCTCGGCAACGGCCTCAAGCAGCAAAACTGGGGTGAGTCTTATTATAACATTCATCCACATAAAACCAGGAACTGACGCGAATCATAGATCCGAGCACTCTTACCAAATTCGAGAAGAACTTCTACAAGGAGGATGACGCGGTTGCCCAGCGCTCCGAGGCTGAGGTCGAGGCGTTCCGCAAAGAATTCCAGATTTCAGTCCAGGGTCACGACATCCCTAAGCCGGTTACGACTTTTGACGAGGCTGGATTTCCAAGTTACGTCATGAGTGAAGTTAAAGCCCAAGGATTCGCGAAACCCACCGCCATCCAGTCCCAAGGCTGGCCGATGGCTCTCTCTGGACGTGATGTGGTCGGTATTGCCGAGACTGGATCTGGAAAGACTCTGACCTACTGTCTCCCGGCCATTGTCCACATCAACGCCCAGCCTCTTCTCGCCCCAGGTGACGGCCCTATCGTCTTGATCCTTGCGCCCACCCGTGAATTGGCTGTCCAGATCCAACAAGAAATAAGCAAGTTCGGTAAATCATCCCGGATTCGAAATACGTGTGTCTATGGAGGTGTTCCAAAGGGTGGCCAGATCCGCGACCTTGCGAGGGGTGTTGAGGTTTGCATTGCAACACCTGGCCGTCTTATTGACATGCTTGAATCTGGAAAGACTAATCTGCGTCGTGTAACCTATCTGGTGCTCGATGAAGCTGACCGCATGTTGGACATGGGCTTCGAACCGCAGATTCGCAAGATCATCGGACAGATTCGTCCGGACCGCCAAACTTGCATGTGGTCTGCTACTTGGCCAAAAGAAGTTCGTCAATTAGCCTCTGATTACCAGAAGGAATGGATCCAAGTTAACATTGGTTCCTTGGATCTCTCAGCAAACCACCGCATCCAGCAGATTGTAGAGGTCGTCAGCGATTTCGAGAAGCGTGAGAGGATGAGCAAGCATCTTGAGACCATCATGAGCGATAAAGCAAACAAGGTCTTGATCTTCACAGGTACCAAGCGCGTTGCGGACGATATCACCCGATTCCTCCGTCAAGACGGGTGGCCAGCGTTGTGTATGTGACTCATCTGACATCTAGATATTGATAATGCTAATGTGGTCACAGCTATTCACGGTGACAAGCAACAGAATGAACGTGACTGGGTCTTGAATGAATTCAAGACTGGAAAGAGCCCCATCATGGTTGCTACCGATGTGGCTTCCCGTGGTATTGGTATGATTGCAAACCCCCGCCCCTCCCCTCCCCCCTTTGTGCCTAGCATTTTGGCTTTTTTCTGCGTGACCTGTAAGGTGCTCTGCTCGACTCGTCTCATGCGCTCGCTTTATTTATAGACATGTCATCGTCCAGGGCTTTTCGTGTTTCTCGAATCTGATCCCCAGGGATCCTTGGGTATGCCGGCGAAGCTTTCTTCGCCGATTTCTGTTTCAGGTATCGTTGAGATACTACTGAGGCAAGATGAGATATCTTGACTAGATCAAGTCTCTTCCAAGGTTTCCTGGACCAGGAGATTTCCACAGCCTTCCCCCACTGGACCTGGATGCCATGACCGCTCTAATAGCGCAAGGAGACGATTGCATGCAACATACTGCAGCTTCACGCGATCACAATTTGGTCGCTATTGCTAGCCCTACTTACCAAGATGCTAACATGTCCTTTTTAAGATGTTCGCAATATTACCCATGTGCTGAACTATGACTATCCGAACAATTCGGAAGACTACGTTCACCGCATTGGTCGAACCGGTCGTGCAGGTGCCAAGGGTACTGCAATTACGTTCTTCACTTCCGATAGTGAGTATCTTCCACCACTTCAGCCAAGTATGTTACTGACAATGTATTCCAGACTCGAAGCAGGCCCGTGATCTTGTCTCAGTACTCACAGAGTCTAAGCAGCAGATTGATCCTCGTCTGCATGAGTGGGCCCGTTACAGCGGCGGAGGAGGCGGCCGTTGGGGTGGAGGACGTGGTCGTGGTGGTGGCGGAGGTCGTGGAGGTGGAGGTAGGACGTCCCGATGAAGGTTTTCCTTCGAGACTACGCTGACATGAAGATAGGTTGGAGTGGTGGCAACAGTGCACCCGTCCGCAATAACCGCTGGTGAACGACTTGGTGACCGACAGATGTGGTCCGACACCCCGGCGGTCGCCCGCTTCCACCCTGCTAATACAAACACGAAAACTTTGGGCTTCAGTGTTTCGGCGTTCTGGCTGACATAGACTTTTCGCTCTCTGGCCCACTTTACGGACCTAACACTTTCTTCTTTCCTTTTCGTTGACACACAGGGCCTGTGCTTTGGATCGTGCACCGTGGATGTATGATGATACCCTCGGGCAAAAAACGGGTCTTCATGCACGATGTCGGTGAAGCTGGGACGGCATAATTTGTTATAGACTGGCATTCTCTTTCTTCTAAGTTATCATGGGCGGATTCAGTCCTTCGTTCAGCCCTCTCTCTTCTTCTTGTTCAACGAGGAGATGGTCGAGGGCTTGATTGCATCAGGCTGCATGGAGTAAGCAGAGATAGCTGGCGGTTTTGTTTTCTAATCGAGTTAAAAGTCTCATCATGGCCTATGCTACATAGAATAAATTCTCGTTTGATACGTCTTAAGAAGTTTCGCGCAGGGGGTGACTGGAGTGATGGAAGTCGTGAGGGTTGAATGAAGGGCTTGAGATGTGTGCATAGTTGCTGACTAACAGGCAGATTTGTCGATTTAGCAATTGAATGGGTGTGTAGGCCCAGCTTCGAACGAACAGTGGGACTGAGATCGCATGCTGGAATTACATTAATGCATTGTGGGATGGATGTGAAGACAATTTGTGTTTGATAATTACGACGCAAGATGGCCTGTGTGTAATTAAAGTTGATCAGATTTCTACGAGAAGTCCTAGTTCTAGGTCAGGATGGTTGAGATCCGGGTGGACAGGAGGGGGCGAGACCGAAAGCGAGAGTCATTGACTTTGTCTATTTAGTCTAGAGTATGCCCTAGGCCTTGTTGGTAATTACAGTTTAAGTTCGGAAGTACCGAGGTACGTATGGGGTTGAAGGATTTGTGGAGTAAGAATGGAAGACCATTTTGTCTAGAGCTGTTGTTCTGTCTCAGCCCTCGACTCATCAGTAAGGTGTAAGTGCTCAAGCATGAATGGGGCGAAGGATTCGGGGAACAAGGATGAAAGACCCTGAATGTTCTCCTGTCAGGCTTGTGAATTGTGGCTTGTTGGTTGGAGTGTGAGGGAAGGGATCGACTTTGTGCGAATAAATTATCATGGGTGCCCCTCCTCTCTACCTAGCCGATAAACGGTGTATGCATGTGTAAGTGAATCAGTTTCGCGAGCAGGGTTGCATGTGAGAAACAATTGCGGTCGTACACCTGACGGATCGTCGGTATCTGGAGCATGCGTAACTCAATGAAATTTGCATTTCGCGATGGACAGTGAGCTATGGGGTTTTAGAGGTAGAGGAGACCGTTCGCCCTAGAGTCGACAGTAGTGTGGGCTACTAATGCACGAATGAAGCAAACGAAGATGCAGAAAAGAGACAGCTTCGATCGGGACCACCGGTCGAATCCGACATGGTTGTTGAAGGCTCCCTTCCGATCAACCAAGGGGATGTATGAGCAGATGGCGCAGGAGGTGCGGATTAAGCACCAGGAATGCTCCCGTTCTTTCAAGATAAAATTTCGTGAATTGCGGTCGTCCATCCGCGGAGACTCGCGGATTCTGGTTCAACATGCAACCGAGTCGAAGTGGTTACTTACATGCTTCCTGTAGCGTGTCGTTAGACACATGTCGGTCGTTCTACGGTCGTTCTAGAGGGTATTCTAAGAGTGGAGAATGCGTGGACGGAGACTAGAACATGCATCTTTAGTAATACTCAGAGTATTGGTAAGGGACAGTCCCGTAGCCAATGTTAAGAGAGAGACACTGGTTGAAAGTGATGAGATTGGAGAATTGTTGGTTTGCTGTTGACAAGTCTCTGGAAGTCGGTTGGGGGAATTAGGAGAATTTTAGGTGTGGGTGGTCATGTGAAGGAGAGGTTAGGTTATTCTAGTGAGAATTTGATCTAGTTGGGAATTAGGGACGCAAGTTACAGGAGGGAGCCTTTGAACTGAGCTTGAGTCCACGCAGATGACTTGGAGAATGAACGGAAAGGATTCAAGATGTTGTGGAGGTACAATGTTTACTGTATTAGGAAGGGCATAGACGAAAGCTCGGCCCCGAGGGGAAGGTTTAGAAGAAGCAATTACTCGCATACGAATGACATCTGCTCAGCTCAATTCAAGGCCTCGGTTGCGCATAAAGATAGTGGGCACTCCGTACTTACGCGCTGTGGCATTTTAATACTCGGTTCAAGATGCCAAAGTTTGAGGCCCTGGAGGTGATCCCCATCAGAACCAGTTTCAAGAATTCTCAAGTTGATGCAGTAGCGGCTCGAGATGCTTGGAAACAGAGCAATCTGGAGGCTCACCGTGCAAAAGCAGGACAAACCCCATTAATTGATCACATATGATCTGCAGTCGTTAATGCCTCAGGCTTCCACGCTTAGCAGGACAGATGTCTGAATTCACAGAGATGGGTCGACATGCAGCCTCGCCGAGCTTTTCAGCCGAGAGGCTGGGGCAAAGCGCGCAAATCGTCATCATCAATGATTGCAATAGGAAGGTCGCCCGTTTGCCTTAATGAAACCTCGCACCTCGCGTGTTTTGCTCATGCATGCGACGCACATGGACGCCTGCAGTCGACCTCGGAGCTGCGAGGAGACGTATTCGGAATGCAGTCGCTGCTAAGTTTATCATGGAAAGGCAGGAGCATTGCTACTTTTTGCTTCTGCAGATGCGTCGCGAATATCAATCGATCAAACAACTTCACGATACCGTCGCCCGCCGGTCTCCAAATCGGCCACGGCATCGAAGAGCTCCCCGGGATGCCAAACCCGGCTCTCCGGTCGCGTGTGAGCATGGATCAAGAAGGGAAAGGAAGCATTTTCCAATCCCAGATCTCACAAGGTTCCATCCTCTACAGTCCCTGCACGCAGCCGCCACGTGAAGACTTCTCGGTCAAATTCTGATCACATTTTCGCCGAAGGCTTGGAGACGCCACGGACCCACTGGGGTCAGGGGAGTGCCCTTGTCGGTGTCACCCGCACTCAAGCCCCGATTCTCTCAAAGGATTCCCGTGTCTGTTGCGGGCATCGTGTCGTTTGTTCCTGGGATGGAGGACGGGCTAATTTTAGCCACATGAGGGCTGTGGCTAACAGAGGACGGTCGTGGAGCGGCCAGCTCGTGCAAATGTGTTATCAGATGCGAGCCAAAGATCTGGGCCGTCTTCTAGTGCAAAACAGCTTCGGATCATGACCATAATGATGAAAACTCAGAGAGGAGAAGCGCCCAGGCCAGCCTCTCGGCTTCCTGGGCAGCGGGGCTTGTGGGTGGCCTTGTTTCCGGATGCTCGACGCACAGAGTTTCAATTTCCTCGAATCACAACGTACATATGAGCGCCTGTTCGCCTCCGCTCACCCATTCTGGGAGGTTTTATGTTGCTTTCCTCAGATGAATTGTATCATGCCACCAGAGTTTCTCGCGTAGAGTTGCAGAGTTGAGCGTGCGTCCGTGTGAGGGAACAGCTCAGGGTACATTGCCGACAAGGTGCTGTACGAAAGCGAGAAGGTGGAGCAGAGCAAATGGAAATGGGTCATCTCCATCGGTGCCAGTACTGTGATTCCGACAGCACCAGTCAACTCCTGAACTTCCGTACCCCGTTGGATGGCGCAAGTACGTCATGGATCGCGGCAGCTGCCATCACGAATCCGAGATGGGCCAGGATTTGGTGGCCTCAACCAATGAAAAGCAGCCTACTTCAACTCCTCTTGACCGAGCTGTCTATCTGGATAACAGCTATCGAAGGATGGCGAAAAACAAAGGAAAGGCTGTGGATAGAGTCAGATTTAGAATCGCATCTGTCATCTTTTGGGCTAGACTGGACCCAGTTGTTATTTGTTCCAGAGCTTGATTTCACGCCCTGACTCTCCAAAGATTTGAAAAATCCCTTCTCTGTAGCGCCACAGGGAAATTTGTGCCATTCTTGTCGGCCATTCGCTCCACTTCGACAGAGAAAGACGTATCCGGGCAAGTGAGCGAATAACTTTCCAGGACAGGCATGGACTGGCTGGGCACAGCTCAGCGACTCAGGAGCGCCACCGTGTTATTCAACACTTCCAATTTATGTGGTCATGTCTCCCATGTCTCAAATTGCACAGACGACCCATGGTTTGGGCGATGAGCGAGACCCCGACAGGAGGGGAATGTAAGAGGCGTCGGCCGCGAAACCCTGCAAGCAGCATAACTAATCAAACGAGAGAGAGAAAAGGAGAAAAGGAAAGATTTGTTGTCAATGATGCTGATGAGACGGATCGCGGGTTGCAGCAAAAGGAAGAGAGCCCAGTACCGGAAGAAAGCCCCGCTTTTCCACGACTTTGCCGCAGCGACACACGATCCTAACCGCACCTCCTCGTTTCCAGCGTCCCAACAGCAAAGGAGAAAAACAAGTCCTGCACACTCTTCCCTGCACCCCCGTCGGCGCATATCGGCCCCAGCAATTCATGTGCAAACGGTTCTGCCTGCAGCAAGAGTGAGTCTGCTGACACGACGACCCAACCTTAGTATTATGATAGCGAAAAAGCATTATGATAACTAGGAAAGAGAAAACGCCCACGCGTGATGACAGGCGGGTGATGAAAGGGGAATTATGCGCGAGGCTGAAAATGAATATGACGATGATGACGAGTCGAAGGAAGGGGAGGCGACACTTGCTGGGTGGGTCTGCACAGTCTGATAGGTGGCTGCGAGAGGCAGGCAAACGCGGCCTGGAGCTCAAGGAGAGAGAGATCACGCTTTTACCGGCTCTGCGGGGAGGGGAGGCGTGTCATTCGACGACTCATCATCGGCAGCAGGTTGCTTGCTCAGCGGTCAGCGCAGGCGGGCGTTGCTCCATTAATTCACAAAACCGGAAATGCGAGAGAGAAGAGAGATTTGGCTCAGCGTTGGGTGTGAGATGAGATGGGACCCGGCGGCGGAACCATGGCGGGAGCGGTTGTGTGGTAATGCTGCCATGGCCGGGTGATATGAGGGCCAGAGATGAGCCATGAAGTTCCGGAGAGAACAGGCACACAGTGACATGTCCGCTGGGGTTGTTGGCCACCCAGGTCGCATCCGCATTTTCGCCTGCCCGCTCTGCTCATTGCCCCTTCTGATCTCTGTGCCGTCCGCAATATTGGCTCGGATTTCGCATCCGCAACTCTCTCTCCCCTCTCCCCCACTCGTGTCGCGGCCTCACCTGCGTTGATTATTGTTGTGGTGACGTGAAGACGCCATCCGACTGTTGCAGGCGTTCCTCAATTGTTGTTTCCACTAGCCTGTCCCGACCCGTGACCCTGTTCCCTGCCTGCTTCGAAGTTCTAGCGCGGAACCTAAATCTTCAGCCTCATTATCGCCATCGAGCCTTGCCCTCCGCGCGCAGCTCCCCAGGCTTCAACCGGCGCGCGCAGCAGATCGCGAGCGGCGAACGGTGAGCGACGCTGATTAGTGAAGTGTCGCGCAGGGCTCGCCTGGCCGCTGCGAGGGTGCAGCAGGATTGTTGTCGACGAGCTTTGGCAAGCGGGCCGTGATTCGCCCGCGCGGTCGACCTTGCCTCGGAGCGAAATTCCAGGCTTGGCCCTTGGGCACTTCCTTCCCACTCGCCACCCTCACACCTTCCCGACTTCGTCACTAGCACCGCATCGCGAATCTCCCCCTCCACCACAACCACGCTGGCTGCTCGCCTCTAACGCTTCCAGAGCCCCCCCAGTCTTCAGCGCAGTGCTCCCCGCCGCGGTCAGCAGCTGGGCTCGCCATATCAGATCTCGCGCCAGCGGTGCTACACGTGCTACCCGCCGCCAGCACCAAAGCCCACCACCAGGTCCAGCGCGCCAGTGAATTGCTTCGCAGCACTCTCTCGCCCGCCCTGCGCAGGCCCTATCCCGGACCTTTCGCAGCCAGAAAGCTACGCAGAGACAGAGAGACAGAGAGACAGAGAGACAGCGCGCGCAAGATCAGCGCCCGCACTCCCAATCCCCCCTCTGTGCTCAACGGCCCTCCGAAGGACCGCATCGCGTGTGAGCTGCACCTGTGTCGACTGTGGGGACGTCTCCAGCGGAAAAGCGGCCGCGCAAGAGGCTGATCGCTCGGCACGCTCGGCGCAGTTGAGGTTTTGGGAAAGAGGAATTGCAGGGACAGTGTGAGTGGCCCGGTGGAGTGTGAAACCTAAAACTCACTTCCTACCGACAACGGGCCGACTGAATTTTTGGCCCCCAGTGGGTGCGGAGTCCTTGCTCAAGCACCTCTCACCTGTGTGTGGCCTGAAGATTCCAACCATAGGCCTGCCACCGCCTCCAGTGACCTCGCTCTCCGCGCCAGTCCCCGCGCTCCAAACCCGACCCCAATTCACCACTCCCACCCTTGCCCCTCGGCCTTGTCCCTACAGCAATTTGGCACCAAGCACTACGCCAGCCCACAACGTCCTAGGGCTCCCACTAGCGCGTTCCCAGAACACCCTTTCCCATCAGCACGGCTCGGCTCAACCGATCTCAGGCGCCCCCGGCCAGGTCGTCGTCTCGTCGTCGTCGTCAGGTTCCAAGCCCCAGCAGAGCATCATCAGGTGTGCTAAGTCAGCCTGGGCAGACAGCGTCCCCTCTCCAAATTCTTCCATTGGTGCCACACTTTTACCAGGGCACACGGCCGCACGCCACCCACTTCAAGTTACCTTGACTGCTGCCGCTAGCTGCATCCTCCCAAACCCACTCCTTGCCCGCCCCAAAACCCCCCAGCTGCGAGCCCATTCACCGCTAGCACAACTCGTGCTACCTCTGCGTTGCACCTCCCTCTCTGCGCTGCGCCAGGCTCTCCGCGATTCGAGGGGTCTATTCTCAGCCCGCTAGCTCCACTGCGGCCTCCCCTGCCTGGTTGGCCTCGAGTTGCGTCTTCCGTGCGTTATCTTGACGGCGCAAATCTGCCGAACCGCCTGTCCCCTCCACCTGGGCGTCCTGGAAAACACACCGTCTGCAAATCATCCGCGTTTAAGGTCCACGCTATCGCTTGCTGTCAACAGTTCGATTCTCCGGCTCTCTGGCTGTGCACAACTCTTGGCCTTGTCCGCCTCTGCTTTGCGCTCTAGCTGCGTTTCTTCCTGTGACCGCGGCAAATCATCCTGCGACGGTTGGCAAACCGTCATATCTCTAGGGCCTATTCCTCTCCTTCGACAGCGCGCAATCTACCTAAGCCCTCTAACTTGAGGTGCAACTGAGGCTTCGAAGACGCATCACGGTCTATGGACGGAAGACAAACGGAATATCCGCAGTCAGGTTTGAGCTCGCCCTACCCAACCTTCCCTAAACCGCCTTCTGAGGACTCTTCTGCAGATCAAGCATCTGCTGCGCAATTCCCTCAAGGACAAGATCCACGAACATCAAATTTGACTCCTACTTCCGACTACACCATCAACCCATCTTCTGCCCGCTCAGGGTCATTTCCGGAGTACATTCAACGATCATACCAGCCCGGCGCTCAAGGGGCGAACGCTGGAGGTATGGCGCAACCACAAAGTCCGTCAATGCCTCTGCAAGATGGCCAGCAAAATGACCATCAACAACAACTCAAGTCTGACTCCGATGTACCTATAGATCCATCAATTGCGGCGGCGCCGAGCCCTACTTACGCTCAACACGGTCAATACTCTCCCTACACTCCGCACCACGATATGCAACATTACCCTGGACATCCTACGACGCCAATGTACGGCACGCGACCGGAATGGGCAGGGCAGTACCCTCAGCACGCGATGCCATACGGTCATCCTTCAACATCAGGTCCACCAGCACCTTCAATGGTTTCCCCGGTTCAGCGCCCACCAACGGTAGGTCTCCCCCAAGCACATCCAGGATGGAGCGCGATTCCTTCATTCAGGGTATCTAGCTCCTCTTCTACGCATCAAATAGTTTTCATTCACCCAATTAGAGAATCGTGTGGAATCTGACAAAGAATAGGGCGGTCATCCATTGTCCACTGTGTACTCATTCGTTCCAATTCCAGGCGCGCAGCAGCACAAACGACCGCGGAGGCGATATGAGGAAATTGAACGAATGTACAAGTGCGGCTGGAATGGCTGCGAGAAAGCTTACGGCACACTCAATCACCTCAACGCGCATGTGACGATGCAATCGCACGGCGCGAAGCGAACCCCAGAAGGTATGTATATTATTTTTCCTTGCGTATGGCGGGTCCGCTCGCGTGTTTTGGTCCTTGGGGTTATAATACGCTAGATTAGCACTTACGATCGTGCTGGTGTTGCGCCTATCTGACGGTGTTCCCGCTTCCCGGATAGCTTCAAGTGACGGAAGCTAACTGCAGTCGACCCTTGCCTTGCTAGCTTGGCACGCCTCTTAACACGCGTATTATATGACGCTAACATAACACTTCACAGAATTCAAAGAAATTCGTAAAGAATGGAAAGCGAAGAAGAAGGAGGAGGAAGCCCAGCGTAAAGCCGAGGAAGATAGGCATCGTACCGCCGACGGTCGTGCTCCTCACGACAACGGGACTGACGCTCCCGTGTATGGTCAAATGCGACAAGCCGTTGGGGGACCTGGGCAAGTCCCCGGTCACCCCCAGCTACCACCGATCGGTTATCAACCTGCTGCCGCAGGCAACACGTCGGGTCCTCAGTATGGCACGCAGAGCCCTGGGCTTGCAGAGGGAATGGCTCAGTATGGCGCCGCCAACAGCTACCACAGTCCCAATAGTAACAGTAGCAGTTACCCTCAATCGCCTTACGGCCAAAACCCGCAGATGTACCAACAAGGTCATTAACTTCAAGAGAATTTCCTTGATACGGGACGAGCTGACGTCTCAGCAGCGGCCGATGCGAACTCGAACAACTTCCAACAGTAAATGCATCAGAAGTACCCACCACCTCGACTCGTTTACGAAGTCAGTAACCTTGAACGAATTCCATCAGGGCGGATCTTTGCGTTGCTTTTCTTAGGAAGCATGGGAAGGCTTTGCATCTGCATGCTCTGTTTCGACCTGCATTTTCACCCGGCGGCGGCTGTATGTTTCTTTCATGAGGTGTTTTGGGGGCAAGATATGGGTTCTCCGGGGGAGGAGGGACGACGAAACGATGTGACGGCCGGTTTCACGTTAGAATAACGTTAACCGCGTCTGCACAAGAGAAAGGTGGTCAAAAGATGATGCGTTTTGCCGTCTCTTCGAGGAGAGAATGTCGTGGTCTCTTCGAGGAGGTCGACTATCCTTTGCTTTTCTCGGCTACCTTTTCTTCATATTCTTTGCGACGGTTTTCATACAAAACTGGTTTTCAAGCTTTCTCTTTCTCGGGGCCTTAGACATGATGCATGCGATACGGCGCTCTGAAACACTTGTGTGCTTCTTTTCATAAATTTTCTCCTCCCCTCACGTTTCAAAGACTGTATTGAGCCGGATCTGGGTGGGGAACATTTGAGGAGGCGGGGTAAGAGGGTTTGATGCGTTTCGAAGCTCAAAACCAAACCGCGTCCACATTCCCTTCTTCCTTGCTTAGCACTGTATCAGTATATTCACTATTTATTCCCATTGCAACAATAGTCACATGCATAGTGTTCGGTGTTCGATCGCCGTAAGTGCAATCTCCTTTTCCCTCCTCCTAATCGAAACCTTCGCCCTGCATAACTTTTTTGCAACAAGCAACGTGGAACGAACGACTGTGAGGGTGTGGTTACCTCAAACCCTCGTTTCCATGCGACCCACTTACGTGTCCCGCCGCCGCTGATGCTAAAATGCATGTGAGTGTGAAGTGAGGGGGATCATCGATGCGAGGACTCACAACAGCAAGCCATATTGCTTGCTGTCCAGAACACGGTAGGCCAGAGGCAGACGTGCAAATCCCACTCGGCCTCGGATACCATTTGTGGGATTTTGAAAAGCGGAGAAGTGCGCGAGACAGGTGTGGCTTCTCGGCTATCTGGGTAAATAACTCGAAGGAACATGAAGGTCAGCACCTGTGCCCTGAAGGACAGCAAGAGCGACGTCGGGAGGGACGACTTGGCGATATGTCGTCTGTCCTAGAGCGCGGAATCTCGCGACCCTGATGATGGGGCATATTGCTAGGTCATTCGTTCGTCCAAGCGTTTCAATTGCCACAACACATGTAAGTTTATGTAATGGGACTGCTCTTCTTACAACATCAGTTAGCATCAATGAACTAATGGCTATTCTTGTACCGGGAATTCGCCGTGTCATGGAACTATGGACTGTGGCACGGAGGCACGTTGCAACGGGACACGACCTCTCTCTTCTCGATTTTGAATGCGTCTCTGGCATGGATGCTTGTGAAAAACCCTTTTCTTTGCGGCCAATGGATTGACGGCGGAAGGGATGTATTGGGTATCGGATGATGCACGATTGAAGGCGTCGACCCCATCAGCTCTCGGAAATATCAAGCACGCATGACAAGAGGGTGTGTGCAACGGAAAGGCGGTGATGATTGTGGATCAGAGGGCAAGGCGACTACTCTCTCGCTGTTGGCATTGGGCTGTGGAGGGGTTTTGCCTGTTACGTGCTGCCGTTCTTTGCACGACGACTCATGTCCTTGCTTTCGAATTGGTCATGCGACTTACTGAGATTGCCTCATCCCTTCTTGTTCGCTTCCATCTCGTCATGCTGCTGTTGCTTGTGAGAATGGGCTGGGCAGGTTATCCGAGTGTCCGATTGGTTACTGGCGGACTGGCGGTAAGAGGACAATGACAACATCTTCTCGCTCCCAAGACTAGGTTGCAGCAGGATCCTACTAGCGAAAACGAAAGCCTTGTACGATCGGCCCGCTGGCCTCTAAACAACTACATACAAACATTCAGAAGCAAACCCGATGTCACAGGCACTAGGATCTGATGCCAGATGCAAGATCGCTTCTAGCGGCTCATCATCAGATTAACCATCGACACCAAGAGGTGTTTTTGCTTTTTGGCGTTAGAGGGACTGATGGCTGGGGCGAGGATGACAAGTAAACGGCGGCCCTGACTGACGGCGGAGACTAATGTGTGTGCGAGCCTTGACCTGGACAGGTGGGTTGCACAGCAGAGAAGGATTCGCAGACGAGAAGCTTGGCAACAGCCCACCGGGAAGCCGACTGCGGTTGGCCGGGCCCACGGGGCGGTTCAAGCGGCGGCAGACAGATGGCGGAAAAGCTTGGATTGCCAGCATTTCCGGTCCGAGCACGGCACTGCAAGAGGAACATCATCTCTAGAGTCGGGTAGAGGTGGTGATCACGACGCAGCTCGCAGCTGACATGGCTGTGACACACCCAACTGCTGGATGCTCGAGCGCGGTGGTCCAGCGACACACAATGCACTGCGGCCCAGCTCGTCCTACACTCCGCTCGCAAAAAAAAAACCGGCCGAAGCCACGATCGGCGACATCCTCGCACCGGGCTTCAACCACACGACACCATCCCATTTCATGCGTCGGGTACCGCTCTCACGGAACGGTCGTGTATGTACGACCGTCAGCCAGCAAGTCCCGCCACGTTGGCCGGAAGGATGATGGGCACCAGATCGGTGCGGGCTGCGAACAAGCGGCGCAGTGAGAGGTGCTAGGCTGGGACAGGACTGGCACGGCCGCGGCGAGACATGTCTTGCACAAGGCTTGCCGAAGCCAGCAGTTCCCTCCGCCTAACGAGCCCTGGTCCGCGCCGGCGGTCCCGACAGCCCGGGCTGCTTCAGGCGCGATGCCCGTCTCGACGACGGGCATGGGAGGAGCCTCGAGTCTTGCCTGCTCCGGGCAGCGGAGCCGGCGGCGACTGAGGCGCGATCAAGGACGTTGGATTAGGGTGAACGTTTTTCCTAGCCTTGGGGGATGAAAGGCGTGACACAGCACCAAGAATGGGAAGAGAAGCGTGCCTTATGCTGGCATGCGGACCGTCTTGCGTCCCACAGAATGTTTGAGGGGCTTGACTCCGCTGACCTTGATGTTTGCTCATCCATATCGGGCGCACGGCATGCTCCGAGTGCACGTGATCGGACCGAGTGCAGGACTGCCGAGCCTTGATGGAACTTTTTTCTCAGCCTCCTTAGGCATGACCACACGTCGCCTTCGCTTCCCCCTCCTACGCTCCCCCGATGCTCAGTTGTCGCGCCTGTCTCTGGCGATGCATTCGAGCACTCGACACGACTAGTCCTAGCCTCCAACGACTGCGTCGCGATGTCGCAATCTTGCCCTTTTGCAGGTTGCAGAAGGCCGCCATGCGCACCGAGGCTCGGAGCAGCATCCGCAGGGTAGCAGGTCGGCCTGAGTACGTTCCAGGAGCGGACAAATTGGCTGGAAGGAAAGAAGACCCATGGAAGAAGTCAACACAAGCCGCAGGATTGAAGAAAAAGGAAAGAAAAGGCTTGACGAGGCAGCCTGCGCCCACCAAACAAATCAATCGAATTGGGGTCCAAGTCTCAAGGAAGGTCGGGCGTCGCGACCCCAGTATTTCTTCGAAGGACTGGCGCAGTCGTAAAATGGAGCTCCAGTATATCACGGATCCATTAGAGCTGGCAGATTTCGTCAAGAAAGAGCTAAACAAAGATAAGACAGCGGAGATGCTGCAGCTGGTGAGGATGGCTAGTAATTCGATGCAATGTATTGTCAGTTGGAATCATATCATCGACTATTACCTCATCAAGGGCTGGGTCAGCCGAGCAGTGAAGATTTATAATGAGGTACGCCCGTCGCTCTCAGGAATCGGCGCAAGCTAACTTCCCTCCTAGATGAAGAAGCGCGCCCAATTTCCTGATGCGTACACTTATACAATTCTCCTCCGCGGACTAGCTGCCAATGCGCATGAATCAGGTGCTATGGAAAAGGCGCTGTCTATCTACCATTCCCTTTCCACGCCCAATTCCAGAGTCCAGCCATCCATCATACATACCAATGCGATGTTGAAGGTCTGCGCTAGGGCGGCAAATATGGATGCACTTTGGGGTGTTGCCGCAAAGGTACCAGAAAACGGTCCAGGGGCCGCAACTCCTGTGACATTCGTGACCATTCTGAACGCGATCCGACAGAGCTTACTTGTCAATGTGCCCGTAGGAGAGACCGAGGAACAGGTGGCTAGGCGCAGAGAAGAAGGTATTATGCAAGGACGACGCATATGGGAAGATGTTATTGGAAAGTGGCGGAACGCAGACCTGGTCATCGAGGAAGAGCTTGTATGTGCCATGGGAAGACTTTTACTTATAGGCACTCGACCTCGGGATTGGGATGATGTCCTCTCACTGGTCGAGCAGACTATGGATATCCCTCGTCTCGTGCCCCGTTTAGGATCACCTGCACGTAAGCAGTCAGGTGTTCCCAATCTCCGCGCCCCAAACGTCCCGGAAGAGTATCGTGTTGAACATCATCACCTTGGCCCCTCGAACGAACCTCCTCGGGGGGGTGAATTCCTTCCGATCGTCGCCCGGGGAATAGGCAGTGCCGTGTCAAATCCTCTATCCTATGCCACTCCTTCCAACAGCACACTTTCCCTTGTACAAGAAGCCTGTCAGAAGATTGTAGGGAAGAAGGCAGGAGACGAGTACTGGAATCTCCTGACAGACCCAACTACTTACGGAATTGTGCCGGATGTGAACAACATCCACCAGCGTCTTCGAATCCTACGCCAAAGCAGGGCTTCGGGAGAGGCAGTTGAACTCCTAGACTCCTTCATCTTGGCAAAAGAAAAGCCTTCGCCTGGAACCTTTCGGATAGCTATGAGTACTTGCGGACGGGACAAGAACAATCACAATTCCCTCAAGTATGCAAGTCAAATTCTCGAGACAATGAAAACTACACTTGAAGATGCGGATGCCAAAACTGTCACCATGTATGCCAAACTCGCAATCGATTTCCCCTTAGCAAAGGGAACCGATCTCCTGGAGGCACTCGCCCGCCTTAACCCCATTGTCAGGGATCTCAGGTTACAGCTAGGCATCGGGCGAGAAAGAAAAGATGGCCTGGGGGTTCGCGCAACGCTGTTAACTGGTCAGGGTAGAGAGGACGCCATTGAAGCTTTGAAAAAGATTCACGGCTTGTTTGACAGACTCATCAACTCGAACATGATTGCCGAAGAGCAGAAACGATCTCTCAGGATTGAGAAAGCTAGACTGAGTGCTTATCTCAACAAACTTATTTTTAAGAGCAGCAGTAGACAGGACATGAAACCAGATATAGGGGATGATGAGGTAGCTCCAGATTTCAAAGATACGAAGGACGATGGGGACAAGGAAAGAGGGGGTTTCAAGGGTCTTATTAATGGAACTGGAGCCTGGCGGAAGCGAAACGCTTTGCCTGAAGGTCAACGCAAGCCGTGGTTTTCTCCTGCAGAGAGGAGTACGGCTTAGTTCAACCTTCGGTCGGCCATAAAGCAAGAAATAAAGTACGATAGGTTTCAGTGTGACGTTCAACTACCCCGGAATGGCGTTATCTAAATATGGAGATCATGGCATATGCCTGTATCAAAATGGTTTGTATTACATCTTAGACCACCAAGTGTCTATTCTAGGGATTTCCTCCGCAGTCGACCCGAGGCTCGTTCTCACTTTACCGTGACCACCATTTCTTTAGACGAATCCGTCCTCCTTGCCCTCTTTTAGTAGACACGTTATTATGCTCCCAAAGTTATTGACCATGCCCCAGAAATCAGTCTGTGGTAGATGTTAATTGTAATACATTGTGCCTGCAGAACGAAAATACGCAGGTACTACCAACTAGAAGTGGGGAAGGTGGTACTCTCTGACACAAACATTACAGTGCTGCGCGAAATGTGCGGGTCTCAGTAGCAGTGTCACAAGCCTTTCCACAAATCCGAGTTAAACATTAGGCTGAAAGTAAGTAGTAATGGTAAGATGATCTATAGCATGCCCACCTTTGTCTTTCCTTCTCATGCAGGCAAGTATCAGATTACATAAAGAATGAAAGAATGAAAGAAGCCGCTAGTGAGAGCGGTGGGGAAAATGAATAGGTTCTAGAGAACTTCCATAGTGATTAGAAGTCGGATCAAAGCGATTAAGGGAAATAAGAGCGTTGTGGTAATCTAGATCCATATCAAAGCCTTCCTTAATGATTTTTCAAGGGTAATACCATCACCTTGGCTCTGTGATGCATCTGAACTGAAGAGGGAATCAAGTTCTGGAGCGAAATCATTCATGTTCGCAAATCATGCATACGTAAGGGTCTATTCTATGGTATCTTCTTCTACCCATTCTATTATCAATTTGGAACGGAGATTTGCAGATTGTATATCCCCGAGTGCTCTACCTGAGCGGCATCAGGTACCAATACCATCACACTCATGATATCTCATTGCGGAGGGATTACTGTCACCTTTTCTATGAGTGGCGCTCCAGATACCGTGCTTGGACTTACTGTGTATGGATTGGGGGAGAAGTCCCGTTAGACTCTTACAAATATCTATCCTGGGGAAAAGGGGGGCTATACTCCTGGCAATTGCGGTATGAATGGCCCACTGGCGAACGTCCTGACACGCCTACGGTCGGCATTGAGTCATGCCGTGGGGGGAGAAGGCCGGTGTTGAGAAATGGGAGTCACATCGGTTGTCCGCAACCCGAGGGGGAAGCAGTGGACCACTTCCCACCTCACCACACGCTGCTCTCCTCAGTGCACGGTTCAACATCTAGGGATGCACTTTCCCTTACTCGCTATTCTGCCCGCTGCCCCTTTCCTAATTTAATGCTCTGTTTTAACTCTGACATCCTGGAACTTGTCAGAATATCGAAGAGGATCACCGAGAACACCGACGGTTGGGGGTACCAATGTGATACAGGTGAATTTGCACAACATATTAATGGAGAGACTGTGGTCTGATCCTATTCAATTGCTATCCAAGTGCAACAGTAGGTACCCGATACTGGAGAGAACGAGCAGCAACTTGAAGGCATTTTTGCTAAAGAGTTTTCTGTATTTCACTCGAGCGTGTAAACGGCTGGAGAGCATTGTTATCCCGGGAGTAATCCTCGTAGAATACATCCAAAGCCACTCACCCTCATAGATGCCAGCTAGAAAGGGCAGGCAGGCCTCTCATCTTTCTGATTTATATCCACTGTCAAAATGAATTAGCGCTTGTCTAACAGCTTGCTCCATTCAACATCTCATACCAATTTCTCAGCGGTCCGTCGATCATACACATGAACTCGAAAGCTATAACCATACTTCACCTGGCTATCCCTCCTGACCTAATTGCGCTAGTGAAATCGATTATGAGTAGGTGCATCTCTATGCCGAGCATTTTGCCTCATCGCTTCGAAGGAATACTGAATCCTCGCGTCATATAATCTGCGCTATTTCCAGCCGAAGGCTTTGCGCTCCTACTCGAAAACAAGCTATTGACGTTCGCATTCTGCTCAAGTTTCCTCCGTTTGTTTCTTGCTTCCTGTTCCTCGAGGACTTTCTTGGTAAGGGATGCCGTCGAGGCATTCTTGATGCTGTTGTTGACCACAGGCCTTTGCTTTGAGAGCTTGTCCTTCTTCCTTTCTTCTTCTGATGAGTTGTCTTTCCCTTTGGGGGCGTCTGTCGTTGTGGCACCGTTTGTCTCTTTCTCGGCGTGCTTCTTGCGCTTTTTGTCTCCTTTTGCTTTTTTGAGGGAATGCGTTAAATTTTTCTCTTTTAGGATGTGCATACGGCGGGATAGCCTCGCGATGTCGGTCGCGGCGGTGGGGAGGATTGGGATTACGTCGTTCTCCGCGTACGCTTCGTTACACTACGTCCCAGTCAGCCTTGCATTCACATGAGAATCTGTCTGGATCGGATGGAATACCTGCAAGCATGTCTCGCCAGAGACTTCTTTCACCACGCTTCCGGCAAATGCATGGCCACATGGCACAAGGTACACAGCTTTCGCTCCTGGCCCCAACTCGCGATTCGTGATCGGGCAGATCCACTTCTCCGACCTAGCAGTCGCCCCATTCACCGTCTCTAACGCATTCGCTCCACTGCTGTCAATCTCAAATTTCACCTCCACTACATCCTTCAGGCTCTTGACCCGTCCGCCAAGACACTCCTCTGCCTCAGCCTTCTTTACGTCGCCATCTTCCGAAAGAAGGTACTCGATGATGGTGTCTTTATTGTACAGTTTCCCCAAGGGATCAGACACTACGGGTTTCGCAAGCGGCTTGCGCGTGATGGGATCATTGTTCCAGGCGTATTCTTGCTGCTCGTTCTGTACTTCTTTGACCTGTTGCGTGGTGAGGGCTTTTGCGGCTTCTTTCACGAGCTCGCGGCGGGTTGGGATGCTTCCTCCGTCGTTACCCATCGTCTAAGAGTGGCAGTTGTTGTGCTGGAAGAATAGGTGAAAGTCATGGTGGTGGCGGAGGGTTGAACGCCCTTTGGTATCATAAAGCTTGGCATATGCACTGACCACGTGCCTAACCTCGCTTTGTTTGGGCGGACTAGATGGTCAAAGTTCACACTTTCACGGCATTTCACTTGGATCTTTCTAGTCACAAGGAGCATTTCAGGTCAAGGCTAGTGTATTCACTCTCTACTGATCATTCGTGAAGAAAGGCGCTTACTTTCGGATTCAATCAACTGCTTTCATTCACTCACCCCTCCGTCGAAGACCGTCTCACCTCAAACACAGCTCCCCTCAACGCTCGCCGTGCTATTCTTCACAAACCCATCCAGCACACCGCCACTCGCACATAACACAGCCTTCACAAACGCCCTACTAACTGCATCCGCGCCCGCCGGACTCGTATGCGTATGATCATTCGGGAAAAACGTATCCACTGTTGCCTTCCCCATCGTCTTAAAGATATTAGCCGTATATTGCCCATGATCAACAAACATAGCACTACTGCCGATCTGCTGCGCCGCGCTCTTTGAATACGTCGTAAAGCGAGACGCTGAGTAGCTGAACGTCCCGCTTTCCCAGGGATTGTTGGGAGTAGGTGACGAGATGATGACTTTTGCGCCTTTGGCGACGAGCGCTTTGCCGGCGTTGACAAGGTATGCGGGATAGGTGAGGACGGTCACGGTTTGTCCGTTGTAGGTGGAGGTGCAGGTTTCGGAGCCCGCGCCCGGGCAATCCGTGCGGCCATTGTCGGATGAGGAGAGAGAGCCACCGTCGTTGTGGCCGAATTCAATGATAACGATGTCGTTGGTTTTCACCGTGTCGATGAGGGTTTGAAAGCGGTTTTCGACGGTGTAAGAACGGGCGCTGCGGCCAGCGATGGCTTTGTTGGAGACGGGGAGGGAGAGGGAATATTGGAGGTAGTGCCCCCATCCTGAGCATCGTCAGTTGAAAAAGCACAGGAAGAGTTGGGAGAACATACCTTGAGTTCCACTTCCGCCGCCGCTTTCGGCCATCGTCGAGTCGCCTGCTAGGTAGATTGTTTGTGCCCGCTTCTCATGGGGAGCACTGATAGCTATTGAAGCTAGCCCAAGGAGGGAGAAAAGATGTGACACAGATAACATTGGGACTAATATCTCTGAAAAGTATGTACATGGAAAATAGCTCTCAAAACCTGGATCCGAAAGAGCAGACAAGAAACCAAAGGAAAAGGTACACCACCAATAATATATGGCCCTCATAAATTCCCATCCTGCGCACGACACGCAAAAACTCAAACCCGAGCATTTACTTTCCTTAGAAACCCCGTTTCCTTAAATCAAAAACGTGGCCTGGAGAAATTTGAGAAGGAGGGTTCGTGGAAACATTGCTCCGCAAATACATTGTGTCGTCGTGCGGGGAATGGTTGGGCGCTGTTTTAAGCTTAATTGTTAATCTACGCGCGGCCGCCGTTCATGAGGAGCCGTTTCAGCCGTTTCGATGGCGAACGCGAATGCGAGTGAAGCGTTGTTTGTAGTAAAGGCACCAGCTATTAAACCCACGAAAATGTCCTGGAAAACTTATGTCTCGAGAGGTCGTGTTGTATGTTGGAATTCCGAACCTATCCACCAATCAGAAACCGCTCCCCGGAATATGCACAAAAGCTTTCGGAACTGCGCCATCATCCTACGTCCGTCCCCCCAAAAATCTCCGACATCTTCGTATTTTATCGGGCTCGCCGAACGCCAGAAAACCACCAGGCCAGCGGAACACGGAAAACAAGCCTTTATTTTACTTTTCAGAAGCGACATGGATATTGAAGAAGTGTGTCAGTCGCTCAGATGCAACCTTCCCGGGTGGGGGTGGAAATGATGACTGGCTTACTTCAACAACCGAAATGGCGCATGGATGGCAATGGGATTCTGCCTCGCTATTATTTCACGAGGGTTGCGGTTGTGGATGTAATTTGAGTTTGGCAGCTATATTTAAGCCTCAAAGAAAGGAGCTTGGTATCACTTGGCTACCATCACAGTAAGTTGGTGTCTAAACATATCTGCGGATGAGGATTCTGAGTTGCAGCTGTCAGTTGACTGCTGGATTCTATGCGAAACGCGAGATTGGTGGAAAGGTCCGAAAGATCGCCATTCTAACAAAGCTTGTGAACCTAAACTTGTTAACAGCATCATGCTTCAATATTCGCCAGAAACCTCGCTAGCGTATATTCCACATCCAACAACTCCCAAGCCCTTGAAATTCATGCAAGACTCGGCCCGAAAGTTGGGCACGCATTCTCTTGAGGTAAGTGCAAGGGTAAGCGATCCTGCGAATCCGTCCCGAGTTCCAGACCCTGACTCCCAAGATCGCAAAAGAAACGATGCATGATTCTCAGCCATCGAAACAACCCCTCGAACCATCACCCTGGCCGTAGACTAAGATGAAGCTGGAACCACACGGATACACAAAAACGAGGCTCACACGCATAGACACCGTTCGCATGGATACTTCTGACATCCATCCTGCCCACGGACCAACCTGTGGCTGCGAGGATCAAAAATATGGCATAGAACCCGGCCTACGGTGATGAAATGCGATGAGGGCTGATATGTCCGAAATCCAGATGTCGGAAGACGAGGTTAAGCCGGTTTGAGAATGGGTCCAGTTCTGAACAGAATGATCTGCACTAAGGCTTCAGGGATGCAATCCATGCTAGTTTTGGGTCCAGAGGATTCAACCGTCCTTAAGGAAATAGACTTGGTGTGAACGACCATTCTCCAGATTCAGACTAATATGTAAGGGGCACGTGATGGCATAGGAAAGGATGCTAGAGCTGGAATCGGGCATTCTTCATTCATTTAGTAGGCGACAAGGGTATTAGGTATAGTAGTCGAACTGCTTAAACCACCCTACCTCTCTCAAATCTCATCTGCATGCTACCCGCGGAATTTTGCCCTAAAGGCAATAGACCACTTCACCTATATTCCCCCTCACCATGGCCTGTGCATTGTTAAAATCAGAAATAATGCACACTGTAAGGCACAATATGTAAGCTCAAAGAGGGGCAAGTATGGGGTAAAAACAAACAGACAAGCATAGATCCAAGGACATTAACATTTATATTCATTGTCATAACCAATAATGCACCAGGTCTAAAAGCGCTCGCAAAACCTACAGCATTGAATGCTAGATTCTAAAACTCCACATACCGATCAATACTCTCCCCACTCCGCATAAGATAGTTTACTGCAATATGTCTCTCTGCCATGTTTACACTGACAAAAACATCTTGCACTCGTCTTGGCTCTGCAATATCATCCCCTGCACTACATCTTCCAAGCGGTAGCCAGTTTTCTGGACCAAGATCAAAGACTTCGTCGAGCCCTTCTTCCAGCTTCACGCATTGTAGCGCGACCATCCCGGCCCCAAATGAGTCCCACACACCTTCTCGCCGCCGGCAGTTAAGAAGGAGGGCAATTGCGCGTCGGCGGAGAACTGGGTCGCGGCATCGGCACGCGGTTATAAAGAGTGGAACGATCGGGGAGAGTTCGAAGGAGGGGGAGAAGGATGACGGGCTTCGTTTTGCTACTGGCGTTGTGGTAAATTCGCACGCCGTTTTTGTTGCTGGGACTGGAGGTGCCGGGTCAGGAAGGAATACTAATGTTGACGTCCCAGGGGGAGGTGAGGGTGTGGTTGTCGCGGGGTTCGGGGCAATCACTCGGAGTTTCGCTGGTCGAGGTTTCGAGCTTGTGGGAGTAGAGCGTGGCGGGGATGTGGAGGAGCGGGAGGAGGGTTGCGAGGCTGGCCGATTGAGGATAGGGAGAGTTTCGGCGAGGTCAACGACAGTCTTAAAAGAGTCCACAAACGAATCCCACGCCATCTCCGTTTTTAGTCCGGCGCCAGCAGCAACAATAGTGCTCGCCATCATGCCATATATCTTTAGAAGAGTGTTGCCGGCATATATCTTAGGATCGCCCTGTTCTGATGGGGGAATATTTTGCTGGTACTTATCAAATGTCGTTCTCCAGGTTTCGAAGGAACTCATTAACTTTGTGTAGACTCGAAGCCATGTTGGGTGTTCTGGCGCTTGTGGGTTAATGTTGGCAACCCCGGATATCCACATCATGCATCGCAATAGCCCTACTAGGTCATTTCGAGCATTCGCGTTTTTCGTATAGGCGTCCGGTATCTGTGGACATTCCGGTGGGTTGTCTATGCTGTAATCGTACGGGGAAGTGTTGTCAGAGAAAGTCATGGCTTGTAGGTCGAAGCGGTACAGAACGTTTGCTATTGACTCTTGTGCAGCTGTAGAATGAGTCTGTGGCGGTAGGTCCCGCTTATGTTGATTGAGAATTCGTAGGCCATTTCGAAGATGCATGTTCGCGGCTCGGTAGTTACCCGCCAAGTTCTCGTAACATGTGAATATAATGCATGCTATGAGCACCTTCTCAACATCCACCTTACCTTCCTGGTGAGCTGTGAGGAGGTCATTCGAATGTTTGACGGCTTGCATGTATTGTACAAAGGCAAAGTCGTTCGTTTTGGCACTAAAGATTGGTGTGGTGCTCTCAAAGCGTTCATGCATGGTGCTTAGGGCAAGAATTCCATGTTTAATCGCTGGTTCTGACTGACTGAGTTGCAAGATTTTCTGACTCCAAAGATCCGAGTCGAAGAATTCGGTCCACTTCGGAAGCGTGTGTGTCCGGAAGTAGAAGAACGATCGATTCTCAGCAGAGTCAGGAGAGATACTTCGCGACGGGTTTCTCGGAACACTTGTCGGGGAAGGTTTTTGCGGGACTACTAGGAATGATGGATTTCGAAATGATGCTGCTGCAGCGGGTGACTGATCTCGTGAACGTGTGACATGCTTGTAGCCCTCACACTTGCGGCCGGTTTTTGTGCACCGCTGGCATTCTGGCTTAGTCTCGTCGCACTTGACACGACGTATCCTAGCATCAAATTAACACTGTGGGGTTTTTTTTGGGGTATTTTCTACAATCAGGTTTTGGGTAGGATAGCCCTCACCTGCAAGTCTCGCAACCCGTTTTGACGCGCAACTTGTACTGGCGCTCCAGCTGCCGTAGCTTGGTTTCATCCATGGTTAGATCTGAGTACTGTAAGAGAAGGCCAGCGGCTGTTGACGACGTCTGGATTCAATGTGACGCATGATGAGGCTAACAGCTTAGGCTTTATAAGTGAAGGTGTCACATCGGTGGCTGAGCGTTGGAGCCATGTCTGACGGCCCGGGGTTCGGGTTAAGGTTCCTGTTGGCCCCTTGCACTAACCCTGTCTGGTGCAGTGCAGCTCCCACGAGAGTCTGCCTTGTCAAACACCATCATCGAGTGTGATGTGATATGACCAAGTCGGGGCCAATACGAATGTTTCGAACGGATTTCGCATCTTGACCCTGCGAGATAATCGTATGCGGCCAGCAGCATCCTTCGTACGCTTCTTGGAGGGTGCGGTTGCGCTGGAGTGGTCATCCTGTGTGCCTGCTTGGCGTTTTTGGCTGTTCGCTGACCAGAGCATTTGCGTTCCGACAACCACGGAACCAATAGCCCATGCAATCTTGCTAACTGCCGTTCGGAAATATCAGGTCAGGTCGGGCTTTTCGCAAATCTGTCCCTGATACGCCAAGCTTAAAAGTCCTTAACATAGACAACGAATCATGGATCGAAGAAACCTTTCATCGCTGACCATCCGCGTCCTTGAACCATAAGCCTAGTTTTGTTTCCTTTGGACCCACGGAATATTGCGCAAAGGTCAATGGTGGAGATTGCCCATTAGCCAAGAATGCTGCCAAACCATAACCTACTGGTGCTGGCAGACCGTTAGCTCTAGGCAAGTGCCATCCGCGATGTGCGTAGTGTGCTCAGGAGCCTCGAAACCATCGTCAGTGTCAGCGCCTAGTATGCATTGAATCGTGGGAAGGCTAGACTTACAATTGTAGTCTTACTTCGTGCGTCGCGGCCACCCGTCATCACACCGTAAAACGCCAGCATCCCCCAGAAACATTAAAATCTATCTCTTGGCCACTTCGCGCAAATGTGAGGCCTTGTAGTTAGATCCACATGTATTTTTCGTGGAGGTGGGCCATATCGATGTTGTATTCTTGAGCCACTTCAACCTCAGCTCAGAGAAGGCAAACAATAATGCGACCATCACATAATACAATAATGGGTATGTGCCTGTGAGACGGTCTTCGCGAGTCTGCCTTCGCGAGTCACAGGAAAGGAAAGAGTTTGATTCCTCACTGCATATTAGCATCTGCCGCCGAATATGAGCCCAGAGGGTTTGACTTACCTGAGCAAAGCCGCAAAAATCGATGCAGACTTCTGTCCAAATTTAGACGCTGGCTTATTTTGTCCATTATGACGGCATGCAGTACTGATATGATACTAATCTTTCTCCACAAGGAGCTTGGTCGTCAGTGCAGTGCCCACCCGTTGTATAACCACTGACGTTTGACACGGCAGAGGCATCCGAGACAAACATTTGGTGAAAATGCCCGTTGTTAGTACTCCGTACATTCTGACCATCTTGTTATGTGACTCGCTCCGTCCGTCCAGTACCAACCATTCAAAACTTCTAAATTGTGGCTAAGGCAATAGGCGGAGTCATACATGAGGAAGATGGGAAGATACTGCGATTGACTTATTGTCGGCTCGTAAAGTCCATAAGAGCGGTATCGGAGGGTACGACAGCAATTCCGGAGGGTGGCAAGTCGCAGGGTTAACATGGAGAAGAGAAAAGATGATCGAATAATCGCCAAATATGATTTCCAAAAGGCAATGGGATAGACTCGCACACCAAAAAGCGGCATGCAGAAACCTATCCGGCGTCTGTGACCCCAAAGACCTCCGGCAGTGTTGATGTGGAAGAAAGAGAAGCAAAAAGATCCTCGAATGCGGCCAGCGATGAGCTTAAAGATCCAATGCACAACAGTCCCTTGAAACACCCCGGAGAAATACACCTCAAATATTCGGAACTCCCCGACTCACGAATCCGCATCGCGAATACTACGCCTTTGAAGCATTTCGCAATTCGCAATTGCTTGTTATCCATTTTTGGAAATCAGACGAAAGTTACCTGACCAAAAAGGGAAGTATCCGAGCAGACCAATCATGTCCAAAAATGGCAACGCTGACAGGAGGAGCTTTTAATTACGCCTGGGGTCCCACGTCATGTCCGATATCTCTCCGTCCTTGTCAAAACCTATGAAATGTCAAGTGTTCAAGAAATAAAGGTTCGTTTAAAGATTGAAAGGGGGAGGGTGAAAGGGACGGGGATGCTGCTACTTATAAATATCAATGACGTTTTCCGCATCACGAAATACGAGTTCCGTGGAAAAATTCCGTCAGCCCTAAGGCGTATTTCGCACACCCACGAATCTCATTGCTTCGAACCTCGGCTCGAAAAAGTTCCCCAAGGCATCTTGGTGGTCAATCGTTACTAATATCACAAATGCGGACATGTCCTCCGATGTCCTACCAGATTAGGATGGGTTTGATTGTGGCCTTGGTATGCATATCTTCGAGTGGTGTCTCGAAGTCATCGGCCTGTTGCGAGTAAATGGGAATAGATTCTGAAGGAGGGGAAGAGCACTGACATACAGCGTATTGCTTCAAGAGCTTGTCAACCGGCAGCTTCCCGACTCGATACCATTGAATCAATTGTGGTATCTACTGATCTCAAAGTTAACGCGGGCTTCAGGACACTTTCCCGTGATAGTGGGCTCTTACAGTCTTGGGGAGAGCACTCCCCTCGATGCATCTACGGATAGCTTTTCTGGCCTAAAAATCCGTCCTTAGATGAATGAAAGGCACGTATGCGTTATCCGGAAGGGATACAGAGTTAGACTTATGCCCAATAAACCGTGCAAATCGAGAGGCAATGTCTAGCCTATTATTATGCCACTCAAGATCAGCTGGCCCTGCTGATCCAAGAGATCGCCGCCGGCATGGATAATGTCCAAGACGCCCGTAGTATCGACATTACAACTGGTGCCACCCTTGCAAATATCCTTAATCGCTTGAGTGAGGCCCACTTGAAGATCTTGGAATTCAAAGGTATTGATAACATGTGTAACACCAACAGATTTGGCCATGTCGAGCCTGAATTGTACACGATCTACACCAACGATAATGTAGCAATCTCGAATCTTTGCGGCCATCAACGCAAGCATGCCTACTCCACCGAGCCCAAATACCGCGACTGAATCCGTCTCTTTGACATTTGCGAGCTTCGTCACAGCACCAACCCCACTCTAGAACTCACACCCGAAAGGTGCGAATATCTTGAGCTCTTCCTCGCTCTTGATCGGACCTGACACATTTACTGCTGGCTTTTCCTAGACTAGGGCTAGGTTCGAGAAGCTAGACTGGCAGAAGAGGGCTCCACTGGCGCTCTTACCATCACCGAGCTTGTAGACCTCCGACCTCATCGTAATGTTCTTCTCGAAGGTCGGACAGTAACCCGGACGGCCATTGCTGCAATTATAGCACGTTGTCTCTCCGCAGTAGTCAAAAGAAACAAGGACTAAGTCGCCCGGCTTGGTATGCGTAATCTTCGAACCCATCTTTTCGATGATTCCACCACCTTCGTGGCCCAGAACTTTTGGCCACAATCCATACTCCGCTGGAACCATCGACATGGCGAGATCGGTGTAGCAGACACCTGAAGCAATCACCTGAACTAACATTTCATCCTTGAGAGGCTCTCGAAGATTGACGGTTTATGTATTCTACCTGAAGCGTCCATCTTTTGTTGGCGTGGAGACAATTTCCTTTGTGTTGATAGTGTATCCGGCCATGGCAGCTTTGTTTTAAGAGCTCGAGAGGAAAGTGGAATGGAGTTGGATCATAGAAGGTGGAAACCTAACTCCATTCGGGCTTTATATGCAGGCACCTAGAGACTAGTATTCTGACGCTGCGAGATGACCACTGTAGTATGACAGGATTTGCTGACAGGCTCGGTTTGGCGGTGTCCCGGATCGGCGATTTAAGATTCTAGTGCTCTCTTATTCAATCATTTTCAAGTCCTATATCTCTCTCCCCCAAGTTGCTCTTAAGCTAAGTTCTTCGATTAGAGAGTCCACCAATATTACTCAATCATGAGACCAACCTCGGGCGAGCAGGTGTTCTAGGTCCAACTTGAACACGCCGCAAAAGCTAGGATCCCTAAGAACTTTCAGTATAAATTCAGCTTAGCCGCATCAATTCATCCCACAGGGGCGTAGAAGACTATCTAAACTAACCTTGCGCGGTTCTTGGTAAATTCGGAGATCGGAAAGAAGGTGAAGCCGTTGCCTATAGTACTCCGCATTGCATTCTCCTATATGCCATCGATGGCATCAGCATTCACTTGCCCGCCTTACTGCGGCTATTGGCCGACGAGAGTATTCAATGGAAGAATAAGAGTTAGATCGTTGAAGATCCCAGATGGTACATAGGTTAAGCCGGTCGCCAGCCAACTTTATATAAGCCCCAGTATAAAATAGGAACGGCAGAAGCCTAGCTTATTTTCCCTTAGAGGAAATATGATTGGCCTGTAAAGCCGGACAAAGTAGCACTGGGTTTAATCGTGATCTAGGTACGGGTTTGCCGTTTCCGAGAAGAGATAAGATGTGCTTCACGTCTGTTATTTAGCCTCTACTTAGCTGAGCCTTCTGACGTGTCACGTCGTTGAGGGAAAGTTACTAATTCTGCAAGCTTCTCTTTTTACCATGCCTTGCTCTTAGCTTGTTGTGGAGAAGTAAACGAAGTTTCTTAGGAAAGACAGAAATAGATTTTGTCCAGTAAGCCGCTTACAGTTACCCAGGCAAGCTAGGTCTTTGTCCATAGGACAAAAGCATGGAAATATAGTATTTTGGCACCTGCTACAGAACGTTAAAAGGGACGCTTTAACCCATCCAGCGAGTTGCCAGAGTTAAGGGAGTATTAAGAGGATGGAGATTCCCGCAATCAAGTTTCTCCTATAACATAGGATAAGATGTCCTATGCCAGCGTTTCGGAGCTTGGTTCAAAGTCCAAAAGTCAAAAAAAAAACTTTAAATTCTATATGTTTGCCTTTTCGTCCTTAATTTGTGTTCACTCTCGGTTCGTCATGCTACCAAAACCCATGCAAAGATGCATTGCCATGCATGCCCAATCCAGAACCGAAACCATAGCCTTCCAAAACGCCAAATAGGAGCTCTTAGATAAAACACGCCAGGGAGAGCTCCATGATGCAATCGAAATGATATCAGTTCTGCTGACCGCCAAAGTATTTGTAAAAAAGGCCTTGATGCAAAGTGTAATGGTACAGATGTGCAAGAGGGCATTTGGGGGTACTATGAAGTGGAGCGTTTAAGTTAGGAAGAAACGATAAGGCGCGGCGCGTCCTCAATGGATCATCCAGGTCTCCTGAAAGCTTCGACTGCAAGTGTTGGAGTTTCAACGAGTCGATTGGATGGTACCCCCTCGTTCTTTCTTCGTTCAAAGAAGTTCTGACATTCATGGGAGATCAAAGTCCATTCAGCGAGAGCGCGCCCTGCATAGCGGCTAGACATCGCTGCTGGCCCAGTTGGTCGGGAACTCATGATCCCACCGATATTGATCCCCTTGGTCTGAAGGAGCACCTGTGCAGGGAGTGGAAGACGTGGAGGACCGAGTCGCATGTTTTGGAAATTGTGGAAGCGCTTATCGACCCACTCTAAAGAGAATCGAAAGCTAAAGCTGCGGTGAGAGGCCGGAGAGGGTGTCCTGTCAGGAGAGGTTGACTTCCCTCTTGTAGATGTATCAGCCGAAGAGGTGGACGAATTATTAGCGGCCTTGTTCTCTTTATTAGTCGGCCCAGGGCTTCGAGATTTTGAAGATTGTTTCGGCGCGCTGATGAAGTTTCGTAGGATGCTCCAACGCCCTTTGCTCGTCTCTTCTTCGCCAAAATCTTGCGAGTCCGCCGACTGTGCGGATACCGGTCGAGCATCCGCTTCCGGAATCGTATTGTTCATAGATGATAACCTTCTCGATACCGGAGACTGAACAACGCCATCGAATGAGATGAAAGGCCCGCTACTAGTGACTATAGGGTTATCATTACGTATGATGAGGAATCGACGACCTGGGGCGGGGTTGCACGGAGCTGTCGACGGCGGAAGCGTGCTCTTGATTTCAGCCTCTTCACGGAGCCACAGGTAGTGAGACCATACGGTCCGTAAGCGATCACTCAATGACTTCATAATGCTGCTATTGGAAATCTGTCAGTACATCAATCCATTCTTCAGGAGGAATTCTTACAGTTCTCCAGCCGTCTCATCGCCATCGAAACGTGCAACCCGCCAGCACAGCAAACGCATGAAATAGGATCGCACCATTGGGCACCAATGGTTAAATCGACTTTCGAAGAACTCCGGCTCCAGTAAAAAGTCCGAGCAGAGCATTGCTTTGCGTTGCTCGTCCGAAACTAGAGTTGGCCAAGTGCTGTACAAGAAGGCAAACAACTTGATCTCTGTCGCTGTATTCTGACTTGCAGTCATCTGCCTGCATACCGAGAGCCAAAAAGGCCAGTCTAGGACCGAATGCCGCCCAACGTCAAGCTGCTCATAGCGAACCAAGATGACAAAGGCCTCTTCCAGAAAATCACAAAGGGTATAACAGGCATTATTGTCGTAAACCGAAACTTTCCGCGCGGTCGCTTTCAGAAGATGTCCGAAACTCTCCGCAAAAATTCTTCTAGCCGTGTGAAGATGTGCATTTCGCTCAGAAAGAAAATCTCGAATAAGCATGATAAGGCGATTCTCTGCCATCTGCCGGGTAGCATTAGCGGGAGGTATCGGCAGCGTAGACACTGAGGTATCCAAATCACTCAAGACATCGTCGAAGGTAACGGAGGCTGCACCGGCCGCTGAATCATCAGGCTGTTGATGAGTGGCATGCCGATTGATTGTGGCGTCCAGATTGGTCAAGATCTGGGCATGAACCATAACCAGTCCAGGAACACATACTCGTTCTGCAGCGCTCGGCTCAACAGGCAGGAAGTCGGTAACAAGGATGTGATAGTGCTTCACGAAAACGTAAAAGAGATCACTTTCGGCACCTGACCAGCGCTTTACCCAGGCACCGTACCAGTCGAGGTTTGCAGTGCCAAGGGGTAAAGAGGCAGGTCGTCGCAGATAGCGAATAGCCTTGGTGAGGGACTGAAATTTGAGTGAATGAAGCAATGGGGGGAAGGATGAAGCAATGCGATCAGACACGAGATCCAGCCGATCTTGCCTTGAGATCCCAGACTCTTCGAGGACGCGTCTCATCGTATCTAGGGAGGGGTTCCACAGGCGCACCAAAACATCAGCGACCCCAGGACAGAAGCAGAACGCATATGCGCACGTCTTCCCGCAGAAAGTCACAAGGCTGGCGGCAGCGTTTCGCAGAGACATCTTGTCGACCACAAAGGCAATCTGAGAGAGCAGATTCTGGGTGAAGATATTCCGGACATTGTGGTAGACGGATTCAGCGAGGAAGTCAGAGGAGCCAGAAGAGGTGGAGCCGGCTGATTTCGCGGTTGTGGTGGATGCCGTCTCGGCCCGGTCGGCCAGGGCACAGAATGGGGAAGGAGACATGCGCCACTCTGGTCTTTCCATAACTGCTGCGATGCCCTCGAGAATAGCGGGGCGGTCGGTGCCAGATATAGACTGGTTGTTCCTTCCAGCCAGGAGCTCTAACAACCCAGTCCACCAGCCATTTAAGATGTTAGCTCGTCTATCTAAATCTTCAGGTCGTAGCTTGTGGTTCGAGGGGTGTGAAGCGTAGGAGCGCAAGAATGGGAGAAGCGCGGTCCGAACAACATTGGCCTTCAGAGCAATCGACTTTGCTTGGAATCTGCGATAGATCCGTTAGCCTGGAATGATTTGGGAATGTTGTTCAACTCACTTGCGAAGATCTCCCTCTAGCGTCCGGAACACCGCCCAGAGCTCGTCTTTCTTACGGGGCTCCGTTTTGGCGCCTTTGAGCTTGTCTGACGAGAGATTGCGGGGAAGCGGCGGAATGTGGTTCGGAGATGTGGGTGTCTGTGAGAACGAGGGTAGCCTGTCGGTGGAAAATGATTTCGGCATTGGAGGAACAGACGGAATATTACTAGTAGATGCAGATGTCGCTTGCTGGGCATTCGAGGAGCTGAAGATGCCGCTCAAGGGTCGCTTCGTTTTTTTGGTGAGGACACGAGATTTGGATGTTGTCGCTGGCGAGCTTTCGGTGGCTTGCCTCGAACGAGGCTCCTCTAGAATGCTCAACGCGCTGGATAGGGACTTTCGTTTGCTTCCCTCGGCGTGCATTGAGTTCTTCCTTGGCTCTTCTCCCTTCACGGGGCTGCCACTGTCCTTCGTGGGCGAAGACGATCGAGATTGAGACGAAATCCAGGACTTTCTCCTTAGTCTTGTCAAAGGCCGGCTAGGTGACATGGAGTTTGGAGAACCGGCCTGCTTTCGAGTGCTGTTACCGGTCCGATCGAGTGAAGAGTCTCGACTTTTGTTGGAGAAGGGCAAGAACCTCGACGACCGGCGCGCGATGGTTGGCTTCATTTGGAGAGGCTGCTCGGCCTGGGGGACCTCTTCTGGGTCTGGGCTGGATCCCCCCGAGGATGGGTAAGAAGCCCCCTCGCCATTGGCGGCGGCAGCCTTCAACTCATCTTCAGAGATTGTCCCCTTCAGCTCGAGTATCGACGGTTCATCCAGCAAGTCCTTGACCCGGGGGAAGTAGGTGTAGCTCGCAGCTCGCGGCACCTCAGCAACCCCCTGTGCATCGCGCTCGACGGGTGCAAAGGCTTCTGAGGCGCTCCGGTTCCTGCCCCGATGTGTGTGTGCCAGCAGGTCATGGCCGTTCGTGGCCGGGGCGACTGCATGCATCGTTCTGAAGCGTGATGGCGGAGGGAGCGTTGGGTGGGGGCGGACACCAACGACTACTGCTCCATGAGTTTGGTCCCAGATTGCTTCTGAAAGAATTTATGGCCGGCCACTCATATTTCCCCTTCAACTCGCAGGCGGCGTAGGCGTAAGGCGGGCCGTGTCTACAGAGGAGGCAGTGAGGGGACCTAAAGTGTCTGCTCTAGGCTGCGGCGGCGGATGTCAGCGGGGCGTGATCGTGAGCGAGCGGAAGTGTTTCGAGTGCAGTGTGAAGCAGCGGAGGGACAGGCCTGGCAGCGGTGGGAAAGCTGGAGGTAACGACAGACAGCGACAGACAGCGACAGACAACGAGTTTGAGGTTGGCAGGCTGTTCGCTGGGGCTGCGGTCCTGAAGACGGCGTCAGCGTTGGGGTTGATTTCGGTAAATTATCTTGGTCGTCGCAGATGCAATGGCGGCAAGCATTGGTGCGTCGAACAGGGTTCGCGGCAGGTTTGGTGGCTTAGCATGACGATCCACTTTCTGGGCGATCGTGCAATTCACACGGCGGCTCAAGCGTGCTTCAAATACAGCGAACGAGCCACCTGCAGGCTGTGGGAGACTGACTAGGGATTATTATCAGATGTGCCCATGTCAATGGCCAGTCCTGTCTTTTCGCTACATTCAAAGTTCAACTCGACTCGTGCTCGCCCAGCCTTGTCAGTTGCACATGCCGCCCGGCGCTCAAGAGTAACACACTTTGACGTCTATCAGCGAACAGCAATGTACACGCCGACGCACGACGGCCATTGCGAGCCGGAGATGACGAATGCCCGCTGCTTAATAAAGGAGACGTACACCGTGCAGCCGGCTCCACCACGCCCGCCTGTTGCTTTTCGTGCAATTAGTAGTTGGCTGAGAAATGGATGTGAGGCTCCCATGGTTCTCGTGTGTGAAGCACAGACCGCAAGCGGACAGAGTGTATCCAACGAGGCCGAATTTTTGCGAGATCCGTTTCGCTGGTCAATCATACATGGAACACCTGTTGGACAATCTGATGCTAACTGAAACACATCTCGAGTATGCTAGTTCAGCCATTCATATAGAAGGGGCTGGTGGGTTAGTCATTGAAGCGAAGACTTGCACATCAGATGAAGCTCCGGAATACTGCATTTAGCGGTATGTTCAATTGGTACTGACACAATCCATTGGAATTTTATACAGTTGGTCGGTGATGCTGGAAATGTCCCGAGATCCTCTAATGTGCAGCTGGTGCATCGTCCTCCGGCTCCTCCTCAAACCAGTCCTCCTCCACAGGTGCCGGGCTTCCCTCGGTAGAAGCGCCCTCGAGCTCAACCTGCTGGGTCTCGTATGCCTTCAACTCGCTCGCAATGTCGGCCTCCTCTGGCGATGCCGGTGCCGGCGGGATGGTGAATTTCTGGACGTGGCCTTCGGCATCGGATGCCTTGACTTGCGGGGGTTTATAGGCCTTCAATTCCCGCAGGTACATGTCTTGCACAAGGTCGGCTAAAAGCACCAAACGGTCAGTCCTCAGCTCCTGGGCGCAATTGGAGATAAATCACCTGGTCGCACAGCCGTGGGGATGATGAATGTGCGTCGGGAGAGGAGTGCTGGCTGCTGTCGGGCGACGCGTACCAGCGTCTGGCGCTGTAGGAGCGGTCAGTGAGGGCGAGAAAGCACAGGGAGTAGCAGACATACCGAAGCCCTGATGGATTGGGCAAGCATTGTGTCGTCGGGTGAGGTTGTGATGGAGCTGTCGTCGGACCTTCCGTGAGCCTTCGAAGGTTTTCCAGAGCCGCATTGAACGCAGCCGAGCACGTCACGTGAATATCTTGGCGCCCGTACAGCCGCCCCGGCTGACTGTGTATTTCTGACAAGCGCCTATTCTTTGACGGGTGCCTCCTCACCAAATCCCCATCACCATACTCGACTCTTCGTCCATCTCGCGACAGAGTCTGCCCGGTGTCGGCATTCCCTCGTTGATAGCACTAGAAATAAATCCACGTTGGAGAGCGCGCGGAGGAGCCTGCTGCCCCGGATTTCTGTCCACTTCAGCCGCCTTCTCACTCCGATTTCTCAGTCTCCAGACCCTCCTTCACGTCAGGACCTTCCCCGTCCTGCCATTCCGAGGAGCGCCTCTCATTAAAGAACTACTTCCCTTCCCCTCCCCTCTCCATCTCTACAATCGTGATATCAAGTGAGACGACGATGGCGACGCGGTATGCCCCAGATGGCCGTGTCCTCTCGCCGGGCGAGGTCTATGAGGAAGTCGCGCAGCCCACACAGCCGCAGGAGTGGACTGAGGACCTGAATGTCACCCTCATGTGCCCTGACTGCCAGGAGAACCCCCCCAATCTCGTTGAGGAGTTCTCGTCTGGAGACACCGTCTGCGGGTCGTGCGGACGAGTGCTCGCGGACCGTATCATCGATACGCGGTCGGAGTGGCGAACCTTCTCCAACGACGACCAAGGCAACGATGATCCTTCCCGTGTTGGAGACGCTGCAAATCCGCTTCTGAATGGCTCGCAACTGCACACCGAGATCGGCTTCGGCGACGGTGGCCTGCGAGTGCGAGAGCTGTCTCGCGCACAGAATAAGTCCAACCATGACAAAACCAACAAGTCGCTGCAGTCGGCGTACGGCCAGATCAGCACCCTCTGCGAGTCCTCAAACATCCCAAAGGTCGTCGCTGAGACCACCAAGCTGCTGTTCAAGCTCACCGACGATGCCAAGATTTTCAAGGGCAAGTCGCAGGATGCCATCATTGCCGGTTGCATTTTCATCGCCTGCCGTCAACATGAGGTCCCCCGCTCTTTCCGCGAAATCTTCAAGTTGACCAATGTCTCAAAGAAGGAGATCGGCCGTACCTTCAAAGCCTTGGAGGCACATCTCCAGAAGGCACTTTCCAAGGACGCTGGCCCCAAGGTAGCTGGCAGTGGGGCGGTCCTCAACAACAGCTCGTTCAAACAGACCAAGTCCACCGAAGCCTCAGAGCTCATTGGGCGTGCCTGTAACAAGCTGAATCTGTCAATGAATATCAGCATCATTGCGCAAGAAGCGGCTTCAAAGGTCACCTTCCTTGGTGTTGCTGCTGGACGTTCGCCCCTCTCCATCACCGGTGCCTGCATCTACCTCATTGCCCATCTAATGGGCCACCCGCGTCTTCCAAAGGATATCGGCTTGGCTGTCGATGTTAGCGATGGAACTATCCGCACGGCATACAAGCTCATCTACAACGATCGCGACAAGATCATCGAAGAGGATTGGATTCGCAAAGGTGGTGACCGCTCCAGGGTCCCCGTTGCGTAAGGAGTTCAAGACTGCTCATGACTTCCTAAGGACATCGACGATTACCAAATATGCTAACAACGATTGGAACCGGGGTTGCCATCGAGGGGGACATGGAAAGAATTTCTTCACAAACACATCTAATGCATGAGAGGCGTTCCTTGGATTTCAGTCTTCATCAATTTAGCAGAGTGTGTTTTCAGCGAGTGTTAGTTTTTCGATGCTGGGTCAGACTGTTCTTCCCAATACCCCATAGACGGCTGGAATATGCTCACTCAAGGTCTTCATTCGACCTCTCTCATTCATCTCATAGCTCATTCATCTCATCTCATAGCTTTTTCCCAAAAAGCTCCAAGATTCAATCGTGAACACAGGCTGCACGGTTGGTCATTTCAATGGTTTCTGAGCGCTCAGTTCGCTCGTCGTAGCTAGAGGAGGCCTTTGTGGAGAGCCACATCACGAGCAGTGGCAAGTAAAATAATAAAAAAGCACCACGTTGCAAAACTCTGCTTCAGCGCCTCTTGCCCTGTAATATGACGAGCGATATTCGTGGGAAATTCAGCACCTGCGGAATGTTGTTGAATCAGACCTTCTCCACCGTTTCCCAAAGTGTTCCACAGTTCCAGGGTTTCCCGAAAGCTCACCATGTGTACCCCTAGGCAGTATGGAGAACTCTAGTGCGAGAATCGGCAATAGCTTCGACCTTACCCTCGACCTTAACTTCGTCCTCCCACCTTTCAATATTTCCATTGCTCCGATTCTAGTTCACCTCCTCTGTCCGCGCCTGGGCCGAGATCTGAATCTCGCCCCGCGGGTCCCGGCACGGGAAACTCAACGAAATCTAAGATTGATGGCACTCACCTCTTTCGGAATTTCTCAATTCGAGATGGAAGTTCTAGCCTTATCGATCAGCTAAATTGCTAGCCCCGGGAACGTGCCGTCAAGGGGGCCATTTTCAGATTTACGCAGCACGATGCATGCTTATGTACGTGGTTTGGATAATGGATGGGCTTTGGGCCAGCTCCATTTCCCCGACAGCCACGCGATATGCCGGCATTGGTCTTGGGTATGGGATAGTACGTAACCAAGTGGATCCGGGGACTGTCCGACCTTGTTTGAAGAAGCTGAATTGGCTCAGATGCGGATGGAACTTGACATACCCACAACGGTGAGCTCTCACTAGTGGAGGATGGTCTCAGAGTTAGAGCGTTGAGGAAGGATGGGACGAGGAACAGACTAAGTAGTGTGCGTTTGGTCACGATCTCTGCTGAGAGTTGTTAGGGTCTGGGCCCATACTGTGAGGTAGTCTGTGCTCAACCCAGAAAAGAGATAGACAGAGGCGAGCAGAAGGATGCTGGTAGCGCATCTGTTTACTATGGTATAAAGACTAGCCGAGAAGGTAAAATTTCTCTTGTCTTCTCTTACAAGTCTTCTCAGTCAATATTACCCACTCAGGTGTACCAGGCTCGCTTTAGTAATGAAGCATTTATTCTCGTAATTCAATTCTTTGGGGATTCTTTGGGGACTCTTTGGGGATTCTTTGGGGATTTGGATTTTACACTCCAGCCTCAAATCTCTTCCTGTCTATTTTCAGAACTTCTTCACCTATTATGGCAGCCCTCTCAAAGCTTCTCAACCTTCTAAAGTCCCTTACTGTCTCTCTCCTTCTTGTCTCCCCTACCACCCTGGCCACGAATAACGTCATCTTCAATAACTACTGCCACTATCCATTGTACTTCTGGGCTGTCAGCACCGAAGTCGTGCATGACGAGGCATCCAATTATGTACCTGCACATGACACACTCGTCCACCGCATGGTGAACATTGGCAACCCTGGCATCTGTCTCAAAATCCGCGACGTCCCCATGTACGAGCATGGCAGGCAATCCATCCTGCAGCTTGAATACAACATCGATTGGAATGACTCGAAGTGGCATTGGGACTTCAGCGCCATCGACTGCGCCTTAGGAGTTCCGGCGACCGAGGAGGGATACTGTCCCTTTATTGGTGGAGGTGTGCATGTGTATACCACTGGGGACGATGCCACCTGCAAATATGCACACTGTCTCGGAAATCATGAGGCGGATTGCGTGAATACTTACACCAGACATGGGAGCTGGCATGGAGAGCCTTCGTGGTCTTGCCCGATGGGCAATGACCTTATCATCGACACGTGCACCAGCTGGACGCCTGCAAGGACCTATATCAACGGGAAGCCATTTACAGAGACCGACTATCAGCCGCCACAACCTCAGCCTCCTGACCCTGCCCCTGGAAGCTCATGTGACGAGCCATGCGATTACTTCGGACCCGTACCTCACAGCATCGAGGAGCTCCCACTCTGCGGTGTAAGTTTATCTTCCTCTCCACCCTGCTCCCTCGAAACACCGCACATACCTATACGCTGTCGTTTCAGTATGGCTGTAACCTATCTTGGAGCTTACCCCGCTCGCTTGTACGCCACCATCTTTTTGTTTCCTGTCTTTTTCAGAGCACCTACATTTTCTTATTCCTTACCTTCTTCCTCTCTAAGAACTAGAACTGCAAGGATGTACGTGTAGCTGTTCCAGTCCTTGCACTGTTCTCTGGCCTACCACCCTCTCCTTTCCTGTTCTGTTCTAGAGCACCTGAATTCTCTATTCCTACCTACTCCCTGCCTCTCTACTTTAGGGATATACTCTCATCAGTTTCAGTCTTGTTGAGGACCTCTGGGGCACTTACCCTGTTCCTTTGTCCACCGCTGGCATCTTGTTGCCTGTCACCCTTTAAGACACAGGTTCCCCCTTCTCCTACCGTCTCTTCCTCTTAGAACACTTCCAGCGACTCTGCGTTGCTATTACAATCTGTCAACACATATTTATGACGCTTGCTGCGTTCTTGTATGTGACAATAGTATGACCGTTCCGGTATCTCTGTAAATTGCCTGCTCGCCCCCTCCTCACCACTCCCCTTTTTCGCAACCCCAACTGTAGTACACAGGCATTATAGTATTGTTCAAATTAAACCTAATTTTTCTGCATGCTTTTCAAGCGTTATTAGCACTCTTATCCCTGTTCTCTATCCTACGCTATTCTCCTCTCACCTTCACTCACTCCACGCCATATTGTAACTTCACTTCCACCCCCCTCCCCCACTTCATCTCTCTTCTCCACCTGCCACATTCCACACACATTAACTGCCCCTTCCAGCGAATCTGCCTGTACGACATGCACCGCCAGGCTGCAGGCTTCGGCTGCAACTTCAGCGACGACGACTGCTTCTGCGCAAACAAAAATTTCGGCTACAGCCTCCACGACTGCGCTAAGGACACCTGCCCCTCGGCTGATGCAGCAGTCGTGCTAGCTTTTGGGAGGAGCTATTGTCCCGGGAGTTTCCCCGACCATTGTGGAAGGTGAAGGGGTTTATTAAGTGAAAGGGGGTTAGTGTAAGATCGATCGGACCGTTCTGCAGAGTGCCCGGTGGTTAGCTAGTGCGTCATTACGACTAAACCGTACAGTGGTAGGGTGTCTTGGGAAGGATACTAGGGAGGTGTTTCTGGAGACATACTCCTTTCAGCCACGTCTCCTTCTCTTCCATCATTTCAATATACCACGGAGGAGTGTAGCGTTTTTCGGGGTGAGGAGGTTGCGGGTAAGGCGGTGTTCTTGTTTGCTTAATGCCTTGTGCTAAGTAGATCATGCCAAATGTCAACTATCAATTGCGAGCTGGGGGTTTACCAAGCTCTTGATAGTTTCTCAATGGGTTTTACCCTTCTAGATCCGTTTTACTTGCTAGCATTCCAATGGGGGTGTTTTACTCTTAATTAAAAAAGTCCTTTTTTTGGCGTAGTATTACTGCCTTTTCATGGAGGTGCGCACTCCCGTCGAAGTGGGATTACATGGCTACAGAGATGATGTTTATCGGGAGAGTATGTTTCCTAAATATGCACTAACTTGATAGCAATGGTGATCGTCTTTATAATTTCTGCAAGTCTGGTACTTACATGATTGCACACGAGCGACCCGTGCAGGCTTGTATGTGACTTGAGCGGCTCATATCGATGCATTTAACTTGAATTCCGTCATGCCAAAGAGGACACCATTGACGACGGAACGCTAGCGTAGCCACGCCAGTATTGCAAAAGGGTGAGAGAGTGCAAAATTCTATCTATTAAAGCTCACAAATTTGAAGTACCTAACAGCCGGCTCACAACCATTCCATGCCAAGTCACGCCTCATAACAATACGTTCATACTTACTGCATTAGCAGTCCGCCGAGCAAAGTCTCCGTTGGACAGAATGCATGCTTGTGTTTACGTCTTGACGTCTGGCTCTGTGCGGCCGATGAACTCCTGAAGCTTGAGTAAGTCGGTGGCAAGCTGCACATTGTCCTTCAGGTAGTCCTGAGCATCCAGGTCAAACTTGGACTCGTCTTTCTCGTGCTTTTCAATGTATAGACGAATGGTGGCACCGCTGCTGCCTGTGCCGGACAGACGAACAACAATGCGGCTGCCGTCGTCGAACTTGACATAGATGCCTTGGTTCTTGCTAACGCTGCCGTCCAGGTCGGTATACGAGAAATCGTCAGCTTCAATGACCTTGCGACCGGAAATAGATGAGCCTATGAACTCGTCCTTCTTCGTGGTGATGAGCTCCTTCATGTGAGCCGTCACCTTGTTCGCGCCCTCGGTTTCGCAACCTTCATAATCGTATCGGGTAAAGAAGGTTCGTCCATATGTTTTCCAGAAATCCTTCTGGATGGAGGCAATGCTTGGTGTTGTACCTGTCTGCTGGCCAACACCTGCAAGGATGTTGAGCCAAGCAACGATTGCCCACAATCCATCCTTCTCACGGATGTGGTTGCTGCCAGTACCGAAACTCTCTTCACCACAGATGTTCATTTTTTCAGCATCAAAGAGACCACAGAAGAATTTCCATCCAGTTGGCACCTCGTAGCACTCCACGCCCTTCTTCTTCGCGACAAGGTCGATGGCACCTGACGTAGGCATACTTCTGGCAAGGCCATAGATACCCTGCTTCTTGAAGTAGGGGATGAGATCCGAGTAGTGCGCGATGATGGCCAAGCTGTCTCCAGGCGAAACAAAAGCGTTGGCGCCGTATATCATGTTTCGGTCACCATCGCCATCACTGGCAGCACCAAATTGGATCCCATTCTTGTCGACAGCGTCAACCAGAGACTTGGCGTAGACCAAGTTGGGATCGGGGTGGTGACCACCGAAGTCTGGCTTTGGGACACAGTTCTGAGTGCTGCCGGGTATGCCGAGTTCCTTCTCAAATATATCTACGCCATAAGAACCAGTCACTCCGCTCAACCCATCAAACAAGACCTTGAAGTCAGGGTGTTGCTTGATGAAAGACTTGATGAGGTCGAAGTCAAAGATGCTCTTGAGCATATCAAGGTAGTCTTTGGTCGAGTGGATGATTTCCACCTCGAGAGGTCCACATGTCTGGGTGCCAATTGTGGAAAGGTCGACGTCGGGGATATCCGCGATCTTGTACGACGTGAGGGTCTTCGACGTCTCAAAAATCTTATTGGTGACGCTCTCGGGAGCCGGGGCACCGTTGGCTAGGTTGTATTTGATCCCGAAATCCTCCGTCGGACCTGCAAACATTTAGTGTTTCGCTTCATGATATCAGATGATCCTCGGGCGGATGTGGGAAAGCTGCAACAGCAAGACTGACCTCCGGGATTATGGCTGGCGGTCAAGAGAATGCCTCCAGTTGCTTTGCGTATCCTGATGATATGGCTGGCAGCGGGAGTGCTCAGAATGCCGTTCTGGCCGATTAACAACTTCTTGACGCCGTATGCTGCACCGATCTTGGCGATTAATTGTGTTACCTCCGGGTTCCAGTAGCGTCCGTCGCCACCAATTACAAGGAAGGAGCCCTCGACGCCTTCGGGAATGGAGAGGAGGATGCTAGCAACAAAGGCTTCGCTGTAGTTGTCTTGCTGGAAGACTTTGACCTTCTTGCGGAGCCCGGAGCTAGTGCGAAACCACGAGTCAGCCATAATCTCCTAAGGGAAGCATTGGGAGCAGAGAGATGCGTCGAGAGCAATTGGGATGTATGCCATGGGAAATATGGCGGAAGAACAATCTGGACGAGTAAATAGAACCGTTGGAGAGCAATAAATGCAACGGTTAAGACAGGTAGCGGATACATAGCCGAAAGTTTGTTTGGACACTCACGTTCCGGGTTTCTGGTCCGTAAAGGGCTTGAGTGAAACGGTCTTGACGCTCATTTTGTTGCGCGGGTCTCGTGTTCAGGCTGTTGTGTGCAGGAATTGAGTGAGCAGAGCAGACGTTGGTCGACACCGCCAGTCTACTTTTTGAGGCGAGGCAAGGTGGGGGGGAATGCTGTGGCGCGGGATGACGCACGGCTAGTGTTGAGTCTCGCACTAGAACGACACTGGCAGTCTATCCGCCTGATCTGCGCCTTCACATCCTTCTTGTTTCGACTACACCTTATTTTCTTCCACTCTCCCTCCTCAACAACATCAACAACGCCAGCTCTCAGACTTTGCGACAACAAGCAAGCTCCAAGTTGGCAGCCGCCTTTGCATAAGGCTGCTTGATGGCTTCGATTCATTCGCCAGGAAAATTAATTGCTCGGTCTCGGCCAGGGTCCCCAGCCTGTGCCGCACATCATACGGTCGCTTGCGCTCAACAAAGTTGAGCACTGTTGTCTTTCAATAAAAAACTTCATTTCGACATTCTAACTGCTCCGAAATCCGTACCTTAGCAACTCGGGTGGCAACCCATCTTTTTTGCTTCAGTCTTTTTCAACCTTTCAATATGGGAATCCGTGGCTTGGCAATAAGCCTGGAGCCATACGCCGCCCGATACAAGATTGAGGAGTTGGATGGTCACACGGCCATCATCGACGGACCGTCCCTCGCATATCATGCCTACCATCTGGCAGGGAAGAAGTGTCCTCTTGGCATTCCATCCTACCGCCATATTAACCAGGAAGCGATCCGTTGGCTCAGGAGCCTGCAAGAGAATTTCAGTATCAAAATGTAAGTGGTCATAGCTACTTGGTTCAACGGACAGCATTCCAACTTCGATAAGTCTCGGGGAGACGCAATCTTCGCGTTGTCATGCAATACTGTTTCGAGATGTGCAGGCCTTTCCGAGCCGTTTTACAGGGATCAATTGGTGGACATGTACTTCCTATCTTCTCGCCTTTCTATATTTGGCTTTGTAATATGTTCGTTCTCCCCGTCTGTACTACATCCAACATTCAACCGAGGTTAGTTGCGCGATGGTGGTGCGCTGTCGGCATGCACTACGGCTGCATGACACCTGCCCGCGTATATTAAGTCGATCTTAGCTGACTTCAGCTGTCTTAGATCTCATATTTTCTTTGATGGAGCTTTGCCAGTTTCGAAGAAGGAAGAAAGACTGTTAAGGCTGAAAAAGGGCCTTGAGCAGATGAGCACGTTTAGGGCCATTAACAACAGGGCCGGCTGTCCCATCCCGCAGAAGCTAGGGTCAGTGAACTACCCGTTTCTTGCACCTTCGTTACTGGAAGCCTTACGTGGCTCCGAGTTCGACAATATCACGAGGACCGTCCCCGGTGAAGCCGACGACTGGTGTGCACACTGTGCCAGTCTCGGAACTGGTCGTATCATCTTCACAAGCGATACTGATCTAATATGCTTTGAATATACCCACGAAGTGTTGATCGCGTTCTTTAGAGGTGTTACCCTAGAGGGCGACCCTAGCATCCACGCCTACCCTACCGCCGACATACGTAATCGTCTGAAATTGAAGAGCCTCGTCCCTCTCGCTTACGCTATGATTCACAACCCCTATGCAACGTTCGCGGAAAGTTTACTTACGGCACGAACTTGCAATATTGAGTTCACAGAATACCTTGATTTCAAAGCACGGTATGCCAACAATGACCCCAATCTTCCCTACGTACTCTGGTCTCGAGAAGTGGATAGAGTTGTGCGGACCCTCGACGCTAGAATAGCAGAGTTTGTTCACCAGATGCTCCCATCGTTTATTGCAGGCACAACCCTGCCTGACCTTCCAGAAATCTTTCTCCCACCGCTATTCGAAGACCCAAATGAAGCTTCGGCATGGAGTCATGGACGCAATAACCGCATCCTGGCGTACTCACTGTTTGCACTGAATCAAAAGTCTTCTCTTGTTTGTGAGACAACGCGTCGTGGGCATTCAATGAAGTCCATTCAGTATGAATTTTATCCTCGGGGGAAGATAATCGACGAACTTCGCGACACAACTTCTTACCTCCAAGCCTGGCTAGAGCGCTATAAAGATCGACTAGCGATAGAACAGAGTTGGAGGCTCCTAGCCGTTCGATTTGTCCAAAATGACCTCCAAACTTTATACCGACCTGTTTACAACGCCAGTGCATTCACCCATATTGTGCACAGCCAATTTGATAGTACGTGGAAGTACGTGCAACTCAGCGCCTGTGTTCAGGCAGTCCTGTACTCCTTCCGTACTTTGCACCAATGTATCTCTGTCTACCTAGGAGCCTCTAACGATTTGGAAGTTTGCGGTGTCTTACAAGAATTGAATAACCTATTATCTAGCCTGCCACTCCTTGCTGACTTCCCTTCAGTAGGAGCAAAGCCTCGCAGTTCCTGGAATCACGCCAGGACGCGCTCTTGTCTGAGGGATATATACGCCGATCTAGGTATCAAGGAGCAGGAACATCCCCAGTCCAAGAAAAAGAGGGCCAAGGGTAAGCAGGCGTCAAAGGGGAAAGAGGGGGAGCTACTGAAGCGAGATCCCAATAATTCTTTCGTGCTACTTCGTCAAGATGAGGATACTTGACGTCTCGGCAGAGCATGAGGCTTGATGGCATAGCGAATAGAAATTCACCGTGCTTCTGACATCCAATAACCTCCGGTGCACCGACAAGACGAAATATTAAGATGATTGACCTGGGTCGAAAATGGGAAAATGGACCTTTTTTACCTCAACAACCGTAGTGTAACATATATACCCGTAACAACCTTTACCCTCTCACTCATTCCTAGCCTCACATATTTTCCCTAAACATACTCCTCCTCTCTGTCGGGCTATCTCCCGCATGAGCCTGGGCTGGCTGCTGGTGCTGCGCGCCACCATAACTCGTATCCTGACCCTGATCCAAAGGCCTCGGACTCACACCCCTCAAGCTCGCCGCATTCTCGTCTCCAAACGGATTCTCCCTTCCGCTCCTCCCATCATCCAGCGTCCTTTCATCATACTCCCTCGTCCGACTCCTTCCGCGCTCCGGCTCTTGCGCCACTACCCCCGGTTCCGGCGCACCGTATCCTCCACCACCATACGTATTACTCCCATTACCACCCTGTGGCGCATGCAGCCCAAGTTCCTGCTCCTCATAATACGCCTCGTTGCCGACGCGCGCATCCCAAGCTTCATCCGGATCGAGCCGGTGGCCTGCGCCGCGGGCTCGCCCACCGCCAGCGTACGTCGACGGCTCTTCGTAAGCGCCTGTTGCATAGCGGTTGTTGCGGTTCTTGAATTTCCGTACCTGTGTGTCGATCCAACCGCGGATGCCGCCAGGGGCGGGAGCGGGGAAGTTAGTGGGTGGAGAGGATCGCGCGAAGGGAAGGAGTGAGGGTGGTGAGAGTCCGAGTCGTTTCGCTCGGAGCCGCGACCAAACTACCCAGCCGCCGTAGCCACCGATAAGGGCGAGGAGAAGGATGATTATGAAGACGACCCAGCCGTTCATTTTGGAAGCGTGCACTGGGGTGGTGGTGTATTGGACGGAGGGACGGGGGGTTTACGCATAGGAAGCGGTGGTGTGGTTGCGGGACATGCGGTTGCGCCGCGTGATGAAGGGAAACGGTTGATGGTTGTGTTGAGCGGTGTAGGAGTCAAGTGTTAGTGATTTAATGGGCACTTGAAGATGTCTGTCAGTCAGCTGTGCGGCTGTGTGACTGATATACAGCTGAGGTGGTGCCGCGGCGTTGCGAGCGAGCGAGCGAGATACCTGGGCCAAGTTGGGAAGCTCCAGCCATGCGAAAGATGACGTAAGGTGCTGGCTGTTGCTCAGCTTAGGGCTGACCTGACACCTTTCCTCAATGCGGGAGCTCTTTCGCGCAAATTTAATAAGCGGCTATGCAAGCTAGAAAAGTAATGGGAGAGGAATCGTGTCTAAAGACAGAGCTCACGATGTATTCTTGGATAGAACCTTTGTTTCGGTTTGCTGGAGTGGTTTCTGTCCTGCGAGCGCTTTGGGCTTAGTGACGATGCTTAGTGGGGCAAGCTGAAAGCATGACAAATCGCCGTCCGTGTTGAGCACGAGCTCCCCCAGTTCTAAGGTTTGCTTTTTCAACCTTAAAACGTTGGGGCAATTGAATATCTTCACGACGGTAAATCTAGTACGTCTTGCTTCTTTCTGCCAATGCGTAAGATTTTCCATATAAGAGAAATACCATGGTGTGACTTCGCTAGCGTTGCTAGGCTGTTACATATTCTCCCATGTGAAAGGTGAAGCCTTGGGAGAAGGAATGCAAAGAGCTTTGTCATACGTATATATCTCCAGTGCAGTGTTTGCCAACAGAAGAAAGCTTGCAAGTTAACACTGTGCTATCTCTGTTTAGTTAGCGTACTCCTACTATATTTCCAGCATTACTGGCTAATAACAAACCATGGAACCAGCCGGAACAACAGGATAGACCCGCTCATGTGATACCGCTAACGAGCACAGCATGCCGCATCCCAGCCCGTGCGACGCGCGCAGTTATGCCGAGACATTGGATTACCGATTGCAATGGAGACTCGCTCTTCACAACTACAGGCAACGCGCCTTCCCGAAAGACGCGCATATTGACGAATAGTATATTGACGAATAGTAGGTAGAGTGCTACGCCAAACGAGCATGTCAACACCAAGGCCTTTCAGCTTCAGCAGTGATGATAAGGACGAGGAGCGGACAGTCGACTTGATAAACTTGATAGCAGTGGTTCCAAGGCCGGACGGAACTTCCTCGACTGTAATATACGTCGAGCACGATGATGCCAATCCCACCGCACTTCCCCAACTCAAATTCTCGAAGGCGACTTCTCCACCTCCGAATCTTCCGCCCATGAACATATCGAACGACCGAGAAATCCACATTGTGGTATCTACTGGCTCTGGGACAGGGAAAGCAGATACCTTCTTCGATGAGGCAGTCAAGCCGCTACTGCGTGCTCTCTTTCCTGACTCCCACAGGTTTTTTAAAATACACCCCACTAAATCTGCCACGAGTATTCATGATCTTACGAACGACGTCTTCTTTCCTCAAGCAAACTCGGGCTCTCTTCTCCGCATAATTTTGTTGTCTGGAGATGGTGGAGTTATCGATCTTGTTAACGGCTTGTTATCCAAACCGGCATCCGTGGAATACAAGCCTCCTCAAGTTGTACTTCTCCCCCTCGGCACTGCAAATGCGCTATACCACTCTATCAACGCCGGAAGGGAGAATACATGGGGTTTAAAAGCTCTCGCCTTGGGCAACTACCAACCACTACCCATCTTCACAGCAACATTCTCTCTCGGAGCCCGCTTGCTCATCAATGAAGCCCGCAGCGAAGAAGAACTACCGAAAAATCCACAAACCGGAAGCCCAATTCTCCACGGGGCAGTCGTTTGTAGCTGGGCCATGCACGCCTCCTTAGTCGCCGATAGCGATACGGCGGAGTACCGGAAATTCGGCGTGGAAAGGTTCAAAATGGCTGCGAAAGAAGCCTTATTTCCCGCTGATGGTTCCATGCCACACCCTTACAAGGCTAAGGTCTCCATACTCAGAGGCAACAATTGGACACCGCTTGAGAAGGAAGAACATATGTACGTTCTCGCCACCATGGTATCCAACCTCGAGAAGACGTTCAAAATTTCTCCTGCTTCAAAACCGCTCGATGGAAGTTTGCATCTGGTGCATTTCGGACCCACTGATGGTAATGAGGTGATGAGGATCATGGGTCTCGCGTATCAAGGCGGCAAGCATGTAGATGATCCCTTTGTCCTTTACGAAAATATCGAGGGGCTGCGGATTCAATTTGAGGGTAAAGAGGAGGATGCGAGGTGGCGACGTATATGCATAGATGGGAAAATCGTCCGATTGGAGAAGGATGGCTGGGTCGAGCTAAGAAAAGAGACCCAGCGGGTGGTGGACGTGGCATGCAATTAATTCACCTTGTCAAGGCTGGTTCTGGGGGCTTGATAGAAGGGGGGTGGGTCGCTTACAAGGAAGCGCAAGAATCCACAGCGGTGGAGATAGTTTTGTTTGCTGATTGGTAAAGCATTGTTGTACGCTCAGAGACTGAGGGTTGTTTGCGGCATACACGAGCGTTTCATGCGTAGCCTCGTGTTTTCTTGAAGCTGACTCGTTGGTTCCTAGACCTTTCACCGGCATTCCCGCTGAGCTCTCTGAACCCTAACCCACGCGCGATCGTCAAATGTTCTTCCGCCAACCCACAGTCTTACTTCTCAGGTGTGTGAAGCACAAGGCTCCACCCACTCCTTCTGGAATTCGCAATGCCTTCCCACTCTCCCAAGTCGCCAAACGGTTTCGGTCCGTCTCCAAAATTTCAGTTAAACGAAGCAATAACCTAAATGTTCTCTCCTTGAGCTGCATAGTCAGCAGTCACAGTTGCGAATTCCGTGCCTCCGCCCATCAGCCAAGAGTTTCAGGCGTACACCTTCCCTCTTTCAGTTAGCTCGTGCGCGAGGACGCCATCCTTGGCTTATCAGCCGGATCCTCCACCTTGGCGCTGGACTTGCTGTGGTGGTCATGTCCCGCACAAAGTGGACTATTTAAATTCACCCCTTCCACTCTCTTACTCTCCTACCACTCTTCTCTCTCTCTTTCCCCACTCCTTAACAGGTTTCCCCAACTTTTTCCAGACGCTTGACACACTTCGATATCTACCCCCTTTCTGCTTACTTCATCACCGTGCCCCCCCTTCTCACTATGCCTACGCTTGCTCTCAACCCAGATTCTCTCGTCTTTGTAACCGGCGTCAACGGCCTTATTGGTAGCCACATCGCTGACCAGCTTCTTGAGCGCGGATATCATGTCCGAGGTGCCGTTCGTGATGTTGCTAAAGCAAGCTGGCTGTCAGATTACTTCACCAACAAGCACAAGAATGCCAAGTTCGAACTTGTCAGCGTCCCTGATATGACTCTCGACGGGTGCTACGATGATGTCGTGAAAGGCAAGTCACCTGCACCCTCTTCCCAACCCTCCTGCTTACCACTGTCTGTTCCCCAATCTAGACTGCGACGGCTTCGTCCACGTCGCCTCCCCCCTCACCGGTCAAATACCCGAGGAAACAATCCCTATCGCAATTAAAGGCGGCCTAAATGCTCTCAAAGCTGCTGCCAAAAACCCGAGCATTAAGAGGGTTGTGTATACCTCATCCTCTATCGCCGCTACAATGCCTCGTCCCAATACCGACTTTTCAGTTGATGAGACATCGTACAACGAGGTGGCCGTAAAGAAAGTGTGGAACCATCCAGAAGACGAGCCAGAGAGCTTCAAAGGTCTGTATATGTATGCGGCGATTAAGACGGAGACGGAGATGGCGATGTGGAAGTGGGTGAGGGAAGAAAAGCCAGGGTTTGTATTTAATTCTATTGTAAGTGTCACTTTTTTTTCTCCCAATTCTTCATGCGAAGGAATAGTGGCATTGATTAGATATTGCGAACAAGGCGGACGTTGACGCCATTGATACAGCTTCCAAACGCAAACTTCAGCAGAGTCCTAGTCCCAGAGAAACAAGGCTTCCCTTCAACGATCGCATGGGGTACGAAGTCCCGGGTACAAACTCAATGTTCTGTCCCAAAATTCACTGTAAACATCTAAGATACCACCTAGGTGGTGTTTGAGATTGTTACCTGACGCGACAAAACATCGAGGTACCAGATCCCAACTTTGAAAGACTGCGCTGACTTTGTCCGTCCTCGTTCGCAGCACATGCCGTGTTCACTGGTGAGAATTTCGATGCCATCACTCACATCATTCCACCCCGTAGGTTGCTCATCTTTTGGTTTCATCATTTTTTCCAACTTTCTACCCAACCCGTACTGACCTCCATCTCCTCCCAGAATGGTTCATTGACACCATTGATGACGCACTCCTCCATATCGCCGCACTTATCTACTCCGATGTGGATTCCGAGCGTCTCTTTGGGTTCGCTGAACCTTTCAATTGGAACCAGATTCTTGCGATTTATCGGAAGTCGTATCCGGAGAGAAAGTTCAGGGATGATATCGAAGGTTTGGGGGAGGACAGGATGAAGATGCCGAGGGAGAGAGCTGAGGAGTTGCTGAAGTGGATGGGGAGGGAGGGTTGGACGGGGTTAGAAGAGAGTGTGGGAGAGATGTGTAAGGATTTTGTTAAGGATGAGGAGAAGAAGAGCCCGGAGAAGTGATACTTCGGCTTCTTCACTTCACAAAGGGCGTACTTTTCGAGGTCAGGTAAGCAAGTCTTAAGCAGCCGCGAGTGCTCTTGCAAAGCAGATGCGTGAATGCATAGTATTGTACGCGACTTTCTCATATGCCTTTGATCAGTTTCAACGCGGTCTCGGGCTTTTCCATGTCTTTCCAGATCATAGCCTCGGCTTTTGCTTGCGTGATCATTCCAACACCCTTACATCAAACTGAGCAAAAGGGCACAAAGATGCTCTGAGCTGTCGTCCTGAGTCTTTTACTCTTGATCAATAGCCATCACCATAAATCTTTCAATCTCACTCGAAGACCTTCATCATGAGCCCTTCGCTCTCTCCTAAAAGCCATCACCCCGAAGCATTCGTTGTCACTCAACCATCACTATAAAACATTCACCTTCGGTCTTAAGGAATCACTATGAGGCCTTAACTTTCCCTCAAGTTCCATCGCGCCCTTGCGATGGCAAAAACCCTGTGGTGAAGATGCGTTTCACCGTTTCGCTATAGTGAGCCTCTTTTATTCTCGCCTAGCCAGTGGGAGCACTCGATGATGTGCTCGCCACAATTGTTGCCGGAGTGGGAAAACCTGGACCCGCAGTCGCCAGATCTCATGCTCTTTCGCGTTCGCGCTTCGGGATTAGGTCGAAGAGCAGAACAGCCTAAGCTCACTCTCTCTACAAGACTATGCATAGACGGGCCTGCATGTTTTCTATTGATTTGAAATGATGCCTAAACAAGTCAGGCCTTGGGATGAAGGTGTTGTGCAATTCTCCTTGTCTAGGACGGATCTGAGATGAGCTGCGTTTCCATCCATTCCTACTTCTCTTTTCCGCAAAACTGACTGTCCCCATGTCTTCCCATAATTTTAAAACTAATGAAAGGAGTGACCCACAATCTCGACATGAAAATAGTATATAATTGTTGGTTCGCTGCCGTGATGCATGCATTAAATACTGTCTACCAAGCAAGAGTTTAACCTGGAGCGTCAGTTTCGGCTTATGTCTACTTTTATTCAAGTTCCCAACATAGTAATTAAATGCGCGATAAAGCTATCTTTCTATCCACTTATCTCAGGGATGAAACGTAAGTGTTCCACCGATCTCCTTCAGTCCTTTGCTACTTTCGCCTTTACTGTCGCTCAATCTCCGCCTTTTCATAACCACGATGCTAAGATAACACCTTATATTCCTTCCCTTCCACCTGAACCTTATTCGTACTAACCAAAGGTAAGTTCGTGACCTCCCACAGCTTGATGACATCTACTCTCTTCAGTTCATGAGACTTGATATTCCTCCAATATACATAGCTCACACTGACACAACCGGTACGATTTCGGAGTTTCCTTAGTTGCGACATCTGCTCGCTTCCAGCACTGGCTACTCGAAGCGGATACAATATGGTTCGTTGCCTCCCTGAAGATTCTGGCAACGAGCATCAACCAACTCCAAGTATTAGTAACGCCGAGGACGAGAATGAGCGGGACCAGACTATAAATTCACCGCTCCGATCTCGAAGCTTCGACATAGCGCTCAGAAAGCGTAATACCGGTAAGCGGTGGAGAGGTAACGCTAATGGTTCTGAACCTTCGGTATCCGGGGGGTTTCTTACTAGACGAGAAGGAGAGTCATACGGCTCAAGGTAGCAGGAATTAGAGCAGAGCGAAGACACCGGGTGGGGTAATGAAAATATGCAAGAGGGAGATCTAGAGTGACGGAAAATAGTCTGTGGTTATTGGTGCGGTCAGATTACCCTAAGGTACCGTCCGAGAGAGAATAGATGAGACTTCAGTTGGAGATCGGACCAAAGGGGATTGATCTGAGAGGTGCCAAACAATAGACTAACTAGGGGAAGAGGTTGTTGAGATGGGGTTCGTAGGTTCGATACTGTTCCTTTGGCCCACATCTATCTTAAATACTTCGGGATACTTAGCAGAGTGGGCGTAATTTGATATGAAGAGTAGAATAAAAGCCATGACCTCAAGCCAATAATGTAAAGGAGATGAAGTGGTTGTTCCATCCTGCTTCAGGATTTGAGAGGCCTTGGAAGAGGTGACATTACCTAATGCTGATGCCTGCTCTCATATACACTCCCAGTACAATGAAAGTATTCCCTATCTTCACTACCTGTACCCTCCCCCTCAAGGGCATCCACCCACTAACTTCTCCCTCACAGCCAATTTCTCAACCTTAACTTACGTCAAATATGCCCCTTCCTCCTTCAGACATTCTGATCCCGTAACACAAATATAAACTCCTTTCCAAGCCGAGATGCGCTTCAAATACTTCTCATCCATATGGCCCTCATTCTAAAAACGCCACATTTTCTCGTCTAGAAAGTGGCTATCACATCCAGGAAGAGCTTTCTGAGTTTCGAAGTCGTAGACATTTCTACCATACACATTCCATGGCCACTGGCGTGATCAACACGACTCGGTTGGGCTGTTGCGGGGGAACAGCTATGGGCTTCTAGCTACTAGACGGAAGGGCGAAGCGTGCGTGGAAATAACCGGCACGGATATGCATCGTGTGGTTTTGGAGGAACAGACGCCCAGTCGACCCTCGAGTAGCCAAGCTTTCAGGCTTGGGAGAATCTAGTCACTGGCGCCTGTGGTGAGAATGCCGGACATGTGGATGTAGTTGAAATGGTAGATGTTCTGCACCAAGACGTGAAGAGGATAGGGCCTTTGTCTGGGGAATTGGCGGAAGAAGCTGGATTGACTTGCGAGTGCGTTCTGGGGAGATGGTAGGTAATGGGTGAGAAACTGGGAGTCTGGGGAGTCCGACCGTGATGGAGAAGGTGGGACCTCAGAACCTAGATGATGAATTAATTTCCAGGAGGCTGAATGAAGTGGTAGAATCGTCTGTTTCTTTTCCTTTACCATGCTTGCCATTTTTAGCACTCATGGGTTAAGAAACTCTCCGTCACTCAAAGGTAAGAGTTAAGTTGGTTGAAGTAAAGATATTGTTACGCATTTTGGAACTTGAAGTTGAGAATGGTATTAAACCACAAAGAATAGAAAATTATCAGGGGGGGACAGCATAGGGTTGGTCTGAACGCGTATTGAGTTATTAATGAAACCTGCACGTCCTTTCTAGTTGCTTCGTCAAGACGACCGCCTTGAAACAATTCTAGACTGCCCGGGATGGCAAAATAGGAACCAAGGTGAGATCTCTTCGAAAAGAACTATATTCTTTGGTACAGGAAAAAAAGACGGTCTAAAGGAATCAGTGTGTCCAACCGTTAGTACACCTAATAGTGCAGTGCTGCAGTACACTGATTTTGGTCACGTACGTACGTACAGGGCATCTACTCAGTATACTGTACTATACATGAGGCTGCTGTACTAACTGTTTACAGTAGTTATATAGGATTTTTAGTGGTTTTGGGCAGTTAAAGGCAGGTTGCTGAGGGCTAGGGGGCTTGTGTTCAGAGATTAATGCGGAGAATACAGTTAGTGCCTGTTTTGTTAGCAATCTTCTAACAAATTTAGCAACTATGCTATCTGCCTTATTTTTTTGCCTATTATGATGTCCTAATTCCTATCCTAATTAATAACATAGTCATCTCAGCGTGTTACCACCTTGTAGGCCCCATCCTTGCGGGCCTTATCCTCACATGCCTTATCCCAACGCTTAGAGAAGGCCCGCATGGCCTCACCTAGCCCATCTAGGCCGTCCTCGCGTGAAGCAACTCCTTTAAAGCATATGCAAGATACCCAGGCTAAGGAGCACCTAAATAATGCCTGCTATAACGTTAGAATTGCCTTTAAGATTAACATTGCCCTTAATTTCCTATTAATCCTAGCAACCTTATGTGAGTGCAAGCAGTGCTTCTTACAGGCTAAGAAGACTATTACAATAAGAAGGAATTAACTATTAGTGTTAATAATAGAGGCTCCTTAACTGCAGAAGAATTAGTTACATAACATTGCTGTTACTAGTAAGATTAATAACTGTAGATCTTACAAGGGGTATTATAACTTCCTAATTAGGTATAGTCTTTAGCTTCAGCGCAATTACTTCATAATACTTTAGTTACTGTATCCAAACTGTACACTGACGTCATCTCCTCCGTACAGTTAGTTAGTAACAGCCGACTCTTCCGTAACTGTACTATACAACCTCCAAAAGGCTCCGTAACTAACGGTTGGACACACTGAAAGGAATGATGGATAATCAATTTATTGGGATCTTCAACGAAAGTAGTCCAGTTGACCAGCCCTTTGTGCTATTGCCTCTCAATACTTCGTAGTAATCTCGCCCACTAGGCCCGTTGAATTCTGACAGCAAAACACCCAGGCTTCGCGTTGTGCACGTTTATATAGCTGGCCTTCTCATCCGCCAACATCCCCCCAGCCACACTCTCTAGCTCCTTTCCCTCGATCACCTCCGCCGCCACCATCATGTGTTTCTCATCATAAGCTCTCAAGGATAGCAGCCTTTGCAGTTGTGTCTCTGGTAAGATTTTGCCATCGAAGGGGCGGCAGTCGTGGGCATGGACGAAGATAGGGCCATTTCCCCGATAGGGCGTTATACTGTCGGCCGGAAAAGGGTCGTAGCCGATGAGGAAGAGTTTTTCACCAGGGTTTGCCTCTAGAAGGCAGCGGCGACAGGGAAGATGCATGCCTTCGGAAGCAATAGTGGAGTGTGATGTGCTGGTAATTGCAGGCAGGGGGGTCGGAAGGGCGACATATTTCAACGCGACAGGCGCGATCTCTGCCTTCATTTGGGATGAAGGCTTGGCGGACGATGGGAAGGGGGAAGACATGATTGCTTGAGTATTTTGGAATATGGTTTGATGGGCGTCCGAAACTTAAGTTGCAATGCTTGATGAGTTGTTGATTTGAATTGAGAGTTGATGCTGCTCAGAATGATGGATGAGGATGAGCTGCTTCACTATTTATTCTTCTCCGTGGGATTTTGACTCATAAGTAAGCCGTACTTGCTGTGGCACGAAAAAGGATGACCTGGTGGGGACATGAGGGTTCGCAGAAATGATGCTCTAGAAGTGACGAATTGCTACCCATTCCATCCTCAGCACCTTACTTTCTGTATGGTCACTTCAATCCCATGGCTTAAAGCCGGTCACTAATTATTCGACCTTATTTCTTCCCATTGGCCACTTCAAACCCAAGATTCATGATGACTCTATGCTTGGCTTAGGGACATTGCTTCGCGCTTTCTAAGAATTGGGAAAGCGAGTTTCATATGGGAATTCTGAAAGAAGCATGGCGTTCGAGAAGGAAAGAGAAAAGAACGACAAATATCACGTGTATTCTAATTCAATGAAGGAGTGCGGAGAGAAAGCTGAACTCAAGGTTGAATTTTGGAACTTGGTTGTTAAGCCAGATAGTGCACCCCGAATTAACTTCTTTCAGCAGAAGTGAATAAAGGAGGAGGCATAAAATGGAAATCCAAGTGAGACCAGAAGATATGTGCAATATGACTTGTCGTCTGAGACATCTCCTTTTAGTCCTTCGGCATGAAAAATGCTGAGCCCTCTCCTTACAGCTCCGGCACACCCCGGCAGATTCATATCAGTAACCCAACGATGGGAGACTACTGGCCAGACAACGCGGGGCCTTCTAAAGGACCATGCGGAAATATAGCCTGCGGTTTCTTATAGACACACTCTGTGGGCGGAGACTTCTAGACGATTTCCCACACCCCAAACCTCACTTCGAGCTTCTATGCTCAGGCTCAATCGAATGCATTCAAGGAACTCGACTTCTATTTAGATTGCTTTCTCAATCATCGAGTAGCATGAAAATACTTCCTTCTCATTTGTAATGGGTTGGAGTCCAGATCTATGAGAGTACTGTTTCACGGATTAAGAGTCAGGATGTGTGGGGACATTTTCTTTCTCCAGAGCCGTCTTCTAGGTAATAGGATGTGAACCGATTATTCCGCTATTATGGCTTACACAAATCCCATCCCAACCAATGCGATCCCCTGTGAAAAATTCCATCATAGGACTGCATCAGTGCCCAGGTGACAACCACAATCATCACGTGACCGCGCGTCCTCACCCACAACGGGAATAATTCCCCCGCCAAAACGCCCTACAATATTTCCACACTCCAAACTCTAACGAAATACACCGTGGCTCCCCAAGCCTCCCCCACACGCCAATATGTCGTCCAAACATTGCATCCATTCCCTACTCTCCCCCCTCTCCAGCTCCCCCCAATTGACATTGCCTCCCAGCCCCCCCGAGCCGGATCCCCTCATCGAGGTCATCGTCGGACACGCCAGTCGGGATGGCGGCCTCTGCGTCCAACGAACTTGGTTCTTGAAACGCTCGCTGTTGTGCCAGCACTCCAATTTCTTCCGCGCTGCATGTTACGGGCAGTGGGAGGAAGGGAATGAGAACCGCATTATATTAGCCGATGAAGACCCTCGTGTGTTTGCGGATTTTGTGGACTTCATGCAGAGTAATATCTACAGCTTGAATACGTTGATTGAGGGGTTTAATATGGTTCCTAGTCACGCGAAAGCTTGGGTGCTGGGTATGTTCGATCTCCCGAAATCTCACACCTTCCCTATCTACGAGACTAGGACTGATGTAATTACGCCGAGCGAAGCACAAATGCTAACACCACAAAGGCGACAAACTCGGTGCACTCTCCTTCCGCACGGCCGCGCTCCACAAACTCCACCAATACTTCATTCCTTACTCTCTAGACCCTTACATCAGCGCATTCTCCTCTCCTATCCGTCCAATTGATATCGCATACATCTGCACCCACACCGCGCCCCTCTACTCTCCCTTCAACCACCCATCCTCATCCGCCCTCCGCAGCCTCTTCTTCGACGCTGTATCCTCCCACTGGGCCCGCATCGACATCCTCAACATCGATGAAGCCATGGATATCTGTGGGGAGGAGTTAAGCTGGAGAGATGTCTACACCGCGTATGGAGATTTCAAGGATCATTTAGTTGATAGTTTGAAGGTGCCCGATGCGTGGCGGAATGTGTGCTTGAGGGATGTGGAGGTGTATTTAGGGCTAGGGGTGAAGAAAGAGGAGGCTGAAGAAGATAAGGTCGTAGGTGCTAAGAAGGAGAAGAAGGGAATTAAGGGCAGGATTGGGCTTCCGTTTCGGACGTCCGACAGGGAGAGGGTGAAATTAAGGAACGAGCAGAGGCTGGAGGGGGTGGAAAAGTTCGAGTTGAAGGCGGAGGTGGAAGAGAAGGACGAAGTAACGGCTGAAGTGGAGGTTAAGGCGGAGATAAGTGTTGAGGTGGAGGAGAAGACAGGTATCAAGGATGAGACAGACGGGAAGACTGATATCAGGGTTGAGGCGGAAGTGCAGGTTAAGAGTGAAGACGGGTACGAGGCTGACGACGAGAAAGGCAGAAGATGGAGTCGTGAGGGTTGAGCTTTTGGACTAGAGCTTGGCGGCTCGTGGAAAGGGTTCAAGGTGTGGTAATAAATGTAAAAAATCCAGGGGCTATAGCATGTTATCAATGACCCGAAGATTTGTCTATTCGGGTAGGTGTGTACAATAGGATACAAGTTTGGAAACAGACTATCCAAAATACTTTAGTAATTCAAGACGGAGGGCACGAGATCCTTCTCACAATGAACAAGTGTACCTCACTTCTCTATCATAACTATGTCATCATGTGCAATTTCCCATTTCCCATATACTACAATCCTCGGCTGCCATCAATGCCACGAGAGTGCAAGAAGTCAAAAGCCCAAAGCGCAGCCGCGTGCCAACGCCCAACACCAAACAAACCTAAAAAGTAACATGGCAACATCGCTCGACGTTCTTCTGGAGACGCCCTGAAGAGTTCAAAGCATGACACAAAACAAGACTCCACATCAACAGTTCTGCAAGTAATTACTGGGCACAAGACCAGGCCTACCGCCATTCCTCCCTACAACTTCAGCCTCCCACCACCCATCATCTTGCAACCTCAACACGGCGAGAATGTCACCTTTCGCAAAGGAAAGTTCCTCGGGGATCTGGGCGTTGTACATGTACATGGCTCGAGCTGTAGAGATATTATTAGTAATCCTAATAGCGAATCTCGAGGCTAGGGAAGGCGCTTACAGTAGTGAAGAACCATCCGTCCATCCTTCGTGTACTGCCTGGGTTCGGCAACACTCTTGCTCCTCACCCTCGTACTAGGTTGGCTTGACACACTTCCAACGTATCCAAGATCACTGCCTCCACCGCCGTAGTAGGAGCTTTGTGGCCGCTGACTACCACCCCCTCGACCCCGTTGACTACCGCCGTAGACACTGCCGTCTCCTCGCTCACTGCCCGGGCCTGGCGCGAGTTGAAGGGCCATGTCACTTCTCATATCGCTTCCCCTTGAGCTGCTAGGCCGGTCGTACGACTGACGGAATTGGGGGGCTGGACTAACCCCTCGAGATGGTGGACCTGCTGCACGAGAGTTTGGCCGTGTGTTGGCGAAAGCGGGTTGGGGAGGCTGGGGAGAAACAGCGCGAGGAACATTAGCATGGCCCGGCGATCCACCACGAGATGATGAATACGAGCCTCGTGGCGTATGATTACCTGCATGCTGTTTAATTGGGCTGGTAGACTGTGCTCGGGGTCGCCCTCCTGCATTCGATGCAGCATAGGGATTTGGCGATACTGCACGATATGTAGCAGGCGATTGAGGAGTCTGTACTGAGTAAAGCCCTGGCCTCGGGCTGGTAGCTCGAGGAGGAGCAGGGGAGGCAGATCGAGTCATTTCTTGCTGCGTTGCACCACGAGTAGGTGGTCGGGAGCTTGAGTTGGTGCTTCCATTACGATTTTCATAGGTTGGACGTGCTGGAGAGGTTGTGTTGAACATGTTGGCCTTCTGGTCAATATACTTCTGCGTTGTCTGCTGCATTTGGCGGGACGTGAAAGCTGGCTGTGGAGCTCCAAGTCGGGATATCGGTTGGTCGTATGATGGTGGCGGTGTTCCTCGCTGGGCGGCATTGAGCGCCGCGTTTGTGAGAGGAGTAGGCATACCACCGACAGGTGTTGAGCTCACGCCTGGTGTCCCAGGAGGCGCCGGGGTAGCGAGACCGTGATATCTGTCTGCCGATACACGCAGAGAAGACTGTTTAGTGACGCCTTTGAGCTCTGCAAGCGCCTGTGCGATTGGATCCATATCCTCTTGTTCGTCCTTTTGTGACTTCTTCTGTTTGCGAGCATCTGGAGATGCCACGTCAAAAACATTGTTGCCAATGTTGAGCTGGAAACTGGCTCTAGGATCAACTGGCTCAGGGCTTGCCGAGCGAGCTTCGCCTCCAAGGATGTTGCCACGAGTACCCTTTCCGAATGGCCGAGTCGGACTGATATTTTCGTTGTTTTGTTTGGATGCTGGACCCCAAGTATTTCGGTTGCTTGGCGCAATTGATGTTGCCCCCTGGTCCTTGTCGTGCTTGCTCTTTCTTCTACTGAAGGGACTGTTGTGAAAGAATCCCCTCTTCTTTTGAACCTGAGTCTCCTCCACCACGGGTGGTGGTGCTGGGGTCAATGGTTTACCTGGAGACGCTGATCCACTTGGCGGCTCGATGCTCGAGAACGAAGTTGGGTTGGAGTAGTCGCTATGAGAGTCTCTGCTTGAAGGGCGAGCGGGACTCGGAATAGTGGTTCGCTCGGAGGGCGGTCCAATCCTGCAGAATTGTGTCATACCATCCATAGGGTAGTCATTGTGAGGCACCTGGCTTTGCTGATATTGCTGATGAGCTTGTTGTTGAGCATGAACTAGACGCGGATCTGGCTGGATTCCTCTTGCTGGTTGCGTATGTTGGGGAGGCTGCATCGGCTGGATTGGCTGGACAGGCTGGGTTGGTTGGACAGGCTGGGTTGGATGGACTGGCTGGGTTGGCTGAACTGGCTGAACTGACTGAACTGACTGAACTGGCTGAACTGGCTGAACTGGCTGAACTGGCTGAACTGGCTGGGATGGCTGCGCTTGAATCTGCTCTTGCAGGGGAGCTGGTCTCGTATCCCTCAGTCCCATCTCTCGTGCTAGTGGATTGTTAGGATCGTGGTGAGATTCGAAAACAGAGGGCTGTGGCGATGATGTTCGGAAAGCTGGATTCATCGTTCTCTGGAACTGGGCTACAGAGTAGGCTCCTTCGTCAGATGTTTCAGAGGCGGTATCGGTAGTATCTCCGCGGCAGAAATTAATGAATTTTGGTGGGTCGGGGATCTCTTGTCCAGTTGAGCACTCCTTGATGAAGCTCATAATATCCTTGTTGACCTCGCATTCCTCTAGGGATAGCCGGATCTTTTCACATGACTACGCATGTTAGAGGTTGCGTTGAGAACTAGAATGTAATACCACTTACTGCATCATCGCTCACACAGACAGTCGAAGCGATGTTTGCAAAGTTCCACAGACTGCTCTTCATATAGTCGATGCGCTCTTCTTCAAGGTCTTGGAATTTCTGTCCGACATGTTAGCTTCGCCATAACAAGTCGAAGAGAGATATACGTCACAAGCGGCCTTCCAATCCCTGTTCCACCGCCCGGTGGTTTCTTCTAGAACCTTGACAGCAGCCTCGTACTCGCTGCTCGTGCTCGACAGTTGTATCTGCGTCTTCTCCAGTCGAGCCTTGTTCTTCCGTTCCTCATGGCCCATCACCATGTGCGCTTGTGCTAGGAAACCCTTGATCTTCAAACAGTCCTGCTCGTATCGGTCGCGCGCCTTATTCACGGCAATAGTCTGCTGTGTCTTAACTTTGAGCAGCTTCTCGATCCCACCCTGCACGATCTTCCTGCGCTCCTTCATTCCCCCGGCAAATGCTGTCAACGGTTCCTCTAGCTCCACCTTCATCTGAGCAGCAATGCTCTGATGTGATTTCCCCATCGCCTCTACTTCGCCCCGAATAACGTCGAGTGACATTCGCAGGGTGCCTGATTCGGAGGAGCCGAGAGGTTTGCGGGACAGGTGGAGGAGCTTCCGTGCGTACTCGTCTTCGATTGCCGCCCGTGCTGTAGCTCATTAGCAATACTTCAGAGGAAGGCCCTGGGATGCTCATACCAGTGTAGAATGACTTCATTTCGTCCGAAGTGACTTTGGCATTGTGCAAGCGCTCAAGCATAGGACCGACGCCGGCGTCATCTTTGCCCCAGAAGTTGTTGGCAACTATGAGAAGCTCAGTAAGAACCAGTTAGACGTATAATGTGGGCTTACATGAAAGAGTGACCGAAGGCGGCTCAGCGGCCGTAGTGCCAGGCATGGCGCCAGGCTTTGTTTATCAACCAAACCTTGAAGCGAGCGGTGTTTGCGACAATGACAGGTGAATGTTGGAACAGCGCGGCTCTAAATGCAACGAGGAGTAAAATAATATGATATGAGCTAGGAGACACAGTTCTAGGACTGGGTGTTGAGGAACCGTGGGGTGCAGGGGTCGGACCGTGGTACTCAATATTTACGTCTGTTCACCCCAGCAACGGGGGGCTTGGCTCAGCCCTACTTGTGCGGTTCGCCATTCCATCCTCACTAATAATGCTCTGGACCAATGATGAATTTTCTTGAATGCTCTCGTGAGATCGGACAATGGATTTTCAACTCTTTAGCTTTTTGAGGCATCTAACGCGTCCACAGACTTCTTAGGGGCTTTGTCTAGCACGTGATCAGATCTGTTCCTTCAAGGTAGCATCCTATTGAGGTCTTAGCTCGAGGTGGTGATTCCGGTTGGACGTGGACGGTGCATCAGGCTACCACCTTTCCGAGCAGTGATTCTATCCGAGTAGCAAGACGAACGGTGCTGATGAGTGGTGGATGAAATATGCGTTTGTCGAGCATTGTGACTCTCTGAGATGAGCGTGTCGAAAGGAGACGTGTAGTATCCTACGATCTGGTACTCTGACCGCGTGGCCATGTTTGTGACGCGTTTGCTCTCTCCCACTGGGGTCCAGCAGTGGTGAGAGCCTGAGATTGTTGGCTCCACCATTTTCAGCGTTGGAGTCGGAGCACTCACCGAGGCTGAGTGATATGGAGCAGTAGTGCAAAGGGTAGGGAGCGGGCGCGCCTCTGCCTCTCTGGACCTGCATTCCACCACGACGACATGCAGCTCAACCAGCGCAGCGTCGCCATCTGGAATTAAATTTCATAACTGTTCTCTACCTGCTGAATGCTGCTACTCATTGCAATCGAGTTGGCGCTGCCACTAAGTGGCCCCTATCTGTGCCCGTGAAAGTGCTGCCGAACGCGCTGCCAACTGTCCCTCGCGCCAAGCCCGGCCCTTCTGGCGAGCCGCAGGTGCGACCTCTGGCTCTGCATCTTCCCCCCAAAAGCCCATCGTCCAAACCACTGCCCCCATCTCCCTTCTCAATCCCCTTCTCCCGGCCGCCTCCGCGCTGCTCATGGAAACGCCTTCTAGATGAGCCAGCAACATCCTTGGGGCTCCGCAAGACAGCACCAGACCGCACGGCTAACTCCCATATCAACCGCATTCGCGCAAGAACAACGCAACACTCCCTCCCCTAGCAGTTCGCGCCCTGGCTTTTCTCCCGCTGCCTCTAACTTCCCATCGCTACCCCCCTCTTCTGCTCGACACGTCGGGAGCCGCAAGTCGTCGGCGGCCTCGTCGACAAGCTCACTCTTCTCCCCCTCCCACACCGGACAGCAGCTCCCGGTCAGCCAGCTGCTGTCCTCCCGGACTAGGACCATAGCGCCGCAACCCGTCTCGCAACTGGCGTCCTCCGCTGCCGCCTTGCCTACCGCATCGCAGAGTGGTGGTGGTACCTCGAGCAGCGGCGGAGGGGCCCCCAAGCTTGCCCGCGGCTCGCCTTCACTCTCAACCTCGAGTACCGTCGGATCGCCAAATACGTCTGCAAACCCTGCTACTAGCGCGGCGGGCCAGAGTCTGGCCCGGATTGTCATTGCACAAGTCTTCCTACTGCTCAGCCAGTTTGGGACTGTGAAGGACGAAAAGGATCGAGCTAAGTGGGACACACAGGCTGAGCAGATTCGCAAGGTTAGCCATTGACTCTGCCTCGTCGTTGTTACTAAATACTGACTGTCTCGGTAGCTGATCGATTCGAACGGTATGGAGGTCTTTGCGAAGTACTTCCGGCGTCTGCTACAGAACAATGCCGGGCAGATATTTCCCACTACGGGGAGAACAGCGGAGCCAAACGGCAGCTACCAGCTACTGGTGACCGAGATGCAGAAGATCAAGAAGGATCCCGAGCAAGCTGCAAGGATTGCAGAGTCGATTGATTCGCCCGAGGGCGACCTGTTTCGCGACTTTGACCTCTCCGCCTTCATGTCGCATTTCCAGCTGGACCCCATTGAGAAGGCCACGCTAGCTCTCGCATTCAGGTCAGCTAACAAGGCGGACCTCAGGACAAAAGGTAAGGACTCTTCCCAACCCGCTTATGGTGACTGTTCTGACCGTACTAGCCGACGCAATCCTCTCGAGCCTTGACGAAGAGCTCATGGTGGCCATCGCTTCTGACGAGCTTAGCACTGACTTCCTAGCTTTTCTCCTCGAACGGCTCCTTCAAGACCCACCCCGGGATTGGAATGAGGATAAGAAGTCTTCGTTGTCATACGTCGTGCACCACCGGTTCCAGGCATATCAAGCTAGCCCCCCGGTCGAGATCCTGTCATTGCTCATGCTGGTCGAACTGACGAATGCGTCGCAAAATCCTTTGGTGAAGCTAGTACAACGCGCTGGTCCGCGAGCCACAGTGACCGTGGATTCGTGCAAAGAAATGCTTGCATCCGCAGAGATGCGCGACATCAGCTACCAGCAAGTTGCCAATGTTCTTCTCTACATGGCTATCTCTCAGGGCGGTCAAGCATACAATGCGAAGAATTTTGTAGCGGCACTACGGGAGCATCGGGCAGGCCAGCGATTGGACTGGCAGGATGTTGTTCATGCGTTTGATCGAGAAAACGTCCGAATTACGAAGCCTCAGTTGCTCACCCTAGTCGACGCATTGCTCCCTATCGCGAACGAAACGGAAACGTTCGATCTCCAGCTACTGTGGGGTGGTGAATGGACGAACGAGTTGACCCAGCTATACTTTGTCACGGCCTTACTCTCTTGTACTCCAGAGGAACTCGATGCATCCCAAATACCACGGCTAAGGGTGTCCTATACCACGAAGATGTTTGAGGGAGCTCCTACTGAAGTTAAGACGTTTGCAGAGCAGGCAGTAAAGCACCCCTATGTCTCCCTAGATGCCACAACCGCACTGTTTAGCATGATCTTCAGATCTTCAGAGGCTTATCAGCAGGCCCAGATGCTCGGTATTCCGGACGCTATCATCAACTCGCATACCGCCGAGTTTCTTGTCGCTGCGGCCGGAGTCCCAAAACCATGGGGTGCCCTACAAGAGCAAGCCTTGAAACAGCTGTTTGATCCATTTTTTTCGAAGCACTTGGTGCCGTACAACTTCGTTCTTTATGGGCTTTGGCAACAAGATAACCAATGGCTGGTCGATCGATTCATCGACGCATACAGCAACGACTCAAGGTCCTTAACTCTCATCATGGATCATGCCCAAGCCAATGGCTGGCTTGAAGCTTTGATTCGGGCCAACGCCGAATTCAGTCTGGATCTTGCCGCCCAGGCGCACGCTCGAGGTCTCTTTGAAATCGAGCCATGGTTACAGCAGACCTTTGAACAAAATGGCGCCTTCTTCCGCAGAGTTTTAACCGCCTTCCTCGGCCAGAGAGCTACAGAGGAGATGGAGAGCTTGCGCGATGATCATCATCCCCTAATCCTACCGCTCGCAGTCAAAACTGTTCATCCCATGCTGTGGTTTCTCGCCGAATGTGGACTTCCTGAATCAGAGCTTCTTCCCTTGCAGAGAAAATGCATACAAGCTTTCCCGCGTCTGATCAACTATGGTGAAGGCGTGGACGAGATCATAGATTCGAACGGCGAAAATGGAAACGCTCTTCCGGAAGATGCCGATAAAAAGATGCAGGAGCACTTCAAAAATATGTACAGCGGTGAAAGCGATGTCCGTGACATCATCACGATCTTGAAGAAATACAAGGAATCGCAAGATCCTGCTGATCAAGACCTTTTCGCTTGCATGATCCATGGTCTCTTTGATGAGTACAACTGCTTTGGGGAGTATCCCTTGGAAGCTTTGGCCACCACGGCTGTTCTCTTCGGCGGCATCATCAGCTACAACCTCCTATCTCGGATTGCTCTCCAAGTGGGCCTGGCAATGGTTCTCGAGGCTGTACAAGAATACCGACCTGAGGATTCCATGTACAAATTCGGACTTCAAGCTCTCCTTCACTTCTCAAACCGACTCTCTGAGTGGCCCAACTACTGCGATCAACTTCTCATTGTACCTGGCCTCCAAGGAACCGAGATCTACACTAAAGCTGAAGAAGTGGTCCAACAACAGGAGAGCGAAATTAACGGAGATACTCAGAACGGCATTGATATGACAAATGGGACCAATATGGACGACTTGGTTCCGCCAGAGTCCATCGTACCTAAGTTCACTTGCCTTCACGTAGGCCCACCTCTGAGGGAGGATTCCTATGAACCGCCCGATGAAGAAGTTCAAGACAAGGTCTTGTTCGTTCTCAACAACGTGTCAGAACGCAACCTCAATGATAAAATCCACATCCTAACGGAGTCTGTGGAGGAGAAACATCATCAATGGTTCGCTAGCTATCTGGTCGAGGAGCGAGCGAAGGTGCAGCCGAATTTCCAAAAACTGTATCTTACCATGTTAGATCTCTTCAACGACAAGATGCTTTGGGAGGAAGTCCTTAGGGAGACCTATGTTGCGGTCATAAAGATGCTGAACAGTGATGCGGCGCTAGGATCTACCGAGCGAACGCATCTGAAAGCTCTCGGTGGTTGGCTCGGATCGCTCACGATCGCTCGCAACAAACCAATCAAATTCCGCAACATATCATTCAAAGACCTTCTGATCGAAGGCTACGACACAGACCGCCTTTTGCTTGTCATTCCCTTCACTTGCAAGGTTCTTGTGATGGCAGCTGAGTCAGACGTCTTCAAGCCGCCAAACCCATGGTTGATGGAAATCATCCATGTTCTTATGGAACTCTACCACTACGCTGATTTGAAACTCAATCAAAAATTCGAGATTGAGGTCCTCTGCAAAGGGCTTAATCTCGACCACAAAGACATTGAGCCATCTGACAGCATTCGAGCAAGGCCCCAAGTTAACGAAGAATATCTCGGACCTATAGTTCCCGACGAGCTAGAGGCCTTCAATAATTTATCTCTCATGAGTCTCAATCGAGCTCGTGGTCCAAGCGAACGCTTCTCGTCTGCTGCGATTACCTCAGGCCTCCCCGATTTCTCCAACCAGCTTATCTATCCGCCGTCCGGAAACAGTGTAGTTCCGCCAACAACCCTGAAGAAGATCTTTCTCACGGCTGTTAACCAAGCCATACAAGAGATCATCGCCCCGGTGGTGGAGCGGTCGGTTACTATTGCGGCTATTTCGACATCGCAGCTCGTCAGTAAGGATTTTGCCATGGAAGGAGATGAGGAGAAGCTACGTAAGGCCGCTCATACAGTTGTGAAGTCATTGTCTGGAGCTTTAGCCCTTGTCACCTGTAAAGAGCCGTTGCGCATGAGCATCATGAATAATATCCGAGTCATGGCGCGGGATCTCCCTGAGCAAGCCCTACCCGAGGGCCACGTGCTCATGTTTGTCAACGACAATCTAGATCTTGTTTGTGGCACCGTGGAGCACGCGGCTGAGATGTCATCAATGGCCGAGATCGATATGCAGATAGAGGAGGCAGTGAGGATGCGACGGATTTTCCGGAACACCCGACCAAACGAACCCTACAAGGATGGCAGTATTAGTCCTTGGGCATTCTACATCCCTGAGCCTTACAAACAGACCAATGGCGGCCTGAACCGAGAGCAGCTAGCAATCTATGAAGAGTTTGGAAGGCAGTCCAGAGGTCTCCCCCACGGAAACAACGCGTCGCAGGATAGTGGACGACAGGTTCCTGACGTCTTGCAGGATCAATTTGCGGCGGTTCCCAACCTCCCAACCCCAGCCACGGCTCCAGCTGAGCCACGACAAGTCACACAGCCGCCACGTCTTCAAAGCCTTCCGTCCGCCCATGTTCCCCCAACTGCTCAGCTTAACGGATTTATGGAGCCTTCCGGTCCAGAGCGCGGGCAGCGTAATGTCGAAGAACTCTTTGTGGAGTTGACGCGGACTGCCAAAGAAGCACCAGAGGAACGCCTTGGTGAGCTTCGACAAGGCAGCCCAATCCATCCTATCTTTGAACAGCTCATCTCAACTATCGAATATGCCGGAGTGAACAAAGACCACCTGGCTTTTCGAATTGCTGGGACCGTCACGAACTATCTCTTTTCAGAACAGCTCAACCGCTTGGAAGTTGAGGTCTTAACTCATCTCCTATCAACACTGTGCCAGCTTTCCGTTCAGACCTCCAGACAGGTTCTCATGTGGCTGGCACAGATTCACGACGACGACCGCCTCTTCAACGCTACCGTTATGATTTGTTTGATGGATGTTGGCCTCATGGACATGCATCGACTCAATACCACCATTGCCAAAGCCATCCAGCAACGACGGCTTGCTGCAGTGGAGATGCTCTCCAATATTATGGATGATATTCTCCTTAACGAGTATCCAAGTGCCCTACGTGCCGACTTTGCGTTGTCTATCGATGCTCTCACCAGCTGGCTAGCTGAAGATCCTACCTTTGAAATTGGGAGACAGCTGATATCGAAGCTGCAAATTCTCCCTACAGAGCAAACTGTGACCCCGCCGGCAACCGGAAAGAAAGACCAATTGGAATACATATTTGATGAATGGGTTCATCTCCAACTTCCAGATACGCCAAAGAAGTCCATCGCTGCCTTCATCTACCAATTACATCAGATGAAAGTCCTGAAGACCCAAGAAGACTCCATCGAATTCATTCGAACTTGTATCGACGCCTCTGTTGCATCCTACGAGCGCGAAGAATTGCTTCCGTTCGGCACAGGAAACCCAGATACCGCAACCATCAACGTAGACGCTCTTGGAAAGCTGATTGTCTCTCTTGTTGTTTACCAAGGGGAAGAAGACGGAGCGGTCAAGGAAAGCAAGGCGAAATATCTTGACAGCATGCTCTATGTGGTGATCTTTGTCCTCTGCAATCACCAACAAACACGTGGCGAGCGTTTCCCCCAAAAGGTCTTCTTCCGATTACTTTCGGCAATTCTGTTCGAGCTCAATGAATCAGCAAAAGATAATGCCTTTGCTGGCTTCAAAGCCGATATTTTCCTGGTTGTCGCCAAGGCCTTTCTGGTGTTACAACCCCAAAACTTCCCACAGTTTTCTTTCTCTTGGTTGGCCTTGATTGCACATCGAATCTTCATCCCCGCCCTGCTGGATGATTTCCCTTCAGAAAACGATACCAAAGACAAGCGATGGGACAGCTACGCACAACTGATGGAGACCCTGCTCACATATACTGGCCAATTGATCAAGCCGGCGAGTGAGAGTCTCATGGCTCAAAACTTCTATCGTGGGGTGCTTCGAGTTCTGCTAGTTATCCACCATGATTACCCGGAGTTCCTTGGAGAGAATCACTTCCGATTCTGCAACGCACTTCCAATGCACTGCACACAACTGCGCAATCTCATTGTTAGCGCATACCCAACTGACATCATGGAGATGCCGGACCCTTTCACTACTGGTCTGAAAGTTGACCGCCTCGAAGATATTCGTCAGAGCCCCAACGTTCGCGCCGACATTGACCAGATTCTTAGTCATGCGGGCATCAAGGACACGCTCGACGACTTACTGCGAGCTTCAGAGCCAAGTACAGAGGATGTGGAGAAAGTCTGCAATGCCACGTACTATGGAGAGCCGAAGCCTGCCGGGTTTGAATTAGTAGCCACTACAGCCAATCCTGCCTTGATCCACGCAATCATCCTTTATGTTGCCTCCACGACTCTGGCGTCACAGGGCTCGAAGGAGCGAGGCTTCAAACCTGAATCGTCTGCCGCGAGACTGTTGGAGCAACTAGCTAAAGAACTTGGACCTGAGGCCAAATATCATTTCATTAGCGCAATTGCTAACCAGCTTCGCTGGCCTAACGCTCATACTCACTACTTCACATATGCGCTTCTTCACCTATTTGGCCCTCCAAATAACGACCCGCAAGTCCTAGACGTTCAACAGACCATCACGAGGGTTCTTTTGGAGCGACTGCTGGTCCACCGCCCTCATCCCTGGGGATTGATCATCACACTTCTAGAGGTTCTCCAGAACCGCATGTACGCGTTCTGGGACTTGCCATTTGTTAAGGCTGCCCCAGAGGTAAGCGGATATATTGCAATGCTCACTTTACTCTCACGCTAATGATGTCCTTCCAGGTCGAGCGATTGTTCAACGCTCTTTTTGCTCATGTCCGTCAGAGCCCTCGCCCACTTGTCTAGGCAAACTTGCGCGCCACCTAATTACAAGCGCAATACCAACATCGAAACCTCCGAACCATATTGTTGGTGCGCGTGAGCGGCGCAGCTAACTATTTCCCGAACTAATGTCTGCTCTTCTCCAATGCATTTGCGTGGGGTTATGGGGATTTTCTCTCTAGCACTTTACTGCATGGCATAGAGCTTCCTTTCAAATTAATACTTCAGATTCTTTATCGGGCGTTCGGCCTGTGCTTGCCCTTTGACCTAGCTAGTTGTGGTTGACCACTTATCATTTCGGATGATTCTTGCGTAAGCAGTCAACGGAGCCTAGGTACATGACCATGGATGTGCATGCTTGCAAATGGCCAGATGAAAGGACGGATGGGATTTGGGACTTTGTGTTTCTGTGTCTGTGTCTGCGTGAACAAAAAGCATGGCGTCATGGAATGATAGGGGTGTTTTGTTCTTCTCCGTCTAACTCTTCTTCTCCTCCTTATCTTATTGATGGATGGATGGATGGATGGATGGCCGGCATGAAAGACTTTTCTCTTCCTCTTCCTGCTTTACTTTGCTTTCTTCCCTTCCTAGCTACACCTTTTCTGTAGAATAGCATTCCTGGTTGGCGTGGTGGGATGGCTGGACTGGACTGTACGAGCGAAAGTGGAAGTGGAACTGGTGGACGGCTTTTCTGACTGCTCTAAACTCGAGTAGCTCGCGATCCATGCCATCCATATACTGTAGGATATTATGTGAAATGGTTCTTTTTTATGCGCGTATGCTGCATGTGCTGCTGACCTTGATTGTTAATGTCTTGTTTATGGTGGAGGCTTTATCGCAGCGAAAACGAATGTCTCCACTCTTGGTGATTATGATACTATTACAACTTATTCGTATTCAATCATGATGATGTTTAAACTCTCCTTGGGGAAGACATTGTGGTGGCATTGACAACCAGAGCAGCGCACATGCAAAGAAGGATACAGTACTCTGTACACGATTGTCAGACCGACGGCTGGGTTCGGCCTACATCCCTCCACTCCGCTCGTATAAGTAGCGTGCTGACAAGCTCTGCTGATCATGTTCCGAAGCTTCTATCGATACGGAGACATGATGACACAGTTTGATACGGGTTGGACACTAGTATGGAAGTTCCCGTGTGGAATCCTGCAAGGCGTTGCCGAGGCGTGCATGCATATGTTACGAGGATCACTTTTGGGGCGAGACGTGTTAAAGGGTCAATAGGCTTTCGGAGGAAAGCTCATTTACGGGTAGTAACCTTACACCTTGCTCAGGGGGAATACTAGAATGCGTGGGTATTGGTCACTGGGCATGTGGAGATGAGTGTGAGAGTGTGTGCCTATGTTTTCTAAGTGTGTGCTATCAATAGACGCGCTCCAAACGGATCTATAAAGTGTCCAGGCTTTCGCGCATCCTGCAAAAAATGTTGGTAACGAGATGTGCAGGTGTCTTGTGGTGCGCTTTGTGGCGTGGTACTTGCCCTGACCAGCTGTAATGAAGGATTTCTTCCTTGTGCTATAGTGGAGGGCAGTAAAGGTAGAAACTGACACCGAAGCAGGAAGCGAGGCTAGGAGAAAAGGCTGCATCGTGCAGCGTAAATCTTGCCGATTGCGCAAAATTCTGAACGGTAGCTAGCTAGCTGTGCGAGGTCGTACTCGTATCTTGCATTTTCACACATTTCGGCGAAAAAAAATTCCGAAACTGGAAAGTTCTTTGGACATGCCGATAGTACGTACGATCACATGTTTAAAATTTAGGGCCTTCCACAGATACACTAAATCCGGCCCATAATAATTGTTGGTTGCCTTAACCAATGAACAGACTTTAGACTGGTATCTGCTCCTAAGACAGATAATTGTGCTTCGAAGGAGTTGACAAGGGTGGATAAGGGCGAGAACTGGGTTTGGGATGTCGCTTGTTCGGGATTACTTGAACCGTGCACAAGCTTTGGCGGTGGTGTGGGCGATGAGGATCGTGGGAAATGGGAAAATGGGCAAGTGATCGGGGGGGGAGAATTCTTACCAGCGGCAGGATACGGGAGGGATAGGGAGATCCACAGGGCAAATTCCCAGAAGAGTGAATGAGCTGGGACCTGGAGAATCCTTTCGAAAGCCTCCGCAGAATGGTGCAATGGTATTGAACAAATGATTCTCAATTTGTTATGAAGGCTAACTTGCATATACTTTGGCCGTTCATCATGCCTACTTGTTGTAATTTTTGAGGGCATCTAATGCCCGATATTCCAACTCAGTCCAAAATCTAAGACCAATGTCGAATCCGTAACGCCAAATCGCCTAGAGGTTTGCGATATACGCCTCCTGGTGGTATATGTCATATCTCTCCTGTAAATGCATCAATCGCTGGGAAGCAAGCCTCCTCGTCGTGGAAGGTTTCAGAGGGAGCTCCAAGATAGAGTCCATTTCGCCAGTTCCACTGACATGGGTGGTATGTGAATGGTAAATATCGTGGTCTTTGGTTCCCTGGTTGTTAGGTTGGGGCCGAACAGTTACTGTGCATTACCGCTTGAGAACCAAAGGACCTCGCTACCCTTTAGCATTTCTTGTCTCCGGAATCCTGGCTCCTCCACTACTTCGGGAAATGCAGCTGGAGTAGGTGATCGCAGACCAGCTCCTTCCCCCCGGTAGAGTTCGGGCCTCGGCGCTATTCCGGCCAAATTCTATGTCTGTAGGATCCCTACTGGATATCACAACTCTTAATATATCTAAGAAAGCTTCAACTAGCTCTTTAAAAGCGGCTGTCGACAGCTCCTTCCAGGGTTTGTAGATCCGTGCGAGTCTCAACTCCTAAATACCTCAAAGAGCTGCTCCGATTTGCATTTCCGGACTAACAGGCGAAATCGGCGACAAAGGCGAAGCAGGTGCTTTGAATGGTGCAGTACTGGAACCGAAAGTGGGTGATGGAGAGGGTATGATGGGTGTGCGGGGCTGAATAGGTGGCGTTGGGTGAAGCAGTTTCGCTGCTGGGCTTGGGCTCGGCTGATTGCGTCCTCGGCGGGCGTGGATGGCCTTGCGATATAGAGGTCGTAGGAAGGGTATTGAAGCTGAGATAATGCCTGCGTGTTGCTCGACCTGTCCCCAGATTAGGAAATCTCCCGTGTGTTTGCCCTGCTCCATGAAATTCGATGCCCAAAGAACCAATATCCAAAGTCGAATCGCGGAGGCAATGATGGCGACAATTCCGATTGAGAAGATGCCGATGAGCTCGAGTCTGCGTTTTACGGGCATGCTTTGAAGATTGAGCACGAAAGGAATGGGGAGGATCCATATGACGAGATCGGTGACGAGGTTGAAGCCCGCGTTGAAGAACCAGAGGATGGTTGGGTCGTAGCATTGCGCGGTATAAATGCCCCTAAATCCATCGAAGAAAACCTTAGTTGACCACGCGTCTGAAGGTGGAATGCAGGTCAAAGCGCCTGCAATAATCATTGAGAAACTGGCAATCACTACAATCGTTATTATTCCGCGGACGATTCGGTGGAAGCTCTTGTGCGAGGAAGCAACGTAGTTGTAGAAGAGGAGAATGGAGACTTTAACGAGGCAAAGGTCGACGATATAGTTGATTCGGTAAATCCAAAAGGTGAGGAGTCCGCCTCTGACGATGCTTGATAATATTTCGAAGCTCTGGACTATGTATTAGCACGTTACAAGCAAGCATAGAGCTGAAGAATCTTACCTCCATAGCCCTGCTATAGTCTAGATAGACAACTTGGTAGTAATTGACAACGGTGCAGCACCATGTGGCAAGCTTCAAGCTGTCAGTCCAGAAGACGCGATGCTGTCGCGTGAACACTCACAAGAGCAGATAACATAACCCAATCTGGAGAACCCACTTTCCCGACAAGGAAGTAACGACTGTAAAATCTAGGCGACGTCAGTATACTAAGCGCGAAACGTCGCTCGACGGGGATCCGTTACCTCAGTGCTACCACAATGGTGGAAAGACTAGTAAGGACAAACGCAACGACAACCGCTGCGGTTCCGCGAACCGCCATGTTAAAACAGGTGGACTATCGATGGCAACAATGCTGAAATCCAAGAACAGCTAGTCATGGAAATGTTGGTCGGACGATGTAGACTGGTGATACCGTTTTGAGTATTCGAAGTCGCAGCAGCAATCTAGGTCGAGGAGATCTCCCAAAAAGCTGCGCATCTGGGGTCGAAATCGCGTTTATAGGGACAGTGCACGGCCGCTAGCTGAAGATGGCGTTCGTGGTCGAAGGTTGAGGAAGATCATTAGCTAGCTTGCACGGGCGCGAGTCAGGAGTTTGTGGCAGTAGTGAGGTGATGTGAGGTGCAGAACGTCCAGACGTCGACTGCTTTTGGCTGAAGGACATAACCTGTTCAAGCCAACCTCCCTCTCGGCATCTCTCTTCGCCGTGAATTTGTCTCTCACAGCGACAATTTGTATAAGTGAAGACGCGACAGGTGGCTCCATCCCATGATCACTTCCCCGCATTTGGTCCTTGGTGGCCCTCTGCAGCCTGTCTTCTACGAAATTCGCAAGTTCGCATTGGACAGCGCTGGCTAAACTCTCCTCTTGTGAGCGCTTGACCGCTCTCCCTCGACGCATGATAATGTTGCTTTGGGGTTTCAGCCGCTTTACCGAGATCGACCCCAGCAGGAATTAATCTTTACCCCGCCAATCGTAGCATTCACTTCCGGAGCAAATGCCTTGCTGGCAATCCTGGACCTTATTATTGCTGTGCCCCGACCTGGATCCCTTCTCTTGTCAACTGTCTCAGCACTCGTGTGAACGCTGGGGAGAACACCCTCGGCGTTCAAACCATTGTTTCCATGGCTGGCTAGAATCCTGCATCGTTCTCGTCTCGTGTCAGACCGTGAACAGTTCGTTCAGCCACCATGATCCCCGATATTGTTCAGCGTCTGATCACCGACCCGGTCCGCCATTTGGCCTGGGTCAATGGATTACCACCCCAGACGGGTGACATTGCCGGATTACTCCCCAGCTCCCGCCTTACCGACCGCGGCAGTGGAGGGATTACCTGGTGAATATTACGGCAAATACTTTCTGCAATGCACGAAATAATCAGTCGATGGTAGAGGTAAAGAGGGGTGGAATGTTAAGAACTTGCTGAGTTCTGAAGGCTACTCGTTGCCGCATGGATGGACGGCGAAGTTGAAATTGTCTCAAGGAGAGGTGTTGAAACTTGATAGCAGGCACTAATTCGGATTAAGCCCCATTGCCGGTAGCGAACTCGCAATTCTTGACCGCCTCCCATCGACCCTCCTCACACCCACCTCCGGATCGCATCCTCAAATATCCGGATGAGTTATCTCGGTCGACGACCTATTTTCTCCAAGACCCTATGCATCTAATGAATACTTGATCACCTCGGTGACACACCTTGAACCTAGACCGAAACGATTTGTTACTTAGCGTCGAAGAACGACAGAAGAAAATAAACTTTCAAAGCATGGGCAAGCGGAGATATGCAAGAGATATTATTCGAAACCTGGGTTTACAAAGGCATACGCTCAGGTCCCTGAATGATCCCACCGGCTACCAAAGAGGGTTTCCCAGTAGCTGCACAGCTGCAACACCTCTTTACTTCATATTGCAAGCTCGCAACCCTATAGAGGGCTTACGCACCTACTCCATAGCCGATCGTAGCGTGAATGTGCTCGATATTTTGGAGGACCGGTGTCACTACCCGTCGTGACCTAGGATACCAGATCCACTCCAATAACGTGGTCACGAGAAAAACCAACCGAACGGAGGAGTTGTATCACCTAGTGATGCTAGAAGTCGGAAGCAGCATTGGAAACTGGTAGATCTACCCCCTTACTTTGTCGTGCTCTCTTATCGTGTAACCCTCTTTTCATCTCCCAACTTATGCCATTCATTTTGTAATTAGACATGATACTAGGTAAGATCTCATTCGGATGCATTTTGTTGATCTCTAATTCTAGTCTCAACACCCTCTCTTCCTAGTATTACTTGATTTTCATGCCGTCTCTATGCCGGATAGTGTTGGTGATAGCGCGGACCTCCCTCAACGGAGTCGCATTACATAAGGTTTGCGGGGGAATGAAGCCATAATTATAGGGCAGTGGAATTGCGAAGATCTAAAGCGTAAGTCAACTTAGATATACGAAGGTGAAAGTCAAATTCGCTCGGAATGCTTCACGGCATTGTTGAGGGCTGAACGACGGCTAAGTCCGCTCACTGCACTTTCCGAATTCGCCAAACCATGCTAAAGCCACTTTGCGATACGCTATTCTCACCTTAAAAATGGCCATTAGGTCTCTCGCAAGATTTCCCTGCTGCAGCTCAGCGCTACAAGCAACGAGGCAGAAACGACGCGCGCAGCCTTCTTCAATAATGAGCAGATCAGGCGTGCTTTTCGTACATGATGGATATACTAGAACTATGGGTGCTCGGTCAGTTTTTCACCTCAGATATGTCTCAGAAGAACCACTGCTCATTATCGCAACCTGATAGGTCCCGCTCTCGGGCAAGAGGAGATATCCTACTCTATATCAGAACGACTCCTGGTTTACCACTCGGAATTCTTGGGCGTCTCTGGACCAGGTGGCTCCAAAGAGTCTTCCGAGAAGCGGGTATCTTTGCCACTCAGCAAGATCAAGCCTCAGCTTTCGGCTCTTTCGTAGAATAAGTATACACGGGGCTTTACGGATGCTTGAGAGATCCGGAATCCTTTCAAACGATCGATCCAAGCCTGGGTACGGGCTGGTCAGCTTATGGCTCACCGTATCAAATTACCCGATGGAGAAGGTGTACGTCTACCACTACAACTTCAGATGCCCTAACCCTCGGATCTCACCTGTGGTCTTCCGGTATGTCCCAGAATATACCGCCGAAAACTTGAAACTCGCCTCACTGTGAGAGCATCTGATCATCCAGTTCTGGAGGGAGCGGGATATCATTGACTTGAGCAGCCTGAAATAGGGTGAATGGGAAAGCTTGCTCAAAGACTATCTCGGATTCGCATAAATGATGTTGATGGACATCTCAAAACAATAAAATTCGATGTATAATGGTAAAAGATCTCGACTCCTACGAAGAGAACGCTCAGTTGCAGGCAATATTCATGCTCCACCGTTTTGTAGCCTGAAAGTCATCCTGGCTGGGCAGGGTGCTAGAAGAAACGAGGTGGAGATGGAGGAATCATTTCCACGGTGGCGAGTTCACTTCATGTAAGGAACCCCCGATGGACATGAAGATTGCAGCGGATCTTTTTAGATTCTGGGTAAGCGCTTTTCGGTGCTCCATCTTGAGACTCCACTTCACCCCACCATGAGTGTTGGGTTAGAAATCGGAGATCGGAGACCGGGTCGGGGGTTGGCCGACATCACACGTGCAGGTTATGTCAGCGGCGCTTTCCGCGATGCAGCCTTCGCCCGAGTGAATACGCTCTGAAGGCAATGTCTATTTTACGTGTCTCTCACTAGAGTCCGAGGAGAATCTATATTAAACGCCAATCCCCGCACGAATGGGTCGACTGTGACCATTCATCAGTCTGGAGTCTCCGCGCTGAGGTCTCACGAGGCTTGTGCCACCTTGACAGGGAGCAGGGGAAGCCACGCGAGCGATGACGCTGGTTGTGCATTTCCATCTCGACTTCGCAGCATGACCGGCCTATGGACATTCTTATAGCAATCGCCTTCCGCATCCCTACGCGACCTCAAAACAAATAATCGGATGAGCCTTGATATCATGCGCCACAGCGAGGCCCGACCCTGCGGACTGCCACCCACTACCGAAGCCCGCTAGCTCCGAACGAATGCTTCTCACACCTCGAACATATTCGCTCGCCCAAATCCCGGACGACGGCTCGCACAAACCCCAACCTTCGTATTTCCTGCTCACGCCTTCGCGAAAGGAGCTGCTTGTGGAGGAACGGCGAGCGCGGAGAATGCTCTTGCTCCACCAGACGGGGAGCGTGAAGGTGGGCGAAGTCGTACGGTGAGCAGGCTATGACGCCTCGTGAGATATTTCATGTCATGTCCATACTAACGCACCCAGATATACACTCACTTATACGCCATCGGAAGACCGGATCCTACCGCCACCTGCCTTCCTACACGTTAAAGTCAAGAACTCCTCTGCAATCCCGCTGCGAGCCGCATACCTCCACGGACCCTACACGATACATGTCGCCGCATACCCTTCTACCTTCAATCCGAATAAAAAAGTTGAGGCTCCGAAGAGAGATGGCGTCCCGGAGTTTGAACCAAATCTAAAGGCTGGAGGCTCCTGGATCGCCAGGCTGACAGTTCCGGAGCACATCAGAGACGCTGGAGACCAGCGGGAATTCAGCAACACATCAGGCGACAAACCCAAGAGCGCGACGTGGATAATCGAAATTGCCTCTCAAATCATCTTCTCACAGTCCGCTTCTGTAAACTATGAGCTACTCGTTGCTCGAGACGAAAGATCACTAGACTTGGGATTCACGGCCATCACCGGAAACACTCACGGAGCGCCGGGACAGGTCCAAGATCATCAGCAAGGAAAGCGCTCGCATACTGTTCATCATCAAGCGCAGCCGAAAGGCGTATATTCAAAGGCTGTCAAACTAGTAGTGGATGACACTGCTAGTCTTTGGAATAAGCCGGAGCTGCCGGAGTGGGAACGTGATCCTACTTCTCGACGAAAATCGCGGGATAGCCATCAAGATAGACCCTCGGTGGAACGAAAGCAGAAAAGGATTCATTTAGTTATATTGACACATGGGTTACACAGTAACCTTGGAGCGGATATGTTGTATCTGAAAGAGAGCATCGATGCCACAGCAAAACAAGCACGAGAAGATAGGACGAGGCGGCGGCGCGGCGGAAATCTGTCAAAAGCTACAGGTGATGACCTGACTGATACTTCTACCGCTCCCCTATCAGGGGGTCAAGATCGCATTCCCTCAGAGGACGATGACGATGATGATGAGGAAGTTGTCGTTCGAGGCTTCGAGGGCAATGTAATACGCACTGAGCGCGGGATCCAATATCTTGGAAAGCGACTTGCCAAGTACGTCCTTGAGCTGACATACCCTGACCAGCCTTTTCTTCCGATTAAGAAGACTGTGAGTCAGAAGTTCTCAAACACCTTCGCGGCAACCAAGGACAGGCTAGATGAAGGTACCCCGGCTCATTCTGGAAGTACCATCCATGAGCACCACCACCACCACGAGCCCAGGCGAGCATATACGTATACAAGTATAAGTTTCATTGGTCATTCTCTCGGCGGTCTGGTCCAGACCTATGCTATTGCGTATATCCACAAACATTCGCCCAGGTTCTTTGAGAACATAAAACCTATCAACTTTGTTACCCTGGCATCCCCGTATCTCGGTCTAAGCAACGAGAATCCTATGTATGTTAAGTTCGCTCTGGACTTCGGGCTCGTTGGAAGAACGGGGCAGGACCTAGGTCTGACCTGGAGAGCTCCGACGCTGGCAAAAAGTGGCTGGACAGCAATGGTCAGTGGGCTTGGCGCCCAAAACCAGAAGGAGCACAGGCAAGACGATCCCGGAGCGAAACCTCTTCTGCGGATTCTGCCAACAGGCCCTGCACATGTGGTCCTCCGAATGTTCCGGAATAGAACAGTGTATTCCAATGTAGTGAATGATGGGATTGTACCATTACGCACCAGCTGCTTATTATTCCTTGACTGGCGGGGACTTGGCAAGGTCGACAAAGCTAGACGGGAGAACGGCTTGATAGGTACTGTTGCCGCTTGGGGCTTTGGTCAACTAACCGGCCAGAACACGTCCCCGAACCCATCTAAGGTCACCTTTTCGGAGAACGAGAATGACGGTGTTGATTCCCCAGCATTCAGTGGAGACGACACTGCGGTTCCTCAGCCCGGAGCAGATGTCATCAACCAAGATGATGAGGCACAGGCAGCTGTAGAGCCCAGCTCCGACCAATTTCTTGATGCACGCAAACACAATCCTGGTGGACGTCCTCTCAGCCCAAATTCCAACTCGAGCCAATCGACGAATACCCTTTCAACCCTTTGGAACTATATTCGGCCCTCAGGCAAGCATACGTCCAGGGACAAGAAGATGTTCAGAAGGAGTCAAACTATCCAGATCGAACAAGAAGAATGCAGTGGTACTTCAACTTCCGAAGCGGCTCCAACCCAAAATTCCGAACAGCCAAGAAAGAGGCCCCCTGCAACCCGTGGCGACTCACTCCTCAATGATCCGATCAGTCTTTCTGCCCCGCCGAAAACTACAATTTTTGAGTCTGCGGGTGATCTCCTTAGTCCTCCAGTTCCTCCAAGCAACTGGATAATTGATCCATCAACTCGAGCACGCACCATTTTCCATGACCGCGTGTACCACCCCGAGGACATTCCCCCTCCGCCAGCTAAGCGCCCCGTCCGTTATGTTCGGTCATTCTCGAGCGAGAGCAGCACAGCATCCCAAGCCACCGAGCAAAGTGGAGAGGAGGGAGGCATGCGGGTGGAAGAAAAGATTGCCCGTGCGTATCACCATGACCTTTCTTGGAGAAAGGTTCTGGTGCGCCTTGAGCCAGATGCTCACAACAACATTATCGTACGACGCATGTTTGCCAACGCTTATGGATGGCCGGTAGTGAAGCACCTATGCGATACCCATTTCGCAGATACATACACGGCTACCACGAGGGACGAGCTTGAACCTGCCATTGATCGCGCAAGGGGTATCGAACAACCGGTTCAAGAGAATGGAGAACAAGTAAAGGGGCAGACAGATCCACAGCCACCTCTCGAACGTACCCAGAGTGAGATGAGGGAAGTCGCCGATGAATTGTTACCGCTCAAAGGTCATGAGCATCACCGCAGGCTACACACTGCAGACTCGGCAAAGAGCAAAGATTCTACAATCTGGGATGACTCATATTTTGATGGCACCTCGGATGACGACGCTGACGAGCAGGACGACCGCAATGCCATCCAAAAGTTTCTCCAGCTGCCGCCTCCAAGGAGTAAGCCTACTTCGTCCACCACGCCAAAGACTCCTGATTCCACTGGTACAAGTGAGGCGGAGATCGCCGAGTTTCTCTCATATTCTCCTGCGCCACTAGATGTCCACCGAGGCCTAGGTGCTTCGCCAGGAAGATCGTCCCTTGCTCGTGAACCCGACTCTCTTGAGTCCATGGGCGGAATACTTAGCAAAGCACGACAAGCATCCAGTCCCCCACAGACGTCGACAGGCACAATCAGTGACATTGAACTCAGGAGGTCTCTAGAACTAAATTCTCCCTCCAGCCCTCAGGAAGGTCGGGGAAGAAGCGGCAGCGGAGGCTTAACGGAGCAGGTGGCACGTTTGAGCCTTTCCAAGGATCGCAAGAAGAGTAATTGAAGGATGTTTGCGAGCCTTTTGTTTGCTAGCCAAAATGCCGAGGGCGCACTAGTGATGTGGAAAGCGAGTGAAGTTCAATATCCTATAGGTGAATTTGGGGTGTTCGTGGTCAGTAGAGGTTGCACTTTCCCGGAATACCCCCAGAGCGCTCGGGTTTGTATACCTTTACATTTACTTAGCCCTTTTTAATCATCGTAATTTCATATTTGTGCGGGCTGCACAGTTGCACTTGCGTGGGCTGCTCCTGCTACACTCGTCTTCGAAATTCCCTCTGCTTAAGGTCCTCGCTGTTCCCCACGCTCGCTGCCCACTGCAACTCCCCAGCCATTTTTGACACTCATTTTGGCCGGTTGAGGCTTTACCATTCTGTCATTGTGTATCGGTTTATCGCGGTATCGACTTGGTTGCTTTCACTGTTGCCACGGCCACCGCCCTTGACCTGTATCAAGCTCCAAACTTCACCACCATCACGTCGCGTCCTGCCCCCAGCGTCGTCCCCTCTTCTTTCACATTCCTGATTGCCTTGCCCTATTCGTTCTCGCCGTCGCTATGCCTCCCCACGCAGCCATGGCCGACCGCGAGAGTCCTCCTGCCACGCCGCGCCGCCGCAACTCGCACTCAAGGCCCGCCACGGCTTGGGTTGGTGGACAGCGTCGCCGCTTGGTTCGTCGGTCGGGCCTTCCCCGCAGCAGGACCACGCCTGCCTTCACTGGTCTGTCTGCTGGTCCAGCTTCTCCGGCTGTCGTTTCCGCCCTCATCGACAGCCTCGATAACCTAGCCTCGGCATCTACGCCTGCCCATGCCGCCAGCCCCACACCAACGCTCAGCACGCTGTCGCTCGCAGAATCCCCAGCCTCGAGCCAGAAGAAGAAGAAGACCACATGGTTCGGAGGCAAAGAGCGTGCCGCGGGTTCCTCGGATCCTCTGCCGCCTTCACCGCTTCCCGAAACCTCAGTCTATAACATCAGTAAGAAGGCTGGCCTCATACTGGGTTTAGATGTTGATGTTGACGACTGTGGTGAAGATCAGGGCACTCAAGGCCACGGCACTGGGTCTGGTATTGGAACCGAACATGGCAACCCGGAGTACCACACTATGATGAAAGACTTGAATGCCGAAGATATTGCTCACGAGCTAGAGAAAAAGACCGACGATGCTACCAGGCAGACGAGGTTCAAGGAAGAGGGTCTGTCTCCCAATGACCAGCCCGCCCAGACTGTCGCTGCCAGTGCCACCCCGAGGGGCCTGAAGCTGCTAAACTTGAAGGCCGGAAACTCGAAGGCGGCGAAGCTGCTGGGTCTTGTGTCTTCACTCTCTCGCTCCAAGAGCACCGAGCAGCTTACAGGCTCCCCGCATCCACCAAGCCCCAGTAGACAAGACGTTGACATGGATCACAACAGTGACGCAGGCCACGCTACGACACCTCCGAGGCCAATCCCAGGCGCCAGGAACAGCGGCCGCCGAAAGGGCAAAAAGAAAGGTCCGAAGGAGCTCCACATGATGCCGCCCATAAAAGAAGCTAGCGACGACGGCATCGTGTCTCAAGAGGAAGAAGGCCCTATTGCACAGCCGTTGATGGCCGCGAATCCCCTACTCGCCCCGGATATCGATGAAGACGATGAGGAGGAGCCTTCATCGGAGGACCAATCCGACGATGTTTTCGAGGATGTCGATGACGGTCAGGCAGAAGAGGTATTCCCTCTCTCCCTTGAGGGCAAGAGCCCGTTCAATCGACGACTCACCAAGTACCAGAAGAGTGGACGTCGAGCGCCCGAGATGGTTCAAGTCAAAAGCCCCCTCCAGGACCTTGAGCGTATGCTTCTTGATAACACAGAGAGGAAAATGAGGATGGATACTAACGCGGCTCGACTTCACGGAGAGCATGCTAAGCTGAAGAATGATTTGAAGGCGATCAAGCGGCGTAGCACCACTAGCACCACTGCGGATGATGTATACAATGTGGGGATGTATCAGTATGCTAACGATCGTGGCGTTCCAGATGACGACGTAGATTCTTACGACATTAGCATCGCCAACAGCATCGACGTCGACGAGAAACCAACTATTCAAATTGCTCGGATAGCCACGTTCACTCGGATTGTCCCGGGAATGGTCAAGCTTGTTAGTATTCCAGCAATGAAGACCAACTGCAGCATGCTTCAAGCCACCCAGTCAATTCTGCCAAAACGAGAACGCATGAAATTTGAGATGGTGAATGATAATATTGGGGTATTTCTTGTTAAGTACCCGCCTTCCTGAACCGTGACACCTGACTAACCTTTCCCAGTCTGATCATATCTCCCACAACCGAAATGTCTCCACCTCTCAGCCAGATCTCATCGAGAAGAAGGACAAGTTTCCGAAGGAAGGATATCGCAAACCGACTGAGGATTGGGTCAACGAGTACCGCACTATCGATCTGCGCCCTCTATCAATGCGCATTGATCCCGCAGTTCTCGCGGACCAGAACCTCGATCGGCCTCCAACTCCCCCGCCAAAGGATATATCGAAGAATCCGCTAGGTATCCAAAATAATCAAAAGCACTACTGCATCGTAAGCGGCCATGTCTTCATGCAAATCAAACTTTGGCATGCCAGAGGTGGGGTCGCTGCTATCAAATGCGAACAATGCAAAGTTAAGGAGGTGGCTTTGGTTTGCGAAGTTCGGGTTTGTGGTCTTGGGCTTTGCTACAACTGCGCCATCGCGATGCAGGCGGAGTGGGAGGGCAGGGCTGTGGCTAGTTGGGAGGAGTGATCCTTTGGTCAGGCCGCCACAAATCAGGGAAGTGCTAAATGGCCGTAATGTATTTTGGAGGCGAAGATGCCGTGGATTGAACAGTCACATGATCTCCACTGTCAATGTAGCTACGAATGAAAATTCATAAATTTTCTAAACACTCACTTTTTCTGTTGCAGAATGCAAATGTGGGTTGTGAGTATAATAGCAGCGCTTCCAATGAGGCGTAGTGCTGTACGATTGGGCGGTTTTGAGGCCTGTACGGGCGAGGTTTTGTGTAAATTCGTACAGAAGTGGGGAGGAGAGGTAGGTGTGCGTATAGTAACTGTCACGGCTCACCTGGCCTGTATGGGAAGTACGATTTGATTGCACTACGCTGTACTGTAGTCAAAGCAGCTAAGAATATAAGGCTGATCGCCTTACCCTGCTCCTGTAAAAGCGTAAGATTCGTTCCATAAGCCCACACCCATGGCAGCGTACAATTGCCCCGCAACGTTGTCTTGTTCTTTACTTGTAGCTAAACCACAGTAAGGTCAACGCGGTTTTACGTCTACTAGCTATATAGCATTCAAGTTAAATGTAAACCTGCAATTAATTTTCAGCCACAGACAGTGTACTATCGCAGTATAAGCAGGAGGCGCAGTGTAGGGGATCTCAGCTTCAGTAGCCTACAAGGTTGCGTAAAACGGAGCAACAGAGGCATCTAATTAACAAAATAAGGCCTGTAAGGTAGTAAAGCCTTACATAGTTAACTCTGCAATAGAAAATAATTACAATAAGGCCTTTTTGAGACAACAAACTGTAGGTAAATAGATTAAAACACTAATACACAACAGATTTAAGGGCCCCAAACAATAGAAGAGTAATGCTATCTGTACTACTTACCGTACCTAAGGCGTTCATAAACGTACGCCCTGGACATGTGACTGTTACAGCTTACTTTGTATGGACCGGAGTACGTCTCGTTGGAGGCGCTGTATAATAGCGTGGTGGTATTTAGGGTTTTATAGCAGGATCTTTCATCCCTTTGCCTTACTCAGGGATTCTGTATGACATGTTGTATAATTGGGATTGAACTTATGATGTTTCAAGCGCCTCGTAGGTTAGTTTAGAGAATAGGATACGATTGAGTCTGCCTTGACTGGAAAATCCCACTGGTACTCCACTTTTCTCAACTATGGACTACCGCCACCAGATTCATTAGCGGAAGTAGATATATCGTACCAATCCACAAACACCACGCCTTCCAAATCCACTCGTTCGACTCCTCATCCCAGCGAAATGCACTCAGGCAAACCAACAACATCCCAAGCCCCACTGTCGGCGCAAACCACCGCACAGGCAAGTCCCAGAATGCCGGACACACGAAAGACCACAGAAGAACCCCCACGGCCAAGGAAATCCTCGCAGTCTTCTCGCCATACAATAACGGAACTGTTTCCCTCCCCCTCGCTGCATCACCCACCATATCCGGGAAATCCTGGGCATGTACGGTCGTAAAAACCGCTAGAGCTGTCAAGACTACCCACAAAAACGGACCCGATGAGGGACTGTATTCTACGGGCCCTGATGTTATCGCTGTCACACCTGCACTGAAACATCCCAGTCCACCAGCCGTTAACGCGTTTCTCCACCAGATGCTTTTGTTCGCGCCGTCGACGTCGTTGTACATCCAGACGAGCACGAATAAAGTGGCTGTTTCCCTGTAAGCATTCGCTGTGGCGCCGACAGCTATAGCTAATGGAATTAAGTGGATTAGCCAGTTTTGTGAGGTAGAGGCAGTGAGACGAGATGACGGGAGGGGGCGCCAGGGTTTGTTGCGCGAGTCTTCGAGGATCGAGAAGGGTAAGCGTTGGTTTGCGATATTTTCGACAAGCAGGGTCGTCCAGAGCCAGAGGATTGCTTTGAGAATGGAGGGGATGACGGAGATCGGTGGTGGAGTGGGTGTGGAAACCGTTTTGAAACCGCTGGTTAGGGCGCTAGAGAGGGCGAAGAGCATTTGTGGGATTATAACGGTTTTGATATCACTACGGGTAAAGAGAAAGAGAGTGTGAAGTTGGTAGAATATGGGGATGGACTAGCGTGGGGTTAGGATTGCATTAGGTGGTCGGGTACGACGTTACGGAGAGACACACCCAAGACCCTGACATCTTGAGTTTCGTCGCCATTGCGTATCTGAAAGTTGTTCTAAGCCCTTCAGGAGGAAATCGAAATGGAGGAGGGGGAGGGGTTATAATATAGCCCTGATAATAGCCAAATGATCTTCCGGGTGAATGATATCAGTTAGGTGACTGGCTTTCACCCTAACCGGTGGGGAGCTCTCTTGACCATCCCAGTAGTCAGAATGGGCAGACTTTATATCCACCAGCGGATAACAAGATCTGGTGCCCCCATCACGCATAGTCCGTGGCCCCTTCCCGCCAAAAAACCCCCCAATTCTTGTGTGGCAAAGACTGGGAGGCGCTCCAATTCCACTGTATTCTGGGTCCTCAACACACAATGCTCTGCATTGTATCGCACAAACTCAAGGATATATTCCCGGCGGTTGACGTTTTAAGAATGGTCTACGTTGTGATAGGCTAGGTTCTGTTGTGTCAAGAATGGAGGAAAACGAGCATGCAAGCCACGACACAGCTTGATGCCAATCACTGCCACTATGTGTGACCAATATTGTCCGGACAGGCCGTTATCTCAGGTGCTACACCAACTGGAAGGTTTGTAGCCTGCTCTGATAGCCTGCTAGATCGACTTGGAACTACCTTGGTAATGTGCTCAGGAACAGTGCCACCTGCTCGTGTTCCTTGGAAGAGGTCTTCCCTACTGATGGCTAATTTCGTGAGACCACCTATAGCACACTATTGCGGGCGAGACAAATAGATGTCATGTCCGTAGGCACTGAGCTTTCCCCACGCCGTCGGACTTCAGAATCCCATTTCGGACTGGACTTTTCTAAAGGCTCTAGTTACTTCCTTTACTGTGCTCTAGTTGCCACTAGGCAATGGTTTGCTCCAAACCTAGCTATCACGTCGTCACTCAGCTCACAGCTTGGATCGTCGTACACTAGCCATTACTGGCACTATACCTAATAACCTCGTCCATGAAGACAGGGTAGCGAAGGACCGCTCCGACCCGCTACCGCAACTCGAAACTCTAATCCACCACCCCATTGGACAGCATATGTGACCAACATGCAGCCGGACATTCCAAAGAACCCAGAAGTCCGAATCATTAGCCTTCTCTTGAGAAGGCTTGATATGCATACTACCCTAGACTACTCTAGCACGTACCAAATCCAACCCTTGAAATGCCTTCTGGGAAAAAAAGGATCATGGAAACCACGCAGAACAAGTTTTTGCGTCCAGTTTAGGCCGGAGCTAGTTTTCCATAGGGCAGAGTTGATCAGTTCATGCAGCCCTGCGGCACGGCAACACACCTCTGGCACATGGGTACGCAGAGTGCTTGACATCCCACGTGTGCATATTCTCCACTTCGACTTCCCGGTCAGTGCGATAAAGACTCAGAATCCTTGACTATAGGTCTAATTACTAAGTCTGCTATTACGCCATGTGGGACTAAAAATGTATGCGGTAATGGTCTGTGCTAGGTGGACTATATCGCGCTTTGCGCGCTTCGTCCCAATGAGAATTCACTCTGCGGTAATCTCGCCAGAATGCAAATGTTATGGCGGTAAATTCCCAAACTCCAAAAAGTTACCATCGATTGGGACGAAGGGGCCAGCTGCATATCCACCTTGTTGTCTTTCTTCGATACCAAGTTCTTTGATGACGGATGGCGCGGCAGAATAGTTTGTTTCGCCCACTAAGCTTAAGGTGTGGTGAGCGGGGTTCATGGTAGATTTTCACCTTTTGGAACACTCTATGGGCTGGGTATGGGATTGGTTTGTCAAGTCGGGACGGTGGGAGATGAATGGTTCGTAAGTCAACGTTCGTATCAATGTATATGCAGAAAAAAGATTGCAATGATGGGATACAATCCACGACTACCGCTTCCCCAGCTCAAGTTCTTAGTCGGGACACTGTAACTCTGGGTTTCCTTTCTTCTATTATGTCTCCTGCCTATAGGGCACACCCCAAGCTAGACGTTAAATCCCTTGTCCTACCCCACGCCCACAACTTAGAGATACTAGATATCTGACTTCTTGACCAAACATTAATCACCCAGAGACTTACCAACTGTGAAACCTTCGAACTTATATGGGTACATCCATTCTCATAGTTTTGGGCGACCTGAGAATGCCTTATTAATGTATATTCCTACAGGTGAAGGGAACAGTTATATGATCGACGGCGAGCACTTCTTGTCCTTGAATATTGACTTTCGCCATACACTCTCAAGGCCAGTCCCCAGGCACATGATATTCTGCTGCGTTAGTGTGCTATCCCAACCCCCTATTTAGAAGTCGTAGATCCATGGCCAGCCCAAACCCTCCAATTGTCAGAACACACCCTCAATCTAGCTTCTAAAATAGCGTTATCTACACCAGACTTCCTAAAGATGTATATTAATCCTCCTTTCAGCAATCTCCGTAATCTTCTAACAAACCTCCAGTGCCGAGGGCCCCACAGTCGAGATATTTCACTGCCTATCTCTCTTCTACATGCATCTATTTCCACAATCCACCGCTCTGGACGAACTAAAAGGGGCATATTCTTCAAGCACTAATATGCCCCGACTTTTCCTTCTCCCGCGTAGCAATACGAGCAATCCTTTCGCGGAAAGTTCAGAAGGTCACCCTCTCTACCAACGAATCCTCTACTTTCCAACCCCTCATCTCTCGTAGGATTACAGCCACGAATCCAGCCTCTAAGAAGGAGCGAGCATTTTGCCAAACCATTTCGCTATGAGAGGGTGAGTCTTGGGCGAGAGAATTTAATAACTTCCATTTAGAGACTATGCGGTGCAGACTCTGTTCGGGATATATACGCTGAAGACTGGGATAGCGAATACGGGAAAGGGGAAGAAAGAGAGGTGTAAGATTAATTGTGAGATTGTTGCCTATGTCTTTGAGACGCACATCCGTAATCTAATCTCAATCGGTATCTCCTTAGTCCGGTGGACTTCCACTAGAATTTCCCAACTTTGGAGTTGTGAATGATGCAGTGGAAAAGTAGGCTGGTTAGAATAAGGTTTGAGAAGAGTGCAAGGATTTAAGGAGCGAGTTGATTTTGGGTGGAGTGAGGAGGGCAAGGTTAAAGAGGTCGTGGAGACTATCTAGGTAACAAGAAGAAGCGGGCTGGGGGACCAAAAGTAGGAAACTAGAGTCAAAGCATCCAGCAAAGAGGACATCATGAGAAGGTATATACTACACCAAGCAAGCTTTAAACAACCGAAAGGAAGAAGTGCATGGAGGTACAAAGCGGCTTGACCCAGCGTTTTGAGTGGTATTCTTTGAGCTGGATTTAAATAGGAGACAATGGACGCTTTCCCAAATAGACCCAGGATTTCGTAGATGAATTATCCAGATCCGCATCCTGAGGATGCCTTGATCAACACATCTTCTCTGTCATTGCATTTATACTTGTGAGAAACTTATTCCACAGGCACTCAATACTTACAGATCCCATTTAGTCGATATATACTGAAAGCCCGAGGGGCCGCCTAATTAACCATGGGCCTGGCGTCCTAGCATACTATATAAACTGCATAGTTCCTCGGATCCTCAGTACGCAATACTTCGCTTCTTTCATAACTCGTGTTCCCTGAAAGGCTACATAAACCCTTCAAGTTTAACCCAAGTCACCGCATCTCGACAATAAGGTACAATACATGACTTCCCAATCATTCATCCATGCACCCAACAAGAGCTTCTGTCTCCGTCAAATCCAGCAGTCTCCCTCAAAACTCCCACATCAATTTCTCAACTCTAAGCTCCCCCACCCTCTACAGGTTCACTCTGAATCGCTCCCTGAACCACTCCCCACACTTATAAAACAACCATGGTACCGGACTCAGCGCCAACGCTATACCCCCTAACAGCAAATTTGCTTGACCAAATTTTATGTCACTATAGACTTTATAAGCGAACAGGGGAAGCAGCCCACCCAAGATTGAGCGAAGGACCGAGCTTGCGGCTGTGGCGGATGCAGCGTGGGTTTTGTATGCGTCGACAATATATGTGGATGAGAAGAGCTGGGCGATTGTTAGTTAGGCCTTCAAGATTTAGGGGAAACAAGGGAAATGGGGGAAGCGCTTACAATCGCCGACATGGACCCGAAACCAAAGATAGCAATTCCAAAAAGTGGAACCATGACACGTAGCCGTTCCTGTGCGCTCCATCCGTACAAAAAAAGTCCCGCAGGCACACAGGGCCAGATGAATACCATCAGAATCAACCTGTTTTCCGGCTTGATATCCCCTTTCGCGGCCCTCCTCTTTACTATAAAATCGCTAACCTAACCAACGAAAACCATTTCGAGTAAATTCCCAACAGCAGTGCCGAGATACGCAAGTCCAAACCTCTTCGTTGGCCAATGATACAGTAGCATAAATACTGACGGGAAGGTCGAATGAAGCAAATACATGTATCCGTATCCGACTGCTGTGAGAAGGCTCACTAGAAACACGTTCGGGCTCAAAAATAGCATTTTCAGCGGTCGCAGCATCGCTTTGGTGAAGAGTTTCCACCAGGGAAAATCGTTATCGAATTTCGAGTGTAGTTTCTGATTCCCGGTCGTGCATTTCAAGGGGCGCACTTTGCGTCTCAAGAGCACCTGTTCGTAGGTTTCGGAGAGGCAGAGGAAGGACAGTATAACGCAGACAGCGCCCATGATGCCAGTTGGTTTGAAGATCCAGCGCCACCCTACCGCAGCGTTGAGGTAACTTCCTACAATCGGACTCACAGCCGGGCCGAAATTATACCCCATGCCAATAATTGCCATGACGTCGCCGTGCCGCTCTGGACGTATCATGTCCGTGATAGTGGCTGGTGAGAGCGTGAAAACAACACTTCCGCCGCAGCCGGCAAAGAGGCGGAGAATGGCAAGGGTTTCGAGACTGTTGCTAGCAGCGCATGCGAGGGTGAAGGTAAAGAATATTAGCTTGCAGACGTGGTAGCATACGACTCGACCCGATAACTCGGAAAGGGGGCCAACGATGAGCGGCCCGAGGGCGTAACCAAGGGCGGAGACAGAGATCACAAAGCCCGCGAGATAGATGTCCATTTGGCGGAACTCGGGCATCATGTCGTATATTGCGGGTGCGAAGACTGAGGACACGAAAGGTCTATTTTCCCTGAGTTAGTTAGTCCTTCGAATAGCCAAGTATTCAGCTGTGGAAATGTGGCAGTGGAGAGGGAGAAAGAGCTTACGAAATAAATCACATGAAGAAGATAGCCACCAAATTTAGCAATTTTTTCCGCTTAGGCCAATTCAGTGGGTTCTGGGGGTCATCATCTCCTTCCCATGACACAGTATTCCCATCGTCGACTTTGTCGTTGAGGTCAATGTCCACGAAGGTCGACTCTGTGTTATAGGTGTCGAGACTTTCTCTGTGATAGAAGCCCGGGGCGCAGATTGTGCTTCTTTGTATAATCTTAGGACTTCCTTGCGTATCGCCGTGTTCTCGCTGTCAGTGCTTTTGATCGAGGTCTGAGTTTGTGCGGTATTGGGCCGAGAGCTGGAAGGGAGGTAGGAGAGGACGTGTTGAAGTTGGATGTTTGAGGGGTTGTCTGGATTCTCTTGTTTCAACATATTAACGTTAATAGGGATTGCGGAGGTCGAAGGTTGATTTGCCGAATGGAGAAATGGAATGAGATGTAGTTGTAAAACTACTAAAAGCAAGAGTTAAGAACATAGAAGCTTTACAGTCTAACCTCACATCAATAGAGGATGCCGTGATGTATTGCATAGTCTCGATGCGTCAACATCATAGACACATTAATAGATGCCTAGGTTGCTATATTCACCCTGCAGATGCAAACGCTTCTCAATTCCCCACGGCTTCGGCTTTGTACTAGGCTCCCGAACCGCATCGACTCGGAACTACAGGCATTCAAGGTATGCGGGAAAACGATGATATCGCAATTACCCCCTTTTGCTCATTAGTCATCTGCCCCCGACCTGTCCCACGTGAACTTCTCTTGTCAATTCTCTTCCCAACGCTGATATATGCATCGGTACATGCTTTGACTTGACAACAGCGAGGTTAATCACATAGCCTCACCGACTACCTTCCATTATCTACCTCTTGGTCTGTCTCCTGACTGTCATCGTTAAGCATCTTGTCAACCTCTACTGGATGCTTGTCTAATGCTTCATACCATTGAATGGTACTTCCAATCAAGAATGCCCAACTACCCCAGAAAGTGCTCAGGCACGCCTGGTATTGGGCCCAACTGGCTCTGTCATATCCAAAAGCAGGGCAAAGTGTGAATCCGATACCTCCTATCAGATTCCAGGCTCCTATCCACCAACCAAGCGTTTTGAAAGCAGGCTTGTACCAGTGCGACTGCGTCTCTAGCATGAATAATGTGCCGGATATAATGAAACCGGAGCCGCCGAGGACCTGAGGTGTCCAAAAGAATATGATGGTGATCACGCGGGACATACGGTCATATATTCCTGGAAGGGCGGTGAAGCCAGAGACCCAGAAAATAGTGGCCCCGCAAAGCTGGGAGAGGGAAGCCAGAAAGCCAAGATCGTGAATGTAGTGTGTACGAAGATCTTCCGTAGAGGGGAACCAGATCCAAGATTGCGAATGTGAACTACAAGTCGAGGCAGGAGGGGACGTTGATGGTGATGAAGGCGACGAAGATGTCTTATTAGGTGAGTTGCAACTTTTTCCGACAAGATTGCGTTTGTTCAAGTGATGGTGCGTGCAAGCAGACTTTGAAGGTCGCAGCCGAAAAGCCGAAGCGCCCTTTTCGGAATCATGGGAAAAGGCCCGCTCTACGGCCCAGCCGAAGCACCCGGTCCTATTCTCATTGACCGCCTCGACCATCAGTAGGAAAGAGCCGAATTCGAAGATGGTGGCTCCGATAAAGGCCGTAATGCCTCCGCCATACAACTCTTCACCCTTGAACTCAGTTTCCGGCCAAACTAATGGTAACCAGACGAAGAATGCATTAATAACCCAGACGACGCTTCCAAGTGTGAATATCGTTGCTACATCATATGAAATGTCCCAGACTGGAAACCAGGTGAACATGCGCCAGATTCCACGGGCGATTTCTCGCAGCGAGGCGGTAATGGGTGGAGCCAGATACTTAGCCTCAGCAGGGGAGACGGCTGAGTTGATGGCTAGGGCGTGTCTGCCTTTACGGTTGTTTCGAGAGGTCCATCTGAAAGAAATGGCGGATACTGGCTGTTGGTCTCGGTCTTGTCGATGGCGCTCAGCAGAGGTTTCTGCATGCCTTGAAAGGTTGGAAGTGGGCTGGAAAAGTGCACTCGTAGGGTTGAGGAAGGTTACAGGTCCCGTTACACGCTTGGTGTCGAGCTTGAGCGTCGGGAGGTACTTGAGAGGATGATGGGATGGATGGAACGCCTCATTTCTCTTCGCAGCACGATCGCCCGCCGAGTAAGTTGCGCTGCGACGAGGGGGGAGCGTGTGAGGAGTAGAGCCATCGGGCTGGTACGTCGAGCTTCGCTTTCTTCCCGTTGGGGGACGTGGAGAGTGTCCTTCTCTGATGTTTGGTGAAGGTGAGCGCTGCATTCTAATTAATTCATGGATCAAAAGTTGTGGTGAATGGCTAGGTAGAGCGCAAGAGGATCAATTGCTGGTAAATAGTCTGGATTTTCGCCTTCATCGAGATGGTGATGCCTCTCGCATATGCAAGCAGGGCCTGGCTGTGGAGAGACCGGACGTCACTCCAGGCGCATGCGGCATGCCAAGCCAATTTCTTGTAGTCAGACATCACCTGACCTTGCGTCGCGTTCGTACCAACAGAACTCTCGCCTCGCGTTTCACGCTTCACACATTCCACCTCTCACCACAGGCATCTATCATAAGACCGTTCCCTCGAGTGAAGAATGTAAAAGCATACCTGCTGCACCATCTGCGCCACGCAGCATTCATGTCAAACCCCATGGCCATGGCTTCCGTCTCACGTATCTCCCGACGGGCGCGATGCCTCTTGGGCGCTGTTATGCGGAACTCATGGAACGACCCGCGAAGGTGACTTGGCTATTTAATGCCGCTTTTGTATGCTCACGATTAGTAGAAGTTTATTTACTTCAACTAGCATCCATCAACCAAGGCCATATCAACCGCTTAGCTTTCTAGAGCTTCCTAAGGAGCTTCGAGACATGGTTTATCAATTCATAAATGATCAAAATATTCCGCCCAGGTATCTGGTGGTGTCCCTACCTGCTGGAGACGAATCTCTGTTAGCATCATCTACCTACAGTGACTGTCCAATCTACACATTCCTCCACAACTATGCAGACGTGCCGTCAGGTACACTCCGAGTGTGCCGAGTTCCTCTACTCTCCGATTCATTGTGAGTTTGCTGGCCCTGACTCATACACTATTCCCATCAGCCGCACACATGCACATCTTGTTACTAAGCTCATAGTCGAGATACCTCTAGCCCTACATTACTAAAATTCACCCAACAGCCCTTAGCGTCAGGCTCCCCATATAGGGAGTAGACTCCATAGCATTCTCGAGTACGAATGTGCTGCGCCTTGGATGGACCTAGGGCATAACTCCGAGATCATGAGATGGAAGGTCTTGAACGCGATAGCTCAATGGACGAAAGAATCACATCAAGGGGACTGAATTCTTAATTTACGGGATATTGTTCAATCATAAGGAGCCAATACCTCACCAATTCGAGCTTCAGCTCTCTGGTAGCCATGACATGGAGACACCAGTTCCCAAGGTTGTTCGAAACTTACGTCGGAAGGCTCCAACGAAGTACGGTTGTGGCAATATTCCTTTCAGTGACACCCGTTCTTTAGACACCCATGAGCCTTCTTCCTCCCTTTCAAACCAACTTTGGATTTTGTTGGTTTCTAAAGCCCTATCATGATCCAATGTTTGTACTAGCAATCATTCATCAGTGGTTGCTTGCAAACTGTGTGGCTATATCAATATGCACGGTCAGGTAGATAGACAAACCATCTTGTCCTTGACCATTTGTCGGTTTAGTAGATATTCAATTCCCCTGTAAGCATGCACAGGGCACGACGAGAACGGATGCAATGGAGGAGAATTTGGGGAGCCAATGGAGGAGAGTCTTGCAAGCATGGGCTAACCAGTGAAGACCTGCATAACCCAGGCACATTAGTGCCGGAGTGATAGGATATGTGTTCGTACCCGACTGCATCTTTTCCATTATTGGATTTCCTCGTCGATAAGCCTGCCGCTGATAACTGCGTCTCAGAGTTCGTGCGCTAGGTACTTGAGGTGACCTGTTCATAGCAATTGAGGTTGCATCCATGAATTTAGTTCAATCTTCAGGATGACTTTCGAATCTTCTGTGCGTCCGCTAACTGGGCCTTAGAAGCGTACTTGGCGAATCAGGAGTGAAGCCTCTCACCGTTTTCGAGGTATATCGAAATTGGCCTTCGAGCTATGCCAAAAGCGGAGGAGAGCGGCGTGCGTTCCTTCCAAAATAGGATCACGACGATTAAGGACCCAACACGGCAAAGTATCGAGAACGGAGAATGGAGAATCTCTGCATTAGAAATCTCGGGCGTCATATGTGTAGCATGCAATGGCGTAAACTTGGCTTAATTTCATTGCTTTGGGGTAGTCTTTCAGGTGTTTATGTGCAACGGAAAGTCATGCGTGTGTGACACCACCATGATTTTCCGGTGGAAGAATTGCGCAGTTTGGAACTTAGGTTGAATGTACTCCGTAAACTAGCTCTCATTTAGCTTCGCTTCCTAGAGTACATACTGCAAAGCACTCTCGTTCCTCGTATGTGTTGGTCTTCAGGTTCTCGATCATATCTAATATTATCTGATTCTGCGCGTATGGCTCACATCACGGACTACTGTACTTATCCGCAGCACAACATCCAGGGTCCAATCATCAGACGGGCAACACTTGCTACACCGCAAAATTATCGCAAGTGAAATAACCGCGTGGCAATAGTGACATTCCGAAACGTGCAGGACAAAGCAGGATGCCAAGCACCTGCCGATTTGAATTGACGGTGGTCTGATTGGTCACTTCCTCGAATCTGATGACCGCACCTAGGGCAACAACCCAGCTTGATAAAGGCAGCCGGCACTGGGCATATATATAAGGAGGGGTCTTGGGCTGGTACGACTTACTCTGCTTCATCCAACGAAACTTGAAAACCAACCGACCACTCTGAATCGCCCTTCAACCACAGAAGATTTCTACTTTATCTCCCGAACCACTCCCGAATCAAGCCATCTGCCTTATCAACATGACTTGCTGTGGACGCAATAACGGCGAGTGCGTGTGCGCGAAGGAGGCGACCTGTTCTTGCGGAAAGCAACCCGCTCTCCAGTGCAGTATGTCTGTCCATCCTCAACTGCCCCAAGCTTTCACCCTCACATTCTCTGCCGAATGAAGGCACTGACTATCCACAGCCTGCGAGAAAGCCGCTACGGAGAACAAGATCGCTGGCTCCACCTGTGCTTGTGGAAAGCGCCCAGAAAGTACGCACATTCCCACCTTCACTCCACATGTGTAGGTCCGCTAACATTGATATGGTAGCTGCTTGCACCTGCGGCAAGGCGTCGGCGTCGGCGTCCTCGGAACTCGAGACCGACTTCACAACCAAGAAATAAGTCGGCTCTACTAGGCCCCCCCCTCCGCTCATGAACAGGTTGACGATATGAGGGCCTGCGGGATTTCATGCAAGGTGTTCCGGCGTTTGTGCATGATGCTGATGCTGGAGAGGGAGACTCTGCGGCATCCAGATTGATTGGAAGCAGTGACCCATCATGGCCGATACCTGTGCGTGGATTATGACGGCGTCAGCCGTAGTGATAGCTTGTGTATATTAGCAGTTCAGACCCTGATCAGGCATACTTTGAGTCCATCCGAGTGCTTTAGTGAGGCCAGAATTTTTGGGGAGCCGACAATGATTGTCAGCGGCTCTGCTTTTGGGGACTCTGAATTGGAGATGCCCGTGCAATTCTAGGACACACACATATAGTGACACAGCAATACATGACGCGCGACAGTTGGTTTAGAGAGGTGTCCGGAGTTAAGCTGAGCTATTCCAAGCTTTCTCGACGCACTGACCGCCGCCACGCCAAGAAGCTGTCCAGCATGGACGACCATCCCACACCCATGCGCATCAACCAAACACTCTTTCTCTCCTCGAGCCGCAGTCTCTTTCATGACTGCTGCTTCACATATCCCTTCCACATTGACCACATTGCGTTCATGACTAACTCCCAGGTCCCTTCGTCTCCGACCCCCTTTCGCGATCCGTCCTCCCTCCACAACACCACCACCATTTCCTCTCCCACTTCCTCATAGCCTGTTCACTGGACCGCTTTAACCTCCGCCGTAAGCTCCTCAAGTCGTCGTTTTGTCGGGCTACCTCCCAGGCGGGAACCGCCCGCCCCCGAGCCTCTCCACATCGGTAACCTCGAAGATGGCGTCCGGAGCCGGAGGAGGTGGGCTCTTCAGCCGGAATAATTCTGGCAATGTCCCTACCATGAGAGGTACATATACAGGCCCTACTAGTATGGGTTTTATGCTGATGGCCGTCCTGCAGGGTTGGTCTCGTTCATTGCGGATCTCAGAAATGCCCGAGCGCGGGAGCTGGAGGAGAAACGGATAAACAAGGAATTAGCGAACATACGGTTGGTCCTCTTTGGCTCGCAGTACGGTTTGGAATACTGATGTGTAATTTTTTGTAGGCAAAAGTTTCGAGGTAATGCTCACGCACTGTTCTGCAACTCACTTTAGCCTGACCTGAAATACTCTAGATGGAAATCTCAACGGCTATCACAAAAAGAAATACGTCTGCAAGGTTAACCTTATCCAGTAAATTCCTCCTCTCCCCCTACTAACTCTTCCAGCTCTTGTACATATACATCTTGGGCTGGAACGTCGATTTCGGGCATCTTGAAGCCGTCAATCTAATCTCCGCCACCAAGTACTCCGAAAAACAAATCGGATATCTCGCTGTCACATTATTCCTGCACGAGCAGCATGAGCTGCTGCATCTTGTTGTCAATAGTATTAGGAAGGATTTGTTGGATCACAATGAGCTGAATAACTGTTTGGCGCTGCATGCGATTGCGAATGTGGGCGGGAAGGAGATGGGAGAGGCTTTGAGCTCGGATGTTCATCGGTTGCTCATCTCACCGTCAGTTCTCAATCTCCTAGGTCAGGAAGAGCTCGCTAATAGGAACCAGAGCCTCCAAAGCATTCGTGAAGAAGAAAGCTGCCCTCACACTGCTTCGCTTGTATAGGAAATACCCCAACATTGTACAGAACGAGTGGGCGGAGCGAATAATATCCCTCATGGACGATCAGGATATGGGCGTTGCGCTCTCCGTCAGCTCGCTGGTCATGGCCCTGGTTCAGGACAATCCGGAACAGTATAAAGGTAGTTACGTGAAAGCTGCGAACAGGCTGAAGAGGATCGTGGTAGATAACGAGTGCGCCGAGGGGTATTTTTACTACAAAGTGCCCTGCCCTTGGATACAGGTTAAACTATTGAGACTCCTTCAATACTATCCACCTCCTGGTAGGTGTATTCCATGCTTCCAGCTATCATGTTCTTAAACTAACACAAACAGAGGATACCCATATTCAAAAACTTCTGCGAGGCGCACTGCAAAAGATCATGGACTCTGCACTGGAGATGCCAAAGAATGTACAGCAGAACAACGCTCAAAACGCTGTTCTGTTTGAAGCCATAAATCTTGTCATCCACCTAGATACGGAACAGGACCTCATGGTTCAGATATCCACGCGGCTTGGCAAATTCATCGCTTCTCGAGAGACAAACGTTCGTTATCTAGGTTTAGAGGCTATGACGCATCTTGCAGCGCGATCGGAAACTCTCGACCCCATCAAGAAACACCAAAGTATTATCATTGGATCACTTCGGGATAGGGATATTAGTGTACGGAGACAAGGCCTCGATTTGCTGTACAGCATGTGCGATCCCACGAATGCCCAGGCCATCGTCAATGAACTCTTGAGATATCTCCAGTCCGCAGACTATGCGATAAGGGAAGAAATGGTACTAAAGATTGCGATTTTGACTGAAAAGTATGCCACCGACGTACAGTGGTATGTCGACATATCACTCCGATTGATCGCAATGGCCGGAGATCATGTCAGCGATGAAGTATGGCAGCGAGTCACACAAATCGTCACGAACAACGAGGAGCTCCAAGTCTACGCAGCCCAGAATATCCTACAGTACATCAAGGGGGACTGCCATGAGACGCTTGTCAAGATTGGGGCGTATCTACTCGGAGAATTTGGCCATTTAATTGCTGACACCACGGGATGTAGTCCCATTGAGCAATTTATGGCGCTGAACGGAAAGATGCGAGGTTGCTCCTCAAGTACTAGGGCGATATTGTTATCCTGCTTCATCAAGTTCGTCAACTTGTTCCCCGAGATCAAGCCCCAGTTGCTGCAAACCTTCCGCGCCTACAGTCATTCTCTTGATTCCGAATTACAGCAAAGAGCTTGCGAGTATCTTGCATTGGCCACACTACCAACTGACGACTTACTACGGACTGTGTGCGACGAAATGCCCCCTTTCCCCGAACGGACTTCAGCGTTATTATCACGATTACATCAGAAGCACGCCACGACCAGCGACAAGAGGACCTGGGTGGTTGGTGGAAGAGCTGCTAACGCGGATGCCAAGGAGTTCAATATGGGCCAGAACACTGGATTGAAACGAAGTTTCACTAACGCTGGTCCTACACGGAAGGACAGTACTCCCGCAAACGGAGCGAATGGTGTATCTGCGGTATCGAACGACCTGGCAGGACTGGACATGAATATCGACACCAACAAGGTGTTGAAAGCTCCTAATCTTGCCAGTGCGGCCCACTTGAGCCCAGACTGGGAGGTCGGGTACAATCGCCTGCTTCTTCGGCCAGAGGGTGTGCTATACGAGGACGCTCAGATCCAAATCGGCCTACGGACAGAATATCGCGGTCAACTCGGCTGCGTAATCTTCTATTTCACCAACAAGTCCTCATTCCCGATGGGCTCCTTCACAACAACCCTCGACAACCGGTCCGCAGAGGCTCTCAAAACCGACATCAAAGGTCTTCCAGATACGATGATCCCCCCCGACGGCCAAACCCACCAAACCATCATGTTCGAAGCCAAAAACATCTTCTCTGACCCACCCACCTTTCGCATCTCATACCTCGCCGGCGCACTCCAAGGGCTGACCCTTCAACTCCCTGTCGTCCTCCACAAATACATGGACGCGGCCGAGCTCTCGGCTGAGGATTTCTTCAAGCGGTGGAAGCAAATTGGTGGAGCGCCACGCGAGGCCCAATCCATCTTCGGTCTTGCTAGTAAGAACCGCACGATGAATATGGAATTTGTGAAGAAGGTAGTTAGGGGATTCAAGTGGGGGATTCTAGAGGGTGTGGATCCGAATGGAAAGAACATTGTTGGTGCCACCGTGTTGCATACAGGTGATGGGGGCAAGTTTGGGTGTTTGTTGAGGTTGGAGCCAAATTTCGATACCCGGGTAAGTTTTTCGGAGATTTTGAGGTACAAGGAGCGTATTTTGGGCTAACGTGTGCTTAGATGTATCGCATTACGATTCGTGCGACGGATGAGGCGGTGCCGCCAGTTTTGATCAAGATTATGGAGGAGAGGTTATCGCAGGGGGTTGAGGGGTTGAATTGAACGCACTCATACCTCCCTCTTTCTATCCCGGACAGGCACAAGCACAAAAAAAAGTGGCCAGCCTTGCTACCACTCAGTCATGCACATAGAGTATAGTCAAGTAAGCGCAGCTATAGCGGAGATTCTCGTGTACTTCTTTTAGGGACGAGGGATGGGACGGGATGTTGGAAGGGCCACCATCGTTTGTTGATGTGTGTGTGTGTGTGCAGCAGGTAATTTCGTTGGTAAAGCGATCTATGATATTTCTCGATTCCCTTCCGTTTTGTTGTCGTTTGCATTGGAGAGAGAAGCTGGAGCTGGAGTGGGGGCTGGAGCTAGAGCTGGATGGGCATACCCAGAAGCATTATTACAGAGCGCAGCCGGGGTTTGTAGTTTGTAGTTTCTGTTTGTCAGCCTGGGTGGATGAAGGGTGAGATATATATATGCATCTTCTTTTTCCGTGTGCTGTGAGAGGAAGCTGTATGTAGATATTAAAAGTGTGCTCGGAATGTCACCATACATAAGCTCGTGAATGTCGAGATCCCTACACGGTACAGCCTGCGGCTAGCAAGTGAGTCAAAGAGACAGACAGGTGGCTCAACGCGAATACTCCACGGAATCAAGTGACTCAATTCCTTTAGTGTCATCGCGAGGTCTTCCTTACTGTCTTCCAACCAATCAAATGGCAAGGCAGAGGTAATCGCTCTTGAAAAAGGGTGGTGCAAGTGATTGTGACTCCCCCAAAATGCGGGCTTTTGCACAGCCACTGCTAGGCGAGTCGCGACTCTCGTATTCACGGTGGAAGGTTCATAAACATGGAGAGAGAAGGCACGATTGACTTTGGTTTCTGCTCCAGTATTTCCTCGAAGAAATATTTCTGGATCCTTCGCTGGAAATTGTTGTTTCTCTCCCTATCCTGTTGAGGAAAAGGGCAGAGATCTAAACGAACGGCCAACAACGAATAGCTATATTGCTCCCACATCAGTACAACATATAGCTCGTGACTCAAACTCACGCTCAACGAGAGCAGAGGAAAGATAGATATACAAAACAGCGGTCGCAGCAGAAGAAAGCAGATTTCGATTCAATGCCACCAAAAAATTTAAACAGAGTTGCGAAGCGAGCTGCAGCAACTTCGAAAACTAGATCAATACGAAGCTCAAGCTCAAATTCAAAGACAACCGCACCAGCCCAAGCAGTCCTCGAAGCAGGAGCTGCAAAAATGGCCCCCAAGACAACCACAACCGCCACCTCTTCCAACGACGCCGCACCCCCACCCGGTCCAGTCTACTTTTGGCGTCCACACGACCACAACGGCTATCTAGGCCAATGGTACTCGTCCGAGTTCACACATGAAGGATGCACCTATGCAACCGCTGAGATGTGGATGATGGTTGGCAAAGCGCGGTTATTCGGCGACGAGGAGGTCGCGAGTATGATGCTGGCAACGACGGATCCGAAGACGCATAAGAAGCTTGGGCGTGAGGTAAGGGGGTTTGATGAGAAGGTTTGGAACTTGAGTAAGTAAACACTACCTCTTTTTTTGCTATTCTGAGTGGGTTTTATTTGATTTGATTTTGCTTGGTTTTGGGGGAGAAGGGGATTGAGTAAGAGTGTGGTTGCTGATGTGTTACAGATCGCCTCCGTATTGTGGAAGAAGGCAATTATCTCAAGTTCACTATCAGTGCTGAGGCAGATGCGTTGAGGAAAATGCTGCTTGAGACTGGGGATAGGGAGTTGGTGGAAGCGAGTCCGATGGATAGGATTTGGGGTGTAGGGCTTGGTGAGAAGAATGCTGGGAAGAATAGGCATAGGTGGGGTTTAAACTTGTTGGGAAAGGCGTTGATGAATGTGAGGGGGAGGTTGAGGGAGGAGGAGGGGGTTAAGGAAGGGGGAAAGAAGACAGAGGGGGAGAAGAAATAGGAGGTTGGTAGGAGCATGAGGGGAAAAGAGGGAGGAGAGAATATTTGTCAGATAGCTGGATCAGATTGGCTTGAGAGGAGATTGCAGACTTGACATGGTTTGAAGAACAGTCAGGGTTATCGTGGTTGTGGTTAGATATTCTCCGACTACGTAGTCTTGTTCGTTGACGAGCACTGGTAATCTGGGAACGGCCATCGAATTAGACAGCATGCATTATGTATGGTTCCTGCAGAGGAAAGCACAACACAGCAGTCTGAAAATTACCTCGCGAGTATTAATCATTACTGGAAATTGTCACCTAGCATGGAACGTGACAGGGTAATACATCCCGTTAGCGCTCTCCCAACTTTCAGTACGAGGGTTAACAGATAGGCTTTACCCTAGTTGGGTTCCACGTTCTGTGATGCCATACCGCACATACCACATCACAGTATAACACAGCTCTTACGAGGCTGTCTCACAAAGAAACCGTTATCGTCACTCCACGGCCAGAATAGCAGGTCAGGATGGTCATCTGCCAGTCGCTCGGGAACAATCTCAATATCTTCATTTACATCCCGATCTTCAGGAACCGGCTGGAGATTGTCAAAGCACAACGCCCTTCGAAGACGCTCCTTCTCTATACCCACACTCTGCTCGGTCCATTGACGAACCTCTGTACTCATACGGTGCTTGTTTTTGGCCGTCCATGCCTGAAGGCGCTTTTCGCGGGCGCGAGCCATCTTGGTGTTAAGATGGTCGAAGAGGAACACGTTGGTTACAGCGACTATGTCCTCGGAATATGTGCGCTTCTTCTTCTGCTTCTTCCCCCTGTTCAACGCACGATTCATGAATTCTTGCTCGCGGAAGAAAGCCGAGTACGTCTGTCGCCAGTCAAACGACACCTCACGACTTTCACAGTCGACAACTAGATCAACCAGCTCAGTATCATTGACCTCGTCGACAACCTTGATGAAGTGCGGCGGTCTATCTCCACGGCCTATCGACGTTAGGTTCCGCAGTTGCAGCAGATATGTCTTCTTCCCGTCAGCGTCTAACCAGTTCCTTAGCCGGGCATGTTCTCTTTCCCACAACGGGGGTTCTTGAGAAGGCTGGCTCTTGCCTAGGATCAACGGCAGCGCCTTCCTCATCTCCTGGCAATGGCGCTCTATAAACGGTACCCAGCCCCTGACGGAGCCCCAGACATAACAACACTCCATCTGCTTAATGGGCTTGTAAGCGCGCTGCACAAAGACAGCGCGCAGTCCGTCGTCAGAAAGCCGGTCGAAGACCATGGGGATGTGGATGTAGCCGTTCAGGGGCCCAGGCCGACTATGGATATCACTGTAGTGCAGGTCAATAAACGTGTTCTGGAGGATGCCATGGCGGAAGAAGTCGTCGACGCAGTCACGCAGGAAGCGCGAGACGTTGCGGCAGGTCGACCACAGCAGGTTCGGATCGTCTGCGTACGCGAAGACAAGCAGCCAGATGTCGAGGGGCAGTGCCGGCGTCGTGGCCATGATCTAATCCTGCCAATATTGCAATACTGGAATACTGGAATACTGGAATATACGGCACTGGAATGCTGGGGGCCGGGTACTCTCGAGGGGGGGCACGGCGATAAGGGGGCTGCTCAGCGGGCTCGGAGTGGCAGCGACGCCTGGGTGAATCCAGAAATGCGCCTGCGACTTATTGCAACGGGGAAGGCACGCTGCAGGGCTGGAGGCAGTGTCGAGGGGACATAATATAACGACCTGGGGAAGGAGTGCGATGCCTACCGGCCCGGCTTTTACCAGCGCCCCTCGGCCCAATCAGGGGGCGCCGCGCGGGGAGGAGGTGCGGAGGCGGGCAGCGCGCATCACGTGGGCCCGCTGTTGGTCGTGGCTTCTCAATTTCTCGTTCGACCTCATATCTGGTGAGAGCGACCCAGCGCGGCCATTACGACGACGCAGCTGTCTTCAGCGCCCGCAAGAGCTGCTGTTCACTGTCCTAAATCTGCTATCATGTCGACAATGATCACGTTCGCTGCGAACAACGAGTTCTTCAGGAAGCGGAAGCGTGCGTCTTTGAGCTCATCCACCTCAGCCTCGCGCGCCTCACTAACGTTGCTTTTGAAGGCGTCCACCGCGCATGTGAATCGTGCAAGAAGCGAAGGGTTTGTCTCCGCCTCCCCCAGAAACCCAGCTCTGTGGCTTGTTCCTCTGACCATCCATTCAGAAGCGATGCAGCCATACCTTCGACGACGATGCCGATGCCGGAAGCTCTACCAAAAGCGGCCACTCCGGTGGGAATCCAACCTCAGACCCAGGGGCTTTCCATCTGAACCATCATCATCATGATCCCAGGGTGCCCCGAGACTATCCTCAGAATCATGGGCTCCAGAATTCTAACATGCCCCCCCTCAGCCCGAGAGAGAACCCGCGTGCCCAGACACCCCCTAACTTTTTGGGCTATCTGAACCCTGAGGCTGTCCTTAGGGAGCAGGTCCACTCTGTCCATGAACGAGGAAAGTCGAATCACTCCCCTATTCTCCCCCCTATTGGCCAGTGGGTCGAGGGTCAAGATGGAAGGGCCCCGAATCTCCCCGGTCAACCTCAAGAATCCACGGCACGACTGAACGAGACTAGTCCTCAGACTACTCAGGAGGCCACTGTCCAGCGAGCACTTCAATCGTACCTTGATGCAGTAGGTGTGGCTATACTGCCTCCTCGGAAGGACCAGGATGCTCTTCTCGACATCTACTTCGCCTACGTTCAGCCACTGCTTCCGATCGTTGACAAAAACCTTTTCTCAGCCCAGTATAGCCAACAGACAGAACCTCGTTTGTTAATGCAAGCAATATGCATTGTAGCATCTAAACATGGCGATGCTGCACCACACCTGTGTCTAGAGGATGATGCCCGTATGCTGCCCCGAGAGTTCTCCCAGCGGCTCTACAACGCCGTCATTGCTGGTATCGAGGCTAAACTAGAGAAGAATCGAGTTGTACTGATTCAAGTTTTGGCTCTAATATCACTCCATTGCGAAGGTCCAGACGGCGCTGAACAGGCCTCCATGCATCTTGCCCAAGCGATTCACCATGCACATACCTTTGGTCTTCAGTTTGGACACCAATGGAAGAACCAGAAGTCAGATTCCCAGGAGAATCTTGAAGATCTATTCTGGTGCCTTTGGAGCCTTGACAAGATAAACGCCTGCATGAATGGACGGCCGCTCATCATGCATGACCGAGACAATAGCTTAAGCAGGCTGCCATCGGATCCCGAGAAGAGATCAAGCCCTTTTGGAGTTTGGCTTCAAATCTCGGAAATGCTTGACAAGGTCATCGACTACTACCGCCCTGGTCGAGCTGTTGAAGAGACCGGTTGGGAAGGCGACGACTTCCTCGGTTTTGAGGAGATGGTTGGAGATGGGGAGGATAAACTGGACGGTCCTATCATGAGTACGCATCTGCGAACCTACCTACCCCCCATGAAACTAACGTATACAGACCTCCTGTCACTATACCACCACACCATGTGCATGGCCAGTCATAAGTCACTCTCAATCAATGATCCCGTCAAATCAACCCCTTCATATGTTCGCCAATCTCTCTCAGCTACCCGTGTAATCTCGCTCTTAAACTCCGAACCTCCTGAACTACTTCCTCCCCTTCCCCTAGTCCCCTACGCGCTCTCTGTCGCCCTATCAGTCGTATACCGGCACTTCCGCCAACGCCGTCTGAAAGTGCACATCAACCGCGCCACCGACGAACTCAAACAATGTGTTGTCTTACTAAACAGATTACGCAATGCTTGGTGGTCCGCAGGCACCATGGCTGATCTCGGGACAGCCGTTCTCAACAACGCGGATCGAAACACTAGGACCGCAAACACACCCGCTACAACCATGGACCTAACAAGCATCCAAAACCGGCCTTCAGAAGCCACTAAGGCGGAACCTCCCCTCACCCAACAGCCCCAACAGTCCGCCCTCTCCAATTCTTCCTCTTCGCAATGGCAGCAACCCCTCGACCCTTCCAACGCCATCGATCCGCGTCTCCAAAACCAACCCACAACCCCCATGACCTCCCTCCTCAACTCCCTCCAAACACCCACACCAGGCCAACACCCCACCAGTAGCGAACGCGCTGATCGCGCGCCTGCCCTTGCCCCGGCATTCGACGCCTGGGAACAGAGTCCCGATTGGTTGAATTTCGACGCTGCGTTTGAGAACTTTGAGGGCTTGCTTGGCAGCTCGGGTGCGGATTTTAGTAATGAGCTGTTTAGGCCGCTGGGCAGTTATGAGAGTTTGGAAGGGTTCATGGATGCGGGAGCTTGAGTAGAGTGATCCACAGACAGGGGTAATAGTTTTTTATGCTTTTTGGATGGACGGGGCCATGGGGAATTGGGAATTGGGGGATTTGTTCTATGTTTCGTCCGGTCTTTCTCCTCATTTGCTATTAGTGCAGTGCATACACATGACGTCGGTCCTGTATTACCTCTCTCTCTCTCTCTCTCTCTCTTTCCTCTATCAACCAATCGCTGGAATGAAATGAGTAACAGCGTATGTACATATAAGGATGGGCTGGGTTGGAATCTCAAAGGCAAAGGCAAAGCCAAGAGATGGGATTGGATGGAATCGGAGTGGCAGGGTTCTCTTGGATTGCATCTATCGAGGGTTCAAGCATCTCGCGAGGGTTATGAATGATTAATGGTATCTCTAGCACTCGCACTGGCGCTTGTGGCTTGATAAAAACAATAATGTTCTCTGGTTTGATGTTTAGCGTGTTTTGGGATTTATTTGATTCATAGGTGCGATAGGGAGGGAGGAAGTGTGTTATGATTCAGTGTTGCGATGAGTTAGGATGAGTGGGTGGATGTGATGTTATCCGCCTGCTTCAATCTACTAATCTATGTAGAAGCAGCTGGAACCTTCCACGTTTAAAAGCCGTCTGTTCGTCTATTCATCCAGGATCTACTCGCATCCGTGTGGTAAGCTCATCTCCTACACCGGCTCACAGTGCAATGGCTCATGAAATGTCTCCGGCACACGGACGTGACTGGACTTGAGAAAGTGGCAGCCGTACTAGCATAGGAGCTAAGTAGGTACTGTGAGGGTGAGATAGAAGGTAATTCATAGCGAAGCGCACAGACTTGTATAAATACTTGCATAAATACTTCTGATATTCACAAGAATGGAGGAAAGGGAGAGAGAGAAGAGCAGATTTCTGCGTTGCTAGGTTCGTAGGCACGATGTTTTGCTCCTGTGAACCGAAATATATCTGGTTGCAAGGGGTGTGTATGGGGCAGACGAGAGAAGGTTGAAGCCGTTTAGGGTATTGAAGGCGGTTATCAGCGCTAGGGAACTGGATTCTGCAAATCCACTGTCGAAGGACAAGCCGTAGAGCTCGAGCACTTACGCGAGACTCGACCTTCGTTCCGACATTTACCGCTGCACACACCCGGCAGAAACATGGTAGAAATGCTCGCCATGCGTGGAGCTCCAGATCCGGGAATCCGTGGCGAGGATGGCTGATGTGTTCAGCGGGATCCAGTTTTAGGTAGTACTCGAAGGAGCTAGATGCGGTCCCGCAAATGCACCAAATGTCATACATGGAGTGGAGATAACATGTCCACCCATGCGAGCGGTATTATTCGGACGTGGCGTTTGAGATATTACAGGGCCCTTGACCTCGAAATAGAAGAAGAGGGGTTGGAGTGGTTGGTATCAAATCCTCCGATGCATACTCCAGCCGTGCAGCCGGGACTTGAGAACGGGGAGAGTGGTGCGGATATGTAGAGCGGGGTGCAGGTATGTCTCTGACGACCATAGCAGGTATGGTTTTACGAAATGGCGTCCTGGGGAACGAAGATTAGTTTTGGTCCTTAGGGCTGGGCGTGTCGGAGAGCTTAGGTGTTGAGTGAGTTGGGAAAGCGTTGGATGTGTTCAGAGTATCCTCCTTCGGGAAGGTTCGTAAGTAATAGCTTAAGCAGGTCTCCCTACAACAAGAAGACCGTTAACGGTAGAACCTAGCACCATTCAGTTGTAGAGGCCCGTCGAGATCACTACGAGGACATCTACATGCAACACAAATCTCCTCACCCGAAACCAAGCATTAGGATGCTGCCGCAAAGACTCATGCAAAAGAGAATGATATGCATATAGGACCCTGCAAACTAGGACCCTGCAAAGTCGGTACCAAAACTGCAAAAGAGACGCAGGACCCACTGTTCGCCAACTCACAGTCGGAATCTTTTGGTGCTGATCGACGAGGATACAGCGCCAAACAGCATCTTCCCCATCTAGCTCTCAAACATCACGGTGCTGCATCTGCATCCAGGTCTGCTTCGATGAGTACCAAACTCCAAACCTAGACTGCGACTTCCCATGACCGGTTTGGGTTTCATAGCCGCAGTGCTGGCAGCGCTGTTGATCTTCTAGTGGTTTTCGTGCAGGTTGCCGAAGTCTTCGGAACGCGGCAGACTTGGAGAACATGAGCCTAGAATCCAGCCTTCGTTGGGCACCGACGCAGATCGGATTCTTTGGTTCGGTGACAGCAACAGCCCGCCGCCCGTCAATATGCGACGAGAATGCCATTGAATAGAGGAGCGCGCCGATGGTGGTGACAGACGGAGGTAGGCAAGTGAGAGGGGAAACCGAAGGAATGATGTTGACGTCGCTGAGACAATGTCAATCCCACCTTACCAGTGCCCGCAAGGAAAGAGCTCCCCGAAAGCCCAACTCATGTGCCAAAGAACCTGGCCAAATCGAGATTCTGCAGCTTCGCGTCAGAGGAACCGATGCTGCGGTGTCATGTCGCCTATCCCTAGAGAGCATTCGGACCGGGGGTTGAGAAACAATGCACAGGGCGAGAAGAAGTTCAACGGGTGCGTCTTCGTAGTCTCTGACAGACCGCCAACGTTCACTTCGAGTACCAGTGTCGCCGCCGTCTTACCTGTCATATCGTTGAAATGGAGCACTGAGATACACAGCGCGGAGGCTGAGCTGAGGCAGGCACGAGCGATGATCGGAGCCTCCGTGAGTTACCGTCACACATTGGCACACCTAACCGCTATCATCTTCGTGCTGCTATCATCTTTGCTGGTCTCGGTGGTATCTGTGGATTGGATGGGTTGCCCAAAGCTCTCCGCCCGTTCTCCAAGGCCCACCGGCGGTAATTATTGCTTTTTCAGCCTGGCTGCTCAGTCACGGGAAGTCGTCGTGGGGAGCACCGGCGGAATCAGTGCACAGCCATCGTGCTGCAAGGATACGATCAAGGCAAACTACAACGTGGTGACACATTAAGGGCTGGTGCACACAAGTCGCTGGCCGTCTGTAGCCTGCCGTATCCAGAAACACTTGGTCTCACTTGTTTGTCCATGTGCGGCTTCTCGCAACTGGAAGTCCCACGGCAAGGGAACGAAGTCCAGCACCAGTTGGCAGATGGTGCCTGTCGTGCCATATGTGGAGAATCACGTACGAGGACCAAATGGCGATCCGGAGACGTCGTGTAATGACGCTTCAGGGGGGCTTGGAACAGAATAGAAAACCGAGACACTGCACAGGCTGGGCAGCACCGTCAAGAACACGCCTGTGTCACGGTGGATGTTTGAGTGGTTCCGAAGCGGGAGAGGCGTGCGGAGAAGCTCGCGACATGGACGCATTGGTACTTGTGAGTATGAAGTCGGCGTAGCTCGTCGCGTTTCTCATTCTCGACACTGTGCCTCTGCAGCTGAGGTGATCGTGGTACGAGGGGACAGCAAGGCTGCCTCAGTTTCAAACTCTTGCATATCGTAGCTTTAGGCTGAGCTTTGATAGTCGTGAATCATTCGCATCCTCAGGGAGGAGATCTTCGGCGTGATGAATGGCGTCTTGATTGTGTGTCGCTACATCAGATGCCGAATGGCGTGAGTGCTGCTTGTCTGACAGGCTAACTTGAGAGTAGAGTGGTCTTGAGAGTTCAAGGAGGGAGATCTACTGATGACATCTGCCATGCCAGCCCGGAGATTTGCGGGGCTGCAGAAGTCGGCTGATGGGGCGCTGAAAATCTCACCACGTCATTCAGGATAAGGGATGTTAACGAGGTGCGAAACCTGAATGTACCTCATTAATCCGTCGACTTAAAAGAAAATAGGAAACCTTCCGCTCCAATGGAAAAGTCATCCCACAAACGGCGGCCAGTACCGGCATTTGAACGTCGTAGGGCTGAGCATGAAGAAAGTTTGCAAAGGAAGACATGGATGGCCTCGAGAATGTTCCTGTTATCGGCTCACACACAGCTGCTGTGACACGGGGAGGAACCGCCACGTAAAGCTCACGGTGTGACGGTCTCCCCGTACCCTTACAATGACTCAGCAATCGACTCACGCATGTTCACGAAGCTACTCTTTCCCGTCCGCGGCTACATTTCGCGAGTCTCCTCCTGGAGGAAGCTAGAGGCGCAGAATCGGAGCACATGGCTCGTCGTGTCTCGACATCAGCCACCGTCGTGCAAGACGGAGGGCCGGAAATTGGTAGCAGTGCGACGAGCCTTCGTCAATATCGTTGCAGATTATGATGTGAAGGATGTGGGAGCTGTTGAACGACTGTTAGACCAGCGTAGGGTTCGAAAAGTGTTTACAGCGAGGGAGTTCCTCCCATTCGCATGCACGACTGGCACGAGCACTCTAAGTTTCTTCCGCCGAAAATCGCTCGCCATGCTCACTCACCCTCACCGGTCAGCTTGACGAGAGACTCTCCGTTAGCTCTGCTCCAACAACCAGCAAATAGGGAAAAGGCACTGTATAGACACCAATATAACCTGAGGTACACAAAACCAGGTCAACCCCCATGAAAGAGGGTCAGAAATCGCCACTTGCGCGTATCCGAGTCCCGATAGGAAATCCAATTTATCGAGAAAACAATTGTGGCCGCTGCATGCGACCAAGAAACCATTGGGTTGGGTATTCTCCAGGACCTGGGGCAAGAATGAGAGAGGTTTGTCAATGACCAGTATCGTGATGATTGCCACACCACTGCACATCGAGGGCCTTGGCGGGATCACCACACCTTTGTACCATCGTCTCGCGAAACGAGCGCCACGATGCAGCATCTAAGGTGTCGGTTTTCCTTTTTGTGAGTGAGATGTTGCTTTTGAGAATACCTCATCAGATGACCGAGAGGTGGCGTCCAGCCGTCCTCTCCAAACACTCGTCGCAACACCACAACGGCCAGGAAGGTTCCGGTGACGCCTCCATCTGCATCATCTTTTACATTTCCTTGACAGCGTTGAAATAAGGTTAGCGACGTCGAGTACAGAAGCTGAAGGACTTTAGACAGAGTTCGAAGGTAATTAGAATTCAGCCCATCAGCCAGCTCGCTGACGGGACCGGCCTGCGAATTTTGCTTGTTACTACGGCTGAGCGACGGCTGCCACGGAAAGTCTGCCTCCCATCGACTGCCCGTCCTGAAGGGCACTGCCTCGCAGCCGGCAGCAGGTACATGCGACCAAATCAACAGTTTAGCTCACCCGTCCTCTCCGCGAACCATGGCATCGCAATCCAGAAGATTCTTCGACGGGAGGGCATTGGGCACAGCCCGGCAGGGCAGCACATCGCACCCAACAGGAAAGAAATGACGGATGAACATCGAGCATGGGGTCCTGATCGTGCATCCCACCGTCATCAATCCCAATCCCAAAAGCACCCTCTCCATCTATATAATTCGTATTGTCTGGGCAGGACAGAACCCTATCTGCCGGCTCCAACCCAGGACGATTCCTGTGTTAATCAAGCTGCCTGCTTCCTGTCAAATCAGTCTACTGCATGCTACACCCTCACAACGCTTGTTCATATGCAAACATCGGACGGTGCAGCCGCGCTGATTCGCTGTGGTGCAAATATCCTACATTTGTGCTTTGCAGTATGCATGCAGTTGAACAAGTGCCTGCACGCCCCAGTCTGCGCCCAGCCCAGCCTCTGTCCGGTTTGGGTGGGGGATGGCGGGTGCTGGTTGGCTGCTTCACTTGCGCAAGTCGGACGACCGTTTTGGGCTGATTGCTTTTTCGCGAGCCGTGGGACAGGGATTCTGCAGCGTTAGGCTCTTGTGTCACCAGCTTTGGACGAGGTTTGAATGTTCAATGTCCATCGGGGCACTGGAATGCAATTTGCATTCAGGAGAATGGCAATGAAATTATCTGCAGGCATGATGCCCTGCTCACGCGGCATAGCGGTAGCGGAATCGTTTCACTTCGGACAGACTCACACAAGGCAATGTATGGAAAGAGAAAGTTCCTGTCTTTGTGATGCAACTCATCGTTGTACCACCTTACGTATATATTTTTGATAGTTTCCTTGCTGCTGGGCAAGACGTATGTTGAGATCTCAAGTCTCTTCAGACTCCACTACCGTACAATTGTTGAGCCAAAAGGTATTAAAACCTGCTCTGGTATCTAGTGAAGGAAAAATGTAAAAGACCGTAAATGACGATGGGCTCCTCCAACGGATGGATGCCAGTCCAAGGTCCAGATTAGAAGAAACTCCGTGTAAATGCTTCACAATTCTCCACTTCCAGTGGATCGTAGCCCCAGCATTGATATGATCGTGCAGCGATAGAAATTCAAAGCAAAAAAAAACCCCCGCCTTCTAGGCAATTGACCTTCCAAGGTTTAAAAAAATAAATAGTAAGACAGCACCATGGTTGAAAACATTTTCTAAATTCAAGGCAAAAACGGTCCCTCCTGGTAGGCATATCCAAATCCTTGGCATGGCAAAAGGTCAATGAAGTCTAGTTTGGAACGCCGGCGAAACCCGAACCATACACCAACACCGTGCAAAACACACCGCTCAGTAACTTTCATCTCATCATGACTTTTCGACAAGTAATGAAAAATATAAACACAACGTGAAGAAGCGTGTCCAGGAAATAATTGATCCGTATGATAGAGTGGCCTGGTAGTGACAGTTCAGTAAACATGGACCGGAGTTGCCAACATGGGTGGCTGGAAAGACACGTGTTTGACCAGATTAGCGGCCTGAATGAAGGGTTGGAACCAGGTATTAGAAACTGGTGGAGAAACGTATGTTGATTGAACACCCCTTGTAGGAACTTTGTGGGTAGGTTGAAGGGTGACATGGGCGAAAGAAGACGTAGACGAGGTGGACGAAGCTGAAGAACTGGAGGAGAACACCGAGTCGTTGTCCGAGTTCGAGCTCCCCGATGAGGTCGAGTGTTGCGTATATGGGAGCTCAAAGATGGGCGTATAAAGAGGAGCAGGGAGAGGAGCAACAGATGGAACAGGGACAGGCTGATAACATCCATTGAAGGCAGCATCCCGGACATAGTCAACTGGTGAAAATGGAGGGGAGGGGAGCGGTGTGGGAGCCGCAGACTTCGTGCTCGTGAACCTCGGGCATCTCAGGATCAGTTCCCGGAGCTCTGGAATGGTAATCCTCTTGGCCGGATTGAATTCAAAGATGCGCTTAAGAATGGAATCCAGTTCCGGGGAAAGAGGAAGGATAGACCTGAGGAACTTGGGGTCCTTCATGTAGGCGCGGAAGGTGCTATCGTCAAGCGATGCCCGCTTCCATGGATTGCGTCCACAGGTCAGGTTCACTAGAATAACGCCTAGGCTCCAAACATCATTTGGGGCCGATGCGTAGCAGGAATATGGCTTGGGCACAGAAGTTTGGCATTCTAGAAAATCAATTAGTTCATGTTTCAGAAAATGAAATTCATTCAAATCTCGAGACGTAGTGAAAATATTACCTGGAGACATGTAGAAAGTTGAACCACATCCAAAGTCGGAGGTGATGGGGTCGGAAGTTGCGAGGCCAAAGTCGGCAAGCTTGACAGTCATTCCCTGATCTGTTACCAAGATGTTTTCCGGCTTCAAATCCCGATGGTAAATTCCGATGGAATGGCAGTAATCCACAGCGTCCAAGATCTGGATGAAGGCCCTTTTGGCTAAAGCATCATTACCAATGTACTTCCCTCGTTCTGTGATGTTTGAGAAGAGATCGCCCTCTGGGCAATACTCGATCACAACATATGTACAGTCTGGAGAGTCCATGATCTTGACCAAGGAAACCACATTGGGGTGAGCGCTTGCCTGGTGGTGCAGTTGAATCTCTCGTTGCTGGAACTTCCGCTGTCGGGGCTCCAAGCCAAGCTTGTTGAGCGCCTTGACAGCATAGGGGATGTTGGTTTGGATGTCCACGGCAGTATAGACAACTCCATAGGCTCCCACTCCAAGGATACCGGTCAATTGCAGCCTTCCAGCAAGGACTTGACCTAGTCGTTCTTCCGGCGCACAGAATCCATTAAGGGTCGGTGAAGGTGGTGGCGTTGGCAACATGCTGTAGTTGAGGAGATAGTGAGTTTGTCCTCAAAGGTCCAGCGAAGGCCTCAAGGACGGATATTAAAATACTCCGAGGAAGAGCAACTGGCTTTTACGGGTCGATCGTGTCCAAGACGGAATTCCTTAGGAGTAGTTCTTAGGAAAAGAGAACAGTAACGTATTAAAACAAGAGAGACCTGGCGAACATGGGACCAACTCCGGTGGCGCAAGGCTGGGGCGTAACGTAGATTGAGGCGGAGTCAAGGAGGACAGAGCACGGAGAGGCTAGGGGGGGGGTGAAGAGAGCGAAGAGGAGTCAAGTGGGTGAAGGAGTGTGGGAAGGGGAGGGTAGTAGTAGGAGGAGGAGGCGTGAGGTCAATGAAGTAGGTGTGAATTCGAGGCGAGATAATGATGTATGTTGAACGGACACGGCTGGGCACCAGTGATAAAGTCAGATGCAGGTTGGGTGGGCCCTGTAGTTATTGGCCGGGTGCAAGCCCCATGCCCAGCAGCTGTCCGTAAGAATAGCCGTACCAGCGCAATGACAAAACGGACTCATAGGCCACCCGGGCCTCCAGGATGAGCCATCGGCCGGGACCCATGGCATGCTGTGGGCGCCCGCTAAACCGCCTGGCTCCACTTCACGCCCCAAACCGAACAGGGAGGCGAAGGTGAGGATGGCGATGGGCGATGGCGCTGCACTCACACTGTACGCGTGGGCCAAATACTGGTCCTTGCGGTCTCTTTGCCTGATGCCGTTAGCAGGTCCAACAAAGCGGCGCGCCGGCCTTGATTCATGGGCCGCTGCATCCATCTCGTTCTGATGCTTTCGCTCCGCCGCTGGCCGGGAGCCCTTGGATGAAGAGGCTGTGGGACGAGCGAATCGCGCAAGTCAGCAGCCTCCCAGGGGCACTTGGCGCTGGGTCGACTGGACGGTCGCATGCATCCTGCTTCCTGACATGACACAACCCACCACTCCGCCAGCCCGCTGGGGGGCTCGAAGCTCGACGGTCGCAGTCTGAAGTCTCGAACTCCAAAAACACCACTCTTTGTGGCGTGCCATCATGCGCCTCCCGATGCGGCCTAGCGCAAGTTCATCTCCACTGCTGCCCACTGCCGCTCAGCTCGGCCGCCCCAGCAGAAGCAACCTGCACAAAGGACTGACGCAGGACTGATTCCGACTGAAAGTGAGGCCCCGAGAGGCAAAAATATCGCACGCACTGCAGCCCGCCCCGCCGCTGATTGGCTCCCATCAGCCTCCTCTGTCCCTCGTGAAGTCGCTCGCAAGGCACTGGCCCCAGTGAGCCCTAGGCAGCCGGCAGCTGCTGTCACCGGCCTCGCTGCGAAAACAGGCCGCACCTCGCCCCAAAGAGCAGCTGAGAGGCTGAGCTGGAGCCATTGACGGCTAGGACCGCTTAGCAACAGTCTCAAAGGCGCAGAAGCTTACGACTCCTCGGCGCGCACGGTCGCGTTCGATAGTCTTTCGGCCATGACGAAACCAGCCGCCCAAGATGCAGATCTTGTAACGCCTGCGGCACTGTTCTGACTGTCATGCCCCAGAAAGCCTTTTTGTTCCGCCTGCCTGATCCCGGTGTCGTGTCCTTCATACGAGCCTTGGCCGAGCATTGTGGCTGTCAGCAGTCACGTTTCGGTTTCGTGTTGGTGGAGTCACCCTTCCTCACGCCTGTTCACACGCTTCCTTTGTCCAGATCGCCATGCCGCCCTCTAATTTTGATTCCCATCCCGCTTCATCAACGCTTGCCGCTGGCTGGGCGAGTTGTCTCGAACGCTTGTGCAGCGCCTTGAGAGCGTTGGCGATGACACATGGCTGCCGGAGCCCGATTGGATCCTGCTGCCTCGTCAACAGACGCCTCGTACCCATTCCTCGCCCTGTTCCAGCGTCCCCTTTACCCCCTCTGATTGGGCGTCAATATATTGGCAGCCATCCAGCAGAGCGGTGCTGACTAACAGCGTCCTTCACCCCGAAGGGAAACCCTGCTCCGAGGTGCGGTGAGCTAATCTTGCCTTCATTAGCTGGATCCGCCAGTGGCACGCCACGCCCCAGCAGAATTTTCGAGAGTTTCGCCAGCCTGGCAAATCGCGTCGGAGATTATATTTCGGGAGTCTGCCAATCACTATCTTTGACCTCAAGATTTGCGAACTTGCTCATCCTGTTTCATTCCAGCTTTGCTCTGGTCACAAGACCACTTTTTGTGGGATGACAGGGTCAAAGAGATGGTTCATGATGAACTCCCGAGCCTCCTTCAACGCCATCGAACAACGTGGCTTGTTACGCAATGTGGAAATGGGATGAATCAAAGAACCGCCGACTCCTAGCGGCCAACCACCGCTCAAAGCTAAGCTGTGATGATAGTGAGATTGTCCATGGCCTCCAGATCGAGGCAAGAGTGGTTGCCACTCTTTCACTTTACCCGTACAATTCTTCATTTCTTCGCTTCGTATCCACTCCCGTTGAATTTATTAACGAACCGCTGGGCTTGCAGCTTCAGCAGGCAGCCTAGTCAGGATGAAGGTGGGAAACGAGCGCTTCGTCAAAGAACCTGCATGTCTTGGCGCCATCTTTCAGTCTTTTTCTGCTTCCCGGCGTCATCCGTGCAGCGACACGGAGTTGGCCAAGCTCCGCTTCCCGTTGCTAAACTCTGTCAGCCATGCTTGCGAGCGGGAGTCTGTGAGCAGAAAGGACTGCTGATCGTCGCCCAAGTCTTCAGTGGACCCATTTCACAGGCACATCCCATCACGGTCTGGTACCCTTGATACTACGGTCAGATTGCCCGAAGTCCTCATCTGGAATGCGAAATCGAAGACCTGCTCCCAAGAGCATGGCTACGGGTTGTTGCTGAGCCCGCTGCTGCAGTTGGCAATAAATTGTCAAACGTGACCGGAGATTCCTTCTTCGGTGCAGCCGAGATTGGTACTCCGTCGTTCGCTGAACCTTTTCTCGTGAACGGACTTTGTAGGCTCAGCAGTAGTAATTCTCTCATCAAAGTTGCATCCAGTGTGCCAACCATAGCGCCAGACTTTACTTGGAACGACATGCTAGCATCAGAGGTAGATTAGTTTGCTTCTGATTAGTCTGATTGTGCAGCCTACATCCCAACGGTCACTCAAGAGACAGGCAATTCACTCGAGTCGAGCTTCGGCACGCCGGTCAGTCATGTCACTCACCGCCGCTTGCTCAGTCCTGAGGCCAAGCATGATCCAGGTATTCATTGGGTTAAGCTCAAAGCCCTTCCACGATCCTCCACAGATCTTATCGATACGACTGACCACCTTCCCCCCACTATGCCCCCCGCCACCTCAACCTTCTGCACGTCGACAAACTCTAACGCAGGCCATCATGGCACCTTCAAAGGAGCCAAGGAAACTCCCCAATCACCTTGACAAAATGGCTCCGTAGTTCTTCCGGTGACCAAAGTAATCGGCAACGTGGCTGGCGCGAGGGTCCGAAGGAGATCTAACGACAGCGAGCGAAAGCATGACACCGTGCTTCTCAAGATCTTCACAAGGCATCGAACATTACCCACAAGGCTCTGGCGATGGCCTTCTAGACGCGTGAATCCAGTCCGCCACTAGTAAGTGATAGGCGGGTGACAGCACACCAGCCTCCTCGGTTGTAACATGGTGCGTTGTTGAGAGGATCTCAATGTTGGCAATATTCACCACCTGTCACCCTCAAGGGCACTTCCTTACCTCATGCTTCCAAACACTCAAGTGTTAGGTAGCTGAACGGCAAGGCCACCGAATCTCACAGGCTCCCAAAGACATGCTTGCCGCTCTCCTGCGCCAACATTCATGCTCCCATCAGTGTTCTCGCCCTGATTGGCTCAGCGCCAGATGCGACACCGATGCCCGTCACACCGCCCTCCTCGGCGGAACTCTCTCGTCTTGCGAGACTGTTTCTCTTCCCGATCCAGTGGGAGCAAAGCCGTTTCGAGGTGCAAGAGTTGCTATGGAAGGACCAAGTTCCGGAAACATTCTATTTCAGATCCTTCATGCACTAGACACATCGTGCGCTCTTTCAGTAGATTTGTGCAGTTCCATAATTAAAACCTGCGGGAGATCAAACAAGTGGTATCTTGGATCCACCTATGAGGCCTTCCAACCAACATCCAGCCACCGCTTCCTACGGACTATCTTTCTAGTAGATGTGCTGAGCTTTGCAGCGCTCCGTTGCGTAGAGTGCTGACCGCTGCAGCGTTTGCTGATGGTGACACGGGGTTTGTGTGGGGAACTTGTCATTATGATTGACGGATGATGCAAGAACCCTACGTTTCATCTCTTCCCTCTGAGGTCAGATCTTTAATCTGGAAAATCCAATCCTCCATTCTCCCAGCTCCTCAGCTACTGGTTGTTTGAGCTGGCAGATCTGCGCACTATACATTAACGTGATAATGTTAGTCCCTCAGCTATCATCTTAGCGGGTAACGAAACTATTAAGATCCTATGAAAAATATACTCAGACCAATGACCCGATAGTCCACATCACCATCTTTGGTGGAACATAACCTACATACGGGTCTGAACGCCGCGGTCTGCCTAACATTGATTCACGAAAGGGTAAAATCAAACAACCGACACTTCCAGATCACCACATCAACCCGGTTGACACGACTTCCACATATGCGGTCACCTTAACGTAGTTGGAATATCTGCCTTCGACATACCACATCTCACAGTCAGATGGGAGCTTCACCAGGACCGTTGGGCAAACGCCTCTATCCCACGCCTGTACCACGGTTCCCTCGACCACAGTATCATCCCTCGATTCCACTTCCACTCATTCCTTCTTCCAGCATTACTCTACACATAGTATCACGCCATTCTGCGATCCAACTCCAATGACGTGGAAACATCTCTCTTCATGAAACCATAGGCGCGCAAGTGGGCTGTACGTTCTGGCCTTAGCTTCGGCTTGCTATCGATAGCCAAAGGCTGTTAAGCTGATAAAATCGGCCACGAACCAACGGACTTGAACTCCAGTCCGCAATAATCCGTCCCACCGTCGTCAGCCCCGCGCAGCATCAGATTGCTTTAATTCGTTTATGGCTAAGATATCTAGCCACTGTCCGGCCGTTGTGAACGATCGGCATTCGTGGAGATTAAGGTCCCTGTGTATTGGGACAAGGCTCTCAGCTGAGATGTAGAATGAAAGCAGCGATCTGAGGGCTGGATTGAGTGAGAAGCACAATATTGAACGATGCTATTATCGCGCAGTGACACGGCATCTGTTCGAGATATGAGTGATGCGAAAGGCATAATTCTCGCAGTCCGCTATGCGCGGAGCGGTCTGGAATGCTTAAACATTCTCGACCCTGCACAGTTCATGTTCACAGGCGTGGAACGTTTCCATCATGTATGAGCGTTCTTTCCAAAGCTTGCGACTGCCTTCGGAGCCCGTCCGGCTGGTGACCGTCTTTGTTTCCCAGGATCTTAGAAACTTGCAATTCAAATTCCCATTTCTCCAGCCTTCCGGGGGCGCGAAATAGAGACTGTGAATCACCGGCAGCTTCACACTGACAGAGGTCAACTTCACCGACAAGTTCAATGCAAACCATATCCCACAGTCCACCAACATGCAAGGCCAAGTTACCCAACGGACTTAGGACTGTGCCGTATGTTTGTCAAAATTCTGTCCAGTGCTGAGCAGTGCAGGGTAAATCAGCGCGCGGCAAGGCTGAGGGTGATCGGTGAGCGAAAATCCGTGTCAGCATTACGGTTCAGGCATCACGCATCGCCATCATGCTTTTCGCATCTGCTTCTTCAAGCGCTTCGACGTCTACTCGGAGCGTCAAGCCTGAACCCCAACAATCGATTTCGGAACCGAACAACTGCTACCTTCCTTCTTGACGGGTCACGGGCAGGCGGGAGTGTGCATACATAGACAAGCTGACGGCAACGAATCTCTGTCGTCGTGTCTCACAGCCCACGGGACACTAACCGCCGTCGTGGGCACGGTACTCTCTCCATCGAAACATGAAACTTTTGCGGCTATTGCAAGCTGGCGTGCGGCGCAGTTGCGGTAGGTGAGTAACTTCAGCTGACGACAACAAGTCCAACAGACGAACGTGATCTCATGTCAACTTGCTCACGGTGAGTCGGCGAGGTGAGCACCTGTGTGCGCCTCCACCAACGTCTTTCTCAAATCACATCTTAGATTTGCTGGCCTTAGATGTTCTCAAGACTCTTCCTAGACTTGGGATTCGTGCGTATTGATGCAAACGCCTAGCGAGTTGCACACTAACGCATGTCTTTGTTTCGGGTGGATGAGAGTGAGCGATGCTCACTTTGAATAGAATAGATATTTCCTTAACATTACTTTGCTGACCGTGCGGTTGCCATTACCAGTGAAGTGGTTGTGGTGCTGGTGGCATTGCTCAATTTTTTAGAGAGATAGAAGTAGCCAAGTCGAAACGTTCTGGAATTAGAAGATAGTCTAATGAGCTGAGAAAGGTTTGTCTAGATTATCCATTTACCACTGTACTAATCCTTGCGCTAGGCCATATGTTAACTTAGCCGATAGCATACAAAGAGTCACATTGGGAGATGTGCATTCGGCGGATTGTAAGTGATGCTATTTTCACAACGGATGTCGGACTAACCGATGCAATCTAACTTCTCTACCGCTCATGCGAAAGATATCGCCCATGCGTGATGGGGATTACGGGGTTGACGCGAATCTATCCGCGAAAATTCGCCCCTGCCTTCTGGAATCGAAGGCTCTATTTTCACACTCGACAGTTGACTGATCGAACGGCGCGACCCAACTTTCTGTTGCCGCTCAGATACTGCGAAGAGATATCACGGTGCATGAATTCGCAGGTGACACGGATGATCACGAAAGCCAACCGAGGCCCTGCAGAGTCGAAGGCTCTATTTTCAAATTTGACAGTCGACTGACCGATCCAACACCCTCTTACCGCCGCCGAGCTCCATCACCACCCTCTGAGCGCCACCCTGTGCGTGAATTCGATTGTGGGTTCAATCAACTCAAGCCCCCAAGCCCGAAAATCCTCAAGAATTAGACGTCCTCCTTTCCAGCCCGGTAAACACAATGATTCGCCGCACATCCTCGTCAGTCAGTTTGGAGGAAGCACATCACTTCCAACACTAGCTACCTTTTAATAGAAAGATGACTTGCTGTTTAGCGCCTCGTGCTCGCGGGAATGGGTGTGTTTACTTGACACTGAGAAGAAACTTAGTTGGTATTGGATTTCTGGCTGCTTCATTTGGCACATCTATGCTTGTGGAGGCGAACAGTTTTTGAACGCGTTGCCTGTTCACTCGTGGAGGTGTTGCTGACCCAACCCAGAGGAATGCGGAACCAAATCCCGATGGTTCTAAGAATGGAACCTGTTTGAAAGCACCCCAGGCGAATTCGCACCATTTGGGGGTGTTTTTGAGTTCCCACATCGCAACACCTTCACCTCGTTATTCGTTATCGATGTTCTTTGTGTGTGTGTGTGGTAGAGGTTTTCAACTTCCTCGCATTCACATCATGTACTTGAGGTGCGGCCTTACGATTACGCTTTCAACGCTCTTATTTCATCTCACGATGGGTTGACTATCAGTTTGATCGAATTGACATATGATGCATTATCTCACCCGTAGAGACACCGAGCCCATTAGCTTTGATTATGCCTATGACTCCTAGCCTGAAGCACGCCGGCGGAGTGCGTCCAGCTAACGCGTTTGATAGAGCCCGGACCGCTTTACAAATACAATCCTAGAAAAGGGTGTGGTGTTTGATAAAAAGAGGAATGCAGGAAGAAGGCGAATTCTAAGACGCCGCTGAGAAGGCTCCATCCTGCTCACCATCAGCATGACACACGACTTTGCCCGAACTCGATATGACTCCCTGCACTTCACATCAGTGCGCCACATCCTTAAGGGATCTGAAGCCGACGCCGCAGGGTGGGGATCGACGCACAGATCTGGATTATTTTGAAAGATTTTCAGGATGGAGCAGACGAAAACGTATCTTCCTATCAGTGGGCAGCTTACGACCGAGCCACGTCACTCATTTTTCCGCCTCTATGGAAGAAAGCGGATTTAGATGGCAGGGCACGACAAAGGGGAGGTGGTTCTATTATTGCCGTGGGCTCTTGCCACGTCTTCCATCCCCATCCATCAGCCGCAGGACACGACACGGCAGCAACATACGACTGAAAAACCGAACGTAGAAGCAGACAATCAACCACGGTATTCCACTATCTATGGTTCAAGAAAATGGCAGTCCGCAAGTCCACAGAACGCTTTTTCGGGAACGACCTTCAAACTCATCGGCTTAGTATCCCATGCATTCCCAAAACTAAATTCGACCCTCCCCTACTATTCGCTCTCCCGCTCACGGAGTCCTTGATCGTAGCTATCGTTTCAACACCAACAGTCGGCTGTCCAAAGTCATCCAGCGCGTGAAAATAAAGCGCAAAAGTATTCGAGCTCAGCTGCGGAACCCCATGCGAGATACCATAGAGTATACCAAGTAACTGAGGGAGGGGGTGTAGAAGATGTATAGCAGAGTGAGGGTGAGGATTTCGGTAGCTTATCTGAGCTGATATCCAAATCTAAGTTCGTACATCGTGTCTACAACTATGATAAAACCTGCTGGGATCAAGCATGAAACTTCCTGGAGAAAACAAGAGCTGAAAGCCAGCCACCGGCATTTCAGATATCACTTTAACGAGTAGCGCAGCGAGAACTTCTTCCCTGGGAGTGGAAGCTATGGATTCGTTGAACGACTCTCATGTCCGAAAGGGCGTTGTTTCCCGTATCGCTTGAGACCCCAAATCAACTTCCTTATTCAGCAAACACTTCAGCAAATTCCGTATCTATATAATTCTCTCCAAGATACGTTCATCTAAACTTTCCCCTAATGGTAAGAGTTCGCCGTCTAACATATGAGGGGTGGGCTGTTAGCGAAGACCTTTCGTAGTTGACGTGCTACCATGGAGGATGGCATGGCGTCTAGGATGCATCCCGAGTTATTGGCGAGTTCGGTACTTCGTCCAAGACGTCTATGAGTGGGTAGAACTGACTGCTATCGATTAACGAAGGTTTAAAGAAAATTCTAACAAGAGTAAGCTTCTGAGCTTTACCCTGGGAATACTTCGAGATTGTAGGCCGGATAAGGTCTTAATACAAAACCTTTATCTACGACATCCCCCGGGTAGATGTATCTCAGAATCTACCAGCGTCTCCGTTTATAATCGAGGGTGCGTCAGATCTATCGAGCGGAAAAGAGGAAAATCGAGTGCGACGGACGAGCAACAAGGATTAGAACGCTTATACGGTAATGCTGAAAGTGTCCCGTTTCGTTGCTAGGAATTAGGCGCTTAGTTTACGGGATACTTTGTATTAGAATATCTATGTAGAAATTATTACTAGCCCCGTTGGACCAGGATTTTCAATGTTAACTCTGAATACGTTGAGCCTCTGAGGAGCGTTTACGGAGAACATGATGCCCTACTCTAGAGTGCTAGGAATTGGGCTGTGGACTATAGGTTACAAAGAGCAAAGGTTGATGATTGGAGAGCTATGTTAGTCACGGCAATTTCATTCGGTGACTAGGAGTTGGATGTTTCATCTGAAGACAATCTAGAACAAAATTCAGATCGTTGTCGCTGCTACTAATACTCTACTAAGACCTCAAGATGCGTATCTTTAGAAGCTACTTAGAGGTAAAAAGAACGCTCCGGTGACTGTCGGGCAGTCTCACTACAGCAGAGAGTCTGACGAGCGCACCTAGGATAACTATTGACGGTAGTAGAACAAGGAAAGCCCCCTCCATCTTTTGAACCCACCTGGAGCGATAGTAGTCTAGGGGTCTTGGGGTTAGAGCGAAGGTATATGCGGTTTATTAACCGGAGTAAAGAGCGCGCCGTGCCTCTATCCCATAAGTGTCATGTCAAAACAATACTTCTACTAGACTCACGGAACCTAGTCATCACACAACTGAACATGAGTGTATCTAAGCAACAGCACAGTGGTTGATATCTGTATGAAGATCCTACCTAGCTAGATATGCTACAGATTCCAAAGCGGTGGTACAGCCGAAATCCTAGACGACGAAGAACTGTGCAAGGTTTGACCCGATGAGGGATGCAGCTCCGGCCAATGGTGGGAAATGGAAGAGATAATGTAAGGCTGTTATTTGGTGATTCCTTTGAATCGCGATTTTCTGTCGTACGACTTGGTTTCGATATTTCGTTAGATGGGCGGATATGTTTAGTTTGTACGACCGAGCAAATGTCTATAGGGGAAGCTGATAAAACCGCTTTTTATCCATTGCTAATTATGCCGTCCACTAGAAGAAACACCTGCTTAAACTCCCCTCTGAACATCTGCTAGTAACGCCAGCTGAAAAAATAGTTTACTTCCTTAGTCCCTATATCCGGAATTTTAGAGCAAAAGACTCGAGCGGATAACGAATTGGGCCCCGCAACCTTAAGTAGGAACAAAATACTAGAAAATTCTCGAGATGGCCTTTAAATTCGCAAAAGAGTTGATGAGGAAAGTCTGGGAATGAGAGGGTAGAGATCTGGAGATGCTGCTCAATTCACAAGATTAAGCATATGTCAAATGATTTTGCGTGGTTTCACGATGAGAGTGGGCGTTTGTGTGACATATGGGGTGATGATACCTTATTATAACATTCGTATTAACTAAAGAGGTATAATAGTATAATCACCAACGAGGAGTTTCTGCGCGCCTCCAAGATAGAAGGTGCCTTTGACCGAACTGTATAAGGCCACTCAGTCTCCAGATAGGCCAACCACACAGTCCTTTGTTGAATGAATATGGGCTTAGCTTTGCCCTTTGCTCGTATAGATCCTATCCTTCAGCTAGCTATATAAGGAAAGGATCTCCAGGTCGGCGGAATGTAGATAGAATCCTGTTACTGTGGAGGGGAAGTGAAAAGCAACTCAACCTCTTTGGTGCCCGAGTCATATAATGATTGACGGTTTAGCATACTGTTGAACAGTACACAGTCGGAAAGGAGAAGTTGCAGATTAAGTTGTGATTGTAACCGCATTACACTTGGTATTGGTGCGACTCGTTCAAGATTGAGGCGAATTGGATCCAAAAAACATGAGATTTATCTTCCCTTTCTCTATATAACACTTGAAGGTCTATGGGATATCTATCTACAGTTCGGTGAAACCACATTGCCTAGAAGATCGTTATCCTCGATCGTTACCCTCCAACTCCAGAGGCCGTGTCCTCGTTACATTCTAGCCTTTTGCTTTAGATGTAGACATATATATGGTTCAACATCGTCAGACTAGATATTGAGTTTGCTTAGCTCAGTCTGCAAGGCATTCACGTCGTCTTTCAAAGATGCATCCATTGCATTGACCTATATGTTGTTAGAAAGCTACAAGATATCGAATTGCATGTTAGTCGCATCACTTACCCCATTAGTAGCAAGTCCGTGCAAAAGGACAAGCGCATTCTGATGATCACGACCCAGCATGTCGCCATTTTGCTGATCATCCTTCTTTTCTGCAGCAGTAAACTCCCTCACAGCATTAAGCAAGCCCTCATCTTCTTTCATCTCATCAACCACACAAACAGCGCCTTCGTGTGACTGCGCCATCAACCCCAGACCCAGAAGCCCTTCTGATTGGGCTTCTGCGAAGAAGCGTTGACGAACAAGTCGAGCGACTGGTCGCGCCACTAACGGTGTCTTAAACATATGGCGTGCAACCGGTTCAACGTCTTCTTCTGCGTTCGACTGGCCAAGGTACCGGAGTATAGCGATGATGGTCCGACCAATCTCAATCATCGCGTTCTTCATCGATGTACTTGGCAACGGCGCGGCGGGAACTAAAGCTTGTGTGACGATATGGTACAGAATTGTTGGATGGACGGGGAGTTCGACGCCAGGTAGTTGCGTAGGCGTAATGTCATCCGGAATAGCTTCGTACACGACTTTTTCGATGTTCCGGAAATTGTTTGAGACGAGCTTACAGACAATCGCGGCTGCCTCTCCCCGTACGGAAGGATCTTTGTTGAGAAGAAGTTGGCAGCACGTTTCAATGAGTCCTGCTTCTCCTATTGCATCCCGGTTTTCCTCTGGAAAGGCTAAGTGTCTCATGAAGCCGGCAGCGGCATATAGTAACGCGGGTTCTCTCCGTGCCGAAAGAAGACCGATTAGAGTGAGGTGTAGGCCCATGTCCTCGACCATGTCGATTGATATTTGATCCGATGTCGCGAGGTTTCCAAGCATGATACAGGCGCAGACAGTGGATGGCGATGTTGCCAAGGAGAATAATTTAGACCTGACTTTCTTCACCACTGGACTTCTGAGGCTGAAATGGTTGACGAAGGCGTCTGATGCAGAGATAGCAGAGAGTGAGTTGACCAATTGCACCAATAGCGTAGTGTTGGTGTCTTCTGTGGGTGTTTTGGAAGGATCTTGCGATGCACCAAGAGCTCGAAAGACCGCTTGGATCTCTTCTGGTGATAGCCTCGACTCGTAGTCTAGCATCAAATCGAAGAGTTTCTCAAGAACCTCAGGTTTCGCGACTTTCTGCTGGAACTCGGGATCCTGAAGGTAGTGAACGCAAATTGCAACCCAGTCATGGTAGTGGTCTTCCTCGTACTGAAGGGAGACTTGGAGAAGACTGTCAAAAGTTTTGACCGAGGTCGCATCTTCTACTTGGACTGGGGTGAGCTTTTCGGTAGTCCAGGTAAGCAGATCAGTAGCATAGTCGACGGCTTCTTCTAGTATTCTGTTGGCCGCAAGAAGCTCTGCAATTACACAGTCAAGCCTCAGCTTAGCAGCCTCAATTTGGGCGGGTTCTGACATCTTAATCAGATTGAGCTTCCAAGTTGGCTAAGAGTATCGTTACCAAAGTCGTTGCATAAGTTGAGTAACACGGCTAAAGCAGTAACCGTTAGATCTTCCTCTTTGAGACAAGCAATGAGGGTTCCTAGGTTTTCGCAGACAGCTTCACGATTTTCATCTGAAAGCATATTAACAACTGTTCCCTCATCTAGGGGTGGGGCTTCATTCACCGTTGTCTGCCACACAATTGCCAATGACTCTCAGATACTGTTTAGCCAATCCCGTCGAATTTGAAGCTGGATCAAGCTTTTGCACGACATGGGCAAGAACTCCGTTCTCCTGAAAGGGCGATTGCCAATCCCCTTGAAAGCGTTAGCACGATCTGACCGACGAACCATCGTGGATCATGAGGACTTACGTTCTTTCCCCACGGCGGTCCCCAGAAGTTGCACAGCTCTCTCGCAGGTCCCTTCATCACCCTGTTCGAGGAACCCCGTCAGCCGGTCAGGAACCCCCTTAAGCGACTCGTATTGATTTCTAGGGTGTTTATCTAAACAGGACTCAAGCGAGTCCAAGAAGTCTTTTGAGTTACCGCTAAATTGAGACATCTTGAACGATGGGGTACCAGACCAAGTTACAAGCAATGGAAGTAAGGGAGCTTTGGAGTCTTAGAATGAACCCAAGTCCATCTTGTAACTTCTCCTGTACGAAAGAGGTGGGCGAGCTGACGGCGGCCTGCTCGGGCCTCGTGTCCAAGGTGGGCGCCTACCACTATAGATCGGGTAATATTCGTGCAGTGAGTGGACCTTGTGTAACCAATAAAAGGAAAGATGGAATCCGAGAAGCTTCGGCGTTGAAAGCGAACCAGTTTCCCTCACGCAATAATTTCGTTCTCCGGGAATTCTAGCAATGCGGGCATGTGAAGACGGTTGTTGGGATGAATGAGTGGGTTGCTTTTGAGTTGCGGTTGCCGATCTGTCGTCGGGCCGCACAAAGCTTAGCTGCCGCCTAACTTACCCTTGGAAGGAGCTCCTGCCTCAGATCACGTGGGTATAATATTAGGTAAGCTGAAATCTGGCTAACTCTCTCCAGGTCCAGCAGCGCGACAAGAAGACGAAACGTAGAAGTACGCACCTGTCCACCCCCCTTTCTGTTCTACTACATACTGCCGCGCCGAGACACTTCTTTCACCACCAAGATGACGCGCGCTCAGCAGACGATCTCAATTGCTATGCTCTTGACCTCAGTATGGCCCCCTTTGGTACAATCACGCCAACTGCAACTAATCCGACAAAGCTCTACCTGGCGTGTTTCATGGAAGTCGTTTCTTTTCCCCAGAAGATCCAAAAAGAGATCATCCCCGTGGTACGCTCTATTTCACGAAATTAGTGCCTGCATATGCTCACGAATGTAGCTTCCATTCTGGGCTCTCGTCTCCTTTGGCGCCTACCTCTTGTTTAAATTGGGTTGGGGGGTCTTCACCTTCAACGATGTCCCCGAAGCACATAAGGAATTGATGGAACAGATACAACAGGCGAGGAAGGAGCTTCAAGCGAAGGGTGTGGATGTTGGTTCGGACTGAGGCACGTGTTTGGAGTTCTGGTCATCAGGAGGAAGGCAGCGACAATTGGGAGTAACCGGATGCCTTGCAGAGCCAGAACGCCTAAAAATATGAATGTGATAATCTATAATGACGTTCTCGAATGCTTTAGACTATGCGCCCACAGCCTGCTGCTCCACATGCTTTTGCTTCAGCCTTTTCTCCGTCTTCATGAACTCTCTTATTCCCACTGGGATATCATCGAACAAATGATCCTGGCCCATACCCACTCTCCAAATTGTCTCGCCACAACCTCCGTCGTCGTCCATACTCGTACCTACATGCTGGAGTGTCCCTGATTCCGCGACCATGCTCCCTGTTCCATGCCCGCTCGTCCTTTGAGCCCGAATTGCCGCTTGCGCCTTCACATTCTTGGCCGCCCATTCCTCTATCTCATCGCGATACAGATCCCAGACACAATTTACACAGCCTGACATACAGCAATTGTCGGGTTCTGTTGGACGAGGAGGCACCATTATGCCCGCAATGTTCTTTGATGCAGCCTCGATTTTTGCTTGCCGTTCTGCCGGCCCTGCTAGTCGTGATCCAAACACGATGCGTGCTTTCTCCAGTGTTTCTTCCTTGTCTGTTTTTAGCAGCGATTCAGATGGCGGCGGGGTGGCAGTGGTCCGGGTCATAGGCTGTGTCTTTGATTGAGGACGTGAAAGTAGTTCTGCGTAGAAGCCTTCAATGGGCTTGGCTTGATCGCCTGCAGCGGCGATGTGTCCTTGGAAGCGCCGTTGTATCCGATCGCTGTTCTGGAGCCCAATACGTCCCGATGCGGCAGGTACAGGGTGTTTGTTCAATGCCTGTAGACATGACGAGCAGAGGGTGCGGCGCAAAGCCAGTAGTCGGGCGGAGCGCAAGAGATTTTCCATTTTCGAATGGAAGATACACTATCTATATCATACTGGGGGAAGAGAGAGAGAGCATGTCTGAGAGATGAAGATAGAGTTATTTTTTGCTGATGAAGTCATTCCGCGGGACTCGGCTTTGTTCGGCAAAAGTTGCCGCCTTTTGTCGGGACCGTCCCTCATCACCAACGCGATAACGCGACGAAGCGACAACGCGTCAAACACTATCACTATCACTATCCAGCAAACCTCACCCCACGTGCCTGCGCGCACCCACAGATATCACTAGACCCTAGGCTATATAGCTGCAACGTGTCCTCCAGTCTACAACTTCGGCGCAACCCCCAATGCAGCACCATTGACCAGCATCATGGACGAACCCCTCTCAAAGAGGCGCAAGACGTCTCCCCTAGAAGATATCGACCGATCATCAAGCCCCTTGAAGCAACCCCCGCGTCGCGGCATCACGCCTCTAGACGCGGACAGGTCAACTAGTCCATTAAAGAAGCCTCCACGCCGTGGGTCGTTTCAATCCTTCGCATCACCCACCAAGGCCAGCCTCGCGCGTCACAATCCGGGTCTCCTACTGCGCCCAACATCCGCCGGCTCTACGACGTCAAGAGAAGAAATACGCGCGAGAGGGAAACAACGACCTGCTTCGCTTCTTGGGGAAGCAGAAGGACCGTCCCAGGTGGAAGAAGCTCCTAGAAGCGATGATCAGGAACAAACAACGGCGGGTGCGGGGCCACAGAGCGCATTGGATGCCCAGAACATCACGCCGCGCGCTAAACGGACGAGGAGAATGAGTAAAGCATCACTCCCGTTAGAGAATGTAGACGAGGAAGAGGAGGACTTGCCAGCAACATCATCTGCTATGGCGCTGTCATGGCAGGGTACACCGCGTCGAGGCATCTTGGCTAATTCTCCGAGCAAGCCGCCTCCACGACGGAAAGCTCCAGTCAAGCCATCCCTTTTCAAATCGAGGGCCCTTCAAGAGCTCCAGAACGTGCGTTCGGGGCCGCCTCCAGCTGAGCCCGTAAATGACGAGGCCGCTCAAGGTGGAAAGACGAAAGAGCCTTTCAATCTGGAGCTGGAGAAAAAGAAACAGGAGAAAGCTTTATTAGAGCGCGAACTCAAGGAGTTGGAAGAAGATGTGGCACGCTGTGTCGAAGAAGTCCGCAAGGGGCAGAATCAAAATACCCCCGACGTTCTTCTCTCTAGCGAGCTGGACGACTTGATATCCTTTATTAACAAGATTTGTGGCTTGGCAACCACCGACGAACAGCCTCTACCCGTGTCCGTACTTCTCTGCTCCTTCCTCCCATTCACCACGCTCCCTATCCCTCCGCCCCTGAAGAACGGAGAGCAAGAGAAGCCAATTCCCTCCCACGAACCCCTCGAGCTTGACGACCCACTACCCTACCTCCAACTGTTCACGTCCTTCAAGTTCACAAATCGCACCACCCTCCCGAACCTCTCAGGCTTCTCCCCTTCCTCCTCAACAATGCATCAACAACACACCATCGACATCACCGGACCGCAGAAGCTCCTCTGCAGCACCATCTCAATAAAAATTGACGCCCAAACCCACCAAATTCTCTCGCTGCAAATCCCACGTTTGTCCCCTTGGGCCGAGCGTGAACTCGGCCAATTCATGCGTAGAAAGGCGCAATCCATGGACCTCGGCACCGTAGCATGGGCAATGCAATCGTACTGGGAGATTGCGAAGAAACGCGCAGAATACTGGCATAAATGCGAGAGGGACTTCTCACGATTGATAGTCGGGCGTATGAGTGATGACACAGAGAACATCGGCCACAAAGCAATTGAGAAGTCCGACCGAAATGTCCGTATGACACGACAAGAAATGCGGCGGCATTTAGGAAGAGACGTCTTGACTCTGCAGGACAAACATATCCTGCTGAAAATTCGCTGGAGTATTGGATTTGATTGGTCGGGCGAGGCCGAATCAGTTGTTTATGTTGAACCGGCGTTGCCGAGAGTTTGTAGGTGATTCACTTGCCCCTCTCCCCCTTCACTCTGCTTCCCATGCTTGTAGGCTAGAGCAAGATAAATGCTAACACCCACCCACCAGGGACCGAAGGGGATTCCCAAAACAGCCTGTCCCAAATCCCGAAGACTTTCGACGCTCTGCTGAGAACGAGAGGCGCGTTTGGAGCAACACAGATTCTAATTGCCATGTTATTCTTCGACGAGTCATAACGGAACTAAGCCGCTACAGTTTTTGAAAGCGGGGAAGGTGGATGCTTGGGATGACCCTACTTCCGGAAGTCGTGAGTGCGGAATATGTACGACAATGCATTCGGTATTTTGTTTGTGTGATGATGCATATATGCTACGATGCTTATGTTGTGGTGGATAGGGTAGGATAGAGATACCTGTTATGAATCATTTCGACTGATGATGGGCGAGTGTTGGTGTGGTCTTCTTTTGCCTTGCGATGTGATCTACGTACTTTTTATTACAGACTCATCGTCTTGCCACCACTCAAAAGTGTAATGCTGCTTCAAGAACATATTGAGGAAATTATTACAAGGTTTGGCCACATGATTGATCATGAGAGCTAGAAGACGCTCGCAAACAGAAAGTGCGATATGACTAGGCTTCACGTCATGATAACAAAAACAAGCGACGCTGGGACTTTCCCACCACTCACAGGCCTCTGTACAAACAACAGGAAACGCTTCGGTTTCTCTCTCATAGGATGTAATGCAACACTCCTGGCAAGTTCTTTAGCAGTAGACTTCCTTCAAAGCCATACCCGTCTCCATTTCCTCTCACAATCTGCATCTCCCCATCTAATTGAATACAAACCCAGCCGTCTTCCTTAAAAACCCCCCCACGCCCCCTTTCTTCTCCGTCTTCTCCACATCTCCATCCACATAAAACCTGCGACTAGCATCAAGATCAATCATGCTGGCATCCACCCACCATGGCCCACGATAATACAACCTCGCACCAATATAGCACACCAAAATCACCGGCACTGAGATATAATTCGCAAAGAATGTCTCTACATTCGGTTCTTCGCCCAGTGGCCAGACCGCCAGATAAAATTCCACGATGATGAGTAGAACACACCATACGAGTCCCTACCACGCGGCATACGGATACGTCCACGATTTCCAAGGCAGGTCAGTCAGGTCGCGGCCTTGGAGTTTCCAGGAGTACCGCATCCGGATGTGGGATAGGCAGATCATGCCCCAGCCGAAGAGTGTGAATAGAGAGGTCAGGTTGGAGAGCCAAGTGAAGACATCGGCGGCTTTGTTGCCGACGTTGAGGTAGGCAAGGGCGCCACCGAGGGTAAGGGTGAGTGCGAGGCCCCACCATGGGCGGCCGGTTTTGTCGGCTTTTTTGAAGGCGGCGGGCGCCATGCCTAGGTGGGCGAGGCCCATGGTCGTGCGTGAACCGCCGTAGCCGGAGATGGAGCCTGTGGAGAGGACGGAGATGAAGATCACAGCATTCATGATGTGGGCGAGAGCAGGGATGCTGGCGTTGCGGTAGGCGATGACGAAGGGAGAGGCGTTTGTGCCATTGCCGCCGAAGATGTCAGGGTTGTCGGGCGAGACGGTGATTGTTACCATGAGGGCGCCGAGAAGGTAGAAGAGGGACAGGCGAAGCCAGATAGAGCCCACGGCGCGAGGAACAGCCTTTCGCGGATTGGTAGTCTCAGCGGCGACGAGACCAGAGTTCTCGGATCCAGCCATGGCGAAGATACATGTTGGCATAACGGAAAGAAACCACTTGAAACCATGAGTGAAAGGCTCAGCATTCCAATATCTGAATCCGACGGCATCATGGTTAGGGGCTCCACCGGCCGATACGACTTGGGAGGATGTTGTCAGACATGTCAGTCAAAGTTTAGGGCTGGGATGAACTAACTTATCAAAGAGAAGATAACGACGAAGATCCAGCCGAACTTAATAGTCGAGCAAACGACTTCAACTTCACCAAATACTGTGACAGCACCAATATTAACGGCGATAATGACGAACCAAAAGATGGTGATCCACGCAGCAACTGGGACTTTGTCGGTCCAGAAACCAAGAACAGTGCAGACGGCTTGAAGCTCGTTGGCAATGGTGATGACGTACGAAACCCAGTAGGCCCAGCCGAGTGCGAAGGCTGCAGAAGGACAGACGAATTTCCCAGACTAAGGGGTTACGTTACCTGTCAAGCACTGCAGGCTTGTGAGGTTATGACTTACCCATTGGACGAAGGCAGACGGAAGCGGATACATAACTGCCATTTCACCGATGCTGTGGGACACAGACCAGATCATGGAACCCGCGAGGAGATAACCCAGGAAGATACCGGCCGGGCCGCCGCTTGCAAGAGACTTTCCGGACCCCAGCCATAATCCCATACCAATGGAAGAACCTAAAGCAATCATCGTTACATGGCGAGTGCCGAGCAGCCTGCGTAGCTCAGAGTCTGCTCCATGGTCGCCTTGATAGACTTCTCCTGATTCCAGCCCAGAAGCCTCCTTCTCGGCTGGCGAAGGGAAGGGCTGCTTGATGTCGTAGTCAGGAGAGGCCATATTCGCCAAAGTGAATTTCTTGAGCCTGGTCAGAAGCTCACAGAAATGAGGATTACATATGGAGCGCAAAGTTGCAGAAAGGAGCCTGGCACAACCGGATGGGGAGACCAACGTTTATATCAGCATACCTTGCGCTCTGTTAACAGGAAGCGTCGCACGTCCTGCTCGATCCCGAATCAACCGCGGCACTTCTGCCAAGCTGATAAGGATAGAGCTAGATGGTGCTTCGGGGTGCAGGGAATCATGTTGATCACTTTGCCGCTCTTGGGAGTTTTGCGACCTTCTCAAAACAGTTGCAGGGGCCCACACAGGGAAGGTTTTAATGTTAATATGGCGCGGATGCAATTAGAGTACTGCATTGCAGAATATCGCCAGCTTTTTGATAGGATCTCTTTGTGACGCAACAAGGGCGATAAAGCGGGTGCTTCACAAGAACGCGGAACGTATTGATCGGTTTCGCAGAAAGGATGTGCAGTCGGAATTCGTAGCAGGGAGGCTGTTGGACAGACGGGACGGGAGGGCCAGTAGACTGCCGCTCGGGGGCCAAGAAAACCGAGATATGCCATGGCTCGTTGCGGTGTTCGTGAGGGCAACTTGTCAGAAGTCTTGGTGATATCTGTCTGCCTTGGGGTTGCTTAAGGATTGCTTGGTGAGAGGTCGGTTGTTCTCATCCTGATGCTCCTATCTTCGAAGGCGCAATACAGCGTTGCCCCACGCAATGTCCTCCGGATCCTCTCTTTTTGTCGGAAAAACGACATTTAATATCGCTATGAAGCCGAGCCTGTGAATCTAAATCTAACTGGCCTCCACGATCTAGCACGCAATTACGGCTAAGCGTTTGAATCCCACGTCCATGCAACCTAAGACGGGATGGGGGCGAGCCTTCTCGCTGGCCACAGCCTCACCTCGATAAGGTAGTTGCCAAATGGACCGACGGTACCATCACCAAGCCTTTTCTATTCCTCGAAAGGAAGCCAGAATCCTCTTTGCGCTTTTTACCGCTTTCTACAGCGAGGTTGAAATAGAACGTGGATCTTGCCAATCGTCTTGTAGTCTTGCTATCTTGCTTATCTCTTGAAGCCTTGCGCAAGTATTTAGCGTCCCTGGGTTCCTGGTAACCGATGTGGTGGGCGAGATTGGATGTGGAACATCACCTAGGAATCGGGGCAGTAGAGAAGACTGACTGGCTTGTGACTAGGACGCTGGAAAAGCATGAAGATGGGAAACCAGGATAGAGAAAATTGGCTAAGATCTTGGACACGATGAATCGAAAAAATAGGGATGATAGAATGTGTTGCACCTTCTAGAGAGGAAAGACTAAGAAACTTACGAATTCTAGATTGAACAGTGCGCATAAAATCAAGAGGAGTGACCTTTGATAGAGATTACGCGACGGACTAGCCGCAAACGGGAAGTTGCAAATAAGATTGATGAAACAACGGTGACAAAGGCTATTGGTTTGGAAGGAGGATCCGTAATTTGTCTATCGTGAAAGGGGTTTTCATAGAATGCCAACAGTTTCTTCACAGGACACTCTTTTTACAGGCAGAGGTCTCTCCGACTAGACTATATACTTTTTCTGCGCGTAATGTGATAGTTCTTAGCTTGGGCGCTTTTGAACGCCGAATTGTCACTTCACGCGTCAAAGTGGCTCAATTAGGTTTAGTTATTCCGATCTCAACTCCGAACGGCATAATTCGTGGGAGCTATTACCTCACACCAACTCAATGTCAATCTCCATCTCGGCACCTTCGAAAGAAGTCTCGGAATTATTATATGGGAAGAGAAAAGCTCTTTTAACTTCCTTCCGCAGTGTTATCCAGATTCCGTCAGGTATCATAGAGGCGCTCAGGTGCTGGCCATTCGAGTCGTGGGGACATGATATCATGAATTACAATACGTATAGTTAGTTACAAAAGATTAAACATACCAAGCGAATGTATCTATCAGGAATCACCCCTTTTGTATGTACAGTACATCAGCCACCTAGACTAACGCCTCGCGCATTATCTCATTAACCCCTTGCCTTGATGAGATCCGCAGCCTTCTCCGCAACCGCATACATGGTGGCCTGGATATGTGTTGCTGGAAGAAGAGGTAGAATACTCGCGTCAACGACGCTGAGATTGTCGACACCATACACTAACAAGTCGCTGCCGACAACTCCACCCTTGTCCTCAGGCATCATCGCACACGTGCACGCTGGATGCGCGAATGTTGGTAAAATCGCCCCGGAAGCTACTAGTGCTTTGATAATTTGGTCATCAGTCTGTGCCGTTGCGCCTGGGACAAGTTCGAGGGGTGCGAAACCCGCGAGTTCCTTCCTTGCCCAATGGTTCCGCGTGAATTTGATCATAGCCATGATGATCGCCTTATCGACAGGATTCTGGAATGTGTTGAACGTGATGACTGGGTTTCCGTACTTATCCTTCGGGTTCAACTGGATTGTTCCCCGGGAAAGCGGGCGTTGAAGAGCACTGATTGCAAGGCCAAACGGAGACATGGGGATCTCTCCCGCAGCGGCGTCGTTGCCAGAAAGCATGTCGGTGATAATGGACTTCTGGGCTTCAAACCCTTTGAGGAGAGCCTTGTTGCTGTAAATTGGAGGAAGGAAGTCGGCCGTTTTCTGACCCTTGAGTTGGTTTACAATCGTCTTGTAGTTCGTTGTAAGCTGGGGAAGGGAAAGGAAGGCAAGAGAGTTGCCATGAGCAATGGTGTATTGGCCGGTTTTCTTTGTCAGATACTCTTGCCATGCAGAAGCATTGTATGTTGCGTTTGTGGAGAGGGAAAGCGGGTTCGGGAAGGACATGTTATCCAGATTGTAAAACATTTGTACGTTAGCATGGTCCTGGAAATTGGCGCCGATCGAAGGCATATCTCGCTTGACCTTCACACCTGCAGCTTGCAAGACGCTCTTAGGCCCGAGACCGCTGAGTTGAAGTAGTTGAGGGGTGAAGACGCCACCGGCAGCCATGATGACTTCGCGTTTGGCGTATGCCTTGGTTACCGTCTTGTCAGCGCGGGAAACAAATTGGACACCCGTGGCAGTAAGGCCGTTGAATAAGATCTCGTTGACAGTCTGGCCTGTGACGAGCTTGAGGTTTGAGCGGGTCTTGACTGGGTCGTAGTATGCAGTCCTAGCATGAGATCGAGTCATCGTCTTGGGGTCAAGCGCCGTTGGGATCCAGTATGCACCAACGCCGTCTCCAGAGCCGCCCTCTTTTGGAAAAGTGATCTTCTCGGCGCGGAACGAACTCCAGATAGTCTTGGTATCAGGGAAATCGAAGGGGGGATAAGAAGCCTGGAGCGGGCCAGTCTTTCCGTAGTAATTTTCGTCGTACGTCATTCCGAATTCCTTGGCAAGGGACTTCAATGGTGGGGTGAAAGTCGTTGACTTCTTGAAGTAGTACAGTAGACTGTCCCAGCCCCAACCAGGGTTGCCCAACTCTTCCCAGGCATCGTAATCGGCGGCAGAGGCTCGATCAAAGGCCATGCCATTGACCACTGAGCCACCACCAACGACGTTACCAACCTGCACGGGGTATGTCGCATTGCCTAAGTTTGGATCAGGTGCGGAAGTTATGCTATACATGTCGGCCGAGTTGAGGCTATTCGCCAAATTAGGAACTTTTGTTGTCAGGCTATCGTCAATGTAACCATTCTCGATAACGAGTACCGTTCCTGATAAACTGTAAGGCACGAAATTCGGAGTGTAGATCTTGACAACTCACTGTCGCGAAGCTCACTCAAGCGGTTCGCCACGACCAGACCGGTGAGACCACCACCAACAATGATATAGTCATATTTCTGCTCCTTGACACTGGAAGCTTCTGTATCACGTCGGCTCTGGGGAAGAGCTAATGCTGTTGATAGTAGAGAACCGAAACAGAGAAGAGTTTTGATGTTTGCTGCCATTGTAATTCCGATAGTTGAGACCTTCAAAACGAGAGACTGAGGGTGAGGAGAGAAGGAGAAAAAGAGAAGCTCAGAGCTACAACTTTTATACTATAAAGAAGACCTCCGCAGATCAGGACGGAGGGGGCTTTTTCCAGTCATATAGGGAATAGATTGAAGGATCTCGTGTCGTCAAGTGCTCATCTTGAGAGGCAATCTTTCGGCAATTGAACTTGATGGACTGTGCCTCAGTCGCGCATTGAATGAAGAGGCCCAAAATTGGACGTGCCGCGTGTCTACCGAGTCAAGGAGACGCCTCGAAACGTGGGAATCGTCCCAGCAGGTCTGAATCCACGTGGTGGGAGAGCAAGGCGGCTCCCGCGGCCCTTGCAGCTGAGAACGATTGAGTATGAACGGATACACGAAGGGGAAAGCGCGGGGCTCCCCTTGGAGTATTGGAAGCATCATTTGAGGAATGTGGTTTACGAAGTTTTTCGTGGACCCTCATGGGTTGAGGTGGTCAGACTTCACCGGGGTAATTGACCAATGGCGGAGGTCGGCGGGGGAAGCTCTGCACCCGAGCTCTTGGCATGTGTAACTAGATGTCGTGGGAACTTTGTTCCGGCTCCGTTAAACTATCCTCCCGTCTCCGTAATTTACCACCCACATTTTCCTCCAAGCTACGGAGTACATGCTGCACAATCGCCAGAATACATAACAATCATCAGTATATCGCGCGAGAATAATATGGTTGCCTCTCAAAGCTATTCAGCCTTCACTCCCTCTTCTCTCACCCTGCACTGGCTGAAAGGCTCCTAATTCACATTGACCAACCATTGCTCATTCACCAACTTCCTCTGGAATCCTTTCGAAGTTTCCAATCAGTAGTCAGACGGCACGGCCCCGGTGGCGTCGGCCCAGACCAGATTCATCATATCCTGGCACTCCCCTCAATTTATCCTGCAAAACAGCAGGCCAGTGCGTCTCCTTGAGTGCGTTCAGCGAAGCGTTCCTGGACACGTGCTGCATCCTTTCTATCCGCTAGGAATGCATTCACCTCTCCTTACTGCATGTTAGTTTGGACGGTGGTCATCAGCTATCTCTTCCCTTAGATCGGCTAGTCGAACTCTTTCTACTCGGGGAGGCTTGGATAGCGACGAAGTTCAACTTCGAAATAAATGCAAATGAATGCCCGGTAATTAGCGAAAGATAAGTACTAGTTTGCGAAGATGTTCGGCCCAATTCGAGACTGGTGCTTTGTGCTGTCAGGCAGGGCGAGGCTAAAAGCCACAGATACCGCATCTTTGGGCCTCCCGCAGCCTTCCTTTCGCATTCGTAAACGTACGTCAGGTTCTATCAATGTCTCCTACCATCTGCCTCCTGCGCGGCGCCAACCGCACTGTCACCCCGTCTTTCCGCCACCCTTCCATGAGGCGTTGTGTGACTGAACAAAGACCCACGGGCTCGCCAGGGGCCTTTCTGGTAGCGACGGTTTTTCATCTATCTCGCAGCGGAGTGTGTTCAAGGTCTAACAAAACCATTTCGTAGTGGCACGAAACCGTGAGATGATGCGGTGAGAGAACAATCGAGAGGCAACAAGTTGATCATCACTTGATGTTTCTTTCACAACTCACTTTGCTCCTTACGAAACATTTTTGCTAGGCCTTTCCTTGTTCTTATTGCTTCCTCTTCTGTGCAAATCCTCCGTGACTAGCGCAGGGGTCTTCCGCAGGAAGGTATCCTCATATTTGTCTCGACTAGGAAGGAAGTGAACTAGTCCTCCAACCCAAGAGGTGGCTTTTGTTTCGCGTGCCTTCACAAGTGGAGAGCGAAGCTTTCTTGGCCTCATGCCTCCTCTGTAAGCGATGGTTTGCCACTGCACGCTCGTTCCGTCCGCATGGTCCAGCTGCTCAAAAGCGATGTCGTCGACAAACTTTCTTGGTCGTATTCTAAACTTTCACCTTGCATGATGGATCTGTGAATTTTTGGCCATGTTCGCAGAGCCAAGGAGAGCGTTCGTCTCTATACATATATACCCTCAGTTAAGCAGTGATCCGCTCAATCTTCGGAGAAGTACAATTTCGTCTTATTGACTTCTCTCAAGAGGAAGATATCGTATTTGTCTGAGATTCGGCCCACCTCAAGACCAACATGGCTACCCAAGGAGGTGGATCGCCGAACCTTCCACTAGATGATCGTTCGAAGGACCTCAAGATCACCATCCCAGTCCTCACTATATTCTGCACGACATTTGTGGTCATCCGAATGATCGTCAGCTGGAGGAACAGAAAGGGCTTCCTCCTGAGTGACTATCTCCTTGTTCTTGGAGCGGTAAGACAATATCGCATCTGCATCGAGACTCTATACTTACGGGTAGTAGGGCCTGAACATTCCTGCTGTAATCTTCTCCTACCTGACAGCTTCCGAGGGCCAAGGGAGGCATGTTTGGGATCCTTTCCTGAACCAAACCCGTCTCCGTGACTATCTTCATCACCTGTGGTGGGCCCAGCTTCTTAACATCTACGCTATGGCGGCGGTGAAAGGCAGCATTTGTGCCTACTTGATGCTTCTCGACTTCTCAAAGATGTTTCGTATCATGATCTGGGTCTCAGTCGTCATTCACATCAGCACCAACTTCATATTCCCTTCGGTCATTCTCTTCGGCGAATGCAATCCCATCTCAAAGCACTGGAACCCCCAGGAACCTGGGCGCTGCTGGGGAGACAAACCGAGAGTGGTATCTGGCTACGTTGGCGCCGGATCAAACATTTTGACAGATCTTTTTTACACCTCAGCGCCTTTGGTTTATCTCTCGTCCGTGCAGCTTTCCAGGCGCACGAAAATGGGTGTCAGAGCGGTATTTCTACTTGGTCTTATGTAAGAACCCTCCTTAGGGCCTTATTTTTACAGAATACTAATGGAGACCAGCACAACGACGATATCCGCACTAAAGTTCTACGAAATGCGCGCTCTTCACGATTCTAAGGATCCTACCTACACTTCTGTCAATCTCTCCATCTACTCTATGACGGAAGTCGCAGCCGGCATCTTCACCGCCTGTCTTCCACCGCTCCGCAAGACGTTCGAGAACTTTCTCAGGCGCGTCCTACCTGAGAGTATCATGGGAAGCAGCACCACTAAGAAGAAGGGCAGCCAGTATGAAATGCCTGCCTACGGTAGTAATCTTAGTCGCTCCGAGAACTCAAAGCCGAAGCACGATCTTGACAGGGACAGCGATAGCGAGCGAGCGATATTGCCGGATGGTAGCGAGAGGACGATATTGCCAGAGAAGAGCGGAGCGCACGGAGGGGAGACAATTGTTAGAACCACACATATTAGCGTTTATGGCGAGCAGGGGAAGTATCATCAGATGGACAGTGGGAACTTTGTCTGAGCGGAAACCCTTCGATATTCGCATTGTGCTATTAAGGTATCTAAAGGATAAGTTGATGGAAGTTGTACGTTAATGAGGTCACTCTCTCCGAAAATTTCTTTGGATGCTTGCTTGTTCCCAGCGCCCTGGTTGGAGGTAGAGGCACTTTGACTACTGTAAGGATATTCCATGCTTTCCTCCCAAACAACCAAACATTTACCCCAAAATCCTTTCCCCAATATATTTGAAGCAATCAACCTGAATTGCGTACAATGAAGTCGAATTCGCATTCCTGCAAGTAATCTGCGGACAACTGGAGCTAACCCGGAATACTGACTTGAAGAGCGGGACGCGGTTCAAAACGCAAGCGCAATTGTTTTGAAATTAAAAATACATCTGACAGGGTGCTCGCTCCCCAACACCCAACGTTCGTATCATGCCATCGATCTCGTGTTCAGTGTAACTCGGTTACACGTATCTGATCCGACACAAAGGTTTAATCGCATCCTTCCTTCGCAAATCTCTAGATGTTCCTCCAATCAGATATGCCAGACCAATCTTTCGCCCTGAACCATCCTTTTTCAAGATCACTCATCACCTCACTCTCAAATTCTCCGCTCAAAACCTCCGCATCGCACGATTTTCGCTTTCGAAAACCCAGCTTCCTAATATGTGGCCTCCGAACTCGGGATCTAACACGTTCTTGGAAATCGACGCGACTGACTGACCACGGACCCGGCATCCCGAGTCATGACTGCCTAGGTCAGGGGCGGCCCGTCAACCGGGATGCTGATCCTGCAATCCTGGGCAAACTTAATTCCTTCTCGAACCGAGCCGAGAACGGTTTTTGGCAACCTGGCCCGCTGAATGCCATTTTGGTGGCTCCTGGGAGGGGCGGGGAGGCATTTTTGTGGCTTTTTACCGGAGATTGGTGACTCCTCATGTTCGTTTGAGTCGTGGGGGAAAGGGCATGTTGGGGTGCAGAGGGTTTTTGGGGAAAGGCGCGATTCCGGGGTGGGTCTTGGGTTTATGCTTAAGGCTTAATACGGTGGGTTCTCAGACCACTGCAGTCTTTAAGTGGGAGCGGTGGTACCCTGCTGATTCGGGGGGGAATTTTTGTTCCCACGTGTTGAACCTGGCATGCATGGTCAGCTAAAAAGGGGCTAAAATGGATTGTGCACCCGTTGGACCATTGAGCAGCTAAGAAAATAAGGACGATTCATTTGGAGCTGTCAAATGATGTACATTTGAGATGCCTAACACTGTTAAGACAATGATAGAAGAGCGAAAAGAGTGATGTGATTAAAGGGTTAAGCTCAAGCTCTGCAAACTTCTGCACAGCTTGAGTTGCGTGTGTCGGCCTCTGAAAGTAGTCCAACTCAAGGTTCACTTCGGATTTGCGGCGCATAGCTACATCTTTCAACCATGAGTAAAATCAATGAAGACTGGCCGAAACTTACCTGAGTTGACGTATGTATGAAGGAGGGCGGTTCATAGACAGCGTTCCCAACCGTACGTACTACGACCAGTGCTGGCGGGAATCGGTCCGAATCGATTATCCGGAATCACGTGGCGCTATCCTGGATCTGGATCGGATCCATGAATTAATCTAGCGCTAAGGCTAAATAGGCAACTATTCTAAACAATTAGTCTTTTACTTAATTTTTTATGCTATTATACTCTTAATAGGTTGTACAATAAACATTTAATAACATACTATAACAGTTTATAAATAAATGCATAAGCGGAGCTTGTTTTAAGTCACTTATTAAACTCTTTCTAGAGAAGAAGACTGCATTAGAAGAAGCCTATAGAAGAAGACTATAAGTAGAGTAAATAATAAAAAGTAGTCTACAAACTAAAACTTATAAACTATATTTCTATAAATTCTATGTAAAGACCTATATACCTATAAATACTATGCAAAAAAACACTTTTTAGTAGGTCTATCTACACAAGTACTTATTAGCAAAGTTAAAGTACTAGCTAAAATCCTAAGTAATGTAAATAACAAGCTGCACATCTTAAGCCTAGATAGTAATGCGCTTGCTATAGATAGCAGCTAGCTAAGTGCCTATAAATTAATAAGTCTAATACCTTATCTAATACTAATACATTAGCACTTACATTCTATTAAAGTTATAATAAAGGACTTAGCAGTTATTTATAATGCACAAAGTGCCTACTTACTTTAGTAAAGAGGTTTATTATATTAACATGTACACATGCTAGTAGTTGCTCTTTAGTAGTAGTTAACTTAAAAAGGTTTAGTAAAAGGCTAAAATTAAAGTTATTTATGTCTTTTTAAAGTAAAATAAATTCCTTTTTATGTCTATATTTAAGTAAATTAGTAGCGCACTTTTTATAAGTACTTTATTAATTTAATCTTATGTTAAACTACTTTTAATTACAGGTAGTGTTGAATAGGCTCTAACAGCTAGCTGCTTATGGTATAAGCACTTAAGTAGCAAGAGTAAGAGTGGTGTACGGTGTGCACAGCGTACGAGGTAGGTAAGGTGAGGGCAACATGTTTCTGGTTCTATTGCTCTTGTCTTTCCTCTGTACGGAGGAAAAGGGGGATATCTAGATGTTCGCGCACGGAGGTTCGCGCACAAGCATTATGTGACATAGATACGTGATCCTGCTTGTGCGCAATCGTTCGTATCCAGGCCGCGACGCTGCTGCTGCGTACGGACAGGTAGTGCATATATCTAACTTAATATTAAGTAAACCCTTATAGAAGTTATTAATATAGCCTTTATTAACTTCTAGTATAGCCTAGTCTTTAAGGAATTTAACATTATTAAAATTTATAAGTACAGGCGCAGATAGAAAATTATACGCACAGCACTTAGCATTTAGAAAGATATCTACATTAATGTCCTTATCTAAACTATTGCTAAGGTTGTTTTTATTTGTACCTACTCTCTATAACTAAGAGAGTGTAGACTAAAACCTTTTCTGTGTTAATAGTAGCTTTTAGGTACATTATATACTTAAACTAATTAAAGTAAATAGCACAAGTAGTATATTAAAAAGGTTGCCTAATAAGCTAAGAATTTTATATTAAGGAAATTATTAAGGCGTCTGTTATATAAAAATGTTGTAAAGAAGGAAGCTTAATAAGCTAAAGTTTATAAAAAGTAATATATATGCTAGTTTTTTATTTATAGTATAAACATTAACTTTACTCTTTAATTAGCAACACTTTTAATATAAAGTTTTCTACTTGCTATTTCCTTTAAACATGTTATTTGCCTAGTCTAATAGTGTAGAATAATAACAACATAGGAGTACTAGAGAAGACAACAGCAGGATATAGGGTTGTAGTCTGTTATTTATGACATATGTAATATTAGTAAGAGCGCGCCTCTTAGCTAGCAGTAAAGGTATAGGGCTGCCCTAGGTAGGGCGCTTCCTTGCCTAGATTTGTGTATTGCAGAGCGCACATTAAACCTTTTATTAAAGGAACGTCCTGTCTCTCTATAGATTTATAAGGTAATAATAATTATTATAAAGTAAAGAAGGTTTATTAGCGTTAAATAGCAAAGGTACTATGTTGTAGGTTATAGCAGAAGGTATTAGACAGGTATTAGACAACACGCGCAGCAAGGTTTTAGTTTTCGCGCAGGAAATAATTATCTAAGAATCTGCTATTTTTATGCTTATGTAAGCCTAGAAAGGCTAAAAGCAGTAATTCTTAGCTGCTAAGCCCTAACTAAAGAAAACTAAAGTCTACAGAAAGGAGCAGAGCAAGCTCCGCTAAAAAATTTAGCTTAGAACAATAGAATTCTATTTACAATAGAAGTAGTTAATAGCTTAAAATCTAAATAATAGAGAAAAAAATGTATATTAAGCCTTACTTTATATAATAAGCATTATAGAAAGTATTTTCTTTTTATCTTATTATACAAAAACATAGACATTGTAATTTAAAATGCTAAGAAGAATAATAAAAATAGCTAGAAGCAGCATAGCGCTAATAGCTACAAAAAATGCATCTAGGTTTTTCCTACTGCCTTTAACCTAAACGTACAAGCAGCTCTAGGAGTTGTAGCGCATACTGTAAGTTACTCCCTCTATTGTATAATAAGCTAACAATTTTAGATCTAGCAGAAACAGGTTCTCTCTGCACCCTATAACAATGTTAAATACTATAGTAGCACCTTTTATGCCTTCTAATTAAATACCTACTGCCTGTTATATATTAATGCAGTGTTAATTTAGACTTATAGTACTATTAACATAAAACCTTACTGTATGCCTTTTATTTTACATGTTATATAATAACTAACTTACATAGTAGAGTGTGCTAGCTATTCTTACTATAGTTTATTTTTAGAGTGTGTTTTACTCTTATCTAAGTAAGTAGCTGCTTGCGCTAATTGCAAATTTAAAGATTAGGCTGCCTGTTGCAGTTACTATAATAGCTCTTAACCTAATTAGTATTGTCTAACACCTAATAATAGTATAGGTCTCCTAGTAACTTTGTCTTCTAGTGTAAATAACATTGTTATAGATTACCTGTATAAGATTAAGGAGCTAAAGAGTAATAATAAAAATAGGCGCTAGAATGTTATATAATAAATTACTTAGAATTAATAGTCTTTTTATAAGTAAAAAATAAAATAAGAAATAAAGATCTTTACTCTTTTAAATAGTTTACTTATTTTTAACTTAACTAGTAATTTAAAGATTTAATTACTTTAATAATATTAAAATTTAATAATGCTTAAGTTTAAGAGATTATATAATGTGCTTTAAAGAAGATATGTTCTAGTTTATTACTTATAAGTAGTATAAAGTAGATCTTAAGTGTAAGATAAGTAAGAAAAGGCTACTAAGATTGTTATACATTATTCTGCTACTATTTTAACACATCTTTAACCCCCTTTGTTGCTAGCTTTTCTGTATACTCTGCCTACTTATCTAGATTCTCTACTAAAGCCTAATTACTAAGAATTTACTTAGTTATAGCTTTAATTAAATAATTCTAGACTTTATAAATAATCTATGCTGTTATATAATAAGTAGCCTATTGTCTTCTTTACTCTTACGCTTTACCTTAGAAAGGTGTTAATAATAAATTTTAATATTTAAATTAAAAATTAAGCTAGAATTATTTTAGCTAAGCTTTTTATGCTTTTTAGTCTTTAGTAGAAAACCTTAAGGTAAGCATTACCTTATTAGCCTAGTTTATATAATAATAAGAATGTAAAACTATTATAATTTAGTAGAGAGAATGCTTCTAAAGTAAGTCCTACTATTTTTGCTATGCTGTAAGTGCCTAGGTAGCTTGTATAACATAATTTTTATTAAATTATGTATCTCTTTTTTTATGTTTTGCTAGGAAAGCTATTGTGTAAGTCTGTAAGATCTATAGAGAAGGAAGAGCCTGTCTAAGGCATTTTGCATCTTCTTTATTTTAGAGGATTATATCCTTAAAAATCTATAAAAATATTTTTATTATATAAAGCATTTTTAATTTTTTATCTTTAAAGTATTATGTTTAAGATTAGGTTAGTTTTTAATATAAAAATTTACATGCATTTTAAGCTTAATTACTGTATTAATTATATAATACTAGCTGTTCTATCTTATATAATTATCTAAGGGTATTATCTGTCTAGCTTACAAGATAAACTTATTTGTACAAAGCCCTAAACTACAAATATAGACTATAATGTTATAAAGTTTACTAAGAGGACTAATAGCTCTAATTATATCTTATTATACAGAATTAAGAGGCAATCTATTTACCTTTTTAAGGTCTGTAGCTTTAAGATTTTTAAAATAACTTTTATATAAACTTAAAAATAGAAATGCTTACATAATAAAATTAATAATATAACTAAGATAGTAAACTCTTTTATTTTTAGGATCCTAATGTAGATTAAGTTTATTAGAATACTACTTGCTAATTATATAACAAAGAGTGTTATTAGTGCTAGCATTATCTTTAATAACTGCTTCTAGATTTCTAGTAATCTTGTACTTCTTAAGTACTGTACAAAGTACAGAGAACTGTTCTTTACTAGAATAGCCTAAGACTAGTTGTAAAGTAAGAAGGTGTTTAGTAACAGTATTATCTAAGCTTTATATAAAGTGTTTAGTAATTATAATAAATAGAATTTAGTTTAGAGAGGTCTAGAGATTAAGCGTAACATTAATCTTTAAAGTTGCTGTCTAAATTTTGCGCTAAAAAATAAGCTTCTCTTTATACTAATAGCTTTAGATTACTGTATAAATAGTAAAGTGTAAAACTAAAATAGCCTCTCTAGCAACAAGATTTAATGCTTATATAAAAGCCTAAAAAGATAATAATTTAATAACTAAGAGAGTAAGACACTGTTAAATAATTAGTTATATAAAAGCCTTTTAAATAATATCTTTATCTAGATAGGCTCTAAACGCGGCATTCTGTATATCTCTTTTTATATAAGGTTCTGCGCAGTTCTATAGCTCTTAGAGTTTAATAGCACCTGCTTGTTATACAAGAAAAAGAGTACCTTTTACTAAAACTTAGTAGTTAGATTTTAAGTGCTTTTAAAAGTTTATAATAACTTTTAAAGTGTAGTTGTAATTATAGAAATTGCAGTATTAAAGAAGCTAG